GTATGAGTACGAGTACCGTAATCCACCCGTCGCTCCTATCCTTATCCATCACCCACGCTGCGATCCCTTGCAGAGAATGGAAGAGGGCTAGAAGCCTGTACTCGTACATGTACATACACGTGCGGCACGGCACAGCGCTGCAGCCCCCGGAACAGACGAGGCTCCAGGGCTTCCTCCAGGGCTCCTCCAGTCCAGTCCTGCAGTCCTGCAGTCTTGCAGTCTTGCAGTCCTTGGACCTTCAGGGCCTTCCTCTCCTGCCCCAGACATCCCAAGCCGCTGCGGAGTGGGGCGCACCACGAGGCCAGCCCGGCCAATCAGCCGCCGTCAGCGCCATGCTGCTGGTGCTGATCGCTTCCTGTTCGCTTGCTAGCCCTCCCGCCTCCATTGACTTTGCGTCGCCCCGAATCTCACTTCGCCCACGCGCCGCACCTTTTTTTCCCTTTTCCTTTTTGCCTTTGCCTTTGCCTTACCCGCTGCGGTGTCTGCTTCGCTCTCCTCTCTCGGCCTCATCGACTCAAGCGGCCGCTGCCAAATCTGGATCGCTGCGGTGCTTGCGCGCATCACGTTGCGGCCCACAAAACCCAGTTCCAGCTCGAAGCCTCCTTGCCTCCCTGTTGACGGGCCAAGATTCGAGGGCCGGGTTCAAGGTTCAGGGCCCCAAGGTTTGAGGCTGTCGGATTCCATGCCGCAAAGCCTCCAGTCCAGCTCGTCAAACAAATGCTTGCAAATCCCGTCGCCTAGGCATTGCGCCTCCTGCTCGCTCGCCCGTACTTTACTCGTCCTGGTGCCTGTCTGCTTACTTACCTTAACTCTTACTGCCTGTGCTCGTGCTCGCCGTCTCTAGCACTGTACCGTGCCTCTGCCGTCGCTGTTAGTGCCTGCTCTGGGTACCGTTAGCACCGTCAGTGGTCACACTTTTAGCGCAGTCCGGCCCCAAAAGCCCGCCAGCGTACCAACCCTTGCCTTCTGTTCTGGCCTCCGCGCCCCCCCATCTTCCACTGAAACGCAGAGAATATTACCCACTCTCGCCCGTGACGATTCCTCGCAGCAGCCTTTTCGCTCGCCTCTCTCTCTCATACGACCGCTGCGAGATTCCGTTTTTGATCCTCTTCCAACTCTCGCCCGTCACTCCGCCTCGAAGCGCTGTCCCGGCGACCCGCCATCGTCGAATCTTCGCTCGTCCCGCCGTCCGCCTCGACGCGAAAGGGCGTCGCAACGCCTGAAGCCCTGGATTGACTGCTCAAAACCGTCACCATGGCCATCGCCATGGGCTGGCACAAGCCCGACAATGTCGCTGGCTCGTCGGCGCCAGCCATCATGGTCGGCCTCTTTGTCGCCTCTGGTGGATTGCTCTTTGGCTACGATACTGGGTAAGCAGCAGCACCATGCCGTCGCCCGTGAATGCGACGCTCGCCTGCCCCTCGCACCGACCATTCCGATCTCTTGTCGTATTTGTTGTCGCCTGTGCTGTATTTGTCGTCGAGAAACGAGATGCCAGCAACACCATGGCCTGGGATTCCTTTGTCTTTCAAGGGTGGATTGATGCGGTTAGTGCTGCATCGGGGCATACTGTCTCTTTTTCGTTGAGCGTACCGCCCTCTTGCACCACGACGAGGGAATGTAGAACAAAATTCGCTGTCGTTCAGGCCCTGGGAGACATTCGGATGGCGCCCATTCTGTCATGATTTCTTCATATATGCACCTTCACTCTTCATCTTGTATTCTGCTCTCTTGTTCGACGTTTGCTTTCATGGCTGCATTCAAAGTCGACCGCTAACTGGTTTTCCCCTCTAGGGCAATCAACGGTATTCTTGCCATGGATGAGTTCAAGCAAAAGTTTGGAACATGTAACGATCGAACTATCAACGACGACATTTGCGCCAAAGACTCGGCCCTCATCGTCGCTATTCTTAGCGTCGGTACCGCTCTTGGATCCCTTCTCGCCGCCCCCGCGGGTGATATGCTCGGCCGTCGACGAAGCATGCTCCTCTCTGTAGCCATTTTCTGCATCGGTGCCATCTTGCAAGTCTCTGCTGAGGCATCTGCCAACTTGTTAGCCGGAAGGTGGGTTTCTCTCCCGCATCCCCAATCGACATCCCCCCTCTTCCCCCATATACGCTTGGATCTTTTCTTGGCCCCAAAACTTGTACGTGGAGACTGACCTTTTCCCCTCAGATGCTTGGCTGGTATCGGCGTTGGAGCCGTGTCAGTCCTAATTCCCTTATATCAGTCTGAAATGGCTCCCAAGTGGATACGTGGTACTCTAGTCTGCGCCTATCAGCTCTCCATCACCATAGGGCTTCTCGCTGCCTCCATCATCAACATCATCACTTCCAGAATCAACTCCCCAGCCGCCTACCGAATCCCTCTTGGACTTCAGCTCGTCCCCGCCCTCATCCTTACCGGCGGTCTCCTACTCCTCCCTGAAACCCCCCGATATCTGGTCAAAAAAGGCAACAAAGAGGCCGCTGGCCTTTCACTCAGTCGCCTCCGACGCCTCGACATTACCCACCCAGCCCTCATCGATGAACTCCAGGAAATCGTTGCCAATCACCAGTACGAACTGACCCTAGGCCCGGACACGTACAAGGAGATCTTCGTAGGCTCCCCTCATCTAGGACGCCGAACCTTTACCGGATGCGGGATCCAAATGCTTCAACAGCTTACCGGAATCAACTTCATCATGTACTATAGCACCACGTTCTTCGGCGGCTCAGGTGTCGACAGCCCCTACACCAAATCGCTCATCATCCAAATCATCAACGTCGTGTCTACCTTTGTCGGCGTCTTTGTCATAGAGTCCTGGGGTCGACGTAAGTTACTGATAGTAGGGGCCATTGGCATGGCCTGCTGTCAACTGCTCATGGCCTCATTTGCTGCCGCCGCTGGGGAAGGCCTCAAGGAGGCATCTACCACCATACTAATTGTCTTTTGTTCTATCAACATCTTCTTCTTCGCCGCCTCCTGGGGCCCCGTGGCGTGGGTCGTCACGTCGGAGATTTATCCCCTAAAAGTCCGTGCAAAGTCCATGTCTGTTTCAACATTTTCCAACTGGGTACTCAACTTTGGCATCGGATACAGCACACCCTTCATGGTGGGCAGCGGTCCGGGCACGGCGGGCTTTGGCACCAAGATCTTTTTCATTTGGGGAGCCTTTTGTATCCTTGCCGTCTTCTTTGTCTGGGCTATGGTATACGAAACCAGTAAAATCAGCCTGGAGCAGATCGATGAGATGTATGAACGAGTGGACCATGCCTGGAATAGCAGAAGTTTCGAACCTAGCTGGAGCTTCCAGCAAATCCTCGACGAGGGTTGGTCGCCCAGCGGCCAGCCACCGGATAACGAATTACAAACGACACCAACACAATTGAGCACCGATACTACCCTAGGCGACTCAAATTCAATCGCGATCCCCATGCCTCCCAGCGCCCATCTCGCAGATGGCAACGAAATAACGACGGCATCCTCAAATGAAAATAAGGAGTCGGTACCGACAATGGCGCATGTCGACTTTAGTTATTGACAGACGACGCACACGATTTCTATTCTCTTTCCTATATGGAGCTGCGTGTCGTGTTCATATCTCGGGCGCTTCTTTTATCGGTCTTTCTCCTTTCTAAAATATGTAGGAGGGGAAGGCTCCTATTACTCTTTCAGCCTTTCATGTGACATGTGAATTATATCAGCGATGGAGTTTTTGACGCAACGGAGTTTAACGGCGTCTTGGGTTATTGGTTACTTATTGTTTTTTTTATATCACTACTCTTACCAACCCCTCTATTAACGGTTACGGGGATCTCCAAAGGTACATGACTCCGGGTGCATCAAACTGTTTTTGTTTTTGTTTTTTTAGGAGGGCGGATATGGAATACTGGGGGGAATTGGCAAAGGGCACCTTCGGACTTTTTTTGGGACATCTCTGATTGTGCTGCATGTGGATATCTTGGGAGTTGTGGACGCCGGGAGTGTCCCCCTATTTGCCAGCGTCATGGCTTACTGTGATTTAAGGACCACGGAAACTTTTTTTTTCCTTTTTGCTTTTTTTATTACTTTTACTCGTGTTTCGCGGGCAAAGACGAACTGGATTATGGATATTGCATACTCGATTTGCGAAATACCCTTGTCCTGTAAAGACATTTTTATTTTTCTTAGTTTACGTTTCTGGCAGCAACTGGCTTCGAAGAAATATGCACTTGACTGTATACCATTTATCATCAAGCTCTCAGGTTCGAGCAGCCTTGTCTCAGAGTGCATTACTAAAAAAAATATATATCAATATATATACATGCCTTATTACAGATATTTCCAAATTGGTACCTAGTAGTGAGCAGTTGACTTGTGGAACGGGATAGTGAAAAAGTACGCAGCCATGTTACGCATCGTCGACTTGTCTCTTATTCACCTGCATTAAAAACGGCGGCCCGGTTTCCCTACACACCATTTTCTTTGATGAATGACGCTTACTCTGTCTTGTAGAACTGTGATATCTGTTCTCGTTAAACGGGGAAAGGGCCTACGAAACGGCAACTATCACAAATCTTTGGCCCTTCACAAGATTTGGTCAACCAGGAGCATTACTCTTCGGCATATTCCTAGCCTTCACTTACTCACAGGTGGCATGCTTTTCATATTCCGCGAAACCAGCAATGCTACTAAGCTGGGCAAAGAGAGCCAAAGATGGATGCATAATAAGTGCTCGTTGTAGACAAACTTTCGATGGCTTCAATGCTGTGCCGGAAGTTTCAGTGATTTGACAATAAAACAGCGACCGGGAATCACTCCAAATAGAAGTGAGTTGTAGCAAGCATAGCTAGCACACAAGAACCATTCGGGACGATTGAGTGTTGTGCTCTGGACATAAAGCTCGGCATGGGCCACTATTTTGGAGCTTGAGTTGTCTGTTCTGCTGCAATAGCAACAAAAAAGATAGCCTACAATCTTCCAGCAAGAAGAACTAAGAACACAAACTATCCCGAAGAAGAACTACGAAACAAAAAGCCATGTCGAATCGCCCCAACAACCGTCTCCTCCCTGCTGCCGAATCTGGCCCTGAAAGGCCACGGCCAATCGAGCAGCTTCATCCCGTCTTGCTCAGCGTCGTCGACCGTATGGAAGTGATACCCCCCGGAGACAGGGCATCCATAACATAGACCGAGCTCGCCCACGCAGTCTCGCTGGCGATATCCATGCTACCGGACGATGAGCAATCGTACATAGTCTCGCGTATCATGACCGACGACGAAATCGCCGAGGAACGACTTCAAAGCCCACAAGTTCAGGACTTGCGCCGCCCCGTCCGTCTGTCCGGGGACGAAATACGACTCTTGCTACGAGGCTCCCCAGGGCCGGAAGACGACACCGAAGAAGGCGAAGTCCAAGACGGGTGCATTGTGTGTTTCGCCCAAAGCGATGTTTCCGTCCCGTGCGGCTGCCACTACTGCGGCCGCTGCCTCCGAGAGAACATTCGCGTCGGCCTCCGCTCGGAGGTGGACTTCCCGCCGGGTTGCTGCCGGCCCTTTGACGAGGCCACCATTCGTCTCGCCGGGCGTCCGGCGCTGGTTCACCTCTTCAGCCAGCTCTCAGCTGAGTACGCCGTGCCGGCCGGGGAGCGGCTGTACTGCCACGACCCGGGCTGCTCATCCTTCATCCAGCCGAGGGCCATCCAGCCTGCTGCCCTGGATGAAGACGATGCCACCCCCGTGGGAACATGTCCGTCATGTCACAAGGCGACATGTGCCGCTTGTGGGGGCAGATCGCACCGAGGTTTGCCGTGTCGAGAGGATGAAGATGAAGAGGCGTTATGGGATATGATGGATGACCAGGGGCTCGTTGGCTGTCCTGAGTGCGGCGTCGTGATCGCCTTGAAGGAAGGGTGCAACCATATGACGTGAGAACCCCCTGGGGTTTTTTTTTTTTTTTTTTTTTTTTTTTTTTTTTTGCTTCTTCCAAACGCCTCAGCTAATTGCCTGTTTTTATATCGTAGATGCGTTTGCACTGCCCAATTCTGCTATCTCTGCGGTCTCGACTGGGAGCAACAGTGTTCATGCCCCCAGTATAACGGCTTCCATCTCCGTGTCCCCGTGCGACAACGGCCGGGCCGTCGACCCATCAGGCGCGGCGGAAGAGCGCATCTGGCCGGTGGCGCTGGAGGCATGACCCGGATCCCGCAGCTGCGATATGACCCGGACGATGAAGTTGCCCTGGCAGCGGTTGACTTCGCCCCCATTGGGATACCTGCTCCGGCAGCAGCCCTGAACCAAGTTCCCGATCGCGAGCCGGAGCCAATAATAAGGCACAATGCGGCCGAGGACATGGAGATTCCTCTTCACAGGAATGCTCCACGCCGGCCTCAGCTGCGGCATCACGTCCCGGCTGTCCGTCCAAACCTCTTTAACGGAGGTCCAGTTGATCTTATGCCGTTTCCTCCTCTTCCTCTATTCCCAGAGGAATTTCCTCCTATTCCTGGTGCTTTCCCTAGTGACCTTCCTCCTCATTTCCTACCCCATTTCCATCCTCTTGATCGTCCGCTCGATCATGACAACCCAGCTCCAAACCATCCTCCCAATCGCCCGTTCAACAATTGGCCCTTGGAGGTTCCTCGACAGGTAGATGTGATGCCGGACGAACTTGAACAAGCGATACAACGGCTTCGTATTGTGGAAGCGGTGCTACAAGACCAACATAGCGCTAACGTGCGCCGAGAAGCTGCGATCATAGAAGAAATAGCGAGAGAGGTACGCCGACCACTGGAGCCGGATTTTGCATGGGAGAGAGAACCACGTTTCATAGAAGAGAGGATGGATCGTAGAGAGCCAGAGTATCGGGTGCGCGAACACGGCCGTAGACGCAGAGAACGGAGGAGATCAAGGTGGTGAGTGGGTGCGTGTACTGAGTGATTCGTAGTGTAAGAGTTGAATGCTTTGTTCTGTTTGTATTATTGAATTTTCAGAGCAGAAATAAAATTGGCCGATACCTGGAACGTTGCGCCTATAACCATGAGTTTCACAATTGTAATTATAGACAAGTGCGATAGACTCGTAATAAATATGCTAGGAGTTGCTTCAACATACCTATAAATATCCTCAATGATACTGCGCCATACTCGGTGGTTGAGTTGATGCCGCTCCCTGTGCGGTGCTTCGGTAGGGCTATTTCATGAATACCACAACTCTCAGAAGCAAAAGCATGAAGCTCTAACATCCAAGACACAACATAGAGTCACGAAACGTAGCAAAAAAAGAGCAAAAAAATGTAACTCTTCTCCGGTGAGAATTGTTCTCCGGGGACGGAATCGAACCGCCGACTTTTCGATGAGATGTACCCATTACAGTCGAACGCCATGAACCAACTAGACCACCCAGAGGATGCTGAAGAGTTGACATGGGGCGACATAAACCGGATCAAGAAGCAATCAGATGGGGAAGAGTAGAAGGCGGGGAAGAGAAAAAAGTTCATTTTTTGTTGAAAGAAGAAAATGGTGGTTGCAAAAGTAAAAAGGGAAGAAAGCATATGACTGGGGGGAGAAAAAAAAAGAGGGAGCCTGCACACACACCAAAAAAAAAAAAGAGAGAAAAGGAAGGAAAGAGACAATGAAGCAAAAAATGAAGCCAAAAAATGTAACTCTTCTCCGGGGAGAATTTGTTCTCCGGGGACGGAATCGAACCGCCGACTTTTCGATGAGATGTTACCCATTACAGTCGAACGCCATGAACCAACTAGACCACCCAGAGGATGTAGAAGAGTTGCTATGGACTGACGTACATTAGTCTATAAGCTAGACAAGGTCCCATCACTGCGGTGAACCTTGTTTCGTTCCCACTTGAGTGCTGCTTTCGTTACCATCCTTCCTTTTTTTGCCTTGTCATATTACTAACTCGGAAACAAGAAGATGCGAGTTTCAAGGTGTATATCTCATAATTGTTGCCTCCTCCTCTCCAAGCGCCTCGCCCAACTAGGCCTGCATGCAAGCGAGCCGTAATCATGCATGTCCCGGCCAAAGACAATGAATCAATGACCTGATTGCTCCGCTGCCGAGATCCTGCGCAGTGCATGCAGCACACTATCTGCGTCCGAACCTGAACAGTGCATGCTCCACCCTCCACCCATCGGACAGTACAGGGCCAACAACAGTACGAGGACAGGCATTATTAGACGACCTACTCTGTACCTACTGCCTAGGTAGGTATATTATGTATTAGGTGTTATTAAGAGGCAAATGCAAATACCCAGGTAGTAGGGTTGAGAACGAGTGAGAGTCCCTGGCACACTACTCGTACATACACCTGGTCGTCGGCATACAGGTACAGTAATAGCCTCTATACCTAGGTACCTGTAAAAAGTAGAGTACATTCTGTTCTACACTCCTCCGTGCATGCTTCCTATTTCCGTGCCCGCCTTTAGGCATTCGGCCGATAGTCTGCGAAACTCTCGTCTGCAGGGAGGGTCGTACGCCACACCTCTTTGCCTCGGGAACAGCGAGCGGCCGACTGGTGGATGTGCTCTTGCGGCCGATCTGGCGCGTGGCTACCGGCCGGCAACCCCATTCAGCAACATCATGCGTTTGGTCGCCTTGTCTGATTTGCTTGTTTGCTTGCGTATTCTATCACTATCACCAAGACAGTGGCATCTTTCTCTTTGCTCTTTTTGCTTGTTTTTATAAGTAGCTATTCAAGAAATACAAAAAAAAAAAGAACAAGGTGGAAGGAGAAGAGAAACAGAAGGATCATGGCATAATCCATATGCCTGCAGTCAGCCTCAATATCGCGCCCATGGTACGAGACCCCATTTCCTTCTTTATCGCCTCAAGCAGAATATCCAATCCAAATCCATAACTCCTGAGCGCCTCAGCATCGCCTTGTATGCGTAAAATCAAAGCGCTTGCCGTGATAGATGCGTGTGCGGGACCAATCGATGTATCTTAGACGCCGGGTTTTCTTTCCCCCGAATACGTGTGTGTGCTGTCTGTCGTAGATTCTGATGCCAGTAATTGGCTAAGGAAATGTTCTGGGGGCGTTGGCGCGTTGGAGAAGATGCTTTCTGAGAGTGTCCAGCTCCGAGTCCAGCTCATTCATATATTCACGACTGCCATAGCCTTGCCCATTCAATTTATAGCCAGATGATGATCCACGGTCGTCGCTCGATTCCGTGGCTTGAGAATCACGGCTTGGAGAGTATGGCTTGGTTGATCCCTGAACATCGGGGATTGTATCCATACCATCTTCTTCCTCGTCTTCGTCGTGTTCCTCCTTGACTTGGCCACTCCTGGATTTTTTGGACCTGCGACTTTTGTGACTCCCTCCATCCCGATGCTTGCGGGACCCTGAAGAGGACGGTGATTTTGGACTTTGTCGAGATTGCGGTCGGCTGAACCCATTTCCTTGGCCTAACTCAGCATCGGGGACTGATGCAGAACCTGCTGCAGTATCATCCGCGGGGCCTTGTCCCCAGCCGTTCTCTAGCTGTCTCTGGAGTCCTGATTCTTTCAAAATCTCGTAAAACCTCGAGGCCATATGGCAAGACCCTGGATCCATGGTTGACTCGGGGGAGCGTTCGCCAGATCTCCGAGACTTTGCTTCTCTGTGCGAAGAGAGTGAGTATGAACCCCTAGAATCTATCAAGTAAGTCAGATCACCGAACTTAAAACCTCATATCCAGTATACAGCTCCGTACCCATTAATGATACAAGCACGGTAGGAGGTGTGTGCAATCTGTGCTTTTCTTGGTGATGAATGGGAGAAAAGGTGACGAGGTTGTAATCAAGGAAGAGAAGGGAGGAGAAGAGAAAAGCAGGTGAAGGGATTCAATGTTTGACAAAATGAACCGTGAAGGATGAGAGATGTGTCATATAATTGCTCATTCCCCACTGGAAAGGACCAGACGATGGATATCTGCACCAAAGGATGAAACAATAGGAAGTGCCCTGTGTATGCCTCTTTGACTGACAGGTGGAAAGATAACGGGTGAGGAGGCAAGATATATAGGTGGCAAGGGATTCGAGATGGAGGCTCTCATGGCTAAAAGGCTCGTCATCTACTCCTACCTACGTGGAGGGTGGGCGGCAGGACCCATGTGACGGCAGCAGTGAACAGGGCCTTGGCATCACAGACTGATACAGATCGATGTAGGGAAAATGATGATGGGGACACGTAAAGGCAGGACAGAAAGCGTTGGGTGCCGGACTGAGATAGATGGGGTCGGCAAGGAAAGGAGGGCCAACGTACATGCAACTTGGCGGTGGCTAATCGGGATGCCGTGTGTATCGTATACGGATTTTTTTTCTGGTTGCAACACTTGTACCGGGAGTGCGAGACACGACGTTGGGCAACAACTCAATGCTCTGTGCTGTTTGAGACGCTCCGGATGGCGGCAGCCGTTGAGCAAGTTGAGCGGTGTCGTTCCGGTGGGAGTTGGGAGATTGAAGTCTCAGTTTCAGTGTCTCGAGGGCTGGTGAGGTGAGGTGAAGTGATGCAGGATTGGCAACTGGCGGGCGTTGGAAGATTGAATTCACGGTTAAATCTCAGAGCCAGAGATGGAACAGACAGGCTCCAGACAGCTGTCAGTATTAGCCAGGGGGCCCAAGGACAAGATTACTGGAGGTAGGCGAATTCGGTAGACGGAGGAGGCTTCCAGGTGCCGGAGGGGCCATCCAAGGGACCAGACAAGATCAGCCAAAACACGTATGTACGAGGTGAAGGAGAGAGTGAGAAAGACTCGAGCCGTTATTGCGCGACTCTACGAGACGCACAGGGCTATTTTTGCGCGCCATCGGCCGCACCATAGATCAGACAAGGGACCGGCATGGTATGAGATGGACGAGATTGAGATCCACGAAGCGTCTGGCCTTATCGCCGTCCGTCGGAGCGGGCGACAGCAAACGCCGCGTCGGCCATCGGACAGCGGGCCGGGCGGCTTTCAGCGCCATTGGCTGCTGGAGTAGCACTGAGGCAGCGGGCGAGTCGGCGACTGCAGCGGGCGACACAGTGGGCTCCACCAAACGCAAACGCATTGCCGGCTCACACGAAAAAGACGCCGGGACCGACCTGCGGTAATGGTCTGCGCCTAGCTCCATGTTCACATGCGCTGTGCTGTCTGGAGAGGCAGAGGCTCACGATCGACCCCAGTCGCGTTTCTGCTGCGGCCCACAGGCCCCAACCGGCCGGAAGCCCACCCTGCTGAGCCGTTTGGCCTGGTTTGGGTTGTTGGTTTGGCAACAATGGGCGAATGGTGCTGCTACTGCGGTGCTAGCACCACGAACGTCGATAGCACAGGCTCGGGAATGGAGACTGGTGCCATTTCATCAGGCGTCGACACCGTACTGGTGCTGGTTCTGGATGTCGTTGGCAGCAAGCAAGGCAATTGAAGCCCCCAACTGGGCCCATCCATGTCCGTCCGCATGTGGGCACATGTACATGTAGGGAGCAAGATGGGCTTAGCAGGCCGGAGCAATAAATTGCACGATGCTAGCCCTACCTCAAGTGTGTTGCGCCGAGAGCCTGTGCCTGGAGATGCGTTAATGGATGATGATTTGGCTCGAGCGGGCAGCCATGCGGGTAGGTAAGCCAATGAATGCCTGGGGCATCAAACATTGATGCATCCATTCACCTCAACATCCATATACGAGTAGGTACAGTACGTGTGGATGGAGGCCGCTTTGCTTTGCTTTGGGGTGCCTTGCTTTGGGGTGCCTTGCGATTGATGCTTTTTGCGCGCAATCTCTCGTCATGATGCCGAGCGAGCACAGGTACATGTGCGTATGCCAAGTGCAGCATGTATCACAGGTACTCCCGCTCATGTCTTGCTTGCTGTCATTTGACCTCTCGCCCATCGGCCAACCAGGGCAAAAACCGACCCGGACGCCGATGGCGATGACAATTAACAAGCAACAAGTATGTATCATGGCTGGCTGAGGCAGAGGGCAAGGTTCACGTAATGGGCCATGGATGTCAAGTGATACGAGTCACGTAATGACGCTGCATGTCCCGTCCTATCCTGTGCTGTCCAGTCCTGTGCTGTATTCGCTCATTCAATTAAACCAAATCAAGGTCCGTGTAATCAAATAGATACGATGCGTGCTCCGTAGAGGGTAGGTGCTATTACAATGGATTTCTTCATTCAGCCCCGACGCCAGACCCTTGCTCACCAAAGGGAAGGCATTTGATGACGGCCAAATCCATTCAATATTGCAACACCAACATAGCCATCCATTCCCTATTGATCCTTCCATGCCCAAATAAATAAATACATACATATTACATAGGCCCCCCTGGCTAAACGGCTAGTCAGCCGATCATGAAACTCAGCATTCCTTGCCGCTGCTGCTCCCTGTAATCGACTTGAGCTCAGGTTAGCGGCTCAACTCGATTACAGGGCTGTCCACTTTGCCCCAGGCGGCCGCTGCCGAACGACGACGACATTGTTGGAGATTGCATGCACCTGAGTATTACTACAGTATATTACTCCGTATTCTATTTATTTATTTTATTTCAAATTGCTGAATTTGGTCCATCTTGTGCAATCCCAGTCGCATGCAGCCATCGACCCGTCCGCCATTCTGCGTAACATCTCCCAGCGAAGTACGTGGCTCTGCAGCCTGCGCCCGAAGAAAACTATCCGGCAGATAGCTCCCCAGCCCGGTCTCTGTAACATCGTCTCATCCTCCAGTCCCTAGGCGAGAGTCGCTCTCCGTTCACCGTGGCCTCCCCAGCCGATAAATAATATGCCACCCATGGACGTACGGAGCATGTAGGTCAACGTCTCCGTCGCGGCAATCAAGAGCCACATGGCCACAGACATGGTCCGCACTCTCGGCCGACGAAACGGAAATGACGCCTTCGTGGTGGCCCAACAGCGCCCGAATCCCGGGACATTAATATTAAAAGACCAAAAAAGAAAGAAAGAGACAAAGCGGCGTCAAACGCCATGGAAGGGGATTGCAAGGGCCTGGCCCAGGATCGTCAAGATCTTGGCAGGACTCTCCACTTGGACCGCTCTCGCAACAGCCAGCTAGCCACCTACGAGTACAGCGAAAACTAAGGTAGGCAAGGCAAATGCAAATCACCCAACACTTGAGCCGATTCGTGGTGCAGCGCGCAAAAACATACTGAACCTGGCCAGGGCTTCAACTTAGGCCCAGGGCATTGCATGGCAACCAAAGGCCCCGAGGCGGCCGACCCGTCGGCCTTAAGAATCATGATTGCCCTCTAAAGAGTCCAGGCTCCCAATTTAAAATTCCCGACACATCCACGTTTGCCACGCCAATTGCCCCTGTGGGTTCAAAGGCTACTTGTACGATATACGGCTGACCTCCAGCAGGCCCTCATGTAGGTGACATCTATATGATGCACGAGCGGAGCATCTCGACGGCGTCTATTTACCTACTGTGAAAGGCCAATGGTATACATACCTACAATCTGTACACAGTACACAGCTCCATCAGTAAGTAGGTACCAATCGGCGAAGATTACGGGTTTAGGTATTGATATGTACCTAGCTTGAGCCTGATAGAAGCGCCAAGGTAGTATCCCGTGGTGGTCATCCATGGAACGTTCTCTGTATACTTTATAGGTCCGGAATGCGATCCCGCGGAGCCGGAGAGCGTGGAGTTTGAAGGCTGTGCAGGGACAACATGTACGGATATACGATTTACAGCTCCAAATTGTTGGCCGGAGCTCATTGACCGGCCCAACGTGCATCGTCGTGGTCATCGTCATGGTCATGGAGAGTGCAACGTGAATGTCGTCTCCATTCTAAGGCCCCTTTACTTCCTATTCGCCATCATTTAAATCCGCTGTCCAGCAGCTACTCGAGCGTGATTTACAAGTCGTTTCAAGTTCAGACATTCAGGCTTCCTTGATCCCACACTCTCGGGGAGTTTCCACGGCCCGAAAACAACAGATTAATAAAGGGTGTGTGCTCTCCGATATGGATAACGAGGTATCATTGTGGGCACTTCATACCTGCACGGATATAGCATATGACGCCCCAATCTCTGCAAGAAAAGAGAAGCAAATCTTCAGGCGCGGCATCTTTGCCGTTTTAACCCTTTAACATCGGTACTACTCCGAGGCCAGCGCTTCCTTGCCGAGTTACATGTACGGGGCACACACTTCCCGCCAGTTTTCCAAGCACACCCCTTCGTTTCTGGCTAAAGCAAACACAGCGACCAGCCAACAGCTCGAAGCCAACAAGATGTGATTAGAACCATAACGACAAACCTTTGCCCCCTAGAAAAACTTGTGTCATATAGCCTGAAAGCCAGCTGGCCCGATGGCACCGCAGTCACCTCAAGACCCCCAGAAACACACACCACCAAAATAACACCTCACGTAGCCAAAAGTCATCATCCTCTAGGATTCACTCCCCTCGGTGTCCCGTCGCTAGTCATGCCATGCCCCCCATCCTCTCTTGGTAGCATTGCGTATCCCGGTCAGGCTGCAGCCACACACCAGCCTGTGAAGGAAATATGGGAATGTTGAGGGAATATGACTAGGCTTTTTTGATCAATATGACTTCTTTCAGGAAACACCATCTCCGCTTCTATTCCCCGTCCCGCCCTTATGTCCTCTCTCTGCCGTGGGAGCGGGTACATCTCTGGTGATATATAGAAGAGGAAGCCAGAGGAGTGCCCGTCAGAGTGTCATGATGCGAGGTCAATAGTATGATACAGTCGACCCTGACCACGAAGATGACGGCGACCCAACAGTTGGTGTGTCCCCAGTCGGCGTCTCCGTCTGCATCTGAATCTGCATTTGCAGTTGCAGTTGCACGTCCGAGTCCAGCGGCATCATGGCCACCCCCTGGTGCTCTTCCATTCCCGCAATCGGTGGAAGCTGTTCTCGTAAGTCCGTCCGCTGAAGCGCCATGGGCGTCGGGTAGGGGCTTCTGGTGCTTGGCCTCGCGGCCGTTGGTCGGTCGAAGGGCACCTCGGGCCTCGAGATGTCATTTCTGCAGGCGTCGAGGTTTGCCGTGGGATGGATTCGCAGGCCGCCGCACCCCTCCATGGGGGACCAATTGAACGACGAGTTAATCTCGAATGGCGTGCTGTCCGTGACCAGTAGTTTGCCTTTGACCGGGTCGCAGTACTTCATCTTTGCCGCAAAGATTTTCCCGCAGTGGACGCAGATGGAGAGCTTGACTTCACACATGCTAACGTGTCGACACACGAGTGTTTCGGAAACAGTTGCTAAACACTATTGTTGTTTTATATCAATGAGAGTTTCAGGTCAGTCGACAAAGGCTCTTTATGGTCCTTTTAAAGATGGGGAGCTGCAGAGAGTCGTGGTCATCTCAACCCCGAAGGCGTCGCACGTCTGGCGGCGCGCCTAGGCAAACATTGTTCAGCCTTCAAATTTCCACCACGGCCTCGACTGGTGCTACCGTGAGCCGCATAGAAAGCGCAGGTGGCTTAGCCAGCTCAACAAGGACCATTAAGAAGCCAGAAGCCGATTCGCCCTTGTATGGCTCGTTTGACGACTCGCAGGGGGGAGGGAGGGGGAGTTGAGCAAGGGGAGAAAAAAAAAGCAAACATATTGAATCATCATGCAGCAAACCGCGCGGCCCAATGATTGCTCTCAAAGGAGCACTCCAGGGAAACAATCCAAAGCTCGTACAAGCGTGACTTCTACGACATGCCAACGCATCCGCTTTGCCGCCTGCTTGCCTGCTTGCATGGCTCGTCTTGACTGGCTATTCGAAGAGCCGCATCAGCCTCGTGGCCTGTAGGATCCTCCTCGTGAGCCTCGGGCTATTGGCTGCATCGCCATCCACGGTGCTTCATTTCTGGGTCAACTGCGACTCTTTGCCTTGCCCGTGGCTGCCTGTACCCTATGAAGTTGCGTAAATCCACGCTGCATGTAGTCAGGTGTAGCACTTGTTATCGCTGCTTGGTTTTGTTGGGCGAAAACTTCGGCATCGGCGATTGCGTTTTTCTGCTCATGGGGGGCTCTCTCTTTTTTTTTTTTCGGTAGTGTCCGGCAATAGTGTAAATGACATGAGTGGTGTTGTTGCAGGTCATCGGTGATGTTGATGCTTAGAGCTACCTGAGACAGCGAGTTGGAAGTCACATTGCTATCCCCTTGCTAGCATGATTCCAATTTTTAGTTACCTGCGATTACACGGCCCTCCTTTATCCAATATCACTATTTTGACCCCTTTCTTTTCATTTATCACCTTTAGAGCATTCAATTTTACTATATAACTCTAAATTTGTGAATCCGCGTCGAACTATCACGATGACAACGTGGAAGCCGCATGCGCAATAGGGTAGGTGAAGCGATTTCAAGTGTCAAATGGATGGTAAAATGGGGTATCAATACATGCAAATAACCCGGAGCAAGTTATGGAGCCCAGGGCATTAGCGGCAGCACAAGTACCAGTACTAGGTCGCAAATCGTGGGGCCGAGGATTCAGGGGCCTCGCTTGCTGAGATGCTAAGCCCCACCTAGCCGCTCTTTCTGTCGAGCCTCACGAGACAACAGCTTGCCGCTTCTGTTGCATCCAGCCAAAGCCTCACCAGCAGACCAGAGGCTGTTTGTTTGCTTGCCATTGTAACCGCCCACCCAATCGGATCAACATGTGCTGAAGCCAGCTCGCCAGGACCCAGATCAGCTACCATGGGTCTTCTTCGCTACCTGCGCAAGGTCTACGACCTCGACACCCTCGACACGCGGTTTACATCCTCGACGTCCGTCCCTTACCAGACAGTCATTGATTCTCGCGGCGACCCAGTCATAGAGAGAGAGGCCGCAGCCAAGGCCCGAAGCTCAGCTCCGCCGTCGAAATGGCGCACGCCCGAGTTCTTCCTCTACTATGTCGTATTCATCTTCGTGGTCCCGTATATGTTCTGGATAGCCTATGATGTCTCAAAGCGTGAGGGACCCCCGACTCCAACCACGGATATGCGATGCGCAACATACTAACAAATTGCGCAGCTTCTGATCCTAGATACCCCAAATACGAACGGTTCCTCTCCGACGGATGGATTCCAGGGCGAAAAATCGACAACTCCGATGCGCAGTACAATACGTTTCGAGGCAACTTCCCTGTCATGACGGGCCTTTTGATATTCCACCCATTGCTACGAAAGGGGTGGGAATCTGTGTATAAGCCCTCCGCGCGAGGCAGCAGAGGCTCGACAAGACTGGATCAACGTACCGCATTTGACTTTATTTTTGCCATCATCTTCATTGTCATTCTTCACGGCATATCGTCCTTCAAGATTCTCGCTATCCTCGGCATCAATTATCAAATTGCGACCAAGCTGCCCCGACAATACGTCCCCGCAGCAACATGGATTTTCAATATTAGCACATTGTTCGCCAATGAACTCACCATGGGATACAGACTCCAGCTTTTAGCCAATTGGGTTGGCCCTCCATGGGGACCGCTGGCGCATTGGGGCTATTGGTTGGATAGATGGGGGGGAATCCTCAAACGCTGGGACATTCTTTTCAACATTACCATTCTGCGGCTCATCAGCTTCAACTTGGACTACTACTGGAGCATCGACAAGCGCAATGTCAACTCTCTAGAGGTAAGCTTGCAGCCACACCCGCTTTCAATTGTCATGTTGCGTCTAATACACCCAAGAAGAAGGGATTGGATCCCGCCAATCTTTCCGAGCGCGACCGAATTTCGATTCCTGCCGATATTAGAGATTTCTCGTTTCGCAACTACTTGGCCTACGCGTTGTACGCGCCGCTGTATATTGCCGGTCCGATCTTGACTTTCAACGACTATATTTCCCAGTCCAAGTATCGTGCCGCGAGCATTGAATGGCCCCGCACTATTCGGTACGGCATTCGATTCCTGCTTGTCCTCCTCTCCATGGAGCTTGTACTACACTACGACTACGTTGGCGCAATCAGCAAGGCGGCTCCTGTGTGGAGCGACTACACTGCTGCCCAGCTCAGTCTACTATCCTTCTTCAACCTCCACATCATCTGGCTGAAGCTACTGCTTCCTTGGCGCATGTTCCGCCTCTGGGCCTTGGTGGATGGCATTGACCCGCCTGAGAACATGGTTCGATGCGTGAGCAACAACTACAGCACGCAGCTCTTCTGGCGCGCCTGGCATCGGTCGTATAACCGCTGGCTCATCCGGTACATTTACGTCCCTCTCGGCGGCTCCTCGTTTCGCAACTGGCGGTCTACAGTCAGATCCATCCTCACGTTCCTTATGGTTTTCACATTTGTCGCCCTTTGGCACGACATCAAACTCCGCCTGCTCATCTGGGGCTGGCTTATTGTTATTTTCATGGTGCCGGAGTGGACTGCTGCCTACTTTTTCCCGAAGAAGAAGTGGGAGAACCGGCCCACGGAGTATCGCATGCTCTGCTGTGTTGGCGCAGTGGCCAATGTGCTCATGATGATTTCGGCCAATTTGGTTGGCTTTGCAGTTGGTCTTGATGGATTACAGAGCATCCTCAGCAGCATTCTGCATGATTGGTCAGGTACGTTGAAACCGTCAGCCTCACTGACTGTCGAGCATTCTACTAACGCGCGGACAATGTTTAGGAGTCTTGTTTATTCTCACCGCGTCATCTTGTTTATTCGTCGGTATTCAGGTCATGTTTGAGATTCGCGAGTCGGAGAAACGAAAGGGTATCTCTATGAGATGTTAGAGTGGATGTCGATAGAAGAGTGTGTAACATTAGAGGTTAAGCGGCTATTTTTTTTCGCTCAATTAGAAGGGAAAGGGAAGGGTTTTCTTGGGTTGGGTACATGTAGTTAGATCGGGTCACATGTCGCACCGATATTAGGTAGAAGTCTACATCTAGATGAGCTGGCCTCTGTTATGATATGTTTTCACATATTTTCAGTTTAGGTCATTGAAGGCGGCCTGATTAGATGGGGTTGTCGTCTGATGGTATTATATCCAAACCATGTTTCCTTCTAAACTGGAGACTAATTAGAAAGAAGAAAAAGCAACCACCGTCATACATCAAGACGGGTCCATTGAATAGAGTACTGAACAGCATTGTTCAATGCAGATCTGTGGCGTACAACTTTCAACGGCATTACGGGGGCTAAGATGAATGGGAGCTAGAGCATAACCTCTTAGTACACTTGCTCATATTAAACCGATGTGAATATGACACCTTCCCAAAAGAGTCTGAGCCCAAGGAAGCAAAGCCGTGACAGGTGTAACCTTGAATCAAGAAGACGGAGCAACTACGGGATAATCTGGGGAGATGGGAAAAGATGGTCCGACTTTGCATGATGCTACCCAGTGTTGAAATTTATTGGTAAAAGCGGCCAGATACAAGTGGAGAGTGGTGATATTCGCAGACATGCGGGGAGAGTTATGTAGTATTAATAGCGGAAAAAACATTAGTAGGCTGTAGCGATAGTAGGAGACACAAGTAGTAGCAGATACTTAAAGAATCAGGTAGATAAAAGGTGCTTCTTCTACCTCCCAACATGGCGTCGCGATACTGTCTGTAGTCGCTGGTTGCTCTTGGATATTTACCGGGCTCGGATGGGCTATGACAGGAGCCCCATTTCCAATGTCGGCAAACACGTGCTAATTTCTCCATGGGACATTCCATAATCTTGCTTATGCCATCAATCAGTGTCAAATGTCAACATGGCCGCCCCCTTAGACAAGGCCTATCAACTTTCCTTTGTAGTCTAGGCTTGCCTACTCCGTACTTGTGACCAAATGAGGGACTGTGAGATTGACGCAGAGATATATGTAAAGAGGTAGTACGCCGCCAAATGCCGGTCTTGGGGATGCTGCAAGGGTTGTTACATCAAGCCGAATGTCACACAGGAGTGTCTCTGCACTTAATGGAACTGATATTTGATTAGTGCTGCAGAACGTAGAGAAGCGCCCGCAATGAAGACAAATAAACGGAAATGAAATGTGCAATATGAAGCCAAGTGCGTTTAGGCATGTATTCTCCCCATTCAATACCCGGTATCTACAAATGTAACTCGTGTAAGTCAGATAGACAATCTTTGAAGGCAACTCACATGCTTTGGTAACATAACTGATCATTTCCTAACTTGCTGGATTTAGTAAGCCTGGAAGTGGACTTGGAAGCACTGACGCCACCCAGGCTTTTCCCCTTGTGCGATGATCACAGCGGCAACATGCAGGCCATCCACTTCTGGGCCACCGATCTTGTTGATCACTTTGATAGTGGGGAGGTGAAGATGGGGGAGCAACGGGGCTACAGCTTTTGGGAACATTTGCCGGTAGATGGCGCCGTGATGCCGGGAGTCGGGAGTGCATGAGAGCTGCTTGTGTCGCGCTGATGAGATGAGCTCATGCAGACACCGGCACTCGTACGAGTACTCGTACTCGTAGTCTGCAATAGCAGGCCTTGATAGTCTCAGACTTATGGCACCTAGTTATTTGCTAGCCCACTGGATGGGTCGATTTTCTGTGGTAAGAAAAAACCCCATCGCGTAAAGAAGCCCACTCTGCGAAATTAGAGTGGTAAAGGCTATCAATGCTAGGAGGTACGGGCACAGCCTCTCTAGACGACGCTAATGGAAGGGACGGAAGAATGCATCGCTCTCTGTTAACATAGATGCATGCCAAGAAGAATAGCATGAGAAACATGATTTTGATAAATGACGGAGAAACACACAGAAAAAGTAGCTGCAGTCGCGCATCCGCAAGCAAAAACCGAGACACTCTCGCGCTAATGTTGTGAGGCGGCGCTCCGAAGCCCCTGGAAATATCTGGCAATTGACAAGCAGGGGAAACAAGCTTTGTATCAATCTCCGAGGCTTTGATGCATGGAGGGAATGAATGGCTCTTGATTAAAATAAAAAAGGAACCCAAAAAAAAGGGAGGAGGGTAGGCAAAACAAGAATCGCCTGTGAAGGGTTAGCTGGCAAAGTACGGAGCAGCCAAGGCCGCTGAAATGAAGAGCCCACGGCACCCCGGCACATGATGCGGCTAAAGACATGAACCACTTGGAACAGGTTTGGCAGATTAGTAAATTAGTAGGGCCAATAAAAGAGGCGCTGAAATTGCACACAGAGGCACGGCGTCGGTGAGGTTGGCTGCTTGCAATGCTGCGACTGGCCAGCAGCGTGTAGCTGCATGCAAAGCTGACCACCAACATCGGGCTCCTCCGGTTTTTGACAGCGGATGATAAGGATGGCTAGTCGCATAGTTACGCGTCTTGCCTGCGTATGTATGCGCGAGGAAAGAGAGATGCCCAGTTGGCAAGTAGATGAATAGAAAAAAAGTGTACAAACATAGGTAGGTATGTACGTGCGTGCCGAATATTATGGCCGTTCTGGGCCGCTTGGCTCGTATAAACGAGGAGCTGGTGGTGGTTTACCGTGCCGGGCCTCGTAATATCCGGGTCCTCGACTAGCTAGGCTCCGTGTCCCAGGGACGATCGGAGATGGAGGCTATTGATATCAAATTTGCACTTCTCCTTAGCAGCCGACGACTAGCATGAGAGGTGGCTGCTAAAAATGGCTTTGTCGATGGTGCCATCCACTCGCCTGTGCCTGTAACCCACAGCTGGGGCGAAAGACTGGAGAGGATCCAAATGCAGCTGTGCCTGATGAGCCGCCGCAACACGGAGCAGAGCACAAGCACGCGTGGAATCGGATCTAGGAAGGCACCAGGTAGGACAGGCAAGCAGCTCGAGGTGTCTCTGCAGCCACGCGCATCGCCTTTGCCGTGTATATACGTTCATATACACGCTCATATGGGTGGGCTTTCGAGATCGGCATTGTCTCAACTGCAGAGATCGGCTTTGCTGCTGATCATCGCCTCTTGGACGAACCGACGTACCCACTGGGCCGTGTCTTGCGTGCCTGCTGGTATCGAGCCGATTGATGGATGTCTTGGCTCTGTAGCGGAGGAAAAAGAAAGTCGCATCCTGGCAAAGATGGTAGCGATAGTCGTCGTATCTTGATGCTGTGCCACCAAGCCGTTTCTGCTGCTCAACTCAATGCCAATTGATAAGGCGCGCTGCGACTTGTTGTATTTAGCTGCTTTTTCCCTTGCATCTGCTGACGAGTGCTAAACACCAGCCCTTGCATTCTTTTTCTCATTTTTTTTTTATTTTTTTATTTCCCGTCCATGTCTCGGCAAGCCACCGGTGCAGAATTCGACGAAGGACGGGACACGTATGTACACCGCCTTGGCTGGCCGGTCTGCTTCCGCCAGACAAAAAAATAACAACCTTGAACCTAGAAAAAAAAAAAAAAAATCATTCCGTGCCCAGGAACTGCTTGCTTGCTTGCTTGTCCGTTACGTGCATCCAAGCAAATCTTACTCGCCTGCTGCTACTGCGCTCCATAATGCGACTAGCACTGCTACCATCTCAGGTACGCGTGCAGTGGCGCTGCTGAGATTGAGCCATCAAATCTGTCGAGCCCCATCTGGCCGTTGTCGAGCCCCCCCTGATGAGGTTGGCCATCCATGCGAGCCGCGTCTCCCAAGCCCAAGTTCAAGACTCAAGCTGCAGCACTGGCCACTTCAGGAGTCCATCGTCGGCCGGTATCGAAGCTTTAGACGTACAGGCATCGGCACAGACACGGGGCACAGGCACGGGCACAGGCACAGACGCCGCAGCGAAACAGCTTGACCCTCGCCATTGGCTCTTCCCTGCCCGCGGCACTAGAGCCAGGGGATCTGATGGCGGGCTCCCATCACCTTGTTCCCAATTTAGCAGTCGAGACGCCGTTAGTGAGCGGCCAGACCTGCGCTAACAGGCGAACGGGGACGCTTTGGAGGTGGTCTGGGCTCGAGCTGCCACAGACGAGAAACACCTGGCCGAGTGGGCAGCAATAACATTAGTACGTTTCGTTTCTCGCCCTCTGGTCGCGCTCGAATCTCCTCCATAAACCATCACCAACCTTGGCTGGTTGGCTAGCCGGCCTCTTTCTGTCCAACTTGCCTTTGCCGCCTTTAACTTTTCCTAGCACCAGCTGGCCAGGCAGTCTAGGTGCTGACTTGCTCACCTCTGTCCCGCTCTTGGCTCATAATTACTTCATCATATCGGAGTCGAGCACCAACTTTGAGCTTTCGACTTCTCGAGCTCCAACCCCGCCATCGTTTCTTGTTGTCTTTGGATGGAGGTATTATGGCTGTTGGTTCGATCTAAACGAAGCTCTCGACGGTGTAGATAGCGCCCTCAACTTTCGAGACACATCATCATCATCGCCATTGCTAGCCTCCATAAAGCTATCTCGACTTCTGCCAGATACCAAGCACGCAACTAGGCTCCTCGATTCCTAAAGCGCTGTGCAAAACCCTGGTATAGCTTAACCTGGCCCTCTTCTTTGTCCGTATAAATCAGAATCTGCACCGCCATGACATCGACTACTCATTTGCCGCCTCTCGACTTCGACGATGGAGGGCTTCGTATTGTCCTGCTCCCCGAGGTTGAGATCTTGTCGTCTCCGCTGTCTCCAGATACCCCCCAAGCCAAAGAGCCCCCTTCGAATATGACCTTAAGCTCTGCGCGGTATTCTGAAAGCGACCAACATGCGGGAGACTCCGAATCCGACGATGACGGTCAAGGGGATGTGGACGACAACGAGTCCGACCACGATTCCAATTCGACGCCACCACCCCCAAGTATTCCGGTTCACCCCATCCCCGCCCTGCAGGATGCCTTTGCCGAATCGCTACACGAGGTGATGAGTGGCACGGCGGTTGAGAAACCCAAACTGAGGGCGCTGGATGCCCAGGGCCGTAGAGAAGCTGTGCTTGCTCAAGGCATAGACGAGCCCGCCTTTGATGCCACATGGAGGCTCCGGCCAGGACAGTCTCAGCACGAATTGGCCAAGCTCATTGCTCAGATTTCTTTTGGCGTATATTTGATGCTCAATGGCATGGCTAATAATAATACACAAGTGGTCACTATCCTCCAGGGCCACATTGACGAGGTTGACGAGTTTCTCGAAGTCACAATCGAGGATCTCGAGCAGGTAGAGATGGATCTAAAGAGGCGCATTGACCATTTGATGCTTCCCATGTCCAACGTCACAGTGTTCGAGCAGCTGCTCGAAGACCGCAAGTTTCGGACAGAGATACTGGAGGGTAACGAGAAGATTGAGCACATCCTGGCCAGGACCAATGTGGCCATGAAGCAGTGGGACGATGATATTGAAGCCGGGCTGCAGACCAGCAACATCTTCATCAACTGGTTGAACGAACAATCCGAAGGCACCTGGCGCGGGGATCAGCCAGATATCACCGACATCTTTGATGCCATGAGCGGCAATGCGGAAGGATGGCTCATTGCGTTTGAGAAAATCAGCGATAGTACCCATGACATCAATAGCCTCATTATTCGCCTGATGAATATTATATCCGAGATGGAAAAGAAAGCTGGTGAGGCCAGCCGGCGGACATGGGTAAGTTGTCCCTTGTTAATGTTTGTTGGTCTCGATAACTGATTCAAAGTCTAGGCGAGCATCACTCCATTCTCTGCACCCCCTATGCCCAAACCCCTGGATGTTCCACCACCGAAGCTCGAGCTCAACACTGCAAACACTGCACCGCATCATGCACCCTCAAGATCCATTGCTCAAGATACTGTTCGAAGCGGCTCTTCAGATAAAAGGCCTCCCAGCTCTATAGTTGACGCGGATGATACTAGTACCATTGATTTTCCTTTGCCAGGTGGCCTACCGCTGCTTCCACCATTCCGTTCAACTCGGCATACTTCGAACACTTTCGGCCTCAACAGCCCACAATCAGCAACGACCACGGCTACTCCTACCTTTGATAGTCCCCAATACACGCCGCAATCTACGGCGAATACTTTTGGTGTCACCAGCCCGCAATCCATGCAGATTCACTTGCGCCATGACTCAGTTGCGGAAACCGAGGAGAGCGAGCCAGAGACCGAGACAGGTCATAGCGATCATGGGGAGGAGGCGGTATTCCTCCTTCAGCCTCGAACCTATACACCGCAGCCCCCTGCGCCGTTGCCCTCACCACTGATCAAAGACGAACCCGGCCACAACGCTCGTTCAGGATCTCAGTCGACGCTACAATCACTCCAGTCTGCACCGTTTACTCCTGCAGACACCAAGTCCATGACATGGCGAGACAGCGATATCGTGCAGAGAAGGACTTCTCTCCGTGATCGCGTTTCCTTAAAAATGATGCCGCCTGGGGACATTCATATTCCACCAAGATCTCTGAAAGGCATGGAGATGTATGCTCACTCGCCTGGCACCACCACGCCTCAGACCATGAGATCTCATCAATTTGATTCAGCGTATGAGTCTGATGCGGAACGCCATGGCCGCCATCCATCTGGTAGCTCCAGCAATCTGGAAATGTCTCCTCCGCAGCTCAATGTCATGCCATCACCGCGTTCGGATCGACAACGATATCACCCTGTTCACGCGTCGCCACATTCACCACTTCAGCAGAGACCACATACCGCCGTCGGACACGGCCAATCAATGTACATTCAGGGCGGACCTAGTTTGGTACCGCCGCGCCATCTACGCAACAAACCGTCCAACGCCGGTATGAGCACGTTGAGCAATGTTCAATCAATAAGTTACGATGACGGGACGGCGCAGAGTGTACGGACGACCAAAACCGTGGACAAGCAGCTTAAGAAGAAGAAGAGCGCTTTTGGGTGGCTCAAGAAGGCTTTCAGCATGGACGAAGAAGAACGAGCAGCCTATGAGGCGCGCAAGGCCATGCAGTATGAGCAGAGCTACTACAACGCTGACCCACCAAAGTTTTTGGACGGAAAGAGGCTGCGGTAAAATACTTGGAGTGATTTTCTTTGAGTAACGCATTTGCACGGTTTGTCGGTCCAGGGAATAGTGGATTTCGATTTACATCTGGCGAGAAGGAAGAGGGAGACAAAGAAAAGCGACAACTAGGCTGAAGTCGCAACAGCTACAAGGCCGGACTAGGGCAGCAACTATACACAATACCACCTTTATCATCTGAATCAGACAGTCGAGCCAAGCTACTACGGAGAAGCATATCTCATTCAATGCAATATGCAACGAGTGGAGCTTTCCTTGGACTCAATTAATTACTTACCGAAGAGGAAGAACTCTCCTCCAACCTCTATACACACGATCTCACACAGGCTTATCTAGCATACCCTTTTCTATTACATCTTACTGACACATGTCTCTCATTTCGAGATGTGGTACTGTTCACGTATCAGCGATAAAGCGATTTCCTATCTTTCACTGCTTGTCTATCTTTTTGTATATGCCTCTCCTCCATTTTCCAATTTTTTTTTTTCGGTGCGTCATTTTGGGCATTGAATATCATCATATCATGGCGACGGACCTCATTTTTTCCTAAATTTTCATTTTTTTGCGCTTTGTTTCTCTTTGTATACCAAACTCTAGCGCGGCACATATGGCATCTTTTACAGTCTAGGGGGAAGCAGGCGGCACTTACATTTTTTGTACGTGGAAAAAATTATTACGAATCTAATGGGAGTCTGATGAGGTGTTTGTTTAAGGCTCTTCTGTTTTTTTATCTAAGCAGTTGCAATAAACATGTAAAACGCTGTGATATTTCTTGTCCCTCGTCAAGTCTTCGATGTACATCTATGTGCTTTCACTATGTCTAACTATTATGCGGAACTTTCAACATTGAGGGCTTTCATAAATTCAAATCATAATATCCAAAAAATGAGGGCGTATTTCGTAAGGTCATTGATGTGGAGGAAAATGGTGTCCACCCTTTGGAGAATCCATTAGACGACCGATTCTCCCACTCCGTAGCTCTTCACTCGGCTGAAGAAGAAGGGCTTGTCGTTTTTGAGCTGGAACTCGGCCCAGTCATCCGTCAGCTTGTTGTAGCTGCAGAAGCTCCTCCAAATGATCTTGTTGTTCCTGGTGCCCTTGCCCGCGCTTCTCAGCGACAAGTCCATGCGGTACATGTACTTTGCTCCCACACCCTCCGTCTCGACGTACAAGTCTGATTCCTGCTCCTTTGGGTCCGTGTTATCCGGATAGTCCAGCGCAGAGGACTGCCGCCAGCGGCCCTTGAGGGCTTGATGCATCATTGCGGAGGGGAGGTGGGCATGGGGAGCCTCGCGATGCAGTTTAAGCAGCTCTGGGGTGAGATGGTGCACGACATCGGCGGGGGAGGCTGTTGTGAGGAGGCTGATGACGGTGCCGTCGCGGAAGAAGCGCAGGTAGCGGTAGTAGGTGACGATGAGGTAAGGGTCTCCGCCCCAGACGGCCTGGTTTGTCGCCTGGCCGGTGCGGATATAGTTGACGGTGCTGATGTAGCAGCCGTTGAAGCGAATGCGAGGGCGGGTGCGAAACATGTTCTTCCACGAGGAATAAACATCCGTATCGTGGAGGGAGGCCGTGAAAGAGAGGGCATCAGCCAAGCGGCTCTCCTCAAGCTCTCTCATGCTGATGAGGAGGCCGTCCTCGTCTGCCTCCTCTTGGGCCTCGAGCTCTTCCCATTCGACCGTCTTTTGCCAGTGGCGAGGCATGGAGGTGAAGCCAAACTCGGTCCCCAGGCAGACGCGCCTCCAGATGCGCTGCTCCGTCGCGACCAGGTAGGCGAATCGCTTGCACACAAGACTTAGACGGGCAAAGTCCCCGACGTCGGCCACGGCAACGTCTTTGAGGATATGCACGAGCAGCTCATCCGGCAGGCTGGCTATGGGGCATGGAGGCGGCGGGGTGTTTTCGATGATGGGGGGCGCTGCCTCGATCTTTAACCCCGAAAAGCTGGCGATGAGCTCTTCCAACGTCAGCGGCTGGGGCTCCTCTTCGGCAGCGCTGGGGGCCGCAGGTTTGTGTGCTGCTGCTGGTGCAGCTGGTGCCGTTGCTGCTGCTCCTGAGGATGAAGATGAAGCGGTAGCCTTGGCGGGTGCAAAACCGGCTGGGAAGTGCTTCTCACGATACGACATGTCCACCCGATGATCCAGCTAAAGGAGTACAATTAGCATTATCCGCACGGCAAAGTAAGGTATTCATCTTGGTTGGGTCTTACTCGGTAGGCTTGTCTATAAAGCCGCAGACTCTCTCCCATATTGCCCTGTGCCTCCTTTTCCATGGCCTTTTCATAATGATCTAGCGCTGATACCAGCGGCTTTTCATCGTGCTTGCCGGGGGTGTCTGAAAGCAGATGCCCCGAAGCAGAGGGAGGGGGCATGGCATCAAAAGATGGGCCATGGAGATAGTACTCATCATCTTCAACGGCTGGCAAGCTCTTCTTGGCGATTGTTGGACTTAAAGGGCCCGTGTGCTTCCTTGGTCGTGAAGTGGCAGCCGGAGCAGCGGCAGAAGTTGAAGACGAAGCCTCAGCCTCATGGGCTCTCGACTGCAGGTCCGAGATCCATTGCTGGCGGAACGATTCCAGCTCCGAGCTTGCTTCACGGTCTTGTGAGGCCATGGCGGCGGCGGCTGTCGCAATTCAACGAGGAACGGTGTCCGATATGGCCGAGCGCGGGGAATTTGAGTGAGAGAGCAGGGCTTCCGTGCTTCGGGAGGTTGATTGCTAATGCTGGATGTACGAGTACAGTATGGTATGTACTAGCGGGACTCGAGTTTACAAAGACATTGATGGCGGTTATCACAAGGGGGATTAATAAATTGAGCGATGATGAGATAGGAGAGAAGGAGAATATGTCCCAATGCTGTATTTTATTTTAGTAACTGTGTATACAGTACAGTACCTGAGGTGAGATGAGATGAGATGAGATGAGACATGCAATCATTCGGTCAAGGCAATGCGCCCCTGGCGGGAGTGACTCGATCGGCCTGGACAATCTGGCATAGCCTGGGATCGGATTACTAAGACTGGATTAGGACATAGTACATGTACCCATACAGCCGACTAGAGGTAGAAAGTACAAACGCGGATGTGCCCATAGACTGCATTTCATGTGAGACACGGGTCTGCAGGAACTCTTATCTTATCGCCGCTTATCAATCGCCACCGATGCCCACAGCCAATCACAGCGCTAGGTGACATCATCGGCTACTCACGGTCCCAGATTCATCTCCGGCTGCGGCGTGGAGGCGAGCAAGATGCCGTAAAGAAAAAAAAATTCAACGGGGCCGGGGCGCTTGATGCGCTGCACTAGCACCGAACTCACCTCACTAAAAACACCTAGTCGCAACCTCCACCTAGCAGCATATGTTAGCAGCCGTCTATGACTGCTCGATTCCAGGCGGTTCTTGTCTCCTTCATCCTCTCCTTATATCCTCATATTACGCTCACTCTGCATTGACACCGATATCCATACGCTCGTCGCATCGTCAGCTGAAGCCCCTGTTGCCGCTCCGCACGTGGCCCGACTCCCGTCGACTCTCTGAGCTGGTCCGAGCATCTCCGAGATATTGCTAGGTCGCTCAATTCGTAACAAGCCGAGGGCTCGGCTCCTCGCTCACGTCCCCGGCCACCGACGGCCGGCATGGGATCCTTTTCTACGTCTGCTGTCCACAGCTCAAACAGCCAAAACTACGACAGGTTAGACGGGAACCAGGTCGTCATGCCTGGAGGTGATGGAAGCGATGCCATTCCCGACATCACGGCCGGCCAGAAGATGGTGTCGGCCATGTCGGGAAGCTTGTTGACGTCGCTGCTGGGTGAGCAATCCTTCTGATGCACCAATTAGAACATGTGCTAATCTCATTGTCTTTGCAGTGACTCCGTTAGATGTCGTCCGTGTGAGGCTACAGTCGCAATCAACCACCATTCCCGCGCCGACTGTCGATTTCTCCAGGCTTATGCGAACAACCACCAGCCTAACCCCCGTGCAATCGGCTGAACTTGGTGTCACGGCTTGCTGCCGCGAAGTCTTCTTCGCAGGAGGCAGCGCGATAGACTACTGCCTTGCTGTTCCGAGAATCGAAGGCATCACGGCACCAAGTGGAAGCAGCGCCGCCGCCGCCGACTGTGCGGTGCAAGAGGTCCAGAAGAAGACATATCACTCGACGATTGATGGGCTGCGCAAGATTGCCCGCAACGAAGGATTCACAACGCTATGGAGAGGCCTCTCACCCACCCTCGTCATGACGATTCCCGCCAACATCATCTACTTCACCGGATACGATTGGCTGAGGTTTAACCCCCTGAGTCCATTTTCTGGCTTCTCGACGGATTACGCGCCTCTTGTTGCCGGATCTGTCGCTCGACTTCTTGCGGCGACATCTGTCAGTCCTGTTGAGCTCATCCGCACTCGTATGCAGGCTGCCTCTGGCGCCTCGACGACAAACCACCTGGTTGAGACTTTCAATGGAATCCGGACCATGGTTGCCACCCATGGCTACACTTCACTTTGGCGAGGGCTGACGCTAACTCTGTGGCGAGATGTCCCGTTTTCCGGTCTATACTGGTGGGGATATGAGTCGATCCGATCTAGAATATCGGATATTCGGGAAGAACGCCAAGGCAGGCCGTTGGCCCGTGACACAATTGATGGACTCAACCGTACGACAGCACGGCGTCGATCACAGAGCCGGGAGAATCACACCGAGACCTTCCTCGACAGTTTTACTGCCGGAGCTATATCTGGTGCTCTCGCATCGATACTGACCATGCCGTTTGATGTGGGCAAGACGCGCACACAGGTCTTCCACGACTCATCGCGCCGCGGTGCTGGAGGTGCACTGGCGCCTGAAGAACAGAACATGATGCGGTTACTGTGGCACATCTTCAAGACGGAGGGATTCCCTGGTCTGTGGCGAGGTTGGATCCCACGAACCCTCAAGGTAGCGCCGGCCTGCGCCATCATGATCAGTAGTTACGAAGTCGGCAAGCGAGCATTCCGAAGCGTCAATGAGCGCTCTAGAAACGAAGGCTTTTCCAGAGAGGACTAAAGAAGAAGATGGGGCGAGATGAAATAAAAATAATTGGGTTTTGGCTTTGGCTTTGGCTTTGAAGCGGAATCTTCAACATTTTGGCGTTTTTTGCTTTATACGGAGTTTGATAAAAGGGACGAGCTGTGAGACGGCCCGTCCCTGTGGCATTTTGCTTTTTCTGAGCTGGGTCTGGCGACACTCCTATTCTTGTTGGACGACGATTTGAAATCCCTAGTTAGACTAAAACTTGCGTGTGTACGATAAGCTTAGCGGAAGATGTCTATGATAATAATTGCGAAGAATATAATTCACGTCTCTTAGAGTTGTGGTGAAGCTGTATGTGCGTGCTGTTAGTATCTTGGTGAAGAATATTTATTTAACGAGGCTGCAAGCTTAGCGCAGCTACCAAGGTACATGGAAGTAAGAAAAAAAAAAGAGAGTTTGTAGAGCAGCATGTTGAAGCTTTGTCTTTGGTAAGAAATTTTAATGATATAAAGTATTAAAATATATATCTGGATTTAGAGGCTATAAACGATTGAGGGCCTTGCTGATACTGGCGGAAAACCCCCGAGTTTTTCTTTCATCCTAAACCCGAGACACCACAAAAACAAAATCATCATCTCATCCGTCTTATACACACAAACAATGTACACCCTCACCAACATCGACCAGCACCACTTCTCCGGCCCAGAAGACGTCTACGTGCTCGAGGCCCACCGCACGGCGTCGGGGCTCGCCACGGTGGCCTCGGACCAGACGCTGTCGCTCTTCAACCCGGGGCGACTCGGGACGGGGCCAGTGGCGAGGCTGAGGACGGACCATGGCAATGTGACGACGCTGCGGGTGTTTGACGCGGCGACGTCGGTGGTTTGCACGGCTGGGGAGAATGGATCGGTGGGCGTGTGGGATTTGAGGCAGGGGGCGCGGGTTGCGCAGTTTACGGGTGAGTTTTTCTTGAGAGGAAGGACGAGGCTGATGAGTGTGAGGATTGAGGGATGAGGGATGAGAGGCGAGGATGAAGATGGAGCTGAGGCTGAGAGACAAGGAATGAGGATGAATGGAATGAAGGGAAAAAGGAAAGAAACAATCTTGTGCTAACCACCATGACGAGGCAGCCGGCCAAGCATCCATCCTGTCCATGGCTTGCAGCGCAAACACACAGACAATCGCCGTGGGCACCGAGCTGGAGAACCACGCAGCTACAATACACCTCTGGTAAGACAAACGCCCCATCTCAACCTCTCACCAACTCTCATCCCCTCTAACACAAGCCTCTCTTCTTCCTTTCCCCCGCTCTCAGGGACGTCCGCTCCAACCCATCCCCAAAAGCAACCTACTCCGAAGTCCACAGCGACGACGTCACCTCCCTCGCCTTCCACCCGTCCCAGCCCGCGCTGCTCGTCTCGGGCTCGACCGACGGCCTCGTCAGCGTCCACGACACCACCATCCAGGACGAGGACGAGCTCACCGTCCAGACGCTCAACCACAACGCCTCCATCCACGACGCCGCCTTTCTCAACAACACGGAGCTCTTCGCGCTGTCCCACGACGAGGCCTTTGCGCTGTACGACGTCGCCGACGAGAAGGAGACGGGCGATGCCGCGCAGGACTTTGGGGACTTGAGGAAAGTGCTTGGGTGTCAGTATGTGGCCAACGTGACGACAAAGGTGGATGGCAGCGGCGCGATTCTGGGCGCAGGAGCACAAGAGTATGTATTCCCCTCCCTCCCTCCCATCCCCTTTTATGTAAAATCTAAAACACTCATGCTTACAAAACTCTAACCACCCCAACAGCAAGGAAAACTTTGAGCTCATCTTCCTGGCCAAGGCGGCGGATGGCTCGTGGGCGCTGGATCTCGCCAACAAGGTCGTCCTGCCGGGGGCTCACGGCAGCGAGATTGTGCGGTCCTTCTGCTTCTTCGACGATGAGCAGGTTGTGTTTACGACTGGAGAGGATGGAAACGTCAAGGCGTGGAGAGCGGGTTAATCTTTGGATAGAAAACGAGATATCACAATAGGTTTTTCTTTTTCTTTTTTCTTTTTCTTTGGCATCGGGGGAAGGGTTTTTATTTTGATTCTATATATACGGTAGAGGTTCCTATTCGGTGGAAGTGTTTTTCGTAAACCTGAAATATCCTCCTCCCTCCCCTTTTTTTGCCGGCACCAATATACATTCAAAGCAAGTTGCAAAAGCCAAATTCGTGATGGCCATTACTCATCTTGACCGTGACCTCAAAATGCTTGTAGATTGTTGCTTGTAACAAAAGACCTGGTCGCTGTTGCAGTATGAAATGCAGTAGACAATCATGCTGATTGACTCTACTGAAGAGACGCGTCTTGAGCTCTTGGTCCGTAGCTGCTCTTGTTCAGTGCCTGATTAGTCCCTTGACATGGCCCCGAGGTGGCGGATAGAAAAGACCACTTGATTCAGGTCCACCGTAGCTGATTCGCCCCCTTCCACCGGATATGGAGAGCAATACAGGCCCAGCAGAAGGTGTAAATGCCACTAATCAGATGCTTCTCCCTCCAGCTCCCATTCGACAGCCATTTCCTTGCACGCAATCCCCTTGTTACTTCAACCGAATTTGTCATGCTTGTTCTTCACCTTAATCTCCAACAGCCGCTCATGATAGTCGCCCTCCCTCTTGGCCCTCTTGAGCATCCGCACCTCATCCTCGTCCAGTCTCCGCCCAGCAGCGTCCTCCAGCTCGCGGCGGCTAATCTTGGACTTTTCGCGCTCCTCCTTGGACGTCCTCAAGCGGGGCTTAAACCGGGCCTGCATGCGGATACGCAGCGTCGTGTTGAATGTGATGGCATCGGCGTCGCCACGGACCTCGGCGGGCGGCGCATTCGGCCTGGACGATGTCGACGGCTTGATGGTGAGTAAAGTGTCGCGCAGCGTCTGGATCTGGAACGTCCCTGGTGTGTCTGCGGTGGCGATGATGTTGAACGATTCCAGAGGGGAAACGGCTTCTGAGGTGGCCGAGAGCAGGCCAATCTTGTCGCAGGCGAGATATCTGCATTGCGTCCTTTGGTTAGCACATGCCATGTTGGAGAGCCTTTGCACAGACATATTCGTACCTTCCGTGGTGCCCCTTGAAGCGAAAGTTTTCCGTGCCGGCAACGCGGTTCGCTACCCAAACCTGCCGGACATCATGGGGCTCCGCGCTCGTCGGGTTGTTGTCGACGATGTTCTCAATCGGCAGCGCAAACACCTTGCCGCTGGGGTCGCAGGCGAGGGCAGACGGCTTGTCCGTAGGCAGGACAATCATGACAGGCCCGACGACATCGCCGACGGCATCGGCAGACACCCAGCTGTCGTCGTTGGGCTGGTCGTCGTCATTGTCGCGACGCTCGTCAAGCTGCTTCTGCTGCTTCTGCTGCCTGCTGGACTCGCCGGGCTCGTCGTCGGCGCGATCCGCAGCGGCGCGCTTCCGCTTCTTGGTCTTTTTGTCGCCCTTGAAGGTCAGCGGCTTGACCATTGTGCGGCCAATGGGGATGCGGGTTGCGTCGGGGCTGTGAGTACGAGTGCAGGTAGGGCGAGCGACCGGACGAGATGCGCCGTATTGCCTGGACTCGGTAGCATTACGCGGGAAAGCCTGCGGTCGGGTCGTCGTCCAAAGGAGCTACAAGATCCAATGTACGAGTACTAACTTGGCGATAAGAGTCGGGGGCCGGCGAGCTCCATCGGCAGCTGGGGCGTTTACGTAAGCCGACTGCTCAAGCTCGAGCTTCCTCTGCACTTTTGGCGGTTCTTTTGGCGGTTCTTTTGGCTGGTTTGCTCTGTTTGGCGCACTTTAGTCCTGCCTCGGGACCCTCTCATTTGTCTTGCGATTGCTGCGATTGCTGCCCCTCCCCCACCCAGGCATGAGTCGATGAACCGGCACACAAGCAAATGCTCTGATAATTTTCTGGAGCGTGGAGGAGCGGAAATGGAGCCGTGGCGGCCTTGGGGGCGAGGATCAAGGACGTTTCCTTTTTCTTTGCGACGGCCCCTCGTGCCACCCGAAGGATCAAGATCGATCCTTTTCTTCCGCATCTCTCCACCTGTGGTTTCTGCTGCTTGCTACTCGTATTCTGCCACTTGCTCAGGCATTCCTCTGGTCAGCAGCTGACGTCTGCCGCATCACTCTTCGTATCATCGTATCATCGTCTCAACATGGCGCCCCTGGCTCAGGCTGTGACAGTGTCTCTCAAGGACCTGCAAAATGGTATGAAGGCCCAACATGTCCATCTACTTGCTACTGCCTACTCTGTATAAGATGTCCGTCCCAATCATGGCAAGTGAGACCAACTCAATGGGTGAATGGATGAATGGATGGATGGATGGATGGTTGGATGGTTGGATGGATGGACTCAAAGCCCGCCCACTCACACTCAAGGCCTGCATTGATGATGTTTCTACACACTCACACGCACACTCACACTCGCACTCACACCAACTCATTGCCACGCTGCCGTTGTTCCCCTGGCTTACGCAACAAACACAGGAGACGTCTCATTCGAGACTCTGCAGCAGGCCTTTGGCCCTGACTCCCTCGGTATCCTAGTCGTCAAGGACGTTCCACAAGAATTCGCCCAGCTGCGCCATGTCGCCCTATCATATGGATCCTACTTGGGAAATTTGCCCAAAGAGGAACTGGGTAAGTGCTTGTTTGCCTTTTTTCTTTCCTTTTTTCTTCTTTCTTCAGCCACCGAGGTGGAAAGGAGGGAGGGGAGGCCAGGCAACGATTTTCCTCTTTTCCCATGACACAAGCAGCGGAGCGCTTACCATCGCCTTTGTAGACAAGTTGGAAAACGCTAAAGCAAAGTATCTTACCGGCTGGTCTCTGGGCAAAGAGACGCTCAAGAACGGCCAAGCCGACACTTTCAAGGGATCCTACTACGCCAACTGCGCCTTTTACGTGAATCCCAGCCTGGAATGTGCTGAGCCCACGGCTGAGTTCTCGCCAGAGACGTTCCCAGAGTACCTGTCGCCCAACGTCTGGCCTGCGGAGAATGTGCTTCCCGGTATGAAGCCGGCAGTGACGAGCCTCTGCCGCCTCATAATCGACGTTGCCGTGCTGGTGGCGCGCGCTTGTGACCGCTTTGCCGAGAAGGAGATCCAGGGGTACCCCAAGGGCTACCTGGAGCACGTCGTCAGCACATCCAACACTACCAAGGCGAGGCTGCTGCACTACTTCCCTCAGGGTGCGTCTGAGGCGGCATCGACTGAGGCAGAGGGCGATGAGGACGACTGGTGCGGCACCCATCTCGACCATGGCTGCTTGACGGGACTCACATCTGCCATGTTCATCGACGAAAAGCAGGTCAGCCCGGCGGTGCCAACGGCAGACTTGACGAGCCTCAATGGCGCCTCTCTGCCTCCGTTGGAGGAGCTTCCTGCCTCGCCTGACGCCGCGGCCGGTCTCTACATCAAGTCTCGAACGGGCGAGACAGTGCAGGTCAAGATCCCTCGTGACTGCATCGCGTTCCAGACAGGTGAGGCTCTGGAACGCATCACGGCGGGCAAGTTCAAGGCGGTGCCGCACTTTGTGAGGGGTGTGAGGGCCAGTGTTAGTGATGGGAGGGTAGCGAGGAATACGCTGGCCGTGTTTACGCAGCCCAACCTGGGCGAGGAGGTTGACATTGCGCAGCACTTGACGTTTGGCGAGTTTGCCAGAGGCGTCGTGACGAAGAACACGGTGTCTTAGGCTGTCTTGCCTTGAGCCCTAGACTTAGAACATAGTAAACAATCGAATACGATGAGACTGTGACCGGAGATGCTGCCTTGGCTGAAGCAGCGTCCTCCACATCGCTGCCAATGACAAATACTACATGCGCCCACCCATATGAGTGAGTAGGTAGGTACTTAAGTCAATTGTTTCAGCCTAGACTTGCTGTGCTGCTGTGCTGCTGTTAGCTGCACCCGTCGCTCCGGTGTTTTTGGGCTGGTGCTGTATGATCTCAGACACCAGACAGACGCAGGGCCAAAGGCGTCGAGACTATATTCGGCCAACCCGTGTCCGCCTCACCGGATACACACAGTCACAGTCACCGTTGCGTTGCACATAGCGCTGCAACCCCCTGCAGGCACGGCACTGCATTGAGCTCCTGCAGGTATGACTGCACGTTCCCGCCGTGACGGAGAGCCGTAGCCGCAGTCCAATAACCTCTTTTCTCTCTTGTTCTCTTTGGCCTCGTGGCAACGCCGGAGACCAAGGCCAACCACGTGGTGGGCAAGCATGGGAGTCAAACATTACAGGTAGCATTTCTGCTGAGGATAATGGGTAACATGTCATTCCAATACTCCAATACATGGGTGCCTAAGGCTGGATCGAGTCAAAAGGCATCCACAGACAGCCAGCCTCGTTCGGCCCCCATGCGCACTGCGTCGACCAAGCAGAAGACGTCATCCAGGTCAATAGACTGGGCGAGCCGGGAGCTAGAGTCGATGCGGGCTAGCCGTGGCCTTGCTCTCCCTTCAACCTCACCTGAACAGCCATGATGCGGACAGAATCGTATCATGGCATGCGCTTCCCCACCGCGACGGGAACGAGCGGGGCGCGGACATGTTCAGCTGGCCGTGGCCGTAGCCGTAGATAGTAGGCGCAAGGCAAGGGGTGAGGCAGCTCGCTCGCCCATCAGCTCGGTGAGGGACAAGAACCAATCCCAAGATTGTTGGAGGGGGCAGGAATTCCAGCCGCGCGGAACCCAAGATGGACGAATGGCAATGCGATGCGAGGGGCGATGCGACCAACCAACACCAACCACAACCGCAACGGCCAACGGAAAGCGACAGCCGCTGACCGGCAAGCGGAAGCGAGGAAGTGGGTTGTATCGGGTTTGTTTCGTTTGTACTGTATGTTTGCTTGTCTGCCTGGAATTGTAGGGCGATGCGATGCGATGCGATGCGATCCATTTGGGATTCTCACCTACCTAGTCCTCTACTCAATCACGTGTGGGTAGCGGGAGTCATCGAGATGCTCAGGTGATGGGGGATTGCAAAGGCAAAAAACAGGGCATTGGCAGAATCGGATATAGTAGGGAAAGAGAGAGAAGGGCATGGATACGAAGACTGGAGTTTGTCGCTCTTGCTTGGCGTTGGACATGGAAGAAAAGCCCCGCGCCAAAGACTCGGGTCAGCAAATCTATCACTTCTCTCTCTCTCCCTCTCTCCCTCTATGTCTCCCTCTCGCTCGCTGCGTGCTTTTTCCGTTTCCTTCTCCCTGTCCCTGTCCCGGCCGTCTCGTTACCGGCTGACGGCTACAGTGCAGTAGCTGGGCACAAGGGAGGGCCAGGCCAAAAAAAGAAACCAAACGAAGACAAGCACGGGCCCGATTGGGTTATTACGTTGACGTTATACTGGCCAGAACCCTGCATCCTGCCTGGTCCCAACCGAGCATCACAGCAGCTACCAGCCCTACCCTCCCTCCCGCCGGCTAGGCCCAACGCGGGCAACCCCCTGCTGTCAATTTCGATATATTGCTGCTAGCGCTTGATGGTAGCCGCAGTAAGAAGCGAATAATCGTTGAGAGCAACACCAAGCAAACGCAGATGCATCATTCCATGCGGCCGCCCGCCCCCGCGACCGCCCGCTGCAAACGGCTCCGGCATTTTCCTCACCGGCTGCTTCTTACCGTATTGTGAGTATGATGCTTGTATTATTCCCACTCACTCACGCGCAGATGGCCCTTGTCAAAACCCGCCCGTATAACAACCGTATAATAAGCGCTTCTTTTGTATTACTACCGCTATACTGTACTGTAGCATTACCAGCCAACCGGAAAACGGAAACAAAAAGAGAGAATGACAGCCAAGATATGCCATCATAGAGGGGCAAATACGACATGACACGACATGATACCCGAGTGCAAAAGCACAGTCCCTGTGATTGGGGCTGAGGCCGGGGTGCGAAGCCTACAACCCTGCACTTTCAGAGCGGCTGATGGGGATGACGCCCATTCATGGTGGATGGTGGGGGGTGACACCGAAAAGGCTCAAGTTGCCCGAAGTGAAACAAGGTGAATGCGAGTGGCCGCTTGTATTGGGCAGATGCTGCCTCTTGGTTGGCGTTGATACGAGTTGAGCGATCTTTTACGGTACATGATTTGGGAGCCAGTCGGAGGCCAGAGGGAGGGGGCGTGTGGATGTGGATGTGGATGAGGATGTACGGCCTCTTGCTCGCATACGGACGGTAACGAAGAAGAGAAAGATGCCTCGACGCCAACGCCCGCCTATTCATCTCGTCTTTGCCTTTGCCTACCGACTAACCCAGTATATCTGGTATTTTCACGACCACCACCAATTCAGATGCCGTAGTACCTAACAAGGCAAAACTACCGCCGTAATATGATATATTGCATCGCTTTGCTTTGTTCAGTCACGTCGTCTCTTGACAAAAGCCAAAAAAGCGGGATCCGGCCAAGACAAGGCATACACTGAGACATTGCCAAAAAAAGAGAGAAAAATGTTTCAGACCCGGATTAGATTCCTTTTCTTTTTATGGCAACACGGCGAGACATTCTAGAACTCCGACGTTACACGAGTGACTGCGATGACAATTGATGACTGCAAATCTCTCTGTCCACACTTACATTGCAGTGCGAGCCTCGTCTGCCGTTTGTGCGGTGGCCTGGGCGCGTGTACATGCCCTTCTTGTGCTGTCCTTGCTCGGCAGTGATTTAATTGTAATTCCACATTTGTTACACGCAAAGTAGAAAAAAAGAGAGAAAAAATAGACCCCAAATCAGACCCTCTCGGTGAGGTTGGGCCGCGGCCTATTTCCTCATCTGGCAACAGTCCATCTTCCAGGCATCACCATCATGGCCGCCCCAAGCGCAGCGCCCCTGTCCAGACCGAAAGAATAAAAATAAAAATAAAAGTAAAATAAAACCAGAGAACAAAAAAGGCCAATCACCGCAAGGCGGCCAATCGACTCATCCAGATCATCGGATTCCCTCTTCCATATACGCCCCTCCCTGCAGCCCTGTTTTGATCCTCCTCGAATCCTGCCAATGGCAAGTCACACTGGCCACGGCATTTTGGGAAAAAGCAGGGGGTATATCGCACACTCCCACCCCCTTCCACACCCGTTTACAGGCCAGCCACATGGCCTTTTTGCCTTGCCTTTGACTCTTTTGCTTGGCTTCCTGTTTTACAGTCACTATCGAGCAGTTCTTTTTTCAGCTGTCCCGAACATAGCCCTAACATTGTATTGCCTAGACCCCTTGACACAGCTTTGACTTTTGGTGTTGGGCCCCCCTCCCTCCTCCGCCCCCCTGTCAGTATCTACGATGACGCCCGGAAGGTAAACAGGACGAGAAAGAAGTCATCGAGTTAGGCAAACGTTCGTCTCCCGTGAAAAGTGATGGCCGAAGGGGGCAGCGCGCCCCAGAGGGAACCAGGGGGGGTCATGGTGGAGAGGCGCAATTCAGCTTTGGGCAATGGCAGGATTCGACCCAGAGAATCCGACGGCGGGCTCATGGCTTTTCTTTCCCCTGCCCATCGCTTTGTGTGTGTTTGGTTCTCCATAGCCTCACTAGTTGGGGCTTTCTTTGCTCGAGGTGGTTCGTTAGATACTAGCTTGTACCGGTCCTCGAGGAGATAAATATGCAGCTTTGCCACTTCATGAAGCTCTCATCATCTTCAAACCATTCAGAGTACAGCACTCATCCACTTACACAAGACTTCTACCGCCTACAAGATGAATCAAGTAAACGTCATCCCTTCTTCCATATCTCACCTCGCCGTGGGTGAGCCTGTCTTGGCCGGAACCAATGTTTCGTCCCATTTCCCATACCGCTACTTGCTGCTCTTGCTTCTCATTGCTCCCCTCGTCCATACCTACCGAGGCCACAAGAGCCGGACAGAGAGACCACTCTCCGTCCGCATCTTCAAGATTCTGTCTCAGATGAGATATCAAGTATACTCCTTCGTCTACAATGCCATCCTCAACTGTGCCAGGCCAACACTATCCATCAACATCTTCCCACGAAAGGTCCTCGTCACGGACCCTTCCATGGAAAGCGTTCTATCAAGACACACTTCGGAGACCAGTCTTGCCAATGTCATCTTCCTCATTGGCCGCCGGGTGTTTGACTTGAGCGACGCAACCATCAATGCCATTGGATCTTATGATCCTCGTCCGGTCCATGTGGGCGAATTCTCCTCTGCAAGCAACGCCAGGGCCCTCGTCGCTCAGGTATCAAATGCTGCGAACCAGCGGCTGCAGAGCCAGCCTGACGTTCAAGAGACCGAGCTTGGACCCTGGCTCTTCAAACTCACCAGTTCATCTGTGGCGAGTGCCCTTTGGGGACCAGAGAGCCCCTTTGTTGTGGACGACGAGTTCCAAACAGCCTTCATGTAAGTCTGACCCTCTTTCTTTCACCATCTTTCTTCATAAAGCTAACATCGTTATGTTATAGGGAAATCAGCGGTTCACAAATGACTCTCCTGAGACCCTTTTCGAAGTACACTGCCCAGGCAGCCCACAAGGCCAGAGCTCTCATCATCAGCAAGCTCAAGTCCTTTCACTTCAACAACAGAGACTCTAGACTTCGACAAATCGCCCATCGAATCAACGCCGTTGCCCTGTCTGATACCGAGTGGGAATCCAACAAGGACTACTTCAACGTCGAGCTGCTTACATCACTTGGCCTTTTGGTCACCCCAAGCAGCATGGCTGTCTGGATGATCCGCCATCTGCTGATGCGTCCTGATCTTCTTGAGAGAGTCGTCAAGGAGGCACGAAACCCAGACATTCTTGATGCCGAGGGCAGAATTGATGTTGCGCGCATTCGAGAGTCCTTCCCCTTTTTGGCAGCCTGCTTGTACGAGACGCTGCGACTGCACATGACGGCAATTCCACGCCTGGCAAAGACCGATCTTGACATCGCGGTGCCAAACTCACAGCCCATCCATCTCAAGTCGGGAGATCTCATCTACCTTGCCATGTCTTCGTTCAACAAGGACACCGCAACATGGGGCTCTGATGCCGGCACCTTCTCCCCCGACAAGTTCCTTACAAACTCCGGCAGCCTCTCGGCTTCCATGGTCCGAAAGCTGCGCGTCTTTGGCGTGGCAGGCAACTTGTGCCCCGGAAGAAAAGTTGGCTTCGAGACCATCCTGTTTGTGGTTGCCAATGTGCTGCGAGACTTTGACATTGAGAACCCCCGAGGAGAGGACGTGACCTATCCAGAGCCCAGGACCGAGGATGGCTTCGGCATCGGCTTTGAGCGGTGCGCCAACGAAATCACAGTGAGACTCAGGAGGGTATAGAGAAGAGACGGGAAGAATGCTTGTTCCAATGAGATGACGAACGATATAATGTACTATGCTGGGAGGATTGTCTGTTTTATGTTTTTTGTTTTTGCTGTATAGAATTTCTAGATGCTCTAGCGTGGGTTGGATTTTTGAGAGCCTGGAGCTCGCGGAGTTTACTATTTGCTGTAAGATAGAGGGATGAGAACTGGATTCTGAAATTGACTGCTGGTACTGTCAAATGAGCTGCCTTTAGTGTTTTCTCTTGTTTCTGTGGTTGATTAGTTCTAAGATAATACAAATCTTGAGTGTCAGAATACATGTTCAGCCAGTACTGTGAAATATAGAGCCAAGAGTAGAGACGATGAATATGATACTATTAGGCAATTATGCTGGTAGAAAAAAAAAGAAAAAAAAAGACATCAAAAAAGTTGCTGAAACTTCAATGGCCTCTGTTAATTCCAAGGCACCAGTAACAAAAAACGTGGTCGCTGTGTATATGGCGAATCGCTGCTCATGCCGCGTTGGGCGGATGAATTATGCAATCGCAGGCAATCACGTCATCGGACATCTTATCGCTTTGACAGCTGCCCCGCCACGGTAAGCTGGGACGAGTGCCCGAAATCTATGTGTTTTGACATCACCTTGACTTATCGCGCAAAGTAATAAATTAGTAGGGAAAGTAGTTAGTAGGTTGGGGATGCAGGGCAGTTGAGACGGAGGGGGTTTGAGGGGTAATTGCTTGCGTTCAAAGCTTACAGCGACTTCGCCATTCTGCTGCAACTTGCTCTTCAACACACAGCTCTTGAGTTCTGAAAGCAAACAACTTCAACTTCACCACTTTACATCACATCCCTTCACTTCACATTGCATTGCATTCAACACCAACTCTTGTCAAATCCAACACAATACAATACAGAAACAATGGCTGTCCCTCCCAAGTTCGCCGGCCACAAGCTCGAGTTCGCCCCGCCAACAGCTTCATCCTCCTCCGTGCCGCGCGCAACTCACACCTTTGAGCTCTTCGTCGACTACTGCTGCCCCTTTTCCGCTCGCATCTTCAACACGCTCACCACCCAAGTCTTCCCCGTCGTGCGCGAGACCCCCGCCTGGGCCAGCAGCCTCACCGTCGTCTTCCGCCAGCAGGTGCAGCCGTGGCACCCGTCGTCGACGCTGATGCACGAGGCGGGCCTCGCCGTCCTGCGCCTGGCCCCGGACAAGTTCTGGGCCTTTAGCGGCGAGCTGTTTGCCGTGCAGAAGGACTTTTTCGACGTCAGCGTCGTCAACGAGACGCGCAACCAGACGTACCGCCGCCTGGCAAAGGTGGCCGCAAAGGTCGGCGTCAGTGAGGAGGAGGTCTACAAGCTGCTGGTCATTCCCGACAAGGCCGGCGAGGATGGCTCCCTGAACATCGGCAATGCCGTTACCAACGACCTCAAGGTTGTCACCAAGATGAACCGCCTAGTGGGCGTCCATGTCACTCCGACTGTTGTTTTCGACGGTGTTGTTCAGGATACCAGTTCCGGCTGGACCGTGGACCAGTGGAAGGAGTTTTTCACTAAGAACATTGCGTAGATGGACGTGAGAGGGAAGATGGATAAGCTACTTCTGCAGCTTTAGCAATTGAAAAATGAAGTCAATTAGTGTTTGTGCTCGTGTAAATGCAAGAATTCCAGTACATGTATTATTGTCAAATAGAGAGCTCAGTAAATGCACCAAGCTTTTATCGTTATCGCAGGTGGGCCAATCCAAATGCGACCTCATGGCTCACAGAATATTAGTCTGAACTAATATCGAGATTCAAGCAACTACATTCATTTCAGCCCACTTTGATTCAATTCCATGATAAAAACTCACAACCCAGCATGCTTCCCCTAAGACTGTGTGCCAAAAAGCCATTCAGCACATTCATCAGCCCCTCATCAGCTCCCCGCCTCATTAGGTGGCAGCATCTTCCCCAGACTCGCATCCTACGACAGCTCGAAAGCAGATGCCTCCAGCGATGCTACGCCCAAGCAGCTAAGAAACCCGTCTCAAAACCGAGCCCTTCACCAGCCGAACAGGCAAAGCAGCAGGCCAAAGCTGCCGCTGCCACCGCCGGATCAAAACACTACGGCAAGCCCTGAAAATGAGACTCGTACCTAGACAAGGACACAATTTGCTAATGATGAAAAAAATCACAGAGATTGCCGAGAGATTGCTCATCTACCATGCTGGTACAGGGCGGATCACGTTTCTGGCCATGGTCAAGGTGACGACGCTGTTTCTCGGGGCGTTTTTCACGTTTATTGTTGTGCCGGGATATGTCAAGGCCGAGAAGCCAGAGTGGGAGACGTTGGGAGGTGAGTTTGGTCTCGTTTCTTTTCTTTTCTTTCTGGCATCTTCGAGTGGGGATATGCAAAGATATTGAGAAGTGAACCTCTGTGATGAATCTCTACGCACCTGGAGGCAATAGTATCGATAATTGCCGTCTACATCCTTCTCCCATCACTTTGATACAGGAAATGAATGTCATCACTGACTTATCCAGTTGCCCTCTGCGGCCTCATCCCTCTGTTCTTCGTGGCATACACCACATCTCCCTTTGTTTCGCACATTTACATCCATCTCCCTCCCGTCGCACGCACCAGCCGCCCCGTTCTCGAGCGCTTCATTCAGGCCTTGCCCCCTTCCACCGAGCTCACTCTCACCACCATGAGCGCCATTGCCAAACCCCGCTACAGCACCACGCAGGTAGGGCACCTGCGTCCGGCAAAGCGACGCTTCGGCATCGTCAACTATGTACGAGATTCCGAGGGCGCAATCGCGGAAAACGAGACGAGGAGATGGTACAACTTGCGAGCCATGACGAAGTTTGGTGTGCAGGAGGCTGGGGTGGAGAAGAAGAAGCCCAAGGGGAAGAAGGGCAAGGACCTGACTGAGGCGTGGATCTGGGATGCTGTCAAAGACAAGATTGAGAAGAGAGCAGTGGCAAGTAAGACGTCCTAGTTGTATTGGACAACCAACTTTGTACCGGCTTACGAACGAATATTGTATGAATGGTGAACTCGAACCGTGTTGTCTCATTATTACAGCTACCTGTGTTCTATATCCTCCAGGACACAAACAACCATATTACAACGCACAACAACCACGACTCATCTATATATAGGTAGCTGTATACTATATATATCAACAAACTACATCGCATCGCCATCTCACTTATCCACAAGAAATCCATCAAGCCAAACGCTAGGAACGAAACAAGTAACATGCCCGTTCCCCATCAACGGGATGTGACCCGAGCCGCATACATCTGCTCCATTCCATCGCGTGCGAACGGTGCTAGCAGTAGCGGCTGGTAAGTATAACGTTGGCCATTCCAGAGCTTCGGGATTGGAAGTTTTCTAGAAGCCCCTTATGAGGTGCTGCGTTGGTTGTGTTTTCAGGCCTTGTTTCCCCAGAGAGCGCAGCCTCGTAGCTTCAACTTTGAAAACGAGATAGACGTCGCAAAACTCATCTACATGTATATACTAATATCAACACATCTACAACCGGCGTAGAACAGCTCAAGACTCCAAAGAGCCTCCAAACATCAAGCATCCCCATCCCTCCGTCGTAAAACATGAAACATTCCCCGACCCCGCCAAAAGCCAAGACATTTTTTCACCTCGCTACACCTACGACCCTTCCCTCTTCCTCACCGACCACTCACCTTGACCTCCCCAAAAGAGAAGAAGCCCAGAAAAAAAAAAATATCGCAGCCCCCAGCAAATCACACCACCCACACCACATCCCGACTCCCTCCCCCCCAGTCCCTCTCACATGCCATTTTGTCGTCCTGTCTCTTACCTCCGACCAAAAAAACCTACGCAAAGTTCCGGTAGCCCAAAAAACAAGCCTCGGCATTTCACTCCCCCCCCTCCCCATAGACTAAAACAATGCATCCATGCTGTCTAAATCCTTCCCCCTCCTTGTCCGTTATTATCACGCATATGCATGCATATGCCGTACATTACATGTTTCCACCTGTACAGCACAGCACAGTACATGTCTGTACTTTTTTTTGTCAACCCAACACCAGGTATTAAAAGGGGCAAAAGCAATATCAGACGAATTAGCAAAAACCCTGCAAAAACCACCACTGCAGCCCGTTCCCACAGAACTCATCACATTGCATATGTAACTGTAACTGTAATTCGTAATACACCTCGTCCAAGACCAATGATCTTCCTCCCATCCCTTCTAATTCCCACACCCCCCCTCCGCGTTGAAGCTTGTTATTTTCTTTCAGGAACATGCATCAACGAGGGCAAATAAGAGACCCAAAATATGCCCATATATAGCCTAATTAGCCCACGTCGAGCATACAGTAAAAAAAGGAAGCCATTCGCCCCAAATCCCCACAACTCCCAGCCCCGTACGGTACTCCATGGGGCAGATTAGTTCGTAGTTTGGGGCATGGGCCATGTGTTTACACTAGGAGTTCAGTAAAGCTACCTACCTAGTATGCGTACTTGAAGCCCAGCTTGCTCAGCAGCACCATTGATACTACATACTTACCTATACATCAAGTCTAGCATATACTCGTAGAGGCAACGAGGGATTCATGATACACAAAAGCAAGTCAGAAGCAACAGCAGCAGCAACAGCACCACATTCTCCAAATATATCCCCCTCTCTCCCCCACAAATCAAAACCCTCACTCCATCAACTCCCCCCTTCCTCTCTCTCTCTCTCTCTCTCCCAACAACATCATAAACCTCCCACACACACACCGTCCACAAAACCGGGCGGCCCCAAACTAAACACGGCCTCGAGGGAAAAAGTTCCCCAGACCCTCAGAAAAGCTCATTTCTTAGCGCCGCCCCTCTTCTTTCTCTCTCTCTCTCGCGCGCATATAGCCAGCCAGCCAGCCCTCTTATCAATCTTGGCCCCCCCCCCTCCCCTCCCCCATGTCCCGAGCCGAGGGCGTACTTGTACATGTACTGCAATGCACACGTACGGGCGGTACTCGTACATACATGGTGATAGGTACGCATGGACGTCTGCATCCTACGCCAGACAGATACGAGTACAGTATGTAATAGCGCCTACGAAAGATGTACTGTACAGCTATGCACCCAGCAACCAGGGTATAGTAAGTACGGGCAGGCATATTATTCGCATCTTGCCCGGATCGCGAGGCTGGCTGGCCCTAAGCCCAACGCTCGCCACCCCCTCCCCTGCTTCAGGCCTCTCTGGGCATCATCCCACACACAGCCGTACTCGTAACAACAGCAAGCGCCTGTAAACTCCGTGTTGTTTGTCTACGAGTACAAACACCAAGCAGATTGCATCCAAAATGCCTACGCCAACCCTGCTCGGCTCGACGATGCTTCGGTTGCGGCTGCGGCTGCGAGACTGATTCCGAAACACTCCGCCGGCCTCACTCCATCACATTGTCTTGTCCCAATATATCAGCGGCACCTCGTGTAGCATCGCGCTTCTAGAACCAAGCCCATCTCCCTCTCGCCACCTGGACCTCGTTATTTCGTACGACGACACCGCTCTACCTACCTAGTACTACTCGTATGTTCAGTAGTACTATGTACATGGACAAACCACAATGTCCGCTCGTCCGGCCCGCCAGCCATTAATTACAGTAACACGCTTCGGCTTTATTTCGTCCAGTTCCGCTTTCAGCCCAGCAATGCACCCCACAACACTCGCCGCTCCTCTGGGCTGCGTTCCCGTGGGTCCTGAGAGTACGGAGTAGGTACTTCTAATACTCGTAATATTACATGCAAATACTCCACATCAAACAACATGCACTCTCACAGACGCGTATCCTGTCCCTGAAACTCCGCTTCTTGATTTTGTATCCAAAAGACTCAACCCTCTGTAAAATCATCCTTCCATAGGTATTCACCAAAATATCAAGATTGCCCATTGCCTTGCACATGATGCTGCTGTTCCCATAGCCAACAGTGGCCGTGTGTTCGTAATAAAAGATCCGTTATGCATCACCCTAAACACCAATGATATGTACTGCATTCAAGCTAATCCTGCATTCCTGAGACTCCGACGTAGACGATGCACCAGGAAGCAAGAGTTGAGAAAACATGTGAATCAACCTGCAACACCGCCAATTCTGCCCATCATAGATTCATTAAGATCCTCCGCCAGTATAGCCCGCAGGGCGTTGCTGGTTACCAAATATTGCTTTTGTTTTGCCGGAGCGCCGCGTCTCTCTCTGTTCCCCCGTCTCCCCTTGTTTTTATATCCATCCTTCACATCTTGCCGCCGAGACCCCCATTGATCGTCATAGATGATCGCGTCCGAATAGCACGAAAACAACAACACACGAAATGAATAAGTAATAAAAACGAACAAAGATGAAAAGAAATTAGCCTAGTAGCTCATCTTCGTCCAGCGTAAGGTAAAAAAATGAGCCAAGGATGAAACAACAAAGCATGGGGAGATAACTATACATGACCGTAAAGATGAAAGAAGAAAATAAAGAAAAGAGCAACTAATAAAGGTATGCATCGTCATGGGACGTCTATCGTCATGTTGCGGATGGCGTCATGGCCCTGCATGAGCCAATCAGTCGAGAAACCTCGTTTATTATTCCTCAGTCGGAGGTCGCAGCTAGATCGATTCCTGAATCGGAGGCCGTAGGGAGCCAGAAGCCAGAAGCCAGGTCCATTCGATTTGGGAAAGGCCTCTAGCGGCGCTTCATTACCGGCGTGGTTCCGTCGTAATCCCATGCACGTTTGAGGCCACCTTCGTATACGCTGGCTACAGACTCCTGCCACATCGCGGGCGTGACGAAATTCGGCACAGGCGCAGCCACGTATTGATGTGGGGAAATACTGTGTTGTGAGCCGGACGGTAGCGACGAGTTTACAGCTTGAATGTCTTCAAGTGTAGGGACTTCGGGTGCACCTGAGGACGAAGCAACGTTCAGAGAACTGGCCGGGGAAACAGGGTTGGGCTCGGACTGGGCGGGCGTACCAAATGTGGTGTTCCATTGTCTAGTTACCGTGTTAGTCCATCCATTTGTGGGTGTTACATTACAAAGAATGAATACATCTAACAAGTTATGGGAGGGATAAAAGTAAGGAGAGGAGGTAGAGCGGAAAGGAAATAGAGAGGAATAAAGAAAAGGAAAAAAAAAAAAGTCCAAGTTCGCTGGTAGAAACCTACTCAAAAATCCTTGCCGGGTTCCAGGCTGGCTGCTCCGGCAGGCCCATGTTCTGTGCAATGCCGGGGCCGACTGCCTGTGGCATCATGACGAGCGACTGTGCAGATGGGGAGTCACTCTTACTGTCCAGACCGCCGGTAGAAATTGGAGGTGATATGGGATGGCTTATGTAACTGACTGTTTGATTGCCGCTCGAATCCAGTGCTTGCTCCATGGAACCAGCGCGCTGCATGCCGCGATATCCTGGAGGACTGGCACTATGAGATGGATGAGGGCTTCCGTAGGGGAAAGACGGCTTCAGAACAAAAGGCTTCCTAACGTCAGCTGAAAAAGCCTCTCTGACGGCGTCGATCTGTCGCTGCAATTCTGGCATTGGCCACGCCTCCATCACCTTTTCCATGATCCTCATGTGGCGGGTGAAGAATTCTCGCGCATCGGTATGAAGATCGGGGTCTGGGGAGACAATCGCCACCTAGTTTCGAGAGTTAGACTTGTGCAATACGACATAGTTATTTCTTCTTTTCTTCTTCTTCTTCTTCTTTTTGCGCAGAGTACAAGGGAGAGAAAGGAACTGAGCGCGGCTTACTAGATGAAGCACAATGCATGAGAGTCCGGCATAGACAGTAAAACTGAAGCCGCGCTGCATGCACTGTAGCCCCATGGTTCCGAATGAATTGATAACAGCTTCCTGCAGACGGCAGAGAGCACGAGCGGAATTGTAGCAAATCATCATGTGATGCTTCCACTGGGCTTCCTGGGTCGTCGGGTCCAGGAATGACAGCTGGGGTCGGTGGAACAAGATGAGAGTCAGATAGTAATATGAGTGCAGGTTGCCAAGGAAGGGTGAGGGCAGCCAGGGTGCTGAGCCGTCCGGAGGAAACGTCACGCTAAGGTCAGCAGGAAGTTCTGCCAAGAAGGCGTTGAAGTGCTGGTCCATTTGCTGAAATTCAGGGTCGATTCCCCAATCCTTTCTCTTCTTTAGGCGAACATAAATGTTGGTAATCCTGGCGATGTTTCGCACGTTGCGCGCAAAGTAGGTGAAATTGCGCGAGACGTGATACTCGGCATCGTCTCCACCGGGAATAGGCTTTGGGACATTAAAGTCTACAGAATCGAGATCGACAGCCAAGTTGTAGCGACCTATACACACATTTTGCGCGCCACATTAGCAACCCCGTCGTTGTCAAGTCAGTCGGGGTGGATGATGTAACATCACCGTAGTTGAACGTACCTTGCGGAGTCCCCACCATGACTTCACAAACAAAGACTGTCTGCCAGATTCGCGTTCGCAGCTGACAGTCTGTGGGGCTATATTCGCAAGGCCGGCCAGACTGGTGCTCCTCGTAGTGCTCTTCCAGACCAAGATCCTTGGCCATCTGAACGCATTGGACAACAGTCATCCACGAGCGGTAGTAGTAGCCTCGCTTCGGTGCAGCTTCTCGGGCCTTGAGAATCATTAGCAGCGCCTGAAGAGTGCTTAAGCGAGGAACATCCATAAAAGCGTCGGCATGCCCTAGACTCGTTTTAGCACAAAGGATCTCGATGCATGCTAGCATTAAGCAAAGCAAGGGGCAACGTACTTGATGCTAGCGCCAGCCACTGTTGGCCCTGTGCTGGTTCGTCTGCGAGCCGCCCTCCAATCGCAAACAGAGCTTCAAGGATCAACGGGGAAATTGATTCTCTGGCGGTGGCCCATTGGCGGTAAAACATTGACCGGTTGAGCACGGGGACGTAAGGATGAACATGGGTAAAATAGAGGTCGAAGTAGTGAATTGCAGTTCCGTCATCTGGCATCAATTCAGGAGGGATGCGAATCCTGTGGCCTGCACCGATCGAAATGGGGGGCAGATCCAACTCATCGTCATCTTCAACTGCCGGATCTTCGCGTCGAAAAGAGGCCTTGTTCCTCAGATATGGCGCTGCGACAGGTTAGTCAGCAAAGTAGGATATTGCAGCTTAGAGCTTGCAAATTCATACCTGTTCCGATCTCGTTCATCTTGAGGCCGCCCAAGAGATCTGCTAGATCCTGTTGCTGGTAAGAATCGGCGGAATAGGCGCCGGGTGAGGAGCCCGGCTGCGACGACTGCTGCATGGGTGGCGTTGGGAATGCATCCTGAGGGTTAATCTGTTGATCTACCATGGACATTTGTGGGGGAACCGTCGTGTAGTGAATATTGTGCTGGGGTTGCGAAGCATCGTAGGGAAGAGATTGAAAAGAAGCTGAAGCTGCGTCGGGATAGCCGGCCTGCGGCGCATAGACGTCTTGTTCGGATTTGAGGGAAGCTTGCCCCTGCTGGTGCGATGGCATCGCCATTTGCTGAAATTGGTTCGTCGGCGGGACAAAGGCCTCATACGTCGTTGAATCGGTTGCGCCATCGTATCCATTCGGTCGGACGCAGTGAAGCTTGAGGCGAATGCAGGCACTGCAGGGCCAAGTATTCGTGGTGGCAGCATCACACTTGATCTTCCGTCTCCGGCAGCCTTCGCAGGCTCTCATAACTGTGGAGCATCGTCAGCAATCTTGGTCATCATGACTCTATATGGCAGGCCCCAAAGTACCTTTGAGCCGCTTATGGCGATTGTGCTCATCAACGAAGACATAATCTAAATCGGACACACGACGGGTTAGTTTGCGACCTTGGCCAGTCTACCAGATGGAGCTGGTGATTCTCACTCTTCTGGGTCTCCCTCTGAGGGTATTGCTGGGGCGCAAAAGTATAGCTGTTCATGCCGACGCTCTGGGCGTTCTGGGAGTCCTGCGGCAGAATGCGACGAATGGAAGGGTCATTAGAGGCCATGACGGTATGGGGATGCGCTTTCGTGGGTCGGTCGTCAAGCGGTCGTTACGTTGCGTATATAGAGATGAATGTCGGTGCCGGTATATGGGAATAGATGTAGATGTCGGGACAGGTATAGGTATGGCTATACAGGAATAAAGGGTATAGATATCAGCGTCGGGCTCGTGAGTTCATGTACATTAACACCGGAAAGTGGCGACCCCGGCGCCTCGGAATGTGGTCGCGCAGAGCTGCACAGCGGCCGCAGGGAGAATCGAAAGAGTGGTAGAAACAAGGCGGAAGCGGCGGCGAATTCGTCCGGCAATCCGCGAATCAATCCAGAGCCCAAATGCGAAGCTGGAGGCAGCGGGATATGGCAGCGTTTGGTGTTTTGGCAAAGTTGGAACTCTGTGATTGATCCGGGCAGTAGCAGAAGTACAACCTAAGTATAAAGGTATTGGATAGCAGAGGGGCAGGCGCTGGCGTTGTACTATGTAACTCGTAGCAGGATGCGGACTTTTGGGGTTGGCCAAGGACAAGGGCTAAATGCGTGGGTGGTACCAAACGGGACAGACAGGAGGGAGGGGCGTTCAAACCAAGACGTGGAAGGGGGTGTCCAGAGACAGGGACAGGGGCAAGGGGCTTGGCCTGATTCTTCATGTTGCCTTGAGCTGCTTGGGGCCCAGACTTTGCATGCGCCTGTCTCCCAGGCAGGTACTAGAGGGCTGGCGCTGACAGGGTGGGCTGCACTGGGCGTCTTTGGGGTTAGGCGGACGCCTTTAGTGCCCGCAATACAGTGCAGCTGTGCCGCTCCAGCGGTATCTGCTCAGTGCACGACAGCACCTGGGCAAGTAGCTTTGGGCGAAGGCAAGTACAGGCACACGACCTGCGCCCAGCCTTGGCCGCGGACCGTTGTACCTGTACGAGGCGCATCCAAAAGGATTTTTTTTTTCGCCTCCCTGCCAGCTGAGCTCCATGGATGATACGGACTTGACGGACCCGAACGCAACAGTCGGGAATCCGAACAGCGGGCGAAGAATACATGTACCAAATCACAACACCTCGATTAGCACTTTTGGCACAACCCTGGCAACCCTTGGAAGCTTGGAAGGGTTCTTTTGTTTTTCCATGTCGGCTTTTACGTTGATACTTGTAACAACTTCAACAACAGGTTGTCGAGTCAGGGGGGAGGGGCAACATCTCTCAACCAGTAGCTGGCCGCGATTGACAAGCTTCTCGGAGTCCGCGTTGCGCAACCTAGGGGCCAGGTACCAGCCAAGCAAATTGACTGGTTGATCAAGCATCAAGACCTTGGACATGACATGAGGATGGCTATATGGATCTTAGCGCTCTTTAAGCATTGGCCCGTTGCAGCTCGATTCCATGGGCCGTGTCTTGCTAGCTCCCAATAAGCAGTGACAAAACGTAATCAAGCATTCACATTATTCAGGTAGTGTGGAACTGTCAGTTGTGACAAGTGCCCCAGACACCGTGCAAGTGTTCAATATTAACAGATGCAGGTACCAGACATCTCATACGAGTACTCGTACAAGTAGTATATACGAGCATCTACACAAGAGCCATCTGTCGTTTGATGCCGAACAGCGATGCCAATAGTCTTGGACAAAGCACTCGTGCATACAGAAAGAGCAAGCAATCGAGCGCCAAGCGATCGTTCTGCTGTTCTTCGGGGTTCCGTACTCCAGATCTCATACCCCAGAAGCACGGAATCCGCAGCCAGAGTCTGGCGACATAAGCATCTCACGCTCGTATTCTAATGCGAAATGAACCACGGCGAGCTGCCATTCGCAGAGGTACGAAGCAGGCTGTACGCCAAGGGCGATCATTGGTATTAGGGTGGAGGTGACAGGTGATGTGAGCGTTACTTATTCTTAGATGAGAACTATACTGTACTCGTAGGATGGAGCCAGCAGAGCTTCACTTCCGCAGGCTCCGGACGGCATAGCGCGAATCAACTACCAAGCACCAGGCTCGCATTGTATTTCCCCACAACTGCGCGAGGCTGCTGAGGCACATGTCAAAGGCGCACTTGCATCGTTGACAGTGGTTCGTAGCTCGTGGTTTGTGGCTCTTCAAGTACATGTAAGTGCATGTAGCGTGAGCGCTTGGGGCAAGTGGCTATGACAAGCGTCATGCAAGAGAAATTCTATCTTCACTTCATGTCCTCAGGCAAGCGGCTCTTGTCTTCATGAACTCCTGGAATTGCGAGGTTGGACACGTAGTTTCCATCCCCTGGCATGTGAATATCAGGGCAACTCATGCTTGGAAGCCTGTATGGGTGTCTACCTACCTGGTAGGGGATATGGCCTGCTCTTGGTACTGCAGTACATGGTGATGCTACAGTCCACGTTCGCAGTACTCGTACGAGTTGAAGAGAGGTCTAGTCGTATAGGTAGTGTATAGTAGTGGTATAGAGTCCACAATCATCACATCTCACAACAATCAAATGCAAACAAAAAGGAGAGTAATATAATGACGGACAGGGAGCGTGCGTTCCTCGTCTGCGTTTATAGGCACGCACGAGTAGGATGATGACCGGATAATAGGCCTATCAGATTAGCCTCTTGTACTATCTTGGAAGGGCATATGCACATGCAGCAAGGGTTCCAATCCATCAAAGCTGGTAGGGCTGGTAAGGAGTATATTCGGGCTCCATAGGAGGCATATGCCGTGCTTGCTTGCAGTTTAGTCGTTGTATACATGTTGCAACTCGCAATCTGCTGCTCAGATATAAATGAGGATTGATGGATTTGATGACCTACAGGGCCTGCTAGGTATTACGTAGGCTGGGCTAGCAGGGCAGGGAATCGATTTGATCCATCGAACCTGGTTCTTAGTGGCATCAGCTTCCTTTCCAGGCCCTCGTCTTTCTCTATCAGGTTTATGCACGAGCTCCCTGTCTGCAGCACAACAGGGGCGCCTGATTGGCTGCGCGTCCTTTCTGACAGGTTCCCTGCCTCGACAAGCCTTTTGTCGCTCTGCCATTCGATGCACTGATGTTGCACCCTCGTCCAGCCCCTCTTGACGTGCGGATACGCAGCACAGGCCTTGTTGCTTCTGCTTCTACGGAGCACCGCTAGACGACTAGCCAGGCAACCGAATGATTCCCCGCCGCGCTTGGATCTGCAGAAGCTCCCTTGCTCTTGGTGTGCTCAGATACCGGCCAGTACAGGTCGAGGCCAGGCATGCGCGTGCATCTGCCGACTGTCTCGAGCCACTCCAGCGGCCGTTGCGCGCGCGCACCGGCATCGCGGGTTTGGCGGTGTCGAGCGGCCACCCTGGGCGCCCCCAAATAGCCCCCGCACTGCTTTTGGCTCTTTGCTAGGGAAGCTTACAACATGATGGAAGCAATTGAGCTCAAACTGCGTTGATGCTAGTGCTAGCAGTGGTGCTACGAGTACAGCAATAGTGCTGCCTCCCTAGACAGGGTTTGCTTGCAGTCGTGCCATCCGCCTGTCAAGCATGGAGCCGGGATGAAATCCAACCAGACATGAACGTTGCGGCTTCTCCAGCACAGGGCTAGCCCTGCCTACCTCGCATCAGCGCCATGAGAGACAACCTAATTGAATTGAAGCTACAGATACTCGTACTACTGTACTCGTACATACATAGTACACGCATACAGAACAGTACCGTGGAGTGGGTAGTCTCTAGCATACTCCGTACAGCATGCACGTATAATCGTCTGGCTAAAGATAGCCATTCATCGTCTTTGCAATCGGCAGTGGCCGACTGGCGGTTTGCTCTGCCAAGCGTGAGTAGCGGAAAGTTCCGGCAACCAACTTTGCTAACGAGACCGCCCTCCACGATACGTGACACACAATTTGCAACAGCCTCTTGGGGCTGAGCAGCACGCCGACGACATTTGTTTCCTCCTCTTTCCCCTCCCCCTTCATTCAGCTCGCTTAGCCAAGCCGAGGCACCTTGCGGCGAACACAACGTGGTACTGTACTTGTACCTGCTGGGCATTTGCTGCTCAACAAACAAGGAACCTCACCTGTTGATGCTACTACTATCTCTTCAGGGCTCTTGATCTAAGCGCCGATATAGAGTAGTGCTTGTACGGAGCACATCCTGCATTCCTCCGTGTCGCCCACCGGATTGCTACCATGAAGCCTCCAATGCATCGACGATATAGAGTGGGGAAGACTGCAGAGGGCTGACCCTCGCCACGCGTCGCAGATATACGAAGTACGAGCAAGTCTAAAAGCCATTGGCCTGATTTCTCCGAGTATTATCCGCGTATAGCCAACTTGAACTTCATGGATTCTTGCCCAGGTAAGGAAGCAGGAAGGTATGGTTCCGTACAAGCACCAGACCCTTTCAATACCCGTACAGGGGAACAAAATACTATTGGAAGCTCAGCAGACGCTTCCATTTTGTACAATTCTCATCTGCAGGTAGAACAAGCAAGCAGATGCACCTCATTGCCATTATGTGACCAGGCATTTACCGTCTCTGTACTCCGTACTCCGTACAGCCCTTCAACAAGCAGTGCTGCAAGCCGCTCCAATTGGCGTGCCGGAAATGAAACTTGATTTCAAGGAACACGAAAATTGGCCACCTACCTGATACCACCAATGACGAGGCTCAAGCTTCTCTGTATGCCAATCTCTGCGTTTTCTGCCCAATTAGGAACCTAGCGTGCCACTGTTTGCAGGACTTGGACCCGTTAATATGGGTACGGAGAGATACGTGCGCACGATATTCGGTCCTTTGGTCCGTATAATGAGACAGTGCCTTTTACTGATGCTACCACGAGCGTCCGCTTGTTGGTCATACTGCATGGGAAGGGTGTCTCGCCGTTCCGATTTGATAGGCAGAGGACGATGGAGCCATGATTGAGGCGCGGAAGGACGGCAGAGATGAAGGGGAATTCTCCAGAGCACGCGGGAAATTTCCAAGATGGACGACCCGCCACCTCATTGTTCCTTGACGGGCTGGTCTGCTTCTCGAATCGGCGACTCTAGTTATCTAGCAAGTCTAGGTCGCGAGGCCGCGGCCACCCGGTCACGACTAGTGCTGTGGTGAAGCTGCACCTCACCCTCCAACCACCTACCAATTACGAGTTACGGTAGGCATACTTGTGCAGATCACCACTAGTACACACATACCTAGTATTGCCCACGTCTGGCCAGGACGTTGCGAGGGCTCGGCACTTGGAGGCAAAGGGTGGTACTCGTTGGTCCAAAGCACGCAGTTGCTGCACGGCATCGCGTTGACCATCCCTGAGTACTGCAATGTAACTGTCCATCCAGAGAGGGCGTGGTTTGGGGGAAGATGGTTGGATGGACATGCTCCAAACGCGTCACCGCCCGGCCACCTTGCCGCTTACTCTATCAGATTAATACTACAAGCCAACATTCATTGCTATTATACTCGTAAAACACAAATTAATCCTCCCGGGAGGACATACGCTGGACTGGGGCTGGAGGAATGTCGTTGGACAAAAGGTCGAGCGAGCACCCTTCTAGCGCGAACAGGGCTTCTAGAAAGATTTTCCCAGAAACTCCGCCGTGCCGAGGCTCAGTGCCGTATGTGGCCATGGTTGAGTCAAGACCCCTCACAACGCAATGCAGCAGCAACAACTTGGTGTCTCATCTCCTCTGACTCGCCTAAATGATTCGGCGAATGCAGATTCCTCAGTGGTATTTAGTATTTAGTAATGGGCCGACTTTTTATCAATTGCGGATGGAGCTGGCAATCTTGCTAGATTGTATCCGTACTTTCCTATGCTATTGATGCTTAGAGTCCAACGCGCAGCCCGCCCTTTTTCGGCCGTACTTTTTAGTATTGAGTTTTAGCTACTAGAGCGATCGCGTCATCACGGGCACAAAGTTCTGCTTGCAGCCAGAGGCCACCACTAAGACGGCGAGTACAGGTACTAGGTCGCCACGGCATAAAGGCTCATCTCGCGTGGCCTTGTGGCGATGCGGTGTGGCAGCGAGTATGTACTCGTACATTTGTTCAAAATCATGGAAACATGCGGCGTCGATGCTAACTCCCTGCTTGCCTCCTAGTAGGTGCTAGGCTGTGGAAGCATTCCAAACTTGGCGACCCTCTCTAGCATCCTACGGTGCTTTACGGACAGCCTTGGCTCTGCACCATGGACAAAAGCGGTGATGGGCAAATGGGAAAGGGAGGGGTGGGATTTGGGGTAACGCTGGGGGGTGTAGTAATAGCACGGCACGCTGGTCGTCTTTGTTGCAGGGAAGATAATGGAGAGAACAAGGCACGGATGAGAAAAGAGGCTCGGTGAGCAAAGACAGCAGAGTCGAATGGTGACTATCATGGACGAAGTATGACGCCAGCAGACAGCCTGGTGCTCAAACTTCGGCCGTTTTATCGCACAGGCACATTCCCTACTCGTACTTGTGCAATACCTTGGCCAAGGACTGCAAGGGTGCCTTTTTGCGAAGTTTACGAGATACGACGAAGCTCTTGGTCTTGGTTCTTCCTTTTGCCATATGCCATATGCCAAATGACGAACAGTGCAAGGAGGTACCTTGTACGACGGGTACTCCGTACACGTATTTACATTGTATTTATGCGCAATGATACCATTGTCCACGACAAAGATCCCCTGCAGTAGATCAGCGTCAAGCGCGCTTGTGCCGACAGACAGCAGTCCTGCCACCTATGCCTGGAGCGGTATAGCAGTAGCCTGATTATAGAAGCATGCGGCGCACAAAGGATTGAGAGGATTGCGGGCTCGACTGCGATGCGAGATAGCCCACGATTGCCTCTTGCGGCTGCTCGCAAAGAGGCCCTAGTACCAAGTCGGGACGTCTTAGTAGAGCTCCCCTTGCTTGGGACTACGGATGTCGGTGCAGACGATGGTTCGCTCGCAGTTGCGGAATTCCAACGGCTGGGGCTGCGTGAAGCTCCGGCAGGCCTGGGATTCTTTTGGTAGGATGCAGGTAGGTGTTCCTATATGAAAAATCTGATTCTGGTAGTACGCAGCAGTGCCTGGGTGTTGGATTGTCTATGTAGGAATCTTCAATGTTGATATAATACAGTATCATCCAATGGGGGAGAGGGGAGGATTGCTCTGTGTCCTTGGGCCCGCCACTCAACTGCGTACAGTACAAAATACAAGCACGACTACTACAGGCTGCTTAGCCCACAATTGTCGCTGCGGCCCCTGTACCTACTCGTACATGTACAAGTTCCATATCGAGCAGTCACATCTCGCTAGAACAACGTGACGAAGCGAGTTGCAAAGCCCTCAACCCCAAACGTCGCATCTACAAACAGCCACTCCGATTTCGCCACGAGGAAAAGATTGATCCAGCTTCAGCTTCAGCTTCCGACACCTGCCACCGCTCCCCGCTGCCTGCCAAGCAGAAACCTTGAAGACAATTACCCTGCCCCATTTTACTGCGGCACGGAAAGCGTTTCTGGCCGCCCGCAAAAAGCCCCCCCAACCCCCATTACTAATGGTCAAACTCTCGATTATCTCCATTGTCGTCCCAACTTGCCTCCGCAAACGCACCCCCTCGTCTCGTGCGAATAACCCTGCATCGTCGCCCTGAACCGTCGGCCGATCGCCCCGCGTCAGGACCCCGAAATATTTCCTCACCAGTCTAGCTCTGGCTGCTGCTGTCCAGCAGTTGTAGACAAAGCCTCTACGCCTCTACACCTCTACGCACCCCGCGCATCTTTTGCTCTCTTATATTCACCCGCAGACACAAGACAAGATGGCTGCTGCGGCCCTGGATAACGCCAACCCAACGATTCTGAGCGCCTCTCAGCTCCCAACTCGGCAGAAGCGGTCCGCTCCGCGCAATGGGCCTGACTGTAGATATTCGGACCTGATCTTTGCTAAGCCGTCATACATGTCTCGGCCCTTCTTGCAAGACGACGACATCCGTTATCAGGATGACACTGCTACGGCAGTGGCTTGGTCCCGCTTCGGTGCCGGCTCAGGAGCTGCTGCTGAGGACGATTTATCGGCCGAACCCATCGACGAGCAAGAGATCTACGGTATGATTGCGACCCCCAAATGTTTTACATAGCCTTGAGCCTCCTTGGCCATCCTTCCACCCTGCTGCTTCCTAATTGATGATGTCTTTGATCCGTGCGTCTACGTCTTTTCTCCCATGTGCACAGTCGGCGTTTCAAACTGAAGACCGATGTAGCCTCCCCTGACATGCCAAACCCGTTTTGTCAAGATCATGCCACCAACTGTCAGTTCTGGGGAATTCTCATGTCTTTAGCTGCTTACTCTTGGCTCATTTGAGTTGATGGCCAACAAAGAAGAGGGAGGAGGGAAACGTCCCCTGCGCAAACGGGCATGGCGGACTACTCCCCAACAACTACATCTTGAGATGCCCCTTGAATATTCTCGTCACATCACGTTTGCCTTGGCTCCATATGCTACTGCTGGCAGAATTTGACAGTACTGACATCCACTCCCAGACCTCATTTCTAGCATAACGGATCCGGAACATCCCGTATCGTTGGGTCAACTGTCCGTCATCAATCTCCCTGACATTCACATAACTCCCTCTCCAGCTCTCGGGGTGCCAAGTCCAAACACAATTGTCCAAGTCACCGTCGAGCTTACTCCCACCGTCACCCACTGCTCTCTCGCTACCGTTCTTGGGCTTGGCGTGAGGGTCCGGCTGGAGCAGGTGTTGCCTCCGAATTACCGCGTGGAAGTCATCTGCAAGGAAAACAGCCACAGCCAAGATGACCAAGTGAACAAACAGCTCAGCGACAAGGAGCGTGTCGCAGCGGCCTTGGAAAATGACTCGTTGAGGAGTGTCCTGGACAAGATGCTAGAGTCTTGCCTAGAGAATTGAATTGTTCAATCTCGAAAGGAGAAAAACCGGCCGGTCAAGATGTTTTTGTGCCCGCTTGGTTTAAAGCGTGTATGCTAGTGCTCGCATTTTGTGTCACCACGTGTCTCCAGGTCTCTTAGGCCTCGAACGGCCAATCCAACATTTCGTGATATTACGCCCATGGGCAGCTTACGAGAATGGGTTTTGTAGGTGTCACTAGGGTATCCATAACAGATTGTTCGTGGAGTCAAAATGATCAGCATCCGAGAGGCCAGATGAGAAAGCTTTGACTACAGTGAGAGCTTTACTGGCAGCGCGACTGCAAGGAGCGGCCGCGTGAAGTAGCAACTACCACTACACTGATACTGTTGAGACTACCATGTGGTGGCTGAGGTAGCTGGCCTGATATTCGCCGAACAACCGATAACGGCCGCAATGAGAACCGATGAAAGCCAATATTAACACTGGCAGCGAACTCGAACTGGATCAGAGCAGAATATTTTGGGCGTGTTTCTTAATGGCGTGGATTTTATGAATCATGACTTGTCTTGTTTGTGTTTTCTTCTTAGACGTGGGGCCGCGGAAACTTGGCTGGCTGACTTGTGAGAATGACGCCCCGTTGTTAACTCCGTCAGATTGCACGGGCTGTGTTCTGGACTTTCCCAAAGAGCCGCCCTTAGTATTACCACGAAGCCCAACGCAAGCCCATCGCAAACTTCTTGGCTGTGGAATATCGACCTTGGTTGGAGAACAAGGCTTGAAAATATACGAATCTCGGTTCCCAAAGAAATCTCCGTCATCGGCCCAATGGAAGCTCGCCATTTCCCGTGATGGCCAAATCCCGTGTATCCGTACTTGTATATAACCCATTGCAACCTTGGGAATGAAACCCAGTGATGGGCAAGCAAACAAGCAGGGGATGCTTCAGATCTGTGGAAGTCGCCGAAAACGAATCTAGAAGCCAATACTGAGCTGGCTTACAAGTACTAGATGAATACCACAGCCAAACGAGCTTCCCTGCACATCTGGACGCTAAATGCCGACCTGACAGGCTATTGTGGCCCGATCCAATGTCATCATGCCGGCAGTAACTGCTAGCACGGGACATGGGCGTGCTACTATGTAAGATGCTGCAAAGTGCTATAAGCAATACACCACTACCTTGGTTATGGACCAGCCTGTTGCTCATTTGATCTGTCAAGTATGTACTGCTGATTGTGCTTACCTAGTGCTGCACAGTACCTTTTGTAGTACATTAGCTGAGAGCTGCTTCTGTACAAAGGCGGTGAGCCCTGTCAGAGCAGCCAGAACTTGACCTGTCATTCTTGAATCATGTCACGTACCCTGGCGACAGACCAACAATGTCAGTCATCTGCAGCAGGGGATGTTTACGGCAGCAACCAGCGAGCGACAAAAGTAACTTTTGCACGTTGGCGACGAACTCCTGCATGAAATGGGACGGTCGGTTGGAGGCAGCACTTGCGATTTGCTGTTGGTTGTTGGTTGGTTGTTGGTTCTGCATCTGCATCTGCATCTGCATCCATGTGCATTTGCATCTGCATATTCGTACTAGTATTGCTAGTACACCACCTCTTTTCTCTTCTTTTCTTTGAAGGGAAAATGGCGTTGGCAGGGGGTGCATATACCGTACCTACATGTACTACAGTACCCTCTTATCCGTAGTGCAAAAACTGCAAACTGTCCTCTAGAAAGCCAGAACAAACATCTTGGTCTTGTTAGGTCTCTCTATTTTTTTAATCTATTTTATGCTAGGCTCATGGGGTGCTTACAAACGCTGTATCTCGCTGACTGACTCGCAACCTCCTGCTGGACGCCCAATCCGTCTTGTCCCTTTTATGGCAATGTGGAGATGAGATGGAGGGATATGCGCTCTGAGCTTCTGCCGGACTGGGGGTTGGTTTTCTGAGATGAGATTACTGGATGTGATTATGATAGATCCCTTTTGGGCGGACGTTTGATTGATCACCGGCATGTTACAGTACGCTTTTTATCCCGGATCAAAAAAGATGACGAGCAAGGCAAGATTTGTATGTAGTAAGGGTAGCCAGCTACCTTGACCTTGTCTGCTAGGCAGTAGTAATACGACTCCATGTTAACTGGAGAATGTACTCGTACTAATACAGACGAACACAGAAAACCAAGCATGGGTCCCCCCATTCCCAAAAGCGCTGCAAAGCTGCAATGGGGGCATCGCCATTCTTCCACCAATCATGCGCAGCTGGCCAGACGAAACAGAGCGTACCTCATTGGCGATGGTGATCTCATCTTTGTCTTCATTAAGGTGTAAAAAAAAATAATCTAACATCTGTGCTTTCGCCCTTCCTATATACCTACATACTCCGTACTGCTGCTCCTCGACGGCTTTTGCGTGCATTTCCAATCTCCTCCCTCCCCCCCCCCCCCTTTTTTTTTTTCTTGCTTCCAGCCGCTGTGATATTCCCTCTAGTGCATTCTTGCCCTTCCTCGAATTATATATAGCGGACATGGCAGCATAGATAACCCAACATGTGCCGAGCCACAATTTCGTAATACGGCGCAGATTCTCTTTATTGTTGTCGGAAAATAAAATTTACGCATCACCCAGCATCCCGCTCTCCATCAAGCTCTGGTAGAATTCCGGTTCCAGGAATGTCTTGACGCTGACGTCCTCGCTGAGGCCCTTGCGCCGCCTTGTCTTGAGCACAAAGTCTCTGGCCGTGGCCTGCGCCGAAGCAGGCTGGAGCGGCCTCGTGACTTGATCTCTGTCGAGCGGGTCGCCGGGGACGATGCTCCAGCTGTCAAACACCAGGCTGACCATGGAGCCGCCCTGGGTTTTGATACGTAGATCCGTCTCGAAGCCGAAGCTGTCGATGACGGGGATGAGGCCGTTTACGCGGTAGAGGGGTGTGCCGGCGACGGGGCCGTCGGATAGAACGTGGCCGCGGCGTCGGGCGAGCACATTGTAGACTTCCATGTAAGAGTCTTCCGGCCCGGTGACGGACACGGAGTAAACGGGCTCCATGAGACGAGGAGAAGCCATGAGGAAGGATGAGTAGCATGCTCTCCGAGAAGTGGGAATGATTTGACCACCGCCGCGGAAAATGGCCTCGTTGGCCAAGACCACGTCTGTAACTTTGAATTTGGTGTTGCGGATGGCTATTAACGGCTGTTAGCGAATGGTCGTCTACACAAATATGATGCTTGAAAAATAAGGAAGCAGATGGAACACGTACGCTCTTCGCAGAGGGGACCTTCACGAGTAGCCCAACTGAAGCCCTGTCTGATGGACTCCTTGACAGTATTCAGCAGCTTCTTATCGACCTAGTGTGAGGAAAAGAAACAATCGTTAGCAGCTTGTTCAAGCAGAGGCCCAAGGTTACGTGTTAACTTACCTCAGTAGGCAGGGTGTCGTCCTGAAGAATGTTGGGCCCCATCTCGTCAGGACCAAAAGCCCAAATGCTCCTGGCCGCCAACTTGTCCCAGCCGTGGTTTTCTTCAAAGAACTTGGCCGTTTTCCGTACGGGGTCTCGTATTCTGACAGCACCCGTCTCGATGTCCGTGGATATGCCCTTCTCCAGCTGCTCTGCCACCATGGTGATCTTGTTCTTCTTGTTCGGCGTGATGGCGTAGCACTTCGTCGCCGAAGTCTCCACTACTGTCTCACAGAATCTTGTTACTGGATCTGATACCTTGATATCCATGTCGGCATATAACCGCCGCAGATCGTGCAAAACGCAGTCCATGTAGAGCTCTCCTGTTCCCAGGATAATGTGCTCGCCAGATTCTTCGACTTTTGTGTTGATGAGGGGATATGACTTTTGAACCTTGCGTAGTCCGTCAAGCATCTTGGGGAGCTCGGAAGGATTGATGGGCTCGACAGCCACTTTGAGGACAGATTCGGTGAAGTGAGTGACAGGTCTAAAGATGAAGGCATCCTCATCATCGTCCAGCTTAGGAGGGACAATTGTCGCTGACTTAACGATTGAGTTGTCTACGCCTCCCAACAGTACCAAGTTACCTGCCGGGACGCCGTCTGTGGGAATGTTATATCTCGTCTCTGCGATAAACACTTCGCCAATGGAGGCCATTGTCATGTCTTCTTCGTCGTCAAGAGAATAACCTTCGCCGAGAACTCTCACGGAGGCACCAGGTCGGGCAGTGCCGCTCAGAACACGGCCAAACGAGTAGAAGCCCTTTGCATCCGAGGTGTTGAATAGCTTTGTGACGTGGACCACCAAGGGGCCATCCTGGTTACATGTCTTCATTGACTCTGCAACCTTTGTATCCAGAGGACCAGTGTAGTATCTCTCCAACAACCGTTGTGCACCCTCTGTGGGCGACGGGATGTGCTTTACAACCATATCGACGAAGCCCGATGAAGGACCGAAAAACTGCTCGCATACCAACTTGAGGATGACGTTTGCATCTGCCTTGTATTGTGATGGCTTCAGCTCAATGCCAAGCGAAGCCAAAACTAGTTTCAGCTGCTCCGGACTGTCACTGATGGAGTGTGTGAAGATTTTGTAGATGGGTTCGAGAATGAAGTGGACAAAGGATCTTGCAGACCTGTCTTCTGCCGGTTTGCGTGTGAAATTCCGCTTCTTTGGGTTATAGTAAACATCTCCCCAAAGCCGCTTAGCAAACTCATCTGCGTTGATGTCGCCGAAGGTGTCGGTATACATCTTGGCAAAGGAGGGCAGAGTGAAGCACCATCCCATGTCCGTGCAGGCGAATAGAACGTTGCCCTTCTCAGGACTTAGCCGCCGTGAAGCTGCCTTGGTTGGGATGGTGTTGGCAATGACTGTATTGACCTCCTCTACAACGTGCTTGAGCTTGAAGTAGGCGTCCTTGGGAGGCAGCTTCAGCTCCAGGATCAAACGATCCACCTTGTTGATGATGAGCGTGAGGGGAATGTCCTCCAGAACAGCATGCTTGATAATCTGTTCAGTGTTTACTTGGACACCCTCAACCACATCCACGACTAGACACACGCCGTCCACCAGCCTAGAAGCTGCTGCCACCTCATCTACAAAGTTGACGTGGCCAGGGGTATCAATGATGTTGAAGAGGTGCGACTTTCCCTTGGTGCTCTGAAGGACAAGGCTCATGGGTGCAGCCTTGATAGAAATTCCCCGCTCTCTCTCCAGCATGTGGATGTCGGTGTATCGTAGGGCCTCATCGCGCTTCTTGCCGACTCTCCGCTCAAGCCTATCGGTGATGTCATGAGTCTCCAGAACAAGCATGTCCATGAACGCCGTCTTTCCGTGATGCAGGTGGCCGGCCAGCGCAATGTTCCTTGTTTGCTCGGGGAAGTTCATCAAATCGGCCATGAACTCGCGATCGAAATAGACGGGGGGCAGGTCGACCTCCTCGATGTTGAACTTCTTCTGCTCGACCGGCGCAATGATGGGCTCTGTCAGAGGCTGTGCATCTTCCTCTTCTACTCGGGTCTCGACGTCGGCGCCATACACCTGCTCGGCGGTGGGGTAGTACTGCTTGTCCTCATGGAGGATGACGGCATTCGAAGGTCCATCTGCTCGGGGCGCAATCAATCAGCCATCTGTTTTACAAGTTAGATGTAGATGAACCTACCATCGAGCTCCATAAGCTCCTGTCCAGTGACACTGGGCGCCCCCTCGTGCTCATCGTCGTATGCATAGTCGCCCGCCTCGTCTCCAGCCTCGGACGCTTCCTCAGACTCAACCTCCTCCCCAATGAAGTTTCCGAACCTAGGGAGCTTGTTAGCAGCGCATTCAGAGCAAATCTTATCTGCAGAGGGCATTGATTCTTACTCATCGTAGAGGTCATCCATTTTGTCGTCGGTCTAGTCCAAAAGCCAAGGTCAATGGCGGGCGACGAAGTCAAGATGCTCAAGACACGGGTATCGTCGCAAGTCGCGTGTACCTGCTGTACCGACCGCCTGCCTGCCTTGTACCAAAACGGGTCTCTGGCAACTTTTTTTCTGCAGAGCAAAGCTGGCGGGAGCATATCACGTGGCGATATGCAAGGCTGAGGCGTATCGCATCTTATCTTATCGGCAGCTTCTTGCATCGATCCATCAATCCGCCAGGTGCCTGGCTTGTCTCTTAGTCAGCAGGGGTCTTGCTGCTCGAGGAGGTACAGGGTACTTTCTACTTCGTATTGCGCCGTACCCGTGTACTTAAGCCCTTGAGACTGACTCGGACTTTCAAGTTCAGCCCGGACAGCAATCTGCATCTTACCTGCATGGCCAACGATTGCAACCGTATCATTGGATCGGAAGGATTGAATAATTGTCTGCATGTCCGTTACTGATACTCTGCGCAGCAGAGATGTGTCTGACAACTTTACGGATACGGATACGGGAGGCCCTTGCTCGCATCTTCCTAGCGTAATCGCTCAGCACTACTATGTGGAATTGGCCCTGATGCAGATGATTGCGATTTCATCTCGATGGGGTAAAATTGATAACTATCAATGGATAGGGATTTATCAGCAGCCAGCAAGGGGCCTGTTGCTGTTGGGCATGGACGTTGAATAGTTGTAAATAGTAGGTACATGTACATGCTTCAAGTTTTCAATCTTCATCTTCTCCAGTAAGGTACCTAAGGTATCTAGAACCTTGAGAGGTGCCTGGGCATTTGCTGCTGTAGAATAAGGTACAGTAGTGTATGTAGTGGGCAGCTTACTGCCCAACATGGCAATTCCAGTGGATCACAACGGCGCAATTCCAGCTGGTTTCCAGCCAATGCTGCTCGAATGCGAGTACACTTTGGTGCTACCAAGTGGCGTACTGGGTACCTGGACAATGCGAGGCATGGAGGGGTTCCCTCCCAAGAGCCGAACCACGGCCACTAAGAAAAAAAGAATGCCCCTCTCCGCCGTCACTCGGCTTCAGGATAGGATACAGCACAGTAGCCGGCCAAACATTGTTGCATTGCGACGTTTGCGAGATCCAACAAGCCCTTGCTATCTTCGTCTTCGTCATCTCATCTCATCCATCCATCCGTCCAGCCTTGATCCTGCGATCCATAATTTCTCATCTCACCCGCGTCCCAGCACGTTTGCTCCCCCGGTCTGTCACTCCATCCGCCTCTTGGCCTTCTCTCTGCCTTGTAATCTGTTGGGCTGCACTACACTAGTATATATACCCCTTTGGTCTCGCTCACCTCCCCCATAGCCAATTCTTCTCTTTTCTTCTCTCCAATCCATCCCAAGGCCAATTCAATCCATCCCAATCCACCAATTCCTCCAACACTCCTCCAAAATGTCTGGCCTCCCCCCCGTTTACATCGTCTCAGCTGCCAGAACCCCCGTCGGTTCTTTCTTGGGGTAAGAGAAGAGACCTGCTTCTGTCTTCCCCTTGACGCGTTCTGTCTGATGCTGATCCTTCCATCTAGCTCCCTGTCAAGCCTGAGTGCCACTCAGCTCGGTGCTGCCGCCATCAAGGGTTTGTCTGCTCTCCAACACTGCTGCTTCTAGTGTCCAATTCTAACAGCATCACAGGAGCCGTTGAGCGATCTGGCGTCAAGCCCGAAGATGTCGAGGAGGTCTTCTTCGGCAATGTTCTCTCCGCCAAGTAAGCCCAACATGCCACGAATCCCACTCTCGATCGTATAGATGCTCATATTCCTCTTCTAGCTTGGGTCAGGCTCCCGCCCGTCAGGCCGCTGTCGGTGCTGGCCTTTCCAAGAACGTCGTCACCACCACCGTCAACAAGGTGTGCGCCTCTTCCCTGAAGGCCGTCATCCTCGGTGCCCAAAACATCATGCTCGGTGTCAACCACGTTGTCGTCGCTGCCGGTGCCGAGTCCATGTCCAACACCCCCCACTACCTGCCCACCCTCCGCACCGGCGCCAAGTACGGTGACCAGTCCCTCGTCGACGGTGTCCTCAAGGACGGCCTGACCGATTCCTTCAAGAATGAGCACATGGGTCTCCAGGGCGAGCTCTGCGCCGACGAGCACAGCATCAGCCGTGAGGCTCAGGATGAATATGCCATCAACACCTACAAGAGGGCTCAGGCTGCCACTGAGGCCGGTCTCTTCAAGGAGATTGTCCCCGTTGAGGTTAGCGGTGGCCGAGGCAAGCCTCCCGTTGTCGTTGACCGAGATGACGAGGTCAAGAACCTCAACGAAGCCAAGCTCAAGGCTATGCGCCCTGCCTTCAAGTCTGACGGCTCCATCACCGCCCCCAACGCTGCTCCCCTGAACGACGGTGCCGCTGCCGTTGTTCTGGTCTCTGAGGCCAAGCTCAAGGAGCTTGGACTGAAGCCCATTGCCAAGATTCTCGGCTGGGGTGATGCTGAGCGTGAGCCTGAGCGATTCACCATTGCTCCCGCTGCTGCCATCCCCAAGGCCATCAAGCACGCCGGCCTTACCCCTGCTGACGTCGACTACTACGAGATCAACGAGGCCTTCTCCGTCGTTGCCCTCGCCAACATGCAGCTCCTCGGCCTCACCCCCGAGAACGTCAACGTCTTTGGCGGTTCAGTTGCCATTGGCCACCCCCTGGGTGCTTCCGGGGCCCGTATCCTGACTACCCTGACCTCCGTCCTTGCGGAGAAGAAGGGCAAGATTGGCGTTGCCGGTATCTGCAACGGCGGTGGTGGCGCCTCTGCTCTGGTTATCGAGAACCTGCAGTGACTGCCTACCCCTGAATCAAATTCCGGACTGGGGCCGTCGAAATTATAAGCATTTATGAATATATGAGTCAATAATTAAAGCGAGGTAGAAAAAGCTTGGTTGGGCAAAGAGATTTAGACCCGCCCGCAATATATATACCGCCATACACCTACATGAGATTTGGCTGGGCTGGAGTTGGATTATACATAGGAAACGTTAAAAAAACAAAATACAAATTCAAAATTTTACATTTGCACAGTCTTCTCTTGCAGTAAGCAGACGATATCTTAGAGCTCCATCGCTTGAAGATACCGGGTCTAGAAAAACTTTAACATCTCGCCACACCTAAGCTTACATCGCTGCTACAACGAAACAGCCCATCTTAGTAACAACTCTGCGTATCAATTGAAGCTACACTAGAGCTACCTGTACAGAGTTTCAATGGGAATGAAAAAACATAAACGTAACCCAAGTACAAAGTAACATTGCAAAATGAAAAATTGAGAGCACGCTGCAAGATGAACTACTTGGCACAGAGCCCACCCTCGTTTGATAATCCTCTTCGTCGAGGGCGTTCAAGCCAGTTCTGTTTTCGTTTTCAGGTGCTCTTGCCATCCACTTTGCCTGCTGTACTTTTGTTTCATGCGAGACATTTCTTTTTGGTTTTCTTAAAAAAAAAAAAAAAAATTGCAGCCATGGAATAAAAGAAAAATTGAAAAGCGAAAAAGAAAACTTTAAAACACAAGGCGCAACCCAATTCCGCTCGAAGTATGCCTGCAGAGTCTTCCTTTCAAAGAGAAAAGGATAGGGGAGAATAAATCAACGACAACAAGGTCAAAAGAGTGGAGGGAGACAGCATCCCCAAAACCCCGGATCCATGCCCACATCCTCATTACGAACAGCTGGAGAGATTCCCTAATCCATATCCACATCTTCATTAGAAACAGCTGGAGAGATTCCCTCGTCCATCCACTTGCGGAAGTTCTTGTTCTGCTCTTGGACTTCCTCGGGGCTCATATCCTTGGCCCACACTGGGTTGTGCACCATCTTCTCAAGAAGCTTCAGCTCGCGAAAGTTGCTCAGCGTCTTGGTGAACTTCTCGCGCCGCTCGCGTTGCTCCTTGGACTTTGGCGCTTGGTCATAAATAAAGTACTCGGAAGTACCAGGTGCCCATATCATCTTGGAACTCTTGAGACAGATGCTGACAGTGAGGTTCTCCTTGTACGACACCGGTTTGGGAATGGAATCCTCGTCCGAGTCGGAGTCTCCGGAGGGCAGGTTGCGAGTGAGAACGACCTTCTGCAGCTTTGATCGAGGAACACCTTCGGTAGGCTCCACTCGAATGAAGGAAGAGATGTAATATTGCCACCTCTCACGCAGACGCATTTCATCCATATAGAACGTCGTCTCATCTCGCTGGAGCCATCGAATCGTAGCTTCTGATTTCTGAGGGAACTAGAGTCAAGTGTCAGCAGATGGGAACAGAATATCAGTTAGACCTTCTTTTTTTTTTTGGTACAACTTACCCAGCAGATAACAAATAGATCGCCATCCTTGACACATTTCTCAGCGAATTTCCTCGCGCTGATTTCAGTCTGGTAGCTCGTTTCTTCTCTTTCTCGGTTGGCAATGTACTGCTGAATAAGATCCGGCGTCTTCTCCTTCGAGTCAAGGCTTTTGCAGGTCAGAGCCAGACGGCAAAGAGTCTTGAGCAGATCTTGAATAGTATACAGCTTCCAGCCGTTCTTCAAGTAATAGTGTCTCATGACATCCTGGTATCGGTTCTCGTCAATCTCGCCAGTAATGTAGTCCTCGATAAGCTCAAGGGTCTTGGGCCAAAACTTGGCAGGCTCTTCGTTGGGCTCGAAGAATGTCATGTGATTCTCAGTGAATCCGAGGTCTCTGGCGGGCTTAGGCTTGTTGAGGCGGTAAATCTCAACTGCAACTGCCTCCTTGCTGTCTTTGATATCCAGGAGTCGCGAGTACAGCGTCTGGAAGATGCTGAAGAAAACAAACATGGTTTGGTTGCAGAAAAAGTTGTACCACGGACGAGTGAAGAAGCCATCAGCTTTGAGCTCGCCATCGGCGTCCAGGAACGCATTATCGTTGTCTCCGACTACGACTGGCTTAGGGATGCTGGGCATCCATCGCTCATTAGACACCTCGGGGACGGCAGAGTCGTCGTTAGCATCAGCCATCTCTTCTTCATTGGCAGATCCGACCTCAGGAGTCGTCTCCTTGCTGCCAGAAGCCGCGCTGTCCTCTTTCTGGTTCCGTGGCTTGCTGCCGTTTCGGCCAGGGTCAAGAACCCCCCTAAGGAGATCACCCTTCTTTCCATTGCGGCGACTACGGCCATTGGTCAGCTCGGCGGGCGTCTGGTCTTCAATCTCTTCTTCGCCAGATTCAGGCTGCATCTTTGGAACTCTCTCTTGGACCACCTCTTCGGGGAGATCAAAGAAAGCAGGGATGAACGTCTCAAAGAAGTCCAGGATACGCTCCTTCTCTTGGCCGCTGTGCTGTCCATTGTGCATGCTATACAGCATCATTAGGCGCAAGAGGTCGAGAACAACCTCCTTATCCTTGAAATCCCAAACAAACTGGTGGCGAGGAGCTTTGCCCTTAAGAATGCGCTCGCGACGTTGTTCCTCATGCTTGGTCTTGATAACATCTACCAGATGCTTTGCCGTCAGGTTCCTCTTGTCTGTTGATTTGACCAGGATACCCATGTGGTCCAGACTCTTGAGGTGCATGTTGTGCGTTTGAGCATGCCACACCTTTTCCCACTCTCGCTGCGAAAAGCGCCATTCTTCGTCCTTTTGCTTCATACGAGCCAGAAGCACGGGGATTACGTCGAATGGGTTGGTATACATGTCATTGACGACATCAATGCCACGTTCTCCGTAAATCTTCTTGCAGATGCGCTTAAAAATGGAAGTGCTTTGGCCAGCAAGAGCAGAAGGCATGTGGAATGCCTCCCTTTCGCTGGGGGACATTGCAAGCATCTGTTGAGCAATAGGCTCGAGGAGCTGGATACACTTCAGATTTGCTTCAATATTGAAATCGTAGTCATGGCGCTCCTCTTCGATGCGATGAAGGCCCTCTTCAAACTGATTTTTACGGTGAGCGACAAAGCCCGAATCTTCACTAGCCCAGGTTGGATGTGACGCCCATTCGTCATTCAGGACAGAGTTGCAAAGCTCATCACGGCCGCTGCAAGGCTTAAGACGCTCCTATGATAACATGTTGGTTAGTTTGACCATACGCCGGATGGAAATGCATGCTTCGTTTGAGATTGCTTACCCTCTTTGGCAGAAGTCTATAGCTGGGTCCATAGCCCCGGCAGTTGCTCAGGGACACCTTTTCAAGAGGCGGTGCGGGCCTATTGTCGATGACCACATCTTGGGAGTCGACGCCAACAAACGCCTTCCAGAACGCCATCAAATCTGGGCTGGCGCCAATAAAGAGAGCACCTTTGTGATAAAGAGTATTCTTATCAATAATATTCTGGCTAAACAGGTTGCAAAGTTTCAGGAATTCGTTCATCGAAGACCGATTGCTAAGGAACTTCTTAACCCGCTCGAAGAAAGCAATCTCTTCCTGGTTTGAGGTTGCAGGAGAACGAGGGGGGTAAGGCTCAGGCATGACCGGCGTAAGGGTGGGTTCAATGGAGATGCCATCCCCGCTCCCTCTCGCGTGGCTGAGCTTCGGTCGCTTGCTGCCGTTGATGGTTTGAGGAGGCAGACGAGTTGAAACCGGGGGTTCAGTAAGAATTGAGCCGGGAGTTGGGGTTTGCTTATCAGTCCGCGGCCGCTTCTTGTTGTCTTTGCCAGCACTGACAGGCGGCGGAAAGCTTCCCAAGGGGGGCATCTTCTGTCCATCCCTCATGCCAGGCTGAGGCGTGTGACTAGATCCAGCAACGGCGCCGTCGTCCGGACGACCAGGAGGTGCCCGAGCCTGGCCAGCAGACTCTGGCAAGAACTGCTTAAAGTCCTCTAGGAGATCCGGTGCTGAGTTGAAGAGGGTCGTCACTTGGGCATACACATCTTGGATCGGTTTTTGCTCCCTCTGGTAAGTCTGAAGGATTTCGAGGAACTGTTTGTATATCTCTGGCTTATCCTGAAAGCGATTCTACGCAGAGTTGAATTAGTCAAAAGCTTGCAAGCTGACGCTTCAGCTATGGGCACTTACTTTAATCTTGTTGACATAACTGATGGCATGATTAAATTCAACAGGGCCCCGGCGTTCCATGTTTGCCGGATTAGCAGCCCCGCCGTTGACTGCGCCTGGACCAGAAGTAGGCATAGGCGTGTGAGCATTCCTTGCATTTGGTCCGCCAGGCGGCCCAGCACTTCCTGGCATTTGAGGGGGGTTGCGCTGTTGGTGACCCCCTGGGCCATCGAATGCGCCACCTTGAGTCGCAGCTTGGACGAACAAATTGGCACCATTCTGGACCGGAGTACTAAAGGCAGCTTCTGGGCTCTCAATACTATGCTGAGGCCGTTGTTGCCATTGGCTTCCACGTTCGGGGAACAAGGGCTGGCCACCAACAGCAAGTCCATGGCCGTCAGGCTGAGGGCCTCGCCCAGCGATGGACTGGACTGTGGTTCCCATGGGAGTAGTGACTCGAATGGTATTCGGATCGTTGCCGGCTCCACATTCTATTCGGTACCCAGGAGGGAGGAAGGTATTGAATCCTTGGATCAGATTTGGGTGCCCTGCAAATAATTCAGAGACCCGGTTGATAACCCCGGGTGTATCAATCCTGAATACATGTCAACGTCTGAAATCTACTAGAACCTTATACTTTACGTACGCCTGGCTCTTGAAGTCTTTCATAATGTCCAAAAAGCGGTTGTAGACATCGGGTTGGTCGTGGAACTGCACCTTGACTTGATCAAGGTAGGTAAGGGCATCCTAAAGAGATGGAAAATATTAGCCGCCGGCCAGCAGAATATTTAATAATCTGAGATTCAACGGCACATGAAAGTGATGATAGAAACCCCAAAGCTTGGTGTCATCGCGACAGGCCAGGATTAGACGTTCACCACCACCAACAAATGCTGTGACCACTTCTCGTGCCCCAGCTGGAAAATCGAGAAACGCTCGAGTTTGAAGCGCCACAGGGTCAACGACACTGGCCAAAGAGCGACCGGAGGGCAGTGTGATGGCCACCGCAGGGTATTGCTGTGGTCCATCCATGGCGATAATCGGGTTTAAGCCAGCGCTCAGGTTGTACAATGATGATAGAGTGGAGAGTGCAGAAGGTTTATGAGGTGGTCGCAACGCACGCAGGTTGCTTTGCAGAACAGTGCTGGATCGGGTCGAAGAGGAAGGGAATGGAGAAGGAAAAAAGAATGCTGTTGTACGCAAAAGGAGAAAAGTAATCAAGGTTGAGAGGGGGAGGGGAAGAAAAGCACGAGCAGCCAGAGTGAATCATATCTGACTTTCTCGTCACTTTCTGGCGGCTGGCTTTGGCAGCTGGCTGCCACTCTCCATCGGTTTTTCCCACAGATTTGAGCTCCATTCGACTTTGTGTTCACAACACAAAAAGAGGGGAAGAAAAGGCGAAAAACACCGGCAAGATGGAAAGAAATAAAAATCCCCTTGACTCACATTTAAAATAGGCTGTTGGCCCTGTGTGATGCCACCCGGCATTTGGTGCCCGCCAGGAGCCACACCAACCATGGCGGCATTCTGTTGACCTCCCCGGCCTCCATCTTGTGGATGCTGGGGCTGCAGAGGCCCGCCGAATATCCCACCGCCTGGCGCCGCCTGTGAGTTATTGGGAGGAGGTTGTGTGTGAGAGATCGATGGAAACATCTGGTGTTGCCCGTTGGCACCGCCCGGCCCGCCGTGCTGGATCGGCCGCCCGTGCTCATTCTGCAAAGGTCCGCCAAAGGTGCCCAAAGGCCCCGACGGAGCGCCGAGGGAGATGGGAGGCGCGTTGCCATTATGATTTGCGAGCAGTCCTCCGGGGCTGTGGATGGCACCGGAGATCCGCGAGGCCACCGGCTGGTGAATGGGGATAGAACCCGCGCTGCTTTGGTGCGGTGCCGGAGGGTAACGGTCGCTCTCTCGTTCTCGTTCGCGCTCTCTCTCCCGTTCTTGGTCGCGGCGAGCCATCTCTTCGTGCTGTTGAATGGCGCGATGTCGTTCGTCCATTTCGCGCTCCCGATCGTACGGCGCGCCGCCACCGTGGCCGTGGAGATTCTGGCTGTTCATGCTGATCTGCCGAGAAGGATTTTAAATTAGCAGAATTCAGGAGATAATCAACCACGGCTGCTCAAAAGACAATGCGAAAGTATAGAAGCTCGCCGGCAAGGGCGTATGTCGGCAGTTGACAGCTCCTTGTCAATGTTTGTCCGTCCACACCTCTAAGCCGGCTCAGGAGATTATTCGGAGGGCTGTCTTGGTCGCGCCAAAGCGGAATGAAAAAAACGACTTACAGCTTGTAGGCACAGCTGAGCCGATGTGCTCCTACATGGAATCCCGGATCCCTGAAGAAGACCTGGCCAGAGGAATGGCGCGGCAAAAGCTATAAGAGAAAAACCCTGAAGGGCACACAAACTTGTACCGGTGCAAACCTAGGTGTAAGTAGCTCCGAACTGAGAGGGTGACGAGATCTGACGGCCATCGCCTGGCCTTGCCGCGGAGGATTCTGCGTCACGTGGTGATAAGCGCTCTGAAGCGGAATTCATCCCTCGCAGCTGGCGTTTGGCAATCGTGGATGGCTCGGATTATTGTTTGTCCCTTATCTGATTCTGAAGCAGCGGAATTCGGCGCCAGCGGTGCGACATGATATCATGCAGCCCACCAGAGAAGCGCAAACAACTTAAGCTAGAGGGCATGCTAGTATGTACAGGGTCCACGAGTAAAGTCAGAGTCAGTTATTTCTCTCCCACTCTCAACGGCACTTTGGCTGGAAGAATCCTGCCTGTGTTTTGTTAGTAGTACCTATAATTTCTCACTTACTCGTACCGCCATTACCTAATTACCTATGTACCAGGCAGTACTGTGGACGCATGTAGATGAATCCTTCAGGACCCAACGAGAAGACAGTAGATGCTACAGCAGGTGAGACAGGATCCAAGTATAGTAGCTTCTGCTAGGCAGCACCCTAGAGCAAAATTGCTAGCATGTACCTTGGTGGCCGTTCAATTCTCTCGTATACGAGTACAAGGCACGTTCCTCAGGGAATCCGAATTGACTCGTCCCAGCTGCGGAGCGCCGGTAAGTCGATAGCTCCTAGGGAATTTATCAGCGGCAGGCTCTCAAACACTCCAGACCCCCGCCAACATGGCTGAACTTAAACTAACTTAACCCAAAACAACTTTTGCGACAACTCTTTGTGAATCACCTCACGGCCCCAAACTGTCCCTTTGCACCATAACAGAACCCCCCCTATCATTACCCTTTTGATCTCCAGCCATGGATTTCAACAGCTCGTCGCCCTTTCCCGAGGGAGTCATCTCCTTCCTGGACACGGATCTGTATAAGCTGACGATGCAATGCGCCGTCTTCAAGTTCTTCAAAGACGTGCCCGTGACCTATGCCTTTACTAACAGAACCCCCGACAAGAGGCTGTCCAGGGCCGCTTTCAAGTGGCTAGAGGAACAGATCCGAAGTGAGTCCTTTGTCCCCGTTGCTCTTCCTTGAGCTGCACGATGCGTATGTATGTACTGACTCATCTCGACAGAGCTCGGCAACATCTCCCTGTCTGACGAAGAGTACCGATTCCTGCAGGAGCACTGCAAGTATCTGACTGCTGACTACCTCGAATTCCTCAAGGAGTTCCGGCTGCGACCTCGAGAGCAGGTTCTGACAACCTTCAGCCCCGTCGGAGATGATTCGGGCTCGGATTCGGACGTTGGCGACGTCCACATGGAGATCAAGGGCACGTGGTCCGACACGATTCTTTATGAGATCCCCATATTGGCATTGACATCTGAGGCCTATTTCCGCTTCATGGACACGGATTGGAATTACGAGGGACAAGAGGAAAGGGCTTTCGAAAAGGGCTTGCGCCTGCTGGAGGCTGGGTGCACCACTTCCGAGTTTGGAACCCGTAGACGTCGCGATTACCACACCCAGGCGCTGGTGTTTCGCGGTTTAGTCAAGGCGTCTAAGGAGGCGACCGCAAAGGGCTTTCCTGGCAAGCTGACGGGAACGAGTAATGTACACCTGGCTATGCGTTTCGGCATCCCTCCTGTCGGAACTGTGGCTCATGAGTGGTTTATGGGAATTGCCGCCATAACCAACGACTACACCAAGGCGACAGAAGAGGCCCTGCGCCACTGGGTCAGCTCTTTCGGTAACAATCTGGCCATTGCTCTGACAGACACCTTTGGCACGCAGGAGTTCCTCAGGGCGTTTAGCTTGCCCATTCGTCCGGTCGACGGCGGATTCGGCCCTGAAGTCTTCCAGAAGGCCGACGGAAGCATGAAGACATATGCTGAAATGTTTGCAGGAGTGCGACAAGACTCTGGAGATCCTGCCGAGTATGTCAAACTGCTACGTGACTACTATGATGGACAAGGCATCAAGGACAAGAAGATTATTGTGTTTTCAGATTCGCTCAACATCGACCGTTGCTTGGAGTATCTGGAAGTCTCTCAGAAGTACGGCTTTCAGCCTACATTTGGTGTTGGCACCTATTTGACAAACGACTTTACACACCTCAAGACCGGCACAAAGTCTGTGCCGTTGAACATTGTCATCAAGCTCAGCTCAGCTGCTGGTCGGCCAGCTGTTAAGATTAGGTGAGTGATTCGTGGAGAGCCACTAGTCATCTAACAACGTCTGTATAATTCGACAGTTGACTTACTTGAAAATTTAACAGTGACAACGCTGGCAAGAACACCGGCGATAAGGAGATGGTTCAAAAGGTCAAGCAGCAGATTGGCTATGTGGAGCAAGAATGGAAGGACGGCGACGAGACTGCACGATGGGGCAGAGAAGGAGATGCCAAAGCATAAATGACCTATGCCCAGCGGATTCAAAGCGGCGGCCAATGTTTTATTTCTGGTTACAAAACAACACTGGATACACACACTCTTGGAAAGACTTTGGGAACTATTTCAGCTATACCTGTGTTCATTATATACCCTATAAAGATAGACAAAAGATACGGGCCAAGGCCAAAGGTAAATTCTCTTGTGCCCACTAGCCACAGAGATGGGAATGATGTGAGTGTGCTCATTTGCAACATTTGCTCCAAGAGAGGGCGGTGTTCTGTTCAATTTAGCAAGATCGTAGAGATACATGGGAAATGGGCGTCAAATGTCCATCAAAACTTATACACATCGGTCCAAGTCATATCATGAGGCTGCCACATTGTTTTCTATAGCATACACAAATTACCGCCCACCCATGCCATCCTTCCATCCCAATTACTTTCATCTTCGTGACCGCCAACTCCCTAGAAAGCATTGTCATCACGATCCCCCCTTAAACGCCAGAGTAATGCCAAAAAGCACAATCGAGAAACAGGTCTAAAGAGTGCTTTTGAGGAAGGAAGGAGAAAAAAAAAAAGGTATCATGTGTGCGAATTCCACAGTCTTCCATGCGTAAAATCAGGAACCCTCCCACGTTCGAATTGTATTTTTTTTTTAAACAAGAGTTTGTTATGATATTGAACTCTTGTTCAACATCATCGCGCTTTGTCGGATAGATGAGACTTTCGGGTTTTCCTAATCATCATCTCTCTAAATCATCCGTTCAGCTGCTCTCTCCCATACGGACAGCCTCGCTTCAAGATGGAGGAGGTTGTGATGGCTGAGGCTTTCTGATGATTTTAATCTTGGGGCGCGCACTCGGAACAGCTGCTGGTGCCGCTGGTGCCGCTGGTGTAGCTGGTGCCGCTGTTTGACTTGGCACTGGTGGAGTAGCAGATTTGCTAGGCGACTTGCTTGGTGATTTGCTGAGCGTTTTTGGCCCAGGCATTGGGGGCCGATGCTTTGCGAATATTTTGCTGGTCGTAGAACCTGGGAGACTCGGCAATGAGCCACCTGATGGCAGGGGCTTTCTCACTATATCTCCAGAGGGTAGCGGCTTACGCGGAGGCTTTGGCGTATTCAAGTCCTTGGCTAACCCGAAGGAATGTTGTTCCTTGGGGGCTGCAGAGGGCAGGGCGGTCCTGCCAGGCATGGCAGAAGCAGTTGAAGCACTCTTCGATACGCCAAGAATAACGGCAAGCCGTTTCGGATTGGAAGTTTTCAGAGTGACAATGTGACGCTTTTTCGGGGGAGCACCAGGAATCTTGTCGAGATTTGATGGCTGTGACTCCACTTTGGGTCTCTTTGATGCCGGGACGCTATCGCCCTTTTCTGGTCGAGGCCGCTTAGCCAGTACGCCTGCCTGAACATCCGATTTGATAATTGGTTTGGAAGGGGTGCCATTGCCGTTGACCGGACGGGAGGCGACAGAAGCAGCAACTATTGTATCACTAGGGGGTGTTGAATTTGAAACGGGCGTAGGCCGAGGCGATGGTAATGGCTGTGCGGCCTTCGTATTGATCTTGATTGATGATGCCTTGGGTAGGGGTGGGGGCAATTTTGCCTCGGGCATAGGGGGTCGCGGTGGAGGAGCTGCATTCTTGAGCTTCGTCTTGTAATAAGACTTGAAATTCATCATCAACTATAAACAGTTAGTAAATCATCTACTGGGAAAAGGTGGCAGGAAGAATTTCTGGTAACTCACCCGATCCGAGAGCTGCTGTACCGGCCGCTCCACCCTCCATCCTTTGGGCAGATTAAGAGTGAGCACCCAGCTTGTAGCTTCTTCGAACATCATAGCTGCCAGTTCAAGAAGGGATTCTATTTCAGCTCGTCCGAGGTTGGGGTGATCCAACGCCTTGCGCATAGCAGTGCTGTAGTGCCTCTCGTCGGTAGCATACGTCTCTTCCATTTCCCTTCTCAAAGCCTTGAGCGCGGCATCCAGATTTTCCTTTCGAGCAAACTTTTCCTTTCTGGCAGCAACTTCTTCTGCACTATCTTGAATAAGTAACAAAGCATCTGCCTCATCCGGAGCAGGCTCATTCTTAACAGCCTTTGAGTATTCACCGAATGCAATAGATGCAAGCCCTCGAGCCACCGCCTGGATAAGCTTGTCGCGAACAAAGGGTGATCGATCCGTCATGAGTGAGTAAAATAAAAAGGTAAAGACTGTTGGATCCATAAGTGCCCCAAGATCAATCAGAGCCTCAAAGCATTTGATACGAATAAGATCATGGGTTCCATCCAACAAGTATTGGCCAAAATCGGCGTAATTTATTGGGATTACCTCTGCCTTCATGAGGCGCTGCTTGGCATCCAACCCAGCGATGGTCCATATGTTTTGATAGGAGTTTGTCCACTCGTCACGCCTGAGAACTCGTTCAATCTGCTCCATTGCCTCGTCGAGAAACTGACGTTCCTCATCGGTGGGCACTTTGACCTGGCGTTTGAACCACTCATCCGCCTGCGCCGGAATGAGGGAGGTGGCCAGCGATTCAACCAGCATCGCAATATAATGATGGTCAGAATAAGGGTTATTCTCATTGTTATTGAAGAGCAGTTGGTCCAAGATGAACTGTCGGGCCTCGAATGGACAGTAGTTTGTGCCATCCCTAACTTCAGAAATAGCCTTGATGATTGAACAGCGGACATTGTACTGTCTCTTATCGGAAAAGTCGTTTTGAAGAGGTTGGTTGGTTTGGTCATAGCAAAACATGTCGCGAAAAGCCCGCATCAACTGTCGCAGTCCAAGCATCGGTATATCTTTGATGTTGGCTTGCCTGGTGAGGGCTTGCGCTGCCATGGTCCGAATACCATGGAAATAGCGGCGATCAACAAGCGTTCTCACGAGGAACCCCGATGCGATTGGATGAAGAGGGCCAGTTGACAGATACAACATTGCATCTTGTTGAGCAACAACGTCTCTATCTTGCTGAAGTTGGGACACATACATGTACGGCTCGAGAGTTCTGTTCATGCTGCATGCCCACTCGAAGTCAGCATCGACACGGATCCACTCATAAGACTCTTGGTCCATCTTGCGCTCGGTTTCCGGGTCCCATTCTATCAATTCCCAGTCTCGAAGATCCTCTGGGCTTTGAAGGACATCTCCGAGACAGTAAAGAAGGGCGTCGTCAGTGTTTTCAGGTATCTCCATGCTCGCGCCTGCGTTGTGCTTTTCCTTCATGCGACGCGTCCGCTTTAGACGCTTATACTTGGTGTTATAAGGAATCTCAAACTTGGTAGAACGAGTTGCATCCTCTCGAATTTCCAGAATGTGCTCATACGGCGTTCCATCAGCCTCGTGTATGCGAACAGTCATGGGTCCAGTAAACAGTGGCTGCACTTCACCAGTCTTGAGATCCGCCCTTCTCTCTTTGATAGCTCTCAAGAAGTCGTCCCTGCTGAGTTCGGTTTTCTTGCTAGTTTGATGCTGCACCTGTATAAGCATCAACTCGACACAAAGCCTCTTCTTATTGAATTTGGCCTTGACATCGAAACGCGGGCAGCCAGAGCCGTATACCCATTGGTTCCAGAAGCTTTCGAGGCGGTATTTGGCAGCCTTTTCGCACGTAGCTCTAAACTTTTCGGAATCCAGAACGAGGAATTTGTCACTCCCCTCAATCTGAGCCCTGGTCAAATGTTTCTGCAGGATGCGAGTCAATCCGTGGCCACCGGACGCTTTGCTAAGCCGCTTGTCAAGGATAAAAAACACAATTGGTGCTTTCAGTGCCATGAACTCCATCTCAAATTCGCCCAAGTGGAGGTTAGGTCCAAGATCTGCCAGTGAAGGCCGATTGACATCCAACTCGACAAGCTTGTCCGCCATCATCTTCATTCGGAATCTGTAATCATTGTTGCCACAGAGCTTCTTCATGAACAGATCCGTCATGTAATGAGCGATGCCAACCACGAGCCACATGTCGTTGCGCGTGTTGGGAATCATGTTGATTCCAATCCATTGAGAGGTTAAAGTGTGTACAATTTTCCTCGTCGTCTCAATCTCCGGATCAATAATATCCTCAGGATACAACAATCGGTTGCTGATGAAGGCCAGGGAGTGCAGTGCTACCGTGTCCTCAACCATGTCGTCGAGGAAGCAGACTTTGAAATTGCCAAATGGGTATTTGGCAAAGGTATAGGTAAAGAAGTCGGCAGCCATAGTCAGGGCTGCAGCAGTATTGCGAACCCAATCGGCTCGGTTGGGCAAGCAGTAGGCGTGAATCTTCAACGCACTCATCCCAAGTTTCACCTCATCCTCCTCGGTTCTGGACTCTGATGAGAGGTTAATATGTTCAAAGGGGCCAATGGCAAAGCCAAGCTTTTGCACAGAGACTTGCTTCTCCGGCTCAAATATCATTATCTTTTTGTGGTCGTCTTCGGGATCAACTGTCTCTTCCATAAGGAAACCAGAGCAGACAACAGACATTTCTCGCAGCTTGTCTTCCTCGGCAAGTTTGAAGTGTAGGTCATTGCCATCAGTTTGCGCTTTGTCCACGCCGTTGTGAGACGCTCCATCTTTCTTGGTTGCGAGAGCCTGTTGAAGGGCATCACCAAGCGTTCGCGGATATTTGATGGATATCCTCCAATCACACCGAGCGCCATGGTCGTCAACACAGGGGAATATGCAGCACGCAGTTCCCGGCTGGATCGAATGGCGAGTGTACATGTGTGTAAATCTGTTGTCCAGCGGATCGACACCAACAAAATGCAGGCCATCTCTGGGATTCTTGTTCGTAAACGGTATGGTAATCTTGAATTGCTTGTGGGATTTTTCCACGGCATCCAGATTCGACATTGATTTTCTTATAATCAACCTTGGTCGTTCCTGCTCTCCTTTGCCACGGAAATTCACCTTGAGCGAGCCGTAAGCCGGCGTAGAGCCCTCGAATCCTCTATTTTCGGCGGGTACGTCGGTTTTGCGGCTGTGAAAAATCGAACGGGCGCGGATACGCCGCAGATCATGATGGTCGGCCCTCCAGTTCCAGCCCTTGGGGTGTGCGAGTTTCTGGTAGGGATCGCGGTATTCAGCAGTCACCTTACGCTTCTGACCTTCGACGGCTTCCCCATCTATCTCTCGCATTTCGGTAACGGTTATGTTATTTGTGTCGATTTCGCACTGGGCAGCGTCGAGTAAGATTTCTTCGACGGCTTTATCGACGAAGGTAACAATAAAAATATTCGTCGTGCCATCGATGCGTCGATCTCGAAAGTTGACCTCGAGATTTACTTCCTGCTTGAAAACAAAGTATCCGAGGATCGACCGGTCTTCAATGGGAGGGAGGCCATCTCGCCCATCCAGCAGGGGATGCTGCGATAACGCCTGCTCCTCCATGTCGGGCGTTGAGTTGGAGCCGCTAGGAAGTGTAGTCATGGCGATGGTAGCGAGAAGTTGGAGAGGGGGGAGAAGTTGAAGAGCGGCGCGGCTCCAGCGAGCTTAAATTGCAAAGTCACTGCATCGAGGTCGGTACATTCGTCACGGGCGCATCTGAGACGAAAGTAAGTGCTCTCAGATCAGCGTCAGGTTCATCGCATTAGGTTCCGTCGTCGCTAATGGCTGAGGCTGGGGCTGGGGCTGGTCGCAAGGGGCCTGCGGCGGCAGAAACGGCGCCGCTGAAAAGAACACGAGCTGATATACCTAAATCGCAAAACTCCGGTGCGTTGAAAAGAGAGACGCTGGAAAAGCAGAAGGAATATAGCGATACTCGCAGTTTGTTGAACAAATTGTTGCCAGAGGTGGCGCGCGTCGAGAGAGAAGCTCAGGGAGCACGGACCAGCTCGCAGCCCATTGTGGCTTCCGACTGGCTCAAACTCACCTCTCCACCAACGCCGCAAAATATCCGGTATAGGCCGAGTTCAGTGACGCTCCTAGTCTAGTATATTTTTCCTTCCACAGTCACGCTCATACTCTCGCGTTGTCAAAGCTAGTTTTTTTGGGTATATTCCTTTTCTTTTTTTCCATTTTTAAAAACTTTATTCGTCCCAGCCTAGGTTTGCGCACCTTCATAATCTCTGATGCATTAATGCTTGGTATGATGACCCCCATACTGCTAATCTTACATACATGAGCTACTTAAATCTCCTCTCGATGACCTTACCCGCCAAACGCCCTGCAAATCAGATCCTTCGACGCCATTGGTATTTTGTTCTTCCAAACCTCCCCGGGTGACGCCCGTAGCAATGATTCCAATGTTATTTCGAAGTCCGCCGCTCTCGCCTATCTCTGCGCTTCTTCCTCTCACGAGCCTTTAGTGTTTCCTCATTCCGATACTCCTCCGGCAAAACGAAGTCGGCTTCAGGTATGTCAGGGACTGGGTGGCCCCAGGCAAGGACTTTTCTACCAGCTCGTCTTTGCCGGTTGAGCGCGCTCTCGCGCTCGTACTTCTTGGTGAAGAAGGACTTGAACTCCTTGGGGGGCTCTGGGGGCCTTGTTGGAGGTGTGGGTTTGTTAGCAGGCCGTGACCTCTTGGAGTTTGCAGCCGCTAGTTTTGATCTCGCCCTGGCCTCTCGTCGCAGTTGCTTGGCTGGCGAGGACGTCTCACTAGCATCGTCTTGCGAAGGCTCATCCTCTTCAGCCTCATCTTCTCCTTCATCCTCTTCGTCGTCGTCGTCGTCATCATCATCACTCTCCTTAGAATAGCTATCCTCCCTTTGTTGCGATTCTTCATCGCTATTGTCTGTTTCATCTTCTTGCTCCGCCTTTTCCGCGAGAGCCTTCTCTTTCTCAAGCTTCCGCCGCTTCTCCTCCAGATTCCAATTACGAAATTTGGCCAGTATAGCCTGGCAGCCCTTGATGAAGTGCATCCTAGCCGGTTCAAACTTCTTCTTCTTGGTCTCGGTAACGCCACTGACACCCATGACCCTTAGCCAGTCGTGGCCTTGGAGGCCCTCGAGGAGCCGGATGATTTGGTCCTTTTCATGCTGTGCACGACCTTTTTCAGTATTGCGGATCGACCGTTCAACCCTCTCTGCCTTTTTATGAATCGGTTCAAACAGAGCATCAGGTAAGGGATCTTCAATGTTCTTGTTCTTGTGCTGGGCTTCTAGAAAGCCAAAGTCGATGCGTTGAGAGTCGAATACATCAGTGAATAAGGCATCTCCGTATCCTCTGACAGGAAAATCAACGCCACTGAGGTTTTGGTGGTGGGGTCGAGGCGCTGTACGTTGAGCATCGGGAATCGCGCGCGACAGACTGGTATCGATAATGATAATGGGCGTCTCAGGGTTAAGCAAATCTGCATCAGCTGGTCAGTTACCCGTTGCAAGCAATGTCAGAGTAGCAGAAGCTCGAGGTGACAGAGCGGTATTCTGTCCGGCAATGCCCAAGGTAGGTGGGTAGAGAGGTAGGGCTGCTCACGTTCTTCTTTGGGGTCGTTCCCTATTACTTCGTCGTAGTCCGGGAAATAGGCAGAGAGGTCGCTCTTGAACCTGGTCGCCTCCTGCGACCGCAGCTTGCGGCCCTGCTCCTTGGTATCGTCGTGCAGCGGCTGCAGGCGATCCAGCTCGTGCCTTATGCCATTTATTACTTTGGCCTGGTGCTTCGTCAGGCTGGAGTTGTGCGGCTCCGGTTCTGCGGATATGGGCACCGCTGGCTTGGTGGGCTGCACAGGGGGGACAGGCTGCCTACTTGCGCTGCTCGCCACTGTGGCTCGTCGCGGTATCGGCGGTTGTACATTCACAGTCTCGAGAGGCAGCTGGGGTTTTGCAAGAATCTCGACGGCGATTCTCGTCTTCTTGTGCCGGATGGCCTCGAACTCGCGCTCGGCCACGTCGAGGGCTCGCTTTGTGCGACCGCCCGCCGCAGCGCCGTGGTGGAAGGAGTTTGGCCCAGGCCCCGAGCGCGTGAGGGGGCTGGCGTTCACGTTACGGTCATAGAGGTGAAGGCCCTCAGCTCGCCGGTTGGAGCGGGTGATGGAGGCCATTGGCAAGCAGAGGCACGCCAGTCATGTTTCTTCAGATCCGCTGCAGAGGGCGCTGTCGCTGTCGGGACACGCGTTGCCTCGATGTTTTTGCTCGATGCACCGATGCCGATTTGTTTCGTGCGACGTGACGGCTCTCAACGTAATTCTCCCTCTATGCTGGTTTTTTTTTTTTTCTTGGGCGGAAGGGGGCGCTCTAGCGCCTGCGCGTCATGGAGTTTGGCGGTTCTAGCGAGTGGTCCCAGTAGCTCTTACCCCCGAGCCGCCTGTGAGGGGGCATCTTACAGAGGACCTGCTCCCTAAGTTTAGTGGCGCTCAGCCCCCTTTACAGGGCACTTGGAGCTCTTGTAGTGCTCCACCACGCTTAGCATCAACGTGCACGTTCATATTACGTCGTCTTGAAGCTTCGAGGTCCGAGCTATTTACCTGGGACTTTGGTACTCTGTGGAGGGATTTCAGGCAAGCTGTTGGAAGTCCGTCCTCAAATATGGACGGCGCAACATGGATGGCGCAACACGCACGGCGCAACCATCAATTTATAGCATTCAATACCCCTCTACGGGGTAGATCCATCAAAATTAACATTTTTTTTCTCCTTTTTCTTTTTTATTTGGTATTGCTTCGTTGCTGCATCAAAGATGTTTTTTTGGGGGCTGCTAATACCGGGTAGAGAGAACAGAAAGCGCTCGCAGTGTCCAACAGGTGAAAAATATCAATTCGCTCTATCTAGATGCCTAGTATGTATTCCTTCATACAGCAACAATGGCTCGGCCCAAACAAGTCCCAGGGTATTTATATGTACAGAACAGGTCCAACAGGACTACCTATGCCTAACCAAATGCCCAACCGGAATAATGATGCTTTGCCCTAAAGATATGTAACAGTCCTCTTCGGAGAGTCTTGACCAGCTGCCGTGGGCACTATATGCAGCTTTTCCAGCGCCTTCATGGCGGTTTCTTCCACATGAGCCTGCTTCTCGGCTTCTGCTTGCCGCTTTCCTTCGGCCACGACTTGCCTTTCTTTCTGCGCACTCTTGCTCGTATCCTTTTCTTCCTCTTTTTTCCGCTTCATCTCCTTGGGGTGGATAGTCTTGTTTTTCCCGTGAATCATTTTATGCACAAGATCTTTTCCTACACGCCGTGTCTTGGTATACGTCTCTAAACCCAAAAGGACGGCGTATGCTTTTGACATTGGCACGTGTCCCACGTCGACGCCTTCGGCCTTGAGACTCCGCATAAAGGCGCGGAAGTTCGATGTTGGGGGGCGATAGTGCCCGCTCAGCGGCGACAGGAAGTTGAGTTTGCCCTCCTTGATCCCGATGAGTCCTCCGGCGGATATGCGAGCGCCTTGGAGAAACGACGAGTGTTGAAAGGCGCCAGCCTGCTTGATGCCGATGTAAAGTCTAAACGATGTGTCGGCGACGAAGATCCACGTCCCATCCTTGACGGCCTTGCGCAGAAGTTTGTTCAGGGTCGTCGTGACAGAAAACTGCTTGACCTTTTTCATATCATGCTGATCGGGTGGTGGCGGCGGTGGGTTGATGTACTTGTCTGCGCGATGTTGTTCGGGATTCGACTCGGCGTATGAGGTCGATGTGCTCGAGGTCAATCCGCTGGCTGAGTCGGCATAAGGATTCGGATCCAGCATCGGCCGGTATGGTGGTGCCGGGTCGTCTATAGGGACGATGCCATACATGCTGTCTCTGTACTTTTCACTCGTGTCGATGGGTTCGCCGTTTTTGGCCCAGCATAGACGGCCCTGGTCATCGACTGTGGCAAGATAGAGCTGGCGCTCCTCTCGTGACAGGTACCGGACCTGATCTCTCTCCAGTCTATCTCGTGGACATGTGTCAAGCGATATATATCGACCCTCCCCATAATCGAGCCAGTAGAAGAAGTTCTCATTGGTGTCGGCCTTTCGCCATTCCTCGTGATACATGCGTAAGTTGGTGCCATATCGGTGCTTCTGGTCCACGATTTCTAACCAGTACTGGAGTCCCAGTGTGAGGGCAGTTGACCGTCGCCGAGCATTAGCTTCCTCTCGAAGTCGCCTTAATTCTTCCTTTTCCTGGGGCGACAGGCTGCTCGATTCCGATGAGCTATCCGAGTCCGACTCTTCCTCCTCGTCATCATGGCCAGCCCGCAGCGCAATCATGCCCAACTTCTTCCAATTTGACCGTGCGGTTGATGAGTGAAAGTCGGTGATATCGCCAAGCGACAGTGTATCTTGGCTTACGCCGGTGAATGATCGACCTCGAGGGCGCGTGGTTTCGCGGAACTGTGCCTCGCGGATGGCAGTTATCCATCTTGTACTCGGATCCAGTGTAAACCCACTCATTTCCCTTCTTGCTCGATATCCTCGAAACGTCTTCTGGATAACACGGGCAGCATCGCTCCTCTCATCGCTCCGATTCGACTGCAAGCTCCGCCTGCTCTCATGCTGCGACCTTCGCTTTTGATGCTTAAATCTTTGTCTGATCTCCTCTTCCCTCTCCTCCTGCACATGGGCAATGCGCTCAAACTGCTCCCGAGATGGTGGTACTAGCGAGTCCATGTATTGCTGCGATTTTGCCGAAGAGGTAGAGATGGTGGTGAAGCTCGAAGCGAAGCTAGTAGTTGTCATGGTGCCGTCCAAGTGGGCTATTATATCATTACATCAATCCAGCGCCCGGGACCTCCCGTAGGAGACTACTTTTGCGGGGTTGCATAAGTAGTACAGGAAACAAAGAAATGAAACAGCTATCGACACTTATTTTCTGTTCAAGACTTGTGTTGTGAGATGAAATGACACGTTAAATGGAAGGCAAAAGGTCGTCGTCGACATTCGGGTTGCCCGGATGGGCTCCGGCTGTGAGGAGATAACTCAAGGTCGGCCGCAGGCTTTATAGCACTTGGCGAGCTTGGCTTGGCGAACAGACGGGACTACAGAAGCGGGAGGACGGCCCTTAAGACACTGATAAGAACTAAAAAAAAAAAAGAGACGGTGGCCACCTCTATGGACCCAATAAACAGTTCCAGTTGTGCTGGACAAGGTAACATGTCTGATCGGACGCTGACCACCTATCGCCGGCCCCTGAACTGGGTATAGGTGCCCTTTTGTTGATGACGGAGTGACGCAAGGGCCCGAAAGCGTCGGGATACCAGTCATTGAACCATGGCGACCCGAGAAGCACTGCCTCTGTTCCGAGACTTGTGGCTATCATGGCTTGAACTACTACGGAGTGTGCGCTATGAGTACAAGGGAGGTGGGAATAGCAGTATACTAGGAGCTCTCAGTACGCAGTACGAGTAGGTACTAATTCCACAAACAAAACACAGGCATTACAGATCAGGTTGGTCTCACTATTGACACTTAGTGATGACGTGACGTGGGGCGCTGGCATATTCCAAGCCGTCTTAGTGTAAATGCCAGGTAGTATAATGGGACAAAAGAACATGGCGAATTCCGTACTTGGAGAACGGGCATGTGCCGATATATTTCTCATGTTTGCTCTTTCGTACATGCAACCAGGACACCCAAGAATGAGAGAGAACCAACCAGAAGATGAGCACGGGCACGCTCGAATGCCATTGCATATGACCGGGAAAATGTTCAAGTACTGAGGGCAACACAAGCCAGTCCCGTGGTTCTATCAAATCCACGCGCGCGTGCATGCGGCATCCTCCGAAATCTCGAATCGTCGATCTCCAATTCCGTTGCGCCAGCCAAGAAGGGCATAGGGCAGGATTCCAATCATGACGCCGCCCTCTGCGTGTTTCTGTTTCGGAAGCGGGACTCTCTGGACCAAACAAAGCAAGGGCCGTCGGCTGAGGGGGCCAAGAGCAACATGTTTGAGGCGGTGCAGCGCGGAGCGGAGCACAGGTGAAGCGAAGTCCGGAAACTGAACTGAAAGATGGAGTCGAATGGCATGTCCCAGTATGGAATATGCGAGTTTCACATGCGGATCTCATCTCAGCAAGCGCGTCTATTTAGGAAGCGGCTGAGGCGAGCAGAGTAGTATCCAGCGTTTAGCGGGTGTTTAATAGGCATGGAATCAATGAACATGGTACAGGGCGTGTCGCTTCAAGGATATTGAGGCTCAATAAGTGTGTGTATGTGTGTGTGTGCTAAGATTGATACAACATGCGCTCAAATCTGCAACTCGCTTGATTCAAGATTCCTCATTAACATTATACTAGTAGTATATACTTAAATATCATACATGACATAACAAGTCGGGCCATTTCGACGTGCATAAGCCTCAAACAGTGGCTGTAGTAATACAAGGTCAAAGAACATGCTCAAAATAGATGAGAAAAATGTTACCCAAAGAGGAAACCCCTCGACCTCATTTCCCCAGCTCATCGTGCGGCTGCATGTGGGTGCTTCCCTGGTGCTTAGGCAAAACATTCCTCCTGAGGTATGCGCATTTTTTCCAGGAAAAACAATGTCAAAAAAAATTAAAAATTAAAAGCAATAAAGAATAAAGGGAGGGTGCTCAGGACGAGACAGCGCAAAAGGAGAAGAAGAAAAGCATGACGCGTGATTACGCAAACAGAAAGTCTTTGAGGACTGGTGACCCCGAGAACTCTGGGTTTAATAGTATACAGCTAAAAGAGCGTGTTAGTCCGTTGCAATCACAGGAGCGTGTAATTGGGCAGATGCTTCATACTTTAAGAAATATTGTAGTCCAGCTCGACGCTTCTCTAAAAACTTGGGTCTGAACTTGAATATTGCGCTCTTGGGTGGTAGTTCCGGCACAGCCGCTTTGAAGTTTGGAAATGATAATGTTAGCTTCTGCCGAAAGTCGTCGAACTCGGAGTAGCGCTTTCGAATATTCATATAGCTTCCCTATATAGACGGAAAAAGAACCCCATTAGCCAATGCCTCGTCTACGAAATGGAATTTGGGGGCGAAACGCGCATAGCATATTTCGCCAAAGCACATTCGCGAAGGGAAAGAAGCAAATACTCACAGTGAGCGTTTCGACTCGAACATTCCACACCACAAATGCGCCAATGTTTGTGTTGCTGCCATTGACGATAATGTAGTCGGTAATCTCCACACTCTTCGCCCAGCACGCGCTGTTTCTGTCGTCGTCGTTTGTGTCGCGGTCAAATAGCCTTATGGCGCCTACAGGCAGGATAGACTCGGCAGACATGCTGGAGATGGTTCGCTGGTGTGAGCCAGCATGAGGCCAGTAAGGCGGAGGCGACGAGATGGAGCTCGGAGATGTCGTCGCAGAAAGCGCATTGCGTAGCGCTTCGTCGTCATCGTTGTCGCCATCATTATGTCGATCACGGGAGTCGTCGGTCGAGGAAAATTGCGTATCTAGTCTGCTCAAGATGCGATTTGGCGATGCCGTTGCGCCGGAATTGGCAATCGGCCTTGACCCTGCCTCGCTCGTCAAGTCGCTTGGCGCATAGTCCTGGTCTACAGCCGGCGCCATTCAGCCATGTGAAGGAATCGTAGAGCTCGCGTGGCTATCGATCGAGATTATTCTTGTTATGAAATCGGAGGCTGGCCCGGTATCGCCCTGGGGAAAATTCTCAGGCCCCTTGGCAGAAAGCGTAATTGCGCGGGACTGTCAAGGGCCGGGATTCGAAAGAAGATTGCCGCTTTTATCGGAAGAGCCGGGTTTGTCGTGGAGTGCTTGTACCTAAGCTGTATAGATGCGAGATACTTTGAGAGTTGGTAGATGTAGGAGATAAGATCCTAAACGGGACGTCTTTTCGATTTGTGGCCTATCACTATCATCTACGGTCTCTGGGTCATATCAAATAGTCCGATAGTGGCGTAACTATCCCCACGGCAGCTAAAAGCTGCCACAACGTGGGGTTTATTCGGAAATAATATTGACATAGAAACCCAGCCATTGAGCTCCCCTCATAGTGAGAATTGGGTTTATGAAGAGTCTACAGGTGCTAATTATAGCATCAAATATTGTGCACATAGGTATGTAGATGCCATTGTTGTCATTGCAAAGAGTTTGGAAGCTCCACAGAAATTAAACATCGTGTGGAATCGCCATGGTCAAGGAGCCCATGTGGCGAGCATGCAAGTAAGGGGCATTTACAAACTTGTACTCGAGGGTTTGCGGAACAACTCTTCTGGATAGAGCAGGGACTAGAGGTGTGGTTATGTCATGCTCGACTACCTCATTTCCACGGAGTACTGCTTCCAAGTTTCAAAATCTGGGCTGAACTTTCTCCTGTCCTGTTAGTTACCGAGAGGCAAGGAGCAACACCAAAGCGTCTGAAAATTCTTCTACCATTATCTTTTGGCTCGAGGCTCGAGGCCCTCGCTAGGGTGTGGATTCGTAAGGAGGACTCGGACCTCATGGTGGAGGCAGCTGCGTTGGTGATGCTGCTATCAAAATCGGATTGAGTCCACCATAGGATTGTTATGGAAAAGAAGCCATGGCTCCTCTGAGTCCTTGGAGACGTGGTCTTGCCACCAGGCGGGAACGGCCAGGCTATGCACCTTTGCTACGTAGCAGCGGCGAATTATCGACTTACCAGCCGTTTGCTTGGCCAAGTTACATAGTTGTACTGGTGGCAATAAAATTCTCTTCACGACTCAGGACTCTGGCTCTTCCCGTGCGATTGACGCCTGATATTGTAGATCATATTGACATTTTGCCATCGATTTTGCCAGGCTAGTCGTTTTGTCTACTGTGACAATGTGACTATCCACCAAGAGAAGGTGGGTATGGGCATTTTAGAGTCCCCAAATCTTGTGAAAGTGAAAGCAGTTATTCATCCAGATTCTCGTTCGGAGCAGCCATGATTGGATCCGTGCTTCTTGGTGGTGATCATCCCCTTAATGCAGCATCTTTCGGCGCCGCCGGATGAGTAATGATAAGCTGACTCCTCATGACTACTTGTAATTTGTATGTATTATCGATAGAAATCAAAAGAAAGCAGGGCATGTGCTGTTGATTTTGGGCCGTGCTGTATATATGACCGCACAAGAAGCTGCTTGGTATGATACATCGAGGATGTCGGGTTTCGTTCGGGTCGACAGACACCTGTGGGACTCGCATATTTTTGGCCACACTGGCTGTCACTAGCTGCGTGTCTCTCGAATTGGATTAGTAGGTGCATGTAACAGTCCATCTTGCATGTCGCTCTGTCGCCACTGTCTCTCCATATACGAGTTTGAGACAGTCATATTATACGGAATGCCTTGGTAGAAGTAGTAGGCCGTACAATTAGCCAACACCCATCTTCGGCCAACAGCGGTTACAAGTACTCGTATATACCTAGTACGAGTAGCTGCTTGGCTGATACAAGGCCGTATCACGCTTCAATAAAAGGAGCACTCCGTTTCAACAACGCTAGTGAGATTACGGGGCGGTGCCTCACCGTCAGTCGATCCTCAAGGAGATGACTCTGATGGCGGTAAATCGCTTCGCCCGGTAAGCCGTATTCATGCGTCTTGGCTCCGATACGGTGCATCACGCCTCGGCACACAATGAAAGCGCAGTGGTGATGAACGACACAGTGCCCATGTGAGCATTTTGGCTAATAGCAGCACTTGGCTCTGGACTGATCGTCGTCTGATGTTGGTCCACAGATGGAAAAGCCGTTCTCCCATCTCGATTCCCCACACTAGAACAATTCTAAACGGGGCCCTCTTCATATATTTCGCGCAGCCGAGCATGGCTCTTGACTCTCATTCGCGAATCGCTGGGTTGGTTTAAACTCCTCCCTCCAATTTGAACTCCTGCCCCAGATTTCAAGATTGCCAAGCTTTCCAGGCTGGCGGTGGGAATCTCTGCTTTCCTGTGCTTTATCTTGCACTCTGCATCAACAGCACAGGCACGAGGTCCATGTATGCATACGGATGCTTGCTCCGACTTGCGCTTGAGCCTTGCTTTCGAGATGCTGGCAGATTCTCCATAAAAGAACCAGCACGGAGCAGTCAGTGCTGGGCCCATGCCACGAATCCGAGGCATGTCTGTGCAGAAATGAGGCCGAGCAACCAACTGCCTACCTAGGTAGGGAGCAGGAATGGAGCCTCGTACTGGGATGCATGTCTGACAGGTCATGAAATTGCCCTTGTACCTCGTCGACTCCGAAGGGGGCTCTCCGTTATGACTGTACACAGACCCTGTCACGACTAGGGAAGGGAAAAAAAAAAAAACCTTCAATGAGCTCAGGACTGCATGGTAAGATATGCATGCATTCTCCCATATTCGCCCCTCTCATTGCCAGTGTTGTGATGACCATGGCCTGGTTGCGCAGGTGGATCTCCCCACGAATGTAACTTTTCAGGCGACTCATTCCTCGCGGACTTCTGTGACGGCATCGTGCTGTTTTCTCTGAGGAGGCTCATTAGTGTGCGGAGAACACGGAGCATTTTCACCTGTCTCTGCGTGTGTCAACTGAATGCAAGTGTCTGCATAAGTGCGATTGTAGCTCCCGTCTCCATCTGCATGCATAGCATAGCAATACGAAGGGCTCCGATGCTGATACGGCACACAATGGATGGGTGGCTCTGATTCTCGTCAAGCGGAGAATCCTGGTTCGATGCTCAACTGCCTCCCAGAGCCGCTAGTGCCCTTTGCCTAGGCTTGGATGGCCGGGGCTCGTAATGTTGGATCCATGGACGGCTTGATGAAAGAGTCCGCCCGACGAGCTGCAAATGCAAAAGCAAATGCGACCTGTACGAAGCACGGAGTACGAGCTTGCACATGGCTGCGAAGATTAGGCAGTGAACGGTGGCACGGCAGAATGCCAGGTAAGCACTGCGTTGTACGATTGGATATTGATTGATGTCGGGTGTGTGTTTGCGAAGGGAGAAAGGGAGAGTCTGTGGCTGTTTGCTCCCAGCTCTGTACTCGTATATTTCCCTCTTCCGCTTGGCGCAGTCTTGCCCTTTTTTTGTGCGAGAGACGCCGCTGGCTTCATTTCCTAGCTTGCCCAGAAGCTCAGAAAGGGGGAGAAGCTACTGCAAGCTCGGATCTTTCCACTAGCGAACGCGCGCTACGAGTACTAATGTGCACTAGCGGGCATTTGATGACTTGTAGCTTCGTGCCTGTGTAGACCTCGAACGTTTATTACTGAACTCTGGAGTAATAAGTCGGGTAGATGGTGGACGCACTAGGCCGTGGAGGGCCAAAGTCGCAATTTTGAGTGCGAGATTTGCAGTAGCAGCAGCGCCATAGTGCCGTGACTCCAGGTACTATTAGCACTAGCAGTGCTTGCGAGAGCCCAACCTGAACACTGCAACCTGCCTGCTGTACTGATTTGTCTCCTCGACCCGCGTAGGATGTGAGACCTCTCACAGGGGCCCCCGTTTGCTTTGCCCAGATGGTGCTGTGGAGGAACACGAACTGGAGCTAGCCTGATACCGAAGCTGCCCGTTTGTGCATCCATTGGCCTGATAGGCAAAGCTTGAGCTGGGGCCCGTGGCCAGACTCGCCTCCTGGTCTCGCTTCCCACCCGCCCTGGTCACTTTGGTCTTCTGGAGAGATTCTGTGCCGGACCTCCGTCGCCTCCGCCGGCCAGCTCATAAAAGTGCTTCCGGGCATGCCTCCTTCTTGATCCTGTCCTTTCTCTCGCTGCTGCTGCCATCTCTGTCGTTAACGAGCCGTTTGTTGAGCCTCTTTTGCCTTCCCAGTCTCTCGCTTTTGGGTTCCGCATTCACCTGCAGGTTGCCATTTACATAATCTGTGAGTTCAGAGCTGTTTCCTCATTTCTCCAGGGTCTAGGGTCTCGTCTGCTGCCTTGTCTTCTTTCTCCTCTCCCTCTCTTCATTCAACCAAGAATTGGGTCTCGCGAACGGTATCACTAATATCCACTCGGGATAGATTCTTATAGTATTACTTGTCACATCTCCACGAACGCGTTTCCCCGTCGTCATACTATATCAGTCAATATGGTGTCCTTCAAATCAGCCGTTATCGCCGCCACGATGGCATTCGCCTCGTTGGCCAACGCAGGCTACTACATCGACCCCAAGAGTGTACCTCTGTCCACAAGACGTGAGATGCTCCTTCGCCATTAGGCTATGGCTCACTGATGCTAATGATGGAGCAGAGAACTGGTGCGCTTCTGAAATATCGACATGCCCCCTCATTTGCCAGCAGACGACCAACAAGCCGACATTGGTCAACGACTGCAACGCGGTATGTTCATGAACCCAGCCTCGTAGGTGTAAAGTGCTCGTACTAATACGTTCTCCAGGATTCGTTGACTTATGGTTGTCTCTGTGGTGACAACAAGCAGCCCAACATCTCCGAGTATACCTTAACATTGCCCTTCTTCATTTGCCAGGAATTTGTCGTCCAGTGCAGAGCCAATTGCGGCTCGGACAACACATGTGCTTCCAACTGCGCCGAGGACAACCCCTGTGGTGCCACTGATCCCAAGCGCTACAACTCAACTTCGACCGCTACGACATCAACCGCTCCGGCTACTTCCACCACCGCAGGCCCTGACACCATCTTCACCGGCACCCCTGGAAGCGGTAACAGCAACAACAACGGTAAGGGCGGCAAGTCCATGGCAGCCCCTATGGTTGAAATTGGACGAGCCTATGGACTGGCAGTTCTGCTGGGAAGCATGTTTGTTGGGTTTGCTCTGCTATAAGAGTAGCGCGGGGAGTTCCGAAAAGAATCATGCGGTCGAGCAAATGATAGATGCTCAATTCGGATCGCCTAATGTTTGATTGGTTTGCTGGTTTATTGGAGCGTGCGTCTTACATTTACATATCTTTATGCGTGCTACCGGAAGTTTTGGTCATGGGAATTACTTAATACTGTTCAATGCCTCTTTGATACGATAAATTGACGTGAATATATTACTTTCAAAATTGAATTTCCCGTTAAGCTGCTCTCGGCCTATTATATATGGCGAGAGGTACTCCTCGCTGATTCGATATCGGAAAAATGTCGGTGACAAGCATTTAGCCTATGATGGCTGCAGGCTTCGAAAGGTCCGTCCCTTTTTGTGGTCTTTTTATGGTTTGCACATGATGTTTTCGACATCACGCGACAGTTGGCAAATGATTGACATCATGGCGAGCTAGAGCCATGATTCAATGTTGATGCGCACTCTGCCCTTGAAAGGGACCCAATCACGAGCTCTTCGGCTCCGAATCATGTGCGGAATTTAACGTGCATATTGGCGAGATGGCTGCTGCAAGGTGGGAAACCTTGAGTGGACAAAATAAACGAGACTGCAAGTTGACAAGAGATCTTGCAGCTGTCAAAAAGGTGCATGTATTTCGTACAAGAGAAAGAAACTTTGTTGAAGTAAAACGCCTATGCGCCTTTTTGACCCTCATCTCTTTCATATATCCAACCGAGCACGCTCTAGGGAAATATTTGGGCTTTGTCTAATACCCACCCTGGTCCCTACCAACGTCTTTAGGCGCTTCAGTTTTTGCTCTCGTGCTCCAGTGGCTTTGTCCAACGCCCCAGCGGCCACGTAGGGTTCAATTGTCGTGGCAAGATTCTGAGAAAACGCCTTGTACTTTACCTACCCACCTATCTTACGGGGCAACTGGTTATCTTACTACTACCTGTATTCGAGTGTTTGCAGGTTCTCTTTTCGGGTATCTGCTATTGTCACTGCCTACCTGTACTCTGTACCTTAATATTCAATCAATTTGGGACATGGGATGCTGGGTATTGTAGCCGCTCTCTAAAAGTGCCTTGCTCCGTTGTCATACACATCTTCAACGTCCTATTTTGTCCAATGCCAAGTAGCGCTTCCTACCGGCTCATCGACCCGGCATGGCAACGTCACACTGTACTTGAGCAGTAACACCAATGACCCAGTGATATACACTTCATCAAGTAGAGTGCCTTGGAGTCTCTGATAAGCCATAGTGTCATCGCGGGTACCACTACTCTACTAAATGTACATGGAGATTAGCACCAAGTCAAAAGTCTTGGCGCCTCAACGAATTTCGGGCTTTCACGTGCTGGCGACTATCATCTCATTAGATTGCGAAGAGTGGGGCCCGCTTGAATGATCCCCCCTCAGACTATGATTTGGGAGGCCATGGAAGCTCTCTAGCAGCTCTTTGGGGGCTGTAGCGGTTCCAGCTCAGGGGACTTAGAGGCCCACGGGCAGATTTTCCGAGGCTCTTTACAGGGGTCAGAGGACCACAAACCGCAGCTTTTCATGCACGCCTCCCAACGAAACCAGACTCTTGGTCACTTGGGCGACCAAAAATTCTTGTCTGAAGTTTGCGCACTCTAGACGCACGGGAGCAAGGAGTAACCAACTAGTACTCCCGCAGAGACAATCCTAGAGCGCCTGAAGGTTCCCCCTTGGCGCCCTTTGTGTCCTTTTTTTAAAAGAAGCTCCTGCCTCGTCCCCCGGGCCCCCGGCTCCCCCCCTCTACGATGTCCAGCAACAACACGCTGCCATTGCACCAAGGCGATATTACCTCAACACGAGGTGGTGGCAGTATGGCTCCCAACACAAGTAAGTCCAGAGTCTGTCTTGAACTGGGGAGGGATGCTTGTTTTGGTTCTGGGCGGTGGCTAGTCGCTTGCGCTATCGAGAATGACAGCTGGAGGGAGTCGTTTTTTACTTTTCGTTGGTGGCTAACCCGGATCGGTGGGCTAGAGCAGGCTGTGGCCGAGTGCATCTCGGATGATGCCCTGATCCATCTCAAGTCGTACAAATATTCGAGCGTCGATAAATCGCCGGTATCGAAATATATCCTGGGTCCATGGGTACGGCTCACCAGTCATCCCTCCGTTTCTGCATGACGTTGCAGTTGGCTTTTGTTCTGCCCCTCCTCGTGACGGGCAGACACATTGCGAATACAACCCAATGAAGACGGTGGCTAACGGAGAATACTTTGCAGTGGAATGCCTTTGTCGAAATATTGCCGTTATGGCTCGCACCCAACATGGTCACCCTCCTGGGGTTCTTCTTCATTCTCTTCAACGTCGCCTTGATGGTCATCTACATGCCCGATTTGGTGGGACCTGTATGTCACCGACATTCAACCGTGCCTCATATTGTGCTGTGCGCGACGACGAAGATCTACATGCTGACAGGGGAATCCCGTATAGGCGCCGTCATGGCTATACTTTAGCTTCGCATTTGGGCTTTTCATGTACCAGACGATGGATAACGTGGACGGAAAGCAGGCCAGAAGAACTGGAACCTCGAGCGGTTTGGGCGAGCTCTTCGACCACGGCATCGACTCGCTTAACTGCACACTCGCCAGTTTACTCGAAACGGCCGCCATGGGACTGGGCACGTCGCCTTCTGGCATCTTCACGGCGCTTGTGCCTTGCCTTCCCATGTTCTTCTCGACGTGGGAGACGTACCACACACACACGCTGTATCTTGGCTTCTTCAACGGCCCGACCGAAGGCCTCCTTATTGCCTGCGGTATCATGATCGTCTCCGGAATCTACGGACCGGACGTTTTCACGAAGCCTCTGGCACATATCTGGGGCGACCACCTGGAGGGAGTGGCTCACCTCATTGGAGATGTCTCTTTCCGGGATATTTGGGTTGGCATGCTGGTTCTGCTCCTGGTCACCTGCCACATCCCCTTTTGCGTCCTGAACGTTGCCCGTGCGCGCCAAGCAAAGGGCCTCCCTGTTCTTCCTGTCTTCATGGAATGGATCCCAATGGCCGTCTTCACCATCTGCATTGGTGCCTGGGTGTTTTCTCCCTACAGCTCGCTCATGAAGGACAACCACCTTGTCCTCTTTTGCTTCACCATGTCCTTTGTTTTCGGGCGTCTGACAACTAAGATGATTCTGGCGCACTTGACCCGCCAGCCGTTCCCATACTGGACTGTCATGCTCACCCCGCTGGTTGGTGGTGCCATTCTTGGGAACCTCCCTCGAATCGGTCTTCCCCAAATTAGCCCTCAGCTCGAGCTGTTTTACATGTGGGCGTATTTCATCTTCTCGGTGGTGGTCTATTTCCGCTGGGCCTACCTGGTGATTACCAGCATCTGCAACTTTCTGGGCATCAACGCTCTCACCATTCCCAAGGAGAAGCAGATGGCCAACAAGATGGCTGCCAGAGCCGCTACCAAGTTGCACTAAAGCGTGTTATTGACCGTCCCCCCGCAGAGCATGTGAACTCCTTTCTTTTCTTGTCGTTTTTCATTTTCATTTTACGTTTCTCTACCTTTTTTGCTCCTTAAACACAAGTAATGCCCTCATGAATTGAAGTTAGAGATTTTTATGCGGGACTAGGATTTCAACAACCGCTGGTGGGTTTAAAAAGGGGAGAAGAAAGAGGCCAGACTATTCGACAACGATTTCGATTAGAAGATATGGTTTGGAGGCATATATGAATAGAGAAGGAAAGACGTGCTTGTATATGATATGAGCCACCCAGTGCGCAACAGGCATGGCTGACTTGGCGTTTGGTTGGTGCTTTACGCTTTTTATTATGAGCATGCTCCGGTTCTTGGGATTTCCGGGCCAAGATGGGCAACATGTAATATTCTTATTTGGTATACCTTATTAATCCGGGGGCTATATAGATTCAACGTCATGTTTAACAGTCACTGCTACAAATAATAGGTATTTTAACAACATACATATACTGGGATATTCTCCCAATTGATCTAAGGTGCCATGTGTTGCATTCTAGTGCAATCCGGATCAATGGGTGACGACTCAATAGCAACATGACGGCAGTTCAATTAAGTACCTGTACCATCAATGGTACCTATTGAAGAGGTCAATCCCAAACTCCCTAAGCCACATGCAGACTAAACGACGCCTGAATTGCAGCGGCTCTACAATGCTCAGGAACAGGGACAGAACAAGGGCTAGGGGGCTCCGCAATGCGGTTTAGCGGGATGGCTTCCGCACCCGCAGTGGCCACGACACCCCGTACTGGAACGTTGGCTGGTGCTAAGATAACACCAGGCTGGCGATAACACATTTGTATGTAGCCTTTGCCGAGACGATGACAACCTCATCCTAGACGCTTCTCCTTCTACCTGGCGTCGCTTTTCTTTGTTTTTGCCGCTGGTCTCTCTTACTGCGGGAGAGAGCGGATTGGCCCTGCAGGTTGGAGCCTCTTAGATCGCTTGTCAGCGACCTCATAGACGACAGAGATGCGGGCGTCCATCGTGATCTCGCTGATTGGCCTCGTGGGCGCAGCTCTCGGCATTGGGACCCTGACCGACGACGACCTGCGCAGACTACCGTCTCCCGGCGACGATTTCGATATTCATAATGGGAAGCTCCTAGCTCCGATCCTCATACCGCGAGTGCCCGGCACTGAAGGACAGAGAAAGACACAGCAACACTTTGTCGACTTCTTCACGGCCAGCCTACCAGATTGGGAACTCCTCTGGCAGAACTCAACCTCCAAGACGCCGGCGACTGGAAACAATGATATACCCTTCTCAAACATCATTCTGCGCCGCGATCCGCCAGGGTTCCGCGAGGGAGAAGTCGGCAGGCTGACGCTGGTGGCGCATTATGATAGCAAGATGGACCCCAAGGATTTCATTGGGGCCACGGACAGCGCGGCGCCGTGTGCGATGCTGATGCACATTGCGAGGAGCATCGATGGGGCGCTCAAGTCCAAGTGGGATGCCAAGGTTGCGGGCGACGGCTTTGACGATGACTTGGAACCTGGTGTTGGGGTGCAGATCCTCTTGCTGGATGGAGAGGAGGCTTTCGTGCGCTGGACGCAGACGGACTCGCTGTACGGCGCAAGGTACGGGCCCCCATCGCATTTTCCCCTTTCGCGTTGAATTGGCTTTGTTAACATTGTCTTCATAGATCATTGGCTGAGACGTGGGAGTCTGAGTTTCATCCTTCCATGTCAACTTTCAGGACGCCTCTGCATTCCATCAGCCTCTTTGTTCTCTTGGATCTTCTCGGGTCGCCTAACCCCCGTGTGCCATCCTACTTTCTAACCACCCACTGGGCGTACCGGAACATGGCGGCACTGGAGAAGCGCATGCGGGACCTGGGACTGCTCGAATCCAATCCTGATGGCCCGTTCCTACCAGACGCAGAGAAGCGTGCCGATAGGTTTGGCTATGGAGGCATCGAGGATGACCACATTCCCTTCCTCAGACGAGGTGTCGACATTCTCCACTTGATTCCCAGTCCATTTCCTGAAGTGTGGCACACAATGGCGGATGATGGTGAGCATCTTGACATGCCGACTGTGATGGATTGGACAAAGCTCGTCCTGGCATTCACGGCAGAGTGGATGGACTTATCCGGACACTTCCCGAAGGCCGCCTCCAAGGAGAAGAGAAGTGAAACGACGATTGAGACCAGCAAAAAAACAGAATTATGACTACGTTAGGGGGAAGGTTTATGATCAGTAGATATGGTTGCTTGTTGATTGACCCCGGCCGTTGTAGACCACAGCCAGAGGATACGACTTGTTGCGTCCAAACTTGTAGCTATCACGAAGCTGGCATTGTATTTAGCACTGCCGTGTATATATCGATAAAATTCACAGAAAGTAGCATTCATAGTGATTTATCAATGGACAATGCCTTAGTTGCTTAGAAAACACTGAATCTTCGTCAAGGGATACAACCAATTTAGCACAGTGCATAGTGTCGCATGCACCGTGTGTTGTACATGACGGCCGGCCAATCAGAGCCCCACCCTGCGACTCAACCACGTAACCTTTAGGACAGAAGCTCTCTAAGCTGTCATCTTGGAGCATCTTCCTCGCACCAACGCCGTCTGTCGCCATGCGTTTCTCTGTTGCCTCAACACTTTTGGCACTCGCCACCGTCGCCTCTGCCGCTTCCTCATGGACTTTTTCGGACGGTACCGTTAAAGTGTCCTCGAAAAGCGGCAATGGTGCAGTAGAGAAGTGAGCTTTCCCGGCGCCAAGACTGAGCTTCGACCTTGTTACTTTCCTGAGCCATACAATTCTTTTCAGCAACACGAGAATTGGAAATAACTTTTTACTAACAATTGTAATTACAGATTCAGCGGCAATTCTCGAGTGCAGAACACACTTACTCTGGGCCACCAGGACAAGCTCAAGGTGACGCTCACGACGAAAGATGGCTCTACGGCGAAGCGACCGCACCAAGCTTTCTTGGTCGTAAAGGAGGCATCTGGTCTAGAGGCGCCTTTCCCGTTGACCGTGAAGGACTCTGGAAAGGGAACGGTCGAGATTGTATGCTGAACCCCGCGAACTAGAGATCAATTGGCTGGCAATAACTAATGCGCAAGGCAGTCTCAGAAAGATCTTCCCGTCCAACTACTTCTATCTCAAGAACCCCTCGAGGCCAGCCTTATCCTGGGCTCCTTTGGCTCTTCCGAAGGCTCTGTCACCCCTGTTTTCGATTTCGCCGTCAAGCTGGACCCGGCCACCGCTGCGCCAAGCTATGAGAAGCCGCTGCGATATGGCAAGCTTGCTGAGATCCACCACATTTTCCGAGCCGATCCCAAGAACCCTCCCAAAATCGTCTCCATTACATTTGCACTTGCCGTACTGGCTACTGTGCCGGCCTTGTTTATCGGCGTACGTTCTATGAATCGCAATGGACTTGATTTTTTTTTTAAAAAAAAAAAAACGTATATATGCTAACTTGTGACAGTGGTTTGCTCTTGGTGGAAACTTTACACATGTGCAGAAGGCTCTGGGCAATGCTCCCATTTCGCACATTGTCTTCTTCGGATCAATCATTTCCATGGAGGGTGTCTTCTTCCTCTACTATACACAATGGAACTTGTTCCAGACTCTGCCGGCGATTGGCGTTGTTGGCGTCGCTGCCTTCCTGAGCGGAACCAAGGCTTTGGGAGAGGTTCAGCGCCGACGATTGGCCGGCGAGAGGTGAGTATCATGAAGAGGGCAAGGCAGGCAACGAAAACGGAGTTGAGATGGGAGGCTATTTCTCAGTGTAGAAGCACCTGGACTAGATCTCTAGCATAGCATAGCCTGGCTGAAGCGGCCGTTGGCATATGGCGAGACATGAAGAGCCTCTTTTTGACGAAACAAGGGATGAAAAGACACAAACGCATAGTCAAGATGATGTAAGATATTATGTATTTGAGCATAGTTACGCCATTGTTGAAACCCAAGTAAATCGTTGGATGCTGTCACGCATTCTTGACCTGCCGAGGCTCAGCACGAATGACGTTACGTATCTTTGATGATGTCAGCAGTTTTAACTTCCAACTTCAACACGAGATGCCCCGAACCTCCGCGTCAATGCCAACTCTACTTATCCCGGGGTAAAAAGCGCTGTGCTTTGAAAGACTTGGATTGCATGTTTCAGTTTGCATGATATCCTGGCGTTTCATCTCGTAGACGCATATAGAGCGCCATATTTGCTGCACTAGTTGTTGGGAGCTGTCAGACCGTGCCTGGACTAGACGCCAAGTCGCTCTCGCTCCAACGTCCGATCTCTGAGTCAATTTGCTTCTAAGACAGGATTTCTCAAGCAATTCGGCATACCATGTAAGTCCCCTCGGCCTGATGCAATCCTCATCTCAGCAGCTGCCAATGGCGAGTGTAACGGCTGTCGTTCGTGAAACTTCACGTGACACACGTCCTTCGTCTGACTGGCAGCCATGTCTCGCTTTCGCCTTGTTTCTCATCGTCGCTCATCAGATAGAGTGCTGACGCTAGATATTTGTAGGGCGTTCAAAGTGCCATCTGCGGAAGAGACAGTTAATCATCCAGCCTACTCCTCGGTGATCTGGGCTTTGGAGCCTCATCAGCAAGGCACCGTTGAGGTTGCAAAAGGGCGAGGCGGCCCTGTGAAGATTGCTTGGGAGATTCATGGAGATGGACCAACGAAAGTTGCGGTATGCCTTGCCCGTCCATTTGATTTACCCATGGTTCCTTTGTTGAGAGTTAGACCCTTGCATAACGGCGAAGTAAATGCGAGCTCTTTGGTTTCTTTCTGTTGACAAACTATGCTTTAGCTTATCATGGGCTTGGCCGGTGTAAAGACGTCGTGGCAGCGCCAGACGAAATATTTTGGCCATGACCGCTCAAAGGACTACTCCGTCCTCATCCTGGACAACCGAGGGATGGGCGACAGCGACAAGCCTCTTGCGCGCTACACCACCAGTGCCATGGCTGCCGACATTGTCGAGCTGCTCGACCACGTTGGCTGGACCGCCGAGCGCGAGGTCCATGTCGTCGGCATTTCCCTCGGCGGCATGATCGCCCAGGAGGTCGCCTATGCGATTCCCACCCGCCTGCGCTCCTTGACCTTGATCGGGACCACGGCGCAGTTTGAGAGCGGGCCCGCAAAGTCCTGGTCCGATGCCATCCGGCAGCGCCTGGGCTTCGTCATCCCCAAGTCAGAGGACCAGAGCATCTTCGACACTGGCCGGCAGCTCTTCCCCGAGGAGTGGCTCGCCGCTTCGGACGACGCTGCGGCGCTGCCCTCGCCCAAGACGACGCCTCGGTGCGGTCCAGCGCCCGGCACGCCTGATGGAGAGTATCGCACCTTTGACAACAACTTCCAGCGGTTTCAGGCGCAGGAGCTCTTCAAGAAGCGTCACGCATCGTGGTTCACGAAGCAGGGCTTCCTGTGCCAGCTGATAGCGGCGGCGGGACATTTTAAATCGCCACAGCAGCTGCGTACGATGGCGGATCGCGTGGGGAGGGAACGTATCCTGATCATGCATGGAACGGCAGATAATATGATTACGGTGCCGAATGGAGAGAAGTTGATCAAGCATGTCGAACCTGGCATGGGGTTGATTATTGAAGGGATGGGCCATGCACCAAGTATGGATAGAGCGGATTGGTTCAATGCTCTGTTGGAGGAGAGATTTGCGTCTTGGGGGAAACTCTGATAAATATGAACGTCGTATAAAGGGGTCAGGAGAATTATATGAGCGCGCGAGCTTGCTGTGAATTTAACTTGAAACGTTATTTGGGTTATATACGCATCAACAGCTAGCCACTGAGTACCTATCTATCTTTTCATCTTTCTTCTTACACCGATGCTATCTTCAGCGGACAATATAAAAGAGAGAGAAAACCTGCTTCTTCCCATATACAAAAGAAAAACACGCTCCTTCTACGGCAAGACCAGTCCGACGCCGCTAAGGGTATTCTCGTCCAGCTGGTTCTTCTTGTCGACGCCTCCGGCTATGGGGTTGGCCCTGTAATTGAAGAGGTAGTAGTGCAGCTGGCCGTCGCCGGCGCCAAACTTCTGCTGCTCGAGGAAGAGGCCGTTGTCCATGAGGGACAGGGCGTTGAAGACGTCGAAGCGGGCCTGCTTGGCGAGGATGAGAGCGTCGTGGATGAGGTCGTTGAGGCGGGATTTGAGGGCGGCCTTGTCGAAGGGCTCCTTGAGGGCCGTGTCGGTGGCGTAGTAGAAGAGGTAGGCGACGCGGATGACGTCGTGTTTGGGGTTGTTGATGGCGGATGACTCGATGCAGTAGAAGGAGAAGAAGTCGGTGATGTTTTTCTCATTGTCCTGCAGTGAAGAAGGAAAAAAAGGGAGTTTTAGTAAACAGTGAAAAAAGGAATGGATTTCTTTCAAGGGCATGGGGGTGTGTTTTGCATTTCTTACCTCGACGACATAGGACCAAATGTACTGGTCCTGTCCGGGCTCAACGGTTGGGCAGAACCAATGGGTTGCTTCCTCCGTAGACATCTCAGGGGCAATGTCGAATCGGCTCATGTACCGATCCATCAGCTTAACAACGGCCTCGATATCGGCGGGCTTCATCTCACGCAGGCCCTTGGTAGATGTATGATCCGGGACGGCATACTTGCGGATCTGGTACTGAGGCTTGCTTCCATGGGGCAGGTGGACAAAGTTGCACTCGTACAGCTTCTGCCAGTTGAGCGAGCGGTGGTAGTAGCGGCACGTGCTGACGGGCCTGGGGAGGACGATGCCGGCCGTGTACAGGCCCTGCCAGATCTCGTGCAGGTTGCTGATGCGGGTGATTTCCTTGATGAGGACGGGGGCCAGGCGCTTGCCGCGGAGCTTCTTGTGGACGCAGAGGAAGTTGACTTCGGAGCAGGTGATGACCTTGTTACGGACTCGCACGCGCACGGGGATGGCGGAGATGAAGGCGACGAGCTTGCGGGACTGGGTGGCGCGGACGCCGACGTGGTAGTGCTTGGCCCAGCCGGGAGGCATCATGGCCCTAGGTATCACGCAGATGATGTTAGCAGATTTGTTCTCACAGCTCAGCAATGATGTTGCGGGGGGGGGGGGGGGGGGGGCCAAGTTCAGGCCAGCTCACCATTTCAGGATTCCAGGTCCGTAGTTGAATCGGAACATGGCCTCGTCGTCCTCAACGTAGTGTCCGTTGAGCAGCTCGTAAATCTCCTTGATCTCGTCGTCGTTGGTCAGGTCCATCTCTACCCACTCGAACCCAGCGACCAGCGGCGCCGGATCCTTGGAGATTTCGTCGACCGTCTGGATCTTCAGGGGCCCCTCCTCGACCGTCTTGTCGTCCTCGCCAAACTTGGGCACCGGCTGCGTCTGCCAGAACTTGTACGAGGCCATGTCCTTGACGTTTTTACCGGCCGCCGCCAGCCCCGTCATGATGTCCTGCAGGTTCATCGTCTTGAGCATCTCGGCGATCTTGTCCGGCGAAGGGTTTGCGCTGCCCGACGCCTGCGACAGCTCGCCCGCCAGAGCTGGGTTGAGCGCCATGAGCTCCTGGAGCTGCTGCGGCGTGAGCCCGCCAATGGCCTTTTTCAGCTCCGACTCGGCATCGCCCGACTTGCCCGTCAGCACTTCCTTGGCCTTCTTCCGCTTGGACTTCTTCTTCTTCTTTGCCGGAGCCGCAGAGGCGTCACCGGCTGTGGGCTCGTCATCTTCCTCCTCGGCGTCGGATTCGGCCGCGGCTTGCTTGCCCTTGATCTTGGCGTCGACCTCGTTGACCACCGGGTCGACCGGCTTGGATTCCTCGGCAGGCATTTGTGCTGTGATAGCTTCAGGTCCTGACGTCGCGTGATTGTTGCTTTTGCGCAGTTCAGGGACGATGCGGAGTGGTGGGGTGAAGCAGCATTGAACCGAGCCTCCAAAACTGTGGTGGGGTTAGACACAGGCTGCAGCTGGCATGTGGTTTCAGGTGGGAGAAGCTGCCCCAGGCATGGAGCCTCGACTTCTCAGCCATGACTTTCTTTGGATGTTGTATTCAATTTACTGTGCGCGATGCGATGCGTTTGGGGTCTTTTATTCATTTTAATTATTCCGTCAGAACAGGTATACATAAGTTGGCGGAAGATGTTTGACAGATAGAGTAGCTGCTAAGCTCGACAAGCGTACAAGTTGTTATAAGCCACAAATGGCTATATGCAGAATCTAAGCGACACCTTGACTGCTTGGTCTCGCCAGACCCCAAAACACTATCTAATACTCTAAAAAGGCAAGTATTTATCCTCTTTGACCTTTTTGTATGCGCAATGGCAGAAAGCAATGAACCAAGAGAACAGCTTGTAGCTGATCTGAATCTGAACAGCGATTTAGATCTCCTACCCTAAAGTGAACTAAATTCCATTTATTTTGCATGCTCTTTGCTGTAGCTGTATAGTAATAGATAGTGCACCTCCTTTCATCAAATCATCTGATTGGCGGAGTGCCAGAGTGGTTAATGGGTATGACTAGAAATCATATGGCTTCGGCCTCGCAGGTTCGAATCCTGTCTCCGTCGAAACATTTCTTTTTTGCGCGTTGTTCTTAGCCTGAGAAAAACTTTTTTTCTTCCTCGTTTCTCCAGGACTGAATCCCTATATTTCTGTTGTGCTCCACATCATAACATCTAACATCCAATAGGCGGAGTGCCAGAGTGGTTAATGGGTATGACTAGAAATCATATGGCTTCGGCCTCGCAGGTTCGAATCCTGTCTCCGTCGAGCATTTCTTTTTGCATTTGGTCTCAAACGAACATTTTTGGTCAAGAGGTCCAATCAGTGGAATATTTTGATGATATAACTCTTAGGCAGACACGCCGACAATGAATGGTGTGGAAGCGCCGCGTTAGAGAATCCTTTTTTTCTTTTCTTTTTTGAGTCGATGCCTGTGATGCTTGAATGTGACCCCAAAGACTCAATACCCAGACTTGACGCGGTCTGTATGAGTACATGTATATAATCAGCAACGCGCAGCGAATATTCAGGTCATGTACCTTCTACGTGTAATTGCTGTTAATCGTAGGCTGTGCCTCCGAGGTCAAACGACCTCATAATGGCCAAGCTGACTGGTGCAAAGCTCAGAATGTCATTGTGCCCTTTGTGCACGGTCAGCGCCATGGGCCAATTCCTGGATTTGAGAACATACCGCCATAGGGAAACAGCTCTTGACGAATTATAATGTCTCCACCTGTTTTCCATGTAGTCACAAACGAATCCCCGCTGGTCCGAACAGTGTAAGACTCTTTCCAAGTGTCGAATTCATCATCATCTAGAGTGCCGATTGTTTCGCTCGCGGCAGCGCGAAATAGCTTGTTATCCTCCGTCCAAGGGATATCTAGATCATTCTTTGCATGCACCAAACTTATTCTCAATCTGTTCCTTGTGTGGCGGACGATGTTGGCGAGTCTGTCGGCCGAGTGCCACTTGTCCACGATGAATCTGTCGAGGACACGCGCGAAGGAGGGCCAAAGAGCGAATGGCCCAAGGGCGGGTACTATCCCCCCGAAACGATAACCGCTCAGCATCGTGGCCAAGTCGCTGAACGGGGCAACCAGTACAATGCCTGCAAATTCAACCCCCTGAAGTGCATACCGTTCGGCGACGCCACTAGCAACAGCGGTTCCAAGGCTGTGGCCAAGCAGAACGATTCGATTCGGCGAAATGTTTGCCACGTTGATTGCCCAGTCGACTACCGCCGCGGCATCTAGAATCAGGCCCCTTTCGTCGGGCGCGCCAGTGGAGTGGCCGAAGCCGCGGTAATCAATGGCCAGGACGTGGTAGGATGAAGTATCGGTCAAGGCATGATAACTATCTGGCCGAGTGTTTTGAGCGATATGACCGGCATTCTGCAATGGTGAGCTGTGAGATCAAAGCTTAAATGGAAGAAATGCCAGGAAAGTACCAGGAAGGGCTTACACCATGGACTGTGAAGCGCCTATTAGCACAAACATTTTTGACTGTACTTGGGGAATGAGATGGACTTGCATGTGATGATGAGTCTGGCCTCTGGATCACTTGCCAGCAGCCGAAACGATTCGGTTTGCGTGAAATCGTTACAGAACCCCATGTCCTGTGTTGCCACTGTGGTTTCATGTTGCAGATATAGAGGCAGCGGCATAATGTGCCAAGCGTAGATTGTCTCCCCATCAGAGGTCTGTAGTCCAAAAGGTGTCACCTGGTTTTCTGCGGGATATCAGCGCCATTAGATGCGTAAATCCCCCAATTGGGGTGTGTTGGACTACGAACTGGCGAAGCCCCAACCTACTGGGGCGTTGATATCCGACCACCATAGCGAGTTGATGGTATGGGCATATAGGAAGCTGTTCTCATGTACACGCCAAGTAAGACCGAATGACCATGGCACTGAAACAAATTGGTGAAACGCATTGATCACTCACTGCCTCTGGAAGAACGGAATCACACCCAGTCCTATGAGAGCGACATAGAAGATGAGAGGCGCAGCACCCACCCAGATGGATACCCAAAGGATAGGATGCAAGGGAACTGCCATCTTACGGGGCGCAACGGCGTCTCCCTTGCGTCTGGAATCGATAGCTTGTGCCGGAAGGCTGCAGAAACCCAGCAGAGGCGTTTTACGGGTGCGGGTGATGATGAATCAGTTCGACCTGGTGGGGGGTTTTTCGTAAGCGGATCTTCAACATTCCGCCGTGGACTACCAAGACAAGATGTACCGCGTTCCGTGGCGCTTTGTTCCCAGTGTCTCTTGGTAGAAGGATATTGTGACTGTTCTCGCCTCATTGCCCTCTTTTGCTTGTCAATTTATTGATGCGGCGCATGGATTTCATCAACAAATGCGGCATATCACATTGCAGCGTGCATTTAGTCATCTGCAGGTTTGACACCCTTTCATTGACGAGGTACTCGCGCCCTTGGGCACATCTGTTAAGAGTATCAGGCTGTGTGTAGTGGCGGAGGGGAAGAGTTATTAAAGTTTTCAATAATTGATATAATGTTCTATGAAGTACTTGAGTTATCTTTTCAGATCTACTTGCCCAGAATCGAAAGACAGAGGGCATCATATCAAATTCCCATTCTGGTCGGCAGATGTGGTGGTGCAAAACGGCGTTGCAGGGGCTGGCATCCACGAGATTCACCCTCACCCTGCCTGACGACCCTGCCACACCGAGGCCAAGACGCAATTCGTATCCCAGCCGTTATTTGCCGCTCTACTTGAGACAGCTTGGGCAGTACAAAGCGCGCCGGAGATGCCAACCGAAGTCTAGTGCGGCCATGAGCGACGTTGGGCACTGGTGGCTGCAGGCCGTTGAGGCTCAGTAGGATCTACATCCTGCTCACTCAAAAGTGCGCGAGGAGGCACGGAGTACTTGTACTTTGCACCCAGTTCGTATATCCGTACTCCGTATACCATCCAAACATCCATGTATTACTAAAGGTGCTGGACTGGACTGGTCCAGGATCACTTTGATGACGATATGATGCAGGTAAGCCCTTGCGGCTCCCATGCCGAGTCATGAAGTCAAGGCTCTGCGTCAGACGAGCCAGCCATTCCGACGATCAACTGCGAATTGCCTTTGGTTGGTAGTGGAGAGTAAACTCTCAATACGGTGCGGCGACGATGGCAAGGATGGCCAGGTTGTACCTCGCATTCAGCACTGTGGCTCCTCAAGTCCAGAGCGGATAGCGCTGCAAGAGCCCGCCAATCCCGCGACGCGGCCTCCAGCGGGCCAATCAAGCCCCTGTTGAAGAAGCTCGATGGCACTGCAGCAGCGCATACTGGGGATCCACAGGGCTTCTAGCACCAACTAACGGCTGGGCAGCTTCCAGGATTTGTGCCAACCTCTTTGGCAAAGAGCCTAGGCCGACTGCACTGCTTCCACCGGTATATTTATCGCTTTTCATCCTCTGTGCAGCATCGCGGATCTTGCTCCTCACTGCAACGCCAGCAGCCTGGCCTCTACCCCCAAGGCCGTTTGCTGCTCTCGCATGGCGCTCTTATCATGCTGACCCGTCGCCCATCGCCTGCCGCAGCCGTGTAAAACCGCCTCGAGACGCGATGGAGAAGAAACGGAAGCTCCCCGCGAGGACTTCGGCCCGCGTTGAAAATGCCAACAAACGCCGGAACATGACACCGCGAGCGGAGCGTTCTGTGACTCCTCTTCTTCCTCCTCCCCCCGAGCCTATCAAGGAACCCTCGCCATCGCCGCCGCCGCCGCCGCCGCTGCCCACGTCGATCCAGGCCGGGAAGCCGCTGCCAACGGTTGAGAAAGCGCAGCCGGACGACTTATCGGCTAAAGAATATCAATCCATCTCCGAAAGGCATGTATACTGTGGTTTGTTAACAGCCCGCTTTCGCTAACCTGTTTCGCTCCCGACAGCGGCGTCCTTGCGGAATCTCTCTCGCGGTCTCGATATCGATGGATCAACGACGGGCTCTTCGAAAAGTTCTGGGCGAAACCTCATAAGCGCAAGGGCGTCCTCAACGAAGATCCGAAGAATCCTCCCAAAGACAGTATGACCAAGGTTGGCCCGGTTACAATTACCATCGAGCCTCACATTGTCGAGGCCACCATGTTCATCGTCAAAGAATCCAAGCAACGTCCTCCCCCGCCTCGGACACCACAGCAGGCCTCGAAGCCGTCGCCAGTGTCTCAAACGTCAACTCCGGCGCAATCGCTACCTCAATCGCAATCACAGCCGCTCACCCGGCCGGTACTTCAGTATGGCCCTCCAAATGGTTCCATGCCTCCTCCGCCTGCGCCTGGATCGGCGACCTCGATCTCGATTCCAACCGCAGCTACCACACCAAAGCCCATTGCTGCCCCGAGCCCTTCTCAGAGGCCACCGTCATCCTCGCCGAGCACTCCAGGACCACAGCCCTCACCATCGCCGCTTACGACCATCAACGTAGCCACGTCACCATCGCCTAGCCCGGCACTCTCTACACAGCCTGCTGGTCAACCCCCTGTGCCTCCACAATCACTTCCAGCTGCTACTCCCCCACATCCGATTCGACCGCCTGCGAATCCCCTTCCAGGGCAGCAGCAAGCTCCTACAGGCACACCATTGGCAAGGCCCCCACCGCCGCCAATCCCGACCCCAACCACGACCCCGACAGCTCACACTCGGCCTGCAAATGCTGGGCCAGCTCAGTCTCCAGCTGCGGTGAAACCTGCAACGCCGGTTGCAGGGCGCCCTCCAGCAGCCAAACCTGTTCCCAACGATCCGGTTATTGCCCTGCTCGCCCAAAAGGCTTCAGGAGACCCTGACCTACGTGACCTTATGAAGAGGGTCGCCGTGGGCCAGGCCAAACACGGAGAGCTAGATCGCTTCCAGAAGATAATTGATCAGCTGAATGCGGAGTATCGGCGGAGTGGTGGGCAGCAGGGCCCTTCGGCTGATAGGTTGCTCGTCGATGGAAGGACCGTCAAGTATTTTGCTGATGAAGTGCGAACCATTCTCGACATTGTCTTGGCATCCAACCCTCGCCAGACATCCAGCGAACTAAGACCGCCGCCTAGGAGTGACCCCCTAGTCGTACTGCTTGTGAAGGCTGCCTTGGAGGATCAGAAAACAAGCGATATGATTCGACGCATTGCCGAAGGCCGTGCAGGCTTTACAGATTCAACAGACCTCAAGGAGATTCTAGATCGTCTCCACAGAGATGCAAAGCCTCCTGCGCAGACGCTCCCTGCGCCTCTCCCAGCAAAGCAGCCGTCCATGGATGCCAATGGCCATATGCGAGCTTCGAATCCTCCAACCCCCCAGCAGGCAAATCCTCAGGCACTACGGTCTAAGGGGCCCCCACCAGTGCCGAAGCCTGACATTTCCGCAGTAGTATTTGATTTTGGAAACGGCGATCGCTATCTGTTTCCCAAATTCAGTATTCTGGAGTATTTGCCCACCCCATCGGGCCAAGAGGTGGTTGCATCATTCCTCATTGTCCGTAAAGGAAGCACATCCGAGTATGGCGGAGACCCCAAGCTTGACTACTACCAGCCTGTCACGATCCGTATCTCTACACACGTTGGACGCTACCTAGAAAACCTGATGCGCGTAGTGGCCCCTCAAGATGAGGTACGGCGGTATATGGACGATGTCATGGACAACATGACGCGCGCCGAGTATGTGCTATTGGCAATGCACTTGCCAAGAGTACCCAGGGATGAAAAGACAAATGGGGTGCCTGATGAACCCAAGACCAATGGGTCAACGCCCAAGGTCGAGGCGGAGTCTGACCATACTGTAGAGGTGAAGCCGTCCGTTCTTTGGACCAAGACGGCCAACCCCTCCAAACAGTTTGATCTTTTCAAGCCCCATGATGCCGAAGAAGAGAATGAAGCCAAATATAAGCGCCTCATTCAATCAGTAACGGCCAAGGACTGTTAAAGACTGATCGTTTGACGTCTCCAAGACTGCATAGAGTTGTCGGTAACGCTGTGCACGCTAGAACTATGTTTTGTTATTTTAGATGCTTCAAAGACATGCATTTCGCGTAGCGGGAGAAAGGGGTCTGGAGTATTGGATTGGCACGGAGGATACGGATAATTTTCATAGGACGTCTCAACAACATGGCAGCTGTAAGATGCTTTTAGCCAAGATCTCTTGAAGGTTTCGCGTGGCAGTATGAGTAAACGAGGCGAACTGGCCAAATCTTTTTATGCGTAGTTTCATCTATCATGAGTATGAATCACGAAAATGAACAAAAATAAAATAAAAAAGTGCAAAAAAAGAACCACCTCTTTAGAGGTGTGGCGGATCTCTCCCGCCGGGAATTGAACCCGGGTCTCAAGCGTGACAAGCTTGCATACTGACCACTATACTACGGAAGATGTCTCAGGCGTTGAAGCGCCTGTTGTAGGTGGTTGGCTCTTGGCGGATTGGCGTTGGTTATTTTCCTTATAGAGGTAACAAAGGTGGAGGCACATAACATTCAGTGTCTAGTACAGTACCTAGGTATGTATCAACACACTTGAGTCGGCGCATTAGGCTGAATTTTCATGATGCATTCGCGCACATGCATGCCTCCATATTAATGGTGTTTCCGCAATAATGAGGTCAAATGCCAGAGAAAACGGAAAATAGCTGGCCCAACTCCTGCACTCTACTTGAAAGAGACATTGAATCTGATTTGTACCCGTACTCTGCAATCCTGCCTGCTGACTCAGCAAGCAAACAGTGACGTGAACCAACTCTTATTTGTCCGCGTTATGGTTTCATAGCTGCGTCTCCCTAAACTCAGAATAAGTGCTAGGCAACCAACTGCGTCCAGAACTCAAACCGTCTATCTATCAATGTAACTCTAGCATATGCAACCATTTTCATCCATCCATTCAATTGACTCCCCTTGCGTGTTTTTGTGATACCCTGCCTTGAAGCCCAAACAAATGAACATTAATTGATTCGCCCTGCTATCTCGCCATGGGTCAATCTCCTTCCCAGACGCGGCCTCGACGAACGCATGAGCAGCTGACACAGGAGCTCGTGAGCGCCACTGCATCCAAAGTTGCCTCGATGCACGTTTGCTGATGTTTTGGCAGGCATACAGGTTTAAGGAAAAGTGCTTTACCTCGATTGAGTATTACTCGCTGAAAGATGTCTTTAAGAGCCTTGCCGACCAGCAAGGCGACATTCGCTACCTCAAAGAAGACACGATAGCTCGGTTCCTGGAGATCCCAGACATACTTGGCGCCTCGCCTGTGATATTCCACATGGTTTCGTATCTTGGTGCGTTCCCGTTTCTGCACGAGGCGCCGGTGGTGCTGGAGCTTGCGCAGTTGATCATGGTCGTTGTCATTATGACGGAACGGTATAAACGAGTGTTGGCCAAATCAACAGACAGAACAAAGCTTCTGTTTAAAAGCCTGGCCGTCTATGACCGGAAAGTGACCGTGGCCGAGTCCACGCCGCAGAGTGCCACTTCAGAAAATGCTGCTGCGAAGCCAAATGCTCAATTCAAAGGCTTTGCGGTCGACCAGCCGGGTCTGGATGATGAACATGAAGATGACCAGGAAGACGACGATGACCTTGTTATCACGGCTTTTGAGCTACTCGACATTCACGAGGCTGCTAAGCGCGGCGATGTCTCCAGCATTCATGAGGCCATCATTCCAACCGACAACTTTCGAAAATTAATAATGTTGTTACTGTTGGTTGCGCCGCTGGATCCACAAGAGAGTTTATCGCAGTATTCTAGCCGTGTCGCTGGCAACGAGTTGGATCAACTACGAGCTACGGCAGAGTGTGTCCTGGCCTCCTTTGTCAACGTCGAGACTTCTCCTGGCATTGGATATACCCGATTCAAAACCGTCGTTCCGGCCCTGTTCCCCAATCTCTTTGCTGGTTTCAATGGATTGTTTGAACATTTTCTCTTCTCCAAAGACCTCGACTTCTCCAAGCACAAGATCGAGAAGCCTGGTGATGCGGCACACGTTAGCAAGACAGCGCAGCCTCTACTGCCCACTCCAGGCGATATCTTAAATGAGCATACCTTGTCGCAACTTTCACTCTTCCTACCTGGCTCTTCATTGTTTAGAAGGGTGAGGTTACTGTACTCGGGCAACGATGCTGGGTTTTCAATGGGCAGCCTTGAATCAAAGATATTTTACTGGAGAGCGCCAACCATCCTTTTGGTAAGCGGGACGAGGTTGGCAGACATCCCCGACGGTGGCCAGGAAGCATCGTTCGCAGCTTCGCTCCCAACGAAACGATCCCCTCACGGTAGCAAATCCGAGCGTGTGACGTTTGGGGTGTATCTCAGAGAGCCGTGGAAGCATACTCACAAAGAGTGCTTTGGCGACTCGGAAACAGTTCTCTTCCAACTGGAACCTATTCACGATGTCTTTACAGCATCCACGGTCAATACAGACTACGTTGCTTTTACAAAACCTCCTGGAAATCGGCCCTGTCTCTCGTTTGGCTGCCCTCACCCTAAACCGACGCAGGCTCATCGCAGGGAAGGGTTGCATGCCCTGGGAGCTGTTTCTCTACTGTTTGACGAGTCTTTCGAGTTTGGAGTATTCAATCACGACTACAAGTCAAGAGGCGGTGCTTTCCACACTAGCATCGTGAGAAAGTTTGACTTTCAAGACCGGTTCCGAATCGACAATTTGGAGGTTTGGGGATGCGGCGGTGACGATGAGGCCAAGGAACAGGCCGAGAGATGGGCTTGGGCAGAAGAAGCGGCTGAAGCCCGCCGTAGAGTTAACCTAGGAACAGCCGATATTGCGGCGGACAGAGCGTTGCTAGAAATGGCGGGCTTAGTAGGCGGAAATCGAAGTGGTGGCTCAATGGGATGATGATTCCCCCATGATGTTGATTTTCTGGTTTCATCATCGCAGGCGCTTGATTTGATTTGATAAGATGCTACCTCCATCTGGGATAGATGCTAATGGCAGCGTATAGAACACAGAGAATGATACCTGATGTAGCCACAAAAGCTGTTTCTTTCATTTTGGAGTTAACAACCAGAGCAGGGGTGATGAGCCATTCCCCCTATTTTTTAAACTATCGTACATGCTCATACAGTTTTTGAGAAATGGATTTATACACTTTTTTTCCTCTCTTGTTTTCCGAGTCGCTTGACTGTCAACAGAGAACGACTCATTTCTTGGAGTCATCATCCTTCTTGGATCCGTAGAGTTCGCCCAGCGCGCCGAGAGAGCTCTTTGGATTCTCTTTCCTCTTCTTGTCAGGCGCGGACTCCTCAGATGCTTGAGCCTCTGCCGCAGCCTTTTCACCCTTGGACCACAATCCCATTTTGCCCAAAACCCCTCCGGTGCCTTGCGTCTGTGCCTCAGCAGCAGGAGCGGCTCCTGCTTGTTCTGCTTGTCTCTGCTTTATTGCCGCCTTCATCGCCTTTTCCTCTTCGTCGCGGATCTCGAGCTCGTGGATCCATCTCTGGCGCTTCTCCTCCGAATCACGTTCCTCCTTGAGCTTGCGCAACTCCTTTGACTTTTCACGATCCTTGTTGTAGTACATGCTGCCTGCAACCATGGCGATGACGGTGAATCCCTGAGCGGCGACACGGGCGCGGAACATCTTGTTTGCTTGCCTGGAGTCGCCTCTTCGGAGGGCGCGGTAGGCATTGACGAAGGCGAAGACGGTCAAACCGATTCCTGTTGCGCGGTGGTCAGTCAGTCGCCCGGTGCTAGTTTATCATCAGTATGGGAGGGGATTGAGGCTCACCGAGAGGCACGAGGGGCTCTTCCTTGAGCTTGCGCTTGACCTTCTGCATCGGACCCTCATTGTAGAGCTCCCTGAAGCTGCATGTTAGCTGGTTTGTTGCCTACCGAGCGCTGGGACAAACGCACTGGTCGTCAAAAGACGAGGGCATATGCCCGGTGTATTCCGGCGGCCGGGCTGCCATGTTTAACGGGATGATTGTCTGTATCGAATAGCAAAGATGCAGTGGAGATGCACAGGCAAATTCGATACAGCAGCTTCCGAGAATCTTCAAAAGCCGTGCAAGATATCAATGGCAAGCGCAAAGGGTATATCGGGATCCAAGTTTTGTTCGATGACCACACGACTTGAAAACCGCACCATGGCCCCTCCACCTGCATCCAGGATCATACTTTCGGATCGGTCGCCGACGCTTTGATAGGTGGGATGCCAGCGCTAGCCCGCTTTGCTTAACAGCTGCGAGAGCCGCTAGAGCCTCTGTGGCTGGAGCGTGCTTGCTGAGCACACAAGTAAACATGTCAAGTGTGTTGCAGCTGCATCTGATTTCTAACACGACCGGCCTTTCTGCCTGTTACACAAACATCTTCAGAATCTGAAGCAAGCTGGGCACAACATACTGCTTAGTGTGACTCGCCACAGATCACAAATCCAAGCGATAGCGGCACTCATCCCTCGATCGCCGCCATCGTGCCAGCAACCGTCCAACTCCGGCCTGTCTTCGACCATCTTCGACTGTCCATCGTTGCCACAGCGAAGCACCCGCCCTCTTGCAAGCCGGTAGCCACGATGCTACAACAATAGCCATGTGGCTTTCGACTCCATCGGTCGAGTCTCTGACTCGGCCGCGAATCGCCGTCGCTCTTGTTTCGGCCATCGCCACAGCTTCGATCGGATACTACGTCTACCAGAGCCGCATCAACACTGCGCAAGAGGCTGTTCTGCCCGGCGGCGGCCTTCATAGAAGCAACGCCATCCGCCGTAGCAGACGACGATCCCGCGGACACAGACCCAGCTCTAGCTCTTCCTCTTCAGACGTGCCTGGCGACGAAAACGCTGAGAATGCCGACAATGCTGAAAACCAAGATGTCCCGGCCGCCCAGCCAGTAGGTGATGGCGAGACCGTCGTAGATGCGAATAACGATGAATGGTGGAACGATCCTAACAATTACCCTCCCCAGCAGCGAGCCGGTCATAATATTGTCAGCCTTTTATTTCGTGTTTCCGAGGACAACGCTAAGCGCAACGGATGCGTCCATAGGGGATGCCAGTGCAATTCATGTGGCATGGTTCCTATCCGAGGCGTTCGCTACCGATGTGCCAATTGTGCCGACTTTGACCTCTGCGAGACGTGTGAATCCCAAGGCGTACACATCAAGACTCACATCTTCTACAAAATCCGGATACCTGCACCCCCGTTTGGCCCCCGGCAGATGCAGCCGGTGTGGTATACGGGAGATCCCGACAGCTGCCGACGCAACTTGCCCAGACCTCTGATCACGAAGCTCACAAGAGAAACGGGGTTTGAGCGGCCGGAGCTCGAGGCATTCTGGGAACAATGGACATTTATGGCAAATACCGAGTGGAGAGATGATCCCAGTGATCTCGGCATTGCCATGGATCGCAAGACGTTTGAGCGATGCCTTGTACCGACGGGTGGTTCACGCCATGCATCTCCTAACTTGATTCATGACCGGATGTTTGCCTTTTATGACGACAACAAGGATGATATGATTGGATTTTCCGAATTTCTACGTGGGTTATCCTATCGCAAACGGAAGGATAAGCTGAAGAAAGTCTTTGATGGATACGACCTTGACAGTGACGGGTACGTCGACAGGCGTGACTTTCTTCGCATGTTCCGAGCCTACTATGTCCTATACAAGCAAATGCACAAAGATATCCTAGACGGTCTTGAAGATCAGCTACTCGCTAGTTCCGAGGCTCAACAGCTAGTCGCCAGCCGCCAACCCCTGAGCAGCCTGTTTGGGCGAGAAGGCAGAGTTCCGACAGCAGATGGTCCTCTGGCGTTTAGCGGAAAGCGGTTTTATCCCGATGGGCACGTTGAGCTGGAGGCCGGAATGGAGGACGCCGTTGTGCGCGACACCAGCGACACGGCGGATCGAGATGATATTCTAACCAACCTCTTTGCTAATGACACCGACCCGTATTCCCGTCGCCGGATGCCGCCCACAGATGATGTTGACACCAATTGGCGTACAGTCCGCACACTAACCACCAATGATGTTGACCGATCGTACTTTTTGTCTTTGATGCACCCGCCCGCTACCCTTGACGAACTGCCTGCAGCGGTCGCGGGTAACCATGAGCCTGATGATAATGCCACAGACGAGACGTCGGAGGACGGAACAACGGACGATAAGGAAGCCGATGATGATCAGGACCACGACAACCCTGAATATTCCGGATCGCAACGGCGCGACTCTTTCACCAGCGTCTTCCGGATGGACAGAAACCCCACCGAAAGCGAAATCAGAGCAAGCTACGTAACCCACTATCGCCAACACGGCCCCAGAATGACCAAGAGACGCCAAGAAATGGCTCGACGACGGCTCCATGAAAGGTGGAAGAGGAGGCATTTCTACCTGGACGAGGAAGAAGGCGGAGAGCCACCCTCACAATGGGAAGACGAAGAAGATATCCTCGAGACATCTGGCATCATGGGCGAAAGTTCAAAAGCCGCCAGTCCCCATCACGCATCGACACACTCACGCTCCAGCTCCAAAGTCAGATTTGCAGAAGATATTAGTGACTTGGAGTCTGGATCCAACAGTTCGGAGTCTTACACAAGCCAACCCGGACGCTCGACGTCCTTCACAAGCCAGCCTGAACGCTGGGCGGGGCTGGGAATCCCTGTCGCCGAAAAGGATGCCGGCAAGGAGATCCTTTATCAGGTCACGCAACAAGCGTTCAATGAGCTTCTCGACATCATCTTCAAACAAGCTGAAGACCTAGCAGTCCAAGCGGCCGCAACTAAGGAGCAACGAGTAAAGTACAAGTCTGCCATTGATTCTGTAAGTCTGGCGGATGAAAAGACAGAAAACGGCAATGGCGGCCAGCAGGAAGATGTACGAATTTACACAGAGACGGCTCCCCGAGATAGGACGCTCGCAGAACTCCTGGAAGAATCAGGATACATGCTCGATCAACAGGAGCCTAGGAACGCTGTGGAGATTAGTATCGTTGAAGAAATCCTACGAGACGAGCCTGTCGGTGAAGCCGTTGAGCACTCCTCGGATCAGGGCGAGAGCGACTCTGAATTCGAGTCTGATCCTCAAAACGAACCTGAAGACGAATACCGAGACCCTACCCTGCCGCAGTTTCGCCCTAATAGTGATGCCTCGGTCGCAGCACCCCTGCCACCACCTTCGTCCAAGCGCAAGGACAAGGAAAACTCCAAGGGTGAGACCAAGTCGAACTCAGGCATGCCACCAGCTGCAAAAAGGATATCGAGTGAACCATCGCTCAAAACTTTGCGGAGGTGGAAGAAATTGAACATGGCCGAGGAGCAAGCAGCTGAGCGTGGAGGTTGGGGCAGACTCAATTTTGCAGAGTTTGAGGAGATTTATAAGAACCAGGAGCATCAGGGTAACAGACTGGACTATCTTGGTAGTTGGATAGACTTTTGCATCCCCTAGGCGGGATCAAAGATCTTTCATTTCAAGCCGATGGAAATTGTTTTTGGGTAGAGACGATTCTGTCTGCCCGCAAAGATGTATACAGTTGGGAGATGTTGGCTACTGTTATTTTTCTACACGTAGCCTATATATTAGACCGACCAGCGATATCAATATGAGCTATCAGCGGATGAGATGAATATAACATCATTAAGATAAATACGTATAATTCCAAGTTCACAGCATGAGTGCTCATCTTTTATTCTTCCAAGGTAGCGCCAAGATGCTCCTTTCTTGTCTCCCCCAAAGCACCTGCAAAAAGTTGGAAAAGGGAAAGTTCACAGGAGACGATATTGTTATCCAGGCTCGGCTTACTCCAATGGTTTGTAACATCCAAATGCTTCCCTCTGTCACCAAGAATCATCACTCTGGTTTTTAAGCTCATCAAACTCGTCCTATGCCTGCCCTCCCTTTAAAGCCTACATTATTCATCTTATCAAGAGACAACAACAACAACAACCGTAGCAATCGAAAATGGCTGACGAGAGACGAAGCCCGTCATCGACTCCGAGTCCGCGTGGAGGGTCCCAAGACGCAAATCACGAGACAACACTTTACGGACGGATTCGAAAGTTCCTATGTGCTTCGGCAACAAGAAACTGCTTACTCGTGCTCAGCATGATATCCAAACTCTGCTTGGCTACGGCCGTGACGATTCTCTGGGCGCGGACGAAGCCCTTTGGTCGTTTCGGGCGAAACGTTATGGGTGAGCACTCTAGTGCCGGAACTCTTACCCCCTGGAGAATGGGGGTGTTTTTCTCCTTATGTAAATGAATGAAAACATTGGTGTAACTGGCGGTGCCTGTCTCTAACATTTTTGTCTCATTCTTTGTAGCGTGGGTTAGCGTGGGCGACTTTTCTATAACGAATCTTCTGCGGACAATTGAGTTTGTGCTCCTATTTCTGTCTCTGCTTTCTTTCTTTTCTCTGCTCTGATGCTGATGTGTTTGGCAGTTCTTTCATGTACAATCCTCCCCCGGATGAGGTGCCTATCCAGGACGAACCTGAGACTATTAAGATGACATCGGTCGTAGTGCAGCAAGATGCTCCTGCGCTGCCTTGTTTCGAGTTCGAGACAGTGACGGCAGCACAAGACGCTAAGGAGAGGAGCCTGCATCCAAGGAGTGACAAGGGCAATGATGGTGACCAGGAAATCCAAAAGGATACTCCCACACTGCCTTTTATCCAGTCCGTGAGAGTTATAACCCCTCAAGACGCTGAAGAGGAAGAAGTTGTTCCTGCGCTGCCTGTTTTCGAGTTTGTGCCCGAGACAGTTACGACACCGCAGCATACTGAGGAGGAAGAAGTTGTTCCTGCGTTGCCTACTTTCGAGGTCGGGCCCGAGACAGTTTCCACACCGCAGCGTACTGAGGAGGAAGAAGTTATTCCTGCGCTGCCTTCTATCAAGTCCGGGATATTTATGACGCCTGAAGACACTGAAGAGGAAGAAGTTGTTCCTGCGCTGCATTGTGTCGATTCAGAGACATTTATGACACCTGAAGACACTGAATAGGAAGAAGTTGCTCCTGCGCTGCCTACTTTCAAGTTCGAGTTCGAGACAATTACGACACCGCAACATACCGGAGAGGAAGAAGTTACTTCTGTGTCATCTTTGACCGAGTCTGAGACGATGACGGCGCTGGATGTTGCTGGACAAGGAGATAAATACTCAAAAGGCGATGAACGCGATGATTGGTACGAGGACAACTATTGCGGCCAGAGTAACAGCAGCAGCCAGAGCGACGACAGCGGCCAGAGTTGGGAATATCTCAAGGAAATCATTGACATATGGGGCGACGATATCTCCATAGTATCTCTTGATGAGGAGTGAAGATGAAAAAGGGGTTATTCAATGATCAGCCTCTGCTAGCGAGGAGCTATTTTTAGTTATGATTCACTGGTGTGTGTTCACAGCGAGCATGATGGCAGATTTGGCATAACAGCGGATAGTTCTTGAAGCGCAAGTAGTTATCAAAAAGTAGAGTCATCATTATTCATGCACAAGCTGTCTCCTCGCTGAATGGAGCAGAGTATGTACTAATTATATCCCAAACGCCAGCGTGATGATTCCTGTTTTCCCTCTCAACGCTTCCAATCCTCCCAACGCCATGATGTGATAAACCTTTAAGCAATATTGCACAAAACAAAACTCGCAACTTATACATCTGTCCTATCCAGCGCCTTGACAAGGATATAACTTGTCCCGGCAGCCAGAACACCTATTATCAGCGTCTGGATGGCGCCCCATAGGCCAGCTCTGTGATTCCTAATCGCGACATAGTTCTTGACGTATCCAAAGCCCAGGAGGATGACGACGGTGACGGCAATGGAGATGAAGAGCGCATCAGCAACCTTGTCCATGACGAAGTAAGGAATCATGGGGATGAGGCCGCCGACGAAGTAGCTCAGGCCCATGGTCACGCCGGAGATCCACGCGCGGTGGATGTTTGGCTTCTCGAGGCGCAGCGAAAAGTCCATGCGGAAGCGGATCCACTGCTCGCGGTTCTTGCACAGCTCCTCGACGAGCGGGGCGGCGGCCTGGCGGGAGACGTTGTACTTTTCCAGGATGCAGAAGATGTCGTCGCGCTGCTCCTGGGGCAGGCTGCAGCCGGCCTGGCTGAGCTGGCGCTTCTCCTCCGAGTTGTAGTGGTCTCGCTCGGTGACGGCGGCGAGGTAGGCGCCCAGGCCCATGCTAATCATGCCGGAGAAGAGCTCGGCCATGCCGCCCATGATGACGAGCTTTGTGCTGCCGAGGCTGGAGAGGCCGGCTGTGAGGGCAAAGGGAACCGTGAGGCCGTCTGAGAAGCCGATGATGACGTCACGGAGGACGTCGGTGAGGTCCATGCTTGAAGAGACGGAGGAGGTTATTGAAGAAGAGTCGGGCTGGGTGAGATATTTGGTGTCCCAAGGCTGCTCTGTGGCAGGCTCTGGAGATAGTAGAGGTGATGATTCTGAAGGTGGCTGAGACATGTTTGCTTGTAGACTTTTCTTATATGCTGTGGTGTTGTTTCGTTGTAGACAATGACACAGCTACGAATTTAGTAGTCTGGTTGGTGAAAACAGTCTTCAAGGTGATTTAGACAATAACTGCGAAGAGTGATGGCCAATTACAATGATGTTAAATAGAGCCGAATGTGTGTGTCAAGGCGAGCAGGAGATATTTATTATTGTCATGAGATCTGGTTTGTGAGATCGAGGCGGCCCCTAAGCGATCGGTAGTTGCGTATTTATGGAGCTCCCTTCGCATTCCGCCCGCAGGCCGAACCAATCGCTGTGTTTGTAATTTGAAATGCCCGCCTCGGAGCTATCTGAAAAGGCTTGAAGCGGTCGAGGTTTGACTTGAGTTGCTGCTGAAGTTCTTGAATCTCACTAACATGAGCAAGACGGGATTCTCAGCCAGGATGCGCGGGCCAATCAGCGTTGAGGGTTTAGTCAGCGACGAGTAACCAATTGCCCGATCGGGAAGTGACAATGGTACCAAAGCGGGCCCTGTGCCTCCGCTCTCCGTAATTGTGTACGAGATGTGATTTATCCCATTTTCTTCTTTTCTTCCCTTCCTCTTCTTCATCCCCTTTATAAGGAACAAAAGGGGGCGAAGGATCTCGGGGAAAAATGACGTCTGACAAAGACTCTCGTAGACCGAGCCGGGGGAATTGGTCAACCGTTTGTGCTGCGGCGTGAATTTGCCGTCCGCAAATCGCCACCCGCAGGCAAACTCCGAACTCCGAGAGTATACGGGCTCAAACTCGCTCGCTTTAGCCCGTTGCATAACAGCCATTGCCGGACGTATAATTCATAAAGGATTGGTGCCTCATCACGTGTGGAATTACTCATTTGCATCGGCCTCGGGCCATACCAAGAGATCGTCAAAGCCAAAAAGCGAATTGTTACTTGAAGCTGATGCTTCTGCGCCATCGGATTTCGAGTCGAGGGCTGCAGGCTCGTTGAGGAATCCAAAGTCAAAGTCCATGTCAATGTTGATCAGGTCGAGCTGCTCTGTCCAGCTCAGTCCGCTCTCGCTCCCATCCCCAGGACTCATGCTCGCGGCCTTGTCTCGTAATGTCTTCAAATACTCCACGGGGGTGACGCCAACGCACTTCTTGAAGACGCGATGGAAATGCCACTTGGATAGCCCCGTCTTCTTCGCCATCTGACTCAGGCTCATCTTCATCTCCCCCATATCTCGGCGCCCGTCGCTGACAGACTCTTGGTGCCGCACAAATGCCCGGATCTTCTGTACTGCTTCCTCCTCAGGCATCAGGCCTAGCACCTCGGGCTTGCACCGCTTGCAGGCTCTAAAGCCGTTTTGCTTAGCCTCGTCTCCCGTGGCATAGAAGCGCACATTTGCACGGCGAGCCAGTCTGGCTTTGCAGGTTGGGCGGCAAAACACCTTTGTGGTGCGAACTCCGTAGACAAAGAAGCCGTCGGCATCGGCATCGCGCGACTGGACGGCTTGCCATTTGCTGTCATCGTCCAGGAAGAGGGTAATATGCATGTGCGGCATATCCATGATTGTGGGTAGAGGTATATCTCTATGAGTGACTGTAGACGTTGTTCAAGACGCGATAAAGGGAATTGTTATATTGCTGATACTTGTAGTTCCTTCGATAAGATTGCCGAGCTGGCCAACTTGATGCCAAGCAGGGCATATCGAAGCATTTAAATACCTGAACGACGATGAGATCCAACCTGTGATGCTACCTGCGAATTGGTCCGTCGTCGTTGAGGAAAAAGCGGGCCTTGCTTTTAATATGACCAATAGGGTTGGATACAATAAGTGGGATTGCGAAGTGCCGAAAAGTGCGATGACTAAGGTAGGTGCTAAGATGGAATCTGTAGTTCATCTCTACTTGCTTTAGATATCGATCTTATAGCCGACTTTAGGCGTCTCCGTCCTTGCTTCTAGAGTATACCAGCATGATTTGGCATTCTTGTTCAATGATCTCATATTTCTTTCGAGATCTCGTTTAGTTTGGATGCCGTATATAAGCACGTGAGCATGTGAGAATTTCACATTTGAAGCTGACGTCTTTTTACTAAAAACTGAGCCATTTACATCATATTCACCTTTTGAATGTTTCTCTCCGCCCCATCGCTGATAACTATGCCTAATATCCAACAATTAATGAGGAAGAAAGCCAATGAGGCCAACCACATGCCCGGGAAGAAAGTGCTGTCACCAAGGAACTCCAGCTGATACCCTTGCTGTAGCCAAGCGGCCTGGCCCAGAACCCAAAGCAACAGCGCCGTGATGCCGAGCCTAGGGACACGAAGCATAGATGATCCAGGAAGATAGAGAGGCAGGAAGATCATATACCATAGAAAGTACTATACAAGAATGTGAGTTGGCTGGATTCCGGAATGGAGGACATGCGCTCAGCTTACCTGTGAGGTGCACACTTTGTTGAAGGTGACAAAGGCAAAAGTTTGGGCCATCATGGACGTGGCAAGATCCTTTTTGGCAATGACAAAGGGGATAAAGAGGCATGAGAGGAGCAGTTGGGGGAGGAATGCATGAAGGGAGCTGGATGATGGGTCGGCAGAGGCCAGATAGAGGAAGATGTTATAAGGCGAGAAGTTGTGGCGGTGGTCGATGCGGGTTACATGGTGGAAGTATGAGTGGGTGAGAAAAGGGGTGCCGTAGCTGCAATGCGGTTCATTAGCGGGAGATGATTTCATGTGGTGGCTTGAGAGAAAAGAGAGACGACAATTAGAGAAGACGCACATATAATACATGAGGACATTGAGCCCCATAAAGGTCGACAAACTGATGAGAGTGAGTTGAATCCTCTGAGGGGAGAGGAACTTGATTACAGCCCCAGCAAATGAGGCCGGCAATTTAGATACCCCCTTCCCAAGATGCTCATCGTCCATCCACCAGATGATGGCGGGCGCATAAATAAAGGGGTAAATCTTGAAATGCACACCCAAGCCCAAGATAAAGCCAGCCACGCTAACCCTCTTCCCTTCCACAGCCCACAGCAGGGCCATTGTCAAAACGCCCAGTAAGCCCTCAGAGCTGCCTCTGGTGCTGATGGTCGCCACCATTGGATTCCAAAGCCAAATGGCGGCAAACGCACCGGCTCTCTCAGCGCTCATGCCCCTCTGCTTCCTCAGCACCCTGACGATCAACCATCCGGCAAGCAAGTCCGCCAGAGCAAAGACGACCTTGCCAAAGGAGAAGAGATGCGGCTTGGCAGTGGGAATAAGCATCCATGCTAGGAGGGGCGTGTACCGGTACGTTTCTCTAGAATACGGACTGAGACCATTGGACACGTAGCGGGCGGCATCGGTGAAGACAAGATAGTCGATGTCGGTGTATTTGACGGCAGAGTGGGCGTCTTGCCAATTGCCGTAGAGGAGAAGAACGAGGCGGAGGAGAGCAGCGAGTGAGAAGAGGGGAGCTGGACGAAACAACGAGGAGAGGATTGAGGATGACATGGTTGCGAAGGTTGCCGATTGCTCTAGATATCAAGGGGACATGAGACGGCTCTAAGGACAGCGTGTTGCGATGGTTGGTGGATTGGTGTCCAGGCTCATGGTTTCAGGTCTGGGCTGTCCAAACTAGACCAAGCCAAGCAGGGATCTGTGAGAATCAACGGTGTCTTGTAGGTTGAATCTTTATTCAAGAATGGATGGAGGAGGGAGATTCAGCTATGAAGCTTGAAGGTCGCTGAGATATGATGGTAAGTACATAAGCTGGAGCTTTAGCTCTTATGGGGCTCTGACCTCACGCTGCAAAATCCCAGTGGGAGCAACGCCTGCAATTGCGACTTTTTAGTGGCTGCTTTCCAAGGGCCGCGTCTCCACTCTCAACTACCCAAGCAATTGAAGGAACCTTAAGCTTGGGCGCAGATTCAACCAGCTTAAACAACCAGGACAAAAAAGAAAAAATACTCACATTCGCATTCTTCTCCTCTGCTCTCTATCCATACGGAAAACAACAGCTATGGCTGGAGGCGTCAAGAGAGACCGCGATGGCAATGCTCGTGCTAAGCCCACGCAGGATTTGCCGCGGGGCAGATTCCATGCCATGTTTGAGAACTTCCGAGATGAGCTGGACGAGCATTACGATCGCAGGGAGCGCGTCATCAAGGTGTCGAGAGACGTGACGGCGCAGAGCAAGAAGATGTCAGTCATTTGATCGTGAATCATTTTATTCTTGATTTTTATTTATCTAGCTTGCTGACCGTGACATTGTTGTTCCTTCTTGTAGCATTTTCACATTGCAAAGGTATCGTCATAAACCACACCCAAATGCTTAACTCAGGCAGCAGTGGCTCACTCTACGCAGGGTCAAAGAACTCAACAAGGATTTCCCACAGGGAATACATCAGGATGTTGACACACGCCTGAGCGAAATCTCAAAACTGCTCTCAACCATTACCGCCGATGTGCAGTCCATCAACCGCTATCGCTACGGTAATTCCCTGAAGTGCTTGGAGGAGCTCGTCGAGGCACTCTCATTTGCACACTACCTACGGCACCAAAAGGTCATCACACTAGAGGAAACGCAAGCAGCTACTCCCGCAGACGTCGTGCTGACACCGCACGACTACATGTATGGCCTGTTTGACCTGTTCGGAGAGCTGATGCGGTTCGCAACGGTCACGACGGCGCAGTCGGGCCAGCTCGTTGGCGATTACGAGAGGAACATTCTCAGCGACATACAGGAACTTGGATGCTCATTTGAGTTGCTACCTCAGATGCCAACCAAGGATTTTCGCAGCAAGATGGAGGTCATGCGGCAAAGCATCAACAAGGTTGAGAAGCTGGGCTATGGTCTTGTAGTAAGGGGTAGTGAGCGACCCAAGGGGTGGGTTCCTGACATGAAAGATGACGATCCTCGACCTTCATCACCTGTGTGAGGAATCAGGGTTGTGTCTATCGTCCTGTTGATTCACTGGTGCCTGGCCCCCTTTGAGACCAGGACTGCATTGTCAGAATGCTGAATTCTTTTTTTCATGGCGCTTTCCTTCTCTATCTCTTTTTCCTACGCTCATTTTCATGAAAAAGACATGTATGCCCTATCTCATCTGGAAGGAATCTCTGGTGGACTGTTTGGAAGGGGCAGAATTTGTTAACCAAGTGTCGGACAACTAGCGAGCAGCAATGAGTTCAATCATCAAACAAGATATTTACACAACGCGCTGCTCCCCCTTGATAAGATGCGACTGTGGCTTTAATCATAATGGTCTAAAAAGACACAGACGACATAATTTAGCTGGATCATACACTCATCACATACCGGGTTCTCCTTCAGTATGTATAACAGCCTCTACAATGCAGTCCTCGAGACAAAGGGCATGATGCCATCTCAGCATGACTATTACAACCTACTAATTATTTGCATACCTAAGTAGCTGGGGTATCTCAATATGTCCATAATATTTCGCCCACCTATAAGATCGGGATGCTAGATGACCACTCCCCTCTTAAGCGCCGCAACCTGTTTTATTCCCAGAACTGATACCGCCCAATAATAGCCCTTTGATGAAATGTGATTGAATAAAGTAATGTCAACCCAAATCTGAATAGAAGCCGCATCCGCAAAACGCCCATAAACCCGTAGCTAATAATCCATCCCAACCAGATCCCATTCTTCGCATTTCCACGCCTTCTTCCATTTCTCCAGTTAGATTTTCTCCATGTAAACTATGTCGCTCGAGCCATTAACATGCAGAAATTCGTCATAAGGTTCCGGATGGTCCATTTGTCCACAAAGGGGAGCGAACTCTTCACATTCTGGGCTGGGATAACTTGCGTTGTACCGAAGCAATGGCATTTGCAGGTCGTCTTGGAGCCCGACAGAAGGAGAAGCAGTGGCTGGACTTTGAGTGGTCTGAGCCTGGGGAGATTGGAGGCCCGTATTAGCATCCAGACGCTTTGGAGCAGGCAAATCGACATCATCATCGCCGCCCTCAGATCGATGACGCTTTAACGAAGTTCCCTGCGGAACTACAGAGGAATCTAGAGTCAGAGAGGCCGCCTCGTCTTGACCTTGGTCCTGGCTTTGGTTTTGGTCAGGAGTCGCAACCTGGGCAGGGACGATTTTCTGCTCCTCCTCGTCAGGCACTTCAAGCCAACCAGCCACCATTGCAGCAATATCATCGCTGTTCGTTTCCAGAAACATCAAGTGCCCGTTCCCGGTGACTCCAAACTGTGACAGATCGAAGTGGTCCACAGAGACACCCGCTTGTCTCATGAAGGTCACCGTAGCCCAGTCGAACATCCTGTGAGAGCTCGCCTCGGCAGTGAAAACAGCGTGACGCATCAGTTTAAGGTGAACCAGCTGCGGTACGGACTCTTGTCCAGGCTTGAGTGGTTCCTTTGTAGAAGTCACACATCCCGGCACGAATTTCTGGGCCATATAGCAACCCAGGTTATTGGGGTGTTGGCGGACCTCGAGATCCAGCACTGGGCCTTGAGATGGCTTTTTCGCCGGAGGGTCGAAGGTCAAAGGGACATCAGAAAGCCCATACTTTCGTACGCTATCGTCTCTGCTCAACCACGAGCTGTACTTTCGACCCTCGGGGTGGTTGATGTGAGCCTTCGCGGCAGGTGGCCCAGCAGGCTCGATTGCAACCACCTTGGCCACAAAGTCTGGCACAGCATCGGCGGCGAGCCAGGCTGCCGTGCATCCAGCTCCTTGTCCAATCAAGATTGCTTTTCCGATATTTTTGAGAAGACTGCAGAGGCCATTTTGAGCCAGTTGTTGTCGCACTGGCTTTTGCAGAAACAGAGCATGCTGAGTCCTCATATACAGGTCAAAGGCCGGATCACCACTCTTGCCAGTCTATTGCGTGGTTAGATGTGTGTCGTCTCAAAGCTTGCGAACAACAGAGATAAACTTACTCCGGGCCACTTATTGTGCAACCCAGCCGTCGGCCACGCGGTAGTCCCCCCAACGATGTGTCTCTCGGGAGCAGTAAGTTGATTCTCAACACTCTTCTCATCCATGTATTTTTCGCAGCCCATGAAGTCAGAGCAAAGGTCAAAATCGAAAGGTATCACAGACTGGCCGCTACCGGGCAAGTCAACGACGTACACGCGATAACCTCTATTGAGGAAACTAGCAGCCCAGCCGGCATTGCCGTCAGGCTTCGTGAACCAAACCTATGTTGGAACATGTTAGTGACTCTGCCTCAGCTTTGATCAAAGGTCTGCTGAGTCCTTGATAACTTACGAGACCATGGTGGAAGTCACCGTGGATGAGGACGATAGGGTTCCTATAGCGAACCACCATAGGCTCCAGACACTCCACGTGCATCTGGGCAACCTTTTCGCCGCCTTTACCAGGCCATTCTGCCGGCACCTTGCAACTTGTTCTGATACAAGTTGCTCCCTTTATAGCGCTAACAGTTGGCTGGGGATACGGCTCCGTAGCCACTATGGGCGGCATGATCAGGACTGCTTAGGTAGATGGGGTGGTTGGTGACTTGGAAGGAAGAGGATGAAAAGAGAGAGAGAGGAGGAGGAGGAGAGGAAGGAGAAGGAAAGTAGTAGAAATATTTTGAAGGGCATTTATAGATGCGCGCACGGAGGCTTGTGCTCAGAGTGTTTGCAGCTGGCGGTAGGCGGCGTTGGAGAGATTATGCCTGAGAGTGATATTGATATAGATTGGCATTGTTCACAGGCTGCTGTTTTGACAATCTAATAGGCCATTGTACAGTCAATGGCTATTCAGCATATCAGACTCAACAATACAATGAGGAATTACGAACACCCCTAGCTACTAGTTACCTGAGGTACTTTATACTAGGCAGTAGAGAATGTAACGATACTAGAAGAGAGTGATGATGCAAGAAGCATTGTGACTAGAGTATGCATTTCAGTATATGGCCAGAAAGTAATATCATTTTACCATCCCCAATAGCCACTGCAGTTAACCCGAGAATGGCAGTGTCGAGTAGAAGTGTCCTGCTAGACCTCAGACGAGCGAGAGTAGAGCGTATGTGGCATAAATTCGAAATATTTCATTACGGGTATCAACCTAACTTCACCCAATATCTCTCAATCTCGTTGCAGAGCCTTTCCCCCCTTGCGCGTTTGCCCAACCCCCCAAAGAATTACCCTACCAAAGCGATGCCAAGCAACAATACCATCAAACCCAACTGCAGCCCTTGAACCCCATGTATCCATGATTACTGAGTTTAACAAACCAACTCCGAGCTTTGTTCGCGTTATTTGACTGTCCCAGGGTATGAAAATCAAGATGAAAAATTGCGGGACAAAAAATTTAGAACCCGGATCCCATAAGCCCTCGCTTCGTGCTGATATAAAAAGCTGCAAACGCCTGGAAAAGAGAAAAAGAAAAAAAAGACGACATTTCCGTTGGCTTTTCCGCCAATGTATTTGTTCCATAAATGGGATTTTATAGGCTTTCTGTTTGTTTTTTGCGTTCATTTGAAATAAAAGTGCGAAAAATATCTGCACAGGATTTCTCGACCAAGTTGCTTTTGATATACTCCGACCAAAATCTGACCAAGTGGCTACTGAATAGTAATTCGAGTGGCAAGCGATCGATAATTGGACAGTTTCAAAGAGGTGATGCGCGGTCTGGATGGCTCAGGAGCAATAATCATCCGGCCATCTTTGCTGTAGACAATGTTTCCAAATGTATCGCTCAATCCGGGGAATGTGATGTTGGGTCGAACCCTATTCATTTCGTTGATGATGAAGTCGCTCCAGACTCCAGTGCATTTTCCATTTTGCATTAAGAAATACGGGTTCAACGGTGGCAACACGGAATCTGGTCACACAATATTAGCAGTTGATTGGTGAGGAGTCAGAAGTCGGCTGAACAAACCTAAGTCAACAAACCTGATCCTCAGGTATTCGATCCCCTTGAACTTGTCCATCGAACGAACCGCGGAAACAACAAGCTTCTCAAAAGCCTCGATAAACGCCATATCTTGGATTCCAGAGCCGGATTCGTGAAAGCTAAAGGACTGACGGCAGCAGTTCTTGACGGTGATGTCAATGGACTTGAGCCTCGTTGTTAGAGGGTCGGCCAATCGCATTGCTGCATCAAAGAAATGGTGGCAAACACGACCTGTGTAAGCAAAGTGCTCCAACGATGGTAAGATTCGAGCCATGCTGGAACAAAGGTGAGCCTTTTGCGCCACTTTATAATAAAAAGCCGGCATCACTCCTTCTCGTCGATAATCGCTCTCCATGCAGAGTGAAAGATTTGTGACATGATTGGGTAAGAGCGGCAAGAAATCCGAAGCTGTGATATAACTCTTAGATTTCGGCTTGCTATAAGATCCCTGCCACTCTTCCAGATTAGGCAATGCCTTCATGAGGACTTTGAAGTCGTCTCCATCCCTCATCAAATTCCACTGGCCCTTGGTTACCAGAGTGCTCACCGAGGTGAGAGGGAGAAGCTGCCGATCCTCCGCTGCCAAGCCAGGGATTCTCATGTCAAAATGAACCACTCGGGGTGCCTTGCGCCGTTCTCCACCTTCCAGCGTAAGAACCTTGGTCTCAGGAAGCGCGGCGGCAACAAATTGAAACACTTGCTCAAGGGTACAGTTGTTCCCAGGCAATGTATATGTCGCATTGGTCAACCCATCCGTCGTTACGGTGGGCAACGTGAGAGTGTTGGACAACGCCAACGGTCCGTACGTTGGTTGGAAAACGGGAAACCAAATCTCAATGTGCTTGATATACGATGAGAGATGGGGTCGCTCGACCAAAAAGTCCATGGCATTGTTTATGGAATCAAGCGTCGCCTTGAGCTTGATGTGTCGGAATAGCCTCTGTTGGACCAGGACGCTCCATACACGGTTGACCAGAGCTAATGCAGTGAGCTCCCGCCTCCGCGAATGGCGAAGTGCCGTGCTCCACCCCCTAGTCAAACTGGATATCCTCATTGTACTTCTCGACGTAGCAGACACGCAGTATCCGAATATGTGATCGAGAATCGCCTCATGGACTTCGGTGGGGAGTTGTTCGAAATGCCGCGCAGGCGGACTTCCGGCCGCAGCGTCAACGGGTTCGGCCGATGACTCGTCCCAGCCACTGGCATCGTGGCTCGACTCTGAACCCTCCAGACAGCAGATTTGCGGGCTTCGAGTTTCGGGATGTGGAAACGGCGTACTACTGGGCCGCGCGGGCGGGACAAAAGACGTGCTCTTGGCCATCTGGAAGGATGGGCTTGACGGACCGGGAGAAACGGGACTCGAAGTGGTGTTGAGAAACGTCGCTACCATGGATGTGGTCATGAGCGACGAGAAACTGCCGTCGTCGGAGTCGTCCGGCCGCATCTCGCCATCGTCTTGGCATTCAACGTCCCCCTCTTCCAGATAGTCGTCCAGATCCATCCTCAGGCTGCCAACGCTCTTTGCGTCGTCATAGCTTGCGACATCCATAGTTTCTCCCATGCTGCGTAGGCCTTCAAACCGCTGATTGGTAATTCGGCTAGGACAACAAGACACGCATTTCACGGCGAAGATGGTTGGGTGATGGGGCGTCGTCAGCCGTCTTCCAGGCAGTAGTCAATTTCCAGGTCTAGTTCGTGGGCAGCCGTACGCCCCCAAGCGACGCCTAGGGAGGAAACGTCTTCACAGGGCTCGCGGTGTCTCTCGGCGACGGTGGAAGCAGATGGAGTGAGGTTGCACAGAATGGGCGCAGATACAGATTCAGGTCAGTTTGGGCGGTCCGGCGAGATGAGATTTGCTGGCACTTTACGCGACGCACTCCCGGTCTCGTGCTCGCGTGCCGATACGGAGATTGCAGGCGACAGAGGGGGCGGTGCAGGAACAAGAAGGGCCAGATGATGGAGATGGAAGAGTCTCTTGTCTCGCCCGCACAGGAATGTAAAATGTAACAAGACAGCCACGAGCTGAAGAATGGCAGAGTCGGCAGCGGAGGCCTAACCAACAGACAAGAAGGGCGAAAAAAGACAAAGAGCACTGCAGACGGTGGGACTGCAAGGAGAGGAGAGAGAACGACCGTACGAAGTGCTCGGGAAGGGAAGGGAAAAAAATGAAATGAGGAGGCAACTTAATGGGCATCAAAACCCGTCAGACGACGGATGGCGCTCAGTGGCTGTTAAGGCACGTCCAGGGAATTGCGTGCAGCTCCAAATGACGATTGGGCGGCAAGCCGCTAAAATAACGCCAACCACCAGAAAAGTCGGATTGAATGTTTTTTTGCTTTTGCTCCGTATTGCGTATTGCGCAGAGCCAATCTCTTGGTTGTCCAAGGATTGATTGGCTTGAAAGACATTTCATTTGCACAAGTAAAATTACCCCACTTCAATATTATGCCGCCCAAGACAAGTCGAGACAGAGCTGGGAGGGAATAAGACATTTGATTCATTCATTGTGCTCAGTTTCTATTGCTTCACTCACCCTCGTAAGAGACGTCCCCTCCCATGACACTGAATAGAGGAGAACATGTATAATAATGGAATAAAGTCAACAACATCACATACCACGGCTACTGTACCTGTGTTGACGGCAGTTGGTTGGGACCCAGCCTCATACTGTAAGCACCTCCATCTCCCAATTTCCCGTAGGTTGTTTGTTAGGTCAGATACGCTCCGCCTTGTGGATTTTCCCGTTGATTATCTCGACGTCGTTCGTATACTCGCAATAGCTGCCGGGAACACCGCCGCCTAACACGGGTTAGAAGCACCCAATAGGTCGGGTGATGCCAGCAGATAAATCGTGATTAGAGCACCATCTGCCCTTGGGCTCCATGTTTAATTGCTGAATTTCCGCCGTCTCGGTAGCTCCCACACACTAGGACGCGCCAATTTCAGCGCTCCACTGTGAGGTTGGTGGAAGCCCATTCGATTGGCCAAGTGGAAGGAAAAGAGAGAGAAAAGTATTGATGAATAAATTCCACCCCGAAGATGCTGGATGTTGTCTCACTGTTTGCACCATTGCAAACGCGAATGTGAAACTTATGACACATCTGCCTGCATGTCTGCAGTGAGCTTGGTCAAATACACGTATTTGCAAGGTGCTGCATACATGTGCCTGCGAATCATTACTCGATTTGACATGCTGGTTTACTCACACAACCGTGGCAATGACCATCCCAATGGATTCCCCAATTGTTTTCTAGCAACTGTCAATTAGTATACAGAGCTGTCCCATAACAAGGGCATGAAACCCTGTTATATCAAATCTCGAGATCCAGGGTAGGTATTGTAGAAGCTGTTAGAATAAATCTAGCAACTTCGAAAGTTAGTGGAGGCGTGGAGATGCTCATTCTCAAGCGATGAAAATGTAATTATGACAGCATACTGGCAGATGGTATCTACACCACCAGACCAGTAGCAGCCTGTAGAGAATCATGACTACCTATCTATCTATATATTTCGTTCTCTCTATCTTTATCCACCAAATGCACACTCTGGGATATATCCTGGCGTAGCACGGCAAGGCATCGATGGAGTGCTGAATATGTACATTTACATGTTACGGACGTGTACATGAAGCAACTCCCACGACTAAAGGCTTCTTACCCCACGACTACCTATTATTACACATGAGGATGTCGTCCTATTAATAACTGCAAACGTAATGAATTTTAACAGAAACCTCTCGTCGGCCTAATCCAAGCCCCGCGTGAAACAAAAAGAGCCGGCAACTACATGTACCGTAGCCCCAAAGTAAACATGAGACGAAACCATCCACCAAACAGCCAAGCCTCCATGTTGGAGATGGCCATCGCCAAGAATCCCACGCCGGCGCACCAGGCAAAAGAGGCATGGCTGATCTTGGAATCAAGCTCAGTGTTTGACCACGACGGGCTGGACAGGATTGAATCAAGTCGCGCCATCACGGAGCTTCTTCTTATGCTTATTTCGACCCAGTTCAAGAGCGTCATCCGAGACGCGAAATGTTAGAGCCAAGATGGGTAGACTGCGAATAGCCCCCAATCCAGCTGCCTATTCATAGATGGCTGCAGAGGCGTCACAAACTAAAGTAAGGTTGATAACCTTGGCTCAGATCATACATGTACTGGTGCTACTCCGTCCGCTACGGAGTCTGGGTTACAGGTTGTCAAGGTAGACCCTTGCAATGCACGAATAGCCAGCTGTTGTAGTCTGCAGCTATCCATATCCCCTCACACAGGGATGGTATTGTGTTGAAAGGGCCTGAGCAGGCCATAGGGTTTGCCCTGTCATTGCTTGGTACATGCACATATAATGATACAGGTAGATGATGCACTCGTAAATATTACATGTACTTATACGACAATACTTAGTACCTGTCAGGCTCTGATAGCATGATGTGTCCTCCATCTGCCCGGATATCGCCGAGACTATACGAGTAGGTACAAACTGCTTGCAAATCTTGCAATAATTTGCATGTATGGAATTTCGCATTGTGGCCCCGTGATGAGGCGAAGCAACTGAAGGCATGCATGCACGTTGTTTTAAAGGAGTTCGTATGCGTTGGCAAACGGAAATTGCTCACTCAACCTCAAACACCACGGAGCACAGACACTAGCAGATGGCCTGCAGCCTGTCAGGGCGTGCCCTGGCTCTGCTGGGGTCGAATGCGTGCGATGTGGGGAGGACGAGAGTGGGATTCAACTCTAAGCCATGGGTGTCTATGACAGCTGTTATTCCACTTCTGGCAGCAGGTCAAGGCATGTTCCGGTGACTTGCATCGTGATGCAATTTGCTTGATATCAGGATGCCTTATTGGGCCGATTGCTTTGATGGCACTCGTATGCAGAACTCCATCTGTTGAAGCACTTGAGAGGGAGTAGCATCGGCGAAAAGCATTGATGGCTTCTGTTTATACCACATGCTAGTTGAGGCAACGATCTCCGTTCTCTTGCTTTATCTGCGTCGCGCAAAAGACACACCGCCATGTATTGTAGTTGTGGTATACTAGGATAGGTGCATGATGCGATAACATGGGAATTGCGGTGTGGTGTTCATGTCAACGTGATGGCAACGACTAGAGCAATCATGAGCTCGTGTTCATCTGGTAGGTGCCTGCTATAATCCATCGACGCTTAGACAACCTACTTAAGTTAAGCAAACAAATAAGGTAAACAACATGGAGAACAAACAGATGCTTATTTTCCCAACCCGCGTCTAACCTCAACGCCAGCAGCAAAAAAAGCGTCGAATCTCGACGTTTGAGAGCCCTGCATCGCAACGCAGCGCAGAGGACCAGGCAAAGTCGCTGCTCTGTAGCGCGCGTTTCAAGTGCCTCTTTGCTAGGCCAATGGAAGAAGGTTCACCAACTGGATGGAACAGGCGCCGAGCTTAGAGATTTACTAGCGCTGCGTTTCAGGGGTGGGGCGCTGGATGCCCCTGACGCCACCCGACGCTAATTTCCAGGGCTGCCGAATTTCTGCAGATGCGTGTGCTTGAAATCAATGTCTGAGGTACCTGGTACGTGATACCGTACTCTACAGGTTCTCGAATCATGAATGATGCAAGTTGGAGGTAGTACTCTCTTTGAAAGCTACAACAATTGAGGGGAAAAGACGCCGAGTCAAGCACCGTTCAGCTTAATACGAAGTGATGGTGAGCTCATCATATTGTAACCTGAAGTACAGGAACAAGCGTGAACACCAGTTGGTGCATGCAAGAAAGCCAAGCAAGGGATCTGCGTTGGACGATCAACTTGGAGGCATTTATAGTAGCATTCACGTTTAGATCAAGCCGCATCTGGTCGACGCATCAAAGGACAGCTGAATTTGCAAGGTGATCGTTACCTGTACCAATGATTGGCACTACTGCAATCAAAACAAGCATAATATGCTATTATTGCCACTTGATGCGCGGGTGTGAGATGGCGATGTGCCGCTGCCCCCGAAGATCGATATGGCGCTTGTGGCACCTCTGCAGATACATGCTCTCCAGTACCACCGAATGCAGATGAGTGAATACTAATACTATTGAGAACATTGAAGTCACATCTATGAATTGACGCAACATAGGTAGCATTAGGCCCGAGATGTATACGTGGAATGGCCGAAGTGCCCGTTTGTACAAGTACCTGGTACCTGACGATCTGCTACCCCCATTGCCTTGTACCTCCAAGTAGCCGCCGCAGCGAGAAATAATGGCAAAATCTCAGCCGCTGACATCCGTTTCATTCAAACAAAAACTCTCTTGCCAGGGCCCTCGGGCTGAAGCATGAAATATGCATACCGGATAGTACAAGGAGAAAAGAATGCAGGAACAAGACAAAAGAGCTCGCAGCGTTTGAGCGTTTTCCAAAACAGCTCCCGACGTTTTGCGATTCGCTTGGCGGCAACCCCTGCTCACCCGCTCTGAGACATGCCAGTCTCAGCATCTGGGCCACGAAGCTGCAGGTACCTGGGCGGCGTGATTGCCACCACGCGCTACAAGAGCTTGTGGCCACTGAAAGTTCTGCAGACAGCGACAGGCCCCGCTGGCAGGGGCTTCTCCGGCCCCATCGCTGAACCACGGAGGCCGGAGGTCCCTGGGCTTGGCTTTCCATCAAGTTTTCAATGGCTTGCGAGGCCACTCTCTCAGGTTGTCTTGGTACTGGTACTGGTACTGGTACTTGTACCTGGCCGGAAATCCACTTCTTTCTTCTCCTCACTCTGCTCCCCCATGTCATTGTTTTCCTTCTTTTTTTACTACTACTTTACTTAAGTACTTCATTTCCTCTTCCTTATTTTCTTTTTTTGGATCTTCACATCTCCTTCTCTCTTCCATTCAAGAGTCTCCGGCCTGGTCCTCCGCACTTGGATCATTCATCATCTCTTCGCCGTCTTTCTTTCAACGTCTTACTTATTGCTGAACCGAGTAGCTGGCTATAGAGGACCGTTGATCGCACATCCTCTCATTAGCATTGATACTACTCTGTTTACTTTCTCTTTCGAGAGCATCGATATATTCATTCATTCACTAGAAGACGGCTGGCCCTGTCCTCACGACAAACTCGTATTAATATCCATCATCTTCCTTTTCGTCATCGCGTGTCTCCAAGTCTTCAATCAAAATGGCTCCCTTCAACACCATGCTCGCATATCTCCTCCTGGTCGTGGCCCCTCTGGCGGCTGCTGTGCCTTTCCATAACCGCCACTCACTGGGCGGCCCTCAAACACACGCCCATAACACTGTCAACAATATCAACCTCGCGCATCTCATGAACATCGTCGTCAACCCCACCGCCAAGAACATCATCCCCGGCCGCTACATTGTCGTCTACAACAACACCTTCGGCGATGAAGCCATCTCTGCCAAGCAGGCCCAGTTTGCTTCCACCATCGCCAAGCGCAACCTCGGAAAGCGCAACCTCGTCGGTAACCTGCTGTCCACCGAGATCCACTCCTTCAAGATGCACACCTGGCGCGCCATGGCTCTCGACGCCGACGACGACATGATCAAGAACATCTTTGATGCTGAGGAGGTTGCTTACATCGAGGCCGACACCAAGGTCCAGAACACTGCCCTCGTTGCCCAGACCAACGCCACCCCTGGTCTGATCCGCATCTCCAACAGGAACGTCGGTGCTGCCAACTACATCTTCGACACCTCTGCTGGTACCGGCATCACTGCCTACGTTGTCGACACTGGCATCCGCGTTACCCACACCGAGTTCGAGGGCCGAGCCACTTTTGGAGCCAACTTTGTCAACACAAACGTAAGTGTTCTCATCTATAAGGAGAAAGCGATGGTCAAATAAGGTATCTAACAATCAGGCTCAGAACACCGATGAGAACGGTCACGGCAGCCACGTCGCCGGTACCATTGGTGGTGCTACCTTTGGCGTTGCCAAGAACGTCAAGCTCGTTGCCGTCAAGGTCCTCGATGCCAGCGGCTCTGGTAGCAACTCTGGCGTTTTGAACGGCATGCAGTTCGTCGTCAACGACGTCCAGGCCAAGAAGCTCGGCGGCAAGGCTGTTATGAACATGTCTCTCGGTGGCTCCTTCTCCACTGCTGTCAACAACGCCATCACTGCTCTGGCCAACGCCGGCATTGTCCCCGTTGTTGCTGCCGGTAACGAGAACGTACGTTGATCTCCGCTCACCCCCCTCTTGTAACGTCATTCTGACAAAGCATTACAGCAAGATACTGCCAACACTTCTCCTGGCTCTGCCCCCCAGGCCATTACCGTCGGTGCCATTGACGCCACGAACGATGTCCGTGCCAGCTTCTCCAACTTCGGTGCTGGTGTTGACATCTACGCCCCTGGTGTTGACGTTCTCAGCGTTGGCATCAAGTCTGATATCGACACTGCAATTCTTAGCGGTACCTCCATGGGTAAGAACCTCAGCCTTTATATACTACTTGGGTATGAAGAGACTAACTCGTTTTCCAACAGCCACTCCTCACGTTGCCGGTCTTGCCGCCTACCTGATGGCTCTCCAGGGTGTCAGCAACGTCAACGATGTCACCAACCTCATCAAGAACCTCGCTGCTAAGACTGGTGCCGACGTCCAGCAGAACGTTGCTGGAACCACCAACCTCATCGCCAACAACGGCAACCTCTAAATCATGACCAATTAGACAACTCTAATATGAGTTAGAGAGCGCGCACTCCAAAACTTGTTATATCTTGCCATTTCATAGACATATATTTTTGAGAAAGAGAGATGACTTGGAAATGATAGTAGGGCATTTGCCCGAGAAGTATAATTAGATGGTGATTATTGTCAGCGTACGGGCTACATGTAGATATAATAGAGAACAATGCCCTGATTATTACATTCATGAAACATGGCGAGCGGTTGTATTTAAATGAGAACAATGCAATTGGCCATCTGACAATAGCAGAGAAGCAGCGAACATCAAAGAGCTATATAATATCAAAATAATCGCCGTTCATTGATGCAATGATATTGTCTATCAGTCACAATTCAACGCCATGCAAACCCCATTCACCACGGCAACATGTCACAAAGCCTAGTGGCACAATGAAATGTTCGCTCGCCAACACGGATCCAGCCTCGTCAAGGCCAAGGCCAAAAGGTTCCACGCTGCGTCATCTCGTCAGAGTAGACCAAAAGCAAAAGTTGATATCAGCACTTCTTCGGCACAACCACAGTCATGAAAGGACTGGATTGCAATTTGACATCCGTGCTAGAATAAAATGTAGACGAAAAAGAGACACCACGTTTTCATTTCTCTCCCAAGACATACCACCTGTTTTGATCATCGTACAGAAAGTACCATTTCCTGTCGATTTTAGTATTGAAGACGTTAATTATGATGGGTAAGTATATATAGTATGCTTGGCATATATCATGAGCCAAGATTATATGTAGTACATGAGGGCATCAAGGCATTGCAATTAGTGATTTGATTCGTAAATCCATGATGTTGTTACAATTCGTCGCGAGTACCCGTTATTGAAGGCGCAGAACCGGCGCCGCTGCCTGCAAACAGCTTGGCAGTATCGGCCAGAGTGTTGTCGAACTTGGCGCCGAAGAACCAAGCAATGCCAACCTGTTCATCATTAGATTTACCAAGTCCATGGGCTTTGAAAGACGTCGGACTTACCATCAGGCCCGTCATAGTCAACAAGACACCAAGAACGACAGAAACCATAATGGCAGTTTCGCCGGCGGTCATGCTGGGTTCCTGCGTCTGCTTCGCCTTGGCCTCCTGGGCCAACTTCTTGGGGTCCTGCTTGGGGAACAAGCTTTCGATGAATTGCTCAATCTGGAAGAATATTAGCATTCTCATTCATGTCAAGTTTTCTTCAGGATGGCTTCGTACCTTGGCGCACTGTGAGCTGATTGCCAAGTAGTTTGGATCGCGAGGGTCGTTCTTCTTCTGAATGCGCCTGGCATATCTTCGGAAGACCTCGCAGAGAACTTCGAGATTCTGTGTGCTTTCCAACATGATCTGGCAAGCGTCTCCTTTGGTGATCTTAACATTCCTCTCCAGCACAAGCGGGTTCCTAAAGCACAGCTCCAAGGTAGCAATGGCCATGCCTTGTGGAATGGCAACAAAGTTGAAGGCACTTTGATCCCTCATACCCGCCATGTAGAATAGGCACTCTTCAACGTGCTTCAGAGCGTCGAGCACCATGGCTGATATGCACTCTACTGCCTGTGTTCGATGCTTGGCATCAAACAGGTCTTCCCATCGGTCAACGTGCTTGCTCCAAATCTCCTTTGGATACCACCGTCGGCCGTCCACCCAATCTTCGTGAATGTCACGGATGATGTTCGTCTTCTGCAAGAACTGACCCATGGATTCGGTCAGTTCTGGTCTATCAGCCAGCTTCGGGTTGGCAAGGTTGGAAGCCACCAATAGCCGGGTAAGGCCCTCGCCAACCAACCCCGCAACGTAGTGGCAGTACAGCTCGTATTCCTCGATAGTCTGTACGCCGTTTTCGATCATATAGGTATTTTGTGCGTAATCAGCCATGCCGTTGCCCATCTTGATGGTCATGTCTTTAATGATTTCATAGTAGGGCTTCTTGATCTTCTTGAGCTCGGTAATGACGCAGTCAAACTTTTCCAGAAGTTCTCGGTCCTTCTCCTTGCTCTCGTGGTACTGCCAGCCGTCCTGTTCCATTGTCACATGGAATTCCCGCAACATAGGGACTTTGGTACTGAGAGGGATGGTCATGTCATCCTCAATTGTGTCGAGGCCACGTAGCACCAGGTAGAAGAGTGTTATAGGGACGAGAAGCTCATGGTTGAGTTCTTGGATAACGGCCGAAAAACTACGGCTTGTCAAGTTCAAGAAGCGGAAGCATTCTGATAATGTTGCGCACTCAGTGCTGGGGTCGCGGCGGTTAACGGGGTCGTGCCATAGCTTCCTACGGCGTCCAAGTTAGCAATGAGTTGCGAAATCGGCCCTGGCCCTCTCCGAGGCGTCCTAATGGCTAGACATACCATTGAAGAATGGAACGCAGTTGGCCCGGGTGCATTAAGTAGTAGATGGCGCCCATTGTGATTGTGTGTTGGTGCGCGTTTAAAGGTTGCGAAATGGCAAAATTTTGTAGAGCTGTTGCTGCTCTCTACTAAGCAAAATTAGGCGTCTAGCTACCGTGTCCGCAAGACGAGTGGAATGCCGGGAAAAAGAAGAAGAAGAAGAAGAGAGAAGAAGTAATGGGATGGGGTATATAATAAAACAAGAATTGCTGGTAAGAAGATAGAGAGCCGGTAGAAAACAAAGTGAGGGAATGGAAGGATTGATGGGGGGAAGTGGAATTATAGCAAGCTGTGCAAATGAAAGATTGCCAAAAGGCTGCCAAGAAGTGGGAGCTGGTGGATACGAATACGGCTGAAGGACGCTGACCCCCCCACAGTTGCGCACACACCAAATCTGATCCGGCTGGTTAGATAGGGTTAGCAGTCCATAGTCTGCCAATCTGCGTAGATTAATTTTGCCGATTCGATCACTTTGCTGCCGCTGCAGGGACGCTGGTTTGAGCTAACTACAGCGAATACGGAATGGAGGATGAAAGAGTTTAGGGGTAAAAGGCGGGAGAGGATATTGGCTATTGGCTATTGGCTATTGGAAGGGTGGCTGTTGGGGTTGAAAGAGGAAGAGCAGCGGCATTCACTGAACTTGCTTCAACTCCGTGGGCCACAGAATATCCATAGCAAACTACTCGGGCTTACTCCGTAGACTACATGTATGATGAATTATGATGCTGCTCGGTTAATGGGTCGTACATCCGAGAAAACAGGCAAAGGTACGACTAGGAAGTTTCACACGCGGTCGTGTAACTCGCTTCGAAGCGCCACCAATGTTATCTATGTACTCAACTCCGTAGCTCTTACTGTACCTACAGCATATCCCCTGCGTTGATGACTCAGCTAGAGGCGTTTTTCGTCGAGGCTCTATCCTATCCTATGCGGAAAAAATAGGATGAATCGCAATCGATCTCAGCGGTGAAGATGCAGGTAAAATGAGACAATGCAAGAATGCTGAATGAGGCTCCTGATAAAGGCCTTGGCAGAAGTGATTGCGATTGGGCACGAAATCGGGCGGAATTATCTCCAAGTGTATTGCCGGGAGACAGTCAACTCTGTGGGGGCATGTTTTTGCGGAAAACCGGAGATCCTGGTGGGATATACGAAACATCGCCCTGTTGATGTAGATGGAATCACATCACATCCATGGGTCCTACAACTCCATAGCCGACTGTTTCAGAACTACCATATTTGCCGTACTTATGGATGAATAACCGCAATGCCTATTGATCGGCCAATCGCCACCCCTTTTCACTTACCGAGTAGCACCTTCGCCCAACTTGGCAAACTTTGGCCGGTAACTAAGAGCATAATATTCTGATGCAGTGAAGATGCACAAATTGGAAGATGGAAGCACACATTAGGCAGGTACTTCATTGGGAGCATACGTGTACTACCAAGGTACTAAATTCACGCACGTCAGGTGTATCTGATATGCGTACCGTAAGACCTAGTACCTGCCAGTAATACAGCTCCAAGGTTTTTTATACCCACAAACATCGTATCAAGATGCCAAAGGTGTCCCCAGAACAAGTCATGTACTACAATGTAGGTTGAAGCAGGTAACACTTAGTAAAAAGGCAAACCGTGCCTTCGTTAGCAATTTAGTTCTGATATGGACAGCACTTGATCAGGCATCACCTTCCCGTCAAGCAGCAAAAGACTGCACAACAATGACCAAGAGTAGCTCCTTCCTCAGCTTTGCTCCAGAACGTGAAGAATGTGATTGCCATATCCCACCATCTCTGATCGGCCATGTCTGAATATCTTGATATTCCAACTTCATAAGGAAATCCGACCATCAAAGGTCCGGCTACTATTGCTGTACTCTGCAACCAAAAACCAGAGAATCCTCCATAATTCGCATCGGATAGATTCACTACAATGGCGAGTTGGGAATCAAACGGTCATATCCAGCAGCCACGCTTCCTCATATGGGGAGGCAATGGTTGGATTGCTGGTCAGTTGAAACGCCTTCTTGAGGAGCAGGGCAAGGAAGTTCACACCACGACAATCCGCATGGAAAACCGGGAAGCTGTGCTTTCGGAGCTCTTCCTCATCAGGCCAACGCACGTTCTGAATGCCGCCGGATGCACTGGGAGACCAAATGTCGACTGGTGCGAAGACAACAAATCCCAGACGGTACGATCCAACGTCATTGGCACATTGAACTTGGCAGATGCTTGCTTCCAAGCCAAGATCCATTGTACCATCTTCGCTACGGGCTGCGTGTATCAGTACGACAAGACACACCCCATCGGAGGGCATGGTTATACGGAGGAAGACCGCCCAAACTTTGAGGGAAGCTTTTACTCTTTAACCAAGAGCCACGTTGAGCCGGTAAGCCCAGTATTAGATTGTGTATAACATACAACGAGGCTAACACGTTTCTAGATCCTAAGCAGTTATTCCAACTGCCTCATTCTTCGTCTTCGCATGCCTGTTAGCGATGACCTTCATCCGCGCAACTTTGTGACAAAGCTCCTTGGCTACGAGAGAGTAGTTGACATCCCCAACAGCAACACCATGCTTCATGATCTTTTGCCTGCTTCCATCATTCTTGCGGAGCATGGTGAGACTGGTATCTACAACTTTACCAATCCGGGTGCCATCTCCCACAACGAGGTTCTTACGCTCTTCAAGGAAATTGTGAGGCCAGAATTTAGCTGGAAGAACTTTACCCTGGATGAACAAGCTAAAGTCATCAAGGCAGGCCGCAGTAACTGCACGTTGGACACGACTAAGCTGGTTGCTAAGCTCAGGGGGTACAGATATGAGATTCCTGAGATTCACGAAGCCTACGAGAAGTGTTTCGAGAGGATGAAGGCTGCGGGCGTAAAATGAGGCCTGGCATTGGGCTTGCCGCGATTCATCCATGACTCGGCTGCATGGATTTTGTGCTGTTGTCGAGGGTATCTCGTCTCAGTTAGCGCGTGTTGTCGCCCATGATATTCATCTATATCTGGTGACCAGATAGGTAGTTTCGCCAATAATGCACTATGTTCTTTTCGGCCTTTGGTTTGAGAGTTGTACGACGGCTGCTTTCTTGTGAGAAGGCTGCCTAATAGATAGGTAGTCATGTTCTGCAGACTGCATTGAGTTGAATCGGGCGTGTACGAGTATGTATGCATATTAAATAACCATCGGAATGGCAACATCGGGATCCCGCTGATTGGCAGCCTGCATGTGGATTTTCATGTGAAAGGCGTTGGTTTGCTGCTTACTTTGGCCCATGTGCCTACCCTGAACCCTGGCGATCAGCCATCGGATTCGCAGTTTTCTAGCCGCCCATCACCAATCTGGCCTCAGTCCATGCCGAGCACTGGCTAGCAGGCACTGCCCCGCCATTACGTAGCGCCGACGAAACATGGCACACTCGACTTTGGGCAAAATTTCGGCTGCGGAGAGCGAATATGCCATCCCTCGACTAATGCCGCGATAACAACTTACATCTCCCACAGCGCCGCCAGCCGTTTCGCTTTTCTTTGCTTTCGCCAGCATAGCATCTGAAGCGCCGTATTCACCGGATAACCGTTAATCATTCAAAATGGTCGTCGATACGGCCTACTACGACACCCTCGGCGTCTCGCCGCAGGCTACCGAGCTGGAGATTAAGAAGGCCTACCGCAAGATGGCCATTGTCCACCATCCAGGTATTTAGCCGGCGCATCCCGTTCTGCGTCTTTGCTTTCCGGGTTTGCCTTGTTGCGCACTGACTAACTGGCTGTCCCGCCGCCAGATAAGAACCCAAACGATCCGACAGCACACGAAAAGTTCCAGGCCATCGGTGAAGCCTACCAGGTTCTCTCCGACGGGGAGCTGCGAAAGGCCTACGACAAGTATGGAAAGGACCACGCAAAGCCGCAAGAGGGCTTCGTCGACCCGGCCGAGTTCTTCTCTGCCATCTTTGGCGGCGAGGCTTTTGTCGACTGGATCGGTGAGATTAGCCTGATGAAAGATCTGGCTGCCACAATGGACATCGCCATGGAGGGAGAGGAGGGAGAGGCTCCGCCGCAAGAGGAAGAGGAGTTTCCGGGAACAGCTGAGGCCATGAAGGAGAGCTTAAAGGAGAAGGAGAACCGAGAGTCCTACACAGGTTCTGCGTCTGCGCCGCCGCCCCCCACGGTGGTCGTGGATGAGGAAAAGACAAAGACACCATCTGCCACCTCGACACCGCCGCCCCGATCTGAAGCCACGTCTCCGACCCCCTCATTTGGTTCTCGAAATCGCATCCCCATCCGAGCAGCTCTTACGGACAAGGCTCACGAGGATATGGAGAATGAAGTAGAGGCAGCCGACGAGGACCCCAAAGGCAAGGGACGCAAGAAGGGTGGAATGAGCAAGGAGCAGCGAGAAAAGCTGCTTGCTTATGAGAAAGAGCGCGCGCGCATTCGCCAGGAGCGCGTTGAGGCTCTCACACGGAAGCTGCTGGACAGGGTCAGCGTGTGGACCGAGACGGACAAGGGCCCCGACGTAACCAGAGCCTTCCAGGAGAAAATGCGGCTCGAGGTGGAGAATCTCAAGATGGAATCATTCGGTATCGACATCCTTCACGCCATTGGCCAGACTTACATGTCTAAGGCCTCGACCCTTTTGCGCAGCCAGAAGTTCCTCGGCATCGGTGGCTTCTTCAGCAAGCTGCGTGACAAGGGCACACTGGTCAAGGACACTTGGAACACCATCAGCAGCGCCATCGATGCGCAGCAGACGGTGGAGGACATGGCCAAGATGGAAGAGAGGGGGGGCGAAGACTGGACAGAGGAGAAGCGTGTTGAATACGAGCGCCGTGTGACGGGCAAGATCCTCACGGCTGCGTGGAGAGGTAGCAGGTTTGAGATCCAGGGCGTGCTGCGCGAGGTGTGTGATACCGTCTTGAACGACAAGAAGGTTCATTTGTCAAAGCGACTGGAGCGAGCGCAGGCGCTCGTCCTGATCGGCGAGATTTTCCTCAAGGTTCGTACTATTCCCCCCTCCCCTTTTGCTGCGGTGCAAACTATTTAGAAGGTACCGTTGTTTCTAACTGTGATTCTTTCTTCTTCCCTTATAGGCCGAGCGTTCTCCCGAAGAAGAGGGCGACTACCTGCTCTTTGAGCAGCTCGTTGCCGAAGCAGCCATCAAGAAGGACAAGCACGACGACCACAAGCACAAGAAGGACAAGAAGTCCAAGACCGCGGAAGAGATTGCCCAGGATGCGCCTAACGTGCCTAAACCGGAGTCTGCGGCGTAAGATGTACAATTTGGGGGACCGGGGGCGTTTAATGGTTGTGGGGGGAAAGGGAGGGGAAGATGTCGAGGAGGAAAATGGATTGAAAAATTGAGAATTTGTTTGTTTAGAGAGATAATGTCAAGATTGCCGGATAGAGAGCGATCGGCATATTTATTATATATAGAGTATTATACAACCCACTTCTTTGCTTGGTCTTGCGCTTTTTCTCATGTTGTGTGCATATTTCGGCTCTTTTCTCTTGGGGATGTAGTTCTCCTGGGTTTCAGTTCTCATTCTGACGACTTTCATACAGTCACTACGAGTTATTCGGGTATAAACCCCAAATCACGGCACATACATCTTATTCTTACGAGTCACCAAGCAGAGCACGTTTTGCAAACACACCGAAAGCCAGACCATGGAAGGCATAAACGCTTTTCTTCTTCTATTTCCGTTTCCATCATCACCGAAAGCAGCGTATTCTATATCTCGCACATACATAAAAATAATGCAGTTTCCTCTCCTTGTATATCCAGAGACATGCGAAGCTCGTTTCGTTGCGTAGCCTGTCACGGCTAAAAAACGATATATAAAGTTCTGTTTTTCTTTCTTTCTCTTGTTTCAAGAAAAGAGCAAACAAACAAACCCCCCCAAAATAAAAAAATAAAATTTGGCGCTTCTTCTCCTTTCTCATCTTCTTTCATCTTCTTCGTTCGCGGTGGCGCATTTCATGTGTGTCCGTAAGCTTTCCCCTTTCTTTCTCTTTCGTCCTTTGCTTTGCCTCTGCGGGTATCTTACACATTTGGAAAAACAACGACAAAAAAAAAACACGACAAAAACAACTGAGTAGTCAAATATGACTAGGATATCATAGAAAGAAGGACTTTGCGGAGTAAGGGGGTAGCCATTGTGAATGTTTTGGCCTCCCCCCTTACATAACGAGGGTGTGAGTTTCGCACTCGGGTTGTGGAAGAAGGGTATTTGGGGATATATGAGGAAGCTCTCAAGTAGAAGGAATGAAGACAGCGGGTGGTAGGAAGAATAGAGTGATCATGGCCTTCATCAACGCAATGAGAGTAAAAAGCCGATGTCGTATATCGGCATAAAAAGAAAAAAAAAAAAAGATAGAGCATAATAAAACGCCATGCAAAATCCAAATGAGCGCCATGTATCCCCGATATCCCGAGATGCAACTGTACGTGCAAATAAAAAGTATATGCTGTCGCAAATACAAAAGAAAAGAAAAAAAAGGTAAGGATAGAAAGAGAAAAAAGGAAAATTGCAGCAGTGGGTAGCAAAGATATAAAAGGACGGAGGAGAGAAAGAAAAAACTTAAATATCCATGAGTGGTGATGTGAGCGAGAGTAAGAAGTGATTGCGCCGTGGAAACAAAAATATCGGTTGGCCGATTTATGAAAAATAATGTGTCGTCTTGCCCTCCCCCCCTTGGTGTATGCGAAATGCCGGATATCTAATGGCCCGCAACGGGCAGTGCTATGCCGCTATCGCGATCCTGTGATTCTTTTGGCCATGCTTCGGCTTCGGATTCCATATTTGATACTGTATCGTCCCCAACAGAAACGGTAGATATTGTATCGTCTTCGACTTGAGATGTGTCGTCACCATAGTCGTAATATGAAGCCGCCAGGACACGACCGGGCATGGCGTCCACGTCGGCAATTCTGACGCGGTATGCCAATGCCTTTTGCCCTTCCTTGATGAGCAAATCCGTCCAATTTAGGCATTTCTTGAGACTTTGATTCATCTTCTGGCTATCAAGCAAGAGCTCCTGGTGCTTGGTGAGATCGAGTTGGAGACGGCGCTCATCGCGCTTACGCCGTTTATCTCCAGGAGATTCTGCCTTTAAGGGTGCGCCGCTAGACTTCGAGTCGGCGGCAGCATTTCCGTTGGATAACTCAGAATCGACTAGCGAGTCTTCATCCTCATCGTCTTCCTCCTCCTCCTCTTCGTCTTCATCGTCTTCGTATTCGTCGTTGGGCTTTGCCGGGCCCGCATCCTCTTCCTTCTCACTGACATCAGTGAGGCCACCTGAAGCATCCGGCACTGCTAGAGAGGCTCCTCCCTGGGTAGAGGCCGCAGAGCCGCTTGCAAGGCGACCAGCTCTCGATAGGCGTCGGAAGCGGCGCAATTCGGCAGATTGCTTGCGCAGTTGCCTCTCAAGAGTTCTATTTATGGCCTCAAGAGAAGCGTTGGTAATTTCTAGGTCCTGAACTTTGCGTTCACGCCGGGCGCTCAGGACCAGATGGTTGAGGGACTCGGAATTCTGAGATGACCTCTTCCGACTGATGGAGTCAGTTTCTGAGTCATCGCTGTTCCCATCCTCCCCGTCCTCCCCTTCGCCTTCGCTTCCATCCTCTTCGTCGTCGTCCTCTTCATCTTCTAATTCATCAGCCATTTGCAAAATCGAAGCCATCGTCACTGGCTGTGATAAATGCGCCAAAGCGGGACTTAAAAGCGGCGGCGTCATTTCAGGCGCATGGATCATGGGTGGTGCGATTGTGGGCGAGGCAAGTTTTGGTGCTGCTACTCCATCTATAGAATGAACACTGCTCGTACGACCGTGCCCCTGATTCAACCGTAGAGGCGCCTCAATACTCACTCGCCTTTTGTTGGCCTGGGTTGTCGTGGCCGCTAGCATCGGGGGCGCATGAGCGGAAGCTCTGATTGGAGATGTGGGCGACATGGCACTGGCCCGTAGCGTTGGTTGCTGCTTTTGATGTTGCTGTTGCGGTAGTGTAGGGTGGGTGAGATTTTTGGAAGGCGATGCTGGCCGTGAGTATAGCTGGGTTGTGCTGGATCCCACGGCCGAGGAGTTGCTGGTGTTGGGGCGCGTTGCCTTGGAGCTGCTGGAGACTGTTGAGCCCGATCCGGAACTGCGCGCTGACAGTCTCGCGTCGACATCTGGCGTGCCATTGGCGTAGAAGAACTTGGTAGCAACGCCCTCTTGCGCCGAGCTCAGCGAATGGGTGCTTGAGCTGGGGTATGCCGGAGGGCTCGTCACTCGCTTGCTGGCGGCGTCACTAGCATAGAAGAAGGTCGGCGTACTCTTGGTATGGACGACCGAAGCCGGTCGGGGCGGTGGTGCCTGGGCCGCGGGCTTTATGCTGCTCGCGTAGAAGAACTTTGAGTCGTGGTCGGGTCCGTTTGACGAGTTTCCAATGCTCTTTCTGGCGCTCAGGTTGTCGGTTCGTGCCAGCGGCGACATGCCCAGCCCGCGGTTGCTCTTCGTCTCCCACCCGTCGCTCATACTTGGCGTGCTGCTCTGCGTCGAGACAACGCTTTCGGCACGGGACTGTCGGGGGGCCGACCGCGGGGTCACGGCATGGTTGAAATATGAAGCTGAAGTAGCAGCACCGCTCTCGCTATGCGGCGATTGCGCGCCGACTACAGATGAGCCAGATTTGCGAGCCAGCGGCGTGGTCGCTGACGGGCCCTTGACGGCAACCTTGGGGGTCAGGGGCGTTCGGGTCATGCTTCGGGGAGGTCCTGCGCTCAGCTGAGGCTGGCGAGGCTTGTCGCCGAGAGGCATCGTGGCAGCGTCCCTCTTGGTGGATGAACGCGTAGTCGGAGCAGCGGCAGCTCTCACAGAAAGCACATGTTGATTCGGCTGTCGAGCAGCTGGCGGACGGATGAGGGGCGCTCCCTGGGGATTGGGCAGTGGAGGCGTGCCCAATCGAGCTGCAGCAGTCGTCGCGGTGTTGGTCGCTGGTCGCTTGGATGCGGTTTTGCAGGCGGAAAGTCGCGAGGCGGACGGTTGGGGCTTGAGTTTTGGTTTGGGCTTGGGATTTGGATTTGGATTGTCGGCGACAGTGTCTGAGTATGGGTTGGCTGAGCGCATCGTCCGGGCGTCCAAAGTCGCTCGACAGCGCCGAACGGCTCCCTTGGGCAGAGTCCCTAGGTAATTAAGGCCGCTGTGATGACTAGCCCGGGCCAGAAATTAGGGGGTGTGTGGAGGGATAAAAGGAGCCGGGACAGCCTGAAGAGGTCCACTAGCCCAGCGGGACGGCAGCTATGGAGGGATCAGATATACGGGCAGGCACAAGCACGGGGACGGGACGGAGCACAGCAGGAGGTTCAGCAGCAAACACATGAGATGGATCATTGGTGACGCTTTAAAGAGTCGGCGATGTTGAATCGTCTGACGATTGAGGAGAAGCACGCACACGCAGCAATTATGGCCCAATCCATTTAAGCGCAAGCACAGGGTTTTTGCCCCCCCGCAAGTCTGTATCCAGAAAGGCGGTAAAGAGTGCAGAGCAGATGCATCCTATGAGAGCGAGCGGAACGCATCCACAGCTGCACGCACATGCTGTAGAAGAGCAGCAGTGCTCCGTACGAGTACATTAGCATCGAGCCTTTACAGCGGACTAAGCCAGTCCGGTAGGTGTCGTAGAGACATGCTGGGTTAGGTGTTATGGAGTGTGCAGAGGCGTGTCTGATGTCCATTAATACTCGGTGTAAGCTGTGTATAGAACGGGGGGCGGTGGATATGCGACAGATGCAAGATAAAGATAGATGCACATCTAAGTACTATACGCAGATGCAATGCCACTCACCACTACCATCCTTAATGCTACAGTACTATGTACTACACCTGTGCATGCAAATGCCATCAACTCCCGCCCCTGGCTCCGGCAGAACAAGGTGACGAGATCTGAATCGTGTGAACAGATTAAGCTACTGGACAAAAAAAAACAAAAAGCTCCGTATAAATTAGTGCACGCATGCTTATTACCTACTTAGCACCACCCATCCGCCCATCATGGCGTCACGCGGGCAATGTCGGATCGCCCATTGTTTATTTACTCGCCCGTGCATGCGCATTAACCACCGCAAATGGCCTCCTAGCCCAAAACAAGCAAGAATCAAGTAACGCAAAGTAGCCCCCCGACTCACCGCGAAGGTATTCCAGACGAAGCAGCTCCCCTGATGAAACAAAACAACGAGAAGAGCCGAGGATTTGCTCCTTGTGCCCAACGCGGCGTAGCGCCTCGTGCCTGGCCTCCCGCTAGCGACGTCCCGGTGGCAGCAGAAAACGGATCCCATTGGCTGCCGAGGACGACGGACCCCCTGATGTCCCAAATTTAGAGACCACATGCATGCCTTTGCCGTCATTCTTCAACTGACTAGCATCAACGTCTGGAATTTCTTCATTTCTTTACCGTTTCGTGTCTCAGCAGCCTAGCATGGCCCTGCTCGGCATCTCGCTCATTGTCGCATCCGTCGTCTTCGTCATTCTGCGCCCGCCGCCGTGGCTGTGGTTGCCATGGCACAGCGCTGGAAGGCCCGCTGCCATCACTGACGGCAAGGAGACACAGGCATCAAATCGAGATCGAGATGATGGGCAGCGTCAAGTCAAGGCGGAGGATAGCATTGAGCTGAAGGGATCCTCGACAACGACCTCGGCGGAACGAACCTCTTCGACGCTGAGGCAGCGGAAACCCGAAGACGACGCCCCTAATACACTTCCAACCATCCAGCCGCCGACAATCACGCCCCCCACGATTGTCCCTCCAGCCATCCAAGAACCGGAATCTCCAACTACGCCCAAAGCTCAAGCCGCAGCTCCAGCCCAGCCTGTCCCAAACCTGTCCCTCACTGAGCCAGTGTCTGCCATGATGCCCCCGCCGCCTCTCCCTTCACTCCGACCCAGCGGCCGCATTCCTTCGCTCAACCAGTTCCCGGCTCCCAACTCGCCCCAACGTGCCCGCGGCCCGGCTCCCGATCGAGGCCTTTCCGCGTCTTCCTCCGGTCTCGCTCCTCCTCCGACTCTCTCCTCCAAGCCTTCCAAGCCCAGTCGCAAAGTTGTCCTCACGCCCGGCCACTCTCCGCTGGACTGGGCAAGGATATCTGGTCCCAACGCCGACCTTCGCGGCGTGGCTTCTTCGTCTCCCTATTTGCGCGTGACGCCTTCGATGCTCAAGGTGCAGACGGGGCGCAAGGGCACAGATGCGTGGATGGCTATCAACGGGAAAGTGTACAACGTCACGCCGTATGCCAAATTTCACCCTGGAGGCGTGCCCGAGCTGATGAGGGGCGCGGGACGGGATGGCACCAAGTTGTTTGGGGAGATTCATCCATGGGTCAACTATGAGACTATGCTGGCGGCGTGTCTTGTGGGACTGCTGGTTGATGAGCCAGACGGCAAGGAGAGTGAAATGGACAAGATGGATTAGATTGGATTAGATCAGGCTGTACACGGTGATGAAGCAGCAGGAGCAGAATTTGCACTGTAAAGAGCATAGATTATAGATGCTATACATTAGTTAGAGAGATACCCCCATGTACGCAGATATTAGATTACATGTACAAGGTAGCCAGAGCATGACCCAGTGCGACACAACTTTTGCACAAATTACCGTCTCTTGCCAAATCTAAACTTGAGGTCGTCGTCGCTGTCGTTGCTATCGTCGCTATCCGCAACCTCGAGAATCTTCGGCGCCACTCTCGATCTCTTCGCCGGCGGCGGATCCTTAGCTGCGGCCGGCTCCGTGGCCGGTCTCTTCCCCTGACTAGTCGCCCGAGACTTTGCGCTGGAAAGCTGGCTTCGTGCGCTGCTCTGCGACTGCACCCCAGTCCCCTCTCTCCTCGATGCCGTAGCTCTGGTAGAGGATGACGGTTCAGGAGTTGGCTCAGCCGCTTCCTCCACGTCACTGCTATCCGAGGCGATCACTCGCGCCGAGGCACCTCGCCTCGCCGGCGGTGGATCCAGCAAGGGGAAGTCCTTTGCCTCGCTGGCGCCGATAGCGGATGGCTGGCTCGTTGTCTTTTTCCGGTCACTACTGACGTCTTCCAGCCAGTAATTATCGCCAACTCCAAATTCTTTGGGCTTGACTTCAGTGAGGGCGACGATGACTCTGGCGGGCTGCCTTCCCACCACCTCTCCCCTTTTGCGAAACTTTTTAAAGTTCTTCATTCCATTCCACTTGGGATCCCACCGCCCATCAGCAATGTCCTGCTCTCTTGTCCTGTCTGACGCTCTGTCTTTGGGGCGAAGCTCAATCTCTTCCACGATATTAAGCCGACGAATCTCGGCCAAGTCAATGCCCTCGGGTAAATTTGCCAGGTCCTCGGCCTCAGCTCGAGCCCGAGCTTCCGCCTCCTCACGATTCTTCTTGGCCACTGCTAAAACGTCTAGCTCAACCTTGACCTTCTTCTTGGTTTCGATCTTTATCTTTATCTGATCTGGCTCTTCCCCCTCGGGTTCAGGTGAAGGCGCTGCAAACTGTTCTCCCCTCTCAAGGCGCTGCCGTTTAAACTTTGCCACTGCTGGTGCCATCCCTTCCATTAGATCGTTTTCTGGTATGGGAGAGGGCGGCCTCTTTCTCTGTGATCGAAAGTCCGCATGATTGTCGTCGGGTACGAAAGGAGCATCTTGCTCCTGTGACACAAATAATCCTCCCTCATCCTCCTGAGCTTGCAATTGTGGTCTCGCAGGCTCCCTGGCGGGAGGGGGAGGGTTATCGTCTATCCCCATCTCGTCATCATCATCGAAGCCTGCAAATCTCCTCTTGACCGGTTGCCGCACTCGACTTCGCCTGGGGATGGGCTGCGAATCAACTTGCTGGGATGAATCGGTCACCACCGGTGTCATTTGACTACGCGGGCTCTGTTGAGTGGTGTGCTCGGGCTGTAGACTTTCTGCTGGCCTTGAGTCCTCGGGTCTGATAGACGATTCCGTCTCCAATGGTCTTCGCAGTTGGCTTGCATCATTGATCAGAATTGCTTCCAGGAATTCGTTTTGCTCAATAGGCCTGTGATCCAACAGCAGTGAGACTGCTGTGATAAACTCGGTGTACCAGCCGACAAGCTCCCCCTTGGCTGGCAAAAATCTCACTAACACAACTCCCTTACCCTCGCTACCGTCATTAAACGATCCGGATCCCTTTTCACCGGCAACTCCCTTTACATATCGGACAAAATCATCAGCCCGCGTCTCCTCTGGCTCGATAGGATGCAGCATAGCCTTTCCACCCCCATTCGTAATCGGCGCCATGAGGTTATCATACTGAATCTGGCTATAGAAGACGAAAGTATATCCTTCAAATACTTCTCTTCTTCGATCATCCGGCGCATACATTTCATCCGGGTGCTGCACGGGTTCGCTGCCCCGCGGCGGCAGGTGCTCCATAGCGTTGGGCCAGAACTTGTCAAAGTCCGTTTCCAGAGAACTTGACTCTTGGCTGTCCGCTCCATCGGAGAGCTCTGTTACAGAGGATATGGCATCGAGAAAAGTCTCTGTGACGATATATTTGCCATTTATGAGAGCCTGTAGGCCCTTGGCTGTATTTCGCTTCTTCGATATGACGTGCGTCGTGTGCTTTACGCTGTAGTCTGTCAACAGCTTGATATCTAGCTGCTCAAATCTCTCTTTGAGAGACGTTAAAGGCTCGGTTTGCATCTCTTTGTTTGTAAATGAGAACGTGAAGACTGTCGGGTGCCATTTCAGCCTAATTGCTGTCAGCAATCGTAGAAGCATTTGCATGCAACAGCTGGGCGCAAATACCGGAACTTGTTAGGGCACTTGCCCAGCATAATCTCGTATTCCTCGACTTGAGTGTCGTAAGTGGCCCCTTTGATTTTTTGTCCATTGACTACCGTCCCTATCTTTGTTGCGAGGTCCTCAATCTTGATGTGCGATCGGCTCGATAGATTATGTGCGTGTCCTTCTATGACACTCTCGACGGTGATTGTCAGGTGTTTGCGCGAGATGGTGTTATGCGACAGTGCCAGCAGGCCAGCTATTCCCACCCCAATCAGCACTTATACTAAAAAAAACCCCCAAGGACTCGAGGATAATCAACTCACGCTCCACTGCTGTCCTCCCAAAGAGGTACGTTTTGCCTGGACGCAGCCAAAGTCGACGCCCTGCGCGGAATCAGCTCGGTCAGTACGGCATCGAACCCAATACGCATATCTCGCTCACCTTGGAAGGCTTCTTCATTTTCCAGCAGCCACATCGCCACAGGCTGTGATTCATTCTATGCCACAGGCCATCTCTCGAGGCGCAGCTGCGATGACGCTGTGCATGAGTGTCGTGAACTTTTTGCGGGGCGGCGCGTCGGCGCCTGGACTGTCTTCAACGCCAATTCACGTGCCTCTTTACATCCATGTATTATCCATGTACTTTTACAGGGGTCGCAGCAGCATTTCGAAGGAGTAACATCTCGCCCACTGTTAACTTCAACTCCATTAACGGCTACATATACTAATATTGCCGACGTCGCAATTAATGGCTTCTATTTCGACGATGTATTTTAATAGCCAAATCTGACAGTCAAGGCGAAAAATGCATTGAGGAGAATGCGATACAATTATGAGCTTTCAAATATTAATCTATAGATCCCTTTTATATGCGCTCGTAAGTAGACAGGAAATAGCTATTACATCAAGACAAATGCCCCCATATTAAGTTTCATTACGCCATAAACCCCATATATGTCAAGCAATTAATATCCAAAATCCGGTGTTCAATGACATGAACACAATCACAGCCATGTCTGACATAACAATTCGTTGATTTGCCATTTCGTATCCTGGCTTTCGTTTTAGAGAGCCGCCTCATTGGGCTCATTACCGCGGTTCGCAAAGGTGAAAATCCACAATTGATCCTTAGACAACCCTCTGCCTGTAGAAATCAACAAGCATTCGTCGTCGACCAGCCTTTCTGCCTTGCTCGACCAGTTCCTCAGCATCATTGGTCTTGTACGGATCGAAATCTTCCGGTCTCTCATTGTGTGCTCTGGCAAGTTCGTCGACTTCACCAATCTTCCACCCACGAAGTATGACCATGCAGATTGTAGCAGCAATAAACATTAACCCCGTCCATAGTTGGGTGCCGAGATAGCTTCCTGTTCCGGTCACAATCTGCAAAGCGATTGGCTCGCTGAAAGTGCAGGGAAGCAGAATCATCAACCACATGATATTGAGCGCAGATGGTACATCTTGTAACCCGACAATTTCGGCTGCGACAGGTCCGACAACCGTCCAAAACGTGCCGGCAACCATACCGCATACAATAGAGTAGAGGATTAGCACGCCATATGTTTTGGCGTTGATCCAGATGGCTAATGAAAAGACGCCAGCCAGGAAGCTGCAGATGGCAGCCATGTTCATTCGCCCAGTTCGGTCACTAAAGTAACCCATTATCGGTCGGCCAATGCTCTGGCCAAGGTTGAAAAATGCATTGATGAGGGCTGCTTGAGATGATTGAAGGCCGATTTCGTTGGCGTAGTTGGCAAGACTGAAAATATCCACGGAATAACCCAGGATGCTAAACCAGCCGAATAAGATAAATAGCAGGAACTCGGCTCTTGTCAAGAGACTGCTCTTAAAGGCCAGATGCGTCGACCCCACAATCTTGTTGCGATCCTTCACTAGAAGACTGCAGATGAAGTTGACCACAAATGCGAGGATTCCAAGTATTCTAAAGGCCCAGGCAAGCCCCAAGTTCTGAATCATAGCACCGGCAGCAAATGAGTAGATAAGACCCCCCATGCCTGAGCCAGCAGCCGATATGCCGTTTGCCAAGGAACGATGAGTCGTAAACCACTGAGGGATAATGCCCACTGTAGCAGTGAAGAGACAACCCATGCCCACGCCAAAGAGAACACCCTGAGTGAGGAAGAGATGCCATATCTTGTAGGCAAAGCTTGCTGCAATCCAACTGCCTGCTTCAAGGAAGACACCAAGGAGCATCACTTGCCTTGTGCCAAACTTCTTGACGGCCAGGGTTGCAAATGGGGAGACGCCCATGGCGCAGCTGATGCTGAGAGAGCCCACAAAGGCGTACTGTAGAGTCGTGGCCCCCGGGAAAGTATTGTTCTTGATATAATACGCCAAGAAGACTCCATAACTCGAGTTCATGCCCCATGTATGGGCGTTGATGATGCAGATGGCGGCGGTGACAACCCATCCATATCCCCCATTTGGGGGTGGAGGAGGTGCATTGTTTGCAGGCTGCTGATCCTGAGACTCAACCATCAACTCTAGGTTTCCCTTTTCTGTCTCATCGCTCATGGCTCCTTGGTCATTATTGTTCTGGTGAGGCTCGGAAGCCGACAAGATATCCTCTCTGTCATATTTTGCACTGGGGGTTTGACTATGATTCATTTTACCCGACCAAACCTTTCTCAGCGACTTTGGAGGTGAGAGGAGGCGATGATCAGGCCAAACAAACCTGTCAGTGAAAATAAGAGGATTGGTCGTCTGAAAGAGATAGAAAAGGAAGGGGAATGAAGTGGAGGGGGGAAAAGGTTTGGCTGGCAACAGGCTGAATGGACATTATTATGTATGTGGTGTTTAAATGGGTCACCGGGGGCCAAAATCGGCCCCATACCCGTAAGGAACTAAAGAGGAAACCGATTACTTAACTCACTTCCTGTTTTGTTAATTTAGGAAAGCCTCGGCCGCAACTTGGTGGGAGTCTATGAAAGGGCGCGGTCAACAATCTCCTCTCTTTGAGCCGGGAATATCTACCCGGAGATAATGGGTCTAGCCTCGAAAATTCAGGTACAACTTCAATTTCTCTCCCTCTCATCTTCTCTATTTCAATGCTAGGTCTAAACTTGCATATACTTCAAGTCTCGCGGCCGACAACAGTTGACCATAAATCTATGGAGAAGATCTAATTCAACAATAGGTCGGATCAAAACTACAGGTATAGTATGACCACCTTATGGAGTTGACCCAGTGAAGCAGTCCAATGGCAAGCTCCTGTTGATGAAAGCCCCGTCATTACACTAAGCGCATCACGACCAAAGAAGAAAAACTTATCAAAACCAAGCCGGGAAAGGAGGTTGTAGGCCGGTGACTCAAGCGGCGTCGGCCATGGTCGTACGAATCAAAAAGCACCGGATGGCAAACTCTGCTTTTTCGGGCGGCGGCGGCCAGCCCGGAGCGGAGGGCGGAAGACGTCCCGCCCCGCCTTTTTTGGCCATTTTGATTTTTTGTATTTTTTGATGACACGCTCATTAGGCAGGGTTGATGATAATTTTTTCAGCCCTCGGATGGACCATGGATTAATACGGGCGCTGTTAAGGTACCGATTGTTGTCAATTACTAACCTCTTCGCCTCTGACAATTCGAACAGTAGAATCCCTTTGTTGCTACAGCTCGAATGATACGGGAATCCTCTGCCCTAAGATACTAAGGTATCTAACTTGAGATAGGCTAGCAAGTGCGTTTATTATTTTCACTAGATTAATTACTCTATAGCCGGCAAATCAGATACTTGGGGGCATAGGGCTGCCAAGCTTGACCATCGATTGGGAGTCTGGAGATGGAATATATATCCGTAAACGGCATACTACCCATACACTAAAACGAAACATTGGCGCTTGGCAAGGGCGTTACTTGTCTTTCAGAGAGACAACTATCTTCATTTTATAGATGCCGCGTCCGTGATGTACGGTGCTATACGTGTATATAACCTAACCTCCCTGCTCAATCGTCGTTGATATTGCAGAGACAAACGCAGAAGCTCACGTGATTAACTCATCCTCCCTGTCTACCTACTAAGTATCTACAAGGCAAGTACTACCAGTACATGCATTAGATGATATGGATCCGAAACAGTAGTAATACATGGGTGCATGAACGGCAGCCTGCATTAGTACCTACTAGATGGTGATATTCATGAGCCTCATGATGAAACATGTTTTATGAGATGGAGTCTGATGCATGCACACCCGCTTAGTAGTGGAAACATGGCAATCTGAGACAAGATGGCCTAATGGATTACGAAGTCACGATGGAAGGGCCGCCTGCCTCTAGGAGGAATCTTTGCTAATCGACATTCGCTTAATCACGGCAGTCACGAGGATGGGGGCACACAATCTATGCGGTAGCAATGCTGGGCAGAAGACGTAAACGTCAATTTCATTAATAGGTATATCAGCAGCCGGGATGCGGCTTCCTGCATTACATCGCAATAACGTTTGGTAACCAGATAAAAAAGAAAAAAGGCCCAGATAATCATTCCTGCTCGCAGCCCAGCCCGCTAGGAACTGCGCGCTCGCTTCACTCAGGTATCATTCCTTACTCCAACATCGCTCATAACCAAGAACATAGCACTCTTTCCCTCAAAGGAACTTTATGCCTGAGCGCGCTCAGACTTGCTAGCACGGCGCTCACGGGCCGCCTCGGACCAGGGGAAATGGATGACGGGAACCTGGAAGAAAGAGTTGCTGATTGTTTGTTAGCAAATATGCAACGCACAGACGCGGACGGGCCAACATGTCGAAGTACTAACCTGCTGTCCTGAATACCGGCCAAGGCATTGTACCAAGCGGCGAAAGCGGCCAAGAAGCCAAAGAGACCACCAGTCTTCTGCAGGGCCAAGGCAGCGGTTGCGTTGCCCAAGTCGGTAGCGTACTGCTCCATGGCAAGGAAGAAGAAAGCCAGGTCAAGGAACAAGAAGAGGAGGAAGAAGGCAACGGTGGATCGCAGGGTGCAGAGCAGAAGGACGGTAGTGAAGATGAACCAGCCAGTCAGGAAGAAGCCAAGAACGCTTGCGACGTCGCCCTTGTACGGACCATCCGGAGCTGTGATGCCCCATTCGGGAGTCAAGAGGATACCGTATGAGATCCAGAAACCACCATATGAACCCAGCGCAGTGGCACCAAAGGTGTTACCGGCAGCAACCTCCCTGGAGAACAGACGAATGATCAGTACAATTTGAACTCTACATCAACTTGTAGTTCAAGAGTTCATGACTTACCACATGCCAGCGAGCAGTTGAACAAGACCACCATAGCCAAAGGCGAGGGAGACAACGACGTTGGGGGCCGCGACACCTCGAGCGTGCATGTTGATAGCTGATAGAACAAATGTGGTCAAGGCAAAGGCAGAAAGACCCAGAGGGGCAGGGTTGGCGAGCTTGCGGTGCTCATATGGCCTCCATGCCCCAGGCTGGAGAGCACCACCAAAAGCCTGAGCATACTGGCCAATGGTCATCTCGTTGAAGTCGGTATGGTGGTTGTGTGAGAAACCATGGCGCTGTGTCGTCTGTTGCTGGACACCGTTGGTCTCCTTCTCATTGGGAGCGACGTTAACCTCGTCAGCCATTGTGATTGTCGGACTTGTGAATCGATCGACCTGATTAAAGATGCGAAATAGAGCTTGGGGGATGGCTTTGTTCGAAAACTTGATGTGATTGAAGAGTACTTGTTTCAATGAAAGCAGTGCTTCACGACAAGCAGCTACTATTTAAATCAGGGATGACCGAAGCAAGAAGAGAGAGAACAGCAACTTTTCCGGTGGGGAGCGAAGGTTCTTATATATACGGAGTACAGCTTATCACTACCTTGAACATGCTACCCTCCCGCCATCCGCAGGGTCGGGCAGAATGAGACCGATGGCTGAGACTTTCATGGGCGGATACCCGATGTCCCCAAAAGTTGCCGTTTGGTACCACAGCTACTCCGTGTTTAGTACCGCACTGGGGAGGCAGGGGGGGTCCGGCGGTCGCGAGTCAATCAACAACGTGCGACAGATCTAGCAAGTGGAGAAGGAGAAAAGGGTTGCAACGAGTGACACGCTGGCGACGGACTTGTCCCGTAGGGCCCGGAGGAGCTGCCATTATGGAGTCGTTGGGATAACTATGATATGAGCCTGCATACTGTACGGTATGTGATATACTCCGTACATGAGGAGGATTTTAGGCTCGTCAACAGCAACCTTGAAGTCAAGAGGCCCGCAGCTGCATGGTGAGTCCATCCATATCTGTCTCTCTCTTTTCAAATTCTAATCGACATACGGAGTACTTCGAGGTGGGTATCCGAGGTACAAAGAAGAAGCGCACATCAATTGCGTTCGCAACCTCGCCAATACCAACTATCCCTGGACCTTGTTCAGAATCTGTACAATGCCGACGACTGTTCCCGTAAGTCCGCCTATCTAGTTCAAGCTAGAAGCGAGCCGAACAGCACATGTTCCATACCAGGCGTTCACTACCACACATTACAGGTCGGATTCTTGCGCTACGACACGGGACACTCCGCAAATGAGCCAATGTTTGAGCTATGTGCAAAGGCTCTTACCACTACTGTAGAATGGACGAAGGGAACCCCCAAGGCACGCACTGCGGCCAAAAAAAGAAGCTATGGCCAAGCCACGACTGCAGTGATTGGGGTAGATGGGTGGGGAGGCCTCGGGGTTCCAGATCCTTACTCTCCAGGGACAAGCCCGACAAATTATGCCATGGATTTGGGGTAGTATTGAAATGGCCCACATCCTCCCTGAGCTGACGATGGGCCCTATTGACGATGGGCCTTATTGCCGAAGAGGCGTCGCTTGGTGCTTGATCTCATGCATGCTTAGGCTGTTTTTGTCGTGTTGGTGAAATGAGGCACGGCAGAAGAAGGGAAAAAAAAATCTTCCTTACCCCCGGCGAGCCGCCACACAAATACGGCCAAGCCTGGCCAGCCACTTTTGTCCAGGCCTTTCTGGAAATTTTTCAGAGTTTAGGCTATTTAGCCTTGCCGTCAAGCCAGAATAACCATCATCTATCTGGATTGGCTGATGCAGAAACGGATGTGTGTCGAGGCTTGGCGGCTTTGGGAAAAAGGATCCATGCACGACGAACAAACAAGGGAACAAACAAGGTGCTGGCCGCGAGAAGAGAAACAAAGAGCCATGATGCAAAGGCAGTCCGCCCGTAAGGCTGCTGACTGGCTAGGCCAGGCCAAGGGTGCTCAAAACGGACCATTGGCTCCCCATGGATCAGGCAAAGGGAAAGGATGGTGAGATGTGATGACAGTCCCTCTGCCGGAGCCTGACCCTAAGCCTGGTTGTACTATTTACGAGCATATACTCGTACACATACTCGTGAGCACACGCCGTGATCACGATTGTGGCTCTTGAGAGTCTCCAGGCTGAGAACCTAAACAGCAACAGAGTTTGTTGGTTGGCTCTAGAGCGGACCCTCAAATTGTCTGAGAATATTGCTAATTGCAATAGTGGTTCGGAGTTGTTGGTCCTACCACGGAGCGCCTGCCTCAGAGTAGCAGCTGCTGCATTCCAATTTCCAAATTGACCGTATTGCTCGAGATTATCTGGCAATGAAAGCAATGCAAGTACCAATTGACATCGCTTCAACGGCACACAAAATATCACCGAGCACTCGAGACCATGACGGTCCACACCGGCTCCGGTCTGACCAACACTGAGTCCACGTCCACCACTCGTAAGCCCGGGAAAAGGAAGCTAGCGCTATGCGGTGACGGACCCTGGCGCTTTCACAACGGTGATGGGGGATCGCCAGAGAACCGAAGTCGTACCTTATCTCAATATGGACAAGAACTCCGCGCGCGAGTCAAGCCTGATGGCCAATGCCTGGGTCGCTAATCAAATGCTACAGCACGCTTCTGCAACATCGAGCCAGGGTCAGACCCGCGATCCGGCCAATACGGCTGTTGTTAGGTGCAATCTGCAATGGAAAAAGCAAAAAAAGAGCAGGCTTGTGCCACGGAGTGACTTGCAAGTTTGTATTACTCCGGCCGTGATGCCTGCAATGCCATGGACAAGGAACGGGTTGCAGGCTTTGATCAGGCTTCGATGCATTGGATCATCTAATCCTTGCGGTCTTTTTTCTTGATCTGTCTGTTTGTGGAGAGCATGGAAAGGGGGCTGCAGAGATCTGTCCCCGGTACTGTAGCTACCCTACGGTACGAACGCTGTGGAGCTCACGCACATGAATTGCTCCATAGGACGGAGTACATAGTACGGAGCACAGATGCTGAAGCTGTTGCCTTCCGCAAGTCTTCATTTTGATGGAGCAGGGAGGTGATCGCAGCGTCAAATTCGTCTGTGCTGTAGCCAACAATGACGGAATGGGAAATGGGGAATTTTCCTAAATTTGCTAGGAGTCGGCTAATGCAACACGCTGCCCGTATAGTATGCCGCATCCTTCAGAGCTTGAGCCGAGCGGTTTATTTGCGGATCCTCGGAGGAAAGCAATGTCCATGGATTGACTGGTTGTTGAGACGAAAACAGAGAGGCGCCGGATGGGCGGCTGTTAATCCATCATCAACAAGCTCCCCTCAAGCCCCTCCCCTCCCCTTCTCCTCGGGCAAGCTTGATCACAGCTAATGGATTGGCACATGGCTGGTCACCGCCATACCCGTTTACCTTAATTGTATCAGTCTTCCCTCAAACTCTTCTCATCTAACTACTCATCAAGCCCACATGGTGGCCCGATCGACCGCCAGAGCTCCGTCTCTGCTCACCAGCCAAGAAAACTCAAGTTGAGAACACGAGTCGTAGCTTCGCGACTTTGGTGCCCGCTGGAAGTCTTGGAGCCTTGGCATGTCATATCCGCTCGTGCGCCCGGATCGTTACGATAACTAGCACCATGAGACTATACAAGGGAACTACGAGCAGTTGTGTGCGAGTGCTAAGAATTCTTAAGTACAGACTTGTACACTCAGCCACCGTGGCCCGTGATGGTACGAGTATTAATGTCAGCCTTCCCCTGGTGCGAACCCCGTCAGTCTTCTGATGGTGGCATATCAATCACGCGATGTTGTCAATTCAACACAGCAAGAATGGCTGGGGGCCCATGTGGCTTGGCCGAGCAGAGTCTGAAAGAAGCGGCTTTGTAGCCGCGGCTTAACAAACAGCCGCCCGTTGTGCTGATTTCGAATGCCGGAAACAGCCATGTTCATCAGGTTCCGTTTGCGGTAGTGGTCTTGGTATCGTGACCTGCTAGTTTCTAGCCGTCAGCGTCCATGCCCCTCACCACACGGACAAAGGTGTCATTTGGGGCAGATCCTCAACCTGCCAGATCGATCAACTAGCCATGATGAAATGGCCCATCGGACAACGCATCTTTTCGCTAGGATGAAAGAGCTAATTCGACTGCTACTACGTGCCAAAAATATACCCCTTGGACCAATTCCCCCGCAAATAGCAGTCCGCTATCAACTCTAGCGGATCTCAGCATCTTTATTCCCCCAGACTCGGCGTTCGGGATCTCTGGCTGTCGAGATTTGTGTCTCCAACCCGCTTCCCCAGCATTGCCTCCCCCGCACGAAACAATCATTACGGAGTCTTACTACGGCTTGCTACCCGCATTACCCAAGGAGACGGTCTCGATGGAGTCGGTTGGGCTGAGCGGGAAATGGGCTGTTCATCGAACTAGTAAAACGTGGGGTGGCGGGCGCCCTCGTACGATTCGATCCATGGCAAATGAAGGATTGCTGCTAAAAACGAAATAAAGGCCAAGACTGCCTAGAGATTTCCTAGAAGCAATATCCGGCCTTGCAGAAATCTCCGGAGTCCGCGCCTCGAGCTACGGAGCTGCGGCTTGATACAAATCTACGAGGCTTCCGGCCTGTACAGCAATGCAGAGTTGATGGGGTTTTTTTTTTTTGGCTTGCTGACTTCAACCTGAATTCAACCTGGATTCATGACGACGAGACTCGTGTCCTGAGATGCCGTTATCCGGTCGGCAACCAGATATGAGCCCGAGAACGCGCGTGGTCGTGGGTCTCATAGCATGGCTGTGCCCGTTGCTCACGCATTTCCATGCCTCTCGCGTCTCCTCCTGTGATTGCCGCAGCCAAGCCAAGCGAGTGGCGGTTTAATCCACCGTCCCAGTCGATTCCCTGAGCTACCCCAAATATGATGCTGGGAAAACGCCAACAAAATCACTAGTTTTTGGAGATGGACTCGGCGCTTGGTGCTTTATACGGTTGGCTTGGGGAGGACGAATGAGGTTTCTCCCTTAGTCCGAGAGGTACAACCTCGGTAACCGCCCGGCGTCAAGTCTACCGTCTGACAAAGCAGCACCCGGATGAGTTGGTCGTGAAATCACAAGCCATTTGCTTCGGCGACTTTTCTCTTCTTCCATGCCCCTGGCGCACAGCAGGATTGCTACTGCAGCGTAACTTTCTTCGGATAGTTATTTTTTTGCCAAGGAGGTTGGTTGTGGTGACAATGCACTGGCTGGGCGTATTTTACTACAGGGTAGGTGGCTTGCCTTGTATAACCCATCTTTACCACGTACACGGCAAGGCAAATCCTGCAACGATATCTTTGGGATCAACTGTCCAATGAAGACAAGTCGTAGAATATTCAAGTAACACGGATTGACCAGTAAAATATTCCGAGTGCATGCCACCTCACTCTATTTACTGATAATTGCGTGTCGTATTCGCCTAGCTCGCAGCAACCACTACGCGGTAACACCAGCCGAGGGGCATTTTTGTCCCAGCTATATGGGCTTGGCCAATATATTGGAATTCCACCACCAACTATAGCACACCGGAATAAACAGCACAGCCCAGTCGGAAACAACCAACGGTCAGACAGGCTGGTAAATTAAAAATTATATTAAGAGGGCTAAGGGAAAAGCCTTCTGCACTGCTATATTCTATATCCAATTTGTAATTATTCTCTCATGCAAGCCCAAAGAATATGGATTACAGACTGGACTTGATCAGCTGAGCTCATGAAGGAAGTCCCATCAGCTTCCCGCATGTGCAAGATTCCAAACTATCCGATCAAGAGCCCATTAGGACCTCTTCGATGGCTACACACAAAATAGGCAATTTTTGTGCACATATTGCGAGTCGTGCGCCGTGCCGCAGAAACTTACTGTACTTGTCAGTAGCTGTCCGCGCATGATTCGTGCTCTTTAGGTTAACGGGCTAATGGCGTTTGGCTCTGGTTGGACTGGATGTAAAATTATCCACTTCGACAGGGTAAGACAGAGTGAAATAGAGGCATCGGTTTACGAGCAACAAATAAAACAAAGCCTCGCTTTTACGATGTCCACGTCAGCGTCCGAGAGGGTACCATTGTCCCCCCTCGAAAGCAGACAGCCGGCGTATGTAGAGGGCAATAGACAAGTAAGGAATGCACAGGTTATTAAAGAAAGCAGTGTGATATCTTCAGCCGGCTCCTCTAATTTAACTTAATCTCCACCATAAGGAACATATTGTGATATATACATCATGCCATCAGTTGAAATAATGTTCAGTATAACGTTGGAAACCCCCCAAGACATAGAGGCCGGCTTGCCTCAACGATATGTGATATAGTCACAATGCTAGAAATATTAATCGACAGATAATTACAACCCGCAGTTTCTCAAAACAGCCATCTGGAAAAATCAGTTGTCCTTGTCATTTGGTCAATGAAATACACGACAACTTAGAATGGCTGGCGATGTGCCCCTCCTTTGTTGCTCTTGAAGTTAGATAGGAGTCGGAACATGAAGCCTCCGGTAGATTTCCCAGTTGGTTCTCGGAGTGACTCAGATTTGTCCGAGCATAAGAAGACATCCATGGCCCAGCTGCCACCACAGGCCTCTGTTGGCTGGTTTTGACAAGGCTTTCCACATTGAGATTCAGGAAGCCGTACTGCATCATCCCGAATGGAAGTTCCGCACCAGCATTCCCGTCCATTCTCTGTTCCGGCAAACTTATATCCACCAGAAATGCAGTGATCTACACATTCCTTGGTAGACATATCCCCCTGAAGATAGTCGATGGGTTTGGCGCCAAGTAATATGCGAGATATAGCATCTTGGAAACAGCCTAGATGGCTCCAGTCGGCGGGAAGATCATCGGTATTAGGAAGCATCGTCGGGGGTGTAGCGCTACTTGGGCTTGGCTTCCCTGTATCTTTGGAAGACGGCCCTAGCACAGAGCTTGGAGGGGGCGTTGGACCAGGTGTTTCATTTGGAGCGCAGAACCAACCTTCTGAACAATGATAGCATGGCCATCCAACGCCGCAAGGAACAACCTGCGCTGGTGTCTCCTGAGGAGGGCAGAACCATCCGTCAAGACATTCATCACACTTGTAACCCTTCCCAGGACAAGGTCCTTTTGAGGGATCAGGAGGTTGGTGGGCACTCGGCCCCTCGGGTCCTTGAACAGAGCAGATCTTGGGAGCACACTGATCGCAAGATGGACACGTAGGGCATGATGGGTGAGCTGAAGTAGTTTCAGCCGAAGCACCATTGTTTGATGCGGGCCCGCCTCCATTTTCTCCATCCACGGGTGATGGACTGATAGTTTTGGTTGGATTTTCGGCTGCGGACTTGGATTGGGAGACCGGATTCGAGGATGAGTATGGGCTTGGTGGTGCAAGAGTCGTGATTGCTCCTGAAGTAGATGGATGAGGTGTTGATCCGGGCAGCACAGGTGCAGCCAATGTTGTGAGTTGACCGGCCGAAGTAAGAGACTCAGCTTCATCGGAATCACAAGGAATGACTGCTTCAAAAGAAGTTCCGTCCACAACTCGATCAACGGCACAAAGAGGCTCTTTCAAATAGCTGGCAACAGCGCTGACTATCATAGCAAGCTGGTTGAGAACTGCTAGAAGTGATGGATCTGTGATATCTTCAAGGGCTCTGCTGAGATCATTGATGACTGTTGTCCCTTGCAGGAGAACCTTGTTCAATGTTTCCACCATGTCCAATGTGCTGACAGAAGGCAACGGAGGCAGAGGTTGGTCCATAGCCTTGGCAACAGCAGGAATGATGAATGGGAGTAAGTCAGTGGCTGAAAGGGATGTCTGATTTGCTATCTTTGGTATAGCTGAAGCAACAGTAGACGGATTCACATGAAGAGCATCAAGTACTGTGTCTGTGAGCTTGGCGGCTGCTATTGGATCAATATCCGATATTTCTGCAACAATTTTTGACACTTCGTTCAAAAACGAAGGGCCACCAGTAGAAGATTCTGGCGGAGACTCCTCCGTCACGGCTCTTGCATTGTGGATTCGTAATGTTAGGCCACCCCCCGAGAGACCGCCAAGAATCCCAACCGTGGGAGTCGGGAGATTTCCCATAGAGCCTAAACGAGATGACATCAACGAGTCTGATGAAAGTGGTACTGCATTGGACTGAGCTGCAATCAAGTCGGATAAAACGCTCTTCTGAAGATTCTTCGGCGTCGTGGACGGGAGTTGCTCTGATTCTCTGATCGCCTGCTTCACTGCTGCTGCTATCGTTTCCAGCAGTTTATTGGGGTCACCATGATAACTGCTTGATCCCGACATCTCCATGATTGTTTTTGAAGACTCAGGAATGTGATTTATCACTGTGGATGCCTCCATTGTGTAGCTTGATGTCCATGAAGTGGCAGTGGAACCTTGCTCCATGGGCGCTATCGACGTTGTTTGGAAAGAGTTTGTACCCATTGCCTTTCGTTTAGTTAGTAACGGTTTGACGTGCTTCTTGTTTCCCAAGGATATAGAAATATGATGAAATCTTACCTCTCGAAACATGCCGCCTAGAAATCCTCCGAGTTGGAATTGCCGCTTCATTAAGGCCTGTTGTTCAAGTTTGACCGTCTCAACCGTGACAATCCTGACAAAGACAGTTGTAGAGAAGGCAAGTAGACAAAAACTAGCGAGGACTAGGGCCCGCCGTCGGATAACTGAGAGTCTATTCGGCGGCCAGTTGAAGCCATTGCTTTCGGGAGGCTGACTTGCCATTGTGCTGAGAGTTTCCTGTTTATAAATCGACCAAAGGGTAGTTAAGATGCTTCCAAAAGAGCAGCCAAAAACTGGATCCCAAAAAGAAGCCTCCAAAAAAGTTGTCGGTGTATCGGACTACGAAACGGACAAGATGTAGAAGACAAGGTGATTAAAGAGAGGGGAATGGGATGAGTTCGATATGAGATTTAGATGCCTCGCTAATGGCGGATGGCTCCTTCTTAAAATTCTGGAAGGGGTTCATCTTTTGGCAACTGTTTGTTGAAAACGCTTATCAAGGCGGAAAGAAGGCACTCAAGAGAAGCAGCTACGAAGAAGATGGGCTGATAGATACCATCTTGGTGCTTGTATTAACTGTTCTAGTGATCTGATTAGGCGACGCTTTTCAACAGCAGACGTCTTGCTTCTGTTTTCTCGAGATGTGCATAGTATGGGCTGTTTCTTTGTCAAAATACTACTTTTGACTGTTCAAGGCATTTATTGAACATGCAGCTCGCTAGATGCCAAGGAAGAAGAGAAATCTAGCAGAAAATATAGGTAGATTGGTATTGACAAGAGTGTGGAGCACTCCACATCCAGGCGAGGCTGCCTTAGTACCAACAATCTTAGTAGTAATCTAGCATTGAAAGTCATTTGTAGAAGCACATATTGGCAGCGATGGAACGGAGTATTAAGCTGGATGGCAGTCACACACGAATCCCATTGGATGGCACGGATCAAATCCCCAAAGTCGCAGCGATTGGGTCAGCATAAAGGTACATAAGTGTAGGTTGTGCTGTAAATCAAATTTGCGCCGCTCTTATAGGGGATGCAAATGCCCTGATGGCGGACAAGGCGCTGCAAGAGGCCGATAATTGGTGGGGTGGAGGGGCAGCCGTGCATGGGCCGCTGCTTAATTCGCCAGCTCTAAAAAATTTCTGGACGAGGCTGGCACTTTTTTTTTTCTTGCAGCATCACGGCCGCAGCGTTGCGCTTCATCTCCCACAGCTTTGGCGGATTTCGGTGTCTGGAAACGCGTCAGACGCTGGCATTCGATTCAACAAGCCTCAAGAGACGACGGTTTGTCATCATGGATATCCATCGCTGCCGGTTTGTGCCCTACAAGCCGTCGGCTGTCAATGCCGTAGCCTTCTCGCACCCCAAGACCAAGTCTGCAAAGCAAGGCTCTGTTGCGCGATTGGCTGTTGGACGAGCCAACGGCGACATTGAGATCTGGAACCCTTCAAGCGGAACATGGCACCAGGAGCTGGTCATTCGCGGCGGCAAGGATCGCAGCATTGATGGCCTTGTCTGGGTCAACGAGCCTGACCAGGATCTGGGCGATGGCAAGATCGCCGTGGGCAAGTCGCGTCTCTTTAGCATTGGATACACATCTACGGTGACCGAGTGGGATCTCGAAAAGGGCAAACCCAAGAGACATGCCAGCGGACAGCACGGCGACATCTGGTGTCTCGCCGTACAGCCTCCGGCTCTGAGCGGCGCCTCCGACGACTTGCACTCCAACAAGCTGATTGCCGGCACAATTGATGGCGAGCTGGCCATGTATTCGATCGAAGATGATGACCTCCGCTTCCAACGAGTCGTTGTGCGATCCCCCACGAAGAAGGCCCAGATGGTCAGTATCACGTTCCAGTCACGCAAAATTGCAGTCGTGGGCTGCTCAGACAGCACCATCCGAATCTACGACGTTACAAAGGGTCATATGCTCCGCCATATGACGCTGGGTGCAGATCTAGCCGGAGGCTCAAAAGATATCATCGTGTGGTCGGTCAAGTGCCTGCCTAACGGTAATATTGTCTCGGCTGATTCTACGGGCCAAGTTTGCATCTGGGATGGCAAGACCTACACACAGTCCCAGAGACTGCAGAGCCACAAACAAGACGTTCTTAGTCTTGCCATCAGCGCCGATGGATCGACTATCACGAGTGGAGGAATGGATCGTCGCACTGTCCTGTACAAGCAGAATACTAGCGCTGGCAACCGCTGGACCAAGGTTTGGGGAAGAAGATACCATGACCACGATGTCAAGACGATGGCATCGTTTGAGCATGGACGCACGAGTGTCGTTGTAACTGGAGGTGAGATGATGACGATCAACCAAATAAAACACTCTGCTGGATCCAGACTGACTAACGTTGTACATAGGACCGGATTCAAACCTCATGCTCGTTCCCCTGAGAGAAATGGGCCGTGAAAACCACCGAACAATCAGCAATCTCCCACAGCAACCTCCCGTTTCGAGCGCACAAAAGGCAAGGTTCATCACTAGCTGGTGGGATAGAGAGGTTCATATCTGGGCTCTGCGAAAGCCTGCTACGGAAATATTCAATGTGGCTGGAGGAGAAGAAGTTGACATCAACCAAAACCGCAAACTCCTCAAGACTATTGTCGTCAAGGGCGACTCCAACATCAGCTCTGCTACAATCAATCCAGAGGGAACTCTCCTCATCGTGTCTACATCAACAGATATGAAAGCCTTCCGGCTGGAGCACCAAGATCCGATTAAACCTTCTGACGTCAAACTATCCGCAATTGAACTCCCGGAGAAGTTAAAGAATGTTGGTGCCTCACAGGTGCGACTTTCTCCAGATGGGAAATGGCTCTGTGCTATCAAGGAGGGCTCTCGAGTTATCATGGCTAGTCTGGAAGAGGCCAATGAGTCGGAGAACCCGTCACAACTTGCTATTCACTTGCAGCGGCTTCCCCGTCTCCGACGCCACATCCCACGATACATTAAGAATGGTGGATTGAGGAGCTATGAGAGAAATATCACTCACATCTCATTCACTGCCGACTCCAAGATGGTTGCGGTTGCTGACATTGCCGGTTACATCGACACCTGGATATTACGTGGCCCGGATGAGAATATGCAGGAAAAGCTGGAAGGGGATGGAGCAAATGACGCGGCGCCATCGTCAGATAACGACAGTGACAGCGATAGTGACTCGTCGGATGACGAGGAAGGCCAAGCTAGCAGTGTCAACAGCCGCTGGATTCGCAACCCGAGCGCAAACCTGCTGCCCAAGCTACCCTCAACTCCCGTCGTCTTGTCCTTCTCGGAAGACGTACCCTCTGGAGATGCAAGCGAAGGCGGAGTGGATGCCGTCAAGGACTACACCCTCGCCGCCATTACGGCCTCGTGGAACGTCTTGACATTCCATCCTCTCCAAGGCTCGCTCACACCATGGTCACGCAGACACCCCCGGAAAGCTCTCCCGGCCGCCGTGCAGGACCTGCTAGACTTGGCCAAAGGTGCTTTGTGGCAGGGATCACGTCTCTGGGTCTATGGTATCTCGTTCCTACTGATGCTCGACACTGCCCAAGACCTGCCCAAGCCCACCTCGGAGAGCGATGCTGTCGTCAGCCATGGAGCCCAGTCCGGCACAAAGCGCAAGAGAACTGGTCATACTAGTGGTGCCGGAGGCAAGATGACCCGTGAAAATCTTGCACCACACCGTATTGGCAAGTACGTGGACGGGCAGTGGGTTAACATTGACGTGGATACTGCCTCTCCCCACGAGGATGGAAGCGACAGTGACGACGACATGCCTGATGCCCCAGAGGGCGACCTCGCCCAGCTTCGCAGCGCCAACGGCAGCACCAACGGCACGGGGGATCATGAGGCGGAAACTGGCCGCAAGAGCTGGTGGATAACCTACAAGTACCGCCCAGTTCTTGGTATCGTATCCCTCAACGCTGCAGACCAGCCGCTGGAGGTTGCGCTAGTGGAGAGACCAGTGTGGGATGTGGAGATGCCCGAGAGATATTACGCCGGGGAGGAATGGGAGAGGTGAAAATTTTTTTAATAGCAGGAGGCTGTTACGACAAAATCGGAGATGGCATTGACATGCCATTGGCATGGGCAAGTAACGTGTCAGAATGGGGGGTGGGTTCTTTTTCATGATCACCAAGTACATATATAAGAGTGATTCAGAACTGGGTTTATTCCTGGCTGATGTCTACAAAAGTGCTAGTTGCGGTTCGTGGCATATAGAAAGGAGTTGAAATGTTAATTTTGCTTTCGAGATTGCTTTTGGGCCATGAGGAGATCTAAAGTGGTGATGGAAAAGTCGTGTACAAACGATGCGAAGAACGGATGGGCTGATACGTAATGCTGCATGTTGACACTCCACTAGAACAACATCGTCTCTTGGTCCCCCTTTACGTACATGGGATAAAACAAACCTTTGATTAAGGTAGCATCTTAGGTTGAATATAAGAATCCTCGTTTTAAAAACGAGGAGTGTTCGTACGAGTACGTAGCCCCTAGTTATACGGTACAAGGACGGCTGGTATTGCGTTACAAAGGCATACAAGTGTGGTTTACACGACAAACTGTTAGTCATAGGAATTATTTATTCGTGTCACAAGTCAGTCTACGTTCCGCCCCAACGAGTTAGGATACCGACATATGGGAGACCACGATCCTGGCGTGAGACGACGACGACGACGACGTCCCGGCAGACAGGGGGCGAGATCCAGTTAACGCGCGTCCCCTTCGAAAAAAGCCCGCGCTTAAGGCAGGGTGGTCGGGTGCTCTAGCCTTTTCGTAGCCTTGTAGACATACAAGGTATGTATGACTACACTCCATATAATCTTGGTACTCGTAGTTGTGTCCTAGAACCTGGTAGGTTGTGGAAATTGAGCATCAGATAAGAGCCTTGTGGAGCGAGGACTCATGACAAATGTGAATCATGCACACGTCTTGGGCTGAGCAACACGGGTCGGGAAAACGTGGAGTAGTGATATTTCGGCTAATGATGTGGCTTCTTGTAGTACGATAGAGTTCGACGAGAATCACGATGTCGGGGCTCGTGCTGGAATGGCCATGTATCTAATAGGAAAAGCGAGGTGGTAAGCATATGGAGGTGTGTTGTACGAACCTAGTCCATTCATCCAATGTCTGGTAAATTAGCAGGAGGATAGTAAACAAAAGTTCATGCGAGGGTGATGGGGGAATGCAGGGCAAACTCAAGTCGAGTGTCGTGGTAGCATTCGATATGTGAACGTGTACGGAGTAATTTACTCATGCCTTAGCATCCCCCATAGACCACCCGTTGGTGGAAAGTAGTGGACCTAGATCCGCCTTGGGCTGTGGGTTGAAGAGCGTGTGATTCCAGCTGGCTTTTGGGGTCGTCAAGCTTTAACGTTGTAGCCTCAATGGACGCAGGAAAGCTTCTTCACACCGACAATGTCAACAACGTGTCGCCGTGATGATGTCGTCCTGTTGTTGGCGGCAGATCAAGCTGGACGTAGAACAGCCCGTTCACCAAGATACATGCGCGCAAGTCTCGAAGGTTCCTTTCCAGTACGAACACGGACTCGATATGCTCGTATATTCTGCCTCTTTTGGGGGTGGATTTCGCGCGGTAGTTTCTTGATTGTCTCTACTGCAAAAGCCAAGATGCTTATCGAGCCTCAACGAGGTTGCCCGCTAACCGCAGTAGGCAATGCTTCTGTATAATGATTTGCACGGCTTTGTCGTCTACCAGGCGTGGAGTGGCGATTGGACGTTGTAGTACGCAAGCCCCCATAGAGCGCAACAAGCGGATGACGCGGCCTCGGACCCCTAACACCACGCCCCAGCTGTGAACGTAGAAACGAAAATTTGTTTGGCGAGGACGTGATTGGATGAAAACATGTTTAGTTGTTTGTCTTTAGGGATCAGGAAAGCCCTTGTCCTTTAGCTTCCGGATCCGGCACCCGGTCTTGAAGCTGAGTTGGAGCCGTGATGAGATTATGGGCTTACAGAAGAAGAAGAGTCAGCAATCAAAGGGATGATTCTCTAGCCGTTTTGTTTGTCCTTTAGATGATAGGAATACTAAATAGGAAGAGGGAGACGAGGAAGAGAGAAAAGGCTTTGGGTGTCCAGATCAATGGGGCGTGAAACTCTCTACTCTTGCAGGAAACAAACGCTAGCAGGTAGTTTGGGTGTTGAGGGGGTTCAAGATCTCACATGCTCTTTTGGTTTTGGTCACCTTATGTAATGAGACGTGCAACTCCAGATCAATGTACAGCACATGGAAAGCTCACGATCCGTTGACAAGGTCTCCTCCATTTGGCCATGACGACGGAGGGGCCAGCTTGACGGTGGAAAGGCCAGGAACACGAAACGCAAGGCTGATTATTAGAGTGGAAGCCCCTTTGGACGTTTGCGCGAGAGGTGAGTTGATAGCCGCCTAACGGAGTACTAATCATACGGTGCCGATAAGTAAACGAACACTGTATGACCGGAAGTGCAAATTCTACTGCGGCTACAAGCAAAGCCAGCACTGCCGCGATTTCCCGCGATGATCAATTTTCCGGTACATTTTCCGCGGAACATGCTATGTATGCTTGAGGCCTCGGGCGATGGAGAGAGGGAGAGAGGCGAGGTTTTGCTTGCTGTGGTAGCGGGGATTGGTGATCACAACCACCCTCGAATTCTAAATCAGGAAATTAAAGAGGGGGCACGATGCAAAAGCGATCAATGTGACAAAAGAAAAAATCGAGAGCAAGACAATGCGAACGTGTGAAACGGCGCAGGTCCGTATCTTTACGCGCAGATCGTACCTTAGTATACACGAAAGGGCCAGGAATAGACCGGAGAGTATTCGTATGCGTAGTCTTGTAGCAGGTTAGTACCCTTTGCGGCTAGCGGCGCTGGCCACGACCGGGATTGCGTTAGCTGGAGACTCACAACGGCGACGGAAAATATTTCGAAAAAAAGAAAAAAAGAAAAGAAGAGAAAAGATGAAAAATACCAAAACGGAGGCGCAATGCATCGCCTCCGTTCAAACACGGTATCCAGTCCACAGTACAGTACAGAGCGACACAGCGAAGCATCGCCGGCTGACTGCGGCACCCGCGCCGGCACACAGTGCGCAGACGGGCGTGCGCAGCCATGACGCTAGCATCTTGGCATCGGCTGTGCCACAGCAGAAACGGGAAAGGCGCATCATGCGCTACGTGCCTCGTCATCGCTGTGCTGGAGGGCCCAGGTTCTGGTACTTGCGGATTGCCCAGCGCGAGGCCAGCGGTACCTCTGCGCTATTCGCATGTAAGTTGCATGTGCGCGGCAGAATGATGCGGTTGGAAAGCAACCTTTTGCGGGCGGCGCTCCGCAGAAGCCGTCGCTGTACTGAATGTATTCTGGCTGATCTAGATACCGGCTGCTCGTGCAATTTCCCCTTTTTGATTTCCCGGTTGACGTCTGCCCAGGGACGAGTACAGGGACGTGCGCAATCGCAGCCGCGCGTGTCGTTGACGCATGCTGAAACCGGGAAGCAGAGCATCCCTGGGTCTCAGCCCATTCATTGCTTAGTACTAGGTAGATGGGAAAAAGAAAGAAGAAGAAAAAAAAATTTGGCTGAGAAAGAAGGTTGGAAGAAATTAAGCATAGAGTGAAACGAGTCATACGGAGTACCGTCTGGTCTTTTTGCATTTGCAGTATGACAGATGAGACGAGACGGTACCAGAACTTACTACTAGGTATAGATAATGATGGCACCGCAATGCCTGTTGGACGGCACGCCAAGATCCGTGAATCTATGTAACTGAATCCCTTGGTAATACTACTAATCGTGCGGTACCTTGCCGTTACAGGGCCTTGTACCTGTGTAGCGATCGCATCAATCAATCCGTTCAGCTTGATCCCAGATATCCCGGCTGCGCTCTCGCTCGGCATCATCAGCAAGGCCCATGTACCCAGGCTTCGCCGCCTTGTAGCGGTACCCGCGCCGGGCTCCTCTCACCGAGCAGAGCTAATCCTGGTGCTGGGCCGGGCGGCGGCTGTGATTGGCTGCACTGGCCAGCTGACGCGTAAACCGCCATCAGTGGCTCCAAAGAGGAAGAGGCACCCCCTCTGCCACTAGCAGTGCTACCACTTCCACTACTACAGCTAGTCCCTTTATTTCCCCTGCCCTGTATGTGCTGCTGCAGCGCTGCGTCTCCAGAGGCCGTCGACCCCCAAGAGGCACATACTTCCTCCACTAAGCCCCCCCGTCTGCCTCTTTTTCATGCTGCTCAGCTTTCTTTTTTCCCACCAGCGCTCTCTCTGGCGACGGCTTCAACTCTCAGCGTCGACCGGCTTCCAGCTCCACGGTCGATTCTAGCGACAAGGAATTTGAAAACAAAAAGGGTCCAACCCCGGATCCACGAGGCCAGGCCAGTTGGCGCACGCTGAGGGGTGGTCTCAGTCACTGTGGCAATTTCAGAGGCCTACGCATACGCAGCTTACGACGCTGTCCGCCTGCGACCTTGACCAGACTCCAGCCTAGCCGCGACATCGACGACGACGCAATCTTGTGTCCAACGCCTCTGCCTGCCACTGTTTACCCTCTATTTACTTGGTATCTTGCATCCTTGATTGAGATCCGAGACCAAGCACACCAATCTCAGCCAAATCTCATTCATCCGCATCGGCGTCTTTCCAGCATCTCGCTCTCGACCCGCTTCACTCGTTAACCCAGCATAATTCCCTTCGGCTGCCTTCAACCGCAATGGAGGGCCGAGGCACCCCCTTCCGCTCAGGGCCCTCATCGCAAGGCGACAACTATGGCGAGGAATGGGCTCACGACCTCCGGGTCCGCTTTGAGGGCCTGTTGCGCGATAAGCGCATGAACGACCTCCGGGCTCAACACATGTCACAGAACCTGCGAGAACGACCTTCGAGCCCCTTTAACGACGCCCCTTCACCTGCTGGCAGCAGTCAGTTTGGCTCATCCAACTCTTCCGCAACCCCGCCCTCATATTCAGCCCTGCGACATCTCCCCAAGATCCCAACACCACCTGCCGCCGCCGATCGCGACTCGCAAAAATTCCGAAATCTTCTCCTCAGCTTATCACTCACACCCACCAAATACGAGAACCCTGGCTTGTTGGATGAAGCCCTCCAGACCATTCCTCTCGACCGCATTTATGGCGAGGCTGAGGAAGAGAGCCAGGTTCTGCAGGCCCAGGCAGAGAGTATGGGCGACGGTCGGAAGCCAGAATGGGGATATCAGGACTGCGTCATCCGAGCTCTTCTTCGGTAGGTTTTCAAGCCGATGAAATGTATCCCTTTCCTTTCAACTAGGGTACATGGTTCTAACTTTTTCACCCTGTACAGATGGTATCGGCGGTCATTCTTCACATGGGTAAATAACCCCCCGTGCCCGGTTTGTCTGTCGCCTACAATCGCCCAGGGCATGACAGCGCCAACCCCAGAGGAGAGTGCCTGCGGTGCGCTTCGAGTTGAGCTCTACCGCTGCTCTGCCGAGAGTTGCGGTGCCTACGAACGCTTTCCACGCTTCGGCGATGTGTGGCGACTACTGCAGACCCGCAGAGGCCGCGTCGGAGAATGGGCCAACTGCTTCAGCATGCTCTGCCGCGCGGTAGGTGGTCGTGTCCGGTGGGTTTGGAATGCCGAGGACCACGTTTGGACTGAAGTTTACTCGGACCACCAAAAGAGGTGGATTCATGTGGATGCCTGCGAGGAAGCCTGGGACAACCCCCGACTCTACACCGAAGGCTGGGGAAAGAAGATGTCATATTGCGTGGCCTTTTCCACCGACGGCGCTACCGACGTGACCCGGCGGTATGTGCGCAAGAACGAAGCTGCCAATGAACGCAACCGATGCCCTGAAGAAGTCATGCTTTACATCATGCAAGAAATCAAGAACCTCCGACGAGCCAACATGTCCAAGGAGGAGCGCTTCCGTCTTGAGAAGGAAGACCAGCAAGAGGACCAGGAGCTCCGGAACTACGTCGTGGCATCCATTGCCCAAGCCGTTACGGATCTTGTACCCGGATCCCCCACTTCTGCCAACAGCCGTGGCGGCAGCGGCGGCGCTGGCCAAGATACCAAGCTACCAGCCGAGAACCCATCCCGCCAAGTTGGGTCTGCTGAATGGCTAGCTGCTCAGCAACGCCAGCATGACAGACAATGCCAACCCCGTGATCCTAGCCACAGACGGCACTTGCCTTGAAATGCATGCATAACGATGCTGTCTATGCATATCACCTATTCTCTTTTACCCTCATTTTTTTGGGTTTCTCATGCCTATACTAGCCTTACTACCAGGCCGATCCAATCACACACAGCTGGCGGCCTCAACACGCAACACACGAGCGATTTTGTCACGTCGATGATATCCAACGACTATTACCAATGACAGCCAACCATGTCCTGTCAATGACAAATCAATATGCAATTCCTTACCTACTTATATTTATTACAACTATTCACGGCAGGCGGACGCCACTTGCCCTCTCGTTACCAAACAACATTAAATCTTTCTCTTACATCACCAAACTATTTCAGCATAGACTTGGCGTTTTTCTTATTAGCCGAAAGAAAAAAAAAACTCTTTGCCATCCTGTTGACCCCCTACTTTGGAGGAGTCGACTTGTATCTATCACTTATACCTGAGTTTCTTATATATCATTTCCTTTGTTGTTGGGTAGGGAGAGCTTGGGCGTATTTGGAGGGAGGACCGGGACGAATTTTTTCACACCAGCGTGAGCCCTTTTTATTATTTTTTTCTTTTGGGACTGGGGAGGGGGTATACCCGAAACCCCCCTTGGGCGTATCGGCTGTTTTGGGATAGCATCTGCTAAGGAGGAGAGGGAACACGGGATGAAGAGATGGGAAAAAGTGTATGGAGGCTTTTTTTGGGCAGTAGACCTACCAGAGGAGTAGATGTAGCGAATAGCATGCGTCATGTACAGATGGGATATTGCAGAGGAGTGCATCTGTCTGGCCGTATATGCAATACAAAGAAGCTTATACCTGGTTTCTTATCATAATAATATCAAGAACATGGCTGCTACACTTGTTTTATACAATCGGAAGATATCAAGAACTGTGCTTGTGCTGTACACGCTTTCTATGAGCTGTCGTCCCATCTGACAAATCAACCCTCCGCAGGTCATTAATAAACGAACTTAAAAAAGGGGGGAGGAGCATGGAGATGAAGTCGAAACTCCGTCCTTGCGGACATGACCAGAAACGGTCTATCCGGTGGTGAGAGTTGGCGAGACGGTACCTTTCGGCGGCCCACCGAATCGGAGGGACCCACCGAACGCCGAACGTCTAAGTCCGCCGCCGAGGGGAGAGTGCTCCGGCATATATAGGCAAATGCAGAAGATGAATTAATTTCTCGCTTTTCTTTTCATTCAATTTACGTCCTTCTTCTTTTCATTCAATTAATGTCTCGTCTCGTCCTGTCTAGAACTAGACTGGGGACTTCTGCTATACGCAGCACAGCGTGGTTTTCAAAGGCTCTCTACAGCAACTTTCCAGTCCATCGACTTACTTCAAACATCATGAACACCCCAACGACGATGCGCTCACTTGTGGCGCCGCGAAAGGGTGGACCCGAGGTTTACGAGGTGCAGGAACTGCCGGTACCGAGCATCACGCTGCCGACGCATGTGCTCTTAAAGATGCACGCGGCGGGGGTGAACACGGGAGAGCTGCAGGCTGTGAATGGAAAGTTGGGGTTGTTTTACACGCCAAAGTAAGACAGCTGCTGTATATGCGGGTTTTTAGCTGCACGTTAGATGGAACTGAGGGGCACTGGCTGACTAGGAAATTTCATCTAGATATCCAACGCAGCTCGGCCAAGAGGGCGCCGGCGTCGTCGTCGCCGTGGGACCCGAGGTCAAGGATCTCAAAGTAGGCGACGAGGTGTTCGGGGCGTACATTGACAAGCCCATGTTCCGGCTGCCGCCACCGGGCTTCATCTCCGAGTATGCGGTGGCTGAGGAGCGCTTCCTGTTGCGCAAGCCGGCGCATCTATCTCCTGAGGAGGCTGCCGCCATGACGGCCATAGTGGTGACGTCGTACCAGACGTGGCGGCGAGGCCTGCAGCTCATGGGCGCGGACAGCCTCGAGGGCAAGACGGTGTATATCCCGGCCGGGCTGAGCAGCACGGGGGCCATGGCGGCACAGGTGGCCAGGAACGTCTTCGGCGCATCCCGCATCATCACGACGGTGTCGACGCCCAAGTTGGCGCTGGTGGAGCAGTATCTGCCGGGCATCTACGACCAGGTCATCGACTACAAGACGCAGCGGCCGCGGGACCAGGTGCCCCGGGGCAGCGTGGACATCATGTACAACACGCAGTGGGACAGCATGGACGAGGGCATCCCGATGCTCAACCCGAAGACGGGGGTGCTCATATCCATCACCAGCGCGCCGTCCAAGGCCACGGCGAGGAAGATTATCGGCGCAGACCGGTTCAGCTGGTGGATCGGCGTGATTCTGGACCTGGCGCAGCTGGTGTACTGGTGGAAGCTCTGGGGCACGAGCATCAAGTACGAGATGGTATCTGGCAGCATTGAGATCCGGGAGGACCTGGAGAAGGCGGGAGAGATTGTGGCGCTGGGAAAAGTGAAGCCGGTGTTGAGGGCTGTGGAACTGGGGGATATAGAGGCGGTGAAGAGAGGGTGTGAGGAGGTTGTTACTGGCAAGGGGGGGATTGGGAAGCTGGTGGTGAAGATATGAGGAATCCATAAGTGAAGTAAGTATTCAGTACCTCAGCAGTCACGTGTGGGTATTATAGTTTTCATATTCAATTCGATATCAAGTCTAGCTGAGACCAGATGAACAATGCCTCTTACCTATATGACTATTCCAGAGTACTATTTGCATTGCATTGGCTCTGTCTCGATACAATACTCGCATAATATGTCATCATCACCGTTTTAGCTTGTCGCGAAGCCACTCTACGCGCTGCTGCACGCGACTCGCGCCATCTCTCAGCGCTTGCAGGCGTCCTCTGTCGCGCCTCAGCTGCTACAAATACCTGCTAAAGACCCGCCTCGTTACCTCAACGACCACCAGTCCGTCTCACTGGCTTCTGTCCATCCCAAAACTCAATTCGCCCAGCCTACCGCTTTCGTCTGCCTTTCTCCTCTTCTCCTGTCTTGTCTTTCCGTATCACCACCAGTTGTTCTTTTCGTCATCTCTTTGCGAGCCATTGATTGAGGGGAGCGTGCGTGCTATTCTGCTCATTTATTCGTCTCCATTTTCTGCATTCTTCTCTTCAATCTCAATTTCAGACAGACAGCCATGGCAACGCTCCTCAAGCGCAAACGCTCCGCCGCCGAGCTCTGCCCTCCTACTGCCGACAACTCTATGATGGTCCTCGACGCACCGGCCCTGCACAGCCGCACCCTCAAGCGATACCGCGACAACAGGCCGTCTGACGAGGAGGTCCATCGTAAGTTCTACGAATGGCGCGCCCACCACCATCTGAGCCCAAACTCATGCCTGCCCGCAGAGCACACCCTGGACCTCCTGTACTCGGCACAGCAGAGGCAGCAGGGCCAGCTTCAAGACCCCGTCGCCCAGCCCGAGCCCGAGGCCCAGCAGCAGCCAGCCGCGAACCCGAACTCGGACGGCCAGCAGTCGCTGCACCGCTTCTGGGACATTGGCTCCGAGCCCAGCTCGGGCACCTCGTCGCCCGGCATCGCGAATCCCAGCGCGCCGCCCACCAATTGCGACGACTGCGGCGCTGCCCTGGCTGGGAACGACGACGACATGGATGTGGACAGCGGCGCTGCGCAAGACACGGCGTGTGGCGCATGCGGCAAGCACGTCTGCTTCAGCTGCTCGGTGAGCAACCTCGGCGAGCAGAAGCGCTGCCTGCAATGCGCCGGCCGAAGGGTCTGGATTGGTGGCATTGGCTGGACTAATGCTGGTGTCTCGGTTTGTTAAATGCATGAGATTGAGAGCCCCATTTTCTGGATTAATGTTCTTTTTTTACTCGTCATCTTTCATTCTAGTTCTCGTTTCTTACTTGGGCGAGCTTTGAGGAGCTTCTGCTATGGGTTGGCTGGCGTTATCTGGGTATGTGTGTGCGTGTATGCGTGTGATGTCTGCATGGCACTGGTGAAGAAAAGCCAAGAGTTGGCTGCATAGCTGGTATGCTTTAGCGAGCATTAGTGTATTGTATAATACGGGATTTACGACTTGCTTTGCCAATGGAATTATATAACCCGTTCAACTGAATGCCGTCTCACCTGGGTCTCCTTATGGCATGTTTCATACAAGCCTGATAGGTATTAGGTAGGCAAGTTGCTCGCACTTGGCATTCTTTAATCGTGCCTCGTTCTTGAAGTAGAATAGTAATGCTGATAAATGGCTATATCCGTTATTAAATACATTGTAGGCCCAAGAATGCCAGATGACGAGCACGCCACAGGCAAGTTAGGCACATCATCTTATTCTTATTAGCAATTCCCTGGCCAGTACCCTGATTCCGACCTGTACACCAGCATCCAGATAAAGAATAAGGAAAAAAAAAAAATAGGAACCTCCACAGAATCTCGTCTAACCACGGCGCCGAGTGGTGGGTCCCTTCTTTGGAACGGCTGATGAACTTCCCTGGCCCAGAGCCTCAACGGGAATAACCTCCTTCTGCTTGCCCCTGGCCTTGGCCGACGGAGCGTTCCAATAGTACACCATCTGCAGAGCGAGAATGGCGTTGAGGACAAAGCCGGAGATGAAGCCGTACAGTATAAGCTTGTCGTCGACCTCCTGGAGCGTGGTGAAGATGCGAGTCAACGAGCCGGCCAAGTAGTTGAAGACCTAAAGTTTCTATTAGCTGCGTTACTTTAAGCGAGAGACATCAAGTGCAAACGAACCGCAAAAGCGCTGAGCTGGCCGGTGCCTCCCTCTTGCCAGATGGCCAGGATCTGAGGCACCTTGCTAGCAACGCCGAGGACACCGGCACCAGCTTGCAGATAGCTCAAGGCCTGCATATCCACAACAGTGTCAGTAAACAAGGCCGCGGCGCTGGCAGCCAGTGTAGCGACAAAAAGAGCAGCCGCAGCAGACCGGCCGCTGTAGTTGAGCACGAGCATGGTGATGACGACATTCTGGCCCATGATGAAGGCGGTCTCGCCAAAGGTGCTAAAGGGGAAGCCATTGCGGACGTTGTAGGCCAGCGAGATGAGGTACGCGCTCGTCTCCAGCAGATACGACAGGAAGGACACGCCCTCGGCGGACTTGGACTGGAGCAGCTTGAGGATCTGCGGCACCTTGACGACGGCCGAGGCGCCGACGATGCCGATGCCCAGGCCCTTGCTGATGGCCAGCTTGATGCATTCCGTGTTTTCCACGTCCACGTCGAGCAGCAGCGCCTTGTAGCAGGTTTTGCCTACGATCGACACGCCCAGGTCCCGGATGGGGGCCGGCAGGTTGTGCGTGATGGGCTGGACGAGAGACCGGACGGTGTCCATGGCGTGCGAGGTGCGAGGCTGAGCTTGGGCTTGAGCTTTGAGCTTGGACAGGACGATGCCGTTTCGTTTTCGTTTCGTTCTCCGCGAGAGAGGGAGCCTGTCTGAAAGAAAAAGACCAAAAAAAGACTTTTTTAGTTAGACGCGCCTCTTCAGCCTAGTTCCGGGTGGAGCTCAAAGAGTGTCAAAGCCCCCTCAAGGTTGCGTTGCAATGCCGGTAGCAAAGATGGTAGCTCGAAGCTATCGTTTGTCTTCGTTTTTCTTTCCTTGTGCGGAATGCGACGCTTCTCGTCCGAGCCCTGGTCAGTTCAGGCCAGATTGCGCTTGTGCCTGGAATGACATCAGGCTGGGGCGGGGGGTCCTTGCGATTTGTGTGTGGCTCAGCAACGGCGTTAGTCAGGCAGTCAGTCTGTCGATCAAGACGTGACGGAGAAGAGACAGAACAGGGTATTGAAATTTAATGCAGAGAATATATAGAAATAACCCAGTAGTGAATATGGATAGAGGCAGCTACACATGCATGCACTTTTGTTATACATGAAATGCGTGTGTATATACATGGACACATCAATGTCCAATCCTGTCCCCGCTACTAAGAACCAGAAATTTGTACTCGTACGAGCACATTGGGTCGGATGTTGCCCAAGGCGCTGGCAGTGGGACTGGGAGGCAGCTGGAGAGGCGATCAGCCGCCAGAGGCCAGCGGGCTTAGCGGCGGGATGGGGGACTGACGGGGGGCAGGTCACGGAGTCGATAGCAGGTGCTGCACTAACTTGGGCAGTGTTGTCTACTACTACCAGGTACCTATACTTTCATCACCTGAAATGCAATGAGCCTTCAACTCTTCATCTCCATCTCTCTACTAGCTACTCACTCCTCACCGGACGACGATATACCATCAATCCTCTCATCACCACACGCCCCTTCTCCAGCTGTGACATCATTCCAAGCCAAGTCTTCTCTCCATGCACTGCAGCAGCAAAACGAACGAACGAACGCATGCACTAATCTGCTGCACCGGCTACCCAACAGCAAGATCAACGGCTCGCCCCAATCACAGCTGCACAAGTCAACCCTAGCCCATGCTAGTCGACATGCCTCGCCTTTGTCCGTCCTTCGCACCACCTGCAGCCACGACGCACGTGTCAGCCCGTGAGGGCCCGTGAGGGGCCGTTTGCGCCATTCGTCGTCTTTGGTCACCAGCATCACGGTCATGATGGAGTCGCATCTGCTGGAATCCAATGCCTGCCGTCAGCATCTGCCTCGGTCTGGCCAGCCTCTGATACGCCAGCCTTTCTTTTTGCCATGGCATAGCCGAGCCTCTTTGTCTGCCTCTTTTTTTTCCTCCTTTTCTCCCTTGCTTCTCTATTCCTGCGGCTCGTCCTTTGTGGCGCACAACTGCCTTGCTAGGCTGTCTGACTGCCTTTGAGCAAAGCCAACCCACCCCCCATAGCCTATTTTACTCCAGGCCCGGGCCCTGCCGCAGCTAGTGACATCAGTTCCCATCGCCCACCCACCTTGCTTCTGCCTCTCAGCTTTTGTTTTTGTTCCTGGAAAAAGCCTACAAACCGTCTTGGATGCGAGCCTTTCTTGCTGCCAGTCGCCGTTCAGAATGGCCGTTCCGCGATCGAATGGCCAGCCGCCGCCGGGCCCCATCAAATATGCCTACATGTTCGAAGCAGACAAGAGTCCGACAATGCAGTTTGATGCCCTGCTGAGATCAATCGCGCGCTTTATCGTATGCCCTGGCATCCCACCCGACATGGCCCGGAGGCAGCACGGCTAATGGTTTGAATGACAGGTTGTTGAGCTTGGCGACAAGAGTGATAGCCATCTTACTCCCAAGAAGCTCGCTGCGTTTTACAAAGCCGTTGGTGGTGATTATGACTGTACGTCAGTGGGATTGCGTGCGTAAAGGGGACCGCACTTCATATGTTAACTCGCCGCAACAGCCTTATTCCTAGAGACTCCTCACTCGACCATTTCCTACATGTGGTCAGTGACGGGTTGCCAGCATAGTCTACAGCCCACGGAGAGCGACTTTGATCCGCCCTCCATCCCGGCCTTGACGCCTCGGGGTTTCTCACGGTGGGAGTCGGTAGAGATCCTTCTCGGGCCCGAAGAGCATGTGCCCTTCATCCAATATGCTGTCAAGCATTGGGGCCTAAGGCATCCCGAGACAGGCCAATCCTTCCCTCCCGATCTTCCCGCCAGTGTATTTCCTGCACAATCAGACCAGGCAGTCGACCGCTGGCACAAGGAATGCGCCAGTACCTTACGCGACAAAGCTTGCAAGGAGGAGGAGGAAACAAGCATGCCCAGCTCCAGCTCTGCGCCGCGACCCGAGCCGTCTCCAGAACCTTCCGCGCCCAGATTCGCCTATGTTCATACCGCAGATCCCTTCCGTCCTGGCTCCCCTCGATCGAGGGCTGCTGATCCAAATCAGTACGAAAGGTTTACTTATGTCCGTGTAGGCGAAAGACATGGGGCTAATTTCGGCCAAAGGCCTCCTATGCGCTCGCCCGAACGGCCTCGCCGTCCGAGACCTGCCGATGACGCTGCGAGACGTCGAAGCTTTTCCGACTATGCTTCTACACGCCAGCCACACGCAGATGGAATCCGCCACAGCTATTCGGGAACATATCTCAACCCGGATCCCAGCCGACCAACGCCCAGCCGACCCGGTCACGGTCGTCGGCATAGCCATGCCCAGCATCACTCGTCCGGCGAGTCGTCAGGAGATGAATCTGCAGAAGAAGACATTCATCTGAGATCCAGACGGCGACAACGTACTGGCTCACCCTCGACTCCTGGCGTTCGTCGAGTTGTCCCGCCATCATCGGGTCCTCCGCCGTCGTCAGGCTCCAGCGTCCCTTCTTTCCGGACGCATCGCAGCGATAGTCGTGCTGAAGATGCAAGGAGAAGGGCCAGCCCGTTTGGCAACATCAGGGAGAAGGTGTCGGAGACGGTTTCCAACATACTGCCAGGTAGCCGAAACAGCTCAAGGCACAGCTCTGTCAACGACCCCATCCGCGTGAGGAGAAGCCGCGAGCACATTCCCCCATCCCGGTTGAATCAGAACCACTCAGATCTCGCCTCGGACGGTGTGTCGGAAGATTCTAGCGAAGAGGAGCTACGCCATCGCCGCCAATTGCATGAAGAGCGAGACCGCTACCGCACCAATGACCAAGACTCCAGCGGGCGCAGGGACCGGCAGCAGCAGCACCCACGGATGCGTCCAGATTCACAGCGACGCACTAGCAGTCACGCCGATGCCGACAGGCGACGAGACCCGGCATGGGATATGCGAGACAGGGATCGCATGAGGGAAGATAGAAAGTGGGATAGACGATCCATGGAAGACGGGCTGTCAAACCCTGGAGGGATCCCTAATCGGCGATACCAGGAATCGGCTTACACCTGAAAGATGCCCTCATGCAGAGGAGGGAGCTCTTCAATTCTTATGACGTGATGAAGGATATCAACCATTTGTACGGAGTTTAGCGATTGGGGCCTTTCTTCTTCCATTTCTATTTTTTATGCTCTCTTTTTCTTGTTGTCTCTTCTTCACTTTCTTTTCTTTTGGCAAAGTGCAATGCATTTCATAGAGACAGTGTTTGTCGTACACGCATAACAGCAATGATCAAAATGATTCGGATGCCTCAATTCATTGGCTATTCGCATCTGTATATGTCTCTCCATGTATCTGTGAGCTCTATTATGTCTCATTGGGGGCGGGCAGCTTCATTTAAAATTCTGGTATCAAGTTTTCCGTCTCTTTCTCCCAAAGGAGAAACCCCAAAAAGGAGTACGTAGTGTTCATGGTCAGCGCTTCGGCTACGGTCCATCCGTTTAGTGGCAGACGAAGGCTTATCAGTGCTCTTTACATTAGGGGGTTGCTATTCCGTTCTATGCCTGTCGCTGCCACGGCCGTTTGATCCTTCTGCCCCAACAGGGGCTCGTCGTGCTCAAACGTGCCCAGTGCAGCAGATACAAAACAGAATATCAGCCCTAAGAGGAAAAGCACTGATAAGCCTGCATCTGCCACTTAACAGACAGGAGATCAGCCAAAACGCTGCACATGAAACCCGTCCGGTGGTGGGGGTTTTTTTTTTCTCGCTGGTCTTTTACCTAGCCAGCATGCTTTTGCTCTATCTTCATCTCAAAATCTTTTTTTCACGCCGAAGGCCCGATTAGACGGACATGTTCATGGGGATTGATTTGTGGGGGTCGTATCCCTTGACCACGAAGTCCTCGGCCTTCCAGCCATCGATGCTGCCGCCCTTTTCCCGCGTAATCTCCAGCTCGGGGAATGGCCGAGGCTCGCGCTCTAGCTGTGTCTGGAGAGCATCGATGTGATCAATGTAGACGTGTGCGTCTCCCATGACGTGTGTTAGGCTTCCTGGTACTAGATCGCAGACGTGAGCGAGCATGTGCGTGAGCAGCGCATAGCTGGCAATGTTGAAGGGGATGCCGAGGCCCATGTCGCAAGACCGCTGATATAATTGACAGTGGAGGTGGCCCTTTGGTTTGCTTTCTTCCGTGGGCTCTGCGGCTCCGATTCCCCGTCCGCGTCCTGGGTACGAGACGTAGAACTGGGCAAACATGTGACAAGGTGGCAGGGCCATGCTCTTGAAGTCCCGCGGGTTCCAAGCGCTGAGGATCATTCTCCGGTCGTAAGGGTTGTTGCGAAGCTTGTGGATGATCTCGGCAAGCTGGTCGACGCCCTTGCCGGCGTAGTCTGTCTTTGCATCTACGTACTCGGCGCCAAAGTGTCGCCACTGGAAGCCGTAGACGGGGCCCAGGTCGCCAACCTCGCGGTGGGTCAGGCTGACGCTGTCGAGGAACTCGCGGGACCCGTTGCCGTCCCAGATCTTGACGCCGACATCATTGAGGGCGAGGGACGACGTGTTGCCCTCGATGAACCAGAGGAGCTCGGCGATGACGGCACGGAGGAAGACCCGCTTTGTTGTTAGCAGAGGGAGGATTGGCCGGCCGTTGTCGTTGAGCTGGAACTTGAAGCTCTGGGGTGCGAAAATCGACAGGGTGCCGGTGCCTGTGCTGGGGGGGAAGTGTCAGTACTTGAGAACTGACTGCTTTTTTTTCTCGTCTTCTTAATTTTCTTGCTGCATGTCACTGAGTGGTGCCTTACCGATCGGGTCTTCGCTCACCCTGGTCCAAGATCTCGCGGACCAGGTTGAGGTACTGGTGCTCCTCGTGGACGGATGTAGACCCCATTGTTCCCCGGGCCGAAAACAGGAACAAGGTCGAAAACTGCGGTATCAAGGAGATAAAAAGGGAGAAGAAACCCCCAAATTTGGCTGGGGAAGAACAAGAAGGGCTGTAAGAAGAAACAAATGGAGGGGTTGTGATACCTGGCGGGCTCTGTGTGACGTGGGAAAAGAGGCGACGCGCTGGGACGCGCTCTGTCAATTAAGGCGGCAGCGCTACACGTGATTTCGCGCGACCAGCTCATTAACGATGTAGAGGTATACAGCGGAGTCTAGCACGCAATAGGTCAGGTAAGGTGTATAGATGTTATCAAGGCTCGTTTTCTATACTATGTACACCAACTAAATTAGATATTATAATAGGGCATTTCAAATCCAAGTGTTATTGTACATGCATCTAGAAGGAGAAGGAGAAGAAGGAGAAGAAGAAGAAGAAGAAGAAGAAGAAGAAGAAGAAGAAGAAGAAGAAGAAGAAGAAGAAGAAGAAGAAGAAGAAGAAGATCTTCAGTTTCTCTCTTGCGCTGGAGCAACGGCAAGGAATGCCGACAGGGTCACTGGCTGGCCTTTGTTAGCCGCTCGGATATCCAGCGTCGTCCACTGCTTGAACTCTTTGAATCTCGTCTTCTCCAGCACCCTCTTGCTTCCCGGATTTTCCACGTCTACCACGGCGACGAGAATCTCAACAACGGGGGCATCGCCAGCCTCCAGGGCTTCGGCATCCAGGCTTGTCGCATCAACCTCAATCTCCACCTCGCTGCGAGGCAAACTCCACCAATTCTGGAGGAAGGCCGTCAGGAACTCGGTTCCGTATCCTTTGCCCCATGCTTCCTGCTTGAAAGAGTAGCCGACTTCTGGCCATCCAAAGTTGCGTCCTGTGATGCCGTGCATTCCGCCTTTGCCGACCAAGTCTCCCGTGTCCTTTTCGAAGATGAGGAAGTGGTAGGTTTTGCTGTCGTTTGGAGGGAAGAAATCGTCCAGACTCCGCCGTGTGTCTTCTAGAGTCTTGTCCGCGCCCTTGGCGGAATACTTCATGGCTTCATGTTGGATGCGAAGTATGTGCAGAGCAGGCACGTCTGAGATGCGCGGTGCTCGGATTATGAGCCGCGAAGTGTGTATTTCATCGCGAGAGTCGATTGGCGGGATACTGGGGAGCGTCGTACGGATTTTGATTCTTTGCTGTTCCCCCATTTTTCACATGGGATGAACGAGATGAACGCAGGTTTTGAAGAGGATGAACACCTTGATCCGGGCAGGTTGAGACAGTGTATCTGTAATTGTCGTCCTTGCCCTTGATGCTGAACAGTGAAAATATTGCAGCGTCTCTTGAAATCCTCTTAATCGGGATTGGATACCCCCCCACGTCGATATCGAGGTTACCGTCCAGATGCCGAGGCGGCTAGCACATGGGATTGCGCAAGTCTATTGCTACGATGGTCCTACAGATAAGATACACACGCACTCGGTATGAGTCAACAGCTGAGCACAATCACCAGTGTCCACGCAGCGGAAATATGGAGTATCAACTGAGCAATACCCCCAAATAACCGTCGCAATTACTCATCACTAAGGGAGCCTAAAATGAGCCGGCATCAAGCGTGTCGTTTATTACGGAGCGCTGAGGATGCCGGATCCATCGCAACAGTCAGGCACCTACAGTTGCTGTGCCCACAAGTAATGCTTACACGTACGGCTGACGGCGCTTACTCGTATTACTGCAGTGGAACGTACTGGGAAGGTTGGAGTTTTAGAATGATGGGGTTGGAGATGGCGGGCAAGGCAGGTCCTCTCAGTAATAAAGTTGAAACCTGTTCATGGATGTGTTTCAGCTCTACAGGGTACCTAGGTAGGTACTGGGTAGGTCGTATTTGGAGAAGTATATTCTTAGCAGTGAGCGACGGCGAATGACAAAGAAAAGAAAAGAAAAGAACAAAAAAAAAAAAACCATTCTGATGACGAGCAAAAAGGGCATCAAAAGTCAATATTATGCTAATGCGCGGAACAGGTAGCAAATAACGGACAGGGACCAGACCGCCACGCGCCGGCCTTTCCATGCTGCCGATCCAATCAGTGGTGCCTGTCGCCCTGCAACGGCCAGCCCGCCAATCCATCACGATCAAATCGAACTGCTGCTTCCAGTCAAGCTTCCAGACCAGGATGCTCATGCACATGTAAGCTTCCAGACCAGGACGCTCATGCACATGTACGAGTATGTACGAGTATACCTACTGTAGGCAGAAGCTCGCTGCTGAGCTGCTTACGGTACTGCAGTAGGTGCAGCACTACAGTAGGTACATGTACATGCTGCACATTGACATAGGTACCGGTACTACCTAGTACCTACCTAAGGTAGCTGAGGGTGCCTTCTTCTTCCCCGGCCTTCTATTCTATTCCCCTGTACGGAGTACGGAGCGCTGTAGATTACGGAGCCCGTCATGCAGCCGTTGCTGATCTACTCGCTGGACCAGCCAGGTACATAGGTAGTGACACTGCACTCACTCCTATGTTGACTTTTCAGTCTGGTGTCTTTTCCTCACGACAGCATTACGGCATCCTCAGATCCTGATACGGATACGGAGCAGACGCACAACAACATTGCCGGCTGTGAAACAACTGCTGCCTGCGTCCTTCCTGCGTCAATCTTGCCCAAGCGTCTTGTCACCTCCCCCCTAGAAACTCTCCTTGTCCCGTGCGCGGCCACTCTCTCTGGATCGGCCCCCAAAAATAATCTCGGAGGCATTGGTCTTCATTCCTGGCAGCCACAGCACTACCAACCCGAGTCTACCCGCATTCGGCGCTTTGCCTTGCAGCTCGCCATCTTCCCTTGTACAAAGAAAGCGACGTCGTCCAACAAGAGTTTTCTCTCCTCCTGCAACTTCGCCTGCAGAGTTCTCGCCCAATCGCCTCGTTAATCCATACTCGACCGGCAACTCTCCGCTAAAAGCCGCCTTGTTGTCCGATTCAGCCGCCGCGATCAGACGACTGGTGGCGCCGTGGATATTTCTGTGCAACACTCCCCTCTTCGTTCGTCTTGAAATTGCCAAAGCGCCTACTAGACACCTCGCCGCCATGAAGGGCCAACCCATCGACCAGCTCGTGTACGAGCACATGTTTCCCAGGCCAAAGACGTTCGACCCCCAGGACTTCCAAGCTCTCCTCCAACGCAGCCTCATTCCCGAAGTCCGCCAGGAGACACACGCCTTCTACGGCCATCTTGAGACGCAAGAAGCCAAATACCCCGGGCTGGACTACACCCATCACACCCACCGCATCCGACTCAGCCGCTGGCAATGGCACCGCCGTCTCTTCAGAGCATTCGACAGCCTGGGCCTCACGCACGCTGAAATCTCTGCACTCACCAAGTGGGAGGGCACCAAGTGGGCAAAGGAAAAGTTCGAGAAGGAGCAAGGCATCATCATCAGAGACACTGCTGCCGATGGATTCCCGAATTGGACGGAGCCCGAGCGGCCGTCTGCCCAAGGGCGCTCTGTTAGGATAAACACCATTGACATCTCGAGCCTGAACGACGACAAGAACATGGATGCGGAGGAGAGTGATGAGGAGCTTGCGAGCGTGGGTGTGCATCTCAACCAGCGTCTGCGTGCGCAGGCGGCCCGACGCGAGGCCGGCGACACATCCGTCGTCCTAGACGAAGAATGGGAGCAGTGGCTAAAGAACGCGATAGAGAGCGGCGAGCTAGCCATTCTGACGGAGAGGATGACGGAGGAAATGCTCAACCAGTCCCATTCGTCCAACTCCATGGCTTCCAGCCTTCTTCCCGACGACATGCTTCACATGGCACGGGCTGGCCAGTGGTCGGAGATTCCAGAGTTCCTCCAGCCTCTGCTTCGCCGCACAATCGACAACGAGAACTCCCTCCGCAACGACCACATCTTGACGTCGGCGACGCGGTCTACCCTGCAACAGGCCCCTGATCATATTCCTTGGCCACGGCGAACGTATTCGGATCTGCGGCTACCAGCGGGAGAATCATCCACCAGCCAGTCTGGAACACAGACTTGAAACAGGGCACGAAAATGACACTCTTTACCATGTAGTGCCTGCGAGCCGATAGAACAACTCGAGGGACTCCAGCGATTGGATTTTTCTTTTTAAAAAATAGCAATTTCTTAGAATTTTCAAAATAACCTAGATAGATGTCCCCCCCCTTTCTTTCTTCGGGTTTTTTTTCTTGTTCACCTTCAGCAAGGCTTTTTTGCGCTTTGGTCGCAGTTTGTCAAGCGTAGGGGGACGTTACTTTGTTTGCTTACATGGCCCTTTCTTTTTCTTTGCTCGGAGTTTAGGTGGTCAAGCGCGCATAATGGTTCATTTCTCATTCTCTTTTTTTCTTTCTCTCTCCTGATTTGAGAGAGTGCCTTTTTCTTCTTCGTTTCTGCCGTGCGTCGGAGTCTTGTAGATAGGCATATATGTGTACCTAAGAGAGAGGGAGGGGAGGAGAGACGTTTGCCCGCACTTTTTCTGCGGTTCGAAAGAAAAAAGGTAGGTCAAGGTGGAAATAGGAACAAATTGTTAGCAGAGAGATACAAGCAAATGATTTGATGCCGAGAGCTTAGATGGATTGCATCAATAACACACGACGAGGTCCACGGCACATCTGGTATGTGTCTTTTCGCTTCCTTTCTAGCTTTATTAAAGTTTGCCTTCTCTAGCGCTTTGGAGTTTTCATGACGCAGTTGTAAATACAATATCAAAATACAGAGCCTTGGTATAATGCAGCCCATCGCATCCCATGCACGAGCTCCGGCGATTGGAGCCTTTTCGTTCCGATATCGCATGTGCGGATGCCACTTGTTGTAAGCCAAATGTAAAAATCTGTCCAAATACCCCCATACCTGCGCCTATGCCGAAACACCATTGCTCTTTTTGTGTTCAAAATGAGGAGAACAAAGGAAAAAAATAGGAAGAAACAAAGAACCGTCAAACCACCCCGTATCATGGCATCATGGAAGACATGCTTTCCAGCTTGTGCGTATCCTGGGAGATGTTCTACTTCTCCGGCTCGAGATGCGACCACTCGGGGACGGCTTTGATCTGCTGCCACATGAACCGTTCAAGCTTATTGGCCGACTTGGCGTATGGCGTGCTCTCGTTGTTGTATTTGCGGCAGTTGTCAAAGATGAGTTTGGCGTCCTTGATAAAGTCTTCGGGCGTGGCGTATTGATCCGCTTCAAGCTTGCTTTCCATGGTGCTGAGATCCATAGGCTCCTTGATCACGTCATAGTAGTCGGCAACGTCGTCTCTGTTAACAGGAACAAGGAATGGCCAAGCGGAGTTGTGGTTCTGGAGATCGTTGAGCAGATGGAGAAGCTGATTGTAGTTGGGCCCGTGGCGTGGCTGGCGGGCAAGCTCATCCATATCGGGGGACCACCCGGACGCCCGGATGGCGGGAATGTCGAGAGGATTAATCGGGCGTATGCCATTCTTCCACTCCTTTGGCGGCGGGTGGATGTTGTGGGACTTGGAGTATGCTCGAATCTTGGCCTGGACGCATTCCTTCTGCTTAAGGAGCATGCGGCCCATTTCTAGATATCGAATGCGTGGCAGCATTGAGCATTGCATAATGGTTCCACCCTCATAATCTTTAATGTATCCCATCCACACATGCTTGGGCAGAGTGATCTCTTTGGTGAAGCCTTGCTTCTTGAAATATCCAATAGCATAGTTATCTGCGTATGTCAAGAAGTGCATGACATCACTTGTCGCCTTTACGTAGTCCTTTAAATGTGACATGAGATGCGCACCGTATCCCTTGACTTGCTGGTCAGAACTGATGGCACAAAAAACAATTTCGGCGAATTGGCGGCCCTTGAAGGGTCGATATGTGATACCGCCCACGACCTCGAGTGGCTTCTTGACAATGGCGATGGAGAGATGGGTTCGATCGTAGACGAGTCGCGCGATGTAGTCCTTGGGCATCTTGGGGAGCTGTTTCTGAAAGATGCATTTGAGGCCGGTGAGGATGATGAGGGATTCGCGCTCGTTGTCGTTGTTGACCACGCGGAATTCGATTTCGCCGTTGCGTTCTTCAATGACAGCGGGCTAAATGGGAGTAAGTATGAGAGCCTCGCTGAGGTAGATGTGTGAATATGAGATTCTAAGGATGATGCCTACCTTTTCAGGGAATGGAATTGGTTTCATCTCAACGGGTTTCTGCTCCGCTTCCTCCACAGCATCCTCATCATGCTTGACCCGCTTAGATGAGGTGGGAGAGGAGGGATCATCTTCGGCTTTGCGCTTGCCACCTGGGTTGATGCGTTAATCATGTGATGGGCCTGTAAACAGCGCGATGCATGTCGCCTTACTCTCTTCTTTAACGTCAGCCATGGTGTCGCTATGCGCCAGCGCTGCTGGGCTTCGAGAGGCAAATCGATGCGAGCTGTTGGGATTATGGAGAGGTTGAAGATGGCATGTAATAGAGACGGAGCAATAAACGTGACGTTACGCGGTTGGAGGTCATAGTCCAAGCGTCTGGTGGATTGATTATGTAAGAGAGACATGGGGAGCCGCTTGCCTAGAGCTGCAAGGACAGACTAGGCTAGATTGAGACTGATGCTGTAAGTAGAACTGCTGCCATGACATATAGAGGCAGGCATCTTGCATATAGGCCTCAATGGAAAGGGGATTTTGGTCAAATGGCTATAGCAGGTAGTCGGCATAATCTTGTATCCGTCTCAAATCTTCAGCGCAGTTTCCCATTCCTGTAAATTCAACGATGCCTTGCCTGAGTATAAGTGCTGCTTACATCATCCGTCACCCCAAAGTGCCACGAATCGCGCTAGACCCAATCGGCCTAATCGGCCAGATATCAAACATGGACAGCTGTGCACTGCACTGCACAAGCTCCCTCCAGCTCCAACAATCTCGCGATTGATTGACTGTCACCGGCTCCAACGAGAAGCCGATTGCATCAAGTTCCCGCCCTGCCGCCCATAGTGAGAAGCAGTCTGGAGCCTCAATCGCTCGGTGCACAAAGCGCAGCACATGGATTCCTCATTGTACCAAGTTTGGCAGTCTGCTTCTGGCAGTCCGTTCCTCCCCGTTATTGCTAAGGAAAGCCAATTCACCGTCGCCTTTGCGCTTCTCTCTCTGGGAATCGCCATTTCCGGTGTCTTTGCACTGAGTAAGTTCTGTCAACCCGAGGAAACGGGGATATACATCTAATCATGGCTTGTCACAGATCGTTCTCTGGTCAGCGTCGTTGCGCTCGGTGTTCCAGCCTCTCTAGCAATTGCGTACGAAGCAGCCCCCGCTGATGTGCCCTTCGATTGCAGAATGTATGCTAATTCATCACAGCTTTGGAACTGTTTACATGTTCTGTGCGGTCGGAGTTTATGTCTGAGATACCCATTGTATACTAGTTGGCAAGAAAACGCAAAAAGAAGGCTCCCAGAGCGAGTTGTTTTGTCTTGCACCGTTTCCTCATTTCATTACGCCCATAAAATTTGTTCTCGCACCTATTTCATTTTCTCCAACGTTTGGCCATTGCCCGTCCGAAGAGGGCATTATTTCGACAATGGCCGCAGAAGTGAGGCCTATCTTTCGAGCTGTCTCGACATCTCCGAGGCCGCTATATCAGCTTCTTCGCTGTATAGATTTTGCACAGAGGGTTCACGTCCAGATTACCGAAGATGGCATTCGATTTGCGGCCGATAATGCGCGGGTCATGCAAGGTGCGATGGGCGCAAACTCTTGAGAGCGTAGTCGGTAGAGCTAACATTGGGCGCAGGGGTTGCATTTCTGGACAAGACTCTGTTTTCTGCGTATACTGTGAATTTCCCTCTGTCAGAAGATGGCGAAACACCCGAATATCCCAATTTCCAAATACCACTGTCGACATTTCTTGAAGTGCTGCAAATCTTTGGATCGGTAGATGTGGCTGCTCGAGCTCAGAAGGCCGACCAAGATCCATACCGAAGTAATTTTCGCAACTACAGGCCAAGTGCGTTTAGCAACCAGACTCTTGGCATACCTGGAACCTGCACTTTATTATACGCGGAAGAGGGTGATGCCTTCAAGGTCACCCTCGAAGAGTCTGGCATCAAGACTACTGCAGGCCTGACAACTTACCTTCCTGAGATGCCAGAGGATATCCCATTTGACCGAAATGACTTGACATTCAAAATCATCATGTCATCCCGCACTTTATTTGACTGCATCGCCGAGATTATACCAGCAGGGCCCGTTAAACTGACTATAACGGCCACCAAGACTTCGCCATTCTTAACACTATCTTGCGCTGGAGATATAGGCAGCTCTAGTGTGGACTTTGCACGGGGAAAAGATCTTCTTGAAACCTTTACTATAAACGACCGCTGGTCACAGGCATACAAGTTTGACTTCATCAGGCACGCTAGCGAGGCAATGCGCATTGCAAGCAAAGTCAGTCTCAGAGGGGATAGCCAGGGCGTCCTGAGCTTGCAATTCATGGTCGACGTGGAAGGAGGGAAAAGAAGTTTTTTGGACTTTCGCTTTGTTCCATTCGCCTCACACGATGATGGCGATGAAGAGGATGATGTTGAATCGGAAGCATATGATTAAAGGTGGCCACCTCTAGTACAGAGTAATTGAAACGCGTAGCATGTTAGTTTAATCACATACTTTACCATGGCAAAGCTCAGCGGAAGCCTAGCACTTTCTTGACACTTCGAGAATGAGGACATCCCTTCCAGAGACCAACTGCGGAATGGACGTGTCGATAGGGCACGTCATGACGCGTTATGAAGGCCATTATCACATGTGTGAGACATCAATTGAGACCAAAAGCCCGCTGTTTCTCACATGCTTTGAATGCCTCCCTTGCGTCCAGATTACGAACAAGGTCCACCTGTGTGAGACTTTGCAAAGCGAAATGAGGCGGTCGCCTAGGAGGTCCGTGGAATGCATCCCGACTATTACTACTGAGTGGCGGATAGGGGGTTGGCTGTGAGATGGGATTTTCTTTTTATATAGAGCCTTCGTCCCCGTGGCATAAAAATCTTTTTTGCTTTTATTATTTCTTTTATACTTTTCCTGTGTGAAGCTATTCACATTTTTTCACGGTGGAAAAACGAAGCCTCTGTGTTAGTTCATGAGGGCTCCTAGAACACTTTGACTTTTATGCCCCCCTTTCCATTTTATTACTCGACCAACCCATTCATCAACGAAATGTTCCATTCAAAAGGCTTCCGACTCAACTCTGAGCCCGAGAGCCTCCCCCCTCCCCTCTTCTACAACCCCAAGCCCCCCGCTTCATGGCACGCAGACGTCCTCCAGTCCATCAAGAGGTGGTTCACCATGTGCTGCGGCAACCGCACCGCCCACAAGACGAGCGACGCGGCAGTCAGGACACTGGAAGAAGGGAAGAACCGGATTGAGGAAGACTGCGAGCCACTGATTGAAGGTGGGATGGGTGCTGCGGAGAAGAGGGAGGCGTTGAGGGTAACGTTTCCAAGGCATGCGGCCGCGTCGTTTTTGAAGACAGGGACGCCGAGGGAGATGATGGAGGCGAATTGGGTGTTGTGAGGGTTTGGAAAGAAGAAGTAGATGCAGTGGAGGGTATACCTGGGGAGTTTGGGGGAGAGAATGTATGAGCGTCCTTACGGCTTGAATGAACGGGCTTCATTCGCTTTGATGCTACCTGACTACATAAAGCAGCTTACACGGCAATTCGGCATGGAGGTTAGGGAAGATGGCATTTACTGTTTCATTGTGCTTGATTGTGCTTTGGAATACCGGTTTACTTTGGAATATGGAATATGGAACAAGCACTAGGAGTGTATTTCTTTGGCACTATCTTGAGGGAACCAATACGGCATGGCAAGACGGGTACGGACGGTTACAATCAATTTGAATAGATTTAGGACTCGAATTGGCAAAATCTTCCAATCAACATATGTTTCCACAGCGACCTTGGCTATAAAAAAACTTCCCCGCATATGACAATAGGCTTGTAACCTGGTCTGGGAGGTAAGATATATTAATTACGTACATTGAGAATGATGCTACCACATCGCCCGCCAGGGTTAAAATGATTACTAGGTACCTATGATGGTGAATCCATATGCCTGCGACGTTTCAGTGGCTGGTATTATTTGTTTGGCAAGCTAAGCACAGCAGGCATCTATCTTTATATTAAAAAAAATGAATAAATCACCGAGTTGTCCGGAGCTGGTGGTTTCATCGGCGAAACATGCGGGCGCTATCTTCTGGCTAAAGCGAGATAAACCGAAAGAAACAGGACAAAGAAGCAGGAAAAAACTCTTCTAGTTAGCTGCTTCTCTTGACAAGGGCAACATGCAAGCAATGACAGAAAAGATGGCCCGAGCGGTATTTTTTTACTTCTTTCTTCTGCCGACGATGCAGCCAATATAGCCGCGTCGATGATACATAACCCCCGGCTATTTTTTTTTTCTTTTCTTAATTTTTTTCTTGCATGAGAGATGGACTAAGGCGGTAGTAGACAGATTGAGGTTTGGCCTTTTACCCTGGATGCAACCTGGCCTCGTGAGAGGCTACCTGTCATTGCCGCGTAAATTCGCACGGCATGGCATGGCATGGGTCGCGGCATGGGCCATGGCAGATGCTCTTATCGGACCACCCAATCGTTGTCACCTACTGTAGAGGGAATGCCGATGGGCTTTGGTGATGTCAGAGTAACGAGAGCGCTTTGAGCAGGATGCCCTGGTATGACATGTACCGGTACTCTGATTGCTGTGGACTTGCCGGATATGTGCTTGGTGCTGTGCTAAGCTTTGGATCGAATTTGTTTCATCCGTCAGCAGCAGGGCGAGTCTGTGATGACGCTGTTGCTGCTGTCGTCGTCGTTGGGTCGAGACATGCATGCACTCGGTGAACAACCGTGGTCATCCCAGCAGTATGTGCTTGATTCCAGCCTAGGTAGTACTCGTAGTAGTAATAGGTAGGTAGTCCAGTATTATGCACATGCAGGTAAGTATGAGCAAGTCACAGGCAAATCCCGGCCCTCTTGATCGCCATCCAAGCTATTTGCAGCAAACATGTTCAAGCCCCGCCGAGGCAAACAAGAAATGACCACTCTGTCGTGCTTTTCGCCTGCCTCGGGATCTAGAACTATCACGCCGTGTGGTTCTCGCTCGGCAGACGCATGTGGGCAGCGCTATCTTGACGTGAGGGGTAACAATGGGGATGACACCTACTGTCTCTGGTTATTGCCCATGTAGGAGCATGCACTACAGTCTGGATTGGCGAGTAAGATGAAGATGGCTTGCATGCTGAGTGAGTCTTGATGAGTGTGGTGGCGCACCGTGCATTGCACATCGCTCTGGCGGATGATTTCGAAGGCGGTCCAGCTGGCGGCCCAGGCGACGTGGCCGTGTAAGACGGAAAGCAATGGCTGAATAGCTGTGTTGGGCTATTGTCAGTAATATTCGCTGGCTATACTCGTACTCGCAGTGTTTGCCGGCTGCGAATCATGTTCAGCTGGCTGGCGCGTGGGATCCGACGCTTGTCCGACAAGGATGGAGAGCCGGGTGACTCGCTCTTAGTCCGAGTGGTACAAAGTACGTGCATGGCATCTCAATCACCCGTCAATCGCCCAGATCGTCTTCTGTCGGCTTCCGAAGGATGGCTGCATGGATGCTGGATTAATTGCCAGCCTTGTTGGCCTGCGACGCATTCCTCCGATTGCCTACTTGCTCCGGCACTGGCGGGATGCGCTGATGCCGAATGTCTGCATATTCGCAGAGCACAGCCAATTGCCTATTTTCCCTTTTTTTCCTTCTCCCTTTTCTTTTTCATGTTATCCCTCGTCTCTTCGCCTTGAGCATGAATGCGGATGAGGCAAATATACGACTCGCTTCGTGCCCCGTAGGTCCTTGCGCTTCATGCATGTAAAGCGGGATTTGATACCGACGATACTGGCGTCTCGTCTCGTCTCTGCTCAAATCCCTCATCGCATGTCTCGTCCGATGCCTGCTGGGATCCATTGACCAGCAGGTGCCGAGCATCTACGAGTAATTCCCTGTGGACCAAAGTGACCAAAGTCCCCGATGCCGCTAGATATGGCGGACTCACCGAGAGCGGATGAGGATAAAAGGCGCTCTTGATTGACTTTGAATTCGCGGGGACCATCTACGGAGCGTATTCGCTAGCGCTGTTAGCTGGGCGCCACCACTTCAGTCAGCCGGGATGGTCCGTATGGGAGGGAGGGATCCAGATCTGGGCTTGCTGGGCTTGAACTAAGTGACTTGTCTGTGCATTGCTTCTAAAGATAAACCTCGGAGGCGCATTGCGGCGCAAATGTTTTGGCAGGAAACGCAATGCCACAAACAACCCTTGTTTCCTGGCCTTCCAGAAGCAGAGATGCCGAAGGAAAAGGGGATCGTGAGCCTGGCGGAAACCACTGGCAGTTACAGAATGCTCCATGCCGGTGGATACGTACCCCGCGATGAAGCAACTTACTTGGCGGGCAAAGCGTCCAAGTACTCGCATGGTGGCATCGGCCCGTCCATTTCGTCTTGTGCACAGCTGGCCAAGTGATACGCATGTTGTACCGAGTATAATACCGTGGATAATATCGACCTCTTCCTCTGTTGCAGACCTGTGGAGGTGTGCTAAAGGCAACCAAGGTGCTAATGCACGCAGAGACGGAGGGATGGACTCAAAGACTTACGGTGAAGCGGTGCTAACGTCCTCCCTGGGCACTTTTGGCACGGACGGTACTCCGTATCTGATGCGCATTTGATCAGTTCTTTTTTTTTTCTGCACTCAGCGTGATCACAATGCTGTATGCTAATGGTACCCAGTCCTAGCAATAGTATTGACTCCATTCTGCAATATATATGACATGACAATGGATTGTAATAGAATGATTGCCACCTAATAGCGGTACATGGCACCTAATAAGTGGTATAGTACCTATCTACTAAGGCGATAGCTTTGGATCATGATATGGAACACTTCAAGTTGGCATTTCGTAATACATGCGCCCTAGCACTCTTACTGTCAATGCTGTTGCTGGGTACCTGGTACTAATTGACCTTGCTCGCTCATGTACCATGTCTGCCATCATTGAGTTAGTTTTGGTTCAACTTGCACTCCCTTGCTGCCCATTACTCGCTGCCTGAGTGCTCCTTGTTCCATGTTCCATGTCCAAGCTCCGTACGAGGACTAGCATCTACAAACATGCGTTGGTATCAAGTTCTCTGCGTCTTCTGTCCTGCAACGAAAATGCGGGGCCGCGAAAGAGCTGGGATGGACGGTCCGTACTCGTCCATGTGCAGGACATGTAGCATCAAACATGAACATGGTCCATGAACGACTGTACATAGTACAGTGCTGTACGAGTACTACCTAGCACCTCTACTACCTGGTTAGTATAGTAGGTACTGGGCATGTTCCCAGCCCAGTCTCGGCGAGATGCCCTTGGCCAGAGACTCAACGTAGCAGCAGCTGACAGTTTTTGGGGCCTTTTTGGGGGTCTCTGTGGGGAGCATGCGGCATCTGAACTGCTCCAAGTGCCTTTTGTGGGCGGGTTACATACAGCGCACTAGGCCTCTTCGGGGGCTAATCGGCCTTGTTAGGGGCACCTCTGCAATGGCCGCCGTCGCTAACGAATCAACAGCGCCATTGCCGCCTATTACTCCGGGAGTGCCTGGTGGAAGTCAGAAGCCACAGCTCCGTCAGGCTTGTGCAACGGCTTCCTTCTTCGTCTCAATTCTGCTGCTACTGCACCGTAGTGTGCAGAGTCTTCAAGAGAGACAGACTGACAGACAAAGAGAGCGGGTTTTGGCCACCCCGCCACAGCCGCACGGAAACAATCCAGCAGCTGAACGGCTTAAATGCCATTACTCGAGGCTGAAAAGGGCGCTATTGGCCCTGAGCGGTACTACCGCATATTGCCGTGCTCTTGTTCCTTTACGAACACGGACATCTGGCCTCTCCCAGTGGATCGTGAGCCTGAGCTGAAGATGCATCAGTCAGATTAACACTGCAAATCTCTCTGATTAGCCAAATTGCACGCAAAGAGGGACAAAGAACAAACACAGCTGCAAGTAGAAACTACTTCCTCGCTAGGACTGGTCTGGCGGGCCAGACGTCTCGGTTAGGCTTGGTCTTGGGTGCTAGAGCAGCTCCGAGGTGGCTCCAGCCTGCCCTTGTGCCTGCCTCCCCAACCAAGACGCCATCAAATGCTCCAATGGCAGTCATTGGCTCGCTGCAGCCCCGGTTTAGCCCCATCGGCCAAACTGCTAGTAAGAGGTACTCCGGACAAGTACCTGGTACTACTGTACCTGTACTGCACCCTACAGGCTATGGGCTGCAGCACAGGTGGTACTTTAGTCGCAGTAGGACCACGGTGTGGTTGCAAGGGAAGGAGCCTCCAGGCCAATGCATGCCGGGATCCAAGGATGATGGACATGGCATGATATGGATGGACTTGCCTCTTAAGTCAACTATCCCCACGCAAATCACGAAGCCTCACTCCTACACATTGCATATACAATCTTTCAACTCCCCTCCACGTGGAGGCGTTCGTCTTTTTTCTTTTCCTTCTTTTTCCTGGCCGGCCGTTGCCACAAAAACGCCATAGGTCCTTTAGCTTTTCTTAGCCCGCTGCTCCGTCACCCCCAACACCCGAGCGAGCAAATCCAGCGACAGCAAGTACAGCAGAAGCGAGAGAGCAACGCACGTAACTCGGAAGTCAAACAGCAAACTCGAGACGCTTTTACTTTGGTCCAACGCAGCGACACTTGGTGATACTACCATGCCTACCCACAGCTCCACCCTTCCTATCGCCCGCGCCTGGTAGGAGTTGGAATCTTCCGCGCAATCCCCATCGGCCGCTCTCGCATTCTCCCGTCCTGCTCGCCGTTTCTTTTCTTCTCTTTGATACCCTGCGCAGTTGCCTTTTGCGCTTCTATTTTATACATACCTCAAACTCATCTCATCTCCATCTACAGCTGCTTGCTATTAGATTGCAGAGATGACGAAATTAACTAAGCGGCTTGACTTCCACAAAGAGTCGGGTGGATTGGGACTGCTTCGCTCACACTCACGCGCCAAGTCTGGCAGTACTGCCAAGACGACTGAGTCTCCAACCGAATCTGAGGACTCAGCCCAAGACAAGAAGCAACAGCGGTCACGATCGTGGTTCTCCCCTCACAGGAGAAAAGATTCCGTCGCCTCTACAATTCTTCGGAGCACCAAGAGTCTTCGCCGCCTCTCAGCAGTCTCATCATCCGCCTCATCACAACCCGCAGTCTCGACACCCACTACACCATCCTTCTCGCGCGGCAGCTATGAGAGCGATGCCGCTTTCCATCACAGGAAGCTCTCTTCAGTTGGCAATAGTGAGAGAAACGGAGCAACATCAGAACCTGCTCCAACAGACCCGCCTTCAATTCCTTACCCTCCACACCGACCTGAGCGGCCGCAGGAGGATCTTTTCGAGGGCACAGTTCTGGAAAAGAGCAGTCCGTCTGTCCACCGCCCCAGTCGGAGTCGCAGCGTACTGCGGCCATTTTCACCTTTTCCTGGCCCTTCCATCAGAGACGTGCGACGCCTCAGCCAACAATCTGATCACAAACTGCAGACAAACATTACGATAGCGGCCACCGCTACCACCTCTGCGACCAATCAGCTTTCTAAAGAAGCCGTTCAGGCGCACGAACCAACAGATGCAGACACGAATGCAATTCCGTCCAATGCATCTGTGAACTCTGATGCCACACCGGTACCTGTAATTCCTGGCCGCCGCTCCAGCTACAGGGCCACCAGCCATGGGTCTGTGTCTGGTGTGGCGCGCAAACCATCTGTTTCGAGCTCTTTCCACTTTCCTATTCATAGACGACCAAGTCAAGTGACGGCTGACATTGAGTCACGCAAACATGCACGGTCTTCTCGGTGGACCTTGACAGAGAACATGGCGGAGATGTTCAAAGCTCAACGTATAAAGACTGAAAAACCTGAAAAGCAGCCGTTGACACCAGCCCAAATCGAGGCAATCTGGAATGGCCAAGATAACAGCAAGGCTGTGAGTAAACAAAAATCTAAAGAAAGACGAATGAAAGCAGCGTCGGATACTTCTGCAATGATGCCGCGTCATTTTGGAGGTCCACTTACGGAAGAGCAACAAAGTCCAGTGTTCCGTGACTCCTTTCAATGGCCGGACAGAGGGGCATCGCCGGTCCCAATGAGCAGGGCCGACATTAAAATGAGAGCCCTCCCATTTGAAATCACAGTCCCGCCACCCGCTTCGGCAATTGTCTCTCCGGAAATCATCCACGGCGACGTCTCGCCGAAGTCGCCTTCAAAAGTTGATAGGGATAGGAAACTGCCTGGCAATCAGCCATTACCGCAACTATTACTTCCGGAGACAGAAGAAGCCATTGTTGAAGACGACGACGCATCGTCAACCAGCTCCATACCCATGGTTCCCCCCAAGAATCCGGCAAGGTTTGTTGCCAGAGCGCCGACCATGCCACTGTTGCCCCCCATACCTGAGGGCTTCCGATCTGCCTCAGATAGCAACAGGAGCTCGAAGGCATCTGCCCACCGCCGAAGCCGCAGCTGGAACCATGCCTCGGAAGTAAAGGACGAGACCATTCAATATAACAGCACCCCTTTCACCAGGACCAGCCCATCCTTCAGACATGGACCCATTGTCCTCAGTGACGCTGGCAGTCGCGACTCAGTGGCAACGGTGGAGGCAGCGGAAGGCGAACATGATGTTGATTGGACGGCCTTCCAGACGGCAATTCTCGGGGGTGAGAGCAAAGACTTGGATGGATTATTCCCAGTAGAGCCTGTACAGGCAGACGAAGAGGAGGGCCATTTGGCCGAAGATGTGACTACTTGGTTTGAAGGGTTTGGCTTCGAAACCCATGGCGAGCTCATTGCCTCAGAGAAGTCATCGCAGATGAAGTCGGAGCGATCAGCACAGCGTGACTCGGCTGGCAGCATGACATCAGCTGCGTCAACACCCTCAACAATACAGACAGATGCTGATGCGGAGCTCAAGACCCCCGTCAGCGCTCAACAGCAACATCACATCTTTGATACCATCAAGCAGCTTCGCAACGGCTGCGAGAGCACCTACAGCGCCAGCATTTATACAACGGACAGCATGGATGGTCCATGGCCGGCGGCAGCTGATGGCGAGACGGACGGCGAGGGAGTTGGCGAACTAGCACCCACATCTGTGGGTTCGAAGCAAGCGATGGGGCATGGACTCGAAGCTTTCCTTGGATTCAAGGTTGACGACGCGTACTGATGATATACTGGGGGATTTTTTGTTTTGATGTTTGATTTTTTGCATGATGTGATGGCTTGGAATCTTGGTTGAATCATGTGCCAAATGCCGCATTTCATTTCCTTTGTCTACTATATACCATGGCATGAGTTTGGAAGTTGAGAGCTGAGTCGGTCTTTATGGAGGCAGATACCAGTTGTTGAATGATACCACAACGCGAACAGCGATTATTTTGTCCATGCCGGCGCGTAATATTTGATGCCGTTATTGTGTACGATGTCTTGAGCTTAGGCTGTAATAGTAATTGAACCAAACCATATGATGTATTTATAAAGCAAATGAGAAGAGCTGTGTGAATTGTGTGTTTGTCTTATTCATGTTACCTAGTAAGATGCAGTCGCCCCCACAATGGCTGTGACTGCCGTGGCGCATTAATTGGCGGAGCTTGTCTTTAGTTCCCTTGACCTCACTTGATCCATCTCGCCTTTACATCCGCAATCACAAAGAACAATTTCAACTTTCAACATCTCCACAGATCGCCAAGAGGATATCGCATATTTCCTATCTGACATTCTGCTATTAAACCAGTCGACAAATTTCCCTTCACATTTCCTTTCTCATACAGGAAGTGCACTGGACGAGACACAGTGAAACGCAGAGCGCGTCTTTCAGGGAAAAGCAAATACACATACGTATAAGAAGGCGCACGCAGAGTCGACAATAATCAGCCTCACCAAAAAAGATAACTCGGACTTGATTTAATCTTGCATCCTGACGTCTCTTTTCCCTCGAATAGTGAAAAGGGAGTCCTTTGCACTCTCCTCATGATAAAGGAGTAAGAGAAACAAGACAAGAGAAGAAAGAGACATCACAGTCCACGACGACAATGCTCCGCCGCCCGCCGACAACACTCCAAATCACAGCCGAGGACATTGCCGCGTACGAAGACCGGCGCGCGAGCGAGGCGCTCCAGGCGGCGCAGCAGGCCCACGCGGCCGAGGTCGCGGCCAGGGCGACGTCCAAGGCCGGGGCCGGAGAGGCGGCGACGCAGCAGACGACGGCGGCTATGGGGGATCTCGGGCTCGGGCAGGCGATGGAGGGCGTGCAGGAGGATGCGGAAGGGCGGGCGAGGAGGACGAGGGAGGAGAGGAATGAGAGGATTGGGGTGGGGAGGAGGGCGAGGTGAGGGAGCGAGAGAGACTGAGGCCAGGATTTGAGATGTTTTGCCTGATTGGGATTATCATTATTGCTAATTCTCTTTACAGCGAGAAAGAAAAAAAAAGGACATAAATGATGGTACAGTCCGGTATTGAATGCTTGGTATCAACCTGTTCTAGCCAATGTCCTGATGATGCATCTCCTCCCGCCCGTTTGTCAAAACACACGCAAACGTTTTCCCCATCGATGATTAAGTACCTGAAAGTAATGCAAGACAACATCTACAGCCCCATCCATATGCAGAAAAATAAATTACAAGACTCGTTCATTCTAATCCTTCGCCCGCCGGTCAGGGTAAATGGCCTTTAGCCATTCCGTATCAGGTAAATCCAAATCAGCACCGAGATCCAAGTCACTCTCCACGTTGTTGTCCACATCTCCGTGGCCATAACCTTGACTGAGAAGCGATCCCCCCTGCCAGTCGTCGTTTTCCACGACTTGCTGGCATCGTAGTAATCTTCGTTTATCGTGATCCGCGGCCCCTTGCCGTCGGCCAGGCTCCATCGATGCCTGTGCTTGCCCTTCTTACCAGCCCAGCGTGTACTACCGCCGCCGTTGCTCGTACTAGACGAGGGCGTGATTGGTGGCTCGACCTTTTCCTTATAAATGGGGAGACCGACGCCTCTTCGTTCGGGCGGCAGTGCAAACGGGGTGAGGCGCAGGACGGGGACGAAGAAGGCCCTGACAGCGAGGATGATGAGGGAGAAGAGGCAAAAGGCGACATAATTCATGTATTTGACGAGCTGGTTTGGCAGCAGGCAAAGGTGTGTCTGCACCGTCGTCTGGGGCATGCCGGGCAGGGTTTTGCCGTCTTTGTCGATTGGGTTGTAAAGACTGACCATGAGAAAGCCGGGGGTTGGTACTCCCTGCGACATGCTCATCGTCTTGACGGTAATCTCCCGTACATTCTCCTTGGCGTCAGAGTGCACGAGTTCGCAGTAGTCGTGGTCGTCGCCCGAGAAGGCATGAACGACGTTGCCGACGCTCTTGATGAGCTTGACAGAATCCTCCTCCGAAAGCACGTTCTGGTATTGGTATCCAGCCACCACCGATATAGCATTGCTGGGATCTTTCTCGTTGGATCCCTTTTTCTGCGGCCAGTGCTCGCGCTGCGGGCCACAGGGTGTGCCAGGCTCACGATAGAGAGGCACATGCGTAAGGAGAAGCGTGGGGAAGTCGGCGGCGCCCGGCCCAGGATCTCTCGGCCATCGAGTCAAGTCTGCCTTGTCCAGCTCCTCGACGTGGTGCTTGAACTTGATCCCCCGCTCAACGCCGTACCAGAATTTCAGTTCGTTCTGAGCCATCTTTCGCTTTGTGGACTGAACACCGTCCAGGAACTCGTGGACGGGGCCGTAGATGGATGATAGATCGTGGCTGTCCTTCTGAGTGGACGTTCCCGCGCTCAGGGAGACAGCATCGACCGAGACAATGGTGTGGTTTCCCACGACGTCGACTCGGTTTCCATCTCCAAAATATGCCTGGTAGCGATCTCTAACCGGCACCTGGACCATGGCGCCAAAGCCGAGGTCATGGTTTCCGGGCAGACTCGCCACCAGCTTCCTGCCCCTCTGCCAGGGGCCCGGCGAACTGCCCGCGACATTCCAATTGTCAAAGAAAATGTCTCCAAAGCGTTGGTATTCCTTCAGCCAGAAGTCGTCGCCGTACTTGCGATGCCACGTCTTGACCCATCTCTGCTCCTTAGCCGTTCGTCCACGTACCCCCCATTTTGGGTCGACAAAGTGGCCCTGCCTCGTCTTCCACTCGCGGCCGCCCTCCAGCATGTCGCCCAGGAAGAACAGGCTGTCCGGGTGCAGCTGGTGTAGCAGCGCATTGTAGCCCTGCTTGAGATATCTATCGGTGACGGCGACGACGGTGGCCAGCACGAACGACGGCCAGTCGGGGTTGGTGTGAGGGTCGAGGATTTGCGGATCGGCGATGAGGACAAGGTGATGGGGCGTTGCATCTTTGGGCTGGTCGAGTGGTCAGTCAGTTAGCCATTGTTTGTCTCTTTGCTCTGCTACATCACATAGCCAGCCTCCCATATTCAAGGAGGGTTATCGAAATCAAGGCGCAGCAAAACTCACCCAATCCTCCCAGCTCTTCCAGTCGCAGACGCTGACATGGTTCGTGTAGATCCAGCGCTCTCCCCACAGCAGCAGAAGCATCCAGAAAAAGGCCAGTAGATGGGGGAAACTCAGCAGCCTCTTTGCTGTCAAGTTCCGCCGGACCTGGCGCATCACCGTGGCCGTGAGGATGGCGGCCCTGTGCATGCCCGGCCCTTTGATCCATTTCCACAGCAGATGCAGCAGGCTGGCGAGGCCGCTGTATATCTCCTCTGCCACGGAGAGGTTGGAGGGGGGCATTTTGGGCCCCAATTGCTGCTTGTCGACGCGTTGCCAGTGATGGAGACGAATAGACGGACAGGTTTGGTTTGGTTTGGTTTGGTGGGCTGTAGATATAGATTTTGTATAGATGGCGTAGGTATTAGTAGATGATGACAGCACAGTCGATGTTGCTGGAGTCTGGAGCTGCTAAAGTCCGGGGTCTGTGCAGCAGTGCCTCGAACCCCGTGCCTGGGTCTTGAACAGACAAAGCAAACGACGGCAGGACAAAAAGAGAGGCGCTTCGCTCAATCAGTCAATCAATGCAAGGCCCGCATAATAAGCACAGGCAAGCATCCGAGATGCATCAATGGCGATGGGAGACAGCAGTTGAGCGCATTGGGGAAAATAATAGACGTCGGGTACAAGCGCATATAATATTGATGCACAGCAATCCCTAATATGGGGGGATATGCTCCGAGACACAGCGAGTTCTGGGCCTGGGCGGGGCCGCTAACAGCCTCTCCCTCCCCTAATCCTCCGGCGGCGCTGAAATTTACAGGAGGGGAGATCGGCCTGGGAATAGCAGTGCCTAGGCAGGTATCAGCACATGGCGAACATGTGAAGGCTTTGTAGCTGTGCGCCTTTTCAATCAAGGCAGCTACAAGATATTCATACGTAATCCCCCTCATCAAGTATTACCCAATAAATCCACCATGCAGTTCATGCCCCCTCAGCTCTTGAACCTCTGGGGTGGTTGGGTGGCAGACGACGTCGACTGTTACCCCGTACTAGGCAGGTGGTTCAAATTGGATGAAAGACTCCCTGCAGCTCAAATAAACGAGAACCAATCTGGGCTGTCGACTAGCTGGTGTTAGTAGGTATATAAATGCTAACAAGCTGCAGCCTATCATAGCTCAAATTGCCCGCTTGGCTAAGCGGTATAGCGTGTCACTAGTAATAACTTGACATGACAAGGTGATCAGTTCGACTCTGATAGTGGGCATTAATTTTTTGCATTTTCTTTTTCCATTGCGCTCCTTTTTTTTTTTTGTTATTTTTGCACTTTATAACACACCAGACCTACTTTAGAGATGAATAGCAACTCAATTTTATCCAAGTCAGTTTATAGAAACCCAGCCTCGTGGTGCGCATTTCACATCAAGGACCAAAAAGGTCGTATATACACATGGCCTCCATGAACAGATACAATCTTTCTTTTTTCTACGCATCCTCCGCATATGGAGTCCTGTACTATCATGTCCAAATATCCAAATATCCAAAAAGGTATCCAGAGCCATCCATGTACTCAATCAGAAGAATCCAGAGGCTATTCATAAATACGCCAAATACAATTACAAAGACTTTTAAATTCCCCCCATCTCAAAAACTCATAGACACGAAGAATTAAAAGAAAAGAAAATACTACCACGCTTCCAAAGTACCGATATATACCATCTCTAGTATCTATCGTCATACATTTCATTGTCTTCATATCCCATCTCTTCCGTTGGCTCTACCTCTGCCTCCGCAGAAGGGGCCTTGGGCTTCTTTCTAAAGCTGAGGAATTTCTTGATGCCAGTTGGCTCTGCTGCTTGGAACAGATCGTCCTTGGACGAGTATTCATAAAACAACTTGGGCACCAAGATTCGGTATGGCAGAGTGATACCTGTGGGATCCTTGGGGTTCACCTCCATGTTCAGAGAGATGTCCAGGCCACCTTCCAGGTTAACCTCGTGCCTCTCGGCTTGTTTCAATTCTTTTGTTGATAGTCCAGTAGGTGTCCGATGGAAAGGGCGCGGCACTGATGGGTCATCCACTTCGTGGCCACCAGCCGGGCCGGCATGGTAGTTGATGGTCTGCGCCCGTCGGGGCGTTTGTGCCGTGAATTGGGCTTCATCACCCGCCGAGAACTCATCGTAGTCGCTACCCCCACCCCCACGGAGGCCCGAAGGACGCGGCTGCCCCTGAGCTCGGTGGTCTATGTATCCGCCATCAAACTCGCCGCTCCATTGACCGCTCATGTTGCTTTCATCAAATCGACCTTGGCTGCCATACTGTCCATGATTATATGTCATGTCAGCCCTTTGCTGTGCCGCTTCTCCGCGGCCAAGTGACATTGTTCGAGTCACTCCTCCTCCGGGGCGTTGTTGATCCACCGAGTTTCGCCGAGAAAAGTTCTTGAAAAGACCACCTCCTCCGGAAATAGGAGGTCGAGGCCCCCGCACAGATTCTCGTGAAACGTCAAAGGGCTCCTGTGAAGTAGACTTACGCCGCCTAGATGAAAGTCTTCGGAGCAAACTTCCGCCTCCTCCTGGGCTTCGGCTTCTTCCTCGGTCAGACATTGGTGGCGTCGGCGGCGGAGTGCTGCCTGGGGTCCACATGCGAATAGAGCACCAGTTGCGATGAGGGAGAAGATTCTTGTTGTTCCTCGGCTTGCCATCAACGCCGTTTTGGAAAATCGGAATCATGGATTCGTCGGTCTGTTTGTCAAAGTGATGAACCTTGTTGCGCTTGTTGAGCATGTCGGCAACAATGTCCGGGGGCGGGCGATTGACGATGGCGGAAGATATAATGTTAGGCATGTACCTAGGGTCCTTATGCTTCGGTAGACCTAGCTTGGGGTTGGAATAGAACTGGCCAATGGCACCAAGGTGGACATCGCCGCTCAAGATGGTAATTCGCACAGATCGGTCGATAGCCAAATCTTGCAAATCCTCGATAATTATCGTGCGTTCTTTTTTATGATTCTTGGCTGTCCAGTGATCATTGAGATCGTCCAAAATCTCATAGCCACCGTCAATATTGTTCATATGTTTGCCAAGAACTCCCGTCCTACCAAGCGCTTTGACTGGACTCATCAACCTCGAGGTCAATCTGCAAATGTTAGTATGAGAAAGAACATAAAGGGGAAGGGATTTCATGATCGGTCACTTACATATTCTCCAGCCAGACCAGACGGGGATAGGCAATGGGAACACCCAAGAGCACGAGTAGGTGCTCCACCTGTCCGCGTCTGATCTCTGCATACATCCTGCTAGTAATCTTCTCCCATGTTTTCTCATCCAAGACGGTGTCTTCCGTTCTCTCCGTGCGGGCGTCAACGGCGAGCAAAGCAACTTTTCCACCCATCGACATATAGAGACTGCGGCTGACCTCTTGAATGTATGGGCCTGGTTGCTCACCCAAGATCCAGCTTGGTTCAGAGGTTTCTGTCTCCGTAACGATGCTTTGATGTTGGAAGAGCATGTAGTATTTGAAACCCACGCGCCCCAGCCCAGAAAATACTGGTGAGCTCATATCTGGGTGGGAATAGGAGCCGTATCCGTCGAATATGTCATGATCATCATACATGTTGACCATGGGGATTTGCGAGGTGGCCAGTCCGAACAAGCCTTGTGAGAACCACATGCAGTATCGCTCCAAGTAGAAAGACTCTAGCTCAGCCTGCAACTCGGGTGTGAAAGCTGCGTTTAGCTTCTTCTCGGCAACGTTAATTTGCAGCCACTCGTCAAAGAGCGGACTATCGTACGCTACGCAGTCGTTGTAAATCTGATCTCCCCCGCCAATCATGACATGGAATGGCTGTGTCTGGTGTGAGTTCAATACATCGCGCCACATGGGATCAGGTCCGCTCATCTCGTTTGAGTTGACGGTGAGACTGAAGCCATTGCAGGTATAAAACATCATGTTCATTGTTTGCCCGCGTGCAGGAACCCAGAAGGCCATGGCTGGACCACGGTTAATGCGATATGCGATCCGCTGTTGCTGTTCTCGAAGCTCAACCTCAACGTTGAACCGCCAGAACGTGCAGCCTTGTTCGGCATGAAGACGGAAGCCTCTTACGTCCTTGTACTTTTGCATCTTCTCCCCATCAATGTCCACCCGTCCTCGGCGGCTAGCAAATGAGCCAGGATAGTCGTTGAGCCCTTGCGGCAAAGGCTCATCAGGCGGACTCCTTGTCTTCTCAAACAAGCCATCCTCAGACTCGATATGCGACAAATCTCTGCCCTCTTCAAGGTGGTCCACGGGCCGAACATAGAGCGTCTCACCACGACGACCCAGCTTGGGATGCCCAGCGATGGGATCCACGTACTCTGGCGACAGTTCGCCGTTGACCTGGTGTGGAGGTGGAGGCAACAGTTCGACATCCTGCACGAAAAGCCGGAGCGTCGGCGCAATTTCATAGGATGACTCTGCGTCATTGGTGAAAATCATGACACTTCCTCTCCAAATCTCACGGTCCTGAATGGGCGCATTTGAACCCCGAGGCCTTGGCAGAACTTGCTCATGACGCAGGCCGCAGTATCTCAGAAGCGGGCCACATTTTAGGTACAACGGAGGTTTGAACCGAGTGGGTGCGCCATTCGTGTTGTCATACTCACCATCAAATGCTTCGGCCTTGCGCGGCCTCGTCGGCATGCTGCTGTTTCTTCTGTGATAGCCTCCTGACTCCCTGTCCAGCCAAGCGTTGTTCTTCTCTGCTAACCCAGCTGGAATATTACCACTAAGGTCGAGAAGAGTCCCGGAAAGAGTACCAACGGTGCCCTTCTTCCATTCATCCAGCCACTGGGGGGAGTTGTATAGACCATCACCAGGGTGCATCTCCTCTGGGTTCTTGAATACCAGTCTTGATTCGTGATGCTCCTCCAGCTCCTGGGGTTCATGTGGCATGTGCAGCATTTGTGGTTCTTGCGGTATACGCGTTGTCCGCGGTTCCTGTGGCATGTGCAACATTTGCGGCTCCTGCGGTATACGCGTTGTCCGCGGTTCCTGTGGCATACGCGGCATGTGTGACTCCTGCGGTTCCTGGGGCTCCTGTGTATCCTCTATTAGATCATGGTTCGTCTGATCTTCCAAGCTCTTTGCTGCCGGGTTCGACTGTGGAAAGCGTCCTCGGGCTTTTTGACTCGCCTCGTAAATGATCCTGCCAATGGCAGCCGCAGGGGCATATTCAGCATTAAGCCCTCTCTCTTCCCGAGCATAGATGGGCTCGGTAGCTCGCCGCTGCATAGCCTGAATATCTGCTTCGGTAGCAGACTGGGAAGCCCTCTTGACTTCCGGCCGGGCATGCGTTTCGTCGTTTACCGCAAGAGGCAATGGGGCCGGCTCTCTGTTGCGTCCTTGTTGTGGTGCTGCTCCTGCTGCGGCCTTGGGAGACGGGGTCGGGTCCTTGTATTGAGCCTGGGCAGGCTGCGATACCGGTGGTAATCGTCGTTCGGCCTCAACGCGTATCCGGTGCCAAACGTCTGCAGGGGGCTCCTTTCTTAATTTGTTACTTCCACTGCGCGTCAAGGAAAAGCCGCTGGATTCCTTGGTGGGCTTGTTCACTTCGGCGTCCAGAGGCTTCGCTTCGCGCCAGATGTCGCGTTCACGGAAGCTGAGATTGCGTTTAGGAACATCGGCTTCTGGAACAAATTGCCTCTGATCCATACTAGCCCGAGGCTGCTGGGAAGCCTCTTGGCTGAAGTATCGGCGTTGATCATCGCGTATGGGTGGTTGGGGAAGTTGCCTTGGTTGGTGATCTTCACGTACAGGTGGTTGAGGTAATTGTCTTGGCTGACGCTCCTCGCGCACTGGTGGCTGCGGTAGTTGTCTGGGCTGACGGGCGGCATCCTGATTCTGGCGGTAGTATTGATCTTCAGCCATTCGTCGTGGGGGGGATACCGGTTGCGCGCTCGAGTCTTTTGGGGAGATAACATCTCGCTGGGGCGTTATTCTTTGGGCTACCGGGGTAGTTGACTCAATTGCTGCTGGAGGCTGGTGTTGGCGTTGGCCAGGAGCTGAGGGCGAAGACTGGTAGTCGACAGTTTGAGAACGGTTTTCGGCAGCTTCAGTGGCAGCTCTCTTCGCAGCTCTCGCTCTAGCTCGTTGTTCCGCAGCTTCTACTCGTGCCCTCTTTTCCTCTTTGGTCATGCTGTCGAGCGTCAGCTCAAGCCTCTGGAGGGGTGATCGATGATCTGCCAACTTTTTGCGCCGTTCGGTCTGTCCCATCGTCGCGCTTCTTTGAATCTGATTCGATGCCATGGTATCTGTGCGGGCAAGTCCGTTATCAACAAATGGCTGCGGTGCGCCAAATTGACTGTCTCGCTGGGGTGTGGTATATTCATTGTGGCTTATGTTCTCAGCCTGAGTCGCAGGCTGTCTCACAAGTTGGGCAGATGTTGATTGTGAGGGCTGTTGATACGGCCCGTCTGTGTAAGGATCGCCATAGTTTGCGTTTGGAGGCGGCTGTCGAATTATTGTATCTGTGGCAGAAGGAGCTGGAGAGATGGCTTCGTATTCGTCTGGGATGCGATTTGACCGTCGATCTTGCCTCTCATATCCTTCATATGTTTGCTCCTGAGGAAATCCAAACCCACGATACGACGCCGGCCTGGGAGCCAGGCCTTGGTATTCAGCTGCCGACGTTGGGGAGTTGGGGCTAAACGTTGTCTCGGTGGGAGCCTCGGTGTAAGTTGTCTGGATTGAGGTACGGTTCGCTTTACGTTGCGGCTGAACGTCGAGCGAGCGTCGCTGGTCATTTTGCGCGAATTCATTGGTGTAATCTGCCGAGACTCGTCGGCTCTGGATGCCCTTGGGCTGGGGCAATGCACCCCAATACGGCGCAGACATGGTCGAGGTTCTTGGAGATTAGGATATAGTGAAAGCAGCACCAAGCATTAAGGTAGGCTCGCGCCTAACACGGGGCACGGGGAGTTGACGGTTACCCGCACGCTGAGCTCAAACACGACACGAAAAGGTGTATTGTGCCGCGATGGAAACTCCAGAGAGATGATTCAAGACTCGATTTACCCGAGAAACAACAGGCGAAGGGGAAAGGATGCCTCGATCAGCTGGTAGGGCTCATGCAGCTGTCCAGGCTGTCGTCACCGTGCTCGTACACTACCAGGACGAGTATGCAAAACAGAAACGCGCGGCCTGGAGATGCGGGCAGATGCTGTCGTTGCTCCTTTTGTTTGCGATGAATGTCAGTCAGCGCAAGGGGAGGAAAAGATTTCCGTCGGGTTGCTGGCACAAGCTACTCAAAGGCCCGTCCGCGAGCCAGGGTATGGAGTGGCTTGGGTGCTAGATGATGTCTGGACGAGTCGACCAGCCTGCCCAGGGCCTGCGATTGGAGCCCAATTGATCGAGCGGTGGGACGAATAAACGCAGAGCCTGCGATCGAACGAAGAGGCGGTCGGAGCTGCAGGTCGAGGTGGAGGAGCTAGTGGAGGCGGCCAGGAGCTCGCGAGAATATGGGTGGCTGGACGAGATGCTTGAGCAGCGGTAAGATGCAAGGCACCGGAAGAGAGGCCACGCAGTTGCTGCGGCTGAAGACCAGGGAGCAACGGGGCGGAGCTGAAGATGGCTGGATTTTGATGGATTACTGCTGCAAGGACTCCACGGCAGTCTCGATTCCCTTTTTTGAGCTGGAGATGAGAGGGGATGGAGTATCAAGTGTTTAGTGGCGAGACAGCGAAGTAGGTGCTGTGCCTGATGGCATACCGCTACAGCTTAGCCGCCAAAAGGTCTGGTGGTTTAGAGCTGCCAAGTGCCATCAGCAATAAGCCCGTCCCCTTTTTTGTTTTCCCTCCTCCCCAAAGCCGAGCCGAGTTTCCAATGCTGTCATTCATTCAATTAGCATCTGCGGGCTGGGCCGAGCAGGAACATGAGTCTCCACAACGATCATGGGCCGTTTGGCGCCATCTTGGTTTGTCTTACTGCTAGCAGCCAATTTGATAGGCCCTTGTCAATTCGCGGGCGCCAGCCACCAGCCACCAGCCACCTGTGGATTGGGATGGGAACAGACCTCCTCCAAACCTCCCAACGATGCCCAGGAGATTATCCTTGGCAGGATGGAGGGAGGGCTTCTCTCGAACTTTGGTTTCATTCGCCATTAGAGACACAAGCAAAAAAGGAAGGAAAAAGAGCAAAAAAAGAATTGCTCTCAGGGCACTGGAGATTTGCTCCCGGCAGGGCTTGAACCTGCGACCTTCGCATTACCAAGACTGGGCTGTGAAGCTCAAGTATTAGTACGAAGCTCTAACCAACTGAGCTACGGAAGCCCTGGATTAGTCATCAGATGACTCCAATTGTTGATGGGGACCTGCTAATGCTGCATTATGACCCCTATGCCAAAGTGCTGGATTTGGATATGAAGATATGAAGTAATGTCCACCACTGACTTGAAAGTTGAAAATCTGGTTGTGGATTAAATTCCAGGTTCTCAAAATTCTGAAAGCTTCTTTCTTCCGAGATGGTTTGCTATTGTAATCTTGCATGGCTCAATTCTCCGTTTTGAAGGGCTGTCTCTATGTTAGTGGTCATAAAATCTCCAAACATAAGGTAGCTTTTTAGGTGTAGACGGATAGATACAATATATATAAACTGATGCTTGCTAATAACGTTAGAGGCAATATGTTCTATCATGAAGAGTAAGACTCGATTCGCCGCTTCTGGAGTTGTTAGTTGGCAATAAAAGGCCATCTTAACCGCATAGTAAACTGAAAACCCCTGCAAAACACCAAAGCCTATTGAAGAAAGATCACATCTTAGCTAACTGAGCAGCGAGCTCTCTAATCTTGCTCTTAAGAATTACATGAGCCCCGCTCGAGGGTACGTCGCCAGTGTGTATAGCTCCCACATTAGATAGCACTGATATTGCGCAGTCTCCCCCCTCCTTCCACCATAGAGCACCCGTGAAGCCCAACACGCCGCCAAAGTGGCCTAGCCAGCCCTGAGCCTGAGAGTCCCTCATTCTGAAGAGTCCATGGCCCATATCGGAGGCTTCGTTCGAAGTTGGTCGCCACATCTTCATAGTAGCAAGCGATTCCTCATTGAGCAGCTTTCCATCTCGAACGGCAGTGGCGAACTTGACAAGATCAGACGGCGTGGAAACTATGCCACCGGCTGTCCACTCGACGGAAAGATTAGATGAGCTGCAGTCGATGAGCTTACCTTCTTGAAGCTCAGGAAAAGCTGAATTTATTCCTGCTGTCTCACGATATTTTTCTGTGGCAAAGTGATAGCGGTTTGTCATTGTGCCCTGGTTCTGCTCTTCAAACCCTTCTAGAAATGTATGGTCCATGCCAAGTGGTTCAAGAATTCGTCGACGGATTTCGGCTTCTGCTGTGTTCTGCGTAATCTTTTCAATCATAAAGCCGAGAAGCTCGTAGTTGGTATTGGCGTAGTAATAGTTGCCACGATCAGGGGCGGTCAATCTTGGGCGGCGAATGTAATCAAGAGGCTCGACCTTAGTCCATTTGTGCGTTGGATCCAACTTGCTGCCACGTCCAGCCTTAAGCCAGGTTGGGTCATCTTCCCAGTTGTCAATGCCCGTTTCATGACTCAAGAGCAGTTCAACGGTGGCTTCGGGGGCGTTATCAATGTCATGGTATATGTCTGAGTCCAAAAGCTTGCTGACCGTGTCCGACAATTGCAGCTTTCCCTCTTCTATGAGCTGGAAAATAACCACGGCCGTGAATACTTTGGTGATGCTGCCGACGCCAAATAAGTGACTGGGTGTGATAGGCTGCCGGCTCTCCAGGCTCGAAACACCGGCAACAAAGGTCCAGTGTCCGCGAGCTGAGGTTATCGCAGCGGAGAGACCAGGTACTCCAGTCGCGACGCTTTCCTGGAGTATCGCATCGATTTCGGCGAGACAGTCTCCTTGAGTAGTATCCTCGGGAGCCATTGACGCTGGATTCAAATCTTATATCTTTCGGTAATTCTTCACTAGTCCCTAACGTAGGTAGTTTCCTTGAGGTGTCGATTCTCTTGCGACAATGCATGCCGCCCCAGACCAAGTTCGTGCAGTTATATTTGTATTTTGTCACATCAAAGTATACTAATGTGCGGTAAAGGTACCCATGTGGTTTGTTTCCGCAACAGGCGTCATGCATAGGTAGGTATCATCGTCAGAAAATAGGTTAGCACCTGGCGATTATTAATATTGACCCTCCCGTTTGTTCACTTCAGTCATCCCATAAATATTAGGGGAATCCACTTCTGAGATTTCTGATAATACTTGTAGAGGGCGTAGCACCTGGATAACAATTGTAACATGGCTCGTATAGGGCGTGGCATACTACAAAAGTACCGTCAGAAGGGGATCAAAACTCAGGCAATATCTACTAATATAAAATTCATATGTGCTTACATTTCAGCATCAGCACACTGCAACAGACGGATATTAACAAGAGGGAGCGCCAGAATCTACATCTTACCGCCAGCGACACTCACGTTGGCACATCGGCGTCGGATAGCAGTCACGTTTTTGACTCCCAGAGCAGTTCCGCTTTCAGCAGCAGCCAGCCACAGATCCATGGAGGTAATTATAAATTCAATGGAGGTCAGAAGCCCTACAATAGTTTTGAGCAATACTGGAGCTTTTCAGGAAAGAATAGTCGTGATAGGTAATGATAAGGCGGACGCTCGGCTTTGCACATGATGGTCTCAAGATCTGGCCATCAGGATGACAAAGTGGGCTCGTAGATTCAAATGAGACACAATGCCGATTGCCAAACACTTCGGGCTTTTATTATATCTCATGAATTTGCAGGCGGATATGCTGAACTTAACTAAGTATAGCTGTCTGTATTTACGAGGTACCTATCACTGCAGGTAATGTGGTCCAAACTTCCAATGTTATCTGTTGAGAATCACATGTGGCTACAGGGGATCCCCTGCGTCAAGCCGTAGCTGCCCCAGTCGCCGTTTGCATTAAAGGACCTTGTATTCCTGCTTGTTAATAGGGAGTTTCACTCCTAGATAGCTTCGTCCGTAGAAAAGTAGAAATAGAGGCCAATTTTCACATTATCTATCACCACACCCCCGTTGAAGCAATACTACCACTCGGCCTTGTAGCTCTTGAGCTATGTTTAATTTTCTATGCAATACTAGCAATATCTTTGGTGACATCCATCTCGAGGCGGCGCCTATCTTTAAGCAAGGCTACTGTTTCTCTCCCTAAAAGCACATTGTTCGACGCGGCTTTTATAATTCCTTCTGTTATCTTAAACTCGTGACCGCGTTTATTGAGGAAAAGAGTAATTAGTTTTGACGCATCAAAACGCAATCGTGCTGCGACTTCAACAATATCTTCTGTAACCCTGAATTCATGACCGCGCTTGTCAAGAAACATAGTTATTTTCTTTAACCCGTTGGGAGAACCCAATGCTGTCCTCGCAATATCCTCTGTGATTTTAAACTCGTGGCCGCGTTTGTCAAGGAGCAAGGCTACTAGGTTGGGGTTGGCATTACTGACTGCGGCTTTGACAATATCTTGCGTGATCTTAAACTCGTCACCATACTTCTCAAGAAGTAGGGTCAACATCCACTTTCCTCGATTCTCTGACGCCGCTTTGACTATATCTTCTGTTATTTTCATCTCGTTACCACGCTTGTCCAGGAGAGTGGCCATCCAATCAACAGATGCCTCTTTCATTGCGGCTATCACCAAGCTCTCCGTAATTTTGATCTCATGAGCACGCCGCTCGAGAAGAAGAGATAGCTTTGCTGCTGCTTGCATGTCGTCCCTAGAGGCACCTATAGCCGCTATGACATCTTCCGTAATCTTGATATCAGTGCCCCGTTCATCAAAGAGCAGTGACAGAGTCTCGACTGACCCAAATTCCGCTGCTTGTTTAATCACCTCTTCAGTAATTTTGACTTCATTTGAACGCTTATTGAGGAGAAAAACTGTGGCTTCTGCTCCGCCGCGAAAATTTGCAACTGCCCGGTTCAAATGAGATTGCGTGATCTTAATCTCGTCGCCACGTTTGTCAAAAAGTAGTGCCAGTATTGCCGACGGATTCGACAGCTTTAGTGCGGTGTAAAGGTCATAACTGGCGACCCTCACTCCGCTATCAGGTCTCAGGAGGACCTCCATCGCCTCGAAGCTTCTTTTTTTCATGGCTGTATAGAGCGGGGTTCTGTAGAGGCCGACTTTTTTGTTAACATTCGGATGCTCATGCGCCATCATGTATTCTACAACGGCAGCCAGATTAAAAAAAATTGCAAGCTGAAAATCTGGCCATTTATTCCAATAGTCCCCATTGGGACCTAATTTCCCGGAGCCATTGATCCAATTTCTTGTCTGTGGTGCAGATACGCGACAAAGGCTGCGCGCAAGCTTCCGATTTCTATCTGTAGAACCTGCGTCTTGCAAATAAAAGTGTGAAAGCCAACTGTTAGAGGCGTAAATGAAAAATGGATATTTTTTGTCGAATTCAGCTCGAAATTTTTTTCCGAAATCTTTCTCAACGTTCGTCTCAGGTAAAGCATCAGCCATTAGCAAGTAATTCATGCAGGCTCTAGATAAGATTCCATGTGAACTTGATAAGTTCAGTCGCCCCTTCCACGCTCCTGATCGTTCTGGGTGAAGTAGAAATTCTCTAGCCGTTTGATGGATAAACGATAACTTAGAGTCGTGAATGCTGATAAAGAGGCCGCATAAGTTTCCTGGCGTTGTCTTAAATCTGTCTTGCGGCCATAAGTTTTCCTGTAGCTTTTCATGCGACGAAAACTCATCCCCTAATACAAGTGTAAGGGCATAATTAGCCTCATTAAGAGTTAAAGGGCGCTCGGCAGCCAGTACAATCTGGAGCAGAGCCTCGACCTTTCTCCCGTCTTGACTTCTGGAGAGAATCTTCTCATAGGCATCAGATACCGTAGACGGGAGCTTAGACAGGAACTCTTCCATATCCGGTCTTCTGCTATAAGTAGCTATATTTTTCTCAATAATCTCTATTGTCAAGTATAACCAGAGATATGTTCTGTTTTCCATACTCTTAAGTTTCTCAGCAATCTTGTTCCGGTCTTCGGCTGAAAAACCCCCTGTGATATGGTGTACCTTGACGTCGATAACAAGATTTATTTCTTGGGCTATCTGCCCGGATTTGTCATCGCCATCAAAATGCAAATAAGCGGAAGTTGCAGTCAATCTATCGAATTGCATTTTCAAAGTCTCATAGGGGCGGCTGGTGATGAAGAACTTTAACTTCATGGGAGTGGCTGAGTTGGTGTGGCGGTATAAGTCCCAGAGCTTGTTGATCAAGCCAATCCCCTCGTTCTCCTTGCATTCATCCAGAGCATCAAGTAGACAGATAATTGGGAGTGGGGATAAATTTGCGCAATCCACCAAGATTCGCCACAGCTCGTCCGTTCTCTGCATTAGATCTTGACCGTACGTCTTGTGACTTGCCAGAGCCCTTGCCATGAGCTGAGGTATATGGATAAAAAGCTGATGTAGTATTGCACAGAGAGCATGAGCGTTATCCATTTTGCCCTCACCGCCATCTTTAAAAAAGAAATAGCAAATAATGCTTTCAGACACAGTAATAGTTGAGGATGAAATTGTAACTGTCGTCTCTGGATTTAAATGGCCCTCATCAATTAGGGACTTTGATAAGACTGATTTCCCGCATCCAGGTCCTGCAGAAACCCAAAGAAGGTCTCCAGACTTGCTCTCCCGCCAATTGTGAAACCGTTCATCTGTTAAGAACCACATGCATGTTCGTGGTACCCTCTCTGGATTTATGTTTTTGTATCTCTCGTAGTCTCCTGACATACTCGCAAGATCACCCAGTAGCTCCCGTTCTTTCTGGTCTTCTCTATCTTTCTTCATCTCCTGGAGAATCTCAATTCGTAATCTCTGGATTTCTTGCAGCTGGTCATCCATTTTATCTTGGATAATTTCTTTGTGTACCTTGTCAACCAGGGAGAGGCACTTATCATGACGCTTCTCGATTGATTTTATTGCTTCATCCCAATCATCTGACCCCGTCATGCTCTGCCAGGCACGTGAATGCTGAGCTTTTGACAGGTGGCATATCACTCGAGCTTGGTACTCGATGATGAAGGAGTATAGTTCGACCAGGAGATCCTTGAGGTTCCGATAAAAATTCTGATCTGACGGCCTGAAGTAGGTCTCCTCGCAAAACTTCCAAAAAATTTGCATGTCACTTATTGAGCTGAAGCCTTTTAACATGCTATCATTGTATTTCGTGCCACTTATAAGAAGCTGAAAACTGTAAGTAAAGTAAATAATGATTACTGTGAGCTGTTTATTTACCGGAAGAAACAGTGAAACGCCAGACCAGGCTAAGGCAGCATAAGGCTGTGCGCTTACTGCCGATTTGACGATTGAATCGGACCAGATCAGAAACTTTGCCAGCTTCTCAATCTGTTCTCGCATCGCAACATCGCGCCCCAAGATCGAAACCTGTATTTGTTTCTTCTGCCGCATTTCTAGTAGTTGTTTCACATAAACTCCGACGTCGTGTGGATCCGAAAAGCTCTTGGTGGCGACGGGAACACCTTCCAATGAAGCTATGTGCTTCTCATAATCCCCCATAAGATCCTCTTCGCGCTTCTTGGCGAGCACATAGGCCCGAGCCCAGAGGTCATTGTTGTCATCAGATAAAGAATCGGCTGAGTTGGTTGCTGCTGAGGGACGAGGAGACTGAATTTCATCATTGGGGGGCTGTGGAACGGATGGGATGACTGGGACGATCAATTGGGCAGCTATCAGCGTGGCAGGTGGGATTTCGGCAATAACAGAACTTGGAGTCGTGGCATGAGGCAAAGCTGAATCTTGGTTTTCGACCGTGGGCGCTGGAGCAGAAGAAGCCTCGCTATCCCCTTTCCATTTGCGCTTGATGGAAGCTTTTATTTTTAAGAAGGATGGCATCTTGTTTTAAATAGCCCAGAGTGCTTTGAGGCTTGTGGAATTTCTTGTAGTAGGTACCGAGCAATGACTACATAGGGATTGAGTGTGGTTTTATGATGATGGTGTTATGTGAATGAATACATGTAGTAATATACATGTACATAGGTAGGTATACTGCTGGTGCCCAATGAGTGCCCGACGAACCCATGCATGCAGGGGATAATCTGTCGACCTCCGGATTCAAGCATATGGAACAAAGACAACTCCGGGCGCGTTTCTATAGGATTGAATTAAGTGGCTAAGTATTGACAAAATCATCTGCTCCGGCTCTATAACTCTCTGTTTTTGGCTACCTATACAAACTATGTCTACCTATCCTAAACTCCAGTTGATATCCTTATTGCAAAGTGAAAACAAATTTGCAGATTACAGATCGTTACGTCCACGACCAACCAGTATTTACAACACTATACTGAGTGTGCACCTCACTATATCGAAGAATCATACCAAACCACCACTTCAAACTTCGGAACGACAGTCGAATCGGCAACAGCATCAATTCACCACGCGTTCCAAAGACACTAACCCAGGCGCTGAACAGCATCAGACCCAAAACCCCCACGAGGCAAAGCATCGCTACTAGCCGTATAGCGTTCATCAGCAGCGACAAAAGTCCAATCGGAGAAGACGAAGGAAACCTGCTGTCGGCATGACTCTGCGGAGAGAACGCAATGTTATCGTCCCAGTCCGCGTAAAGCCCGGTATATGTGACGACATGCGGCTGCATCACCTCGTACGTCGCCGTGCCAGCGAAAAGGCCTTTGACTGCGTGCGCATGTCTCGTGATTTTCGGTGCCGTCGAGATCATGACGCGCGTGCGACTTCGAGCATCGTGTGTATCACCACGGCTATCTGAAGGCGTCGTCTTTTCGTCTCCAACGCAGAGAAAGCTGTGTCGATATGCCTCGCCGGGCTGGACCCATTCGAAAACAGTAATCTTGGGAGACAGCCTGATCGCGAGATTGAGCCACCCTGCAAGAGCGACGATGTTGTGTAGCGCCTGATACGATGATGGAGATGGCGCGTCTTCTCCGAGGCCTACATAAAGAGGTGAGAGCAGTGCTACGATTTGGGCGGTGATTTTGTCTACGCGTTTCCAGAACAGAGGTGGAACACCGCCTGTTGCTTCAAGATAGACGCGGTTGGTGTCTGCCCGAAGGGCTGTACGTCGGAAGCCTGGATATTTTGCATGTGTTAGCCGGAAATCGCGTCTCGAACAAAGTATTGCCGCCGAGCATTAACATACCCTCGATATTGATCATGGAACTATCCTCTATGCGCAGCACTTCCGCATGCTCCGGTCCAGCGCCAAACAGGAGATCAGAAAAGACGTGCTTTTCTAAAACCATCATCATCACACCCGACAAAAGGGCACATCGATACGGCCGGGACTTGAGCAGCTTCTCCCACTCCCCATCCGCGCCTGGGCGAGCAACCATGCGAGCAAAACTCAGAAATTCCTTGGGATGCTTCAGCGTCCAGAGCGATTTCTTTGAGCTGGCCGCCTTTTTACAGATGCCATCCTTGAGGAATTTATTGATTTCGGAATAAAGCAGCTCGAATGCTTCTTGGTGACCTTCATCAGGTATTTCTTCCAGGAGCTCGGAGAAGGGGAGCTCGCGCTGTCTTGGCTGGAGGGATTTGAGCTGGCGAGGCATTCTTGCAGATAGTCTGCTGCTGTGTCTGGTACTATGGCTGGTCGGCATTGCGTTAGAAACTTAAGCTCAGCTCAAGTTCAGGAGTCTATGATAATTAAAAAAAAAAAAAAAAAAAATAGAGGTGGAAGGGTGGATGCAGCCGTCTACTCTTATACATGTGGTGATATTCGGTGACCTGCAGACTAGCGGTCAGACATGCTGCATCTTCTAATGCTGTACTATCTAGGGTCTGTTGGCAACTTTCTAGAGACCGCGTCTTTCACATGCGGACGCGTTCAATTGTTCAGAATGAATTCTATTCATGGCCAAGTAAGTACGCTTCTTTCATCGAATTGGGGTCTGTTCATTCAGTGGCATTCAAAAAAGAAATTGTGCATAGATGAACACTAATCATTGTTGGCATAAAAATAAACCGTCAAGAGGGATAAAGCCAGCTTTTGAGCCAGTAAAAAAACATTGTCATGAGAACACACGTCTTTATTTCGAAAAATCTTCAACTGGCTTTTAGCCACCCATGATGCTGCTGCTGCTACTCTCTCACTAATACTGCTAGACTGAAAATGGCCATTTGCGCTTTCATAGACTCAAACTCCTACGAGATCCACACATACCATCATATATGATGTCAATCATTTGTAATATATGAAACGGAGGAAAGAAAAAAGAAATTGGTATTGTCTGGTGTACAGATATTGGGAAAATTTTAGGCTTTATAGATTAAAAGTGCTCCTTCCAGAAGCGGAACTCGACTTCGCGTGCCGTAGCAGCCTTGCAGGCAGTCTTGATATCACGAGCTAGAGAAATGGCAAGTTAGCTTAGATCAGACTCAAAGGGCGATATGCTGGAAACACTAGTACATACCTGCAACAGAAGGACCGCAGAAGTAAACACCGACCGTCGTCTTCGTGCTACCCTCCAGACCGCTAAGATACGTCCTGTCGAGAATACCGTCACGCATAGTTCTGAAGAGACGAGCAAAGTTGGGTCGGCCAAACTGGGTCCGTGACTTGAGCTCAGTGAGGGGATCCATGTCGGCACCCACGCTGTTCAGCACAATGTTCTGAGCAGTGTCCATGTCTAGTCTCTGGGTGAGATAGGTGTGGATCTTAAGGAATTCAACGCCAGAGCTTCCAGGGACACGAGCAGCCTCGTTAGACTGCTCTTCGAGAGAGGACAGCAGTGTCTGAAACCATTCGAAAGAGCCGGTATCCTTGCAGACCCAGATGAACTCAACACGGCGAAGACGAGTGGGAGGGTTGGGAGAGTTTCGCAGATGCCAGATGTTCTTCAGAATGGAGGCCCAAGGAGTGACACCAATACCAGTTCCGATGAGGACAGCAATTTCGTTCTCAAAGACGTCCTCAGCCGGAGCTCCGTAGGGACCATCAATGCGCAGAGCAGGCATCTGCTGGCCGTTTTGCAGAGCAACTTCGTACATACCCATAGGGTCGACACCGTCGTAGAACTTGGCTTGAGCGGCACCAGCACCAAGGGCATCTCCCAGCTGGCTGGTGAAGTCACCGACCTGGCGAACGTGGACGGAGACATAGGGATCGAATGGGCACGAGGTGATGGTGAAGGGGTGCCACTGGTACTTTGAAATGGATGGCACCTGAAGGAACAACCACTGACCAGCCTTGTACTTGAAGGAGGGCTTGTTGAACTGGATCTCGACGACGTCATAGGGGTGTCGGATAACACGAGTAATCTTGGTCTCACGACGGGCACGAACCTCGCGATACAGACGCTCAATCAGGTAAAAGCCTCCAGTGAAGAGCTCCCATCGCCATCCGAGATAACCAATGCAGTGCGACCAGTACTGCTCACCGTCAAATGGCGAGAATCCATTGGCGGTATCACGGACGAAGCAGCCAACGGTGTGCGTGTAGAGAGCCAGGAAGAAGGGGATGAACAGGTGGTGAGTGTACCAGAAGGTCTCGAAAGATTGCTGGCGGATACGGGCATGGGCAGTGGTATACATGAGCAGCATGCAGAGGAGCATGACGTGACCGGTGATACCACCGGGCTGGCCGTAGTGAATCTGCAGAGCGGTAACGGGACGAAGCTGCTTCAGCTCGACATTGTAAAAGTTGACGTAATGGGCTGAGGTGTGGCAGATGCTGAAGAAGAGCAGCGAGTAGGCAAGCTGGCGGTGCATCCACAGATTCTCATCAAGGGGCAGGAAGCGGATCTTGGGTCGGATCCAGCGCATAATGGTTCGGCAGACCGGGAGCAAGATGAGCATACAGTCGACGCTGAGAACCAGACCAGCACCTCGAGAGATCCACACAGAGTATTTCAGTGTGTTAAGACCTGCCAGTCTTATATCGGCGGCTTGTTTATACCTGGCGAATTGTCAGCTGCTTCAAGCTTCAACAGGGCCTGTCACTCGGTGTCGAAACTCACCATCCATATGCGAAAATGCCAAAATGAAATCCCCAGAAGAGAATGTGGTAGAAGAACTTCTGGATAGTGAACTGCTTGCGGATCAGTTCGCCGTATGTGAGTTGGCCAGCCATCTTGGGTGAGTCGTTTCGAGTTTCCTCCTCTTGACAGTTGAAGCCTTTGAAATTAAAATGTCGACCTGCGACAATGCTGAAATATTATGATACGACGCCCTTGGGACCACCCAGTGCACGCAGTTCCCCAACTCTGGACAGCGATATTATCCTCCCTCGACTTTCCAAAAAAAGAGACACCGATTCCCAAGTCGACTTTGGCTCCACCCCAAGTAGGATGTTCAAGGCAGAATAGAAAATGTACTAGTTAAAATCGGAGACGCTGGAAAACGAAGGTTGAATAAAGAGTGTAAAGAGTGACCTGATCCAGCAGTGGATAGAAAGGAAAGGCCCAAAGGGACGTCCGTAGAAGAGAAAGAAAAAAAATGGCTGCTCTTTTGGCCCGCCTAACGACAGCTGGGGGAAGAAGGAAAAGAAGAAGCCAAGAATCTGGGAGTCGCCGAGTGATAAAGAGGGCCGCTGGTCGACCTAATCGGCGTGAAACACGGACAGGCTGGAGAAGTCGGGGATGGATCCGAAATGGTGGCTCCGGCGTCCTTCCTTTGACTTCGGATGCTGAGGTTCCCTGTAGCATGAAACTCTAGACCCCTGCAGCTGCGAAGCGATCCGCCAAATGACACAGTGAGCGCTCGCGGGCCGGTAGCATCGGTCGCTGCAGCAGACGCCAGGCTATTCCCTCTGCGACCAGCACTTGCGAGAGCTGCGATTGCGGTTTAGGGCCTGGTTGAAGATCACGGCGCAAAAGTGAGACTCTCGTGGAGCGGATTGTGCGACGGCGAGTGTGAGAGCAGGACCGAGGGGTTGCTGTAGCGGCGTTTCGGGCGCTGGCTCAGGGGGCCGCTGGGAGTGGCCGAGGGGTGTGTGTGTTTGAGAGTCTGGTCAAGCTTTTCTGCACTTTGACGGTGCTCCGCGCTGTAATGTTTCAACAGGAGTGCCCGTGCAAATGCAGATGCAGATGCAGAGATGGAGATTGCAAATGCAGCAGAAGCAGGAAGTGGAAGATTTGGACAGGACCGGCAGCCCAGGCGGTACAAGTAGGTGGTACAGCGCTCTTCAGGCCTGTGCCTGGATTCAATGAAGTCACCTGCAGGGCCCTAATGCCATTCCCCCGCTTCTCCGCTACTTTGTGCTGCTCAGACTCTGCTTTTTTGCACCATAAATAGGAACATTGAATTCATCACATCGAGAGCCGCCGGCCATCTGTGCACTTGCATTCTCAAGATGCGCTCTGACTGGTCTGACCGAGTTAGTCAGTGTGCAGCAAGGCGCGATGCCAGTCCTGATGCGGCAACGGCCCTGAGGCTCGGCGCTTAAAACACCAGATGGCTGGCCAACAAGAGGCTAGATTTGTGTCCCCTGAGCTAGCTGCACGGTGATGGACTGCTAGGGCTCTCGAACCCCTGTCCGGTGTGGACGCCTTTGCTTGCCACGAGGCTGGTCCGAATGCCTCCATTGATGCATTGATATCTGCTCCTCTGGGCGACCTAAAACAGCGTATCTGGTGATATCAGCTTGCTGAACGGACGACTTGAGCTGTGGAATCGAACCATTTTGCAATGCTGTAACAGCAATGCCTCTCAGTCAGTCGATGGCATTGTCGCCAAGACCAATCATCTGGGGTAAGCTTGATTTAGCTGACACTCCTGCCAAGCTGTTCCTTTGTTTGTGTTGTCGATATATCACTTCAATGATGATTGGTCTCGGCACCTACAGTAACACCAACACGGACGGATCAGTCTATCCGTGGACTTAACCTTAGGAATAACTGTCATGATCAGGTTTCGTATCCAGACCTAAAGCGTCGCTACCGGCTATCTGGTGCGTACCAGGTTAGGCTACTCCTAATATCCATTTCTCCTTTCCCCATTTTCGGCCGAGAGGTAGAGATTTAATGCTTCCATCTGAGATGATCCATCTTGCTCAAGCACTACCTACTGATGGATTCTAGTACGGTTCTGGTTGCCTCTGCGTGCTGTTTACCTCCTGGAAACGGCGGAGTTGACAAAGATAAGCTATGGACTTCAAACTGAAACGAGTAGCAACCTAAAACATTAGCGCTCGTGATAGATGGACGCCCTGCACTTTTTGCGCACGGAGGTTTTGGTAGGTCCCTTGAATTTAGCGCAGCTCCTGCGGCCCCTCCCTACCGCCTTTGAGGCCTTCATGTTGGTCCCTGCAAGTGAGCGGGCATTGGCGAGGGCGGCTGTTTGCGTTGGCAGACGTAGTATCGAGATTTTGACGGGAAACATTCATGCGATGATGAAAGAATCGTACGATTTTTTTGCAAAGCTCCCCAATACACTCACGTGGCGGGATCCAGCAATTTGGCTATAAAACGGTTGCCTTCGCATGCTTAAACCGGTCTGTTACTCTGTTTTGCGACCTTTGGCCATTCCGACTTGCTTCCCAGACATATCGACCGCCCATTGCTACGCACGCAGCACTGCTCACGACGACAAGCCGAATACGAAGTACAATGTACAGATTATAGCGTGTAAGAGAAGGACGAGGAGGAAGCGTCAGGCCTTCGTGCGGCAGGACGCAAAACACACCCCGAGATGCTCGTCGCCTATTAGACCAGACGCTGGACACGACTTGGTCACTCTCGATGCGCAGCCGGTCCACAATACTGTCACCTTACTCGAGCAATGCCTGTCGACCTGAGGATGATCAGGGCGGCGTCGGCTCAAATGGCCTCCGGTCACGACGACAAGGATTGTACTCAGTAGAGCTGCCAGACAAAACCGATGGCAGTGCAAATTCTTGGGGGGATCGAGTCTGGTTGAAGTGGTACCTTTTTTTTTTTTTTTTTGGCGCTTCCCAGCAGTTTCACATTTGCTCTCGCCTGGAGGATCTTGTCCGCATTTTATTGCGGTCGGCAGCTTGGTTTTCAGGCCTCGCATAAATGAATGACGTTCCCTTGTAAATTCAATGTCAATTGAAGCCAATCGTAATTCGCTGGGCTTTTTAGTTGTCTCAGCAATAGCCACTGAGCAGCAAGACCAACGTAATGGCATGAAGCAGTTCCCAGTCTATTCTGTGCTGCAATGTGGGGAGTGGCCAGTCTTGGAGACGGATGACGTAGTAGTGATAATGCCCAGCTCCAAGTCCGTCTTCATTCGCCATGCCGTCATCTGCTTGACAAGTAATCTGAGAGGCATCTAAACACTGTGCAGGTAAATATAAAGTAGATTTGAGCAAATTGAATGATGGTTAACACTCTTTTCACGCGTACGCCCGTGGTTTTCAAAAAATCTCCCGCCAATTGCGATGTGTAGAGCTTCATAATGGCTGGCAAGGAAGATGTGGAGCATGCCCGTCGCTACGAAGCTCCTTATAGCGAAAGACACCCAATCCCTACTATCTCGAAATATCGAGAGGAAAAGGAGGCCAGACAGCAAAATGCACTGAGGAACAATGCAGAAACCCCTGACCAGCGTCCTTCTCAGACCAAAGAAGGGGAAGCTTGGGATCACCATGGCGAAGCAGAAGATTCTCGGTCTGAGAGCGAGGCCCCGATCCAGGACACATCACAAGTTGATCCTGCCGCATTCAATCCACGAAAACATAAAAAGGATTCCAAGAAAGAAAGAGCTGAACGCGAGGTCACTGATCCCGTAACTCATCTCCCTGTGAAGATTCACGACTTCACCGACAATGCTCTCAAAGAATTGGACGTGAACGAGGATCCATTTGAACAGGCGAAAAGAACACTGAGTGGCATTGATGAGAAGAACAAGTCTGACGCCGAACTACGCAAGGAGCAAGACCGTTCACAAGGGAGACACGATGCGTTGATGAACCAGTTCCCGCCACCCGACCTTGACTTCTTACGCAAGGAAGTCCATGCTGCAAGCACACGCGGATTTTTAATTTCTCTAACCGGTGCATGTGGCATCTTGGTTGCAACCTGCGTGATTCGCGAAGTATTACTTACCGATGCGCAACAAGATGGAGGATGGGTAGCTGCTGCTCAACGACTATTACCATGGCTTGCTCTGATTATAGCAAGCGCAGGAGCATTTTGTGTCTTTATTTTCGGCGTCAGGGACTGGACTACTAAAAAGGTCGATAACGCCATCCAAGACGAGATCTGGCGCTCACAGCGCCGGCAGATGAAACACGAGACCAGGAAATATGAAAGAGAGACTACTTTGTGGCTCAATTCCTTGCTGAGCTCAGTGTGGCCGCTCATCAACCCGGACCTCTTTACCAGCCTGGCAGATACGTTAGAAGACGTCATGCAGGCTTCGTTGCCCAAATTGATTCGTATGGTCAGCGTGGAAGATATTGGCCAAGGCAGTGAGTCGCTGCGCATCCTCGGCGTCCGGTGGCTGCCTACCGGAGCAGCTGCACAAGCTGTTACGGAAGATGGGAAGATCATCTCCCATAAGGATGATGAGAGCCGCAACAGTACGGATCCGGACGGAGGTGAAGAGCCTGATAATCAAACCGACAAGTCAGCTTCTCGGGGTATGGCAGCAGAGGAAGGCGACTTCATCAACTTGGAGGTTGCGTTCGCATACAGGACACGGTCGACCAGCAAATCCTTCAAGGAGCGAAGCAAAGACATGCACCTCTACTTGGCCTTTTATCTGCCCGGAAACTTGAAGATCCCCGTTTGGGTTGATCTGCAGGGGGCAGTTGGTACCATGAGGCTGCGCCTACAGCTGACGCCTGACCCCCCGTTTTTTGACCTCTGTACTCTAACACTACTGGGCCAGCCAAAAGTGGATTTGAGTTGTGTGCCTCTGAACAAACATGCACTGAATATTATGGACGTGCCGTTCATTAGCAATTTTGTTCAGTCGGCTGTTGACGCAGCTATGGCGCAGTATGTCGCCCCCAAGAGTCTCACGCTGGATCTCAAAGATATGCTTGCCGGTGATGATTTCAAAAAGGACACCTACGCAAAGGGTGTTCTTATGATAAACATCAAGCGTGGTTATGATTTCAAAATGGGAGACTCAGGCATACCCCTCATCAAAGACTCTGGGTCAGATCCATATGTGTCTGTTGGATGGGCAAAATTTGGCAAAGTACTCTGGAGCACGCGCATTTTACTGGCTGAAATGGAACCATATTGGGACGAGACTTGCTTTGTGTTGGTCACCCCTGAAGAACTGAACATCAATGAAAGACTACGCATTCAGCTTTGGGACTCTGATCGGTTCACGGCAGATGACGATCTAGGACGAATCGAGGTTGATCTTAAGGAGCTGATGCAAAATGAAAACTCAAATGGACGAATGTGGCAGCGAACAGATGGCTTTAAAGCGCTGAAATTTGGCGATAATATGCCCGGAAAACTCGAGTGGAGTGTAGGGTATTTCTCAAAAGCAAGGATCCAGAAATGTCAATTCGACCAACAGACTCACGACCCAGAGGTTAGATCAATGGATCAGCTTAAAGAAAAGGTCAGCAACAGCTGCGAGCGGAAACTCCGAGAAGCCATGCTCAAACACGCATCGTCCGATCGTGATGAGAGCGAGATGGAGCAGCAGAAGATGCAAGAAATGAAAGCAGAACAAGATGCGATGATCATATCAGCGCCACCGCCAGACGGATATCCAAGTGGTATCTTTAGCCTGCAGATTCACAACATCACTGGACTTGAAGTTCCTCACCTTAGCAAAAGTTTGAAGGATAAGGATGGCAATGCGAGCGATGAGGAAACTGGCGAGGGCCTTCCCAGCGCCTACTGCACCGTAATTGTTAACCATAAGAAAACTTATAAAACGCGGACCAAGCCCCAAAATACGAAGCCATTTTTCAACGCGATTTGCGAGCGCTTTATTCGGGACTGGAGGTCCTGCGAAGTCTATGTCTCCGTAAGGGACGCCAGGTTGCACGAAGACGATCCGCTATTGGGCATCGTGCATCTGCCTCTCAGCGAAGTATTCAAGGATCGCTCGCAAAGAAATGGATTCTGGCCCATATCTGGAGGCATCGGGTATGGAAAGATCCGACTGTCCATGGTTTGGCGCAGCGTCCAGCTTCAGGCGCCACGCAACCTCGTTGGATGGCAATATGGCACAGTGAATGTGCAGCCTGTTGCGACGAGCTTAGATTGCCCCCAAGATTTGAGATATGCGAAGCTGAAACTGAAAACCGACATCAGCAGCGGCAAAATGTATTCTCGTGGGTCTGGGGAGGCGACATGGGTGACGAGTAAAGAACGACCACTCAATCTCGCTGTACAAAAAAGATACAGTGGCTGCTTGTCCATTGCTTTCAAAGATAAAAAGGTGCTAGGAGATAAAGTGTCTGCTTTTAGTGTGTGTTGGCTGAAAGACATTCCGGATGAAGAGGAGTTGACACTTGATCTCCCAATCTGGAAAGGCAATTTCAAGAGAGCGACATCATGCTGTTTGGAACAATGCGGTGAAAAGATTGGGACTCTCAGTATTAAAATCACATTTTGGCAGGGGATGGTAAGTTGGCATCTCTCCTATGTTTTATACAACTACCCTGTAGGAGAAAAATAAACCCCTGACATGGATTTATAGGGTGCTGCACATTCCGAATGGGCGAATAACAGCGAGCATATACGGGATGTTGTTGAAGTAATTGATGCTGCAAGAGATAATCTCAGGGATGATGAGATGGAAAGAGCCGCAGGAATTGTCGACGAGGAGATATCGAGCGACAGCGATAGCTCTGATGAGCATGAATATATACCAGATGGTAGCGCGGACCATAAGCAAGGCCCCTTGGACCAGCTACGAGATTATAAACGGAGAGATAAATCCCTACACAGACAACATCGGGGCCTTATGCAATGGAAGGTAAGAAAACCACGAAAAGATGCCAACTTCAGAAGACAAGTAGCTAACCGCGGTTGCAGGCGCCTCGGACGGCGAAATGGGTAAAGCACAAGGTGGACAAGGTGGAAAATAGTGTCGCTGGCATGTTTGACCACAGAAATAAGGAGGCTGGGATTGAGACTGAGGTATAATAAGTTCGGCCCAAAAGAACGGATATCATGTATTTTCCAGCAGGGCCATGGTCTATGATGTAATGACGGTGGCTAATCTAACTAAGGTATCTGTGAAATGATAATAACTCCCTCAAACGAATTGCGCCCCAAAGGATTCCCATTCATAAGAAATAAAGTCGTGAAGTAAAAAGCAAACGCAGACGCAAATGCCATGGCATGACAGTGACCCCGGGAATACTGGCCGCAGTCGTCATGGTAGATCCTGCCGCGTTGCGACGTTTAAAATTGTTGTCCTTGATCCAGGTTAGTTACCGTGGTTGAATACGTCCTCTACCACCAAGACTGGCTCCAAGGCTTCGTTGGATGGCGAGGGAGTGGCGTTGTTCTTACGGTTCCTCTTTGATCGCACCTCAACTGCCTCTGGCTGTGGTGTAGTCACGTCGTCTTCAGGGTCGTCGCGGTAGCGCTCAGGATCGTCTTCTGCCAGCAAGGGGGCGAGCAAGGGTGCATCACTACGACGCCACGGAAATCTTAGACCCAAGTTCAAATTCTTAATGCTCTGGAACCAAGGAATCTCGGGCAATGAGGAAGGTCGCAGGTGGTGCTCGCAGTTTGGACAATCTGGAGGAAGAATTTGCCAGGCAACCCACTGTAAGAAGCCGTGAATAGCGAGCCCTTGATAGATGGCTTGAGCCGCAGCAAGGAGATGGCAGAAGCTGGACGGCGCACGTTAACTTCAGTCATGCAAAGAACCAGATATAGCTATGTTGGGATAAAGGCCCAAGGTTCTTGGAGGCGGGGCGTGGGGGACATACAAGCTTGTCATAATAGGGAGCGTAGCATAAGCAGCCAGCATACTCAGCGAAGCCGAACGGCCGTGATGGGTCCATGTAAAGACGAGAACGATCATAAGAGCAGCAGCAAGTACGACATCGTGAATGAAGACAACGATTGGATGAGTTAGGACAGCGCGGATAGAAATGCCGCCGTGGCCTCCAGATTCGATGGACTCGACATCAGCCTCCGGCCTGTGGCCCGCAGTGCGAAGGAGCGCGACCGAGGTGACGACAGACACAGCTTGAGGCACCAGGCCAACAGCTGGAACCGGGTTATGCGACAAGACGCCGTGGGCGATGCACAGCGCAAAGGCCGGGATAAAAGACGCGACGGCGGTGATGCGAAGCGGGCGGGCGGCCGCGTCAACAGCCGATTCTTCCATGATGGGCGGTGCCGGTGAATAGTAGCTGAGCTGAGGGTGACTGAGGCCGCGAGAGTCGGCAGCGAGTATAAGAAGACAGCGAGATGCCGTCGGTCAGTGCCAGCGCTGACGCCTGTGATTTTTTATTCTTGGCTGCAGCTCATTTTGTCAGGAGGAGCTCCAAACAGGCAGAGGGATTATAGTGGAAGGAGCTGCCCCTCATTAGCCCCTTGTCTGAGATGTACAAAGTCAGTTAGTGCCTGGCCAATAGCGGGATCTGGTATCTGGACGACAGGCGCTGACTAGGATAGTGGGGGTAGCACAGGTGCGAGCTTGATTCAACGACATGGCACTCAGACCGACGACACGATTGGACGGCATTGCAAAACTATTAGATATTGCGGATGATAGAGAGGAAAAGTAAATGTAAATGAAAGACTTAGCCGGCTATAGGTGAGCAATTGAGTTTCCATCGTTTGCCATATTTTCATGGCTGTGCTGGATGTGAGTGACCTGAACAAACCTCCACAGCGTCCAAAAACACCAAGCCTCGAGGGGGGTTATGCCATCTCGCTCCCAGTCAACTTTTCAACAGCGCGAAGAAACACGAACGCGTTGACGTTGCCTGGCCATCAATTGATTTTCATCCGATGTCACCGCGTGAATCAGCGTGTTGGGATCCATCAATAGGCGGCTGTAGTGAGGAAAAAGTGAGGCCATGCCCTGTTTCTGCCCTATATACTCGCCAGCTGGCGAACACTCCCGCGCACGCAAACAACAAAAGAATCACAGCAACGCGCTCAATTGGTCAGAAAAAAGTGAAGTCATGTGCCCACAGCTGCCTGAAGAAAAATAACAAAACCCTCGGCCCCCCCAGCTCTTCTTTTCCCTTTCCTCTCCTTCTTCTCCAAGTTACCATCATCACATCAAAGTATCAACACAACGCACACAAACGAACGAACCTCACACTTTCTGACAGACACAATGGAGTTTTCTACCATTTTCACCCTCGTTCCCTATCCCAAGGTCCCCTCCCTTGGCGATCCCGTTATCTTCCTGCCCATCTGGGCATTCCTCTTTCTCGTGTGCTTGTTGACGAAACTGGTCACCGCCCTGTGGCCATCGGTTCTCTCCTACCTCTCCCTTGTTGTAGCATTCGCCCCGGACAAGAACTTTGTTGTCGCTGCGGTGTCTTGGCTCTCACTGCTTTGGCTTTGGAAGCCCTGGGCCGCCTTGACAGCTGACCTACGTCGTGAAGTCGATCTCGCGATTGACTTTACATTTCTCGCGTGGTTCCTGATGGCCTTCCCATTTATTGTCTTGACAATGTGGGTCGGACTGAAGGGGGTTCTTCGTCTTGCCGCCAACGCCATAGTCCGCCGAATCCATGACGCCATGGAGTTCGAATTCGACCTCACAGAATATGTCGTCAAATGCTACTCGCCCATGCAGCCTGAGTCACCCGGCGATCGCGCCATGGCTCAGCTTCTCGCCGCCTCTGGAAACTGGACACTCTTCCTGGAATCATCTCGCCCTCCTCTCGGCCTTTCTAAAGCTGGATATGACGCTATCTTTCGGGGTAAGCGACCGCGCCGCTTGGTGACAAAGTCCTTCACCGCAGAGCAGCAGCGAGCCCAGGAGCGAGTGAAAAAGTTTGTGAAGGAGCGCCGTGCAGAGATCATGGCAGCAAAGGATGTAGAGAGAACTGCCCGTGCGCAGCTGATCGATCTGAAGCCGACAACTTTCGACAGTGAACCAGTGCCTCAGTCAAGAGAGACCCCCACCCCGGTGGTTCAGGTTTCTGCTTGGCCCACTGTTCCCGAGTCGGACAACGTCGCCGAAGACGTCATGATTGCCAACGGATTTATAGAGACCGAGGAACTGGCGGACCAGAAGGAGTCCAAAGGTGAAGGTCTGGTCGAAGTCGAAGGCAGCAAAGCCCAGGAATCCGAGTCCTCTTCTGGGGAGGAGGATGAAAGCCCGCTGCACATATATAGCAAGTTTCCGCGACTCAAGGACAGCCAAGCTAAGGAACCCGAATTCTCGTATGAGAAGGACGGCGAAGGCTTCGCCGAGGAACCGGAATTCTCGTATGAGAAGGAAGGCGAAGGCGCGGTCGAGGAACCCAAGTCCTCTTTTGGGGAGGAGGGCGAAGACCCGGTCAAGGAACCCGAGTCCTCGTATGAGGAGGAGGGCGAAGACCCAGCTGAGGAACCCGAGTCCTCTTATGAGGAGGAGGGCGAAGGCTCGCTGTCCGAGAGCGACCCGGCTAAAGACCCTGAGATCTCTTTTGAGGTGGAAGGCGAGGCAATGTCGAGCGCCACGGTACCCGAAGCAGCCCAGGAACTGGAGACCTCGTATGAGGAGGAAGGTGAAAGCATGCTCATCGACGCAGCCCAAACCGAGGAACCCGAGGTCTCACTTGAGGCGGAGGGCGAAGGTTTCTTCACGGAGGACAAGACCTCGTATGGGGAGGAGTTCGACGTTGAGATGGCTGACGTCCCCTTGGTACCACGGCTATTTATTGAATCTGGCTACTCAAACTCACAGGAGCCTATCCTGCCATTGGAAGTCTTGGCGCCATGGCCTTCTGCTGGTCAGGAGCCTGGTTGCCACTACGATACCCGCGGATGCATGTCTTTGTCGCCTGTTGTCGAGAGTGCTCAGGCTGTTGTCGAGGCCCAGTAGGATGGGATCGACTTTCAGACTGACCTCTCATCAGTCGCTGACTACCAGACACTCCTGGAAGAGAATGAGTACGCCAGCATGGATCCCGACCTCCTAGATCGTATGATGGACGATCTCCTTACCGGCAATACCACCGAAGCGGATCTGATTGCCACCGACGACTCCTGGTTCCAGGAGTACGAAGCGTGGCTGGAGACCGTGGACGAGGACGCCACCGCCGCAGCAGTTCCCGCCGCCAAAGCGTTGGACGAAGACGAAGTGATGGTAGACGCGGATCGTATCCCGACTCCAGCTTCCGATTCTGACGACGCTGCTACAGTCGTGGGGCTCCTTTCCGAGTTCTTCGGTTCAAGCATCCTTCGGGATTCTCGCTTGGACGAAGACATGGACTCCATGGACCTGTGTGGCGACGGGTCCGACCCCGAGGTAGAGTTTATAACTGCAGCTTTGGCTCAGTTGACTCTTACTTTGGATGTCGGCAACGTCATCATCACGGAACAGCAACTATCCCAGGAAAATGTCGAAATGGTGGATCTCCAAAGGCCAATTCCCCCTGTCATCGTCGTCGACATGACAGAGCCAGAGGAGCCAATTCCCCCCACCGACAACTCGACGGAGCTCAACGGGCCAATTCCCCTCGTCATCGAAATGACGGATCCCGAAGAGCCAATTTCCCACGTCGACGACATTGTTCCGGATGTTGTTCCGAATTCTTTCCAGAATGGCGAATTGCCCCCGCAATGGCCATACATGGGAGGAGATGATGAAGATTGGAATGAGCAGGACGCTGTGTCTGACGGTTTGCCCCCGCAGACTCCGACGACACGCACCACGTCTCCAAGAGACTCGGAAGGGAGTGAGCTACTCGTGGTAGCCTCACCTGGGCCTTCCCTCGAGGATGATATGATGGCCGCTTTTTCCGAAAGGGAATTGATGGCCGCCCTGCTCGGCATGTCACCAGACCGATTGTCTAATTCCTCGCAATCGAGATCAACGTCGCCTGACTCGGACGATATGCCCTTATGGGCATTTCCCCCTGACATGGTGGACGCTTCTTCTGGTGCTGCCACCAATCTTTCGTTGAACCAGCTGTTTAACAATTCTTCCCGGACAATCGAAGGCAATCCTCCGACCGAAAGCGCCGCTGACGACCTTTCGGAAGAGGATCCAGCCCAATCTGATTTTGTGTCTGGACCAGACTCAGTCACGGAGGCGCAAGAGCCATCTCCAGAGGATCATACCCAGGCGGGTAGTTCCGAGTCCCCCGACGACGACGCCACCCTGGCCCTCGGAGAAGTTGCTGAAGAGCAACTACCAACGACTGAGACCCCGGCTCCAGACAGTATCCCGGCGATTTTTGTGACCCCCGAGCCAAACCGAATGGTTCAGGTTGAGGTCGCGCCTATTAGGATGGGAGGACTTGTTCTCCCTGGTGGAAATCTTGTTCTACCCGCGACTCCCGCCCCCATGACCCCGTTGCCGCAGCAAGTCAAGAAACCCGACCCAGAGGCTGTGAGGAAGCAGAAGGAAGAAAGCCTGGCTAGGGATCTGCGCAACGTCATGAGGAGGCGCCAACCTGCTTCCATTTTTCACCCCCAGCGCCCGCAGAAGTCTTCGGCTCTCATTCGCTCACCAGAAGCCGCGGAGAGAGAGAGTGATCTCCGATCTCCGCAATCCTTCCATGCCTTGTCTCGCGCTGGAAGCGATACTGATGGTGGAGTGGATGCCGATGATGAAGGAGCGGCCAAGGTGATGCTCGCTTCGCCTGCCGTTATGAAGGCGATCCGAGACAGTGAGGCTCGGCGAGGTGTTCTGCGTGAGGGCAACGCAGACGAAAGATGAGCACGGCGCTCATAATCTTTTTTCTTTTTACGAATTATTAATTTTTAATTTTTAATAATCGATGATACTACGATGATCAGCAATTTTGAGCTCAACGACTGCTTTTTTTTTTCTTTTCCTTTTCGGACTCTGGCTTCTTTCTTTCGATTTTTGAGAATCTTGTTTGCGCAGGTCGAATCACTCCTCTTCTTTCTTTTTGGAGCTGAGCGCAATCGTGTCGAACTTTCTTCTTTCTTGACACATACGAGATGATCATTTTGGAAAGCAACCAGGGAAAAGCAGCTGAGCTTGGCTCTCTTGAGGGATTCAGATGGTTTTGGGCACCGAGCAAAATGTCTTCTGTCAGAGACTTGGACGCGAATGCTTTTTTCTTCATTCACTTTTCGCCGGCCAATTTGCTTCACTCGCCCTCTGTCAATTTATACATATTGTGAGGATATGTTTTGGCACTTTTCGTTACAACCATCACCGAGAGCTTTAATTGCTATTTTGGACAAGCGATTCAACGAACACACATACACACACACTCATACAGCACTTTCTTTGCTCGTGGCTTTTGTTGAAATCGCTTGTTTAGGTGTCTTCTATGGCACATTGATGATATGGAACCGGAGCCTCTTCTTTCGAGAATACTTGCTTCCTTTTGGACCTCTTTCTTTCTTCTTGACGAGCGACATGACAATCTCTATGCAGCATCTCTTGACTTTGCTCGCTTGTCATTGAATACATTGCTCAGTCAACCCAAACGGAACGAGGCTCACAATTTCTTGGGAAAGATGTGGACAGTACAGTTGGCACTGATGATCTCTCTTATACAACAATCATCTATTGCCGCCGTCTCTCCCAAGAGTCCGAAAATGTCGACGAGACTCTACACCATTCGACATATAGGACACAATTTCGGGGATCATTGCATCGGAATAGCGATACGCTGAACTACATTCGCTTATTCACTCGCAATTCCGTTTGCAATGTTGTCGAAGCACATCGACAATCAAGACTCTTTACTTTACGATGTGCTTTCGGCGAAATATTCAGTCGGCAACGCGATCGGGAGAGCAGAGCAGACGCCAGCTTCAGCTACTTTCTGAAACATCCTCAATACAACTTCAGTCACGCTTTGCTTTCCTGATCGCACCTGTGTCTTTGCCAATTCGCAACATTCCGATTCACAACATTCCAGTTCACATCGCGATGACGGCAGAGGCACATCTTGAGAGCGAGATTTGGGAGGGTCATTGGTTTGGTCACAGTTTGGTCGCAATTTGGTCACATACATTTACACAAACAGCTGCTTTGAACAAGCAGCCACTCTACACAAACAAACTACTCCTTCACATGGAGTATTTCTACACAAACTGCTTGGAATCAAGCAGCCACTTCACAAACTACTCCTTCATATGGAGTATTTCTACAAAAATTCTGCCCCTACGGGGCATTTCTACCACACAACTACCCCTGTACATGGGGTATTACACAACTCCGTTCTATGAAGTGTTTTTACATACCACGCCACTTCATATGGAACATTTCTACAAACAAACAAACTACCATTTCTGAAGTGTTTCGACAAACAATCCACAAACTCCACACGAATCACTTCAGCAAACAGACTTCCGCTTCACATGGGATGCTTCTTGAATTGGAGTATTCTTTAAGCAAACCACAATCCCATTGAAGCAGTCTTCAAACAAACAAACAGACAGACAGACAAACAGACAAACAATCCACTACTTAACATGAAGTATTTCTTCAAACAAACAGACAGACCGCAACCTCATGAAGTCTTTCTTCATGCGGTACATCTTCAAACTAGATCAGACTAGACCAGACCAACCAGACCAAATGGCAGCTGCAAACCAACAAGGTTTTACAGTTGTGATCCAACCAACATCTTGCTCTTAGGAACGAGATTATGGGACCTTGCTCATGATAGCGACAGGGGATACAAACATTACATTTATCGCTATCAGGCTTCTTCTACTTTTGCCGCAAGCTATGCAAGGTTCCTATCTCATGTGCTGAGGGCTATACCAAACACTACTTTCTCGCCCTTGGCGCACACAATTGGGGAAACTATTCGCACATCTTTGTCAAAGGATACCGCAATCCAACTACCTTCCTATCCTTTGACACACAAAACCGGGGACATTTCATACATCTTTATCAAAGAATACCGTGCGAATCAAACAAAATCGTATCTTTTGATACATCAATCAATGGGGAACTTGGGAGATATCAGAATCGCCAGTTATTTTCGCCATCTGATCCTCCTACAAACACAAACATTATCAATGGGGAACTTGGGAGAGATCAGAGGCTACATCGATCATCAATAGCCATTTCACACCTGATCCTCCCAAACACTGAGAATCATCCACAGTCATCTGACTTCAATCATCTGCACGATGATCTCAACCGTGTGTCGATCCAAACATCATGGCACGACGCACAAAAACGGGGACTCGCCAGAAATGGGAGACACATAGACATTCAATCACTCTCTTCCCATTTCTCGGCTCAAAAGCTAAACTCGGAACTGCCAGAGACCAGAGACTCCATACTTCTACTAATCATTACCGTCGTCTTCTGGTCTCTTGGCTCACTCTTTGGAGGTGTTGCATTCACGGGCACTACGCAGCGACAAACTCAAAAACTGTTCAAGTCGCTGCGTATACAAATCGTTTTACAATCCATTTTCGAAGCGTTTTGCCCAGCAACACCTCCGAGCTTCATACAATCAATTATGAAGCTCGCTCCAATTGGTCTTTTGAAAGCGATCAAATCCAAATTCTTGTCGCCTTTCAAAGACCGGCACGGTGGTGGGTATCAAGCTCATATACTAGAGCTGATCCCCAATGGAGACGGCTCAAAACATGATTCAACTTTCAATCAAAGTTCATCTCGTCACCATTGGGTTGAACAGATCCTATTCATTCTGGTATGTTGCCCACCACCTCCAGCTAAACCAACCACTATGCTGGAAACCAATCCAAGGCAACCAAAATTATGCCTTGCGACTTGGACAAATCAGCCGTGACTGCCCTCCGTAAGGATTGGCACCAAACGGGAGGAGAAAAGAATCCCTCGAATTGGTAACGAGTCACGGCTGCCTCTTGGATGATTTCACCGATCAAGGAATTTAACACTTCAAGAATTACAAACATTCTGGGGACACATACCACAACCCGCCCTCCGAAAGGACTGGCCCCAAACGTGGGGGAAAAGAATCCCACGAATTGGGAGCAGGTTACCGGCTCTCCCTACAACCTTTCGAACGAGTTATCATCCAAGAAAATGTTTCCTAGGAACAAAGTGTCTGGCCGCCCTCCTCTGTGCAAATCACACACTGGACTGGCCCCAAACGGGAGAGAAAAGAATCTCACGAATTGGGAGCAAGCCATGACCAACCCACGGACAAAAAAAGACAACGAGCTATGAGTGAAACCACAAACCAAGCTCGCCCATCTCAAAGAGAGAAATGCAGGACCAACACACACATCCTCTATCACTTGGATATGGCCTGTCTCAACATTTCTCTCTCTGTGCCGAACCTTGAAGACACAAAACAAGATCTTCTTTCGGACACAAACAAGTGACTGAGATCAATTACTGATCAAACTTGGCAAACCAAAATAACCAAGAGTCACAATCACAAACACAAGCGATCACACTCGCAGACACACAAACACAAACACACACATTCATACACAAACAACCAACGCAATTGGACATAAAATGTTCAATGAGCATGCTCCCCAAGAAGGCAGCAAAATACAGCATAAAATACAAAAACACAAAAACTCAAACTCAAACCTGAACATAAAATGTTCATCTTTCCGCCCCCTCAAAAAGGCGGTCAACCGAAGAAGAAGACCAAAGCCAACAAGAGGAAAATTGAACATAAAATGTTCAATTCCTTGCTGTCATAAATTGACGGCATAAAGATGATGAAAGCAAAGAAAAGAAAAAGAAAAAGAAAAAGAAAAAGAAAAAGAAAAAGAAAAAGAAAAAGAAAAAGAAAAGTTGGGCATAAAATGTTCAATTAACATGCTGCCTAAAAAAAAAAGTGGCAAGCCAAGAAGGGAAATCACAGCCGACCGAAGAACTTTGGAGTGGGAACAGTCATCATTTCATGTTGGTCGAGAGTCTATCATCTACTCTTCACCTTCATCCACCCATTCGAGTTGCTAGTCCGAGGCGACTCTTTCACATCAGAAAGACCGCCATTCTTGCTTCCCAATCCCTTTGGATCAAACGCCCCGTTTCCAGCCAAGCCTTCGTCCTTCCATTCGTCATCGCCAAGGACCTCCCAATCAGGCGCGGGCGCGTCTCCGAGAAGCTTCTTCTTCAGCTTATCAGCGAGTTTCAAGGGGTTGGGGAGCTTGAAGGACTTGATAAACTCAGTTCCTTCGTCGTCGCCAAGGCTGTAAAAGGTCGTGCCATGAGCAAAACGGCCGATCCAGCTTTGCTTTTCGTCGGCATTCTGGCCTCCGATGTGGTCAGTTGGCGAAAAGTTGTTGACAACACCTGAGAATTGGTTGTTCATCAAAAGATTATACAAATTCCGGCCCATGTTGCAAATGTCCTCAAATGAAGTCCTATCACCAACGGACACGCCTTGAGAACAGCAAAGCCAGGCAACATCATAAGCCAGCAACGTGGCGCCTTCGAGGAAAAGGGAATAGGCAGCGGGGTCTTCTTTGCAGAGCTGCGGTAGTGGTTTATCCACAAAGAGGGGGCGAGGTCGAGGGACATGGGAATTGGCAAAGGGGGTATCAGAAAGGGGAGCAGTTACGAGGCTGCCGGGGAAGGAAACATCGCCGTGGCGATAGGAATTCTGGATGGTGAACATGGTTGGTCGGGGGTAGTCGCGGTGAGGGAGGGTGATCTCGGCAGGGAGGCGGATGGAAAGGTAATGGGAGACCAGCATGAGGACATGGGCGATGTGGGAGAGAGAGGTCGAGATGACTTCGGGCGAAAGGGCTGGAAAAGAGTCAGCATGTTTCCTGGGGCGGGTTTTTTTCTTCTCTTCTTTCGTTCTCTCTTCTTCTGTTCTTGTCATTTCTTCTCCTGTCATTTTTCTTCTTCTTCTCTTTTCCTGCCTGTCATTTTTTTTTTCTTCTCTTTTCTTGTCCTGTATTTTTTCTTTCTTCTTTTTCCGTCCTGTCATTTTTTCTTCTTTCTTCTTTTTCCTCTCCTGGCATTTCTTCCTCTTCTTCTTTTTCTCTCCTGTCATTTCTTCTTCTTTCTTCTTCTTCCTCTCCTGTATTTTTTTTCCTTTTCTTCTATTTCTTCTCCTGTAATTTTCTCTTCTTCTTTTCTGAGTATATATCTCTCTTATTTCCTTATTCTTCTACATAGATGGACAAGAACAGAGAAGCGAGGTGGAAGATATGGGAAACAGAGGAAGCATGGGGGAAACTTACAGTCCATACTGGTTAGATCGACAATGGGAACCCTGCCGAGACTATATTCGTAGCGCCCTGTGACGCCTTTCTTCGCAACTCTTCGTAGACCGTAGAGCCGAACAGCTTCTCCACATAAGAAAGTGCGAGTTGAAGCCGTATCTTCGGCGGTTTGAGACCATCGAAATTTGAGCACATGAATCGACTTCTCAACTTCCTTAAGCTGCTTAGCCCTCCGTTCCGCTAGACCGGCCGAGACGGAGGCGAGATCAGACTTCCGCCGAGCAAGCGCTGCCTTTCTGGCCTGGATCTCGTCCCTGGCGGCCTTGATGTCACCGCGAAGCTGTTCCGCGGCAGCGAGGATCTGGTCAGTCTTTTGCTCTGCGGCCTCCTTGCGTGCGATGGCTTCGTCCCAGGTGTGCTTGCTTGGCCTGGTATCGGCCAGAAGCTCGTTAATTTGCGCCTTGAGCGTGTCGTTATCGATCATAAGCTGCAGGTTCTTCATGCGGCCGTCGTAGATCCTATTCCGGGCATCTACGGCGCACAAGAACGGCCGGCGCTGGGCGTCATGCGGCCGGTGGCAGATGTCGCATTCCATGTCGGAGGCAGCTGGCGGCTCTTGCTGGAGCTGGAGAGTGAGATGGCGCGCTGTTATATGCAGTACCAGGTAGATGGCGGGATGCAGACGTGGGATGTCGGCATAGATGAGCGAAGAGAGAGGATCCAATAGAGGCTCCGACAGAAGGGCGAGAGGCAATAAAGGGCACAGTGCGTGCAAACGCCGACGTGTTTGAACGGGTTTATATATAGGGTAGCGGAATATATTAAAGAAAGAGTGTTTGAACTGCGAACGGCGATGCTTAGACAGATGACTGCATGTGTCATGTCCTTTAAAGAACGGAGATCGATGAGATCACGGGGTGCGATAACGAGGTCGACTCGCCCAAATCCCGGAAGACTAGGGCGGCTCTCCACTAGCTTCCAGCTGACCCGCCTAGGCACCCGCCTGTATCAGAGCCTTTGCCGCCTGTAAAGTCGCTGCTGGCAGCTCCACCGTTGCGTCCGTGATTGGAAGCACTAGCGATGCCTTGAATTTCCACACACCCTGATGTCAACTGGCATTTTGGCTTCTGCCGCCTGGGACTTCTCCATTCATCCAAACGTTAATTGTCCACACTGACGTCCATTCCGGCAGCTAGCGTCGCGTCGTCACTGGGGAGACGTGCGATATCGCTGGTCGTCCTTTTTCTGTCTTTGTTCTGTTTATATTGTCTTTGTTCTTTTGCTGTTGAACTGATTTGAATTGATTCGACACGATTCGATACCAAACAGCCCTTGCCACTCGCGTGTAGCGTCTGGCTTTTGTCGAAACAGGCGGCGGCCTCACAAAACGCGCGACTGACAAGCTGCCAACTGAGCAGCACACCATCTGCGCCTCTCCGGACCGGCTCCGCACTTGATTCAGTCTCCCTTCCAGCAGCAGCCTATACGGAGCACAAGCCCCCTTTTCGCCCCTTCACAGCCGCGCCAAAGAGACTGCCACAGGCGCAAGGATCATCACCTCAGCTCCACCGCAGCCCGAGCATCGTCAAATCCTGTCATGGCTTCACCGAGATCGCCCAACGGCGAAGACCGTCCACCCGTCTACGGGACCAAGATGGCCGGCAAGGATGATACAGCCGTGCTGGATGTTGACAGGTCTCGCCAAGCAAGCGTAAAGACGCCTGAGCCCGCCGAGCAGCGCAACGGTTCAGTGACACCAAATCCTCTCCCCGTTCTGGAGCCATTTGATTGGGATGATTTTGAGAACCGGTACAAAAAGGCGTTGAAGGAGGCCGATGGGCAGGAGGAAGAAATCCTCAGAGAGGCCCAGAATCTTTTCAAGGTTAGACACACTAACTTATTTTACCGGTCTGATACAAGTTTTACTAAATACAGCCGTTACACATGCACAGTACTTTGAAGCATGGGCTGAAGCTGCCGCAATCCATGATGATAAGCGAGCGGTGAAGCGCCTTCAGACGCGGCAGCGGTATATCAACATTTCCGAGCAAAGAGTAGCCCAGAAACAGCAGCATTGTGAGTACCATTGACTAGTATCTTGATGTTGGATCCTCAGGCTAATGGCATAACCAGATAATGAGGTTGTGCGCGCGTTTGAGAATGCATTGGCGTTGCTGCGATCTACTTAGACTCACCTCGCACGAGCCCAGTAAAGTGAACCGGCTCTACCTAGTTCTTCCTCTGTCTTCTCCTTTCCCTCTACTTTGGCAAATCTGCACAGCACAGACATTCATGGTTGCTTGATTGTGTCCTGGTCAGCCATGTTGGGCTCCAAGCTGGAGCACGTGACCAATCAACCTCTTGGTTGTCTCGATCCCGCGTTTTTAGTCGCGGCGGCCTAAACCATTCTCTAGCCTACGGGTGCGCGTCAAGATGTCGATTAACGAGCTTCCGTTCAAAATACCGCAGATAACAGGCGATGAATTACTAGAATTTCATCAGAGACATTTTTCAAGCGAAGCTACCGCTGATTTTGGTCAAAATTTCACAAACCTTCCACCACAAGAGTCCTCCGAGACTCAATTATACGAAGAATGGGAAGAAGAAGAGGAGGATGATGGTCTTGGTTACTATGAAGATGGTGTGAAAAGAACCCTCACAGACGAGCAGATTGCAATATTCCGACACTCGGAGATTAGAGAGCTCCGGCGGCAACAAGAAAAGCAATCACAATCGAAATCAGGGCCGCCGCGAGATACTTCCACAAATGACACGGACGCCGCCTCTCCGCATGGATTGGGAGCCTCTGCTGGTTCTCGAAACAAGAAGAAAAAGAAGAAGAAATCCAAGGCGGGAAAGCAAGAACCCAAACCAGACCTACGGAAGCGTACCTGGGATGTGGTCGAAGCAGGACTCGACTCCCTCGATTACGATTAAAGCCAACTAATGGCGAAGTTCCTGGCAGTTTTTAGCGAGCAGCCGTTCATGTTTTAGGCCAGCTGGCGGATATGGTTGCATGTTTTCTTGAGCAAATTTGCAAGTTATTTGTCAACACGTTCCCATAGGATCTCAATCAGTAAGTAAGCACCATTTCTATTCTCGAGCCAACCCCTTACCGCAATATGATGAGAACCTTTGTATCGTCATCCTTAGTCAGATCGCGCATGGAGGCCCGACGAACCAACGACCAAATCTGGGGAGGGCTGACAACAGCGGCGTGACGAAGACTCTTATAATCTTCTCTCTGAGGCTACACAGTCTATTTTATTTTATTTTCTTCATCGTTCTGGCATTTGCTGTTTTGGATTTGGTATCTGAACTAACATGGAACTGTAAGCAAGGGTTTTTTTTTTTTTTTACACCGGGATGGAGTCGGCGTCTGACGAGATATGATGAAGTGGCTGATATTGCATGGATGAAGGGCGTACCTATGAAAATGTTTTTTTTTCCTTGGCTGAAGGGGGAAAGGGAGTAACATGTTACCTATACATGATGTCTAATTTGTCAATTTTCGTAGTCATGAAGCAAATGACTGAATGATTCCAATAAAAACGTGTTTGCGTTGTGCTTAACTCGAGCTGCATGTGATTGATGTCTGGTTGTTCTCAGAGCAGCCAGTCTAGGCAGCATCCGGCATCAGCAACAGATAGAGACGCCTTTAACTGATCCATAGTATGTGCATAGAAGTATACGAGTGCTGGAGCTGATCTGCAGTGCTAGGCAAGGGAACCACAAAACCACTGCCGCCATATTCACATGCGGCCATCGAGTCCATCCCAATGCAGCACAAAGAATCCTGACTCAGCTTCAAAACTCTGCCAAAGTAAAAGCAGCTAAGCGATAAGCGCTGCAGCCAATGGCCGTGCGCAGCTGGCGCCGGTGTGGGGCCTGGCCGGGCGGCACATCCCACCTTTGGATTCTCACCTCTGTCGCCAGAGTCAAGAGAGATCCTCGCCTGAACCACCCGCGCGGCCATCGCCAGCATCCTTTTCCCTTCATCCTCATTGCGTCGCTGATCTGCGACCCAGCTTGCCCAAGATGGCGCGCGTCTACGCCGACGTCAACCAGAACATGCCCCGTAGCTACTGGGACTACGACAGCGTCAACATCAGTGCGGAGTTCCCCCATCCACCACCACGCGAGCGTTGCGGGAGGCGCTAACATGGACGACAGGCTGGGGTGTTCTCGAGAACTACGAAGTCGTCCGTAAGATTGGTATGTCGTGTAGCCTCCGGGCTCTGGATCCGTCTGTTCTGCTGCCGCGTCGGCACGCGTGGCTAACCCGAGAATCTGCGCACAGGTCGGGGCAAGTACTCCGAGGTCTTTGAAGGCATCAACGTCGTAAACTATCAGAAGTGTGTTGTCAAGGTTCTCAAGCCTGTTAAGAAGAAGAAGATCAAGCGAGAGATCAAGATCCTGCAGAACTTGGCCGGCGGCCCCAACGTTGTTGCGCTGCTCGACGTCGTGCGAGACTCCCAGGTCAGTACTTAATGAGCACAATTGGCTGCTATGCGTGTTACGGTGAGCTGACGGGAGGCGCGGGAATGCGTCTGGTGCCCTGCAGAGTAAGACACCGTCTCTCATTTTCGAGTATGTCAACAACACCGACTTCCGAAGCCTGTACCCCAAGTTCAACGACCTTGACGTGCGATTCTACATCCTGGAGCTGCTCAAGGCTCTGGACTACTGCCACAGCAAGGGAATCATGCACCGAGACGTCAAACCTCATAACGTTATGATCGACCATGAGAACAGAAAGGTACCGCAGCGTTGCAATTTCCGGTTGAACCAGCATCAGTCATCTGGTGTTTGTGTGTCTGCATCTGTAAATGTATACTAATTTGCGGGGTACGAATAGCTGCGTCTGATTGATTGGGGTCTGGCTGAATTCTACCACCCCGGAACCGAATACAACGTGCGTGTAGCATCCCGGTACTTCAAGGGTCCCGAACTGCTGGTCGATTTCCAGGAGTACGACTACAGCCTGGATATGTGGAGTCTGGGTGCCATGTTTGCCTCCATGATCTTCCGGAAAGAACCATTCTTCCACGGCAACAGCAACTCGGATCAGCTTGTCAAGATCGCAAAGGTCCTTGGCACGGATGATCTTTTTGACTACCTTGACAAGTACGAAATAGAATTGGATGCACAGTATGATGATATTCTGGGACGATTCCAGAAGAAGCCTTGGCATAGCTTTGTCACATCGGAAAACCAGCGTTTTGTCTCTAACGAAGCCATCGACTTCCTTGATAAGCTGCTACGCTACGATCATCAGGTTCGTTTTATTTCCCCCGTGATACCTCGGTTTCCCTCTTCTTTTTCCGTGGAACATCACACTAACCCTCTCAAAACAGGAGCGTCTCACGGCAAAGGAGGCCCAAGCCCATGCCTATTTCAACCCTGTTCGGGATCCTGAAGTTTTCAAGCAGAACTTGATCGGCGCTAACGGAGGACCGTACAAGTCCTGAAGAACATTGATGCCTTATTTTATTTTCCTATTTTTCTATCTCGAGTATCGCGTTCCTTCTGCTCTCCCACCCCCATCAATGCCATTTGAACCATTACCTCTTGAAGATAACTATAGCTATTTTGGCCGTGCTGCCTAATAAAGCTTACGTGTTCTCTATAAGACAGAATATGTGCAAGGAGGGACAAGCCATGGGTAAAAGAAAAATGGAGGGGCAAAACGACTATGGTGAACGGCAATTCTTATGTTGACGTTTTTTGCGGAAGTGTGATAGGAACAACAATGTTCAGCGCTGGATATGAGAAAGAAAGCAAGCGGCTAGGAAATGACTACAGCGAACAGACCTCTCTATTCCCCCCTTTCCCCCTAACTCATCCCATTCCCTCCCCTTTCAAATCCTTCACCAGTTTATGAAATCTGGGGCTGTATCTCACTCAGTCAGTCGGTCTGCGGCGTTTCAGGAAATTTGGGCATTTGACAAACTCGGGAGCGAGGCAAGCAAGGGGAAGGGGGGATTCTCATCCATAGTTTCTCGCTTCTTGTTAACGACTTGGAACACTTTATTTGATTTGCGGGTACCTAATATGAGGTAGCGGGTAATATATTGCCATTACACACTGCCTGTTTTACGTCTCTCTCTCTTTTGTTAAAACGAAAAGAAGAAAAATATGCCTCCGATATATGTTACTCCATTGTCCCAACCAGTTGATTTCCCATGATTCCCATACCGCTCGCCCGCTCGCTCATAACCCAGTTAACTTCGCTCTATAAACATGTAAAACAGAAATCTCGTCCACACCTGTATCCATCCATTCCGCACGTCCTCAGCGTGCCACCAGGTGTCTTGATAATGCTGCTAGGACTGACGGGCTCCGACGGTCGTTTCTTCACAGGTGTGTGGTACACCTCTCTAGTAAGAGAGCTAGATTTCCACACCTTGCGCGCAGTCGTTTGTGCCGCAGAACTAAGCAACTTGGGCTTGGAAGCCAGGTTGCGGCCCAGCTCGTCAATCTCCTCGTCTTCGTCATCAGACAGCAAAGACAGAATGGAATGTCGAGAAGAAGGGACCTTTAAAGAGCGGTGGTTATGGCGGCGAGGTGTCTGCGGCGGATTGTTCAAAGATGGCACAGGTTTCTCGGCCTCGACAGAGGAGTTTGACTGTGAGGGGCGCTTTGAAGGGCTCTTTGAGGGTGATTTCGACGGAGATTTTGGGGGGATTTTTGAGGGAGATTGTGCAAGTGTCTGATTTACTGCCTCGGGAGGTGAGATAGTGCGTCTGGGGGATGGAAGGGTTGGCTCAACGCGCAGAGAAGACTTGACGAGTGAAGAAGATGTAGTCTGAGAGAGGTCGTCGAATGTTTCGTAGGAGCTATCGTCAATGACGGTGATGGCGGTTGTATTGTTCACCGGCTGCTCTGACTGGCGTCTCCTCTTTTTAGAGGACGTGGCCTTGACAGCATCCTCACCAATACGAGCACATGGACTTGAAGGTGGAATAGCAGCAGGTTGAGAAATAGCTTTTTTTGTTGAGGTTTCTGAGGATTGGGGCTTGTCGTCTAGGGACACATCAAGCGTGATCCGAGATAAGAAGCGGGTGGGAGAGGATGACAAAGGTGCCGCGCCACTGGATTCTTCAGATGGAATGTCAAAGTATCCAGCACTCCTCTTGTCCACTGTGGGAGACGAGTTTATGATGGAGGTATCCTTTGCACTCATGCGCTTTCTGCGAGAATGACTTGGTGAGCTTTCTTTGCCGGCATCTGGCGAGCTGGCTATGACTCTCGCCTGAGCCTTGACATTCTGTATCTCGCGTAGTGGAAGTGTGGTTTGTGGTGTATTTCCGGAAGCAGATTTCCTCGGCTTAGACAACAAGGTAGGAGCTTCGTCGTCCGAAAGAATGCACCCAGAATCGATAGTCTTGTGAAGAAAGCCAGCCGGTAATTGCGAACGGGAATGATTTGCAATATCCGGTTGGCGAACCTCGCTTTCGCGTGAGGTCAACAACTCGACCGGAGGGTCCGGATAGTCTCCTTCTCCTTCTTCTCCATCCTCCTCATCAGCCGAGTCCGGGATACAATCTGTCTCTGGCTCTGACAAGGCACGTTCTTCTTCATATTCTGGCTTCTGGTCAGAGCTACCCTCAGCTTCCTCATATTCGTGATAAAAGTTCTGTTCTTCGGCCCTTTGCTCTGCCAAGGCCTCAGCCCAAGAAATTTTGTTCAGGAATTCGACTTGCTTCCTCATCCGTCCAGAGCGCCTTCGACCGTCGGCCTCGTCGGGTAGTTGAATAAGCGATGCCTTTTTGTTAGGTTGTGGGTTAGAAGCCCTCTTTGGTGCTTCCGAGGGTTTGACCGACGTCTCGTTTCTCACAAACTCTTCCCCTGTCTTCTGTTTTCTCTTTCTACCCCTCCGAGAGCTTTCCACGGACTTGTAGCCGCTGTCACTGGAAGTGCCCTCCCCTAACCTCTCTCCAGCCTCCTTTCTTGTTAAGTTTGTAGATTGTTGTAAATCATTGTTACGCTCGGTAGGCACTGCTGACGAGGCATCGGAATTTGGCTTCTCCCTAGATCTTTTCCCCGTCAAAATCACATCTTCATCTTCCTCCTCCTCCTCCTCCTCCTCCTCTCTCCTATTGTCATCAACTTCCATAGACTTGGCAGGTGGCAGCAACAGTTGGTGTCTGAGGATTTTCTTCCTCCTCGTAAGCAAGTGCTTTCCAAATGTGGCCGTGAATGCGGATGGAAGGGGTTCATCTTCATCGTCTCGAAATTTCGACCGAGGCGCCCAGATCGAGCTTTCGCCATTTCGCGCAGGGAAATTATATCGACTCGGTGTAATCGGCAACTGCTGCTTTTGCGGTTGATGGGCTGCGAATAAATCGGGTTGATCCCATAAAGGATCGGAGTATTGGCCTGGGAAACCCCAAGGTTCCGCGGCGAACGGTGATCGGTCGAACGAGAATGGCGAGGAAGCAAAGGGTAGTTCCGTGGGAGATGCGAAACCCAGATGAGTTCCTTTGTGCGCGACATATGACGAGGTTCGTGCGACTGTCCTAGGAACGTTCAATGCGTTCCCTGACGATGATCCCAACACGAGGGCCATAGAATTTGAGTCGCGAGACGCCTCACGGCCCTGTATTATACGATCTTCCTCGTCTTCGTCCGTATCATTCCCCTTCTGAGCTTCCTTTCCAAAGCCAGTACGTCTCCTTTCTTCTCTCGTCTCCTTGTCTCCGTATTCTTCCTCGTCATCAAAAAGATCTTCTAGCAAGATTCCTTCGTCCTCATCGTCCTCTCCGTCCGCTAGATCGCCTCCTAGGCCGTCTCCAACATCGCCTTCGTCGCGCATATTGCGAACATGGCCGTTATTAACAACAATTTCGCCTGTCTCAAGGTCGATCTCGTCGCCAATGCCTTCGAAGTCACGGCCGTACTTTTCGAAGATATGCGCCATGGTGGCTTGGAATCGCTGGTCCGCATAAGCTCGCTCGATGGACAGCTTGTAATCCGGATCTCGCTTGGCCTCAATCTCGAACGGTCGGAAGGCGAGCTCATCATCGTCTTCGTCGGCATTTTCTTTGTCCGGCAGCCACTGGTTCATGCGGCGGCGCTTTGCCGGTGGTTCCATGGTTAGGTTAAACTCAAATATCTGTGGTCAATATAAAATACAGAGAGAGAAAAAGTATTGCCAATTGATATAGAAACTATATTGAGACTGTGTCGGCCTTGGGCGCTGGGGACTGCCAAGCTCCTGGCAACCTGGGCATTAAAATGGCCGAAAATGCGACACTTGGAGCTTGGATAAAAGATGGTTGCGGGAGCAACGAGGTGGATGTGGTACAAGTTTGGAGTAGCGCATTCGCGTCGCGATTTCATCCAACGGCGCGTTAAGTGGCTGCACCTCTGGGAGGCTACAAAGACAGTGCTGTCAGTCCACTAATCACTCAAGAGCTAAGCTCTAAATGCACCAAGGCTACAGGCAGTCTAGCGGGGCTTGCAGCGCCTCCATGGCGTCACAGGGCAAAGGGACCAGACCCAGATACTTCAATGTTCCATCATAATCCCAACCCATCTATTGATACTCAGACTCAATATTAGCATTTGCCTCGCTGCGAGCTTCCTCCACCTCAGGCAGCCTTCCCTCTTTCTACCTATGTAGACGACAGCCAGAGCATGAAACGGCACTTCAACTCTCAACCAAGCGAACCTCTCCCATCTTCTCAGCCATCAAGCCATCGAGATGCATTGCCAAAAGTGCCGCCAGCCCTTAAAGCTGGACAGCTCTCTCGACGACCTCAACCCAGCTGCATATGATCTTCTCGTCTGTAAGTTTGAAGGCCAGTGTCGCCGAAGGTATGCGCAGTTGCTAATCCGATCGCTCTGTCACACAGCAGCGACATCGTCTTCACAAACAGCGACCAAAGCCTCAACCCCGCGACCATCGGTACTTCATGCTCAAGAGCAATCGCGAAAGTCACTCTATGACAAAGTATCGCAGAATGCTGGCACCCCGACCTTCAAGCGGTACCGGGGCGGTCAGCCCCGCGACGCTACAATGTCCTTCATCTATCTCACCGAGTCACAAGTTGGGCATCCTCTACCGCCTCAGCAACAACAGAAAGAACGAGCAATAATCCCCCCTCGCCGACGAGGTTCTAGCACAAACGGAGCCCCCGAAGACGAGCCCCAGGCAAATAAAGGAGATGACATAAACAAGGTAAACCGACTATTTGAGATCTTGTCCGCCAGATCCGATATCGATCACCCAGTCTGTGTGGATTGTACCGAATTACTGGTGGAAGGCCTCCAAAAGAAGCTCGATTCAGCATCCAAAGAAAGAGACGCGTATGTCCAACATCTGAAAGATGTCCAAAGTAGTCAACCGAGCGAAGAAGATGTCAAGGCTTGGAAAGAGGCTCTAAAGAAAGCAGAGAAGGACAAGACCGGTGCAATGCAGGAACTGAAACGGCTGGAAGCTGAGAAAGATGCTTTGGATGAAGAGATATGGGCGTTAGAGGAAGAGTCTCGACAGTTGGACAAAGAGGAGGAGAATTTCTGGAGGGAAAGAAACGCCTTTGCGGCCAAAATGGCAGACTTCCAGGCGGAGCGTGACAGCATAAACGCCAAGTATAACAATGACTCGCAGCTACTCGAGAAGCTGCAGCGATCCAATGTCTACAACGACACCTTTTGCATCAGCCACGACGGAAGCTTTGCTACCATCAACGGCTTACGCCTGGGTAGGCTCTCCAATAAACCTGTGGATTGGCCAGAAGTCAATGCTGCTTGGGGCCATGCGCTGCTCCTACTGGTGACAGTTGCCGATAAGCTTGGATACAAATTCCAAGGCTATGAGCCGGTACCATTAGGGAGCACCTCCAAAATCATCCGGTACGATGTGGCCAACCCGGCGTCCAGCAGATTAGGGGGGCGACCGATGCATGCGCCCCCAAAGAAACAGGTGCTGGAGCTGTATAGCTCGGGAGACATGCCGCTTGGGCTAACGTTTATGCACCGCAAATTCGATACTGCCATGGTTGGTTTCCTTGAGCTAGTTCGCCAACTAGGCGTCTTTGTCCAACAGCAAACCGAATCAACAGGCGTCCCGTTGACTCTTCCCTACAAGATCGAAGGAGACAAGATTGGGGATACTAGCATCAAGCTCGGTATTGCTCAGGACGACGGATGGACCAAAGCATGCAAACTCACCCTCACATGCTGCAAGTTTCTGCTAGCCCACGCCAGCAATGTGACTTCAAATGCGAGAAATGGCGCTTAGCTTTTTATTATATATATTCGGGTGATCCATGGTACCAGCGCATCACACTATGGTAAGATTGCAGCTATGTACAAATCGCGGCATGAACCGCCTTAGAATTATGTTTGAAGCGATGTTAGGTATGTTGCCATCTTCTTCTGCTTCACTTTACCCTATATGTTATTTGTCGCTGCAGTCATCTTTCGGAAATGGCTATTTGATTGCGCTAATCTGAAGATTTAGACAATTGTCCCTGCAAAGCGTTATTGGTGGGGAGGGTGGCATATATCACGATGCTCAAAGAAGAGTGCATCGCTTAGACAAACAAACAAACAAACAAACAAAGCGGCATCTTAACGTTCTACGGACAGTGTCACAGGAGATATCCCAGATTTGATAGTCACGAGGCGCAATAGAACTTCCTTCCACTACGAATCGAAATCACGCCGTACAGCCTGTGTCTATCGCCTATGACCTTTTCGATCTAGCGAGTTGCTCAGTCTGACAGGGATTCCATCAACATGCCTGTGGCTCCTTCAGCCCAGTGGGCAGCAGCTGCATGAAAGTGACAACACAACGTTTGTTTGGACCAACGAGCGATGCAGTTCGCAGCCTCTTTTTAGGCTTCCCCTCCCACCGACTTACAGCACGTCGGCACTCATCCACGCTACAGGCCTGCAAGTCGTCCGGCGATTGCTCTGCATCAGCCTAGTCCAGATTCATGCTCGCCGCATCGTCGCTAGAGTGTCGCAATGATGGTCAATAGGCTGAGCCCCAGGCAGAGAGCCTCACTAGTTTGGGTGGGCTGAAATCAGGATGCTGCTGCCTTCGGTATCACTGAACAGACACAGCCAGCCGTTACTCGATAAGCTTAGATGGTTAAGAGGTTATAAGGAGCTCTATCTGCCGCTGTGTGGTTTAAATGCCACTTTGGTCTGTTCTTCTCCTTGTTCACCTCATCTAATTATTTATACCCATCCACTTTCCTATACCAACCATCTTTCTTCTCTGTGACCATCCGTCCTTTCTGCCACTAGCTGTGTAATTCCACGCCGACATCATGGCTGGACCTCGCGTCATTCGGGACTATGAACCCCGTGTGCCCATCATTCGAGACTATGAGCCCCGAGTGCCTATCGTTCGGGATTATGGCCACGAAGACAGCATGAGCGACGATTTTGAGGAACTGGGACCACGCAGCATGTTGCCCAATCCGCGACGACTCAAGTATGCCGTCGATGGCGAGGTGCCTGAGATCCTCTATACCCTTAACCACGTTTCCTACAATAGGCGCTTCCTTGGGCGTAAGTTAACATCCCATTTCCATTTATGATCCCTTGCTGATAGCTTGGACTGGTAGGCTCGCGAAGCTCTAAGCCATTCGAAAACGTGACCACCTACGAAATCAAGCACGATGAAACCGACGAGGGTGGTGAACTTGTCAAGAAGCCAATCTTCGAGATTGTTACCAATGTGTGCATTGAGGGCAGGCCTGATGACAACAGGCACATAGTTCGTCCTCGTCGAACAAATCCTCAGATGGATCGACCCATCACTGCGGCCTTTGACAACGTCGATTATCGAAGCGATGGCTATTATACTGAGGAAGAGCAGTATTATGACCCGCCCGGGATCCCCCAAGCAGAATGCCCCCACATGGTTATCTATTCCGATCATCTCATCAATGCTCTTAGAGCTGTCATCCAATATTACCCAAACATGAGCCTTAATGGCAAGACGGTTCAGATCAGCGCACCCTATCGTGTGCTGTATCATCATCGCCATAAGCTCTCCGAATATCGCGAGAATCAGCCTGCTGAGCATAGCCCTGAGTATATTGAGACGACAAACCACCACATTGATGTTCTTCTCAAGTTCCTTGATGAGAACTTCAGTGATGAGATTACCAAAGAAGAGGAACGACACAAGCTTGAGACTCCTACGGCCACATTTGAATATTTCTGGCTACTTCTTAAGCCGGGCGAGGTCATCTACACCAAGAAATACGACATTTGGACGCCATTGGTGATCAGCAATGTCAGCATTGGGAACCGTTCCCATGGTAACCTCGATAACTATAGAATCAGCTGCTGGCTGCTGGAATCCAACGGTGTCAAGGTCAGTCGATTTATGGAGAGCTACATTGTCAGTCCATGGCTAGGGGAGCAAGCTATAAGCTCCTTGTCCGTTATTCCGGAGGCTTTTTGGAAAGAAGACCTTGATAGCCAGAACGGCATCACAATGCGCGAAAAGATGGTCTCGGAAGGCAAGCTATACTGGGACCTTCTGAAGAGACCTACCTACATGGAGTATGATGGCCTGCTAGTCAACTCTGGCTCTGGTAGTAGACTCCCTGGTGGCCCTACTGGTTTCATGAATGGCCGCGTCATTTGTGATGCCTCTGGTTTCGACAAGTACTTTGAGTCGGCCCCGGATTGGGACGGAAGGCGATATCCTCACCCACATCGCCGCCGTGTGACTCAGGGTATTCCCAACAAAGACTTCCTTCCTCAGAGCCTCCCAAGATGCGGCTGCGCTGTTTGTGCCCAAGACCGTTCTAGGGACAATGATGGCCCATATGTTGGATTCGAAGATCTTGATCCTCTATGCGACACTCCTCCCGACAACGATCTTTTCTTCTACGTTCTCAGTAAGACGATTCCAGGATTTATCCTTGGTACTCGCCGTTGGGGAAATCTTCATGTTGCCAACCTCAGCCCTGTCAAGGCTGACAAGGAGGCTTTCAAGTATCTCGTCTTGGACGATGACATCAAGATGACTGTGAGGGCCCTCATCGGCCAATACACTACCGGCGTTGATGGCCAAGTCGCTCCTTGGGGCAACGATTTCATCCGCAACAAGGGTGAGGGACGCATCTTCCTGCTTCATGGTGCGCCAGGTGTTGGCAAGACGTGCACGGCTGAGTGTATTGCCGAGTTGACCAACCGTCCGCTCATTTCTCTCACGAGCGGCGATCTAAGTGTCGACTCGTTCCGTGTCGAGTCCAGCCTCAATTACTTCCTTGAGCTGGGTCAACGCTACGGCGCTCTTGTTCTGCTTGATGAGGCCGACGTGTATCTCGAGCGCCGCCGGGCGAGAAACATTTCCCGCAACGGCCTCGTTTCTGTCTTCCTCCGCGCCTTGGAGTACTACCGCGGTGTCCTCTTCCTCACTACCAACCGTGTCCGCTCCTTTGACACTGCCTTCCTCAGCCGTATCCATGTTGCGCTGCACTACAAGAACCTTGGTGATGAGGAACGCGAGCGCATCTGGACTCACAACTTTGACCGTTTGGATCGCGATTCTTGCGGCAAGATTCGCGTCGCCATCGCGGCCCGCGAGTTCGTCTGGTCGAGCCAGGAGGTTCGCGCGCTTAAGTGGAATGGGCGAGAGATTCGCAACGCCATGCAGACGGCCTTGGCGTTGGCCGAGAGCGATTCCAACGAGGAAGGACTGCAGACGATCACTATCGGTGAGAAGCATATTCGCGCCGTGGTCAAGATGAGCAAGGGCTTTAAGGACTACATCAAGTCAGTGGGGCCCCTGGACTCTGATGATGTTGAATACGATGGAGATGGTGATGACGAGCCTTTCTATGAGTGATTGGATGAGGGATTATCCAGATTGTTCTATGTTTTGCCGAGTCGATATGTGAAGGAGGAATAGGTCTTTGTTCTTTTCCCCGCGTGTAGTGACTTTGATGATTTATTTCCTTACGAGTTTAATGCAGTATCTGCAGAGCACGTACTCAGATAGTTACAAATGACGAGACACGAGATCATGACCATTCAACAGTATTCGAGTGGACTACCTAATGCGATTTTTGCTACCTACCTCTAGTAGTATAGTTGTCGCAAGTAACAAACAGTGTAGCAATGACATAAGACCAAAACTATTTGCAGAAAAAAGACGAAAAAGCCAAAGAAACACAGACATGGAAAATTTACCTCTTTTGTACCCCTTTATTTATACTTCTTTTCTTTTTTTTTTCCATTGCTTCCAGCTCACCCCATGCACGAAATTTCTATCCCGTTACTTCCCCAAGATCGTTTCGCGTAGCTTATCCTTCTCACCACTGCTTTCACACATATCTCTAAACACGCCCCCTTCTAACTCCCATAGTTCCTTCGGTGTGCCGAATTCCGCCACCTTGCCGTCGCTGAGAACGAGGATGCGGTCAAAGTCGGCAATCGTGCTAAGACGGTGCGCAATCACAATGAGCGTGCTGTCCGTGAACTCCTCGCGGATGCTGCGCTGGATGAGAGTGTCAGTCGCCATGTCCACGGCTGAGGTGGCCTCGTCGAGCACCATGATCTTGGGTCGCGAGACAATGGCGCGGGCCATGCAGAGGAGTTGGCGCTGGCCTTGAGACAGATTACCGCCAGACTCGGCAATGCCGCTTGAGAGATCTCGGAAGATGTTGGCGTTGACTGGAGAGGCGGTAGAGACGGCGGCTGAGGCTGGCTCGTTGGCTGGCGTGGCTGGTTGAGAGTCGACCAAGTGGACGCGGTGAAGGGACTCGCGAAGTTCCTCGTCAGTACGCTCGTTGAAGGGATCAAGGTTGCTCCTGACAGAGCCAGAGAACAATACAGGGTCCTGGGGAATGATGGCCAATCGTGATCGGAGGCTGTGAAGGTCAATCTTGGAGATGTCTACGCCATCGATCAAGACGGTACCGGACCGAGCCTCCAGGAAACGGAAGAGGGCCAGAGTAAGCGATGACTTTCCAGCGCCGGTACGGCCAATAACACCAATTCTCTCGTTGTTTTTTACGTTGAATGAAACGCCTTTCAAGACAGCCGGTAGATCTTCAGCATAACCAACCTCGAGATCCTTGACCTCGATATCTCCGGACGTAGGCCAAGCCGCAGGAGCCTTCTCGCCATCCAAAGGCTCCGTCTTGAGGTCTGCATATTCGATGACACGCTCAGTAGCATTCATATCCAGTTCCAAGTTGGTATAACACCAAAGAGTCATGAGAATATTTCCGGCAAAATCAATAGCAAACGCCAGGGTGAAACCAGCCATGGCGGCGTCAATGTAGGGAGATACAGCAATGACAATACCAACGATAGAGCTGAAAGCAGTGCCAATCAGAGCCATACGGAAGGACATCCATCGATTGAATATACTGCCATAAATACTTACAGCATCCCAGGCATCGAGTTGCCCGTGCATGCGATCCACGTATACCTCTGTCTTCTGATAGGCTCGAAGAGTCGCAATGCCTGACAAGGTCGCGTTGAATTGCTCAAAGACGGGTGACTTGGATGTGCTTTCAAGTCTCTTCATCGGTCTAGCGCCAGCCATGTATCGTTTGGCAACTGAGACGGCAAAGAAGGTCAAAACGAATGCCATGGGAAGGATATAGGGCGAAACAAGGGTAGCAGCAACACAAATGCCCACGAGGCCCAAGCCACGCCAAAGTACCAGTCCAATATCAACGTTGATGCGATTGTCGATGATGTCAAAATCAGCTGTGAGGCGGTTAAGAATTCGGCCGACGGGGACTGTGTCAAGCCACCGCAGAGGAGTTCGGAGGACCGTGAAGAGAATTAGGTTGAACAAGCTCCTACTAGCCTTGATGCTCATGATGAAGGACCAAAGGAAGCGCAGCGTTCCTATAATTGCGCTGGCGCCCGACAGAGCGACATAGATCAATAAGTAATAGGTCAGGCTGTGCTCTGTTGACTCGGTGTTCCGCAGGCTGGAAGTAACATGGAGAGGACTATGCTCTAAAGTGAGGCCATATGCAAGACCATGTTTTTGCTCTGCTTCAAATGCATGGACGCCATCGACTTGACCGTCACTTGCTGCAGTCCAGATTTTCACCCACCAATTGCGACTCAAGTTGCTTACTTCGAAACTGACGTATATAATAGCGAGGATGATCCAAAATATCCAGCCACCGCTGTGTTGTAGATATGTCTTGTAAATTCGGCTCTTAACTTGCCCCTTATCGCGAGTCTCTTTTTCGATGAATGCTTTGGCGGCCTTATCTTTGGCTGGTTCTCCATCCACAGTGCTTTCACTTGAGATTCCATCAACACCAGTAACAGATGCGTCTTCCGAGTTGACCACCGTTGAGGCCTCGCCAGCTTCTTCCCGCTGAATCTCCTCTGGGTCTTGTTCCCTAGTCTTGATCCTTTCGAGAGTGCCGTCCTCAGCAAGCTCAGATGTCAGGCCGGCCGCTAAAACAGTGCCTTCGCCAAGTTCAACCAAGTATTTGGCTTTGGCTTGCACGAGTGCCACGTGGTGAGTAACCAAAATTCGTGTACGTCCTTCGCAGATTTCACCGCTAATGCATTTCTCAAAAATGTGCCGGCCAACGTGGGCGTCAACAGCGCTAAAAATATCATCCATAACCAGGATCTCGGCGCGTGAGTAGATTGCTCGAGCCAATGTCACTCTCCATTTCTGGCCGCCGCTCAAGTTGATTCCATTAGCTCCAAGCTCTGTCTTGTCACCATCGGGCAAAATTTCGAGATCCTTCTTCAATGCGCAAATGTCAATGACTTTCTGGTATCTGGCCTCATCATATGGGAGACCGAATAGAATGTTATCTCGGAAAGATGCGCTTTCCAGCCAAGGTGTCTGGGCCACATAGGCAACGCTGCCAGGAAGAATCCAGTTTCCAGGATGAGCTTTGTGGTCATTACGCTCAAGCGCTCCTACGGCAGGGGGCGCATAAATGTTGCCTTGTAGAAGATCAACTTCACCGAGAATGGCCGAAAGTAACAGACTCTTTCCTGTTCCAGTTTTGCCAGATATAACAGATAGCTCTCCAGCAGGGAAAGATAGGTTGACATTCTTAAGAATAAAGCGCTCTTCCTCGGGTGTTTCAACATCAACAGGCCAGGAAACGGTCGCATTGTCGAAAGCCACATCTGGTCCCTCGGACAGAACCTTCTTCATCTCAGGGCCGCTCAGATATGTGTCGATTCTCTTGATTGAAACAAGTGAATCGACCGTAGTGGTAAGGAGCTCTGGCAAGGCTCCAAGAGTGACTTCCAGACTCTTGAAGATGCTGATGCTGACGAAGGCAATCGACGCGGACAGGTTGCCGTGTAAAATGGCATAGACGGTAAGTGAGGCGGCCGCAAGGAAAATTGGGCTAATAACCCAGCATGCGAACAGAATAGAGTCAGCTATGAAGGTATTTTTTAAAGTTGTGAGCTCCTGCTCTCTCATTTCTTGAATACGCTTCTCCCATTGATTCTCCAAAGCCGAAAACTTGATTTGACGAATGCCTAGAAGCGCCTCGTTGATAATGGCTAGCTTGGCATCACGATTCTTCATGAGTGTGGCCTGGTATTTCATGTACTTCTTGGTGAAAAACGCGTTGACGGGCAATACAATGGCCCAGGCCAAGATGCCAGCGGCAAAGGGCAAGAAACCAATCAAGTTTAGCAGGAAGCCACAGTAAAGAAAAAGGTTGGAGAAACTGCTGATGATAAAAACCTGGAAGGAGGCGAGATTGGATACGTGTCGAACATCGACACCGACGAGGTTCACAATGGCTTGGCGAGACTTCAAAACGGTATCTTCTTCGTCGGATTTCTTTGCGTCATTCTGGCCTTCTGCCTCGTTGTCGTCTGTCTTTTCCGGTTCTTTCTCCGCCATTTTAACATTTTTACGTTTCAACGATTTTTCGAAAATAAGAGCCGAAAGCTGGCCTCGGAGGGGGATAGACGTCTTGTACATTGAGGCCCAGTGAACCCATCCTTGCAGCCACTGTAGCGCACGTCAGTTTGCATATCATTTCCGATGGTAGGAGAATTCGTTCCGTACCTGTCCAGTGAGGGAGAAAAGGGCAAGGGAAACAATATATGCCAAAATTAGGCCCATTGGTCGCTGCTCTAATCGCTGCTCTAAGAGCTCAATCACTCGCAGCATGGCCCAAAACGGCCCAAGGCCAACGCATGAGCGGACAATCGTAACAATCCATTGGACGAGAACAATAGGCATGTAAGCTCGAAGAAGATTCTTAAGAAGCGTGCCCTTGAATTCAAAGCTGCGCCAGGCGTCGACCAGATCACGGGCTCTAAAGTTGTGATCTGGCCCGGGAATATCCTTTTCGTCTAAATCACCCTTCTTCACAGCCAACTTTGCCAGGGGCTCCCCCCAAGACCAAGTGTATCGACTCAGGACAGATGTTGTGAATTGCGCGTCTACCGGTTTATCGTTGTGGAAAACATCCGGTCGTCGCGGGATTGAAATGTTGGCAAACAGTAACGGGACGGTAGCTCCTAAGCTGACCAGCCGAAGAATGAAAACGGGATCATTCTTGGAAGCTCCTAGCTGCAAAGCGTGGAGAGAATGGAGAATACCGACCAAGATACTGAGAAAGGTCGAACCAAATGCCCAAATGCCAAGATCATGGGATTTGACGGGGGACCGGTGGGCAAAGATACAAATGGCTTGGATGACAATGGCAGCCTGTGAAGGAGCGCGTGGTCCATTAGCCGACGTACTCGAACTGATTGCGCCAATTGGAGGCGTGAGGCACGATTCAACTTACAAGAGCAGCGGTAATCAGCCAGTTGGGAACAAACAGATCATCTTTATTCAGGTGAAGGCTGGAGAGGACGGACAGGGCCAGGGATGGACCAAAGCTTGTCAGAGACAAGAGAAGAATCGCAACTTTGGGCCATTTGTTGGAAAACGAAGCAACTGCCTCGGGCGTGCTGGTACCGTCGACATCTTGGTAAAAGTTGTCCTTTGGAGTTCGATTGCGAATCTGGGTAAGAAGAGCAAACACAGCAGGCAGAGACAGAAGCCCAACAACAGCTGAACCAGCAATGGACAGCGGCAGCACCAGGTGGGCCAGGGGGTCCGGATTGGTGACGACGCTGAGCACAAGCTGATGCGACATCACGGCGAGAAAGGCTCGCCGGCGCACCGGGGGGAGCTCAAGTTCAAGTTGATGCGATCTACAGAAGCCGCCAATGGCAGCATGGACACACAGGCGGGATTGCACAGCAGCAAGGGAAGTGCCTCTTTCCACAGGAGAGAAGAGGGCAACGCGACGGGATGAGGAGAAGAGGAATCAGAAGCTCGGCACCGACAAAGGCAAGATGCGATGTAGTTATCAGCGTCGGCCGGCCGCGCCAAAAGGGTTATCGCAGGATCCAAACTATCCACAAAACCCGCACAATGCAACCTCCATCCTCCCAGTTGCAAGCTGCAGCTCCCAGGATACCCTGGCCGGGTAGCGCATCTCAAGCGCGCTGGATTAAGAAGCAGCAGCAGAGGCAGCCGTGGTTCCGGACATGGTGAATCACAGGAGGTGTTAGCGGTTGGTTCGATCAGGATCAAAGCGGTTTGGCAGCAGCCGGAATTGAGCATGCAAGGTAGGGGTCCAGGGCGCTTGCACAGAGTGAGAAAAGCTTGTTGGGCCACGGCTAAGGCACTTTTGATAGCCCTTGGGAGTCATCGCGTGTGCCTTGCCACGAGAGGATCACCAGAGCTACAGTACTGTGTACCTGTGATTTCCAAAAGGAGCTCTTCGGCTTGCTAGCACTCGCCTGAAGGTGCCTTAGGCTGCCACATATTCTCGGGGTCTTTTGTTTTCCCCCGTACAGCAGGCCACAAGGCAGCAAGAAATCTTAATGTTGCTGCAACTCCATGTTGGTGCCTGAGAAGGCATCAGCATTTCCATTGATTGAGCTTCGGATATTACGGGGTCCAAGCAAAGACATCTCCATCGCTACGCTACGGAGTATATCCTGGACCGGCACAAGCCAACACAGCACGGCAGCAAGTGGTTTCAGAAGTCTCTCTTCTATCTCTCTACGGAGTATCTACTCCCTTCGCCTTTGTCCATCTTTCCATCTTGAGTGAGAGGCCCGGAACTGGGATATGAGATTATGCTCCATGGCCAACCCGCAGCTTAGGAAAATAGCTTGACCAACGCCATCACGAATGCTACTGATTGGCTCGATGCACTGCCACGGGCGGGCACTTTTTCAGATGCTACCTAGTAGGCAGTAGCCACACACGCCATCGAGCGGTTGCGGGGAACTGTTCGTATAATCCGAACAATCGATTCCAACGCCCGTGTCTCGCTACTACACAACGTTGAAGTGATCGATGCCATTCCGGGTACCTACAGCAGCAAGTAAAACGTTCATGTTTCAGTGGTTCCACGACCGCCTTGGGTTTCTGCAGTTCCGAGACTCGCATAGATCAGACACGCAGAGCTGGGCCGTACAGTATTTCACATGTAGGAACAGACTGTAGTAACAGGTAATAATACTGCACACGCACATTGCTCTCGATCTGTCAAAATCTCACCGCCCTCTCGTTATGAGGCCAACTCTACTCGTCCCTCTCATGCCATCTCCCTATCACGAGTGGCTCACACATGCAAGGCACCTTTCATTCAACTCATCTTCATCGTGTTCGCTGCACGTACAGCTCATGTGCTGCTGGCTCCACGGCCTCTGAGATGTAATTCGCTTGTGACACTCGTCGTTGTGCCGTTCCGGAACCCACTCATCAACACTAAAGTCGTTAGTTTGACCCGCGGCTCGTCGACAGTCACCCGCCTGGCTTCAAGATTTCCTGGGTGCGGTACCCTCGTATAAGCGCTTTGGGTCGGTCGTCACGGCCTTCGTTGGACAAAGACTAACAACTCCATCAACCGCGGTCCTCGATAGAATATTCGCATCTCTTTGGCCGTCACCCGATGGCAGATTGAGGGCATCATGGACATCCCCTTGGGGCATGCAGGTATAAAATAAGAAGCCCCAGATAAGCACACACACTCTCGTTTTCTAGCGGGACATGGAATATTATAGCTGCATGTGCTCCGGGGGGCTTCCTAATTCGTTCGGCCATGAAGTGACTCACTGGACTTCATGCGGTCACCACTCAGCAGTTTAATTAGATTATCATTGCCAAGTGTTAGTACTTGCATTGACTTACACCGGCTGCGAGGGTGAACCATATGGACGGGAATCCGTGGACAAATGGCCCAGTCCAACGTAGCACCGCATCTACAGATACAGGTACGTAGCATTGCTCCAGATATTATATGCGCTATTGCGCGGTCCTACCGGGACGATGGATGCCTACTGTATATAATCTGACCACCTTTGCGCGTGTACATGGCATTCGGGACAGAGATGGACATCTTTCACCTTCGTGATGATTGGCTCCTTGCCAGGCCGCCCATACAGCCTTAGTCTGGGAACATTGCTGAAGGATTAATGGTGGTGTCCCCGGCTCCCAACAGGCGATAATAACCCCTCCAGAGCCATCACCTGACAGATTAAGTATTGATTCTGCAGCCGGGGAATAGATCTCATTCGCCTCCATCTGCTTTAAAAGAGATTGCACGAGTGGGAGACCGATGCCTGGACAACCGCCCACTATCTAGCGGTGTGTGTTCCAAGATACTGGCAGCGTGGAGCAGAGAAACAGGTAAAGGGAATTGAAGAAAATGGAGGAAAGTGAGGAGGAGTAAATGGCTATGCTGACCTTGCTGACTTCGCCTACAAACATGAAGAATCCATGGCAAACCCGACAAGGGGTTCTTATTCAGGCGCTAATCATCCAACGGCACTGCTCTCTTTCCTCTGTATCGAGATCGATCTGCACCGGCGAAGCCATAACGAGGAGCCTTGCCAACTCCAAGAGTCAATGGTTTCCAATCCAACAGCCTGTCTGTGTGATATACGTGCCAGTTATACTGCAGTAATAGTACATGAAAAAAGGTTGCAACATGGTAGGTATGTAAGGCTATTAGCTAATATAATTGCGTGGCCATGATCGACGGGCATTCGGTTACGATATGGACAGTCACCATCTGGCTGAGCTGGTCCAAATCTCGCTCCATGAGCAGGGCAGGAAAGACAAAAATAAGAGCGCGGGATCATGCAGTCAGCTGCTAATAATGGAAAGGCAGAGAAAAATACACGTATCCATGGATGTATCATGTAAGGTGTACTCCGTAGTAGCAGCAGACAGCATGTTAAATCAGAAACGAATGGAAAGCAAAAAGCAAAAAAAGAAAAAGCCATTCCCACTGCCAATCACAGTCGCCCTCGGCTCTGCAGGGCGGTGGCCACGACGCATTGAAAACACATCCGTCTGAAGCCAGCGTCTGGTATGATCCAGCGCCTCAGTCGGATCAGGCGAGTGCCAATCGCGTTATTCTGTTTGCCCGGGTGACTGCAGAGGATGCTGCGGTGTCATGCAGGGCGTCGAGGCTACATGTTGGACGTCGAGGACGGGCCAATCAACAGGGCACCAGCCCATCTGGCGGGCCGGTTTCTGACACAGGGCCTTGGACTGCTCTCTGCCTTGCAGCCATAGGGCCAGTATTACTTGATTGATTGACAAAGAGCGCGGCATCCAGCCCGTCTTTTTGGCGGTCCTCGCATGAGGCTGCTGCAGGGCAGGATGGAAACAGCAGGGCGGTCCCGTGGCACTACCACTACTGTAACCTCAGCACCTGTAAGCGGCCACACTCTTGGGGGCTGCCGGGCTGCTGTAGCCGCCTCTAGCCCGTGGCCTTAGCCCACCCAGTGCGCTGATCACGCTGCTGGCGCCCCTCGATTTCAGCCGGGTCCTTCCATGCCCCTAGCCTCTAGCCTCTAGCCTCTAGCACCTGCAGCCATAATATTTCCAAGGCCGAGCAAAAGCAGGACCAGCTTTCTTTCATTCTCGCCGTCGAGCCTCCATCTTTTAACTTTGAACTACCACGAGCTTCTCTCGCCGTCCCGCACGCGTTTTCGATCAGCTGCCGGCCAGCCCGAGCCAGCACCATTCAAGACCATCTCACTCTCTCCTGTTCATCGTCTCGCCCAGCCTTGCTTGTATCGAGATTATCAACCATCACCACCATTGGAGAGTTTCTCTCCATGCAGCTTGTTCATCGGCCGCCATAACATTCGAGCGTCACGATGAAAGCCTCACCGCTGATAATCAATTGGCACGACCAGAATGCCCCCATATACTCCGCCCACTTCGAGCCAAACGGCAAGGGCCGCCTAGCAACGGCTGGTGGTGACAATCATGTTAGAGTGTGGAAGGTCGAAGCCGACGGCCCCGAACGCAAGGTTGAGTACCTGTCGACACTGTCCAAGCACAACCAAGCTGTCAACGTTGTGCGGTGGGCTCCCAAAGGTAAGCATTGATCACGATGTGCCTGCTGTATCCTTCTTCATGGGCTGACAATGGCTGCCAAACGTAGGAGAGATTCTTGCTTCGGCCGGCGATGACGGCAATGTCATCCTATGGGTTCCCAGTGAGATCCCAGCTACCAACTTTGGATCCGAAGGCCTCGATGATAAAGAATCATGGAGAGCAAAGCACATGTGTCGGTCTAGCGGGGCGGAGATATACGATCTGGCATGGTCACCAGACGCAGTCTACTTCATAATCGGCAGCATGGATAACATTGCCAGAATCTACAACGCAAGCTCAGGTGTGTCCTCGCAGTGATGCCATATCAACGTTTAGCATATGCACCAAGCTAACACAGGGACACCAAAGGAACCCTCGTCAGGCAAATCGCCGAGCATAGCCATTACGTGCAAGGCGTTACTTGGGACCCGTTGAACGAGTACATCGCAACCCAGTCGTCGGATCGATCCGTCCACATCTACTCCCTCAGAACAAAGGACGGGCAGTACACCTTAAGCCAGGACGATAAACTACCACGACTAGCAAGCCATATCAAGGCTGATCTACCCCCTCGGCGAATCTCGTCGAGCAGTCCCGCACCACCCGAGTTCGGTCATCGAGCACAGTTGTCCACCGTGGACTCTGCTACATCTGTGGGATCACCAGCTCCCTCAGCCCCAAGCACGCCGACTTCTGCCCCTCTCCCCATGAACCCGCCTAGCGTAATCAGCCACAGCCGCCGATCTTCATTCTCCTCTCGTCGCTCAGTCTCGCCGGCACCCTCTCTACCTCTTCCTGCAGTCATGCCAATGGAGACGTCGCCGAAGCCTCATCATACCCTCAACACCAATTGGGCCCTAGGAGTGAGGAACGCAAGCCTATACGCGAATGAGACTCTTACGTCTTTTTTCCGACGACTTACGTTTACCCCCGACGGAAGCCTTCTGCTCACACCATCCGGGCAGTACCAGAACCAGCATCAGGCGGACAAGGACGCAAAGCCAACTTATGAGGTCATCAATACAGTGTATATTTACACTCGAGGTGGCATTAACAAGCCCCCGATAGCTCATTTACCAGGCCATAAAAAACCGTCTGTTGTTGTCAAGTGCTCTCCGATTTTCTACACCCTCCGCCAATCTCCGCCAGTGACCAAACATGTCACGATCGATACATCTTCCGCTGAAGATACCATTCCCTCCCTCCCAGATCCAGTTTCCAAGCCAGCAGCCGCGCCATCCGTCATGGAACCTCCTCCGCTTCCCACACCATCTTCAACAACTGCTGCACCAGCTGCTGCTGCTGCTGAAGGAACTGCTTCGTCAAAGGGAGCAGCAGTCGAGAATAACGTGTCGGCACCAGGCCCCAAGCCGGCCTTTGCCCTTCCGTATCGGATGGTGTACGCTGTCGCCACGCAGGATTCCGTCCTGCTATACGATACACAACAGAAGACCCCGATATTCGTAGTCAGCAATTTGCACTGCGCAACATTTACTGACCTTGCTTGGTGAGTATATGCAGCCTCTTGATTTCGAGATGTTATAAGCTAACTAATATTACTCAGGTCAACTGATGGGCTCACCCTCATCATCTCGTCATCGGACGGATTCTGCTCTACGTTAACCTTTGCAGCCGGTGAGCTCGGCGAGGTTTACAAGGGTGAAGTTGGTGCAAAGGCAGTTTCAGCAAATCAGAATGTGTCCACCTCAACTCCCACATCCAGCTTCGCCTCCCCTTCCCCGTTCCCCAGCGGGCCACAGCATCAATCCCGTAATTCGGCGAGTTCTTTCACTGCGCCTTCTCCTCCATCCACCTCCGCGGTTCCATCTCATCGGCCGTCGTCGCCCACAAGATCGAATTCTACCTCTTCTGTGGCCACACAGCCTTCAGGTGTCATGAGCAACCCGCCTCTCATTAGTGGTAGTGTGCCATCAATCACGGCGGCCAATTCAGGCAGAGTGACGGGCGTGCCACTGACCACACCTCCGGAAACACCCAAAGTGGTGGCTCCCACGGCTAGCGCGGGCGTAAAGAGAGACGCCGACGAAGCTGAGAAAGAGGATGGGAAGGAACCCAAGAAGAGAAGAATCGCTCCCACTCTTATCACGAACCCAACAACATGATACCTTTCATATTGTTAGGCTTCTTTCTTCCTTTTACTTTTGTTTTTCTTTGTGAAGCGAGTTATATTCTGCGCAGTATCTCGTCTTCTTTCCTGCAGCGAGACGATCAACGTCACAAGATGGGGAACGTGGTTTAAGCAATGAACTATATAGAAGGATGATGGTTGGTGCCAATGTCACTGGCATAGACTGGCGTTTTGCGGTTTGGCGTAATATGTTTCGATCATATGGCGGCAGCTGAAGCCTGCATAAGATCACGCTACTACTTGTTAGTAGGTTGCCATTCTTCTTTTTTTAATTCTTCTCTTCTTTCTTTTGTTGGTCTGCTGGACATGGACGAAGTGTCCAGCCTCAAGGCCAAGCAGACTGAATCTGGTTGGGCAAAATAACGCTGTAGTTTTGTAGTTTCGTCAAATATAGGAAAAATCTCATTGACTCGATTGACCTTTGGGTTTGGCAGCGCGCTTGCTCTTGATTCTGCAAGTCATGTCGATTTTACAATAGTGGTGTGGAGCCTGTTCATCTCATTTTACAAATGGCCTGGAACAAATATTCCAAGCAGGCAGAGAGTTTTACATGATCTACGACTTAGATGAAGACATCATCTCCCCGCAGACATTCACTTCATCACTGGTGTCCACCCTTTCCTCGGGACAAAGGTAGTTACGCCTTCATCCCGCAGAATGTCTTCTCCTCGCCTCCCCGTCACCACGCTCTGTTCAAACTGCGGTCCGCGGACGTAAAACGGGAATGAGAGCTGCGAAGGTCCTGGTTCCGAGCCTGAAGGGTCGTCTGCGGTGGGTGGTGACTCTGCTGGAGGAAGCTCCCACAAGCTGCTGCGGCCACGACGCCGTTTTTCTATGAAGCCGCATGCGCGACGATCCAACGAGAGGTACCACCTTCGCTGATATATGCTGCCGATGGTGTTTTCGGCTCCGTGATAGGCGTTTGTGAGGCGGACTTGTGCGTCTTGCTGTTCGCTCAGAGGGGGGTCGTCAGTGGCTTCATTTTGGGGCTCTCCTTCATCCAAGTCATGGCCGTCATCACACGCCTCACTGCTGGAAGAAGAAGGGCTAGTTTCCCGCTCTTGGGGCTGGACCCGTATCGTCCTCCCTCGACGCCTACGAGTACCTGTAGCCCGTCTTTGCAGGCCCCTAGACCGCCCTGCAGCATCTTCCGACTTGGTCAAGCGCAGATTGATGACGTAGGGATCGGGGAGTTTTGCTCCGTGGAGACGCAGCCGGATCTTACGGTCCTGAAAGGCTGCGTGAAGCAGAGATTGGGCCGCCTGGGGAGGAGATGCAGATGCAGATGGAGATGGAGATTGGTGAGAGGCTGGCGGTGAGGACGGGCCGCGTGGAGGGGCGCGTTCATGCTTGCTGAGGCGCGGGAGAATCGAGTATGTGCCCGTGTCCCAGATGAGGAGGGAGCCCGTCTCTGGAGACGCGGTTTCGACAAGGTGATTCTGCGTGCTCGCTCAGCGGTCAGCAGCAGCGGTGCCTGTACAGGGTAGATCAAAACAGGACAGCATCAAGGACTGAAACTTGCCCAAAGACAGTGGATACGAGTCTCGGTGGCATTGCGGCTCAGGCGGCTGCTGTTGGCATCGCCGGGAAGGCCGTACATGATGGCCCAGCTGACGCTGCTCGTCTCATTGATCTGAAGCCGCAAATCGTAGTGCGGACCAGCCACAGGATGGTCATGCTGGTGCACCACGAAATGCGCACCGCGAGGGCTCCCCTGGCAGCGCTGGTACAGCTGCGAATAGCGAGCGACGGATAGCCGAGGGACGCCAGCCGATGTCGGGCGCAGATGTGAGGACAGAGTCGACGAGAAGCGCGCCAGGTGGTCGGATATCTCGACGGCTCCGGATTCGATCTCGGCGGTGGTGCCGGCGGTGGGTCTGCCGGAGCTGGGGGCGGTCGAGATGCTGTGAGGAGAAGGAGGAGAAGGACGATGAGAGGATGGCGAGTCGAGGGACCAGGTGAGGTTGCGCTTCTTGATGAGGGGATTGGGCACGAGGTCGGTGCTGGGAGGGCGTTTGCGTGATTGCTGCATGAGTGGTATGGGTGTTTTGTTTTGTTTTGATTGTTCTATATGGAGCTGACGGAGAGCAAGTTGGGACAGCACAAGACGTCAAGCTACATGTATACCAGCAGTCATGGGTTTGAGATGAAGTGGTCGCTGGCTCGAAAGTGTATGAGTTCCATTCATCACTACCAAGAACAGCCTGTCTTATGTAAACAATGCCCAGCAACGACAGATTTGATGACATCAGTGCTAAAGTATTATTTCGCATGTACGTACGCATTATTACTCTTGTCATCACAGATAAAATGGACTGTCGGCTTACCTTGGTACGGATTCCAAATCTTCTTCTTCCTCTTCCCAAGATTAATGCCCAACTGCACCTCCAGATCCGTTGTGCCCAAATCGGATGCCCTGCACTCGCCCGTGCCGCATCAGGTATCTCACCCGCTAATAAGCCCGCCAGAGAATCTACACGCACTGCCCAACCACAACGACCGAAATGAATAAAAAACAAGCCGCGGGGTGCATGCTAATGATTATCTGCATAGCCATGGATATATGCGTGAGACTCGGCTCATGCACCTCGCAGCCACTCACAGGTCGCGCTGTCGTCGCAACGGACCGCGGCTATGGCAGCTGAGAGCTGAGTCTAGGTGTCTGCCTTGGGCCCAAAGATGCACAACTCGGTCCAGTGTCGAGTAAACAATGAAATCCATATCCATTATGCGGACGAATGAATACGAGCTTTGCTGATGCGATGCCAAAACAGCTGCACAGCGCTGGAGACTCGCCCCCCAGGCCAATCAGCGGCTGTGCGCCATCGTTTCAGTGTCCGCTACAGCGCTGCAGTCCGCTGCCAGCCTCCGCTACAGTACAGGCCGCTACAAGTGGCGACGTGCAGCGCGCGCTTCCAGCAAATTACAGCAGCCCAATCAATGGTGATCCATCCAGATGCGTCTGCTCCATAGTCGAATTGATATTACAGTACCACACATCCTCTAGCCGTCGGCCTGCCGTCGTCCTGGAAATGCCGAGGCAAACAAACCACAACCACGGCGCCCCGCTTTTCCCGTCCCCCAGAAGGGGTCAGCCGCAGCTCCGCCTCAGTGGGAAGACGCAAGGGAGATACCTTTTGGTACCCCTTGCGCCGCGCCAGCAGGGATAGCCTCGCAAGTACTGCGCGCGTACCCTGTGCGAAACCACGCGAGCCCCCGGGATTTCCAGACCTCGATTAATTACCAAGCCGGGGCTTGTGATTGCATCCAGCCATTCGCTCTCGCCCTCCCCTCTCCATCAATCTCCATCAACCTTATCGCATCTCTTCTCTTCCCATTCCCTCTCCCCAATTCCACCCTCGAGCTGTGCCTGTCACAATCGACGCGTTAATAGACCACGGCCTTGCGCGATCCTTTGCTGTCGATACCGTCGTCGTGCCGTCGCTTATCGCCACACCCGGGGCCTGTCGCCGCCCCAGCTGAAAAATAAAAACAAACCAATCCTTCGGCAACACCAGCCATCTGATTAGGTTCCCTCCTGCACTGCTCCTTGTCCACACCATAGCGAGATTCGAGCAAGCGCACGCGCTCCTCGGCGGCAATTCCTGCACTATTGTGATACCCCGGTTGTTGTTTTTCTTCTTCATTTCTCTTCTTATCCCCCATAATGGCTTCGCCACCTAAGCCCTGGGAACGAGCTGGTGCCGGCTCAGCACCTTCACGTAAGTCATCCCCGACGCGGAGCTGCTTCTGCTTCTGCCACTGCCTCTACTGCTGTGTTTGCCTCTGCTTTGGCCCAAAGCGCGCTTGCTCGTGACCTACACATGCTGACCAGCCTCCCTCCTTAGTTGCAATCCCATCCTCACCAGCCTCTGCATCATCAGCACCCTTATCGCCTGCTTCATCAGTCGCCTCCATGGACGCACCACCGATACCTGAGCTCCCTCCGTCGCTCGCGGCCCCCATCAACCAGAACGCCGCTGCTCACACCCGCGTCGGCGCCATGGGTGCCATGGGAGCCATGGGAGCCTCGCCCTATGGTGGCTACAACAGTGCATACTCATCGCCCTACTCAAGTCCTTACTCGCGCTTTGGAGGCGCGTATGGAGGATATGGCGGCGGAATGTATGGCGGATACGGAGGCATGGGCGGTATGTACGGCGGCGGAATGTATGGTGGTGGTATGGGCATGGGCGACCCCAACAGCATGGTGAACCGCTTCAGCAACGGCACCCAGGCCACTTTCCAGATGCTCGAGGGTGTTGTCACTGCTTTTGGTGGTTTTGCGCAGATGCTTGAAAGCACATACATGGCCACACACTCTTCCTTCTTTGGTAAGTTTCCTATTGTCGACATCTAACCTCGCTCGCTCCTATGGATGGCTAACACACTGAGCAGCCATGATTTCTGTTGCTGAGCAATTTGGCAACCTGCGCGACACTCTCGGATCCCTACTCGGAATCTTCACCCTCATTCGCTGGATCCGAACTCTGCTCGCCAAGCTCACTGGCCGTCCTCTCCCGGCCGATGCCGCGTCCCTCAACCCCTCAGATTTCGCTCTTTTCCAAGGTCGATCTGGTAGCCCCGGTGGCGGTTCCTCCCAGCCTCCCAAGGCTAGCCGAAAGCCTCTCCTCTTCTTCCTGCTCGCCGCCTTTGGCATCCCTTACCTCATGTCCAAGGTGATCAAGACCATCTCCGCCAACGTCGAGGAGGAAGAGAGACGTCTGGAGCAGCAGGCCCTCGAGGCTCAGAAGCCTGTTGATCCCTCCAAGCTGGAGTTCTGCCGTCTCCGTTTCGACTTCGCTCCCCAGCAGCCCAACGGCATGGAGCTCGAGGGAAAGAAGGGTGACCTCGTCGCCGTCTTGAGCAAGAATGACCCTGCTGGCCAGCCCAGCGAGTGGTGGCACTGCCGCAGCCGCGACGGCCGCCAGGGATACCTGCCCTCCACCTATCTCGAGGTCCTGAAGCGATCTGCCGCCGAACCCAAGAAGCTCAAGGCTGCCCCCGACAGCAGGACCAACTCCCTGACCAGCTCATCCTCTTCTGAGGAGGGCAAGAAGGAGTATGCTACTGCCGACGGCATGCAGAGGAGTCACTTCTACTCATAAACACCCAAGTCTTTTCTACACTGTAATGATGAAAGTTGGCCAACCAAAGGCTACGCGATTTGATGCTCTGGCATAGCATTTCTCCTTTTCTATAATTCACTGGGCGTGCGCAGTTTTATTTTCTTTTGTAGCTTGTCGTTATTAAACCACGGGAGTTGAGTTTTTGGTCATGTACTTTGCTACCACATTAGCCCTCATGTGTTAATGCGCTTTTAATGGAGATGGGGATGGGTCCCTCCATTTTTCTTGTATAAAAGTCGGCGTGTCTACTTTTTGTATCATCAGTTTTTATACACGTTTTTAAATCTACTTTACGAAGTTTGGAACCGCATTAATCAGCTCATGTGAATTTTATTCTTCTGAGGCTTTGAACATGTCCCATTACGTTGCCTTGGCTAACCAGCCCCAAAATTTATAAATCCCAGTCTTTTGGAATCATATATAGCACAAATAACACACTGCGCGTTGCGTCGTAGGTCTAGATTTCGACGAGCACCAGCGGCACTACTAGCCCTCAGCTTCATAGGAATTCGACTTGTGCTTGGGCTGGAACTGGAATCCTGGGTGAACGGGTCCGAGGAACATTTCGCTGTAAAGCACATGTTAGCTCATATCTTACCACTCGCATATGTAGTTTTGCAAACACAATTAAAGAAAGGAGAGAGATAAAAGAAATTCAAGCATGCGTACCTTATCTTGATCCAGTCCTTGTAATTGTCAGACGCCATCAACGTCTCCATCTCATCTCTGCCCTTGTACGCCGGCGGCCGATCGTTCAATCGCGGAGGCAGGTGCTCCAGTAAACCAATCGGCACGTAGCGGTGCGCGAAGCTGAGATACTCGAGGAGGAAGCGTCGGGTGAAACCAATGCCCAGTTCGTCCGAGCCCCACGCCTCGAGACCATATTTGACAAACTTTTCAATGTAGCCGAGGCGTTCGGTGGAAGACTTGTCCAGGTATTGGCCCTTTTCAATTTCCTCAAAGATCCAGGGCTTGATGAGGGCTCCACGGCCAATCATGACCGTGTCGACGCGAGCCTTCTCAATGTGCTCGTAGTAGTCGACGTGGGAATAGCAGTCGCCGTTGCCGAGGAAGTACATGCGCCCGTCTTTGGCATTTGACAGGGTGCTCTCATCTGGCTCAGCAATAGTGTCGGTGATCTTGGCTTTTTCATCGTTGTATGTCTTGATGAGGGCAGCACATTCGCCGATGTAGCCCCAGTCTGCCGTCTTGGTATACCGCTGCTCGCGGCTGCGGCCGTGAAGAGTAAGCGCTGCGCACCCAGGGGCACCAAGTCGCTCGCGGTGCTCGCGAGATCCAAAGGCCAGCTTGCCAATGATTTGAGTAGCAGTGGAGCGATCCTTGCGAACTCCAGTCCTAATCTTGGCGCTGATGGGAATCTCACCAGACACAGCATTCATGCCTCTGATCATACGCTCCATCTTGCCACTGGCATCTAGGAGCGCAGATCCAGCACCTGATTTGAAGACCTTGTCGATTGGGCAGCCGCAGTTGAGGTCAATTACTCTGAGATGGGGGCAGTAGCGGTTGAGCACATCAGCGGCCTTGGTTACAACCCAGTGAGCACTGCCCGAGATTTGGGCGCCAAACTTGAGATCGCGCGAATGGTTATAGTCGTCGAACAACGGGATCGCTCCTGGGTTCATCTTGGGGGGCGTAATCTCAGACTTGTGTGCACGCATCAGGGTCCAATCAGGCTTGGAGCCCTGAAGCAGGGGCATTCCCAAAGCCATTTCCGAGTAGGTGGCCTGGCAGCCGAGCTCTACACATAGACGTCGGAATGGGAGGTTACCCTGGGTTGTCAAGGGAGCAAGAGTTGGAGTCTCTGGGCCAAAATACAGGCGGCGCTTCTCGGAGGGCTTGAACGGGGGGTCGACAAATCGAGCTCGAAGGTCTTCGATTCCTAACGCTGGTTGATCTTTGCGGCGGTGATGAAAGTCTTGACTAATGCCAGCCTCGTGGTTCAGCCATTGGATGTATTGGTCCGTCTTGGTAAAGTCGAGTCTCTTGCGGTTCAGTTCAATCTTCTGGCCCATGGTGACAACGTTGAAGATTCCAGGTCGTAGTTCATCTTCACTTTTTCCCCTGTCCTCAAATTTCGAGCCCTTTTCCTCTGAAGACTCTGTAGAAGCAGATTGTTCCTCCTTGGGTGGCTCCTTGGGCTCTACCTTGGGCGGGCGGTTGTCGCTCAAAACCAGCTCTTTCCTGCCATCTGCGTGCTCAATTTCTTGCATATGGCTCTTAACAAATCGGCACTTCCAGCCTGAAGCACAGTAGCCATATGCCTCGAATGCAGGGCATTTTCCGCCGAGGGCCTCGACATCTTCGCGACGGCCCTCGCTAAGGTATTTGCGTAGATCGTGGCACATTTTGCACCCGTCACCATACGGACATTCCTTGGGTGAGAATTCTGAAGAGTAAGCCCTGCTGTTGCAGAGGGGAATAGCATCGTCAAATCTTCCAAATGAACGATCAATATTCTGACCCTTCGCCTTCTTCTTGCCCTTCTTTCCTCGATCTCTCGAATCTTGTCCATCCCTCTGGTCTCGGTCATTTGAACCTCGACCCTCAGCAGCATCGTCATCCACAGCACTAGAGCGCTCATTCTGATTCCCTGACATATCGATGAGATACCTAGGAGGCTCCAGTTAAATGAATGCGCGTGTTGTCGTTGGCGAATGACTTACTCTTTCTTGATGGGAGCCATGCCCTTGACCCTATCTGTGGGTTCGCCATTCTCTTCCGATGGTTTCTGAACTTCGGGCTCCGGCTGTGAATGCTCTACATGAGTGCCGTTCTGAGGAGCATGAGCCGTCTCTTGGCCATTTTCTCCGTTGCGGTCCTGAGCAGCACCTGCGTCGTCAATCTTAATTCGCTTCGCAGCTCGCTCCTCAGAATTCGAGTCAACATCTGGATGTTGTCCACCCATTGTGGTATCAGCTTCTGTAGACATATTGTGGCAAGGACGCTGTCGAATATATCTTGGTAGTGATGAAAATTCCAGGATGAAAGTCTCAGCTGCGGAAGGGCGATTCAATCAGATAAGATGTACAGCAAAGGATTTTTTAAAGTCCTTGCTCAAAGTATTGGGTAAAAATAAAACAAAGCCTTTTCCCCCAAGTGAATATCAGGGTGGGAAAGCAAGGCTAAACTTCAATTAGGCCAGCCTTGCGTTGTGATGATTGGAGAAGTCGAGTGAACGCAGTGGAGCTAGAAAATTCTACTTCATGGCGAAGTGAAGCAGTTACTATTACCTGCCTCGCACTGGGCGCTGTGCTAATACAGTGCCATTTCATGACATATACTGTACGTTTTCTTCCTTTCCAAGAGCACTTTAAGAGGCATCTTACGCACTGTACATGTATCCACATATGCAAGACCTCATATCTAGAGCCTTAAGTGATATGCGAGCCGGAACGGTAATCATATTTGTCTGAGCTTATCGCTTTTGCGTATTTCAAACCGTAAATGCGTATTGGTATAGCTGTCTGGGCTTTAATTATGCGATAACCCACTTGGTTACAGATTAATCCATTGAGCAACAAATTCACCAAGCAACACTCTAAGTTCTCCCAGCAATCATTGTTCTCATAACTAAAACAGCTGTAGACTTCTAATCGCTATTATGGCATGATTTATTTTACGTTGAGTGCCACTTATAAGAGCTTGACATCTTACATGTATTTAGATATGGAGTACGAGCACTCCATTAGCACCTAAGCATTGTCTTTATTATTCACTCAGACACAGTGGAAGTCTCAGTGTTGACAGGAACTCCGACAGGAGCTCCAATTGCATCAGGCGGAGGAAATTTGGTGAGAAGTTGTTGCAACATCTGCAAGACCTTTTGGTGGTCGCTGATGAGAGACAAGGCTTTGTGTTCTTCCTGCAGAGAGATCAAGATCTTCTGCTGCTCCTCCAATGCTCGAATGACCTGGTCTTGCTTCCTGTCCACTTCACGAAGTCTGAGATGAGCCTGCCGCAGTTCCTTTCGATGAAGATATTCGACCTCTTCCCTTACTCTTCGGGAAGACTGCCTAATCTTCATGACAGTGCTTCGCAAAACCTCACCACGCTCTTCTCGATTTTTCGTCGTGACTCTATCTTTGTAATTCTCCCAGGACTCCCCCAAATGGCGTCTTTCCGTCCATTGGGGGACTTGAACTGCTTTCATTGGTAAGACTCGGAGCACATTCGCCATCCCCGAAAAGCTGTCAGTGATTAACGCTGTTATTAAGCCCTTGAGCCTAGGTTCCGGATAGAGCTCGTACTCCTGGGCGCAAGTCTCGAAGGCAGCTTGCATCTCCTTTAGTGCCTCGTCCAGCAAATTGGAGTATTCCTGCCATAGACTTGCAGCCTTCGCCGGCAATTAGTACATGTACTATTCTATTTGATCTACCATCGCTGCCTTACCTCTAACAATGCTCGCACCCCATTAAATATTAGAGCGGATAATTCCGAGCGTTCTATATTGATAAATATTTGGCTGAACTGGTCAGCCCGTTTAGCAGCTTGCCGTTCTTCAATCATGTTGTGCGTGTTCATTTCACCGTGAAAAGGGTTGACACCAGTTTTCCATTCCTGTATGGCATACTGTAACGCCGCTGACACAGATGCATCTACTTTGTCGTCTTGCGTGGCCTGGCTTACAATGTCTACTCGATTTTCAACCGTGGAACCGTCGATGTCGCGGGAGCCCTCAAAGTCCACCTCGCCGTCAAGTGACTGCATGGCCGATAGTTCGCCAGCTTGTGGTAGTCCACTCGAGGTAAAGCTGTCGTAAATTTCAGTAACTCGCAGGTCACTTTGCCCATGAATCTCGGCTGCGGCTCTAAAAAGAGCGTCCACTCTTTGCAGGAGCCTATGTTCGATCCGTTTCAACTGAAATGTGATGTTCGTGTGAACGTTGTGAAGACGAGAAGCAAACAGATGCCCATATTCGTCAAGCTTGGTGTCGATGGATGACAATTCTTCAAGCACAGCACTGTCAACTCTCCTGGTTGTTATTCCACGTCAGTCGCGTAGTCAAGACATGTTGTGAATCACACTCACATTCCAGCAAGAAGCATGGCGAGGGCTAGAGTCTGCTTAACCGTCTCGAGATGTCTAGTGAGCTTTTCAAATTCTTCAGATTTCAATACCCATTTGGCGCTCGTAACAGCTTTCCTCAGTGCATCTTTCCACTTGATACCTGGGTTGGTGCGAAGCGGCTCGACAGCCAACCACATGGTCTTGAAATCTGACTCGCATGCCTTGAGACAAGCCAATATCACGTCGGGTATCGGTATCGTAGTCTGAATTAGATCAGAAGTTGACCGTCCAATCTCTGGAAACAGCTTCTGAAGAAGTTGCAATTGTGCACACATTTGACGCACCTCTTCAGGTGCGTCCTCGATAGAACTGAAGAAGCTATAGATCCGACTTCCCAACCCGACGACAACCTCAGTTGTATCCAAAATTTCGATGCGACTACCCATTTTAGAAAAACGCGAAGGAGTTTGCTATAGATGGGCTTGGGCGGGCAGAAGGGAAGTGAGGCGATGAGGAGAAGGAAGTGGGATATATGTAGGCAGTGCAATCGTTGGTTCAGGCAGCATCAGGCTGCCAAACACTATTGCCAATCACGTACTCGAAACGTAACTGGTATTGCATGAGATTTCATAAGACACACAAGCAGCTGGAGAGCTTTCGAGCCAGCCACTCAAAACAGTTGCGCACTTGTCTTGTTGTGCGCTGACATTATTGCAAAGCACTTGTTGGCAACATACCTATATACGAATATTCGGTGAGAACAGGGTTAAGAATGCAAAGATTTTGGAAGTGCAAAGATGTCAAATCGGAACAAACTGTGGCAGCAAAATTGCCCGTATAAATGAAATATAGCCGCAGCTAAGAAGAGCCGGCTCATGATGATGCCTTTGATGCTCTCTTCACTCGCAACGGATAGTTGATCTCGATTCTCTATGCCACAATATACTGACCCGTGCTTCTACGACTGAACACAGCAGAGAGCACCCCACCGTATATCGCTGAAGCTCGACATTTCAGCGCTCAGCCCGCTGTAGCTGTAGCACTGAAGCCGAGAATTCAGTGGCCAATGCCGTCGACCCCACCAAGCAAACCCCCTCAACCTCTCTCCTCTTCCAAGGAGTTAAGCTCCTCCCGCACGCGTCCCTGTGAGACCTCGCGAATTGTGCTGCCGAAACTCCATTGCTGCTCTCCGCTAGGGGGCAATGAGGAGTAGTTGGCGAGACCATGGAGGATCTGGGCCAGTCGTCTGCTAGTGCGACCCGATCTCCTGACAAGTCATCAACCTTCAGCTCGGGACACGCCTCGCGGTCCCAAAGGATTGTCATCGACCCCTCCGCTAATAGACGACCGCCGATGTTCGACGATGACGATGACGACGATGACGACGAGGAGGAAGACTTTCGAGGTGAAGAACGGTACGAGGGGCACGAATACGACGAGGATGAGCCACGATACGCCCCGATGGAAGACGAGGAGTCGATAATACCATTGCCAAGGAGCCACACACCAGGCCAGCTTGCTGCCAGGAGCAATCTGCCGGGCGACCAACATCGCGGCAGCAAGGGCACCGCTGAATTGCCTCTTCGCCAACGGGCAATTTCAGCGTCGCACTCACATCCGCCACCCCCTCGTCCGGCAACGGCCCCGGGGCAAAGGAAACCGACGAGCTCCTCGAACAGCGTTCCCGACCTCCCCCCTCCCCTCCCTCGCGATGGCGAAGCAGAACAAAAGCCAGCGGCGGCACCAGCTGCAGCTCCGTCGTCGAGAGTGACATCCGCAGTGTCAACCCGCCAAACGAGCACTATCGTCTCTCGTCCAGTGTCTAGCAAACATACCACTTTCCCCCCATTGCCGAAACCCGACGATGGGCCAGACGTTTCTCCCGCTCCGGCATCTGGCATGTACTGGTCCAAGGCGCCAGTATCCGGAGCACCACACTCGAACCTACGAGCCCATACAACGACGCTCATCGGCTCCAATGTATATGTTTTTGGCGGCTGTGATGCAAAGACATGCTTCAATGCCATGTATGTCCTTGATGCCGACTCCTTCTACTGGTCGGTGCCGCACATGACGGGAGATATCCCAATGCCCCTCCGAGCCATGACTTGCACGGCGGTGGGGAAGAAGCTCGTGGTGTTTGGGGGTGGTGATGGTCCTGCGTATTACAACGACGTCTACGTGCTCGACACGGTCAATTTCCGGTGGTCCAAGCCGCGCATCGTGGGAGACAAGCTGCCCTCAAAGCGTCGTGCCCACACGGCGTGTCTCTACAAGAACGGCATCTACATCTTTGGCGGTGGTGATGGCGTGCGTGCCCTCAATGACATCTGGCGGCTCGACGTCAGCGACACGAGCAAGATGTCGTGGAGGCTGATATCCAGTGCCGAGAAGCCGGTCCAGGGGTCCAGGGACAAGCGGCCAAAGGCTCGCGGCTACCACACGGCCAACATGGTCGGCAGCAAGCTCATCATCTTTGGTGGGTCAGACGGCGGCGAGTGTTTCGACGACGTGTGGATCTACGACGTGGAGAGGCACATCTGGAAGCAAGTCAACATCCCTATAACGTTCCGCCGCCTCTCGCACACTGCCACCATTGTGGGCTCGTATCTGTTCGTCATCGGCGGCCACGACGGCCACGAGTACTGCAACGACGTGCTGCTGCTCAACCTGGTCACCATGACGTGGGACCGGCGCAAGGCGTACGGCCTGCCGCCGAGCGGCCGCGGGTACCACGGCACGGTCCTGTACGACAGCAGGTTGCTCGTTGTGGGCGGCTTTGACGGCAGCGATGTGTTTGGCGACGTTATGCTTCTGGAGTTGGCGGTCCACGCGTATTACTCGCAAATCAGCCATTTCACGATTGATGTATGATGATGGATTTTCCTCTACGCGATTATGAAGAGGCAGCAGACGTTGGATACTTTATACCTATTAACCTTTCTTTGTTTTGAACTTTTTTCATCCGTGTGCATAGAGTAAAGCTGATATGGCTGGTTCCTTTGTTTTCCTTTTTATCCATTGTACAGAAGAAGCAAGCAGCACAGTTTTAAGTTGTCTCTGAGGAGATGGAAGTAGATTTTTTTTTATGATGCCAGTAGTCAAAGTTTAGATTGGGTCATGATATCATTTGATTAAAATATTGTCATGTTTTCTGTTATACAAAAGGGAGTATGTGTATATACACTGCAAAGGAAACTATCCTGTACAATTTGTTTCGTCTGAACCACCCATGAAATGCCAAAACGACTCAAACACGCCCCATCATGCAAATGCTAAAAATAAAAATAAAAAGATTAAACCAGTTCCAATGACTCCATCATCAAAATTGGCCCAAGTGTTTCTTCAAGTGTGCGGGTTTCTTTTCTCTATACCCGTGACAAAAACCCATCCCGAAAACCCCCTCAAACCCATTAGATGAAATTATGAAATTCCGAATTGTTGTTTTTCTTTGTTTTGTACGTATGTGGAATCACTTCCCTCTGCTGTATAGAAATGTGTGAGTGTCCATGAGTTTATACATGTATGAGTGGTAGTAGTGTCTCTATGTGTGTTTATGCGAATGGTGTTTTGAGTTTGGAGGGGTCGGTTTAAAACAACCGGATGTGACGGATAAAGGTTGCATGCCATGGCACCATTAGTGCAGAGCTTCTGCTGCTAATGGCTGACATGGGCGAGAGAATGAGGTGCATTCAGCAGCTGCTTACTGGGCGTGCTGCTGCTCGCGCTCCTGCTCAGCCTTGCGGGCAGCTAATCTCTTCTCCTCAGCCTCAACCATATCTAATGGAGTCTTTGTTAGCCAACTGTTCGCTGTAGAGATTATGGTATATTATAGAGGGGAAAAGACTTACCCATCCACAGATCTTGTCCCTCGTACTCCTCCTTGTGGATTCTCTTCTCAATGAGGTGCTTGTGCTCCGGGTCGTTGGGGTCCAAGACCATGACGGTCTCCCAGCGGCCCTTTGCGTTCTTGGCATCGTTCATCTCGAAGGCGGCGGAGACGATCAGCACGGCAAGGGTCAGGCCCTGGGCATAAACACGAGCCTGCACGATCTTCTGGGGGGTGCTCATAGGCGCGCGGCTGACCAGGGCAAGGGCAATGGCCAAACTAGCAAGCCATGAAGCGCCGACAATGCTGTAGCGGTGTTCGCGTCCGTAGTTCATGAAGCGCTCGTAAGCGGTCTCGTTCTCGCGGATAATCTCCTGAGCACGCTGGGAGTTGTCACGGTACTTGGCCATGGGGTCCTTGCCTTGCTGGTAGGCGATACCAGCTCGATCAGCCTGGACAATGGCACCAAAGGTACCGGTAGATGTGACGAGGAAGGTTCGGAAGGGGAGGGTCAAACCACGGAAGCTGGGGTAGCGCCTTGAGGCGTAGATAACACCAGTTACGCCAATGGCAAGACCGATTGTACCACCGACGAGTCCGCCCTTGACAACGGCGTTGTAGTGCTCGGCTTCTTCTTCTTTGGTGACGACCTTCATGATGACTGTGGGGGTTGGTTGTTGTAGGGGATTGTGCGGTAGATTATGGTGGTGATAGCTATGGAAGCTAGAGTGGGCTCAGTCGCGAATATATATTCAACTTCTCTACTGCGCGGAAAGCGGGGGCGGATAAGAGTGTTGCGAAAAGGCTATCTCAGGTCGAAAGCAGGCTGATTAATGCCGGCTCGAGCGGTAAATGGGATGGCTGTCGGAGATGTCTAGGAGAAAGGGCTGGGCAATCGGGCGATATTTGATACCCCAGAAGAACTCAGATGGGAGAGGGGTGGTGTCAGAAAAGCTGTGGTGGGTCCCAAAGCAGCAAGAGGCAGCGAGTTTATGGGTCGATCGGAGGACGATGGTTGGTTCTCCTCGGAAATGCAATGGAGGTGTTGATGTAGCCTCGAGAGGATGGTCGTGTGAGGGTTTTTATTTAATCAAGTGGATGGTGGTAGATTTGGAATTGTTTGTTTGATTGTTGTTTGGGTGAGGATGTGAGTGGATGCGTTGAGTGTTGAGTGTTGAGTGTTGTGTTGATTGTATTGATGCTGATGGCAATGCAAAAAGCCCCAGATGATGGAAGCGAGCGCCCTGTAAATATAGTGCTGGTCTCGCTAGGCGCCGTCTTGCGGCATGATGTCAACACAGCGCAAGATTGAAAATTTCTCGATTCCCTTCCGAGCCGCCCCGCCACAGAAACCGAGAATTCCCCACCGAGAAATTCCCGTGTGTTTGCCGGGCCTCCGTCCGGACACCAGAAGCGCCCTTTTCCCCTGCCAAGCTGATGCGACACAATTAAAGCAGACGGAAACGTATAATTGAAATCTTACTTTACACACCAATGAGAGCTGTCCTTTTCCCCCCGTCTATGACGATTGAGCTCTCGTAGACACACAGAATGAAGCTCGCCATGTTTCTGTCTTTCTCCTGTCGTTCTTCCTACATGCTCCGACGCCTCTTCTCTTTGCGGCGCCGGCGGCCGCCTCCGGCTTAGGTAACCGGCGAAACCTGAGCATCAAAAAGCGGCCATGGCGGCGGCTGCGGCATCTGCGGCGTCGTTTCGCGGCAAAAGCGACGGTCAATGCGAGCCCATCAGGCTCAACGAGAGCCGCCGTGAAGCGCGGCCCTGCGGCGGTTTCGCCCGTGAAAAAGTCGTCTCACGTGGCCCCCTGCCCAGCAAAATGCGCCGCAAAGGGCTGACATCATGCCCAACTCCCTGCAGTGACGCGCCTACTGGACGAGCAAACACACAATCGGGGGCGGCAATGCCGCAGCCGGCACGGGGCCTTGGCGGAACGCATCGTACGAGTTGAGCATGTTTTTGTCGTCCCGACTTCCATGCCCGATTGCCTCGACGCCAACGGGCCCTTTTTTTTTTCCTTTTCTAGAAATCTCGGGGCGTTCCGTTTCATGCCGGTCGTATGATTCCAGTGTTTTAGTTTATCGATGTGAAATATTCCATATGCTATTTGAGTTTCCGGATTTGCAATCCAATCTATTTGCACGCTTAGTAGTAGTGGCGGGCAAGCGACTAACATGAATCCAATTGCGTCAGGATTAAAAAAATTCATCGACGACAGATGTACATATCAAAAGACTGTATATCATTACATACTCTCTGTTTTTGAACATGGCACGTAAAATTTAGTCAACCTCATAGATATGTCCAACTCAAGACAGTGGCAGGAAACAACCTACAAAACCTAGCTACACGTGCCCATCAAGCGGCTACCCTGGAGACCCCGGATTCCAGCCTTCGACTTACACCACTCCAACAAATCGTTGCCACTCCCCCTGGACTTATAGCCGCGATGCATGACACTACTGAGCGCTGCCGCTTGCCGCCCTTCCGGCGTCAGCCGCATCGCCCTGGTGCGCTGGGGGAGCTTTGGGGCCGTCCCCTTATCTGGCAGCCCCCCTGCCTCCCGGTGCCCCTGGGACAATCCGATTGATCGGATATCTGGCTGATAGCAATCCTGTGTGACCTGGCAGGTGGGCTGAAGGATCTACCTGTACGTGTATAGTTAAGCCTGCGGAGTTTACGCCACGATGTCTCTGTACGGAGGAATTCTCCATGGTGGTTGTGAGACTGACTGGAGCCGTAGGTTGGCCACTTGTGTCGAACAGTAGCTGCTTGTACAGGAATAGTAACCTAAATAGCTCTATTTGATACACTAGATATGTAAATTCATCTCGTGTATTGCCTAGGATGAAGTCAGCGATCGTTCTCGTCGCATCTAGCTCATGTATATCGTAATATTCTCATCGGTGCACATGGCATCCGGGCCATCATACGGTCACTGCACCACCAAACTCTTCCATTCAAACTGCAAAAACAAATGAAAACACCCCGGTTGGCTATTCATCATGATCCCGTAGTCGTTCCCACCAAATACACTGGAACCAATTAACTGGCGGTCGATAGCTGTACGTAAATACTCGTGTAGTTGCCTGGCTACGAGGGTGCAGATGCAATAATAATGGACATGGCGCTAGCTAGAGTGCTTGGTACGTAACATGTAGTCATATTCGTGTTGGTTGCTAGCAAGGCAACCTATGCAGGGGCTGAGAATAACCTTGTTCTGAGAACCTCTAAGAATCAAGATTTGCAGATCCGCCGGTTTCTTTGTGTGATTTCTGACAGACCCCCCAACGGATAGCCCGATATTAAACAGGCTGCCGCCGAATCGTGCGTAACAATATTAGATCTAAAATCCCCTGTTCAACCGAGAACAATATGCGATTTTTTGAGCCAATAGCCAGCCACGCCTCTCTCATATGCTATCATCTATCAAGTATTACGTCTGCGAGCCCAGCACGACTATTTCTTGCACGCATTAATCGCAGCATCATCGATATACAACTGACAATTATGGTGCGCTATATCACGTCAAATGACAAAATTATCACTCTTTTTCACCATTGAAGAACATATCGAGCACCCTGATCGCACAACGCCCTCCTAGGACTATCTAGCTGTAATTACACGGACCGTAGATGTAAGTCTATGCGCAATGGTATTAACAGAACTAGAGGTACTCTCGGGCCTCCTGTGCTATAAAAAGGATGCTTAGTTCAATAGCTCAAGCACGGCCTTGGGACGGGTATGGAGCAGGAGAAAATGCCTATGGCCTTGGAGCTCGGTTGCTCCCAAGGTGGCAAAGTACGAGTAGGGTACCTCCCACATGCCAAACAACAGCATTGGAAGAGGTACTCTGTACGAGTATATGGATACTACCTATTAGCTCTCGGCTATACGGAGCAGTGTTTATACCAGTGCCTAGGCGAGGAGCCGAGGTGGAGTTGCTTTGGTCGGCGACACTGAAGCGACGATCGACGACACCATGTGTGGGAACATATGGCTGTGAGATGCATCTAGGGTCCAACATCTCCAGCCAAGGCTCTGCAACCGCTAGCGCAGGGAAAAAGCGGATGAAAGGCAAATGTCTCTCGTGGTCGATGGATTTGTGGCTGCTGGACCCCTGTCTAACGAAGCTATGGAAGGGGCCCATTTGTTCCATGAGATGCCGAAGTCGACCGCAGCACCCACTTGGACTCATGACACCAGCACAAAACAGGCTTTGGTTGCGCAGACCAACGGAAATATCCAACAAAATCCAAAAAAAAAAAAAAAAAAAAAAAAAATCATTGTTGGTCGTTTTGACGGGCCATTCTCCTTCTCATTCTCTCCAAGCTCAAACGGCTAGGCCTGGCATGTGGGCGGCTTGTTCCTGGCTCTATGCTCTGGTCCTAATTTTCACGGGCACCTATTTAAAACTACGTACGGAGTACTGTAGTGTGTCTTGTCTCAAGCATTGCCTAGACGGGCATAATGCGTGTTTCAAGATCTAGCGTACACAGAAGATCCTGTATGGTATTGAGTAGGAAGGAAAAAGAGAGAAGAAGCCTACATTGTATGGAGCACTTTGTATTTGTCTGTTGGCATGTGACTGGGTTCTTCTGTCTCTCCAGTTTGTTTGAGCTTTTTATTTGTTCGTTTCGCGTCAATAGATGGTACTCTGTAATTTCAGCCTGCCAAGATGCGGCTTTAAACTGAGTTCCATGAGTGAGTTTCACACACACAGGAAGACGCCAGCTTACCTCTCCACACACGAGCATGCAGGCAAGCGAGAGACTAAAAGGCCTCGAAATGTCATTTTCCGCACCCAAGAAGCCCTTGATTAGTCGTGGAAATAAAGGTTTGTGTCTCGTAATGAATATAGCAGCAAACCCACGGCCAAGCTATGACTCAGGACACCTGGCGGCAGAGGCGCATCCATCGCCGCAAACAGTGAACCGACGAGGATTCGACTCCATCCTAAGAGATGTCCCACTGCAAGATGGATCCCGCTTGTACCTTGTGATGTCAAAAATGACAACTCGGGTAATGGGGCGGCAGAATCATGGTAGTAGCTCTCAGTCCAGTCGATATTACAGAGTAGCATTCGGGGCGAGCCTGGAGCTGAACTTGGCGAGCTGCAGGTGTCCTTCATTGATCGATATCCACGGCTATTGTCGATATATGCTTGCTCAAGGGTAATAGCGCACGCGACTGCCATGAAATCCCTGTCCTTCGGGGGCATTTTCAGTGACAAGCCGGAATGCGACGCTGCAGCGTTGACGGCCCGATCAAGGAAACGTGAACCGCTCTAGGTTATTACCACGCTCCATGTCTAATTTTTGCGATCTCATTTGAACTGGGGCGCATCATGTGGATTTTTGTTGGGGACTCAAAAGGCATTTGGCTGTGATAGGTAGGTAGGTAAGAAATGTGCCTGTCCGTGTACTCGTACCTGTAGGCATGGGGTATCAAGAATGGAGCAGTACGAGATGAGATGTTGAGCGAACTGCAGAGTATCAAATGGGTTTCTTGAGCGCCAATCGCGGCCTCTCTGAGACTCTGAGCTCCAGGACGCATCAGAATCCCGGACACATCTTTCTAACTTGTTGTCGAGTTCTGAGTGGCTGTGCGCAGGGCTCTGTTTGCCAACGTGACGCTCACACATTGATTGCTCGTCACGCCTGTCACCACTCATGCTGCTGGAGAAGGGTCCAAGGCCCAGCTGCAGGTCACAGGCGCTACTCGAGATCTGGCGGTGTCCAGGCCCCAGCCAGATTGTCCACCAGCCCTAACGATGTCGACTTGTGCCTGCAGCTTGCAGCTGTTAAAGGCGGTCGAAATCGTGAGGCGAGAAATGGTCTCTGACATCATTGGGGGGACTTTGGGCTGAGAGTCGAGGCTGGTGGATAATAATATAAGACATGACTGCTCACCGTACTGCATAATAGTCTCTAGGAGTCCATAATTTTCAGGCGCCGCGTGTCTAGATGCAGTGAGCTTTCTTATGCTGCCTTCTTCTATAGACTATATGCCGTGTGGAGAGGCTGCTGAGCGGTGAGAGGAGTTGGCGCGGTGCGAGTTGAGACGCAAGATGAAGCAGGGCAGCAAGATGGAGGTTAGTGGGCGATCATGTGGGATGGTGTTTTGTTGGCAAGTCGCAAGATGCGCGTGGAAAGAGCGGCGAAGCCCTTGACGACTTCTAGACTGCGGTGGCATTTACACACATTCCCAATACGGGTTGATAGTATTACAATATTACTCGACATCTGCATCTGTGTAAGGTAGCTGGTACCAATCTCCTCAGCTCGAGTCTCGTTGCCTCCCTCGTGTTGATTCCGGTCGACTGCATCCGCCCTTTCTTCCGAGTCTGTTTGCTCGTGCCTCCTCACATGCCACCTAGATGCCTACAGTACTCGTAACCTAACACATGTCAATAGGTACCTATAACACGGGTTTCAGCTGACACGGAGTATCCCGTATAATGGCCTCAGCAGCAGGTGGCAACCGGCGGTCAATCGCTATTACGATTGTCCTGATGCGAAGCTCCATTCCGCAGCAGCAACGGCGCTCCGTAGTGGCTCAGCATTACGGCGACGAGTAGCGTCGATGCTAGTGTGTATTGACCAGTGTACCAAGCGCCACCATAGGCTGGGCAAGTTGATGCGACTGCCATCAAGTAGCCCCAGGTACCGGCTAGTATGGACTGCTAACAGCATCTCCGACACCTTGCTATTGTCGGCTCGAAGTCCGTGGGTTTGGCTTGGTCTGCGACGCATTTATCAGCCATGTCGGTGTGGCCAGAGCAAAGGTGCTGCATGTACTCCGTACTCCGTGTAGACGGTCTGGAGCGAGCCATTTCGAGGTACTCGTACTACCTGGTCCCTACCCAAGCAGACGAAACAATGCGGGATGAATACCTTACATGGCATCCATACGATTAAATTAGGTCACACTTCCAATGCGAGTGGCTGGCGTCTTGGCACAAGTCCTGGCAAAGACGGGCGTTTGTTTTCCGTGGTTGTGCAAATGCCAAGCACGTAATATGGAATATGGAATAATACTGTACTTCTATAGTCCCGACCTGCCGACAAGCCAGGTTGAGCACACTAGCCTTTCCAGGAGGACGAACCTTTTCTGTTCTGTTGTTTGGAGCAGTGACTCCGAGCGTATTACCTCGTACCTATGGAGTAGCAGCAGCCGTAGGAGTATACCTATGATGATTCCATTCCTTGCCACCCAAACTGTCGTGCTAGTCAGCTCTGGAGAACGCGTCCGAACCTTTTAGCATTACTTCCGGGTACTTGTAGGTACGGCCTGGCAACTTAAACTGCACCCGGCGAGGACGAAGAAAGTGTAATCGCCCGGAACTGGCAAAATGGAACGAGGAAATTCCGATCTCCGGAGAGGCGGAAGAAGCAACTCGTACTACTCCAGTATCTACCTAGTACTGTGCATAGCAACAGCGAGATACGTAATGCTACAGCACACTTGTCCACGCCTAGTCTGATGCTGGCTTGAGCTGAGATGAGTCTGACTACGACCTACTGGGTAATTCATCATCGTTGACCTGCATTACTGCTTTAGTCCTGACCGAGCTGGGCCCTGCAGCTCGTACTCCATCCGGTACGTGTCCGAGTCGCCATCACAACCCCCACGGACCGATGGTTGTGCCATACCACATCCCCAGCACTTGGCATTGCAGACGTCCGCTGCTGAAGAAGACAAGGGCAGACGAGACATGATACCAAGGTCGTCGACTCGCATGCTCGCACGCACTTGTGGTAGCATTCGCCTGCCCAGTAGGTACTAATGTGCAGCATCACCACTCTGTTCCCCTGCTCCGGCCGCGCTCCAGCGGGCACCTGGACGAGACGGCCAAACAGGCGTGAGGCACAGGCACTTCCTTACTAGGTTGATTTGCTCAATGTTGTCTATCAATGGAATGGATGCGTGCGGATGCCGCGGTCGAGGCAGGCAACGCTGCTGACTCCCGTGCTTTACAATACAGCACCAGCGGCGTGTTCGTTCCGAGGCTCTCAGCATTTCCGTAATGGCAGCGCTGGATGAAGCCGTCCAATTAACCGTTAGCGCCAACCCCTGTTCCTGTGGCACTGTGGCTACTGACACGCTGCACCGTGATCAGTGCTGCGAGCTTGCAGGGGGCCTGAGGCCGGCCAGGATGCCGTGGATGAGGTGTGGATGCTCATCATGGTGATCATGCCGTCAACCATCTGGGCCTGTGTCGATGCTCTCTGCGCTCTCGGTTCTTCGTATTTCTCTAGCCCTCTCTCTCTTAACTTCCATCTGCATCTCCCTCGACTCTTCAGCTTTAAATTGAACAGTGCTTACTCTACTCAGTTGCTGCAAGGTCAGATCACCGTGCAAAGAAGACGGCGCTGGCAACCCGGAATCCCATGCCGTCCGTACATGTAGCTTGTGATGATACCTACCTTACCTCAAGCCACTTTCTGTCCATCTTAGCCGTGCATGCACCGCGCCGTTTGAGAGACCAAGAACCGACCAACCAACCGACTTACACCCTTCGTGTTTCGCACCAAGTGCCTGCAGCCGCCATTCGCTGCGTTTGAGGACCAAAAGCAGTCAATCAAGAGCCGCCCGACAACAATAACATATCCAGGCCGCACCGCTCTTCCTGAGAGACACTACCCTTCGATTTGGCCAAGTCTCCCCAGCTGTTGGCCGCACGACTCGCGCATCCAGATCATAAATACTTTGGCTTGGAACCCCAACCGGCGACGGGTGACATCCTCGTGGTTTTGCCCGTACAAGTACGAGCGGCCTGTCGAGTCTCAGCGCCCTCCCAGCCATAGCTCCCGCGGCGTCGGCGGAACCTTGATTGAGCCATCCATCATATCGTGCCTCCAGGATCTTGCTTTTCTGTTTCCGAGTGTTTGGCGACGTGTTCGATTTGCATCCCGACCTTGCGCCGTGAGTGCCGTCGTCATATCCCAAGTACAGCCCGTCGACTGCGGTCCGCCCACTTACACTGTAGGCCCGACAGTGTACCTCTGAGGTACGGAGTACTTTGCGCGTCCTACTCCGCATTCACGGCCTAGGGAAAAGAAGAAAGTCGTGGCACGCCTTTCCACCGTCACCGTGCAGCCAGGCTGACCCAACCGAACCATACTGGCAAGAAAAGGGCCCAGCACGACCAGGGGTTGGTGACCTGCTCTCCATTGCTTAGGTACCTAGGGATAGGTACAGTCGATAGGTACCTACAGTACCAACTTGCTTGAGTTTGGGTTTGGGTTTGTGCCGTCGGGGGTGTTTATCGTGTCCTTGCCCCGTTGCTCTCTGATTCCTATTTCTATTCTTCACCTGCTCTGCTCCGTTTGAACATCCATCCTATTGAAACCACCGACCTCCACCCTCTCCATCCCTTGCCTTCGGCTGATTTGCTCCCTTGATCGGCTCAACTCCCTGTAACTCGGGAGGATGCAGAGCGCCCTCAGGTGGTTCCAGGGCCCTGACAAGGCCCTTGGGCCAGGCTCCACGACTGCGGTCGCCCAGACCAGCGCTAGCCCCAATGCCCTCGCCCGGCCTGCCCACCACCGCGCCACTGCAAACGCCAGTGCCAGCAGCACTACCAGCACCACCAGCACCACAGCGAGTGCCACGGCCAGCGCCAGCGCCAGCGCCAGCACCAGCACCAGTGCCGAAGCGGCCTTGGCTGCCTGTGCCGCCTCGTCCGCCCTCGCCGAGTCCATGTCGCCAGCTTCGCTCAACTCGTCGTCACAGTCATCTTCGCCCCAACCAGCGACTCCCCCCGACTTCTTCCACGCTTCATCGGCCGCATCGTCTGCGTCTGCGCTTGCGCCTGCATCGCTCTCCGCTGCTTCTACTCAGTCTACACAGGCCTCCGGCTTCTCGCCCGCCCCCGCACTGCGCGCTGACCAAGACGCCTCAGCGCCGTCGCCATCCTCGTCCTCGTCCTCATATTCCTGGACCGCCGCCCTTCGCCAGACCAAGCAGAGCCCGCAGCCCGACAAGCTCTTCGCCCTCCCCCAACTCGACGCCAACATCGACATCGACCTCGACCTGAGCGATTGCGACGACGCCGCCATGACTACTGGCCCGGGCCTCGATGCTGCCATGGGCCGCCCGCGGCAGGACTCGTTTGTCAGCGCCGGCCCGAAGCCCATCTCCATGAACATCCAGAACCGCGACAATGTCAACCGGAACCGTCGCGAGAGTCTTGCCGGCAGCCTCATGGGCGGCATGAGCTGGGGCGGCATGTCCTTTGGCAGCTTTGTCCGAGACGAGTAAGTCGGCCGTCTTTTTTTGTCTTGTCCCGCCCCTTGCATCGTGCTTGAACTTTTTATCCTTATCGGCCTCAATCTGTTATCCTGTGGGCGCTACACTGCATGTAATCTTTGCCCCATCCGCACTATCATCGCCATCACCACCATCGTCATGGCCAATCGCCCTGTCTCGTCTTGCCTCGACGTGCGTCGTCGACTCTGTCGTTGGCAGCATACCGGGCTGGCGAGAGAGACATTTTGAACCCTTCACCCCGCGTGCAACACCAACATTTTTTTTCTCCCACTGTTCCCCTCCTGTTCGCACCACAACCCCCGCCATCCCGCGTTGCATCATGGATCATGGCCATTATCTGCTTGCTGCATATTTGGAGATTCTGCAGCAATTTCTTCTACTCCACTTTCCTTTCCATGATGCGACTGCTAACATACAACCCACCACAGCATCATGATGCAAGGGACCTCGCCGTTTACGGGCGGCGCCCACCAGTCCCCCTCGTTTCACTCCTCGTCCTACCTGCCGAAGCTCGAGGCCAGTTTTATGCGTGACTTCACATGCTGTGGCAAGATTTTGCCTAACCTGCATGACTTGCTTCAGCACTACGAAGAGGCCCACACACAAGCCAGCCCCGGCGCCGTCAGGAACAGTGCCTTCAACCAATTTGGTGCATTGGGCATTCAAGGATCTCCCAAGATGCCCAACTCGAGGACGACCCCGGCCCCTGGCCAAGGCTCACAACAACTGGGACAGCAGCGCCAGATGGGTGGCCCCGGTCTTCAGATCGGCGGATCTCAGCGACTCGGCAGCTCCATGCTGCAGATGTCCACCTCCATGAGCAACAACATGAGTGACGAAATGGATGCTGTTGCTGATATGGAGATGGATGACGCCTTAGGCGCCATGGACATGGACGACAGCCAAAAGATGCACCAGACCCGGCAGCTATTTGGCCAACAGCAGCGGCCGCAACTAAACATGAACACCTCTGGAATTACCCAGGGCCTCCGAACGTCGCAGCCGCCTACGCCCGCCGCCCAGAGCTTTGGGTTCCAGAACAACCCTACCGTTTCCTCCGTCAATACCCCCACCCTCATGACACAGCAGCAGATGCCGCAGCAGCAGTCTCAGCAGAATGACGTGGATGAGGACCTACCTGGCATGCCCATGGGCGGCGACGCCACTGATCTTGGCGATATGACATTCGGAAACGGCAACAACAATGACGGCAACGACTCCAATTTCTGCATCAATGATCCTGGCAAGCACCTGTTCAGCCCCAACGGCGCATTCCCGCAGGGCAACCGATCCATACAAGCACAGCTCGCCCAGCTCGGTTTGACCCACGGCCAGTTTGCCGATCCCGAGGCCAACAAGGTCCTGCTTGCTCGATTGCAGAGCATGATGATGCCAGAGGAACACAAGCCCTTCAAGTGTCCCGTTATCGGCTGCGAGAAGGCGTACAAGAACCAGAATGGACTCAAGTAGGCTATATACGCTCATGCCACCTGATTGAGAATACAATTACTAATCTCTGTATCAACTATAGGTATCACAAAGCTCACGGCCACCAAACCCAACAGCTACACGAGAACGGTGACGGAACCTTCTCCATTGTGAACCCAGAAACAAGCGCTCCTTATCCAGGTACCCTGGGAATGGAAAAGGAGAAGCCCTTCAACTGCGAGACGTGTGGCAAGCGATACAAGAATCTCAATGGCTTGAAATATGTAAGTCTAAACAATTCGATGGCACCGCCCCGTCCGAAGCTGACCGCTGTCATAGCACAAATCCCACTCTCTTCCCTGCAACCCTGAGTTTAAGCTTCAAGCACTGGCCGCTGGCCTGAATTTGCCGGGCATCGGAGAGGACGTGATGCTGCAGTAAGCGACTTGCACCGCATGCGTCGGTCAAGTCTCTCTGAATGGCATGGATCTGTTGGAGTCACGAGAGACGTTACGAACTCACCAGTTATAGCTCGATTCCGGCGTCGTGTTGATCCTTGTGGGGGTGCCCTCCCCCTGGCTATGATCATCGCGCTCTCCATGCCTTGTGCTGTCCGCTTGTGCTCTGCGCTCAGCCACATGTATATGCACTCCTCTTCTGCCTTGACATTTTTATGGCATATGGCGACGGCGTTTTTCCCCGGGCTGGTTCCCTGAGAAGCATGGGTTCAAGGCTGGCAGTTTCATAGATGATCGCCTCTCCTCCTAATTGAGGTTCCCACATGGATGGCGCGCTCACCAACCCCTCACCTTACGCGCATCACCGAGCAGATCTTGCCTATCATCGGACGGTTGCGAAATACTATCGGTGATGGTGCACGTTTTCCTCGGGCCATACATCCAGAACTGGAAGGACCTTATCATGATCATCGAATAGTACTGAGGCTCCTTTTTTCGACTCAATTATTCATGGCGTTGTTTCTATTGCAGTACGCTTTCTATAGACAGCCGATTGGCACAGCGAACAAAACCTTCTGCTCCCTACAAACAAAAGGAAAAAAAAGCTCGTTCAAAAAGAGGATGCATGGGGAAAGATGCTATGGCCTAAAATGGCAAAGGGAAAAAGGGAAGAAGAAAAAGAAGAAAAAAAATTGGAAGAATGCTTTTATGAATTTGTATGATTGGGGGTTTCTTGTCCTTTATGCTGTGTTTCTTGGAGAATCGGTAATGCATTGGACGCAAAATTGGGTGTTTTTTTTTCTTACTGCTTTTACTCGGTATGGTTATTTGATGGTTGTTGATTTTCGGTTTCTTTTCCCATTACTACCCTCTTATGTTTTACACGGCTGGATTGCTTTGCTTTTTTACACACTGCTCTCCTCACTCATTACCCTGCCATGGATAAGTGGGAATGGCAATCTGTTGTGGGTTTTCTTGGGAAGGGCTTTGGAGAAAATTCTTGGGTGGTGGAACAAAACAAAAAAGGGAAATGGGAGATACATAAAAAGTTGCGTTTTGTTACTTGATCATTTACTCGTTTTCTATTTCTTTTTGCTTTCTTAAACAGGGACGGTCATAGAGAGAATCTAAGGGAAAAGGGGGAGCTAATCTTTTGCTCTTTTGCTTTTATTTTTCAAAGTGTGAGAGGAAAAAGGTCTGTTACATAGATTAATGTTCAGCTTTTTTTGTCTGCCATGCTTGTGCTGTCTCGTGCCTGTCCGGGTATATCCTTGTGTGCCACGCATTGTGTTTGAGATAAGGTTGGCTGCTGTCCCTGTCGGAACGAGGGCACATCCTTTCCGTATTGAGGCAGATGGGCAAAGGTTCCTGTCAAGGTTGTTTCATATACGTGCGACTTCGCTTCCATGCAAGTGAGGCTGGCTGCTTGGGTGAGCCGCGTGGGATGGCGCTTGTAATCCTCCGGTGTGTCACGGATAATTAGAGGAAGGCGGAAGCACGACAAGGGGGGGGGGGGGGGGGGGGAAGCAAGAGTATATCATGGTCTATAGATATCGATCGAATAGCTGGCTACCTAGTACGCTTCATGACTTCATCACAAGCATACCGTCAAGACAAGTGAAGCAACCAACTCCCTGAAATGCTCGAACAAGGAAAGGAAAGGAAAAGGAAAGGAAAAGGAAAAGGGAAAAAGAAAACCCGCATGTACATAAAACAGGAGAGAAAATAAAACACTCATATCCTCATGCGTAATGCCTAATGAGCAACCAAGCAAAGCTCATATGGTCTCACTGAATACGCTTCAGCCTTCGTCTCAGAGGCTCATGGTGATCATGGCCTGGAAACAAGGTAACCCAAACCGACATACGCGCGCTGCGCGACAGATGCCGTCTAGATTACTGTATGCACCATTCATGTTTACGATATCTCCACGTCTTCGTCATCGTCATCGACCTCGGATTCGACGATCTGCATCTGGCTACTGCTGCTGATGCTCTCCTTGCGGGTGCCATGACCAGTGCCGTCGCTATACCGGCCCGATACGCTCCCCCACTCAAGGTCGTCGCCCGCGACCACTCGGCCCTCCATGTCGATCTCCTGTGACAGCTCGACCAGAGCGTTGCGGGGGAGGCGGAGGAAGCCCTGTGTGCGGACAATACGACCCCAATGCGTCATGCAGAACGTTGCCGCTCTTTTGCGAAGCCATTCCTCGCTCGCTAGTCCCGAGCAGTACCAGATGACGCAGGCGTGCTCGACATCGAGCTCCTTGGCCAGGCGATTTACGCACAGTAGGCGAAGGTGCGGGATGTTGTAGATGTTGGACATGACCAAGAGGCCGGCCACGTCGGAGAGGTCCGTAGTGGCGTCACTGTCCGTCTCTGTCGTGCCGTGGATGTTGTCGGTGTAGAGGTACAAGAGGAACGCCTTGACAACCGAGTATGGCTCAGGGATGTGCATCTTCTTGGTGTGAAACTCTGCCATTTGAGCGTTGTACAAGCGCGCAAAGTGCGGCCAGCGCGCTTGCAGAATAAGCTTGTGGACATGAATCGGCATAGACGTCGGCACGTCGGCAGAGAGCCAGCCCTGATCTCTGTTCGCATCATCGGCTCGAATCAGCCCAGAGCTGAGCGTTTCATCGCTGTCAGCGTCATCGGCAAGAGCTGTGATGATAAAGTCGGTGCCACTTCCAGACTCGGGAGGTTGATTAAATAGTTTGGCAAGATCCGCGCCGAGGCCCTTGGAAGGTTGGTCGGATAACCTGGTGGTAAAGGACGGCCTGGACTGGGCCAAGCTTTCGGGTGCGAGGTTGTTCCCAAGGAAGCCATATCGCCGAAGATCGACCTCCATGATGTCGCTATACAGTCCTTGTGTTAGTATAAAAGATGGAATGAGCATAGGTCGGCAGCTTTAACTTACCTGAGATACTCTTCATAGCCATTTGGCCCTAGATCAGTGGCCGCAGGATCAACCGGACAGCCCAGGAGCCACGCCTTGGTTCCATCTTCGTTCATAGTACAGTAGTGCCATCTATATCCCGTTTTGAAGATTTCGCGGCCGTCAGCGAGTTTCTGCCACCTCAGGGTACTAAGATCCAGGGCGGACAAAGAGCATTCTCTATGAGTAATGGTCGCCGCGGGGGTTACAAAATCGAGCAACGTCCCGGAGGAGTAGGTGTGGAAATGGATGCCGGAGCCTTGGGATGGTACAGTCGGACCAGAAACGAACTTGAGGGCAGATATAGTTCCGGGTGCCATTGGCGCATAGGACTTTACTTGAAATGATGGAGGGTTTACTTGGGCCGTCCGAGAATTCGCAGCATAACCCGAGGCGCCAACAACCGGATTAGACGCCATGGTATAAGGCGGCCTTGGCGAACTGCTAGTTCTGTGAGCGGCAGAATGGCGATCCAAGACGCCGAAATGGGGTCGGGAATCGAATTCTGGGCTTCCCTTGAGGTCAAGCCACCATAAGTCACTGATCTTGTCCATATCTTCACTGAGGCCACCAAAGACCCAGACGCGATCGCCCCAGATATAAGCAGAGTGATCAAAACGGCCGACAAAGCGCCATGCTTTGGACCATGTAAACGTCTTGAGGTCGAGATAGCAGATGTCGTCCAACACATAGTTGTTCTGACCAGTGATGCCACCAATAATGAACAATTTATCTTCGTGCAGCACTGCAGCGTGTCTTGCCCTGCCTTTGGGTATCGGGCCGGATACCATAGGCTGCGTCCAATGTGCTGTTTTCAAGTCGAATATAATGAGATCGGATAGGTAGGTTCGATGTTCGTTCTCACCACCGAATACGAGTAGTTTGTCGCCTTTGTATAGAGTCGCCGTGTGGCCTATGTGAAAGCGCTGATTAGCGTTTGCCATGATGGAGATCCAAGAACCAAAACTCCAAAGATAAAAGACAATCCGCTGAGCTAGACGTACCCATGCGCACTCCGGGAATATCCCCGTAGTTGTCCACCAAACTCCATTGATGGCTTGCCAAATCCAATCGCAAGACATGATTGTATACTTCGTCAGTGTACTGGTCAAAGCCACCGAAAGCATAGATTTGGTTGTTCCCGCAATAGGTCACGGACGCATTGACGAGGCACGCGGGCCTCTGTCCTAGGGTGCGTGTAACTTTGGGGCGATAACCATCGGCCACGGGGCGAGCCTTGATAGGAGAGTTTGGCATGATGTAGGTATTGTTGGAGGAAGAAGCCGAAGCTGGCGTCTCAATGGCACTCATGGCGTCTGATGAGGTTTGGCTGACAATACCGGATTGCTGCGTCCCACCAGCATGGGGTGCCAGGGTTTGGCCAAAGATGCTAACAGAAGAGGATGCTGGGCCGGGGGTTGACGGTTGCGCCATGATGAAACTTCACAGCCACAAAACCATCACAGGCGAGGCCGTGATCAGAGTCGCAGATCGATTGCGACTGATGCAGAGGCAGTGATAGAGGCAGATGTAAAGGAAGGACAGCGGATAACGAGTGATGCGATAGCGGCCTCAGCACACGCCAACTTGCAGTGGATTCGACGATGTTGCGTCTGGACTGGACGGCGCATGTGAGATGAGGGTCGCAAATTTGCGGAGCAATGAGACACAGGCTGTCAATCCCACACCGACTGGGTACGTACCGTTGAAATTTTTCCGCTCTCTAGCCGCGCCACGCCTTTCCTGATGCGGCTAAGGGTGTGGCGGTTACCTGGTGCAGGGGGGTTGCCTGCCGTTGCCCGGCCAAAGAGGCGGTGGCATTAAGTAAATAAAAAGAAACCATTTATGCTCACCGTCTTCTGCACCACTCCTCCGCTCATACTCCGTACTGTACATTTGACTACATTTGATATCAAATATCAAACATCATGGCTACTGCAGCAGTATCAACTCCTGTACAAAAAAACCAGAAGGGGCTCGTGCCCTCCCTCAAGGTCGGCGGAAGAGTTCCCCTCACTCCTTCGCCGCGCAACTCCATCAACCTAAACTCGTCGCCGTTCAACCCTGAGGAGTCCCTTGGCAAAGATGCCAAGGGTGCTTCCAAACCCACCTACAGTGGAAACTTGATGGCTCATTATGGACGATCCTCATCATCATCCACTGGCTCTCAGCGAGAGTCACAGCGTGAACAGCCAGAACCCAAGTTCAACATTGCTCGTGTGGTCCATCCTCCCCGCAAAGCTCTTGCGCTCGGGGTCTCCGACTACGCACTCACTGGCACCGGCCTTCCTCTAAGCCCCAAAAACTCAAAGTCGAAGAAGGGCTCGATCCAACAGAAGCCATCCAAGACGACAGTCAACTACGGTGGTGACCGCTTCATTCCCAACCGGGCAGCTAGTTCTGCAATCGCCAACACGGGCTCAAGCAAAATTAGTGGCCCTGAGAAGAAGAAAAAGAAGCGAACTCAGCCAAGCGTCTCAGAGAGGCCGGCAGTGCCCGAGCCCGAAGAGGAGGAGGACACTGCTTCTGCTCTGGAAGGTTTGAGCATCCTCGATGATGATGCCGATGAGAGCTACTCTCGCCCCTCTCCAAACACCGTTGCCTACCAAGATTCACTCGCAAATGCCTGTGGTGTGAGCCTCAAGACTCGCATCCTCGAATTCAAGCCTGCTGCCCCAGAGTCATCCAAGCCTATTGATCTACGCCAGCAGTACAACCGACCTTTGAGACATGCTGGTTCCGGCTCCGCCCAGGCTCGCCGACGCATCGCTACCGCCCCCGAGCGTGTTTTGGACGCTCCTGGTCTGATTGATGACTATTATCTCAACTTGTTGGACTGGAGCTCTGGTAACCAAGTTGCCATCGGTCTGGAGCGTAGCGTCTATGTCTGGTCTGCAGATGAGGGCAGTGTAAGCTGCCTCATGGAGACTACCCCCGACACATATATCAGCAGTGTCAAGTGGTCCGAAGACGGTGCCTATGTCGGTGTTGGCCTCGGCACTGGCGAGGTTCAAATCTGGGATGTGGCTGAAAATTCCAAGATTCGAAGCATGTTTGGACATGATACCCGTGTTAGCGTCATGGGTTGGAACAAGCATCTGCTTTCTACCGGCGCCCGAAGTGGCCTTGTTTTCAATCACGACGTCCGTATTGCCGAACACAAGGTTGCCGAGCTGGTTTCACATACCTCTGAGGTCTGCGGCCTCGAATGGCGATCCGACGGCGCACAGCTTGCCACTGGCGGTAATGACAACCTGGTCTCCATCTGGGATGCTCGTTCCCTGTCTGTGCCCAAGTTTACAAAGGCCAACCACAAGGCAGCTGTCAAGGCGCTCGCATGGTGCCCCTGGAATGCCAACCTGCTCGCCACCGGCGGTGGTTCTTACGATCGCCACATTCACTTTTGGAACTCGACTACTGGTGCGCGCGTCAACAGCATCGATACCGGCTCTCAAGTCACCTCTCTGCGCTGGAGCCCCCACTACCGCGAGATTGTGAGCTCGAGCGGCTTCCCAGACAACTCTCTGAGCGTCTGGAGCTACCCTACCCTGGTCCGCAACGTCGAAATCCCTGCTCATGAGAGCCGTGTCCTGCACAGCTGCCTCAGCCCCGATGGCCAAATGCTGGCCACCGCCGCCGCTGATGAAAGCTTGAAGTTCTGGAAGATCTTTGAGAAGAAAGCTGGCGCTGGTGCCGGCGCTGCTGGCTCAGGCTCTTCTGGAAAAGCCGACATGGTCAAGCATATGACAATTCGATAGATGGCGGCTCCTTGGCGCTGCTGCTCAACAAACCTCAAGGTACCTTAGGTATACACGCCCTTTCACTGGTATCTCTCTTCTTTTACTGGAGCGTCTGCTTTCAAAATGGCGTTGGGGAATTGCCGTTCTGCGATTCTTACTGCACGTGGTACGAAAGTGCTTCTCCACGGATGAATAAATGGGAATGGGTCAGATCTGAACACGAGCTATGATTGGGATGTCAATGACAAAAAAAAAAAGAAAAGGAAAAAAAAAAAAGAATTTGGTATAAAACTTCATGTAACAGGTAGCTGCTGCATAATAGTTTACAAGGATATTGATTTCTATGGGAAGGTCGGCGTCTAGGGACAAAAATTGAAACTTGGTCTGATGTCTTTGGAGGTTTGGTTAGATTATGTAGCTCTCAATGGAAAATTCGTTTGAAAACCTTTGATGTTTCCCCGTGTTGTTTGGTAGGAGTGACAATAATCTCTTTACAACAAGGCGTCAGCGAGGTATCAACATGGATGCCATCAGTTATGTTACCTGGCCTACAGCAGCATAACTGGAGCCTGAAGCTAGCATATCAATCACTGAGATTATCCGCTGGAGTTAAAGTTCAGCGCCGCCGCCTGCTAGCTGCAGGTGGTGCGCGGAACCGGCACAGCGAGGTGGAGATGACTAAGCAGAAGAGCCCTCTAGAAGTGGAAATCTACCCAGCGCCGCCAACTCTAACCATTGCATACCTTGCAGCTGGACCGACACCATTTGCCATCTACGCTGCACGTCCGAGCGCGCATTCAAGATACGAATAAGAATTGCTCACTTGGAGATTACCTCATCCGTGCTGCACAGCAGGCTCTGCCCTTCTTTTTCTCTGCCAAAGCCGCAGCTGCAGCGACGGCAACGGGTACCAATCCAGTGCTTGGCTGCCAGAGTGGTTACCCACCGACTTGTGTACGCCTACACGCCCACCTAGCGATAGGCTGCACGCTCTTTCGATCAGCCAAGAGGAAAAAAAGAAACAGCAGAGAGAGAAGAAAACTCGCGCTGCTGATACACGAGCATAAGAGCACCTGGTCTTTTTTCTTTCTCGGTCGTTGGCTTCGAGGATCTCATTGCCATCGGGCTACGGTGCGACTTTCCTGGCCTTGGACCTGCGAGGCTGCGGACGGAGATCCCAGAAGCAACTTGAATTGCGACATCACCCATCGCAACACCAGCATCAACCAAGCGACATCGGTGTAGGCCGAGCGGTGCTGCCACCATGTCGAACCAGGCTGTGGGAAACGTTTACCAGACGATCATCGAAGAGGTGATCAACAGCTCGCGAGTCGATTTCGAAGAGAGCGGTGTTGAGGAGGCCGTCCTGGAGGAGCTGCGATTGGTAAGTCAACCAGAGTCTCTTTGCATCCCTCTTCATCAGCCCTTCCACTGGAACCCGTCCGAATCGTCACGATACATTTATCGATCCTAAGCGACGCCTGTGTCTTCCCGACATCGTTCCCAACGAGAAAAAAAAACATGGACCTCTGCACGCAACAGCAAGATGCTTTGCGCGAGGCTCGCGACTCCCTGAGAGGGGAAGCAGAAATCTGGGTGGAGAGCAGTGGCGGGTTGGGTTCGGGGGATCGGGGGGGCGACACAGCACTATTTGGGGCCCTTTTAAGTCCAAAGGCCCCCCTGGCCATGCCAAATTCTCCAAGTCCAGTGACTCCTCCAGGCAGGCAGGAACTGGGCGGCGCTGCCTGATTGGGCCGCTGATAGCCACCTCTCCGTTCATTATCACGTGTGACCAAGTCAAGCTCAACACCGATTGGCACACGCTGTAGATGTCGTCCCATTGCTGCCTTTCTTGCGCGTCATCTGCTCGCTCTGCTTTTCTTGATTAAACAAGCTTACTAACTACTTATCAGGGATGGCAACAGAAGCTGTCTCAGCTCGACGTGGCTCGGTTTCCGTGGGATCCTAAGCCGGAACCTGCCCCACCAGCCGCGTCTGTTCCGCCTCCTAATACAGCCACGCCGGTTCAGACACAAGCTCAGTTTTCTACGCCGTTGTCGTTGCCGACGGCGAGCCCTCCCAGCGGCGGCTTGCCACAAAACGGTATCAAGCAGGAGCCTTATGTGAAGGCAGAGCCAAGCATCAAGCAGGAGCCCGGCGCTCAGCCTGGCTTCCCTTACCAGAACTACAATGGAATGGAAAACAAGGCCGCGAATAGAGCCGCCCAACAGCTTCAAGCTCAATATGGAAATCGAGCAGCAGGCTCCATCAATGCGATACAAGACCGTATGGGGCAGCAGCCTCAACCACAGGGATCGGCACCGGTGCTACCACAGCAGCCGCAGCAGCAGATGCCCCATTCATCGGAACAATCGATGGGCAACGCTCAGGTTGATGGTGCTGTCGATGACATGATGGAAGATTCCGACGACGATGAAGAGACCTTTGAAGGTGTTCTCCTGCGGAACGGAGTCAATGGCAATCCAGAGGAGCTCGGAAGAGTTGATATCGACCGTATTCTCCACGACCAGATTGCTGCTAAAGCCAAGAGCATGGAAGGAGGTGGCCTGATGTTGTCCCTGAAAGAGGCCACAAAACATCAGTCCAAGTCAAGCGCCGCCAAGAAACTGAGGAGCAAAGGCAAAGCTCCCGCTGGCGTAGCTGCTTATGATGGCGGAGATGATGACGATGACATTGATGAGGATGCCATCAATTCCGATTTAGATGACCCTGACGAGGATCGGGATGATGATGAGGTTGATGATGAAGGCCTGGGCCACATCATGCTTTGCATGTACGACAAGGTCCAGCGCGTCAAGAACAAGTGGTGAGTGCGAACCTGCGGGCTGATTACCCGAATACCAAGACGGCAAGTCATGTTTAACCTGTGCTAACTCTCAACAGGAAGTGCACCCTCAAGGACGGCGTCCTTACCGTCAACGGCAAGGAGTACGTCTTCAACAAAGCAACCGGCGAATACGAATGGTAGTGAGTCCACGGGAGAGAAGATGTGCTTACCAATGCCGCTTTGCGACGTCATGCAGTAGTATTTGCTTGGTGGTGTTATACCTACATGTCTGCTTTAATCTAGCTTTTGCTCACGACTTTCCACTTGCATCATTTGCGTTTTTTTTCTATAAAAAAAGTTTACAAAAAAAAATATTAATAAAAAAGGGGGAAACTCATCAGAGCCACGGAGTAGTTACTGCCAGGACGAGGTTGACGGGGGTTTTCAGAATGGATGGCCGCGGTTGTTTTCCTGCTGAGGTTTTTTTTTTTTTTTTTTTTTTCCTCTCTCTCTCTTCTCTCCTATTTCAACGTTGAACACAACAACCGGGACAGGCGCACAGTATGCACCGAGGATATGCATGTATACTTTAAAGCAGAAAATACATTTCAGAATGACATTTGCCAGAGGGCCAAGGTTGCTCGACAAATGCACGTGCAATTGAATGACAAGAGCAAAGTAAGCCCGTTTGGCGTCAAGCCTAGCCTCGGGACCGCCATCGATCAAGGTCGTAATTGTAAGCCAATAGTACGAAGCAGATGAGCCGACCAAGACTTTCGCCTCGGCGTTAATTTGGGAAGGGCGAGCCGCTCCGTCTTTCTGTCCTGCCGGATTGAGGCATTTGGCTCACACCCCGAAGGAGCCCTCTCCAGACCTCCGCTGACCACGACCATGCCATGCTAAAACAAAAAAAGCACAAGGAACTTCTGGGGCCGCGGCAAAGCCAGTTGAGGCATTTACCAAGACAAGGGGTGAGGGCACCGGAAAGCGTCTAGTCCTAGCAGATGACGGCACATTCAAAAGAAATGGCCTTTGAGTAAACGATCGCTTGACGCGGATCCGCTTCCGCGCGTCTGTGTGGCGTCGAGGTCATGAATCCTTTCGCCGTCGCTGACACCTTCGCCGATGCCGAGCCGCCGATGCTGGCTACGGTGGGAGGGCATGAGAAACAGGAGACAGGCCCCGCTTCAGGTCACGAAGCGTCGGCTTTCCTAACTGGAAAGGCTGAGCATTTGGGGCCGATACGGCGTGAGTCGGTAAGAATAGATGGGGAGCACACCATTCCTCTGGGATGGAGCGCGGGGTTCAGCGGCCATCTTCATCTTGATCTTATCCTGGATTTCTTGAGGACAGCCCTCAAGGTAAACGGAGCAGAGCAGGTGGTTGCGCATAAACAAGCACTCACGAGGAGTACGCCGATGAGGAGATGCTGCCCAACAACACAAATGCTTGTCCGATGGCTGTGTTGCCCGAAGGATCCTCTGTACGCAATACTTCCAACGTACGAGCCTAGGATTCCCATGGCATTTACCGCAATTTCGCACCCCTACTCTCTCGACCCGACAGTTTGGTTCACCGAGAGGCGCTAACGACTAGTGGGACGCCGTGCAGATGTCTAGAACGACAGGGGATGAAGGGAAGTTGCCAGGTGGAACTTGGATTCGTCTCTTCCTTGCAAAGCCTGCAAGGTTGAATCTGGGCGTGTATCGCTCGTGACATGGCACCCAGTCGTCGAAGCAAATGTGATCTGCGTTCCACTTACATACTAGTACCTGGGAACCGTACACCGGACCGCCGCCAGGATGCCGGGGAGGGTGATGGTATTGATCAGAGAAGAGCTCACGATTCAGGTGAAGGCTGGTATTGGCGAGGGGAGCTTCATCCTTGCCATCTCCGTTTTTATGAGCATGTATTTAGTCTGCCATACAGAATGTTTCACGTGTAGCTTCGAAAGCCTGGTCGTTTCCCACATCCAAGTACGGGAATTGAGAGTATTCCGACTCATTGAAGCCCCTGATGCAGACTGGCCCTTCATGTCTATTTGCTCTCTGCCAGTAGGATTTTCTGGACTCGCTGTACGAGGATTACGTACCAGTGGAATGGCCTCCAACGGATCAACCACATCGCCATGTTGTTATCAGTGTACTTCTCTGCACAGGGACTGGCCGCTCAGTTTCCAGGCTAGTGAGACAAGACTAGGAATTGAATGGCATCACTTGACGCTTCATGAGATGCGGACTTGCAGTAATGCGGATTGCGGAGTAGAAGTAGTGGCAGGCGTGACGTAAAGCCTTGTACAGCTCTCTCATCCCAGTGGTAATGGTGTCAAGGAGCTGCTGTCGCAAGAGGGAGCAAAAGGCGTATCCTTGTTGGCTTGCACCCACTTGCAGCCATTCGCCGTCGCAACGGACGTCACCCTAATCTTGTCCCGCCCGGCAATCAAATTACCGAACAGTAACCAGGCGTTCGGTAGGTTGCCACTGTCCTTATCATTAGCGAATGAGTTATCGTCGCAGAGAGTAATATCAGTAGTGGGTAACTTTTCTGTCTCGACAGCTTCCCGTGTCTGCTGGAAATATATGAAGGAGGCTCTCGCTCAGGAGCCGTTTTGCCTTTTGTTGCGACAATCAGCCGCACCGGGGAGCACAGGTATGGAGTACAAGTACCCTGTTGGAAGTCGATTCTGCAGCATTTAGTGCAGCGAATGAAACATTATGGACAGGGTTCAGGGATGCTTAATTGGCACCACTCCCGACTAGAGGGTAAAACCAGTAGGCGAAGCGGTAATTTTTGTAGGACGCCAATCCGTAAATCCAGAGTCCAACATTCAGCGTTGAGCATCCAGAGCAGTGTTTTCGAGAGTGTTGTTAGTGGGAAGGAAGTGCTAATCAATGCGAACCGGGATCGTAAACGGCAACCTGAACTCCAGACTGTCCAAGGATTGGGAGGGAGTTGGCAAGGGTTTGAGCGTTTCCGATTCAGCACTAAAGGCAAATGATGAAAAGGGGGAGCGAGAAATAGTAAAGAAGTGACAGGTAACACACGGGGACAGGTCCAAGGTGAGAAGACAAACAAATGAGAGCTGGGAGAGCGTGTTTCGGTTCGGCGAAGACCTCGTCGTGATGGAGATGGTGTGTTGTTGGTTCTTGGACTTTATGCGTTTGGCTAAAGGATACTAGCTCCGCCCTCCTACTCGTATGGAGCGTCCTGGTGTGTCCAGTGGCCCCTCCTTTGGGCAATACGACGCTCTGAGTTACCCAAAGATATTCGAGTCGGCAAGGACTTAAAAGTGGCTACCATTTGAAGCGCCTTTCCCCAAAAGAGCCTTTTAACCAGGCGTTAATAGTGCCACGGGTGGGCGAGGCTTGGAAACATCATGGCACAGAATGGCATGGGGTGTCATGCGACTAGCCGATTCCAGGGGCAGATCCCAGAAGGACTGCTGCGAGCCTCCCAATGGCACTGCGCACGATGTCTTGAATGGGTATGTAGAGTTGCATCATTGCTGAGGCGAGAGCACAAGTAGGCCATGCTGGGATAGTGCTGAGATCGTGGGTAGAATATGCAAATTAGCTCCCACAAGTTCCCTCGAGGGTCAAGTTTGCTGGTTAAAATTTGTGGTGGTGGCTCTCTATAGTGGTCGCTGTTACATCGTATCTATCGAACAGCCCCGCCTGCACCACTTGGAGAGCGACCCAGCCATTCACAGGCGCAGGTTGTCATGACTACCGTGGAGCTTGTTGGTTCCAGGATATTGAGGCCATGATGTGAGGCGGCGGATTTCGCAGAGGCTCGAATGTTGTTGCGGTATCCTCGGAGCGGACTACTCGTTGTGCCATTATGCAGCCACAATCTGGGGCGTGTTTTCTCACTGGAGGTGTGAAACTGGCCGAGGCGCAAAGTCCAGGGCTGCATCGCAGATACAGCACTGCCGCTGGGGGTGAAACGAGTTGAGTTGAGGGATGAAGATGGAGCAAGAGATGAGGCAGAGAAGATGGAAAGAGTCTGAGAGAAGGTACGACCAAATATCAATGGCTTTGACACCGCCTACCTCTTAGAGCAGCATTAAGCCAGCAGTTAGTCTGAGGGTTTATTGTAAGTGCCTACCTCTACGGAGAACAACTTACACTTACGGATGGGGTGACTTCCTGTCCTCAAAAATGCCGACATTGGTGTCTGGACTAGAAATTTTATGACGTGGTTTCTCAAGTTCCCGGGTAATGCAGGTTGGTTCACTTGAGGCTAGTCTGTAGAATAGCACAATGGGAAACACGCGGGCGGCGTAGAGCCACTCATTGAGCAACGATGTCTAAAGCCCTCCAGTGGTCCTAATTCAGAAAAATCTGGTGGCAGTCATATGGCCGGGCGAATTGGTCCTGATGCAGTTGCACTGTACTGATATAGAGAGGGAGGCGTGCAGCTCAGGCCATTTACATCTTGATGCCGGCTAGGTAGGTAGGCAGACCGGAGGCAGGGAGGAGGGTATATCTACCACCCACGGAAATGGGGGTGGTGTTACAAGTAGCCTAACACATCCCATTACAGTAGTAGAAATCCCCAGATCCCACTTGAGAAGCAGAGAAATCGTCTAGCCTACCGGAGCACTCGTATGAGGTGGTGACGACATCCGTGTTGCGGTGTGAATACTGGTGGTTTTTTGAGCAGGCATAACGCACGGATGCCGGTGTGTTCCCTACACCGCACTCCGGCAATGCGACCTTGGGACTAGAGGCCTGGCATTCTACGGTATCTGTTGTGGATAGACCTTGCGATGAGGAAGGTCACAGCCATGGATGCAATCAGACCAGCGCCATGAGAATCTCTAGCCCTTGTAGTAAAAGTCGCCGTCGACGAGAGTGCACTCGGACGGCTTGGGAACTAACCAGCCACTTGCATCCTTGGTAACCCCATGCCGTCAGTAGGAAGCCAGTCTTTAGCACGGGGTACAATGACTGGGTACCTTACCTAGTACTAAGCTGCTGAGAAGTATGTGCTAGTATTCTTCGTACTATGGTCTGTCGCCAAAAAAGGGATGTATACGAGGGACCTTGGAGGGGTGTTTGAACCACTTGTCGATGGGTTTATAGGGCCAATGCATCATCAATCACAGCGTCTCTCTGGCGTGGTGCTCATCATTTGCTGTTGGTTGAATTGCATTGCGCTTTGCCCGTCTCAAGTGGGGCCTCGGGCGGGTCGCGCCGGGACAGCGCAAATAGCATCTGCTGAGCATGTCCTACAAGAGGGAAAAACACAGAGTATCCGTCCGGTCTGGCACGAGGATTTGACGATGCTGTATTTTGCACAGGGCGCCTTGCTGTTCGCACCAGGACTCATCTCATGTCTCTGGGCACAGCGGGTAGCATTGCAGGCATTCTCCGTCAACACCGGCCACATCCCATCCATCCCATCCATCCCTGGGAGCGATGCTTGTACCGATCCCCCCAAGACCATGAGCAAATTGCGGCGTCAATGCAGGCTAGCGACCAATCCGGCGCCCTACAGCACCCAATGCAAGCTGAATGGATCAAATGCTTTTGCTCATTTCTCGGCTCCGTAGTCCTAAGTTGTTTTCTTTATTTCGTCTTGTGATGTCGCGCCAACAAGTCCTAAGCCACTCTGCGTCCTTTAAGACCACTCCTAGGTACCTTAGGTAGAGCATATGCTGGTCAAGTATTCCGTATAAGCAAGGCCAACATAAAACTTGACGACCTAATGAATGGAAACATTGGATGTTAGAGATTGATAGCTTGGACAGATAGATAGGCACTTGGCCACACTCCCCAAGAAGGACCTCAATGCGCCTTGATGTACACCCAAGTAAGGCGCGGGAGCCAAAAGGACTGGACTGGAGCCGCATAGGAATCCGCTGGAACCAAGCCATCGGATTCAGCGCACGATGCAGCCCGCGACAGAAGCTTGTTCCGCCTCTGCTTTGCCGCTACAAAGAACGAGTGATAAATAATGAATCAACTCGCAGCTCGAGATCTCATCTTCATCTTTACACTCGTACGTGTACTGTACGGAGCATCATATGGAGGTACCAAGAGCAAGGTCTACCAGGAGGTAGCATTGACTCCGTCTGTACCGAGGGCAAAGACGTCAACTTGCCCTACCAAGCAGGGTCGCCGATGGCCGTCAGGTCGATCCCGGCACCGCAGCGAGAGGACTGGGCTCAAAGCTCAGGGTTGCATTTTGTCTGTTGGTCCATGGGTGTCCTTGGCCCTTGACGGGGAATAACTCCAGGCAGCGTCGAAATTTTACCTGTACGTACAAGCATCAATATCGGCAGGGTGGGCCCGCAAGAGCAAGAGCAAGACCAAGCAGAGCGTCGGGCCACCAAAGAGTCCAGTCACCACACCAGCGGTCTACTGCACTGTAGGCCGAGTCGTTGGCGCTGTACTGTAAATCGTTGCATGGATTTGATGTTATGCGAGTGCAGGCACAAAGAGGCATCGTCCAGCACCGCGGAAAGTCTTGCAGACATGGATGGAGGACAAGGACAAGGACAAGCACGAGTATGACTGCCAGCCAGCGATCTTGCACTAACAAGCTCGTCTAAAGCTGCCGCGAGGCCCTCAAGCATTGATGACAGACAGGGCTGGCGCATGTCCCCTGGCTCACTGCACCGAGCAGCAGCGCAGCGCATTGATCTGATACACCCTCCCCTAGCAGCGGGCACTAAGAAGGGTCAGCCGCAGGCATGGGATTACGTAGGATTGGGCAGAGCACAGGAGAGGATCCCCAGGCCCCAGGGCAGGGTACGAGCTGTGGATACGTCCCTTAGTACCTAGTCGTAGTACATGCACACCCGCGCCACTTGCAGGGCCCGTACAAGTACACGAGCCACTCGCGAGTACAGGTACCGGGTACCTCGACCACCCGATGCAAGTTACAAGCACTCGTACTATGTACAGTGCAGCGCGAGTACACATGCTGGCAGGTGGGCCGAGCCTGAGCCTGAGCGTGGGGAACGGGGGCGTGGGGCAGTTGCAAAGTTTGAGGTGCGGCTGGGAGAGGCTTCCGGCGCTGCGGAATGATGGCTGGCAAGACTTTTCAAAAAGCCAAGGCAGATTGAGGTGCAGCGCAGTGAAATGAAAAGGACCCGACAGGAAAGGGTGTGGTGAAGCCCAGTTGCAGTGGCCAGGACCTGCAGGAGCATGCGCACTTACGGAGCCGGCGATGCAGACGCCACTAGTCGAATCAGCGTTGGCGCCTGGGCCGGCGGCGTTGAAAGAGGCAATCGATCAAGAAGCTGGGCTGTATGTAATAATGCCCGCCCACATGCGTGTGTCAGGTCTGAGGTTAGGTAGGTATGTACAGGTATGTTACCTATCGACTTAGTAAGATGTCGACTACTACCTAAGGCAAAACGTGCGAGGCTTACATGCTACTTATTCGTACAGCTGCCAAGCACCGCAACGCTGGACGGTAAGATACGATGCTGCATCCAACTGCCTGCGTGGCGAGCGGCCAGTGTGTGAGTGTGTGTGTCTTGTATCGATATCATTTGCTGCAAATCCATGCAAGGACGTCCAACAGAGCGGCCGGGGGATGGCCTGGCGTCGTTGGGGCTGTTGGGTGTTGGTCATCAACGCATTTGCTGAGCTTGCTTTTGTACAAGTACGTTGCAGTCTGTACTACCACCTGGCCGTGGGTGCATTGCTAGGCCCTCGCCTTGAGCCTCTAAAAAAGTGCTGGCAAGAGCTGCGGTGCTTGTGCCTACCTATCCTGCTGTGCCTAATTGACACTGATGTCAGGAATCATAGGTAGGTACCTATGGATATGTACGTTCGATACTGTAAGTACACAGTATATACTACGTATGTCCTTGGCAAGCCGCCGCGGGAGAGCAGCCACAGGCTCCGCGATCCCAAATGCCCATCATCCTGCCGGCATGGGCAAGCCCGCTCTGGCATGGGATTTCCCCGGCTGCTGCGGAGGATTAAGGCCGAGCATGTACTTAGTAGAGACAAGCACTGGCAGTGGCTAGAGCGGCCCGAGAAGATGAGATGGACTGCGGCAGTGGCCAGACAGACTGGGAGGGCCGCACGGGACGGACTTAGTGGCAGGGATGGCCTTCTAGAGAGACTCAAGAGCAAACCTGTGCAGGGAAAAGGGAAAAAGGTACCGGTACTAGCACAGGCGCCGGCGGCCGTAGCTGTACATCCACCGCTTGTACCAACTGGAAAGTAAGCCAAGCCAGGCCCGGCGCCTGCATCTGGGTGCTTCTGGATCCACGCGCCACACCACCTAATTGCTTTCCTGGTAACACTGGGACTGGTGCCCATGTCCTGACTTTCACGTCTTTGCCCAGCTCTGCTTTTCTCTGCGTCTGCTCTGCTTCGTCCCGTCATCTCCATGCCCGTGCTCGCGCCTGTGCTTGTGCTTGAGCGAGAGAGCCAGAGCCTGTGTGAGTGCGAGAGTGGGAGCCAGAGCCGAATCACACTGTACTGAACCACCTGAGTCTCAATCATCACCACCATCCCCGCCAGCGAGTCCGAGACACCAGACCAGGGAAGACCAAGGAAGACTGAAGAAGAGCCGCCCTGGCAGGCCACCAAAAACCTGCCCACCGCGTCTTCGTCTAGCCTCCCTCCACTCTGGCTTCGGAGCTGTTTTGCTCTAGCGCCAAACCGATCCAGCAAATCATCTTGTGTCTGTCGAGGCATTCAGACCGTTGTTATTCGCACTCCTTTGCTTGCCGTCCCAGCTTCTCGGGATACCATTTGCCATTCGCCTCTCTCTCTCTCTCTCTTTCTCTCCTTTTCTCCCTCTCAGTCCTTCTGTCGCTCACTCTCTGCTCCCCATCCTTCGCTGTGTCCCTCTCCCTTGTTTGCCCGCCACGCCAGACACCAGCTCGGCACAATCGCTCCTTTCTCTCGCGCCTTGCTGTCCCAATTATACCACACGCCGGCCTGTGTTGGTGGCCGTCGACCCAAGAGCGAGGAAGGGGGGGGAAAACCGAAGCCCAAAATTTCACTAGAGCCCTTGCCTCGTCTTTGCTTGCTAGTAGGGGAGGCAGGCCATTCATCCTGGGCTCGCGTCAATCCACCAAACCCCAAAGAGCCCTAGGACCTCGCGACACTCGCCATTGACCAACGGCTCACAACGACCATCTGTCGATTCTCAATTCGGCCTCCGTCGACTCGGCCAAACCGTCCTTGTTGGTCCACTCCGGACCCGGGTTTCGCGCCAGTCTTAAAGGGCTAGCCGTCCTCCCCCTCTCCTGCTCTCCTGTTTGCCGAACGACAAATCCGACCTCAACCTTGGAGTCGTGATACTTTCGATACCGCTCTTCTCCGCTCTCTTCAACGTCATTCGCTTGTGTCTTCCAAACGGAGCTTCTCCGCCATTAAAGACCGTTCCGTTTCCACTTCGGCTTGCGCCTCTGTTTGCCCTTGTTTGCCGCCGATTGTCGTTGCTACAACCTGGTGACAAAGGTGCCTGAGGTGACCGGAGCTGAGATCCTCAAGCTCATCCAAGGAGCCCCGTCAGTGTCCAACCCAGCGGCATCCCAAAACAGATTACGCCTCCAAGTCGAATCATCGCTTATTCTATCCTACGGCATCTGCGCGGCTCACTCTCGTGTCACATACATCTGTATCCGTGTCACATCCTTGGGATTTCGACCAGTTGAATTTCTTCATGTAAGTCGCCATCCATCTTCGTTGTACTTCTGGTTGCCCTACACCATCCCGCCCGCCTGCTCGGTTCTATATCCTACTTGATTTATTTGTTCATCATGTCCCACTATCGTCATGCGTGTTGAAAGGCGCCATGCATGCCATTTGTGTCCGGCCCGGGCGTGAGTGCTGTGCCCAGCCGGCATGAATTTTTCATCGGTAGCCAATCATCGGCAGATGACTATTCGCTCCATTCTCTTACCCTATTGTATACATCTTACTGCTTTCCCTTTAAGTGCGAAGCATCTCCTAATGTCAAGTCTTCACGTTTTCCTCTTTCCCACATCATCCTGTTGATTTCTGCTACATCCTGCCGACGGCTGGGTGACGTCTGGGATTTCACACGTTGCATATTTCTTGGGTCAGCCTGAAGCTTTAGTATGCTCATCAGGCCGAGGTCGCAAGTTTTTTCCTAGCAATTAATCTTTCCAATAATGATCCTTTACTAATGATTCGTTATAGCTGGATAATATTTCAACTGGCCGGCCTATCACATCTATCTGTAATTTACTAACGCTTCCGTTGCCCATTACCCTCCCCTGGACTCTGGAATACTTCCCTGGATCCCGCCGACTCCATTTCTCAGGACCTGTATCGCCACCCTTGCCCGCACGAACTCCCAAAGGACTCATCACACAGTCGCCATGTCTCTCAACACTCGAAATGGGTGTGTTCCACCCTCCCCAGCTATTGTTGCCCCGCCTTCGCCCACAAATCTGCGACTAACTGTTGGGGATCCGGTCAGTGAGCCGGCGAATGAACCTGAGGAGCGAGTTCTACAGGCCGGATATTGGGAACATGGCCGCTTTTATGGTTCTTGGAAGATTGGGAAGTACCTTTTCCCAATTGACAAGGTTTGTCTCCGCTTGGTGTCGGTACCCCACATATTGATTCTGACAATATCGTCTAGGAGGAGCTCAATAGGCTAGATATCTTTCACAAATTCTTTATGGTGGCAAGAGAAGATCGCATCACTGAGACTCCCCTTGACAAAGAGGGACGGCCTAAGATTATGGATCTTGGAACAGGCACGGGCATCTGGGCATTCAATCTTGTAGAAGAGTGAGTTTCATCATGTGGAATGGTCTAAGCCGACTGAATTACCATGCTCACACTATCCAGGTTCGCCACGGATGCCCAAGTCCTGGCCGTCGATCTCAACCAGATTCAGCCAGCTCTGTAAGTTGCCATTCAGAAAGTCTTGATTTTGTCAACAATCTAATGCATTGCCAACAGCATTCCTCGAGGCGTAACTACCATGCAGTTTGACATTGAAGAACCTTCGTGGGAACCACTGCTTCGGGACTGCGACTTGATCCATCTTAGATTACTCTACGGCAGCATAAAGGACAACAATTGGCCTGCTATTTACCGCAAAGTCTTTGAGTGAGGAACTCTATATGTCGCGGCTTGTTCATGTCTGACTTATGGTATAGGCACTTGGTCCCTGGGGGATATATCGAGCACCTGGAGGTAGACTGGACACCACAGTGGGAGGACGAAAATATCCCAACGCATTCGGCTCTGCGCGAGTGGGCTCACCTATTCCAGCGCGCCATGCGTCGATACCACCGTAGCGTCACAGTATCGTGTGAAGACGCCCAAGACATGATGGAGGCTGCTGGTTTCACCGAATTTACCGAAACTACTATGCGGTGCTACGTGAATCCGTGGTCTCCCGAGCGCCTTCCCCGAGAGTCTGCTCGCTGGTTCAATCTCGCCCTCAGCCTAGGTCTCGAGGCCATGAGCATGATGCCTATGATTGAGAAACTTGGTATGACCAAGGAGGATGTTCTGGACCTCTGTAGTAGAGTCAAGAAGGAGATATGCATTCTGCGCTATCACGCCTACTGCACCCTGTAAGTCGCTACCCCTATGACGTTGCCACCAGGGCTGTTATTGATCCGCATACAGACATATCTGGACAGCCAGGAAACCGGGTGGAAGGCCACAGCCCCCTCAGCAAGAGGCACTGGCGCCTGTATCGGCGCCTGCAAACGTCTAGAGAGGCCACAGCCCTAGATACCGCGGTTGCTATCGCGGTGAAGGGTGTGTTTATACTTGATGAAATGACCCATTGATGACGACACCAGAGGGTCAATTATGCATCGCCATTACGCAAAAGTATAGACAAAGGGTCTATATGAGAACAAGAAATATGTCAAGGGCTAAAACCCTTGACAGCTTCATCTTCCGGCTATGACAGTTGGCGGATATCACGATATTAAGAGCATTCTTCTGATTGATGGCACAATGATTTCGCGAAATTTAGCGTTTTGGGGTTAACAGCCTAGAGTTGACATGATACCTCTTGCTCATTTACAACGTTTCCCCTTCATTGCCTAGATGTTTTCGAGAAGGGGGAGAGGAGGGGATTGTCCAGCATTTCTTTTTCTTGTGCGGCTTTCATTGTTTTTTTTTTTCTTTCTTTTTCTTTTTCTTTTTCTTTTTCCCTTTAATTTCTAGTGTACGGTATATGTTTTCTACGAAAGAAGGGGAGAGGGATAATGGTAAAATGTACGGATTTAGACGAGCGGGAAACAAAGGTACTAAATGAAGCCAACGGATGTGATGCTTGAGGGTGCATCCGTGCCCTACAGGAAGGGCCATTATGAAGAGCTGGGGGGTTACGCGATGGTTGGTGTTACGGGGCAATGTTATGTAGTTTGTGCTTTTGAATGGTCGATTGGATTCTTTGGATTCTTTGGATTCTCCGTCCAGAGTTATGTTGATGTTGTTGGGTGACCCCTGTATCCTTGGCACGTGGTGAGCAAAACGAACGAGGCTGTAAGATGGACATTCCACCTGGGAAAGAATCTCCATTGCAGCAAAACATAGAAACCCCATTTCCCTCCTTGTCTTGTATCTTGGCTTGTACAATCTACTTCTACAGCATCTTAGGTACAGTACATCTAACGAGGTTTAGTCGAAAAAAAGAAAGAAAAAAGGAAAGGTTGGGAGATGCGGCCCCGTATGGGGCAGATCCGCTATTTCCACAGAGACAGGGGATGGGTATGCGAGCAGACAGGGAGAAAAAAGATGAAGGGAAAAAAAAGAGAGAGAGAGAGAGAAGAGGAGGAAACGGCTTCATGGGGGGATGGCAAAGTGGGAAATGAGGCAGAAGTGGCGTCTACTGATTCAGCATTTTTACAAGGAAAATGGTGGTTGTTCCATTCTGTGCGTTCTTTTGGTACCAAGTCGCGACAGACGTGAAGCATTCATATACATGTACATGCACTGGAACTTTCATCAGGGGCGAGCCAAAGAATACGACTCGTCGGCAAAGGGTATCGCAGTGACCGGGGAGGGGGCAAGGGGGGACTCAAAAAACCAACTACTACTACTACTACTACTACTCTGTCCATATTAGTGTTGACAGCTCACAACACACGAGCAGGGCAACTCGCGATTCGCGCGGACAAAGGCATTCCGAGATGAAGTGTCTCTCGACAAAGCAAAAAGCCGGCAAAAGGAAGAATTACGACCAGTCGGCTCAAGCCCATACAGCCACGAGGTTGCACCGATGTTACATGTCAGTTGACGCAAGGTTGCTAGCCGACAGCCGGTTTGACGGGGGTGCCCAGAGAGGTTGGTCTTGACCATCCGAAGAATTCGTCATGGATTAAGTAGCTGCTTCTGCTGCTATGGCATCAAGCAAGTCTCTGATGTACATGGTGTGTGGGTGTATGCGTGACAAAAGGGGTGTTACAAAAAAAAAAAAAGTCAAAAACCAGGTTGCTCACACGTATACACTCGAGGCAAAAGAGGGATTCTCCAAAATGTCCAAGCCCAAGACCCCTTCCTAATCCCTCCTGAGTCTCGCCTCGTCTTGCCCGCCACGCATTCTCTCACTTTTTTTTCTTCTTCTTTTGCCCACCAATTGGTCACACCAGATATCCCTTGCTTCATCAGTCAGGGGTTGTCACACCTGACCATGTTTTCCTCTATTCCGATCCGCTTTGTCTATCCGTACATGCCGTTTTTCGTGTTTTTTCCTATATGGTATGCGTGTGTTGCGTGCGTGCTTGCCATCTCTCCTCTTTCACTCTCCATATTTTTTTTTCTCCTTCTACCACGGACACTTCTCATGTTCCGAGCATCAACCAAGCTTGACCGAGTGGGGCCAGGCTTGAATCATTGATGCCTGTATATTTTTGGCCTCCTTTAAAAAGAGGAAAAGGAATTGGAGATTCGCAGACACGTTTAGTGGTGCGAAGCGGTCTCTCCGCGGTAGCCAATCAGCTTGAATCGGCCAATCATCTCGCCAACAGTGAAGAATCCCAGGGTCTCAGCGAAGATGACACCACCAGCAACGAGCTGGCCAGGAGTCAGGCTGCGGGCCTGCTGGAGGAGGTTCTGGGGAGACCTGAGGATGGCACCGCTCTGGATGGATTGCCACAGGGACTGGTAGAAGGTCTGGAAGGTGGCAACGGAGCTACAGGTCGAATGGTTAGTGTCACCACTCGGGCATGTATAGAAACGGGTCGCTTACGGAGGGCTCATCTTCTGGGCGTGGAAGACAATCTTGCCAGTCTCGATGGCGACCTTGCCGTAGTAGACGGCCTGGGGGGTTTGCTCTGCAGATTCAAACACGGGTCAGCAAAATGCGCGGGGTTGGGCAGGGACAGCTGCGCCACGTACTCTCAACGAAGCTGATGAGCTTGCCGGTGCGTCCACCGACCTTGCCGAGCGCGTTGGTGAGACCGCGAGCAGCGCCGGCAATGGCAGGGCCAGCGGCGCCCGCGACGCGCGACAGGCCCTGCGCAGCCTTTGCCTGGTACTCCTTGGCCTTGTTGGCAGCATCTTTGGCGGCATCGGTGGCCTTGCCGGCGGCAGAGCTCTCGAAACGGCGGAAGGCAAGCTGGCGCAGGGCCGGCGAGCGGAGCATGGGGCGAGCAAGTGATGAGGGGGCCATGATGGCTGCTGGTGAGGAAGTCTGGCGGTTGGACCGGAGAGGTGAGAGAGAGAGAGAGGAAACCGGGTCGGCTCTAGGGAGAAGCGGCGGGTTTCGAGGAGGCTCGTCTCGGTGGCAGGGAATCGCTGGCCGGGGCGCAATTGATGGGGATTTTTTTGGGTTTTTTTAATTTTGGATACTCAGTATGAGGGAGAAAAAAAAGCTCGGGAGAATTCGTGAGGTCGCAAAGCCGAAAGGTGTGAGGTGTGGGGGCTTGGCCCGTTTTGGGAAAGCACATCGGAGGCGAGCGCTTGCTGCTTTCCATTTGCCCAGACGACGGGTATATGTACTTAAGCTTGTAACTTCAATGAAGTGCGTACCTAGGTATCCAGTACTTTTACTGCTAAGTGCGTGCATGCTTCAAGTTCGTACGATGTTTTCGCAACACCACCTTCTACTTCGATTTTGGTATATGTAGAAGCACCACTACTAACCTGATTTCAGGTATATTATCAAGTCAGATGGCTGTTTATTGCTTTTATTTTATTTATTTATTTATTCCAAAAGGCATCAACTGTGAGCGATTATTGATTTGATTCCTCTGCATTCTCATCCGCCAAGCCATCATTTATACGCTTTTGCATCTCGCCATCCTGGAAGAAGCATGACCAGGGGGAAAGGGGGGAAAGGAGAAAGGAAGAGGGGGGAGAAAAAAAGAAAAGGAAATAAACATTGAAAAACGATGCTCCGAGACGCAGTCAGCCAACCCAGTATCTGATGCTTGCAAACCCTTCCAGCCGATCCTTGTTCCCCCCAGTTCTCATGCGCAGTCATCACCTTAACATCTACAATGCGCAGCTCAACCCTCAGTCCAGGCTCTGGATCATGACCTTGATGGCGCCGCTCTTGGGATCTGCTGACGTCTCAAACGCCTTGACGGCCTCTTCCAGCGGGAAGCGATGCGTGACAAACTTTGACAGGTCGAGGACGCCGCTCTCAATCAGGCGGATGGCTCGCGGCCATGTGTTGCTGTAGCGGTACTGCAGCTGGATGTCGACCTCTCGCACGCTCGCACGCATAAACGGGATGTTGATTTCGTTCTTGCCCACGCCAATCACGAAGACCTTGCCTCCAAACTTGGTGGCCCAGATGGCCGACGCAATGCTGCTCTCGACGCCGGTGCACTCCATGGTCACGGCGGGCTCGATGCCGCCAAAGGCGCCGACAATGCCCTTGGCCGTCTCTTCAGCCGACTTACCAATCTGGATCTGATGCGTGACGACGCGGGGGCAGATTTCCTTTGCAAACGCCAGACGACTCTCTGAGATGTCGGTGATGACCAGAGGACAAGCACCGGCGGCAGCGCAGCAGAGCATCGACACGAGACCGATAGGCCCAGCTCCGCAGACCAGGACGGGGTCGCCGAGTTGGACCTTGGCCCTCTGCATACCGGCCAGGGCCACGCTCAGAGGCTCCAGCAGCGCGCCGTTCTCCCAAGACATGTTGCCAATCTTGTGACACCACACGGCTGGGTGGTTGACGTAGCGCCGCAGCAGTCCGGGCACCGGTGGCGTGGACAGGAATTCGACCTTTTCGCAGCCATTGTAGCGACCCGTCAAGCAGGGCTCGCAAGCGTTGCAGATGACGTTGGGCTCAATGGCAACCCGATCGCCGACCTGGAGGCTGGTGACAGTCGGGTGGACGGCAATGACTTCGCCAGCGGACTCGTGGCCGAGGATGTGGTCGCCCTCTACAATCATGGGTCCAATGCACCCGGCGTGCCAGAAGTGGACGTCGGATCTAGATGAATTCTTGTCTTTAGCTGGCTGGTCCTCTGCGCTTGGGCGCCGTGCAGGAACAGGCATAGACGTATCACATACCCACAAATACCAGTGCTACGAACGGCAATGGTCACCTCGCCGGGCTTGAGCTCGGCTCCAGATTTGACGGCATCAGCGCTGGGCTCGGCTTCGCTAATCCAAAGATCATGCTTGGGGTTTGTGAAGACGCCAATGTTGGGCTTGACTGAGATGGCCGCCCCTCTGGCCTTGGGAGCGTCATCAACCGCAGAGGGCGACATGGCGAGCTGTATGCGTGCTAGCTTGCAACAAGGAGCTTGGGAACGTGGAGAGATGTCGGCCTTTGAAACAAGCACAACGTCAATACCGGTGAAGGAAGAAGCAGCGAGGAAGATGCAAGTTTGTATATTTATACTTTGCCCTCTCTCTTTTTTTCCCACTCCTCCTCCAGGGTCTAGAATGGCTGCAGCGGCGGCTATAAAAGGTAAGGCATCGACCGAGTCCACCTCCAAAGAGCGTTCTCCTCCCCTCTCCGTCCCATGCGAAGATGATGTGGGGGTCTATCAGCTTCCCATGCCTGCAGCGAGCATCCCCGACTGCTAAATGCTTAGCTGTGCTGTGGCTCATTGCCCAACGGCCATGTTTTATTCCCCAATCCCCAATCCGGAGCGATATTGGGCCCGGAAATGCCTAAGCGCACTTATAACCACACAAGGCCGTCCGGGGCCGTTTAGACGGGTCCGATCCTGACCCGCGCCAATCACGGTGACGGGGGGACGAGCAAATCAAAGCCGCCGCCACTTGTGTGGACCGCGAGATTTCGAGTGACCTAGGCAACCTTTTCCGTGGGAGAGGTGAACAGGTGATGACTACGGAGTACTCGTACTTGTGCATATGCTGAGAGATGAATGGGTTAGACATGCATGACAAACAAGTTCATCTAGAAGCCGTAGAGCTAATACATATTAGTTCGTTTGCCCGAGTGATAAGTACCTACTGTACGTTGCCAAGTTGCGTCTCTTCCTCCGGAACAATTATCACCAACCCTGTTGCCATGACACGACGCAACGCAACCTGCCAATCAAGAAAACACCCTTCGGAATTAATCTGGAGAATCTCCTAGTTCGGCTTCACTACACACTCCATCTCACCTGTTTCTGGCCACCTCCTCTCTCCCCCACACCTAATGCGTTGAGAAAGCTCGGGCTGTGACTGGCACGGATATATACTCGGTGGATCTGTGCTGCTTTTCATTTTAGGCATGTTCCATCCGTTCAGCCCCGTGGCCGTGGTCGCAAGCAACATGGCGACGGGATGGGGCTGCATGAGCATATTCGGTCGAGTACCTACATGAGCGCCTGTATTGTTTTATTTTTATTTTATTTTATTTTATTTCCCCCCTTCCTTTTCTCCGTAATACATGATTCATGATGCTCCGTCGTCGGTTCCGTCCGGATTGGCTACGAAAGTGGCTTATTTGGGTAAGCTACGTACTAGGTAGCTTGATAAAGCTTGCCAGGCTCCGTAATGGATGATAGCGGTAGCTGCAATACTTTCCATACGCATACACCTACCTATCTGATCAAGGTTAATGGCAAAAAAAGAAGAGACGGGGGAAATATATATATATATATATATATATATATATATATAAGGAGTAGTAACTGAAGAACAGAGCAAAAAATGAAACTTTCAATGCGTGAACTGGGAATCGAACCCAGGGCTCCCCGACGTTGCTCGGATGGCAACGGAGAATTTTACCACTAAACCATTCACGCTGGTTCTTTGTTGAAAACCAAGTATCGGAATTACCATTATGGATTTGCTGCAGCTGAGACCCCGGAAAGCAATTTCCCCTCCGTCAACACAATATCTAGATGAAAGATTTACCCAAAACAGCCTGTAAATCATCAGTTCGCATAAAGAAACACCTTCAATAGAGGCAAATTCCAGTTCCAATCCATCAGCATATACCTTGCCAGCACCCCTATCCATTCCCATCCTCCAGACAGCCCGTCTTGTACGTCTCCTGCAAACAGTGCTCCGTCGTACCATCGATAGAATCTAGTACAACCGTAACACGCGCATCGGTTCCCACCAAATATGTATGTTTGCGTTCGCTGGAAGCCACGGTAGGTATGCAGTAGGCTGTCGTCTACAGTAGGAGCTGATGTCCCACCTCGTTGAGCCCAGTTAAAATGTACAGTGAATCACAGGTTCCCTGCTGCTTCTGCTTGTAGATGCTGCAATCAGGATAATGTCTGTATCGCAATATCGCATACTCTACAAAATAGCAATGCTTGCTTGCTAGCTTACCGTCTTCACGGTTCCCCTCATCGTCTGATTCACGTACATGGACGACATGATAGACAAACTCGTGCGTAGGTTCCATTTTGATCGCTAGCAAGCTTCTTCTATTTGCAGGCCGTCGTCCCATAGTTACACAATATCTATCCAGGATCTGCTGAGAGCTCCCCTAGCAAACATTTAAGATCGCCGTCAAACGATGGGCACATGAGTAGCATCAATCAAGAGTAATGGAATCCGTTGAGCTGTTAAAAGTGGGCCAATCATTTCTGTATTCGATCTGGCCTTGCTCTACCCATGATAACAGGGTGAGGGTTCTAATGCAATTATCGTTCATTCGTTTCCCTTTTTTCTTTCCATTGGTACGCCGGTCCACATTTTCCCAAAACGCCAATACCCATTGCTCCAAAATATGCTCTCCTGTTCATATTGCCATACTGTCCCTGAGTAGTCTAGCATCGATTCCGTAGCCGCTGTGTAGGTGTAGGAATATGTTGCGGCCAGTCCTTGATGCCATCCAGATGCTACTGAACGAGGCCCGATACCACACGACGGTGCTGGGCTATGCCTTAATTACCAACGGAGACGACAACATCGCCTTTGCATTTACCGTAGGAGCAACATGCAGATGGATCCATGTCGCCTCGGAGGATGGCATCCACCTTTACCTAGAAAATGTCAATAACCATCCTTCAGTTAACCAAGGCATCAAACTCTTACATCTGGACAGGGGCCCGAGGGACCAATAGGTGCTGAAGCGACGAGCAGGCCCTGCAGGACTGCAAAGCCTGTCCATACAAGTGCTGACTTCATGATGCAGACGGTAAAGAGAAGAATCAATAGTATTTGTTCAAAGTTTCGCGATTTGGTATCCCGTGACAGAGGATATGCGATGGAGTCCCTATAGGGAAATCTTTGGAAAGAAGATTGAGGAAATGAGGTGGAGGAAGCCCAGAGATGACGTCCGAAAATAATCCTGCGCCGTTCCACTCCCTTAATGATAAGGAGCCGAGTGAGTGAAATAAAGTTGGCCAGAGTTGCGTAGATGGGTCGACAGAGTTGCGAGAGGTGGCGGAAGGTACCCTGGGTCCTAGAGTCTGGGGCTTGTTCTCGAGGAGGATCTGCGAGTAAACCTTATATATATGGATGGATATATGTCTGCGTGCCCAGGTATGTATATACACATATATGCCTTTGCAACGCTACGGGCAAGACCAATAGGTAGGTTGCTATACCCTGAGTTGTTAGCTTCCGGCTCCTCTGTATAGTACATAGAGCTTGAGAATGCATGTGATGCCTACCGCAATACAGGTATGTCCTTGGTAGTATTGAACAGCCGCGACTTCCCCTTGGTACTACAAAGCACCCAGAATGTACAGGATAGAGTAGGGTATCAGTCGTTGTGGAATGAAGTATCGAGTCTGGAGAAGATTGCCGTTGAGCAGGACAAACATGGCGGTTTTGTGCACCGCGGGAGGAGGGCGGGCGCCATATTAGTGCCTCGTACCTTATATCGCGTTCCACTTCTGTATCTATCTTTGCGTCACGATAGCTCGATGTGCTTTGCTAAATCTGCCAAGACCCGCTACCGTGGGCTTCTGAATACGAGTTGTTTCTCTGTGGCTGGTCAGGAAGACCCTTGCTCGGTTCCGCTGCCCTTGCTGCACAGGTATGCACAGATGCAGTATGTTTCTCTGCTCCTCGCTTGTCGGATCTTGGTCGGCACCCTTGAGAAACACTTCAGGGACTTTGTGCTGCTGCTGTTGTACATGGTGTTGACGAGGTTATCGCAGCCTTTGTACTGTGGATTTTTTGACTTCAGGTTTTTTTTTTTTTTTTTTTTTTTTTTTCTAGCAGCAGCAGCACTGCCCAGCAAGTTCCACCAAGAAAATAAGGCATACGCAGAAGGCGGTGGGCAAAGTACGAGCATCTCCAGCGTGGCTGCCGTATCTACATCGTGATAGTGGACCACCGAAAAAAAAAGCTAGCCATCTATTTCTCTCGTCAGACGATCCGCCCGTGACTGGCAGCTGAGACGAAACTGTTCCAACTCCCCTAATGTCTTTCTTTACTCACTCTCATTCTCAGCACGAAATAATTTTAAAAGACCCCTTGTGCTGAGGGACAGCTGTTTCAGCGGCCTCGTGTCTTTGTCGCGTCAGCATCGCCCCTCGGCACACTCGCAGCACAGCACTCCTTATCCAACAAAAGCCCGTCTGATCTCATGTTGACAGATGCTGGGAATCCACCGGCTAACCAACCCCCGTAGCTCTTATTCGTCTAGGTTGGACCCCGATTATGACGACACAGCCGTTGCCGTCACAGCTCCCAAGCCAGGACCCTGGTCCGTCTCTTCACGAAGCTCCATAGAGCCCACATGTGCCATCCAGCTATTAATACGCCGCTTCCCTTGTTTTTCTCAATGCAGTTGTGGCCGAAGAGCAACCCGAAAATGCTTGGTCGAAGCACGTCCATCCTTGGGTTCCCTATCTGATTGAGTGGCCGGGGGGTTTAAGGAGTAGCTTGGGGAAGCCATGCAATAATGCACATGTACTTCGTACGGAGTGGCCGTATTACCGATTACGCGATAAAGGCATTTCTTGCAAACCGTGATATCGTCAACTTTTGCTCCCTTGTTAACTGGAATGGCTCATTGCAGGCTCCAGGCCTCAAGCCCTACGCCTGCGAATACTACAGTCGCCGCGTCGCTCTCCAATCCGCCGACAGCTGCGATATCTCCAGCATCTGCCACGCCGATGCACTCTCCCCTCATGAGCTCGACATTTCCATCTCCGCCGCTGGGGATTCTCCACAGCTTCACGCGCTGATCGTTGCTCACACTGATACCTACGACTCCCGTGCGTCGACGAACTAGTAGGACACCTGCGATAGCTGCCGCGTGAGCATTGCGAACGATGCTTCGCCTTGAGAAAGTCCAGCTTGCATCGTCTGTGCTGCCCGAAATCCGACCGAGCAATGTTACCCCTACACTGTTGTCATCGCCTCCAGTAAACACTTGATACCCTTCTCCTGAGTCCATCATGTCTAGGCTCTTGATGCTGTTTTGGTGCAACGAAACCACCTGGTCTAGGACATATTTGCGCTGCATCCCTTCGTCTGGCTCGGTTCGCCATAGGGCAAGGTGGCCATCTGTGGATGCTGTGAGGAGTATTGGCAGCTGATCTCGCATGCTGAGATGGCGCGTTTGAGTAAGACATGCTCCTGTGTACGTTCCCTTGGCAAGGAGTTCAAATCGGCCGCCATCGCTTGTGTAGCGATATGTCCTTAAGACCGAGTTCGAAAACCCCATTGTCACCACTATGCCACTTCCATCATCAGATCGACAAACATCAAAATCCATGATACGGAGATCGGCATCCGCACTCTTGTCGGTAAAGACGCCCTCGCAGACGACTGCCAGCCCCTTGTAGTCCGACTCCAAATTCTGCACTTTCCATACAAAGAACTCTTCATTGCCAGCGCTGCTGAAGAGGTAGTCATCTCCCAGCCAAACAAGTTTTTGGAGGCCCGTAATATGCGTCTTCATGGACGCCACGCACCGCAGCTCCGCCTGTGCATCTTCTCCAATACACTGATACTCCCATATCCGAATGGTAGTATCCTCAGCACCTGTAGCAATATAACGGCCATTGGAACTCAGTGATCGAATCTCCCTCCCATGGATTCCAGCCTTCACCCATTCGTGCGCCATGTGGTCTGATGAGGAGATGGAGAGTTTGGATGTCTTGGTAAACGCGAAGCGATACCGACCAGGTATTGATTCACTGTATGTTAGCTGAAACGTCCGATGAGCTCCGCCGCACTCGATAGTTGCTAATTCTTCACGACGTGTCTCATTCCAAATGACGAAGTCCTTGCTTCTAAAGCCGTATAATACGAGCTCAGGCACCTTGTCTTGGGTAAACCATGCACCAGCAATCAGAGGCCCGAATGGTGGTGAGGTTTCGTGTCGCAGATGAAGAAGAATGGATCCTGGCTGCCGATCCATTTCGTATATCCTGTACTTTCCATCACGGGTTGTGACGAGGATATAGCGAGAGGCCTGTTGCGAGCCTGATTTCGGAGGGAGTGGGAGAATGGCAGTGATAGTATCACGACTTCGTGTCGCCATGTCTAAGATTGGGTAGTACGATCCATCCTGTTTCCGGTCAAGAATGGATAGCCAACCGTGCCGAGACCCGACGATGAGCAAGTCATTCACTTTCCCAGCCGCTGTAGGGACGAATCTAGGATCGAGCCCTTTGGTCTGCCCTTGACTGCGTACATCCCCCGTAGAGACATCAATCTCAAGGTAGTGAGATTCCGCCCTTCCATGGAGGAAGACCAGCACCTCGGCCAAAGGATTGCCCGATTCATCCCTACTTTTGCTTGACAGACAGTTCATTTCGATGATCTTGCCCGGCATGGAGGCAACGTGCTTGGTTTCCCGGGAGGAAAGATCGAAGTAGTAAATGTTTCCACTTGTTGTGCCCAGGAGAGCTGCCGTAGTAGTAATGCTTTTTACGACATAGCATAGCTTCATATCTCCTCGTAGCTCTTCAGCAACCTCAATCTGCTCCCACTCTGGTTCAAAATAAGCATCTTTGAGATGACCTAAAACAAGCCTTCCGAGGCTCGTAGTGATAAGGATATGGTCGTGGGAGAGAAAATCGTAGCGACTGATAATCTCTTTTGCGGGTGTAGTTGATTTCAGTGGGCTGACAAGGCCCTTGAGAATGTCGTCAGTGTCCAGAGTCACCGCACCGCCAAGACCATTCAGTCGTTCGTCGACTAGAGTGGGCTCTTCGATGAGACAAATTTGACTATCGGCGCCGCCGGTGGCAACGAGCACAGCCTTGTCTTCAAGCAGCATGGCTCTTGACCAGAGATGTTTCCCGTTATGCAGGGAGAATGTCTTACTGTGAGACAGTTTCCCTGTCAGAGGTCTCGCGCCGACATCAGCTTCCCCAGCCGACGCGGCATGGCTAATTTGAAGACGCCATCTCTGTGCCGTTGCATCCTCTCCAAAGGAGTAGACAGACATGGCATTCTCCCCGCATGACTTGCCGAATTTGACTCCCCATATGCGCGATGCGTGTCCCATTGCGGCGGCAACAGGAGCACTCCTTTTGCTAGACTCTTGGGTGCTATCGTCGTCGTTGATGTCGTTACCACCGAAGCCAGTGTTGATAACCTGGGTGGGCTGAGAGGCACGAGATTGGGTACTGTCCTCTTCTCGCTCCGTAATATCCCAAACCCGAATCGTTCTATCGTCGCTACAGCTGGCAAGTATCCGTGCCGTGCTACCGTCCGAAAGTGTAATTGTGCAAATATCCACGCCGAAGATGGAGCCCTCATGACCTTCGAAGTTGAATAACGTCTCAGTTATCCCCCTGCCACCTTCTTTCAGACGGCATTTCCACACTACGACGTGCCCAAAGACAGTGCCGCCGGCCACTAGAATAGTATCATTTGATATCCAAGTAAGATGAGCGGAGTAGAGCATTGGCCTTGAAGGTGCAATGGCAGCGCTAAGGATAATCTCTCCGGTAATGGAAGAGTATTCCAAAGGGATGACTTCATTGTGAGCCGTAGCCAGAACGGCGACAGAAGTGTCAATATCTGAAAAAGAACCATGATATATCCAATCAGGAGCCGTCGCCCTAGCTATCACAAACGTCGGATCATGCATCTCAGTAAGACTCTCAACAGGTAGGATAGCTACATGGCAAAAACCCCATACGAGAACCCGCCCATGCCGCACGTGGATCCCATGAATGGGCTGGTCCGTAAATACGCTTGTCCGAGAGACGAGACGTCCTTTGTGCTGTCCATTTTTCGCCTCGTAGACAACGAGGTCAGAGTCCTCGCCGGCGAAGACGAAGAGTTTTCCGGATGGGGCGCGATATAAGGCGAGAGATGTGATGGGCACATGGGAGAGATCCCGCTTCAAGCCGATTTGGGTTGTGGCCTTGGATGATTGATTAGCTGCGTCCTTATCTGAGTGAATACTTGGAAAGGCTGGGGAGGGGGGAGAAGGACGAGGTTGATGCTTGTCGAAAGCAGAAGGAGGGGCAGTTTAAAACGGCATGCAAAGACGCACATGAACCATGATGATGCACTCGGTAGAGCCGTAGATTGACAGTGGCCCTTTATCTTGTGAGCCACGGGCTCAGCGAAGCAAATGCGTTATACAGACATTCAATTCCGGTGAGTGGACGGTTCTTTACTAAATCTTGCCGGTGTTGTTGAGTGCGTGATGAAATATGTGGTGCCAAAAAAATTTGTGCATGCACCTACTATTACCTATCAATGGCTACACCACCATCTCACTAGCACATGTCAAATCTCGACAAGAGCACAACACATCACGACAGTACAATTGTCATCAAACACGAAGCTGCGATAAAATGTGGTTTTTAAATTTTCTTGTCGTTCATTCATAAATGTATCCTCCATACTCTATATACAGATTGTTCCCACCATCTTGGGTATCCCAACTGCCAACAACTAACTGTGCCACCCCGTATCCATCCCATACTCAAAATTTACCAAACGCCGCGCAAAGGAATGTATAAAAACGCATCACAATAAGCACCCAAGTACTTCTTCGGTCGTTCATGTATTCAGATGTACCACAAGTGGTCGGTGCCTTCTAGCCCATTTTTTATTACCAGGTCGAGTCACCATCCATTTAGGCACGGTGAGAGTAGGGCTCGTAGGCAAGGTCGGATCGGCCAGAGCCGGCGGCAAAGCGAGGAGCAGAGGAAGTGTAGCCGGTCTGCTCGCCCAGGGGAGCATATCCACGGGATCCAAATCCGCCAGCAGGCAGCAGCTTCTCGCCATCGCTGGAGTGGTGGTGGCTCTTCTGGCGCTTCTCGGGCTTGCAGCAGCAGATGGTAAAGATCCAGAAGAGACTGGCACCAAGGCAGAAGGCAGCGCCAATCCAGATGATGGCAAGGAAGCGGCCATCAAGGTGAACCTTGGCACCATAGAGCGACTTGGAGCCCTGGACAACACCGGCAATGATGCCAACGGTAGCAGTGGAGAGGGAGCAAGCAATGATGACGAGGATGGTGGTAATAACAGATTCAAACCACGTCAGGCAGGAGACGGCCCGAGAGAAGTTTGAAAATATGCCAATGAGAAGCTCCAGGCCAAGAGCAACGAGGGAGATGATAAAGGCAACCTCGGACCACTTGATAAGCTTCTGGAAGACCTTGAGGGCGTCCTTGACATCCTTGGGCAGCTGGATGGTGGTGCTGCCCTCCTTGATGTCATCAACGTTGATCTGCTTGCTGGCCCAGTCGAATTGAGCCTTGGAGCAAGTCCACTTCTTGTTGTCATCGGAGGAGCAAGATCCCCAAAGCGTGAGGTCATAGTACTTGTGGAGGCCAAGGGCTTCGGCAGTGATGTTATCCGTCTGGGTCGCCTTCATGTTGAATTCGGCTCGCGAGGTGAGAGACTTCAAGGTCAGCGGGCTGACGCTCAGGTTGCTGAGGTCCACCTGGATGAGCTTGACGTTCTCGTGGGCAACACCGGCAAGAACTGCATAGAGCAGAGTGCCGATGGAGGCAATTGTGAGGATCAGTGGCAAAGCCACACAGAAAAATCGACCGACACCCATGCTGTCTCGATTTCTGGTTTTCTGTTTCTTTTGTTTATCGGTGGGGGGATTCCGTTAGGCAGAGGGGTTGCTCTGATATACAACGAGAGGGCTGGTCGACGTCTCTAGAGCAAAGATCGACCGGTGCAAAACGAAAGTCGTCGAGCTGACGCAAACGGTGACAAGACACAAAACAAGACGGGATGAGGATGAGATAGACAGCGGGAAAGGGAAGCATCCAGTTGGGCACCAGGTGGTTTTAAAAGCTGGAGCGGGCTGAAGAAGCGTCGTTGCTTACCTGTTAGTGGGCTGCGGCGAGTGGGTGGCGCAGTAACAGAGCCCAGAGGCGTTTGACCACTGTGCGAGGGTGGGGTGGATCCCTCGGTGGGCAGTGCGAGATTCGCATGCAGTTGGGACGATCCAGCTGGTGCTGACAGTGTCTGATGGCCTCAACCCAGCCGATATGGTTAAAAACGCGCATATGGCCACAGGGCTTACTCCAGCGGAGAGGTCAGTGGGAGCTGCTAGCAGGGCCTTGCAGGGGTCTTGGGACGTTAGCACGAGGTGGTGCCAAATACTGTGTACTGTGCTGTACAGTGTCTTGATGTCAATGCTCTCGGCTGGATCTCCATGATTCGCAGCCCGGGTGGATGTGATGCACGTTACTGAACCTGAACAAGTGGCGTTACTAAGACGCACAAGCCCAGGTCCATAAATAGCCAGCACCTGTTATAGCTGTTGTTCCTTGGAGGTGGCTCAGTGCGAATCCAGATAGCGCTCGTGCTATCTACAATTGAGCCCGTGCTAAGGCGCGGAACTACTGCTGGGCTTCCCTGTCGTGATACAAATAGCTACCCCATGATAAATTGCCCGTAAGCACATGTTTTACGCCAACAGGAAAGAAACAAAGCCGTGCTATTTTGGCACAACCGCCCAAGGCAAGGCCCAGATTGGTCATCGTGGGACTAACTTGGATGGCACCTCGCACAGGAACGAGCAAAAGTACGGAGTAAGAGTCCAAGGAAATGCCCCGGACTTACTGTTGGGTTGAGGCTGCGGCCTCCAGGGATCAGGATGGACCAGACATCAATCGTTACTATACTTGTACTACTTGTATTCCGTGCCCCGCTGGAGGTGCTGGAGGGCTCAAACACCCAGCCCCGCGTCATAGCTCGATGGATGGCTGGCGACGCTGCGGTGGCTGGAATGTCGAATCCCCTCTCTGCGGGATGTCAATCAATTCCTGGGTAGATCAGCAGCAAGGTGGCTTTGGATCTTCAGTGACCAACCTTTGCAGTAGTGCTACAGTAGAACGTACGAAGTAGTCCGTACGAACACAATAACCACTGTGATACGCGTATGAGTCGTGTTTCTCTTTTCCTCTCTTTTTTTTTTTCTGGAGCTGCTGACGCCAGCAGCTGAGCGCATGTGGTTCCTGGCGCTGATCGCAGAGACACGCATCGCCTAGTTCTGACTGTGCGCGGAAACTCGCTTCCGAGACCAGGCTCGAAATCCCCCCCCCCCCCCCCCAGCGCGGCTCTTGTCGAGCTGCGTCTAATTCTGCAGACCCAGGGGGGAAAAAAAGCCTTCCTGGCAGCGTCGAGCATCCAGACATTCACGCGTAATCCGTGCCATGCTTGCTTTGGGTGTTTGTTTCTTTCGTACAGGGTAGACGAATCCCTCGCTTGGCGGTCGAGGCACAGCCCAAGACTAGCTCTGAATAGTTGATGCGCTAGTGCCAGCTGTGCTGTTCTGCCCGACAACTGGGCTGTGAGGCGAACCATTCCAGGTTCTCATGTTCTAATTTTAGCCATCCCGATTGCTAGGAGTGGTATTGATTTTCGGACCTGGAGTGTCACCACTACTGGGTAGCGCCCAGTAGCCAACGATTACCTCTACAGTACGGAGTACAGGACAACATTAAGCCTGCGCAGAGGAATTATCGTACTGCTATATAGAGTACAATCACTGCTCTGGGCAGGTATTGAGTTTGGAACACGGGATGCTGGAAATTCAGCTTGGGGAACTCCCTATTGACTATTGCCTACATGTAGCAAATCCCTGGGTCATTGAATCTGTCGAATCAAATGGAAACGCGGAATGCCTCAGCTGGACTGATTGGGACAAAGCGGCACAGATAGCTTACTCAGGAGTGCAAATGCCCAAGGCGGAATTTGATAAGCAGGCACTCAGCTTCGGATAAGAATTTGTGTGAGTGCGTGCTAGGGAAGAAGCTCATGCATGCGATCCCTCGCTTTTCCAAATTTGCGAATCTGGTAAGATCCTTCCAGCTGCCTTAGTAAGAGCGGGTGTCATTTATACCTATTTCCAAATCCTTCTTATCCTCAGTAATCCTTTTTTTATCGTCCATCTTTTCACAACTTTCCTCCACTGCTCTCTTGCATTTAGATCGTGGTCGATTACTCATCTGCTTCAGCGCTTGGCTTACCCTCATGTGGACACTAAACACTGCAGTTTTCAGTTCCGATCCATGTGCGTGATGTGGCCAACACTCTGCTTCTGCAGCCCTAATTTGGGCCACTCTCACGTCAAATTTAGCAACCCAGTCCTTGACACCGCAAGGATGGCATCTTTCCAAATCCAAGGCAGGACTACGGCTATATGAGACGGTAGACTAACATGTGTTGGACTGAAATTGACACCAGAAGCAAGCGATTCAACTACATGCCGGATAACTACACCTTCCTGGTGCCTCATACCCGTATAATCGTGATGATATAGACCCGACGTACCGTGCCGCACATAACAGGCCGTCTGAGCGCCACACAATGGAGCCTGTGGGAGCCTGACGGGGCGGAACTTCAAGCGGGTCTTGGTTGAAACTTGAACAAAGAAGAAGAGCAGAGTAACCAGTACTATGTACATGCATCCAGCATCAATGACTTCAAGGTTGGTAATCATTAAAAAGGCGGTAAAGACGAATCATGCATGCCTCTTTCGCCACGACACAGCGCTCATCTCACTCGCCGCTCTAGATTGCCAAAAGACCACCGTGATATATTGCTGGTCCATTGACTCTCAAGATGGCACAACAATTCTCACCCATTCTGATAGGACCAAGTGATGGGATGGCCGAGAGAAAGGTATTGGCTTGGCACCAGCTGATCAATATACTTCCCGAGCAGGCGATTCTGACTCACGGCAAACACGCAGAAACGGTGTCGGAAGCTGCTGCTTGATCTCTCCTTGGGGGCTGTTTCCTCACGCTAGAATCATTTCACAAGGATTTCGCGATACCACACGGGGAGAAACGGGAATTATCTCGATGTGAGCATCCTCCGAAGGATGTAACCGTCCACAGAGGCCATGGAAGGGCGGCCGCAAAAGAAAACAAAGAGGAAAAAAAGAAAAGAAAACCCCCCGATGTGACACTATTCCGGATTAACTTTGTGTGATTGAGAAGACTGGGTACCTACGGTAAAGTTGTACTCTGTAACAGAAAGTGTTTTGTTTGAGGCCGAACAATACAAGGAGCCGCATGCCTGGCGTGGTCGAGTGCCGCTTTGAGCCGCATATTTAGGCACGACGATGCCGACGATGCCGCCTAGGCAGTAGACATTGCCTAGGTTAGTAGCTCTATGCATACGAGTACTCGCCACCACGAAAACTTGGATAGATTCCGGGCTTCAAACGATGCCACATGGTGATGTGTCAACTGTTGCAATCGTTGATGGCATTTGCGATTTCACAAGATTGAACCCAGAAACCCGTTGCGGCGCCGGCACGTGCCTGTCGAGTCGGTCGACCTGCGCTGCAGGGGGGCGGCGCAACGAACGAGATGCTGGGCTTTCAGTGGCTCCCGGGCTCGTGGGGGCTGGACTCGGTCTGCGAAAGCGCAAGGCCGGACTGGGATTAGGCGGCCCCGGAGCCGTTTAGGGCCACTAGGGTGAACGCTACAGCGCGCTCTAGGGGGGCCCTGGCTGGCTGTCAGCGCCCAAGATGCCCAACAGTGACCGGGGGTTGCAAGAGCATTGCGCGGCATTGAAGGCATCGCCGCCTGTTTTTGTCTGGTTTGTTTACATATGTACTGTTTTTGGTGGGCCATGCACTGTAAAATTCTTCGTTGCAAAGGCACGACTCAGTTTCGCTGATATTCATCCATGATTGATTGCTCCCAGTTTTGGCTCTGGCACGCTTCTGTACCTACGGATTGATACCAGACTCGACCTGTCCATGTAAGCACTTAGTATCAATCACTCCTTACCTAAGCCCTCCCGCACACCCTCAGTGTCCGCGCCTGACGGGCAAAAGGTCCGCCTCGCCGCATCCAGGGCCCTTCCGGAACCGACAGCATCCATTGATCTCGAGTCTGTTGCCTCTCGACCCAAGAGAGCCAAGAGGGGGTTGTGGATGGGTGTGAAACCTTAATCGTGGGTCAATGGTCTTCTGCCCCGGCGGCTGTGTCACAAGGTTCCGGCTGGGCTCGTCCGCATCCAGCTATCGACCCCGCGGCCATTCACAGCTTGTCGTGTGTTGGAGTTTTTCTCATCCCCTTCCTCCCTGCTCGTGGCCCATCGCCATTCTTCCGAGTATATACACATACACACGCATATATATACAGTATATCGCCATCAGCACTTTGAACATTCTTCTGCGACTCGGCACATCAATACACTTAGATCGAAAGAGCAAACCTCCACCAGCCATCTGCGGATCGCGCCCCACTGGCCGTTGCCCAACGCCCGATCCGCACGGTAGGATCCTGGATAACAAGTTCCCCTCTTGCCTCGTTTTTTCGTTTTCACAACCAAGGTCGTAAACGCGAAGAGAGAAAAAACATTACATAAACCGCTGCCGACCGGCGTTACCAGCGTGTTGCTCCGTATCTACAAAGCTTCGGCCATTCCATTCCAGTCTGCTTGCCTGCTTCACGACACCATAAACCCCGACTCTGACTCTTCCAACTAGCCCAGGCGAGGCGGCGTTAGCACGTATTTACACTCGCCGCCATAAGCTTGCCGAGATAGGAGCTCCGTGTGAGCATCGCCACCCGGGCCCGTCCTCATACGCCGTCTGCACCTATTGCTGCTGATGTATGTTGCATCTGTTTTCTTTTCTCCTCCCAACCTCCATCTCCATCTGCATCTCCATCTCCATTTCCCGCGATACTGTCCCCTCTGGCGCGGCGAAGCCACAACCAACATCAACAAGACGCCTTGGCCGTCCCGAGACCTTGCCCCTCCACCCCCCGATCCATGTCTTGGAGGACCTGAGGCCTGCCCGTGAGCTGGCGCTGGATCTGCAAAGTACCTCTTTTCCAATTCCGTTGCATCAAGATTTTCGCGTGTCTCTGGCAGAAACCTGCTGCTTCGTTCCTATCGCCGCATCGCTGTCGCATCCTTTGCTCGGGACCGCGTCACTCGCTGCGGCGCTGCCATCCGCCATAGCCGTTCTGCTTCCCATTGCTTCGTCCCCATTCTCCAATACCCTGACTATATCCCACCCCGCTCCTGCGCCCTGCTGCAGTCCCGCGGATGCAGTAGACACACTCGCTCCGGATCGGCCGCGCTGATTCCGCCGTCTAGATTTTTTTTTCTCCATTTCCACCGTGGAAATCGCCGGCTTGACTTTTGGTGGTTCCTGAGCCGGAGTGCTGTTTCCAGAGCTGCCAGTCTCGACCCAGAGTCACGAGCGACCACGACGTCATCCGCAGAGCTCCGGTAAGCTCCTCCAAGCTGGCCTGTCTTCCTAGGCTCTCGCCTAAGACAACCAAAACGGACGCTCCAAGGAGCCAGCGGTCCTCTTTCTTTACCGACCTCGGTCGACGATTCCATCCTCCCTAAGACGAGCTGGGACTGCTGTTACTCATACTTTCCCACCCCCTAACGACTTTTGCCTCGGGACCGCGCGAGCTACTGAAAAATAACAATTCTTCCACCGACGACGGCCTCATAACAGGGTCCGCCAGTGAGGCAACCCAGTGAGGCAACCCGACCTGAGCTTTCCCAACCTCGCCACTTTTTTTTTTCTTCGCAGTCTTTGAAAAGACTGCCCTCACCCTGCGGGTCCTTTACCCTCATACACTTGATCCGCAATGGGTAACCAATCTTCCAAGGAGGGCGGCTCCTCGTCCAAAAACGGCTCCCCCTCGGGTGACGCTCTCTCGTCGTACCCTTCATTCAGCAAATCAGACACCAAGGACTCAACCCGGTCTTTTCGCGGGCTGCGGTCCAAAATCCCGGGTAGTGGTAAGACTGATAGCCCGAGAAATTCGATTGTGGGCAACGGCGACTCGGGCGACGCCGCCTCGGTGAAATCTGGGAGAAGCGGTCGCTCCAGCATCTCGCGTTCCGGCCGCAGCACTGATACGATCCCTCTGAGGGGCAACTCGACCGACCTATCCGAGCCGCCTTCTCATGACGACGACCAAATACCTCCGCCATCACCAGTCTCCGAATCAGTCAAGAGCGGCGCCCACGACGTAAGCGCCGCACAAGCCTCAGGCGAGGTCGATCATGTCTCCGACCAGCCTCCGTCGGCTAATGCCAGCCTCAACACGCATCTGCTCCCCCCAGGCCAGTCAATTCTGGTGAAGCGCGACGATGCCCCCGTCAAGAAGAAAGCGCCCAAGAAGCCAAAGAATGACGCCATGGGCATGGATGAGATAAAGGAGATGGACCTCGATGACTACATTAAGCGGCTCCTCGATGCTGGATACGCCGGCAAGGTCACCAAGAGCGTGTGCCTCAAGAATGCGGAAATCATGGCCATCTGTGCGCGTGTCCGAGAGGTGTTCCTAGCTCAGCCCGCTCTACTGGAGCTCGATGCTCCCGTCAAGATCGTTGGTGATGTACACGGCCAGTACACCGATCTCATTCGCATGTTTGAGATGTGTGGCTTCCCCCCGACGTCCAACTACCTCTTCCTCGGAGACTATGTCGACAGAGGCAAGCAATCCCTCGAGACGATCCTGCTGCTGCTCTGCTATAAACTCAAGTTTCCCGAGAACTTTTTCTTGCTGCGTGGAAACCACGAGTGCGCCAACGTCACCCGAGTCTATGGCTTTTATGATGAGTGTAAGCGAAGGTGCAACATCAAGATCTGGAAGACGTTCATTGATTGCTTCAACACACTTCCTATTGCCGCCATCGTGGCCGGCAAGATCTTCTGTGTCCATGGAGGTCTATCACCTGCCCTGAGCCACATGGACGACATCCGCAACATTGCCCGCCCGACCGACGTCCCTGACTATGGACTGCTCAACGATCTCCTCTGGGCAGATCCGGCCGATATGGAGCAAGACTGGGAGGCCAACGAACGAGGAGTGAGTTATTGTTTTGGAAAGCGAGTAATTACCGATTTCCTCGCCACTCATGATTTTGATCTGGTCTGCCGCGCCCACATGGTGGTTGAAGACGGCTACGAATTCTTTAACGATCGAGTCCTAGTCACCGTTTTCAGTGCGCCGAATGTAAGTCTTCCCAAACCAGCGTCTTGGAACCTGCTACAGTTCTCGATTTTGACTAACCTCCCGCAGTATTGTGGTGAATTCGATAATTGGGGTGCCGTCATGTCTGTGTCTTCCGAGCTGCTCTGCAGCTTTGAGCTCCTCAAACCCCTTGACTCCAGTGCTCTGAAGAGTCACATCAAGAAAGGCCGTAACAAGCGCCAGCAGATGCTCAACAGTCCGGTAAGTGAGCTGTTCGGTCTTGGAACGACTTGTAGACTAACGATTGATAGCCCGCAATGGTTCAACCACAGAGTGTCTGATGACGAGAACCTTGAGAGATCTCGCCCGTCGGGTACATCTTCTCTTTTTATTTTTCCACTCTGCGTCTCCTTCTCTTCGCATCTCCGTTCCTTTATATCATGAGAAAAATGGAAAAGAGAAGACTTGAGATTGCCAGTAGACAGCGCCATCCATCTTATACATATCTTAAGAGGAGCTACGTGTCCATGTGATCAGGATGGCAAGACAACACAGCATGTGGCTGCCGCAGCCACGGGGTAACAACCGTGCCAAGCGGTTTGACTGGCTTCATCTGAGCAGTAAGACGTAATTGTCTGAGCCAAGACCTGGAACGGTCTCTTGGCACTGCGCCCTTTGCTATGGGGCCTCTTTTTTTTTTTTTTTCCTTGGGCACAGCGGAAATCACCACTTTTTTTTTTTTTTTTTGCTTTTCTTTTTTTTTTTTCAATACAAGTCGGCGCCGCGGGTATGGGAGGACCAACAGGTAGATGTTCAAGTCTTGTAGCGAGGGAGGACTACAATCATGGCATTGGGAAGCATTGGCTTGGGATTCATACAAGATGGGCTCGCGCTGGAAGTCTCTGTGGCATCCACTGCGGCGTTAGATGATGTGCCTTTTGTCTTTTTGTCTGGTCCAGCTTGGAGTAGAAGATTTATTATGGGAATTTCCGGAACAAAAAATTAAATTGAAAAAAATAAAAAAAAATCCAAAATTGGAATGATATTTGCCCCTTTGAACCTTTTGTGCGACCAGCCCGGTAAGCTTTTAACCTCACGGCTTTATGAATTTCTATAAGAACACTCTCATCCCTTCACCTATCTCAAAAATCTTGGCTGTTTTATCCTACGCCTAGGTAGGCTTCATCATATCCTTGAAAGAAATCACAGAGCCTGGAGCTAACTGATGCCACTTGCCAGTATGGAAAACTCGAATGGCATGGCCGCCTACGAACAACTCCAAGGCGAGCCGGTTTCCAGTGAGCTTTTTCACAATAGAATCACAACCATGCAGGGTCTGCTTAATGCTCTTGAGGACTCGGCCTTTATTGAAATCGACACAGAGCATATTCCCATCGTAAGCGAAAAGGACCATATCCTTCATCAAGTCGGCCTTGCACATGATCAGACTTTAGTGCAAGATTTGCCTCCAAGAACTAACCAGCCATATCTTCAATATCAATCTCGTTAAAGAAAAGCAAGATGAAATTATTCGTCTGAGGGGGAAAGGTGGCGTGCCAACTCGACGTCGTCACCGTTTTGGCCGGGAGCAACAAGTTGATCTTGAAAATTTAGAGGGAGCCATCGTAGACTTCATCCAGGGCTGCGATAGCAAGGCAAACCTGGTGCTCATTGGGTTCGAGATGGCAGCTGAGTGGACATACTTGTCGAGAAATTTCCCTCAGGCCATACCTTTCTTTTCAGCCTGGGTGGATCTTCGGGATATTGCCAAAGATGTGACCTCGTCGGTTGGGATTATCCCTGGGTTGGTGTCTTTACTCAAAATATTTGGATATCACTGGAAAGATCTTCAACCGGGGAGGAAGAATCTCACTGACGGCATTGCTGACAATGCCGGAGATGATGCCGTAGCAACTTGCGCGTTGGCTAATGCTCTTCTTGATTCAGGAAACCAGGAGAAGCTAAAGTTCCGACGAGAATGTGGTCGAATCGCTCGCATTTCCACTAAGAAGAAAGGTTTCTAGGGTCCTAGCATAGGGATCGTTTCATTGCAACAATCAGCACCAAGGGGCCGCTCTCATCCACGATTAATTCAGGGATGAAAGTGGCCCGCTAGTTCTTCAATTATTCACCACGGTCTGTGGGATATAATGTCCAAGGAGGTGGCGTATCTCACATTCAAAAATCATGACCAAATGAATCAGTTTGTCACAGCTACAAATGGGCTGGCATTATCTATTGGTGAAACACTGTCATTTCAATGCTATTCTCAGGAAAGTAGAGTGATTGAGAGTGAAGATGGTGAGCGAAAAGAAAAGCAAGAACTAAGACGTAGGAAGAAGTTAGAACGGAGCTCTGTAGAGGATTCAGCAAATCTTTTTTCCACTCAGTTTCATTCATGACATTTTCTTTTTTAATTAGGCCCAAAAATATCAGAACCTTTTTATGCAATGAGAAATAAAAGCTGCTTCCTCAATAAGTGAAGACACATTCTATAGTAAACTTGCACTTTTGTTGTGTCGAGTCCGTCTTGTTGTATGCTTAGTCATCAGGCGGCAGAATTTGGTTCTCTGCATCCAGACCATCCCACATCACCACAAGAAGATTCCAAGAACCACCAACCGCAACAATGAGCTCTCAATCTCTCCGCTCGATATATCGAGCGCGGCCAGAGCTGAGGCAGGCCGGATATGCCCTAAGAGGCTACTTTCGCCAATTCTCCACGACGCAATCGCAACTTGACGAGACCCCGGCCGATGGCAATGCCAAACCTACAGCTCGACAGCGAACCCGCGCAGCGGCCAGCGAGATCAATTCCCTGGTGAAGAACCGAACCCCTGCCCAGGGAGCCCGAAAACCGACAGATGCTGCAGCGGCGCCAGCACAGCCGAGAGTCATTGATGTGCGGAGTCTTCCCAGAGGAGGAATGCTTCGGGGGCGGGGCGGACTGCGAGGACGAGGCACAGGCGGGCCAAGTGCTGCAAGTGCTACCGGCGCTCCTCGAGCTGCGTCGCCGAGCGGGAACCGATTCTCGGCCGCCAACAGGGGGAGGGGAGGTCCTGCGCCTGGCGCGGGACGGGGAGGACGAACGGCCGGACGAGGAGGAAGGCCTGGCGCGGGCAAGGGCAGGGCGGCCAAGAAGGCTGAGGGCGAGGGCGGCAACAAAGCGGCCGGTGCCGCTGGGCCGCGGGGCAAGAGGCAGGATCCCTTTGAGAGGATGGATCCCCAGGAGCAGCAGTTTGACGACGCGGTGCGATTTGGCACGCGGACCGAGTACAAGCCCTCTCTGACCAAGGAGGCCCTGTCGACGTTTGTGCCGGCAACCCCCTCTACGCCCGAGGGCCGCCTGGCCACCGTCATGGAGAACCTCAGCATCATCGGCGGCAGGGCGGACCCGGTGGGCATCCCGCAGAACCTGCAGGCGAAGACCTACGCCGACGAAGTGCAGAGCAACGGCGCGCGCTTCTTCGCCGACGTCAGGGCCCGCGAGGCGGCAGAGCAGTATCTCCAGGACCAGCGGCGGGAGCAGCTGCTGGCGGAGGGCAAGGAGGTGCCCGCCGAGCAGCAGCCCATCATTCAGGACGCCGGGGAGGCTGTCAAGAAGGCCATCTTGGACCATGCCGTGGCGGGGAAGCACGAGACGCCGCGGTTTGCGACGGACCCCGTGGGGATTTCGAGGGCGTGGCATTTGCGGGCCGGGACGTACACGCAGAGGGACGTGGAGAAGTTTGAGAAGAAGCTGACGACGTTGCTGGGCGTGGGAGCAGGTGCTAAGGGGGGGAAAGGGGGTAAGAATGTGAAGGCTCAGGCGAAGGCTTGAGGCGGCAGGACATGATGAAGACGACGAGAAAAGAGAGAAAAAAGACAAAGTATTTTGTACGATTAAAAGAACGATAGAAACACGGCTGTTTTGATGTAAAAATCTTGATGAATGGGAACATACATGTTCATATACGCTGCAGTTTCTCTTATGATATTTAAATCTGTATTATACAAATGGGTATGGGCGGTCCTCTTTATGCACATACGCCGGGAATCTACCTGCTAAGCTGCTTAATTACCTGCGCCTCCTCGCCATCAATCTCCTTCATCTTCTTGTCCTGCAGCTTCTGCAGCTCCTTGTCCGCCTTCCTCACCACATCGGGCAGCACGGTGCCGCTCTTCTTCCAGTCCTTGAGCGCCTTCTCGTGCTTGGTGCGAGCCTGGCGCACGCGGTCCCTCCAGCCCTGGCAAGCGTCCTTTACACGGCGCACGAGGTCGTCCTTGCGCTCCATCTCGACCTTGAGGAGGAGCTCGAGCTCGTTGTCGTCGGAGCGCTGGGGCTGCTGATTGAAGTCCTTGCTGGCCTGGACGGCGGACATGATGGGCTTGAGGTAGTCGCGCTCGTTGACGAGCAGCGAGATGATGCGCCCTGAGCGAGGGACGATCTGGGCGAGCTCGCGGAGGGGGAACGAGACCTTGGAGCCATCGTCATCCTTGATGGCGATGGCGAGGGCGCCCAGGGCGTCGGGGTTGAAGCGGCCGCCGTGCAGGACGGCCTGGAGCTGGGCCTTGAAGTGGGCGTCGATGGAGACGTATGCGGCGGTAACAGAGGAGAAGTCGAGGGGGTCTTCGGGGTTGGGATGGCCGTGGTCAGCTTTGGCGGAGCTGGGGGGAGATGATGAGGATGAGGGAGCGGCGCCGGCCGAGTCTGCGTCTCGTGAAGAGGGGCTGTTGCTTGCGGCGGCGATTTTGCGCTTCTTGAGGAGAGGCGCGGAGTTGCTGAATGGACGGACGGGAGAGGGGGCGTGAGGGGCTCTGCTCGTGTGTGCGACGCTCGTCAATGGGAGGAGAGAGGCGAAAGTGGGAGAGGAGAGGCCGGAGAGATGGCGTCTGCGAAGTGGAATGTCGAGGTTAGCTTGCGGTGTTCTACATGTTGCTTGGCAATTGGTTTCACGAGATGCTCTTACCCTTCTCTCTGCGCAAACAAGCGCATTCCATGGTTGGCAAGGCTGCCAGAGCGAGAGAGCGCCATGACAATGGATGTGTTGGTGATGATGGATGGATTAGTCTCGTGTTTCTTGTAAGAGCTTGCAGAAGCTTGCACGAAGGTGGGGTGACGTACTTGGGACCTGCGACGAGCTGATAAGATAAGAGGTTGACGAGCACGAGAGTCTACTTTTGGACTTTTCGAATAGAATGACGAGCTGGATTGTGTATCTGAGTGGTTTCTAATGTATGTTTCTTGACTTCTTACTATAGAATATTCGAGAGAGATTGACATGAGCAGATTGAGATCGCTACGTGGACTTGGTACTTTCTATGGTAGTGGAATGCTGAGGTTATGATGGCTGTCTCACTTGATCAGACAAGCTACCTACAGATCCCTCTGGCTTACCATAGGTACCTAGTAGCGAGCGATAGGGACATGACTAAGACTCAAACATGAGAATACAGTAGAATCTTCACATGTTCTAATATATTGGCTTGATCATTTCATCACCATAATGCCCTCTCGCGCTCCATCTTTTCATGCGAACGTCCTACCCCGCCATTAGTTCATCAGGCAAAAGGGAGAATTAACACCCAATCCACAACGTCACAGCATCAGATTCGCAGAATCAAAAAAGAGAACAGATGATATAACCTGAACAACAGCAAAAAAAGAAATCTCAGTCTTGAGATATGACCATGGCAGGGGTCGAACCTGCGACCTTTCGCGGTATTATTTGTAAGGCGACTGCGCTAACCACTGCGCCACATAGTCGTGTGACTAATTGTTGGCAATTGGCAGAAAAGAAGAGACTATAGAGCTTAACACCATTGAGGCCGTTAAAATGGAATTGATGACAATGCAGTGCGGTTTATCATAAAGAATAGATAGAATTGTGAGATGGCTGTATCTCTAGCAGAAGTCTGATTCCCTTTTCTGACTACATTTCAGCTAGATTTGCCATTTCTAGCTGTTTTGATATTACTATATGCTTTTTTTGGTGCCACTATTCACTGAGGCCAAGCAGGGACTACGCCAAGTTATCATCCAGGCAGGGAAACACGACATGCTTCACTTCCAGTATTGATTGCACAGCATGTGTGGGTAATATCGTTATTTCATTGTATCATAGAACGCTAAAAAAAAGTATTGCCTACTCCATCCCGACTTTTAATTTAGCTCTGCAGAGGCTTGCCCATGCCGCCATAGGTAATCATCTTGGTGACCTGGTACTCGGCAATACCATACTTTGATCCCTCTCTGCCGAAACCGCTCTCCTTGACACCACCGAAAGGCGCCGCAGGGTCAGAGATGATGCCTGTGTTGACACCAATCATGCCAACCTCGAGAGCTTCGGCGACTCGGTGAACTCGCTCCAGATCGCGGGAGAAGAAGTAGCCAGCCAGGCCAACCTCGGAGTTGTTTGCCAGCTGGATAACCTCGGCCTCGGTCTTGAAGGGGAAGAGACCGGCAACGGGGCCAAACGTCTCCTCCGAGGCAATTGCCATGTCAGCCCTCATGTCGCGGAGGACAGTGAGCTGGAAGAAGTTGGGGCCGACGTCGGGCAGCTTCTGGCCACCGACGAGGAGCTTCGCGCCCTTCTTGACGGCGTCTTGGACGTGGGCGTCGACCTTTGAGATGGCACGGCCGTGGATGAGGGGGCCGTGGGTGGTGCCCTCGGTAAAGCCGTTGCCGACCTTGAATTCCTTGACCTTTTCGACAAACTTGGTCACAAAGGCCTCGTAGATGCCCTCTTGGACGTAGATTCGGTTGGCGCACACGCAAGTCTGCCCTGATGATCGGAATTTGGATGTGATGGCGCCGGCCACAGCGGCGTCGAGGTCGGCGTCGTCGAAGACAATGAAGGGGGAGTTTCCGCCGAGCTCCAGTGACAGCTTCTTGAGAGTGGCGGATGACTGCTTCATCAGGAGCTTACCGACACCAGTTGAGCCGGTGAAGGAAACCTTCTTGATGGTGGGATGAGTCGTCAACAACTCGCCGATGGCAACGGTATTGTCCAGCGTCGTCACAATGTTGACAACACCCTTGGGGATACCGGCGCGGTGAGCCAGCTCAGCGAGCGCGAGGGCTGTGAATGGTGTCTCTCCGGGCGCCTTGACCACGACTGTGCATCCAGCTGCCAGGGCAGGTCCGATCTTTCTTGTGATCATGGCAGCGGGGAAGTTCCATCTATGGTCACTTGCGTCAGTATATACATTCCACGTCGAGAAACAGTTGCTCCAACATACGGTGTAATCAGGCCACAGACACCAACGGGCTCCTTAAGAGTCCACACTCGGTTTCCGGGCACGGTGGCGGGGATAACATCGCCGTATGTGCGAGGCGCCTCCTCGCTGAACCACTCAAAGAAGTTGGCAGCATAGGTAGCCTCGCCCCTGGCATCCGCAAGCGGCTTTCCGTTCTCCCAAGTAATGAGCTGGGCAATATCCTCGGCGTTTTCCAGGGCGAGGTCGTACCACTTGCGCAACATCCTGGCACGCTCGCGGCCGGTCAATGTGCGGAAGGTCTTGAAAGCATCGGCGGCAGCAGTGATGGCTGTCTCGGTGTCGGCGACGGTGCATTCGGGGGATGTTCCGATCAATTCGCCAGTGGCAGGGTCTAGAATTGGAGAGGAAAATCGCTGGTTAGCTATTTTCATAGAAACACCCAGAAAGATGGAGATATGAGGCGTGGCTCACCATTGACCTTGAATGTCTTGCCAGACTTGGCAGTCACCCACTCGCCATTGACATAGCAGACATCCTGCTTCAGCAAGGACGGATCTCGAAGCTGCACGTTTTCAATTCCAATTAGCATTCGACTAGCCCTAGAAACTGGACAACAGGCGATTGCGCCACAGTGCACGCACCTTGGGAACCATGGTGGAAGCTCTTCTGTATAGTATTGACGAGATACCGGGGGCAAAGCGCAAGGTCGAAGGAGAAGCGAGTCTATGCAGTAACGCCATGGGAACAAAAAAAAAAGAGGGGAGAGGATGGCGAAGAAAAGAGGACGGGTCAACTTAATATACGCTCGTGCAACGATACCGGCAGCCTCGACTTACTCGAGACGTGATTGGAAATGCAGAATGCGGAGGAGACAACCTTGACGACCGGCCCGGGTCAAAAGTGCGGATGGAGGCGGGGAAAGGCCAGGAGATGCGCGCTGCTCAAGTGACGTCTGCTGTCTTGGAAACGCGGGAGGGACTGCAGCAGCGGGGTCACAGGGCAATGCCGGCAATTGCCAGGGTCCAAGTTCCGATTCCAAGCGCTAGAAGCGTGGGTTTGGGTTGAATATTCATTATGTATCCATTATGTACAAGCCGGGCCGGTCTGGGAAGCCACTCCGGAACTGGGCCGGAACGGGAGAGTCCGCCTGGATCGGAGGTCATTTGATTACTACAAGTATGTGCACCGACTCATGCCCCCGGGAGAATGTTGGAATTGGAATCAGAATTTGCTCAAATTGGCTGGATTGTTCATCATATGTGGGTATAAATATATAATACAAAAGAAATGAGAAAGATAAAGAAACAAGTATAGGTGTGGACGGTGGCAATCTTTGGAGCGGGATTCCGTCCCTTCTCCTTGCCATTCGGCCTCCAGGGCCTTGTATCATTAACCGTCATATTACATGCGAAAAAGCATGGAACGCCTGGCGCCAGTTTTCCCACCGAGTAACCCAAGCCGCCCATATATCAGTGGGCGTATAATAGAATAGAAAAGAAAAAACAGGGCGATTAAGAGTATATCATTGCCTCGTGCTCCTGCCTTAGCGGAAGCTTTCGGTCGAGGATGTGGAAGGCTTGCGTTCTCGGTGTGAAAGGCATGGCCCCCGATGCCATGGGGGTTTTGGTCGGCCAACCGGACATCTCGAGGCTCTTGCCCTCCTTGATACTTGGCGCCTCGTCATCCTCATCCTCATCAGTATCCAGGTTGTTGAGAGGGTTGGGCCACATGCAATAGAGCGAGAAGCCGAGAACGATCAGGTATACGGTTCTGCGCATAAAGTTAGCATACTTGTAGAGACGCCAGGGCATAGACATCGGTTGAGGCTTACAGCATGTATAGCGTGATGAAGAGCGAGCCCTGAGCAATCTGGCAGTTGGTATACTGTCCATATGGCTTGGCCATGTCGCAACCATATCTGAAGTACCATGCAGCAGGGGCCGGATATCTCGGATCGGTGTAGTCGCGGCCCACCTGGCCGTAGACGCTCACGGCGTAAAGAACAACCAGGGCAATGCTGGACAAGGTGGACAGGACGGGGTACCAGATCCTCATGATGACGGCGATGAGTTTGGTGAGGAGGAAGAAGAGGGAGATGACGGAGATGGCGACATTGTAATCGGTGAGTCTGTTGTGGCACTATCAGTAAAGAGGTTTCCCTTTTCATCGTGGGGGTTGTAACTGACGTTCTTGACCAGATGAGAGGGAGTTTTGGCTGGGCCACATGGTTGGCATAGGCAAAGAGGATGATGTCTGGGTTTGAGTTGAGGCGATGGTCCCAGCCAATCTTCCACATGGCAGACCGATACAGATCAGGCTGGGAGAGACCAAAAATGGTCAGGATGGGCACGAGGCCTATGAATTCCGCCAGCATCAGCCAGCGAATAGCCAGTCTTGGAACTCTGGGCCATTTTCGGTGCAGGATGTGGTAGGTGAACGGCCGCCTTCTGGTGTCTAGGATGCCCATTTTGCTTTATTTTCTATCAAAAGCAGACTTTGGTTGCTTGTCGATTGGAGTTGCCCGAAATCCCGTGGATGTTAACTCGATAATGGTTTCGTCTTCTGCGCGAAATTGAATCCGCCAGTCCTTCGTTATGCAAGGGAATCGAGAGCTCGGATGCGCGCTTTGGCTTGGCAGCGAAGCAGCTCACAGGCTCATGCCCGCATATGCACCCGTGCCGATCTTTTGTGTCTGCGTCTGCGTCCAAGCTCTTACTTGGTCGGCGTCGCAATCTTGCAGAACCAACGCCAGCGCTTCTTCTCCAGAACTCGGTCCAGCCTTGAATGTCCGTTCGAAATCACAGCGTATTGAATTGAATACAATACTCCCGTCACTCTCTTTGGGGGGCGGCGGCCGTTAAAAGGGCCTGTGAGAGGGAACCGGCGCCTCTTGGCTCTGCGAATGGGGCCCCTTCTAGCGACCACTGATAGCCTGATGGCTTGATAGCACTCGCTGGGAGGTGGGGAAGCTTCTGCAAGGTGCGGGCGCTTGGGCCTGTGATGGGCTGCACACGCCTTGATTGGGCCAGCGGCGGGTGACAGCTTTGTCTCGGGCCAATCGCAGCGGCGGCTCAGCAGGTGTTTTAAGCGCCCAGATCGGAGATGCATGGCTCGATTGGTCGGGCCGGACATTGACGGGCCAATCACAGTGCGCTTGTGCTGCCGTTTGTTGCGGGAATTGGACAGCTGAGTGGGAGTCTGATGAGAAAAGGGAAAACCATCTCGTACTACGACTGATTCACACCCGAGCAAAGTCGTCGTTTACTCGTTTATGCGCCCATTCCCTTGCCCTTGCTGCTGGTGATGCCGCCCACGTTTCCTGCAGATGCATGTCTAGCATCTCTTGCACGGTACAGGTACAAGCAAGGCGCCCGGCTCGGCATCCGCTCAATCAACGTTGACGCCATCTCGCGTGTTAACGTGACACTCTCACGGCTTGTTGCTCTGGAATCCTATTCGGCGACGGGGTCAACAGGTGGCGCCATTAGTGTGTGCCGACTCGAGGTTTTGCCATTGGACTTGCGTCTGCTTGATGCTGTACCTGGGCGCCACCAACTTACCTGCAACGGTGTCTGTCGTCTAGTCAGATTCCAGATTCCAAAGAGGAGCAATATGTACTTGTAGATGGAGTAATGAAGCTCTTCGCTTTTGGCTGCATACACCATGCAAGGGTTGCTAATTCTCTTGTTCGTTTGCATGTGTACTCCGTAAATCAGTTTTCAACTTCTCAATTTGCTTGTGAAATTTGTCGTGCGCCAAAGTCTGAGTAAGCTGACCCTTGAACTTGGCTTTGAGGCGGCGACGCCTCTTCCGCCCCAGCGGTCTTTCAGGTCGAGTTGCCACCAGCACTTAGTAATGTCGAAGCGAGCGAGCCTCATCAACCCTTGCCTTTCAAGCTCACATACCAGTACGAGTTCGACAATTGTCCGCGACAGCCTTAACAACCTTCTCATACCTGTATTCAGGGGCTCCACCCCTTCTCCGCTCGGAACGGGATCCGACCATTTGGAGCGGCAAGATGAGACAAGAGCGGACGAAGGCCGCACTCCGCATAAACGCCATGAAACAAATATTGAGTCTGGGGACATATACGAGCACCGCGGTCTAGCTCTCTCTGCACGATATTGATGCTGCCTGGCTGATATCTCTTTAGTTGGCCTTATATTCGGCTAGTTTATTAGCTCTTCATGACACAGCGCCTCAGCAAATTGTCGGCGATGGACAATTGCTGTTACTAGAGTTCTGATGGCTATCCTCTAATTATGACCTCTTGACCCCAGGCAACGATTTTCGTATTAACACTAAAGTGTGCTTTGCACATACTATACTCGTATATACGGGAGTATATATCTAGGTACAGCGTATTAGGGCTCGATCCGGGAGTAACCTAGTAAGGAGCACTGGCTACTCGGCATCAACGGATCCCTCTCTCCCAGGTGATGCTCTGTGTGTAGCCAAATGAGTATCCCGGGTAATACGCATAAAGGACTTGCCAGCCCCGAAACGGATCAGCCCATCTCATCGCGTGAAATGGCCGCGTCTAGAGCGGCCTGCAGCGACGCCCACATGGGTAACGGGTAGGGGGCTTACAGCACAGAACCGTACCTGAAAAAGCACATGGGTAACGGGTAGGGGGCTTACAGCACAGAACCGTACCTGAAAAAGCACATGGGCACACATATGCAGAGTATATTAAGGGTTGGCGACAATATTTGCAGCTGGCGCTAAAAGCTCAAGCTAGTACGGAGTACGGATTACTGAATATGTAGGAACTGACCTGCAGTGTTCTCAGGCTCTCTGTATTATGCAAGTTTGTGTCATAGGGTGGCATTCGAATATTGTTTACTAAGCTGGGTTGGACCTGAACTTTCATCATATGTCGAGTTGAAGCAGAGATAGAGAAGCACAGAACGCCATAAGAGCAACCAGAGAAGCACATGCTGAAGCTATTTCTCTTTCCTCGGTACTGTGGGAAGTCGATTTCATGACATCCGCATCCATTCCCTAAAGAATGACATGCAGCATGATGCCCATTTTTAACCCCATACCTACCTCTAAAGCAGGTTTTTATTCATATAAGTATACCTAGCTGCGGCTGGGAGGAGTGGATCTTTTTTTTTCTTTTCCCCAAAATCCCATGGAAAAAAACCGACTAATATTAAGTACCAACTTTGTTTGCACGTAACTGCACGTATTACCCGGCGGTACTAACGCTATTACTCACATGCTCAAGGTGCACCTGAGGTCTTTTGGTAGGACAAATACTGTAAAGAATCAACCACGGAAAGATTTTTGTCATCTTCTTCATCAATCTCCCACCCAATGGCTGTTCTGGCGCCCTAAAAAAGAGTCTGGTTCAAATTTTTATTCCACAGCGGCAAAGGATCAACCCTGGCCCCTGTTTTAGCGGGCAGCGCAAGGGATCTAGACCGGTCTACGTTTATGGTGAGTGCAAGCGTGAGTCTCAAACCGCCTCAACCTCAGAAATCGAGAATCAGTAGCAGGGATCTCGAAATACGCAACTGTACATGCTACTAATGTACCCGTGCATGTACAAGTTGACAAGTAGGTTCTATGTAAGGATAGACGGATTCAGCATGACGCAGGTGTGTATCCGCATAGCCCTCACATCCAGTCCGAATCTCGATGCTCCAAGTCGTGGCCACAGAGCATCAGACATCTGCCAACGAACGCTGTCTGTCCACGTACTCGTACGAGTATGTTGTTGAGACGGCGGTTCTGCGTCCCAACTTTGGAATCCCCATCTCCAACCGAGAAAAGGCTGTCGGCTTCGGAGGAGCCCCTCCGCGAATCCCTGCCAGGCCAGACCTAAGGCCTGCTAGGAATTACCCGAGGAGATCCATCAGTTCTCGCTGGTGGAAACACGACGGTGCGCATGGTCGCATATGCACTATGGATGCTCCAGCGCAGGCCGTCCGCTTGCCAAGCCCTAAGCCGGTGCAACATATTGGCAGTAGGCATCGTATTCCGTACCTAAGCAGAGAAGGGGGAAAAAAAAGGAAAAAAAGAAGAAAAAAAACCCTGGAGGAAAAAAAGCAAAGACGACCCGTGATGGGCAGACCTTGAGCGGATGGGGCCCTTTGCATCCCCCACCGAAGCGCGCCCCCGTTCATCTCCCTGCTTCCAATCTCACCCGTGCAAGCATGATACAGGCACAGTAGCACTCCTCCAGCTGCTAGCTCGCACGCATGTCTGGTGCAGGTGCCGGCAGAATACCACATAATACGAAATACCGCCATGCTCAAATCTAGGATTTGGCGGTTGATCAGCACTCTGCCTCGTCCTCACCACTAACAGCTGCCCATCTCCACAGCCAAACTCGCCGTGCTGATCGGATCAGCAGTCCCACCGCCAGGCGACCCTTATTGTCGGGTCCGTCAATCATCCCCGGCTCTAGACCTTAGACTCTAGACCTTAGACTCTGGAGCTCTGGATGAGTGGCTGTTGCAAGTGTCTGGTGTTTGATTCAGAGCAAAGCAGCGTCCAATCCGCAATCAAACCCCCTCTACGACCAGTGCTTTCAGCTGTCTGGTGCTCTGCTCTGTTCTGCGCTGCTCTGCTTGGATTTGCTCACAGCTGCGCCGCGGGCATCGCCCCTGACCGATTCCCGTCTTTCTCGCCGCTGCTTCTTATGATCCAGCCCCCTTCCATTGCTCAATCCCCAAGACTGTTCTCTCATACCTGATTAGCCCTGCCAAGTCGGTCGTTGAACTCCCGGATAAGCTGCGTGCCTATCCGGATTCGCCTCCCGTACCGGCGCAGATCCAAATACTGCCGGCACTGCAGCCCTCGTCTATCACGGCCTGTCGTCGCCATCCATCTTACGCTTGGGCCTTGCTCGCATGCCTCCAGAGCCGTTGGAGAAAGACGTTGCAGGTGCGGCCCTCCAGAGAGGATCAACGCTCCGTTACCCACTCATCATCCACCCTCGCTCTTCGGGTCATCTCGATCTCGTCCCCTACTAGGCCTAGGTCCCTACAAGTCCACGCTATCTGGCAAGGTTCGACGTCCTAGTAGCGCGACACCCTCTCCGTAAACCCCGCTGTCAGTCAGTGCAAGCCGCATCTTGGGTCTTGGTCTTCATCGGAAGTTCCAAGCTTTTCGAATCGAGTCGAACCCACGGCCCTCATTTGCCTTCTAGCATCTTCGTCCCTCCCCCACCGGCGTCTTAATGCAGGAAAAGGACGAAAGCTCCGCAGACTGCACTGGCTTCGCCTCCGCCACTGCCTCTGCCAGAACCTCTGTTCCTGTTCCTGTCCCTGTTTCTGCTTCTGCCGTTGCATCGTCTACTGCTACAGTCTCCCATCCGTCCTCAGCAGCGTCTTCAACCCAGGCACCCGGCGCCTCTGACCCCGGGTTGCCGAATCTCGCCTTTGCCTCTGGGGACGACCCTGCGGCCTCTCCTCGACCTTTTGCTGCGGCATTGGAGACGACATCTTCGCCATTCCGCAGCTCTTCTCACTTTTCCCAGGACCGTCTAGAGCACTCGAGACACCACTCGGCAGGCCAGCCGGCACCATGGCATGCTGATAATAGCCACACAGACCAAAGCTCTTCACACCCCCCTGCACATCCGATCGCAGCCTTACCGTCACACAGGAGCTTTCCCAGCCTCAACCAAGCTGTGGCCGCAAGTCTATCGTCGGCTGATAGCATCGGGAAGCGCCAGCCGCGCAGGGCCAAGGACGACCAGGTCATGGGGTCGACACCGATCAAGAAGCCTCGCACCGGGGCTTCTCCTCCCAGGAGATTCGAGATGATGAGCGATACCATGTTTCCCTTATCCACCAAGGCATCGCTTCAGGTAAACCGCGAGGATGCAGTCTCCCCTCTGTTCTTTTCTCACGCGCCTGCGAGGCACTTCTCCCGCCCTCATAGCGTCCCTGTTTCGGATGTAGCCTCTGCTATTCTAGCACACGCTCGCAATGACGACGCAGAGGCCGTCACGACGCTCAAGCTCCCCAGAGCAAGTGTCAGTTCCACAAACGCTGCTCTTTCTGGTAGCACGCCGTCATCCCTGGATATGTCTGCACCGTCCCTGAGTCCCGACATGCGCAGCCTGCCCCCTAGCTTGCAAATGCTTCAGGGTGTCGGCGTTCTTGAGCTTCTCGAGCACGACGATAGGCCCACGTTCCTGGTAGATCTAGCAAACCCAGCAAATACCAATCGGCCCGGCTTGCTTATCGTGTACTACAATGCCTCTCTGCGAGCGGCCGAGTCTATCCACAGCCTTCTAAGCCCTGACCAAGAAGACCCTGCTACTCCCGACCCCATGAATGATTTCAACGACTTCAAATCCTGGGTTTTGGCTAATGGTGTCGATTCCCTCGATTCCCCTTCGTCGACGTACGAATACCGGGGGATTACGTGGGTGAGCACAACCTTAAGGCGTCGATTTCGGTTCATCAGTGGGAATATTACCTATCACGCCACTCACCCAGTCTCACCAATGCGCATGATGGATGAGGAAGAAGAAGAGGAGGAGGAGGCGCCCATGTCGGGACAAGATGGTTGTGGCGACTGTCTGTCAACTCCAGTTACACCAGCTGGTGACATTCCCGAGCCTCAAGATTACTTCGGTGCCATTACTGCGAAGCAATCGATTGAACCCATGGACACAACCGATATAACTCCCGCAACAGGAACTATAGAGCCAATCTATGATGTTAACCGACGCCATCCAGATGACTTCACCAACCAAGTACTGCAGTCACAGCCTGTGAGATCAACTTTCGACTGGACCAGGATTCCATACAGTGACAATCTGCCTGAGCACATCAAATTAGCAAAGTCAGTGGATTGGGCCTCTACGCCTCTCGGGCCCATGAGTGAATGGCCTTACAATCTGAGAGCCGTGGCAAATATGGTCATGGGGAGTCCCAATCCGGCTGCCATGTATTGGGGCCGTGAATATGTCAGCATATACAACGCCGCATATGTGGCATTGGCGGGTAGCAAACACCCATCCCTCATGGGCAAGCGGTATGCGGATGGCTGGTCCGAGCTCAACGAGGAGTTCGCCCCCATATTCAAGTCAGCTTGGGAGTCTGGCCAAGCCACAATGAAGAATGATGACCAGCTCTTCATCAACCGACATGGCTTCTTGGAAGAAACCTTCTTCTCGTGGTCCATCATCCCGCTTCTTGGCGAAGAAGGCGAGGTCGTTGGCCTATTCAACCCGAGTTTCGAAAACACCCGTCGGAGGATCAACGAGCGCCGAATGCTGACCTTGCGAGAAATTGGAGAGCGGACGGCATCAGCGGCCTCCGTCAATGAGTTTTGGCCGCAGGTAAGAAAAGGCTTGGCGTTCAATGAGTACGATCTTCCCTTTAGCATGATCTATTCCATCAAAGACGAAGCCGAAAGTGAAGTGTCATCGCTACATTCTGGCAGCCTCACCCACTCTCCTCAGCTTATTCTCGAGGGATCTCCCGGTGTACCTGAGGGTCATATTGCGGCCCCGCCAACATTGGACCTTCGTACATCAGAAGAAGGGTTTGCGCCATATGTGCGGCAGTCGGTAGCAAGAGGGGGAGCACCGGTTGTGCTATCCGAAGAAGACGGCACCTTGCCAAAACATCTCATAGAAGGATTTGAGTGGCGGGGTTTCGGCGACCCTTGCAGGACAATCGTCGTCTTTCCAGTCATCCCTACAACCACTGGCGAAGCTGTGACGGGATTTATTGTGCTAGGTCTAAATCCCCGGCGGCCGTACGATGATGACTACAACCTTTTCATCCACCTCTTATCACGGCAGTTGGCGACATCCATGGCCTCAGTTCTCTTGTTTGAGGAGGAAATTCGACGCGGCCAGCGAGCTGCTCACTTGGCTGCTTTGGATCGTCAGGAGCTCTCGGAACAGCTTTGGCAGCGTACGCAAGAAGCCGAAGAGCTGGAAACAAAATTCACGCGCATGGCCGAGTTCGCCCCGGTTGGAATGTTCATCGCCGACCCAAGTGGTCATATAAACTATTGCAACGATATGTGGTGGCAGATTTCTCGGCACTCTCGGTCTGACCAAATAGGCACCGCCTGGATGGACAGTGTACGAATCGAAGACAGACCGGGGCTAGCGACTGCTTGGACAAGGCTTCTTGAACAGAAGGTGATCATCTCGGTGGAGTTTCGATTCAACTGCAGTCAGCTATGTGGAGATCACACCGTTGACACCTGGGTTCTGATGAGCGCATTTCCAGAGAAGGATGCCGATGGCAACTTGACGTCCATCTTTGGCTGTATCACAGACATTTCCTCTCAGAAATGGGCTGAAAAGGTCCAAAACGAAAGGCGCGAGGAGGCTGTAGAGCTTAAGCGGCAACAGGAAAATTTCATTGACATTACGAGCCATGAAATGAGAAATCCCTTGTCGGCTATCCTTCAGTGTGTTGATCAAATTGCCAATAGCATCGCCTCATTCACGGCCCATTCGGATAAGTCAGAAGTAGACGCCCTTTTGGAGTCTTGTCTCGATGCTGCCAACACCATCAATTTATGCGCCAGCCACCAGAAGCGCATCGTCGACGACATCTTGACGCTGTCGAAACTCGACTCCAATCTGCTGGCTGTTACTCCCGTTGATGAACAGCCGATAAAGGTCGTTCACCGTACTCTGAAGATGTTCGAGTCAGAGCTGCTTGCCCACGATATAGACTTTGAGTTTCGCGTTGACAACAGCTTCGAGACATATGGAGTTACTTGGGCCAAGCTGGATCCGTCAAGATTGAGGCAAGTACTCATCAACCTCCTGACCAACGCCATCAAGTTTACCCAGGGCCGGGAGAAGCGTGCTATTATTGTAAGCATGTGCGCCACCAAGGATATCTCGGAGATTACGAGCCAGGGAACCTTTTACTTTGAGCGAAACGACGTGCAGCGGACAGTCGGCATGGACATCGACAATGAAGAAGAATGGGGCACTGGTGAGCGGTTCAACATCCACTGTTCGGTGGAAGACACGGGCGCCGGCCTGGGTGATGAAGAAATGAAGGTCTTGTTCCAACGCTTCCAGCAGGCCTCTCCCCGGACGCATGTACAGTACGGAGGCTCTGGCCTAGGACTGTTCATCTCAAGGATCTTGACCGAAATGCAGGGCGGCCAGATCGGAGTCTCATCCCAGAAGGACACTGGGAGCAAATTCAGTTTCTACATCCAGAGCCGCAAATGCTTGAACCCTCCATCTCAGTACGAGCACATTACGCCGTTCAAACTCGAGCGCAAGATTCAATCTCCAGCTACCAACGGACAGCCCGCGAGCGCCCCCGCGTCGCGAAACCAGTCGGATGCAGGGCGCAACCCCCTCTTCGACGTGCTCATTGTCGAAGACAACATTGTTAACCAGAAAGTCTTACAGCGACAACTGCGCAACTATGGCAATAACACGTTCGTGGCCAATCATGGCAAGGAGGCGCTGCAGACGCTGCAGAAATCGAGATTCTGGGCAGGCAAAGAAGAAGAAGGCGTCGACATTTCCGTCATTTTGATGGATTTGGAGATGCCTGTCATGGACGGCATGACTTGTGCAAGAAAGATACGCGAGCTTGAGAAGGAAGGGACAATTATCAAGCATATCCCCATTATTGCGGTCACGGCGTACGCACGGCCTGAGCAAATTGAAAATGCAAAGGCTGCCGGAATTGTGAGTCTCGGTCCTACTGCTTCCTTGTAGACACGTCATTGATCAAAGTTGCTGACCAACTAATTACACAGGATGATGTTATCTCCAAGCCATTCCGCATTCCCGAGCTACTCCCAAAAATAGAGGAGCTAGTGGGCAAGTACCAGAGTCTTTCTGTGTCAGGAAATGTATAAAAGGGCAACGGTATCTAAGCCCCCCTTTTGAAGGAGAAAGAGAAACGGTCAGACGACCATGTTTCTGTTGTCTCGCTTTGCGATGCACGCCCCGTCTGTTGTCTCATGGATACGACATGTTGTGGCATTTCCATCCTTTTTTCTGTCTCTCCCCTCTCTCTTTTTCAGCATGTTTTAGATTTACCTGCATATGGGTGCCCAGCGTATCATTTCAAGCCTGGGCGTTTTTGGTAGTTTCTGTGATTTGTTTGAGATTTTTCCTCTTTTCCCTTTTTCATGATCTTCAGGTATATCGGGCGGAGTCGGATGCGAAAATAGCCAGCCAGGGATTTCCTTTTTTTCTTTTTTTCTTTTTTATTGCGTGCTGAATCTTGTTAGTATTTGCGAGGCTGCTTTTCCTCAGATACCAAGTTTGTTTTTAGACAAGTCTCGATTTGCATACGATTGCGAGAGGAAGGATTCACCGGACATAGATATACTAGAGTTATGTCTCGAGAGAGCGATATCACGATGGATTTTTTCTTTCTTTCTTTTTTTTCCCTTTTTTTTTCATTCACAAAAGAGCTGATGCAGGCAAGTGGGCGGATATTTAATAACTACGGGACGGATATAGCATTTAGAAAGAAATACATATACGGAATTTTCACCAGGTTGCAGTTCCAAATCCGGATACCTCGGGAGTAATGGGGGGTTTCTGCTTGTCTTGTCTTTTACGCAAGGCTGTGATGGAGAATTTGTCCATGCAATACGCGTAGAAAAGAGGGCTTGGAAGATACTGTACGGAGCAAAAAGCCCACGCGGCCGGCAGATGTATAAGCGTAAATAGTGGAGGGAAAGAAAATCCTCGCTTCTTCTTTTTTTTTTCATGTGCCGTCTGTTACCCATAATTACGTGTTTTTGAAAGAAAAGGAAAAAGGCCCGGTTTGAGATTTTGCCACAGCAAAGACCACTTGGCGCGATTTTTGACAGATACCAAAAAAAAAAAAGTTGTGACAATCCCGAATGCCGTGACTCTCCGTGAACAACTATGGAATTCTTCTAGTTGGAGATGTGATCTCATGTCTGACTCAAACAGCAGGAGTGAGTTTGGCGTTAATGCCCCCGTTGTCCAAAGAAGAAAGGCTGGGAAAACACGTCAAGGGAAAGGGGTTTCAAGTTCTCACTTATGAGGTAGTTGTCACTTAAAGTTGACTGGCAAGCTTAGGGGGACTCAATTGGGTGAAACACAAAATGTCTTTACGAAACGACTACAAAGCTTGAAAGAATAGAAAAAGAAATGGACAACTTCACAATGCAGAATAGGCAGCAGCAAGATTAGACACACATCATCTGTATATTAGGTATTAATTATCTCCTCCTCTCGGGTATCGAACAAAGCAGAAACGCGAATGCTGTATACTAGCAACATGAATTTTTTCAAGTTTTTTGATAGTGAATTTTCGTCCATCGACGTGCAAAAACAAAATGGAAAGTGGTATCAGTGAAAGCAGTCTCGACAGGGTATCTTGGTATCTTGTGAAGAAATGCAGATCCTTCCATTCCCAGTCCTCTCATGCGTGTTTTTTGTGACAATTATATCAAGGAAAGTTTGCAAAGTGTGTCTTAAGTCGTAAAACACTCACTGTCGGCGAGTTCTCTAAGCGGCCGCAGTGACGACGGGGGCAGCGGCAGGGGCGCCCTCAGGCTTGTTCTCAGCCTCGGGCTCCTCAACCTTGGGGGCCTCCTCCTTGGCCTCCTCCTTGGGAGCCTCCTCGGCGGCAGGAGTCTCCTCCTCCTCCTTGATGGCATCCTCCTCCTTGGTCTCCTCAGCAGGCTTGTCCTCAGACTTGGCGGCGCCCTTGCCCTTGATGGTAGCACGGAGCTTGGAGAACGCGCCCTTCTTCTCCTCACCCTCAGCGGCGGGGCCAGGGGACTTCTCACGCTTGCCGAAGTTGAAGGGGAGAGAAGACTTGCGCTTCTCCTTCTCCTTCTTGGCGTCACCGTTGGTCACGGCAACTTCAGTGGTCTCAGCAGGGACGGTGGCAGGGCTGCTGACATCGACGGCCAGAGGGGTAGTGGCCTCAACGGGAGGGATGACAGGGGCAGCCTCGGTAGTGGCGGCGACCTCGTCCTCCTCCTTGGGAGACTCGGCCTCAGGCTTGACATCGGCGGCCTTCTTCTCCTTCTTGGAGAAGACGTTGCCGAAGAAGCTGCTGCGCTTGTTGGCAGCAGGCTTCTCTTTGGGGGACTCGGGCTGAGGAGCCTCCTCGGTGGCCTTGGTCTCAGCCTCAGCGACGGGCTCAGCGACGGGAGCCTCCTCGGTGGCAGGAGCCTCAACGTCGGCGACAGGCTCGACGACGGCGGGGGTCTCAGCAGCGGCCTCCTCAGGCTTGGCCTCAGTCTTGACCTCCTCCTTCTTCTCGTCCTTCTTGCCGAAGCCGAAGAAAGAAGTGCGCTTGCGGCTAGCAGAGCGACGCTTGCTGGGCTCCTCGACCTTCAGCTCATCCTTGGTCTCCTCCTTGGCGGCGGTCTCCTCCTCCTTGGCGGGCTCATCAGCCTTGGCAGCGGCCTCCTCAGCGGGAGCAGCCTCCTCCTTGGGGGCCTCGACCTTCTCCTCCTTGGGAGCAGGCTTGAAGCTCTCAATGGTCTGCTTGTAGAGTTCAGACTCGGTGACGGTGGCAGCAAGCTCCTTGGCCTCAGCGATCTTCTCCTTCAGCTGGGCAACCCAGTTGTCACGCTCGGCGGCAGAGTTGGCCTTGAAGCTGTGCTTGTTGCCCTTGGCAGAGAAGTGGAACTTGTTGGAGCCGTCGTTCTCAGGCTCGGTGGCATCAGCCTACAAAGTTCTTGGGTTAGCTACAGATATCTCCAGCTGTGGGGTGGTTTGCGGACGGCTGCCTACCAGGTTGATGACGCCATGGGGGGCCTTCTTGTCGCCAATGAACAGAAGACCCTTGCCGGTGTGGGTAGCCCAGGCGATGTTGTGCTGGGCAACCTCGACGTGCTTCTCAGCCTTCTTGTAGGCGGCGAGAAGATCAGCCTCGACGGCGTCAGAGCCGAAGAAGAAGAAAGCCTTGCTGGCGATCAGGTTCCTGTAGGTTGAATTGGTTAGCGCCCTCGTGATTTGCAGCCACGCAGCCAGACAAAGCTCTCGCTATACTCACTTGGGGAAGCTGGCGCCCTGGGCCTTGTGTCCCAGGAAACCCTCCTCGATAGGCTTCGCGGGCTCCTCCTCCTTCTTGTCCTCCTCCTTGGCAGCCTCAGCAGGCTCCTCAGTCTCAGCGGGCTTCGCCTCCTCGGCGGGCTTGTCCTCAGCAGCAGGGGCGGTCTCGACAGCAGCGGGGGTCTCCTCAACGACAACGGGAGCGGTCTCCTCAGCCACGGGGGCGGCGACCTCAACGGGCTTCTGTTCCTCAGCCATTCTGGATAGAAAAAAGGGTATCTTAAAGCGCGGGGGTATCACAACAAACAAAGGGTATTAAAAAAAAGAAGGATCCAGAAAAGGCCTTTCGGATGTGGTATGGAAATGGTGTGTGAAGAAAGTAGAAGCAGGAGGGAAGAGGCAGCAGAAGGGGGTGGCAGGGCTACTTATTTGCCTTTGAGCACGGGAAAAGGGTCGGGGGAAGAGCTGGTGCGAATTGTGTGACAGCTGCAGCGCCAGCGGGCAAGGCCTGGAATCAACCCTGCAGAGGAGCCTTTGATAGCAGGCGCTCGTCCCTGTACTGTGCTGTACCTGTAGGAGGTGCACGCCCAAAGGTGACAGGTAGCTGCATGGACAGTGGCTCAACCAAGATGTTACAATGTCTTGTGCCCATCGCCAGTGACGCCACGGCGGGAGAAGCTCGCTGTGTCGACGCCCGCTAGTGCTAAACGGAGCAGTGAATGCCCTGAGACCTGGAGCTCTGGCGCTCTTTTTGGGTTGCCGGGGGCGCGGTGGGCCCCTGCGTGGTCCGTGCGGGCTTTAAGCGAGTGGGCCTGAAATTGCAGACCCGTCGACCGGCCTGCGCTAGTGGCGGACAGAAATGTTCGGCAGCCACCAGGGCTAGCAGCGGGCCTAAGCCTGGCCGGGTACTTGTTGGCCGTGCGGCTCGGCGGCTACTCGCACGGCCCGGCTGGTCACTCTCGTCGTCCGCTCAATGACTCCCAGCCTCCACTTCTCATTTTAAACAGCCGTCTCCTTTGTCCCGTCTGGGCCATGGCCGCTGATAAGCTGGGCAGAGGCACGAGCACGGGGGACTGACTCGGGAATCCGCGTAGAACCTCTGGAAGCTTGGTCGACATGGATCGCCGTGAACCATGGCTATGGATGTGGATGGATGCTTGCTTGGACCGAGTTCTGTACCATCTAAGATTATCTTGCCTGCCCCACGATCCATCTTCGCCTGCTGCAGCTGCGCATCTCGAGGTAGTACGGGACGTTGTTCCGTGTTCTCGTACCTTATTCTCAGCCGTGGCATCAAGCATAGAAGAAAGTCAATATGTAATAAGGGCTGCTCTAATACTACTCCGTACCGTACTAGCACTGCTTCTCCTACCAATAATAGCCACATTAGAAGTAAGTTTGGTGAGGATGGGCGTCTGAGAATGGCAGTAGTATTAGGTCGGCCCCCCTTTTCCGGCGCCTGAAACTATATGCTCCAAGTACATACGATAGTGCGCATTGATTTCCAATGTAGCCTCATTTACACCGTGATCAAAAAGTGGATGGGCAGGTCAGGCATCAAATGTCGGCTCGCGGTGCAGAGTGGTATTGTATTTGCAGACTTCTGCTACGCGTAATTAACAGCAAAGACGATCTTCACTCGGCGAAAGGAGAAGACGAGGAAGATCAAGTAGGCGAGACAATCAGCTCGACGACAGTCTCATGCTCGCCGTCCCCTATTCACAGCAAGGCAAACCTGCCGTCCAGCCATTTCATCTTAATCAGTCGTTCTATACGGAGTACATGGACCAGCCCAGTGTCAGCACTGTCCTGGCATGTTGTCATTCGCCCGGGTAAACCGCGGCATATACTTTGCGGGCAACCATCCGTCCAACTGCCTTGTCGATCCCTCGCTCCATTAAGTGTTTATTACCAGAATGTCCACATCCACCGAAACGCTGCTGGTCTCGAGGCTACTAGTGCGCCGACTCTGGTCCCTGGCCATGGCACGAACCACAGGAAATAATAGAATGGAATCGAATTTTTTTTTTTCCCTTTGGGCGGTGGATCACAGTAAACCTGCTACAGGTATGCACCACTGCTAGTACTTGTACGAGGACACAGGCTTGACAGGTTATAGGTACTGTGCTCATGCTAGCAGTACCACCTCGACGTCGCAGAACAGAGCAGTAAAAGCAGGGCAGGGGGGGAACCAGGGGGGCACAAGAACGAAAGGTCTTGTTTGAGCGCCCATCAATCAAAGGGGGCCGTTATTCGACCTCCTGATTCTCCTGCAACAAGAAGCCGCCCTGATGAGTGGCGGTGAAACTGCAGCGCAGCATTAATTGGAGGGCAGAAGATCAAAACATGTACAAGTACGAGCACAGCACCGTACAGTACAGGATGCCGTGTCGAATCATTCATGGCCACCCATAAGAATGCTGGGCTGGGCTGAGTTGGACTGAGCTGGACTGGATGGAGCAATGTGGGACAAAACGGCCATCTCGATTCTGGCCCTGTTTGCCTCTTTTCGCCTGCAGTGAGCCGGCTGCTGCAGAAGGGGAAACGTCATGATGGCCTCCCGTGGCTCCCTACAGTACGAGCATATGCTGCACATGCTGTGTATGGTGCACGTGAGAAGTGAGTGAGCATGAACATGAGATGGAGATGGAGAGCCAAAAGTCCAGCTCCTCTACATGCAGTACTACCTACTAAAAACGCACAGCACAGGAGGTGATGGTTGCTGCGATGCGAATGGGATGGAGCAACATTTCGCATGACGCTGCCAGGGAACCAACCAAAAGCAGCCGCTCGCAATCAAGTACCGAGATGGCACTTGGCTGCACAAAAGTGGCGCGCTGGACCCCCTTCTCATGTACAAGTACGGAGCGCCGCTAAAATGCGCTGCAGTGCGTGCATGTACCGCTACCCCTGCCAAATCAGAAAAGACAAAATGCCTTCACATCACTCCATTGATTCCACTTGTGGCGCGCCCCTCCGTCAGCGAGATTGTCTGGACATGTACGGAGCAAGGGACGTTGAACAGGTCATTGGACTGTTGGTGATGGTGTGAGCCGTCATGCTTGTCCGGCCGCGAACCAGCAGCCATTCACAACACCACCCAATGGCATCACACACATTCTGTCGCCAGATAACAGCTAGCCAGAGCTTAGCTGCACCACCACGTTGTTGTCACCGGCCATGTGACGCCTGCTCTAGCGTCATTGGACCGACTATCATGAGGGGCGGCGAAACCAAAGGAGAAAAAGGTCGGGCCTTGGATGCGCTGCGATGCGATGCGATGCGATGCGGCGCGGACGAGATGCGGATGCGATGCCCGGCTGCGCAAATTCATCCTGTCTCGACTGGTGCTTCGTCAGTTCAGTCTAACGGCGCTGCTGCAGGGTTTCTTTCATGGAACAGGCCAGTTTGAGAGGCGCCGTCCCTGGCATGGCTGGCAGTTGATTCAATATCACCCCCTTTCAAGCCACTCAGCATTTGATGCTAATAACTGAACCTACCCAGCGTCTATGTATGGAGTAACTATACGATGATTTCGTACCGTAATACAGCCCTTGCCTTATTTTTCAAGTGGCAGCATGGCTCCGGGGGAAGGACGCTGTGCTTATCCTTTTTTTCCCTTTCTTTCATATTGAATCCTTTCTCTGGCCATGCGGGCTCGTACGAGATATGCCGTGATACGAGGATATTATTACTAGCCAAGAAAAACCCCCGACCTGTATCTCCGATGTGAAAGAGACCAAAAAAAAAAAAAAAATTAGAAAAATTACAGGGTACCCGACCCATTCTTTTAGCAGCTGCTAATAGAGCCGGAGAGAAGAGATTTCGTCCATGCGACAAGGATGTTCATCAAATGAGAGTCGCTCGATAAGTTCATGGCCTTGAATTTGTTCAGTGCTCAGACTGAAAGGTTACAAGAGGCAAAATGAAACCTCTTTCGGTGGTAGTCCGTAAATACGGACTTGGGGCCCTTTGCTTGCTCTGAATTCCTGGCCTCTCAGTACAATCAGCTGCGAATATTATTACAGCAATTTCCCTGTCCTGGTTTTTTCTATTGTTTTGCCGAGAGAAGGATTCGTTATCAGTCGCTTGCTTTGCTTGGATGCATGTGCTTCTTGGTGTCAAATCTGGATCCCTGTGCCAAGCAAATTTGCCTTGGGAATTGGGCACCGCTAAAGCTCCATTGCCCTTCTGACAAGGCAAATGAAGACCAAATTTGCTACGTGTACAGGTAGAGTAAGTACATGAACATCGTAATAGCTTGAGCCTACCTTAGTGTGTACCTGTATGGGCCATATTTGACACGCATTGAGGCTGCATCAGAGTTTCAACAGCCGCCCAGAGGTCCGTGTAAATGCTTGCAACTCGTTATTGTGCTACAGCTTTTGCCCATTTTGAAACCACATGCAACCTATACCTATGAGCTGATGGCTACTAGATACAGTAACTACCTATTACTGCATGCTTTTTGCTTCTCTCGAGTCCCTGCGGCTGCTCATTCCCGTCAATCTCAAAGGCCCTTGCGCTCCCTTCCCGCCCTCCTTGACTCACTTGACTCATTTTACCGGCAAATACACTATTTGCACCCTAGCCAGGCACGCCGACGAATAGGGACTCCTGCTAGGGCGCGAGATGAATGTGACGTTTTGGCGGCCCCCAACCAGATGAAACATTGAATTATTAATGAATTATTTTGGGCATCTTTTTCTTGCAGGCGGCTCCGGGTCCCAATATTGGACAAAAGAAACACGAGGTTGGGGGAACCACTGGATTCTTTCCGGTGGCTGGTTTTCGGCGGGCTAAAGACAAGTCAACGCTCAACTGTATTAATAGATTCGGATGCTAATCTAAGGATACGGCAACACCCCTTGGAGGGCTCGTCCGGTTATTGGATTTTTTTTTTTTTTTTCGGGCGCCGCCAAGAGGCCTTGTGACGACAAGCCACGACTCCACTGGCCGGGAGTTGCACTAACAAAAAGGGAGCACAGCGTTTTGCCGCCTTTTGATCTCACAAAGCGCATCTTGATCGCCAAGTTCACCCCCGCTCACCAGCAGTGGAGACGGCAGAGGCTTCTTTTGTTGATGTGATACCCTACAGTACAGGTGGTTGACGGCCATGGACATTTGGAAACATGTAGAATAACTCCAAACAGCCGCTGCCTTTGATAGATGTACCCTACGTACGTACTTGCAAACCATCGTATGATGATACCTAGACTGGCGGCTCGTCACTTGACGCAGCACACATAAGCACCAGCTTCCTTCATAGCCGCCGCCACTCAACGGTCGTCGACATTGAAAATAAAACCCAGAAATCCCAATCCCGGCGGAGGCCGCCATTTCCCGGATCGCATTACGAATGATTCCTGTCCACCTCGGTCCGCAGCACGGCCGGCGGCACCGGAAACTTGGAGAACCCGCGGTTGTCAGTCTCGTATCGTATCAAGTGGTTGAGCAAAGGCCGTTTCAAGTCTGGCAGTGGCACGACCGCTCCAGCGGCCAAAAGGTGGTGTGACTCTGCATCGGGCTTTTGGGGTGGGCGAAACCCCTGTCCCATGTTATAGTAGCACTACCATGTACTCCGTATGCTGTATGTACGTAAAATCTTGCGGCGAGTGCAAAAGTCATTGTCATGCCGCTGCCGGAACACGATCCCTTTGGCCGATACAGGAAGGCCGTTGACTGCACTCCCCGTTTCGGATGTTGATGTCATTGTCTGTCTGGTAAGGGGAGTGTTTTGGGTCTCTTCTCTCTTCCATGTACAGTACGAGTACAAACGATGGGTCACGCATGATACGACGAATATTACAAGTATGCAGGCCCGTGTGAGTAATCACTTTTTGGCATGTGCGTGTGCACGAGGGTGTGAAAAGATATCTTGCCGCTTTGGCAATCATTGATTTCAATGGCACCTATAATAAACGATGCTATCCGCATGGAGGAAAAGAGGAGAAGGAAAGAGAAACTTGCTCTGTGTTTCATAGGGCGTAGGGTGTGCAACTTGCCTACATGTACTAGTTCTAGTATTTCTTAGTGACACCATGAAGCGACCAAAGTGGTGCGCGGATTCGAGGAGCTGAGATCCGACACAGTCTTAGATATCGAGTCGTGTGATCGTGGTGCATGTAGCTTGGCCGTTCTCCCTTTCTACTTTAAGAATAGAATCGCGGTTAGCATACATATAGGTCATAAGTGCTCTGGCGCTGAGAATGTTTTTCCATCTTGGCTAAGCCTTGGCCGGGAGGAGCTGGATTGACGTGATCGCCGACTTCCTAGAGCCGATAACACCCACGCATGGCGAGCACGATTACGCTTTCGCGGTAGACGAGCACGCAAAATAGCATCATGACCTTTTTTTCTTTCTCCTTTTCTCCTTTTCTCCTCTCTGCATGACTGCTATCCGTCTCCATGTATGGATATTGATCGATGGTTACTGAATCGGTGCTGATAGCAGATATCGGGCCTGGTTCGCGATTCGGAGAAGATTTTGGAGGCGAGGCGAGGCGAGACCGATGTCGGATGCGACGCAAAAACGAGATTGCAGTGGATGGTAACACTTTAAGATCGAAATTTCTCGAGACTGTATGGGCCTGTGGGAGTCTTTGGGATATTGATAGTCATTACTACCGACCCTCTCTACGCTGTTAATTCGATGCCCTGCGACTGTGACGAGTCAGTAACGATGAAGTAGAATAAAGATGCTTGACACAGATGGAGATACGAGGCTCCGGAGTCTCGTTTACCTGGATGACTATACTGATTTGGTCCTGACTGTGTTGCTCTTCTTGTTTGCAGTCTATGCCGTAGACGAGGGGAACATGGCTTCGACATACGTTTCCATTCGCGTTCTGAAGGGCACTTTCAGATATAACTGTGTGGAGCAAGCCTTCTAAAATGCTGGAATAAGCGATTTGTAACAACAAATCCCAGCATATTTCTCATATAGATTGTGCATTGATTGCACTGCTACGTATGTCGATATCACGTAGAAGTTCAGAACCCAAAAGTCTGACCATGGTGCCCTTGGTATATTTTGTTTAATCTTGCCTCTGGCATCAACACCCCAGAGAGACAACAACTCTGAATCATTGCTTCCACTTGACTGTCTTTCTCACTCCATCATCGAATGTTTTGGTCATGCCTTCGTGGCCTCGAGTGCTTGCTTTCCGAAATCATTCTTTCTCGTTATTTTGTAAGCCAAGTAAGTCTGTCCCAAGGAGATAGTCTTTTATCAAATGGAGAGGAGGCGGTTTGCTTTTGTATCAACGCCGTGCAGTTGGAGATGCTCCCAACTGGGGATAAGTAGACCACCATAACGTACCTAGGTAGGAATCCATACCATTTGGTAGCAATGCATATATCATGGCTTTGACCCCTTCGCTGTAGCTCAATTGAGATGTGCGAATGAACCAAGGTGACTGTTGCTATATATAGAACGTCAAGAGGCATCATAATGCTATCTCTCCTGATAACGAGTAACTGTAATCGTAGCATGAAGAACGTTGGCGGCTTGACTCCATTCTGTTTTGTCGTGTGATTTCCACTCTGGAGATGCCTACAATCTCTGATTGTCTCTTAGGCTTCTCCCAAACAGATAGCAGGCATCCTATGTGATACGCCGGTTTCCAACGCTGATTGCATAGTGGTTTCGTCTCTCGTTCTGGAGACTGTCAATAGCGAGACCCTGACTGTTTTGGCAACCAGAAGTGTATACAATCCTGATGCCTGTTTTCATCTCCTTTCTCTTGTACTCGAGGGCTACGGCCTTAGGGGTGTTTTATATGTATTTGACCAAACTTGTGCCTGCATCCTCATATTCAAATCTGGGCATCGCGTGCTCTTTAATTGTCGCCATTGCGTGTTGTGCAATGTTCGAAATGGCTCAGCATAACGCTGAACACATGTAGATGATTCCAGTACATGCTCATTCGCCAAATACTGCTCCTCGCATTCGATTTCATCAGGTAGGGGATAGTCATTTTTTTGCCTTTCTGTTCCTACAAACAGGTTGATGTCAAGGATAGCCCCAAATTCTCTGGATCAAAGCTTTGCTTGAAAAAAGAGGAAGACACTTACGACAAGCTGTCCTGTCTTTGAAAACACCTTTCTGGGTTTGAACAAAGGCGCGTGCTTCTCCAACACATGAGCCAACCGTGCTCCTGTCAAAGGAGGCTGTTCTGTGCAAATAATTCCTCGAAATATGTCTTGATCTTTTCTTTTGCATCTTCGTATTTGAGAGATTGATGGGAGGACCGCAAATTTCGCGTTTTTGCAGCTGGAGGCTGGGGATTTCGCAACTTGTCATGATCTTCGCGTCCTGCTGTTCGGGATGAAGGATGACATAAAGTGGATGATGTAGAAATGATTACTACTAGGTATGGATAGGAACATCGCAAGCGGCTTGAATACCTAATGGCGAGGGGTGGATGACGATGCCAAATGAGGAACAATCAAGGCTGGTCACATTCAGATAGCATCGCGGTACTGCTTCTCGGTTGTGATTGATAGGTGCTCTGAAGCGGAGAGTTGGTTCAAGCCGGATGATTGCAGTCGCCAACTAGGTCGTGATGTAATGTAAATGTAAAACAATTGTCAACATGATGCGTGACTAGAAGTGGTGCAAAATTTTGGACCCAAAGCTCCAAGCGCGGCTGGTAGGAAAAGATTGAAGTGACAAGCATCAAACGTCCAGGGGCTGGGACGGGACTGAACACAGACAGCCCAGAATGATACCCGACTCCTATGAACGTTGCTGTTCTTGTCTAGGATATGAACAAACAGGAGCATGGGAAAACAGAGTGGATGGTCCTATTGAACCAGAGATGCTCTGTTCAGCAGGTGCACCCGATGGTCATTACTTGTACAGAAGGAAGAACGATTACAGTTAATATTACAATTAAAGACTGCACGCAAGTTCTGCAGAGTAGTATTGGGCTATCAGAGGTAGGCCATGATGTGCAATTCTGATTCAGGAGCTGCATATAGAGATGTCTAGCACTGGGTTGCCCCTGGACCAGACATATCAAGACCTGAGAGATGTGAATTAGCAAGGGGTGGTGCCCTATGGCCCAGACAACTAACTGTGATTTAGGAGCCTCTCCCATTAGTGACTCCTAGAAACCAGCTGCAGTGTTGTGAAGCCTTGGGGTGCATGCGCGTGTGCAGCCCACAAGTGCCTTGCAGTTGTTTTTCCAACTGCAGGCTATAAACCCCCCTCCCCCTCCCTCTTCTCTTCCTCCCCTCCTCCTCTTTTCCTCCCGCACTCTTCTCTTTCAACCCGACACAAGTGCCATCACAACTTGCATCTCCTCTCGAACCATCGAGTCGAAAGTTCTTTGAGTCATCCTTGCAAGCAAGGAAGGATCCTTGCTACATATTCTAGCTGGCTTCGTGACCTCCTCGTTTGAGAACTCTGCTCTGTCAACTTGGTAAGCCGGCTTCTATCCTCCAACCTCATTTCATCTTGCACGACTTCGCACACTTCCATCAAACTTCCATCTCTTTCATAACCATCATCAGCCATAGGACTGATGGAACTCACCCCTATCCCTCTTCCCTTGTCTACTGCGCTTGGCCATGCCCTCACCTTCTCGTTGTGCCATTTCATATTCTTCTGAATACTGCAAGCCAGATCTCTGGCATTCCCTTCAGTTTCCTTGAGGATCACAATGTCACATTCTTTTCTCCTCCATCAAATCGTGAAGAAGATGGAAGTCCCTTTCACGATGCTTCACATCTCCAGCGCGTCGGTGTTCAAAGGCCTACCTCCTCATTCCAAACAGACCTCTCAGTCCCCCATATACGACAACGGCGTGTTTACTTCTGCTAGCAATGAATTTATGGCTGTCTATTACCGTTGGCAGTACATATACTTATTGTTCATTGGGTGTCTGGCTGCTGCTCAGATCGTTCATAAAGAAAAGATTGGAGAATAGAAACCAAGTTCAAAGATAGTTTGACTGATACACTGAACAACAGGCATATACCTCAGTCAGATCTCTATTGCTGCAAGAGAATTATCAAAGAGCATCAGCAGAGCTGAATATTAGGAGCATCTCGATTACAAGCATTCTAGTCGCAGCAATGGACTCTGACGATGAGGATTGCCCTCGTAAGTGCTATCAAGCTTTAAAACAAAGTCAACAGGTACTAATACCCATATCAGGCTCTGTCACCCATTACGGGATGCTTGAGTCCAGGAGAGACCTCAAACGTCGAGGATTTCACCCTGATGTTACTTCGAGGACGCCGAGTGAGGTGGAAACCGACGCAATCGAATACCTCACGAATAAAGTCAACCTACCAGGGCGAAGTCAATATATTGCTTCTCAGAAAGCCCTACTTGGACAGGGAGGCGGCTATGGATATCGGAATAGGCCTCGTGGTACAATTATCCGCCGTCTCACCAAGGTGGGCATATTGAAAGCAACCAGATCCTTGAGACATCATGCTGATAACATGAATATATAGGGCCCCTGGTTTGTCACTGCAACGCTCGCCGAGAAGCCCGCCTTCAAAGAGGCAGCGAACCGCCCAAAAGATGTCCCAGCTGATCCCAAAGATGCACTGCCGATTGCACCTGAGATTGGAGCTGTTACAGGGCATATGTATCTTGGCCCAAAAATCATGCAAGATGTCTTCCGTGATGGCCACCAGACAGCCATGAAACTGTCTCTAGCTTCGAGCAAAATGTATAAGCTGGTCAGCGATAATGTGGTAAGTCGCCTTCTTTTGCCATAAAAGATCTCAAGGAGTGTCTGACAGAGAAATAGAACCGGTGGGACTTTTGCGCTATGGAATACGTTGTCAAAGTTCCCTCATCTGTAATGGTTGTCGTGGTTCCCCAACACACAGTCGGGGATATTCTTGAAGCTCAAAAGAGATACAAGTTGCAACTTAATTCGCCTGAGTGGACAGCAGCGCGCCAAAAGTTGGAATCCCAAGGAGATTTTGACAACTACAAACTGCGATCCATTGAAGTGGAGCAGACATTCTTTGAATGGGCGCAGACTTGGAGGATTGAATGCTTGAGGGCTGCCGGACCCTATTGGGTGACCAAGGATGGAGAGATTGATCCTCGAACCACTGACCGTGCCAAGGAGTGGTGGGATGAAGACAAACACGCCATCAACGTCATGGGCTCCCTCAAGCCACTGGACAAGATGTGGTCGGCAAATCAATTTGAGGGGACCGTTTATAAGCTGCATAAGATGCCCATCAGCCTCGCGATGGAGAGCCTTTTCAAATTGAGTGAGTGTCACGGGCACCGCCTTGATCATTTTGAAGCATTGATTCTAACAGTTTCTGCAGTGGTTGAACTGCATAGGGCCCGTTCTCACGTCGAAGTGCTGCACCTACACAACGTGCCGCTTCTCGATCGTCGGATGCTCGCCATCATGCTTCGTGGGTTGCCGCATGTGACCATGGTGGGCGTATACAACTGCCCTCTCATCCACTTTGGCGACGTGATTCCCATCCTGGATCTCATCTATGAGATTAATCAGGACCGGAAAGAGAAAAACATGCCAGAGATCAAGGCTTTTGACTTCTTTCCCTGTTTCAATCAAGGTATGCCATTTGCACACAAGAACGCGGCGACGTATGGTATCTCCTGGGAGCCGATCGCCATGGAGCTTGCCCAGCCTGGTTTCTACGGCATTATTCTTAAGGCCGTCATGAAATCAAAGGGAATGGGCCTTGACCTGCTGTTTTCCCCGGACCATGCATTCATGGACTACCTGGTCAAAGTGCCAAATCTCCCGCTGGGAGTCTATAGCTTTCTAGATGCCGTATATCGGTATCTGGAAGTGAAGAGGGATGATCGCAATCGTTGTAATCTGAAGCTCCAGGCCATCTACGACATGCTTAAACCAATTCGAATTGAATTGGACCCGTATGTGGCGGATGACTGGCCCAGATACTACATCCGAGAGATGGGCAAGACGTTCTTGTGCTGCTGCTCCTGCGGCTACGCAACTTTTAGGGAATTTTTCCCAGCCGGCTCGAAAAGGAGAGCGCTCAGGCACCGACAGATTTGCTGCGCCTGTCTTTTGCAAAAAGCCCTTGACGATGAGGAAGACCACTGGAAGACGCGGAAGAAGGACCTTCTGGATAAGCTTTGCCCTGACTGGGAGCCAAGCGCCTTCAACCAGGATGCACCTCTGTTTGACGGCGGGGGAGGACTAATTCGTCTTGAGTCCACCGAAACTGTACGCCCTCGGCAGGACCATCCGCCGTTTCTTGTTGATGGTCTTCTCCGTCTCGCTCCATTCTGGCAAGCCCTGGTTCGAGACCAGAAGCGTGTATACGACTCGCTGGCCCAACTCCCTAGTCTTGAGGATGTCGCTCTAGACTTGGCAACCGGGCGTCGGTGGCAGGATGCAGTTATCTTTGCCATCAAAGAAGATGTACTTCGTCTAGGTATTCTGGAGCTGAAAAGCAGTTACCAGCATGGCGTGAAGAGAAAGAGCATTCCCGCATATGGGACCACGAGAAAGGATGGCGGCGCGCCGGATCATCAAGATGAGCTCCAGCCTCCGGTTTTCGATGAAGACTGGGTCTTTTATGATCACAAAAATGCCCTGAGGTTGGCACTTTGGCTAAAGAAAAGGGACTGGTGAACAGCTCACGCCCTCTTTCTGGGGTTCTTTCTTTTCTGGCTCCTGCCCCGATTTGAACACTTTTCTTTGAACGACTTACACCAACATACCATTTTTTTTTTTCTTTCTTTCTTTTGCTTTGCTTACCGTCATGTCGTTAGCTGTTGCACTGCTTGACAAGGAGACGAGAGAATATCGGTGGGAGAAGGACAGGGGTAGACGAGCTGCGGTGAGGTTGAGAATTTGGGAGGAAGGAATCTGCTGAATCTGTTGGATCATCCCTGGCCACTAAGCCATTGGGCAAAGCTTTGAGGCTTTGAAGATCTATTGACGCTGAGCAACGCGTTCATGTATGAATGATATGTATGAGAACAATTAGTAGGTAGTCATAGGTAGTTCACAAATGGTTTTTATTGAACCAGATACACATATGCGCCATCTTGGTGAGACGGGCTGTGAAAGTATCTGGAGTCGAGACGAGGCCTTTCCTTCAAGGGAGTGATGATGGAATGCGCTCCTATATAGGCACTCAAGAGAACTAATCAATTTGGAGGCTTGATTTTTTTTTTTTTTTTTTTTTTGCGTATCAATTTGAGGAAGCATTTTCTCCTTTCCACGAATATTGAGTGAGGTTGGATGATGGTTGAAGTTCCCAGTGAAGCTCGACGTAAACGTGCACGTGACCTGCAACAGCAGATGCGAAGTCGTATCTTGCACCCAGAAAAAAACCGGCCGACGTCTTATCTCGCCCAGCCCAGCACAATCAGCACATCGACAATGGCATCCTTGCTGCGCACACTCTCTTTGACTGCAGGGCTTTTGCGCTCTTCTCAGGCTATCAAGCCGCTCGCGGCCGGCAGCTTTGCGACAGCATCGAGCCCGGTTTCCGCTTGGATGGGATGGCTCTCCAAGCCCGCAATTGGAGGAACTCTGCAGCAGACGCGGGGCATGAAGGTTCACAGCTCGGTCAAGAAGAGGTGTGAGCACTGCAAGGTGGGTTGAATTGGATTGATGTTTCAGCGAGTCTCTGCCATGGGAGAGAGTCTAAATGTTCCAATCTGCAGGTTGTTCGACGAAAGGCCGGCAAGCGACACAATGGATACCTGTACATCATCTGCAAGGCGAATCCTCGACACAAGCAGCGACAGAGCTAGGCGAATACCTAGATGTTTCTTCTCTTTTTGATGACGGCGATGACACCCGGACGAGTGGGCATTCTGTATATTATTGGCGCATAAACGGTGACGAAGGGAGCGGCGAACGAAGACAAAAAACACACACAACGGTCTGGCAAAAGCAATTGATAGACGATACTACGGCAATGGCTTCGAAGACATGGAGGACATGGCACGAGCCCAAATGCGGAATGGTTCTGGAAGAGCTTTCTTGCATGCTCGGGCAATGACGGTTCGACAGCCGTCGTAAATGTACAATTTATGTAGTGTTACATACCCCCGATATACCTCTCCATACTTTCCCATTCCGTCTTGCCTGTTGATAAAAGATATCTTATGTGAGACTTGTTTGCGAAGGGATCCAAGTTAGCAGAGGGGAAAATCTCCTTTACGCTGGGGGGAAAAAAGGCAAAAATGAACAGTGACATACGATATCTTGGACATTGCGATGCCGCTCAAACTCGTCCCGGGCATATTTGCGGGATTCAGCCCTTGTCTGAGCATCTGCAATGCGCCTGGTGCCTCGCCAGATGGTTCGGTATAAGGCCAGGGCTTTTGTCCGTTGGAGAAACTTTGAATTGGCTGGTTAGCTGCTGTGGCGAGACTTGGGAAGCATGGGTGCCGTCTGAGACATACATGATCGAGGCTTATCGTCGGTTTGAGCCGAGAGGCTGGCCGTTGGGTGGCATAGCCCCGGCTGAGGGGCAGCAGGCGGATGCCGGGATTCATCAAGGATTATTCATTGAATCAGAGTAAAACTATGGTACAAGAGAAAGGAATGTAGTTTTTGCAGTGGATTTCTAATCAGACGAGTAACTCAAAAAAGTTGGCGATATCTTGAGAAAAAGAGCTTGAGTCGGACAAACCTCGGGTAGCTGGTTGTCGATGGCTTCTATTAGTGAGGTACACCGACCTTTACGAGCTTGATCCAATTCATCATTTAGAGGTCTCAATAATCCATTACTTTAATTGTTTGATTGTAAGTTGAAGTCTGGAGGCTTTATCGTTGTAGAGTCGCCGGAGCTGCACTATTCGAGATTCGTAGCCTGTGGGAATATTTCCAGCAGTTTCGGGTTGGGCCCTTTTTGGCTCCATATCGATTTACACGGAACACTCTCTGGCATTTCTTTTTATGCTCCGTATATCCCCTTTTAGGTTCAATAAAGAAACGAAAGCTACACGCAATGAGTGAAGAGGAAAGAAGGGAACCGGGACTGAATCCTGGAAAATCTCATAAAATAAGTCCAATCGCTATAGCCAACGAGAAGACGGATGAAGAGTTCATCAGAGATTATATAAAGCCAAGGTACAACCCCCCCTGTCCATTGCACCGTATCAAAGGATTATACTAATTCGAGAATATCAAATTGTCCCGTAGCCAAGAATGGACAACATGGACGCACCCACTCACAGAGAAAAGCTACTCGCTAGACTTTCTATCGTCTCACGACCTTACCAAAGATGACTTCCGGACCTGCTTTGGCATCATCGAGACGACAAGCGGCGCGGATTATAAGAATTCGTCTGTGGGATGGCATCCCGGTATGAAGAAGAAAGAGATGAAGTCGCCGGATCTGCGGTACATACTTGTCAAGGACGACGGCGGCGCGGTCAAGGGCTTTACGTCGCTGATGCCTACGTTTGAGAACCATGAGCCTGTATTATACTGCTATGAAGTGCACTTGCTTCCCGAGCTCCAAGGGCAAGTTCCCTCTCTTCTTTCCATTCAACTGTCCTCTTTACTCTTCATACCGATATTTAAAGCTTACCTATCGACTTTACCTGCTAGATCCGGCCTCGGCAAGCATCTCATGAACCAACTCATCACCATCGCAGAAAACATCCCATCGACCAAGAAAGTGATGCTCACGTGCTTCACGAGCAACCTCAACGGCCTCAAATTCTACGAAAAACTCGGCTTCACTAAAGATGACTTTTCTCCTAGGGATCGGACACTAAGGGGTGGGAAAGTGGTGCGACCAGACTATGTGATTTTAAGTCGCGGGACTGCACATGGAGGCTTGGATGGGGAGCTGGATGATGAATTAAAGGGCATGAACTAGATTATATACAGATTCGAAATATTTAGATGAATTATACAACATCAAGTCCATGTATCAGCCGCAGCCTGGTCCTCTAAAGCCCTGATAGAGTCCGTAGGTCAGGCATAAAATTTCACAGCATGGCTCACAAAGTCTCTCGGAATTTTGGCATGCCCCTAGGGAGCCGCCTCTCTTTATTAAATTTATGAAATCATCATTCATGTCATCAAAAATGCCAAGCCTGCCTCTAGAATCATTGCTGGGAGGTCTTTTGTTTACTCGATAGCTTTCAAGCTTATCACCACACGCATCCTATACCCAAACTCCAAAAATCAAATTCAGCCTTCCCTTTTTTTCCACTCCTTTTTGTGCCAAACCCTATCCGCAATTCTTTTTCATCAATCATTCCTTCATGCGTAGAGCTTCTTCTCATACGACTCCATGTTCACGTTGCCCTCCAGCTGAGCGCTGGCCGTGCGAAGCTCAAATCGCAAGACACCATTGGCAGCACACTCCTGAAGCTCCTTCAGACTGCGCATACCGCAGTCCTGCATGGAGTGCTTGAGGCCAGCAGCAAGGTAGGGGACGAACTTGGAGATAGATCTGATTACATGTCAGCCCATGAATTCACGCGTATAAAAGGGGAGAGAATTGCGTGTCAAACTTACCCTCGGTGAGCCACGGAACCGGAAACACCCTGAGCAACCAAGACGCTGTCACCTTCAGAGAAGTAGCGAGCAGTACCAGCGTTGCTCTTCTGGCTGTCCTTGCCACCGCCACCAGCCTTCTTGTCCTGCATGGCATCAATGCTGCCCATGCCACGGTAGGCCTTGACCAGCTTTCCTTCGCGAGAAACGAAAGAAGTACCGGGAGACTCAGTGGTACCGGCCAGGAGACCGCCCATCATGATGCTGGAAGCACCGAGAGCAAGACCCTTAGCAATGTGGCCAACATTCTGGATACCACCATCGGCAATGCAAGGAACGCCGAAACGGGCAGCAAAGGTGCTGACTGCGTGGACAGCTGCGGCCTGGGGTCGGCCAACAGCCATGACCTCCTGGGTAATGCAGGCTGAGCCACTTCCCATACCAATTCGGAGACCATCAACACCAGCGGCAATGAGGCTGGCGGCCTGCTCGCGGGTAACGACGTTTCCGCCAATGACATCCAGGTTGGGGAACTCAGCCTTGATCCACTTGATCATGTCCACCTGGTACATGCTGTTACCCTGGGAGCTGTCAAGGATGACAATGTCAAGACCAGCATCAACAAGCTTCTGCAGACGGATCTTGTCCTCTGGGCGAGTGCCAATGGCAGCAGCACAGAGAAGCTGCTTGCTATCGGGAAGCTTAGAAGCCAAGGGGAAGTGCTGGTTCTTGGTCAAATCGGAGCGGGAGATCATAGCAACCAGGTTGAAGTCCTTGTCCACGATGGGCAGTTTGCCCTTCTTGGACTGGGACAGGATCTTGTTGGCCTCGATCAGGGTGACACCAGCGGGAGCAGTGATGAGCTCAGTGACCATGACCTTGGAGACAGGTGCGCTGTGGTCATCCTCGAACTGGATGTCTCGGTTGGTAACAATACCAAGGAGCTTCGAGCCGATCTTTCCGTCCTCTGTGTCATATTAGTCAGGATGCTGTCAATGTGCAATTTCGGACATCATTGAGAATAAGACAAGTGCTGGTCATAGAAACGGTGATCCTCAGGACAAAAGTCTTTTGGTGGAACGAAAGTTATAATTGATATGGTTTATAATCATTGCAGTGTGAAATGAGAGATGAGGAGTCAAGAGTGAAAATTTTTTCTTACCAGTAACTGGGAAACCTCCGAAGCCCCATTTCTCCTTAAGAGCCTTGGCCTCGCCGACGGTGGTGTCGCGGTTGATGACAACAGGGTCGAGGATGAAGCCGTTCTCGTAACGCTTCACCTTGCGGACCATGTCGGCCTGAGCATCGGGAGAGCAGTTGTGGTGAATAACACCCAAACCACCCTGAAGGGCCATGTGGATAGCCATCTCGTGCTCAGTGACGGTGTCCATGGGGGAGGACACGAAGGGAGTCTTGAGGGTGATGCGCTTGGTGATGGGGGAGTCGAGGGTAACTTCAGAGGCAGGGAAGCCAATGTAGCCAGGCAGGATAAGGAAGTCGTTGTAGGTCAGGCCACCGTGCTTGGCCGTGTCCATAAGCTCTTGTCTGTCGAGTCCATCGCGAGACTTGTATTCTCCCAGCACCTCAAGAGCGGTGGTGTGGTCGAGGATCTTGACAGAGCCGTTGGCGGCCATTTTTTCTTTTCTTTTCTGGTTTGGGTATGAAAAGATGAAAAGATAAAATGCAAAGAGCGAGGTCAAAGGCTGCGAATCAATCAAATCTAGTATAACTTGATCGTTGAGGAGCCTCTTTCCCGAGAGAAGAAGAGAAAAGAAGAAAAATTTTTGGACGTCTGAACTTTTTTTTATGGGCGCCACTGCGACAGGGACCAACAAGGAGGGGCACTGCGCCAATGCGGGGACTAGAAAATTCAATGATTGAAATCGATTACTACAACTGATGTCTAAGCAGTAAAAGTTACCGTTACCCTGCAACTTTTGGACCTCGCACGATTGTCGTTTAATACTAGAGCAGCCTATTCTGCTAGGCGTATTTTTATTCGAATAAATCCTGTGTGGTCTCACGATAATGCTTAACAGGGACATTTTCTTTCAGTTTGGAAACGTCACCATGGCTTTGTGCATGGTTGGAAGGTCTTCTTTGTATTATTTCCATATGAGGGTGTGCTCGTACTCCAATGGCCGTGAACGTCTTTAACCGACCCCACAAGTGACAGCCGGATAAGTGCGTGAAACGACTTGTTCACAGTTTTTGTTACCTGTTTAGGTCGACTGATAACAACAAGAAGGACTAGAGGTTTGATCATGTTCAATCAGTAGGGTACCAGGTAGGTACCAGGTAGAAGCCCGTTGTGGTTGCGCGTTGCCCCTCCATTAAGGTATAGTAGCTAAGCCTCTAGGTACATCCTGGTACCTGCACCCTGTCCGCTGCCCACCAGTTTGGCCATTCAAGGCTGATCCAGTACCAGTACGTCACTTCTCGATCGTTGTGGCGGAGAATCTTCGGTACAGTTTGCATGCATGTGCATACGCGGACTAAGCCATGCTGTCGGCTGAGAGATGGGGAAGCTGTGCAGAGTATGCGACCTTGAGATCTAATTAGCTCTTTTCTCCATTGCCAATCGAAGGCTGCGATTTGATTTGCCTTGCAAGGCGATCAACGGCCGCATCGCTCGAGTCTGTCAGCTCATGAGCTTGCGATAGCTACATGTACACTGTCGACCTTAGCTGGCCCGTGCCATCACCATCACCGGAGCACCAAGACGCACTTATAACCTCGAGAGCCCTTTGTCGACCTGCTTCCTGCTGGACAATGTCATGGACTTTGCGACACAATGTCTGACCCTGAAGACGCATCTCCTGCTGGAGAGCGAGTCGCCGACTTCGAAAACCGAGATCCTGCCGTAGGAAACGACGACGAGGCCGATGTCCCCCAGCTCGAGCAGCCAGACTCACCGGAAGACCCAAGCTCTGTGAATGTGGAAGAAGAGGAGAAGAACCATGTTATAGATGCGAACCTACTAGAGCCGCCTGTTCAAAATGGGGACATTTCTGAGATTACATCGGCGGATGCGAGCTCCATCGATGCGATCCCGCGGAGGGCGGGGAGTCCGATTGAATCCGTTACCTCTGCACCGGGAGATTCTCCGTCGGTTCAGGTATGCGATGCTTTCTGCATGGTTAGAGAAGCTGTCTGACAGGCATAGGGCTCGCGCGTATCCTCCCCAAGTAGCAGTGTACTGCCGTCGTTTGCCTCCCGTCCGGGCATCAGTAGTCCCACGCCGTCCTTCCGACCCTTCGATCGACGGTTCCAATCCCGAATAGCATCATTCAACACCCTCAGCCCTCGTCCATCGACTCCTACATTTGCGCCAAATCACAGTCGCCATGCCTCCTTTAATTCCAATTTCCCGTCAGACCAAGCCGATACTGACACACCGTCGCCCCCATGGGAGGTTGTGAGGTGGACAAGGCTGAAGAAGCTAAACAGCTATGCATTCTCGGAATCAGGGAGGCGTAATTTCGGATCCCCTACGTGTCTTGCCGTGTCTGCCTCAATTGTTTTGGGAACCTCTAAAGGAATAATCTTAATTTTTGATTACAGTCAAAATCTTAAAACCATCATAGGACCCGGCACCAAAGGTATGTGCTGGGTGGGGTGTGTAAGCTTGCAAGGCTAACTTTCATAGCTATCGAATCTGGGCCCATTACTGCTCTTGCTATATCGGCAGATCATACCATTATAGCCGGAGGCCATGCGAGTGGTAGTATCTTCACTTGGGACACCGCGCGACCCTCACGGCCCTTTCTCACAATCTCACATCTGGACGATTCTCAAGTACAAAACAGGACAGTCGATGGTCACATGCCTGAGGCCTCTGTAATCCATCTAGGGTTCCTGGGGACTCGACATACAGCTCTTGTGTCCGCTGATGACCGTGGAATGGCATTCTCTCATCTTGCCACTAGGGGTACCGGGCCGCTTGGAAGAACGGTCAAGACTACGAGAATATTAGGCCGGTATCCAAATGCGCCCACGCTGCCAGGCAAAACAATAAAGCCTAGCACTGTCCTCGCTTTTGCACCTCTACCGCTAGGAAATGTTGAGCGCACGACCGACAAGATGGGACTGACTGCCATGTTGACCCCGTATCTACTCGTCATTGTGTCCACGACCCCAGTGGCGCAGACCCAACACAAGTCAGCGCGCCCCAAGGACGTTCCAGCTCATAGCGCGATGACCGGTTGTTTGGCTTGGTTTCCTGCTGTGAGCCTCAAGGTTGCAGACACACACACTGGCTCGACCCTCTCAAAAGCGAAGCTAGCGTATTGTTGGTCTAATGTGCTTACAGTACTGGATGTGGATGAGATTCCTGGCGAAGATAGTGATCCGCCATCATTGAGATTTAAAGCTCGAAGCAGGTGGAAATGTGAAGAGGCTATTGCTGCGGTGCAGTGGCTCAGCCGCTCTGTGCTGACAGTCTTGACCATCTCCCAAAGACTGATTGTCCTTGAGGACAGAACTATGCGCATGACGGAAGCATTTGATCTATTGGAGAGATACATCTACCACACTGACCTTTTCTCCCAGCAGCTGCATAGCCTTGTGGAACATTTAGACGAGAATGATGTGTCCATGCATGGAGTTGTAGCCGATGCATTTTATATGAGCTTCAAGGCATACAAAGGGAGAATGTTCCTCTTAGGTTTCAACGATGTGGCTATAGGGGCATTATCAAATTGGGCAGATCGACTCATTGCAACAATGGAGCATGGTGACTACATAGGGGCTATCCAGCTGGCTACCTCGTACTACACTGGTGACACCAATAAACTGACAGTCGGCCTCCCCGATGATACTGAGTTGAGGCACAGCATGGTTCGCGACAAGATTATGGAGATTACGAGTGCCTCCCTAAAATACGCCTTTGCACAAAGGCAGAAGAACAAGGCGTCTGTGGATGATGACCATTTGAAACAGCTGGCTGAAACGTGCTTCTTGGCGTGTCAAACTGTTGGCAACACTGATTATCTGTTTGAGGAGCTGTATGAATGGTATAGCGATGCCGATGTCGAGGGAATATTTCTTGAAACACTCGAGCCTTTTGTCCTCGACCAGACCATCCGCATCGTTCCGCCCACGGTGGTCAAGGATATGGTCAGCTACTATGTCACCAAAGGCTGGGAAAGCAGGCTTGAGGAACTGATATGCCACATGGAGACTGCAACTCTAGACTTGGATCAGCTCACAATTCTCTGCAAGCAGCACAACCTGTATGATGCGCTTACCTATGTCTGGAATCAAGCTCTGCAAGACTACATTACTCCAATGATCGACCTACTTAGTCTCCTGGTCCCGTTGATGTCGAATGGAGATTCTATTCCCGACAATACGACGGACGATTATTACGGCGTCAATGCAGTCAAGATATTCCCTTATCTATCTTACACCCTCACAGGGCGAGTATATCCAAGCGGCGAAGTCATGGACGAAGAGACGGCGAATAGGGCCAAGGCCGAGATTTATTGGTTTTACTTTTCTGGAAAGACTATTTCATGGCCCAAGGGCAGCGGTAGAGAATTTCTCACAAGGACCGACGGAGAATCAGAGCCTGCATTCCCCTATCTGAGGATGATTCTCAAATTTGATGCCCCAAGTTTCCTCAGCGCCCTTAACGAAGCATTTGAAGATTCCTTCCTAAACGATTCTTCCGAGACACGACCCAACGGCAGCACCTCCAGGGCAGACATGCCCGAAGAGCAAATCTTTGGTCTGACAATTAACCGACAATACGTTTTATCCATCTTGCTTGACGTAATGAATCCCTCAGATTTTGCACCGGCAGATACCATCTATCTCGACATGTTCATTGCTCGAAACCTTCCCAAGTTTCCCCAATATCTGCTATTCTCTGGCACAACCTTGTCAAAAGTCCTCACCGGACTTTGCAACTACCCTGGCCCCGATCTTGCCGAAGATGCACAACTGAGCGCAGAATACCTGCTGTCGGTTTATCACCCTTCGGATATGCCTGCGCTGATGCCATTGTTCAAAAAGGCAGGCTTCTACCGAATTCTGAAACGAATATACAAGGTTGACAAACAATTTGGAAAGCTTGTGCAGACGTTCTTTGAAGATCCGGAGGACCAAGACTTGGTGTTTGAATGTATTGCGGAGTGCCTGCGGCCTCACAGTGAACTTAGCCAGAGACAGCAAGATGAAGTCTTGACCGTTGTCGAAAACCACGCGAGAGACTTGCTTGAACTAAGTCCCGAGCGCTCGGCCTCAACCTTTGCACTACAAACGACTGAACTGCACCAACATATTCTTAATTCTGCCGATGATGCCCCTGAGCTACAGCATGCTTATCTAAAGACATTGCTAGGGCCAGAAGATCCGCTGGTGGATGAACAGCTAATGCATGAGCGGCTGCTCGTTGAACGATATGTTCGGTTAATGTGTAAGTTTGACGCACAACACGTGTCAGACTATATTGGGCTCGTCCAGTCGGTCGATCTTCAGTTGGACAACTTATTACCCACCATGGAAGAAACGGGTGTGGTGGATGCAGCCGTTGTGCTTATGGCCCGGGCAGGACAAGTTGCCACGGCTATGGATCGATTAGTCCGTCACTTGGGTACGCTCGAATCAACTATGGAAGCCCTTTTGCGCTCATCCAGCACAGAAGGCGGAGAAGAGAGCAGTGCGCCGTCGTTGGAACCATCTGCTGAGGCTCTTCTCGAAAGCTTGCAGAATTATGTCCATGTTGGGATTTGGTTATGTCAGGAGCAGACAAAATCTACAAGGAGAGTCAGTGTAGTCTCGAAGAACAAGACTGGCCAGGAGAACTTGTCAGCAGATGAAGGCCTCTGGCTGAGCCTGATCGGTGCCTGTGTCCAAGTCACCCAAAATCTGGCCCCAGTTATACAAACCTCTGCGAGCAAAGGTGCCCTTGATGAGGAGAAGCTGTTGGCGAAGCTGCGATCGCTCGTGCAGCATACTTTCACCTCTCTTCTTGTTTCCACTTCGAGCCAAGCTTCAAATCAAACAAATGGCCAGTTGGGCCCCAATGCTTTATCAAGCACAGGGTCCAATCTCTCGTTCTTACGAATATTGAGAGCGTTCCTCACAAAGGCAGCAGCATCATCACCAAGCTTGGCGGATCTTCGCAGCGTGCTTGCATCCATATTCTCGGCTTACGCATACGAAGAGTCTATCCTTCGTCTATCGAACCGCCTCTTAGAACGAAGCCTGTTCACAAGCGTCGACACATCTGTCGAACTTAGACAGCGCGGGTGGAGGCCGCGTGGTTCTACATGTGAAGCCTGCGGCAAAAGAGTCTGGGGTCCGGGCCTTGCCGGCACGACAGTTTTCGAGGCTTGGGAGGACAAGCAAGCAGCTGAAGAGGTGGCGCGACATCAGAGGCAAACGCAAATTGCGGAACGAGCCAAGGGCCACGCACGAGTATCAGATCGTAGGAGCAAGGGAAAGAGTTTGGACATGCGACCGTCGAGCATGCTTATCGAGCAAATCGCTGGAAAGTCCAATAAGGATCAGGTTCTAGGGCCGCTCGTCGTACTAGCCTGTCGGCACATTTATCACCAAACCTGCCTAGATGCGCTACAGGAGAAGCAAGAGAATGGTGTCCTGCCTAGGGAGCTGGATTACAAGTGCCCTATTGATGGATGAAAAATACGGGAGAGTTATGCGTTTCTATATACCAATGTGTACATAGCAGCGAGCAAAGCAATTGTGCGAGAGGTGTCAATGTCTTGTTAATCATGGCGAATTGAGATAGCGGCTACTGTTTTTGGAATATGAATAGACAAGAGATATGAAGTTGACGAAATTAATTTCAATGAGAATCTCGATCAGAATGCTTGAATTGAGGTGTGGCGTTCGCTCTGCGTACCTATCTAGGTGCTGCGATCAAATGTGGCGGAGGTAGTGCCGAATCCCGTATCCCGTGTCTACCTATACCTTAATTATTAGTGGTCTGTCCATCTTTAAACTGTCGCAACTCTACCAGCTCCAGCATTCTCAGCCAAGCAGGCATTTCACCATGTCTGGCACCGACGAGGACGACTTCGATGGCGAATATATATCCGACAACCAATCCTCGGGCTCTTCGGACCAGGAATCGCCGCCGCCCCTGCTCTCGCAGAACTACTTCGCGCCTCCATTCTACGGCCGACCACCCACGCCTTTGCCTCCATCTCCATCTCTGACCTCGCTGCTACGACCGTCTCGCCCAACAACTCCAGATGCCTCAGACGACGACATTGCGCCTGTTCCGCGCACGGCGCCCAGGGTGCCGACGTACGAGTACTATGGCTTCGTGCTGTATCTGTTCAGCAGCCTGGTCTTCCTCATGTATCTCCTCTGGAGCTACCTCCCGGCGCCAATCCTGCACGCGCTGGGCATCACCTACTACCCGGACCGCTGGTGGGCGCTGGCTGTGCCCGCGTTCCTGGTCATGACGCTATGCTACATCTACGTGGCATTGGCGTCGTACAACCTGGAGATTCTGACGGTGCCCATGACGAGCGTGGAGACGATTGTGGACGGGGCGGGCAAGTTGGCCGTGATTGATTCCAAGGGCCGGCTCAAAGGGAGCAACAAGCGGGAGAGGAAGTGCGAGAGCAACGGCAAGCTGAGGTGGAGGGAGATTTGGAACGAGGGGACAGATGCGGTGCTGGATATTCCGCTGGCGGGAGTCTGCGAGGTGCTCTATGGGGAGGGGAGGGAGCTGTCTGATAGCGACGAGGGGATGTAAGAGCTGGTGTAGATTGGAATTATTATTGTTTGATGGCTTATATGATGGCGTTATTTTGGCAAACAAGCGGGCAATGGATTGAGATGTTTGTATCTACAGCCGCTTAGAGGATACCCATGAGTGATAAGGTTAGCATGAGTGTTGACTTTTTGGAATTAGAGAGGAGTTGCAATGTCTCATGAGGCGAAGAATATAGAATATACATTTATAAAATTACTGTGTCTAACGATAAACACGGAATCTCCGTACCTGGAATTAATAACCTATTCCAGCTTCAACCTAAAGACTGGAGTTGCACATGTTGATATTCAAACATGCTGAGCCCAAGTGGTTTAGCGCCAACTTGTAGCGGCGCACCCCACTACAGCCTTGCAGTAAAAAAGTTGCACGGCTGAGCTACAAAATTTCTACATACATACAAACCAGCAGCCAAAAATATCCATCCATATCCTTGGTAAACCAGGCGCAAACCACGACAATTTCTCTTTTTGTCGCGCCTCTCCCACAATGGATATCCTCAAGGTCCTGTCGCGCGGTACCAAGAAGAGCGCTAAAACCTCGCTCTCAGGCGGCAGCGCCGTGGGCAAACTTCCCTCGTCGGGAACAAAGACCAACCCGCAGCTCTACCACGACGAGGTTCGCGGCCACAAGCGGAAGCGCGATGTCGAAGAGCCCGAGAACAAGCTTCCCGAAGCGCTGCCGGAAGTCGACTTCTTTGCGCCCAAGGACGTTGCCGAGTCGAAACCTGCACAGGCCGAGAAGAATAAGGGCAAGCGGGCGGCGAGCCCCGTCGCTGAGGCGGCCAAGTTGCTGAGTCCGGATGAGTGTCGCCAATTGCTGCGATCGCATCGACTAAAAGTTACGCTGTTGTATAAGCGAGAGGAGCAACACAAGGTCAAGAAGTCTAAGAAGAAGAAGGCCGTTGTTGAAGTCAAGAAGGACAAGAAGCCGCAGTTGGCTCCGCAGCCATTGGAGTCTTTTGGCCAGCTGCGAAGCACATACAACCTCTCTCGAAGGGTGGCGGAGAATCTGTCATACCAGGGCTATCGAATCCCGACAGAGGTCCAGATGGGGAGCATGCCGCTGCTCATTCGGCCTGATGTGGCCTTGAATGAGGAACAAGGGCTGGAGAAGGGCGTTGACTTGCTGGCTGTTGCGCCGACTGGAAGTGGAAAGACGATTAGCTTTCTTGTGCCAACAATCAACAATATCATGAGGAGGAGGGCGCAGGAAAAGCTGCATGGTATTCATGAGCTCGAAGCCATCGTCATTGTGCCGACCCGAGAGCTTGCCCACCAGATTGTCAATGTTGGCAACCAACTGGTGAAGGGAACTGGAATAAAAGTCGTCGGCATGAGAAAGGGCATGGTTCTTGCTGCTGAGAGCCAAGACATTGGCGAAGACAGCTCGGACGAGGAGGAAGAAAAGGCGGAGGAAACTGACGAAGAGGACGAAGAGGAAGAACACGATGGAAAGCCGAAAGTGGTGTCGAAAGTGGACATTTTGATTACAACGCCTCTTCTGCTGCTCAACTTCCTAACGTCTGGGTCAGCAAGCACACAAAAGGTCTTACCAACCGTCCGCAATCTCATTTTGGACGAGGCCGATGTGCTTCTCGACCCGTTGTTTCGCGAACAAACTCTTGGTATCTGGACGGCCTGCAGCAATCCAGACCTTGGACTCTCATTCTGGTCCGCAACGATGGGCTCTAACATCGAGACGCTGGTTACGGAAAGGCTGACCTCACGGGCCGAGTCTCTGGGTATTTCCCAAAGACCACTGATTCGCTTGGTTGTCGGTCTAAAGGATACGGCCGTGCCAAATATTGTGCACAGGCTGATTTACACTGCAAGCGAACAGGGAAAGCTCCTCGCCCTGCGGCAACTCTTGCGGCCTACTTCGAGCATCGATTCAGGACCGCCATTGCGACCACCTTTCCTCGTGTTTACGCAGACTATTGATCGAGCTACTGCTCTGCAAGAGGAGCTCAAGTACGATATCCCGCTCGAGGCAGGCGGCTCGTCTAGGATAGCTGCTTTGCACAGTGGCCTTCCCGATGCAGCTCGAGCGGCCATCATGCGCAAGTTTCGGGCTGGCGAGATTTGGGTTCTCATCACGACCGATGTTTTAGCCCGAGGTGTTGATTTTGCCGGCGTCAACGGAGTCTTGAACTACGACGTGCCTGGCTCGAGTGCCGCCTACGTGCACCGTGCAGGAAGAACAGGGCGCGCTGGCCGAGAGGGCGGCATCGCCGTCACATTCTATACCAAGGAGGATATCCCCTTTGTTAAGACTGTGGCCAATGTCATTGCCGAGAGCGAAAAGCAGGCCGGCAAGACAGGAGACGAGGCCGGGGTGCAGAAATGGCTGCTTGATGCTCTGCCAAACGTGGGCAAGGATGATAGGAAGAAGCTCAAAGAAAGGGGTGTTGAGTCGAGGAGAAGCGGGAACAAGGCCAAGATTACCTCCAAGAGCGGATATGAGCGGCGCAAAGAGCACAACAGGAAGGGTGCTATTGAGGGGAGCAAGAAGAGAAAGATGGAGGCTGATGATGATGAGGATGCTGCCAAGGGCAAGGGAGATGGCGAATGGGGCGGGTTTGACGATTAGTTTCAGTACGATATCCAATATATACAGTATAAATCTTGTGGATCTATTTGGCAATCAGGTCTATTTCCCTCACCATATTGTACAAAAATTCTCCTCAATACTCTTACATAGTATATACCAAGTAGCTATACAATCCGCGTATTCCTAGTCTATTCATGGGAATCGTAGCGTCTATTTCTCATTACTCTTTTCCTCAGCTGACAGTCCAACTACATTTCGTAATGTGCCGAAGCTCAAACAGTCGCTGATGCGGTTGGCGCCCGAAAAGAGCATCACCAAACGCTCGACACCGCATCCCCAGCCACCAGTAGGGGGCAGGCCGTAGTCGAGAGCCTTTACGTAGCTTTGGTCAAGCGGGGAGGCTTCCCACTCGTCCTCCTCGACTTCGACGACCTCTGTGTTGGCCTCGGCGTCATTGTCTAGGGCCGCTGGCTCTGCGAATCCTACAGTGCCGTCGGGCTTGTTCACAAGGCTGCGGTGAACGGCGAGCTTTCGTTTCTGCTCCTCCGGGTTGTTCTCCTCTTCGTACATGTTGGCGAGCTCTCGGCCGCCGATGAAGAGCTCTGCCCGAGCAGACACTAGCTGGTATGTTTTCGGGCAAAGGAAACTCTTTGCCAGGGGCGACATGCAGGCGGGATGGTGCGTGATCAGGATAGGCTCCGTGAAGGACATGGGTTCCAGATAAGTCGCAGCGAGTCGGTCAAGGAGCTTTGGTAGAGACGTGGGCACCTCGCCGGGAACCTCAATCCCTGAAAGCTTCAGGATGGCGAGGAGCTCGGGAAGGGCGCCATCTTCCGCAGTGAGCTTCGGGAAGCGAATCCTAGTGGCTTCCTCCAACGCAGGGATAAATTCCACTTGCTTGAAGGGCCTGGAGAACTTGCTGAGGTCGATAGGTGGCAGAGTAGTAAGCTGTGTGGATATCAGCTCTTGAGAGTGCTTCGCAAGGCTGTATATCAACTCCTCCGTCTCCTTGATGAGGTCTGGCAGGTTGGTATAGGCACTATAGAATTCACACATTGTGAACTCGGGATTGTGAGTGGCATCGACGCCCTCGTTTCGGAAAGCAGGGCCCATTTCAAAGACCTTGTCCACACCTCCAATGACAAGGCGCTTCAGCCACAGTTCGGGCGCGATTCTGAGAGCAAGATCTTTGCCCCGGAACTCCGTGGCTCGGGTCACAAACGGCCTTGCAACGGCACCACCCGCATTCTCGGCAAGAATTGGTGTTTGGAATTCAAGGAATCGCTTGGAGTGGAAGTGGTCCCGGATCTGCTTCATGATCTCGGCCCGCAGTCTTAGGACATCGACGACATCTCGATTCACCAGCATATCGACATGGCGCTCTTGCATCTTAGTCTTGGGATCCGTGAGCTTCTCAGGAACCTGCTCCATGGATGGGGACAGGAGCTCAGGCAACTCTCGAGCCTCTAGCGAGAGCTGTCCCGTGTTTGTACGAGTGGCAACTCCGGTGACCGCTACCAATTAATTAGCCTCGGAAGAGACAGGAAGAGGAGCTTAATAGGCCTACATATATGGTCTCCGACTTGAATCAAGCTTTTAAGAAGGCGGAATTTATGAATATGTGAATCTTGCTCTGAAGCAACCTTGCTCTTGTTGATCATGATCTGAACTTTTTGGAACTCGTTGGTAATGTCGAGGAAGATGAGCGAGCCTCCAACGACGCGCTTCGAGCGAATCCGCCCAGACAAAGTGACAAGCTCGTTCGAAAGCTCATCTTGAGACTCTTGCAAAAACTCAGGGACGCTCTTCCTAATGGACGACGATTCTAATCGAGGATAAGCCTCGGGGTATAGCGGATCCTCGCTCTTCTGGTCCTCTTGCAGCTCCTTCTGGCGATGTCTCTTGAACGGTGAGACCTCATGCTCCTCCTGCTCCTCCTTGACGAACCTCGAAGACTCATTAATCCGAATGCCAGACTTGGCGGACAGAGCTCGGGTCGATTGTCTGCTCGGAGCCCATCTCCATGGTGCAGTTATAAGTGCAGCTCTTGGGCCATAGGACCTTGAGCAACTATTCAACGCAGCAGACTGGCGTGCCAGTCTTATGCAGCTGGCGGACCTCATCTCTTCTGATCAGAACAAATTAGCTTTTGCCATGAGGTAAGGGCTAAGTTCCAAGAAGTAAAGGAAAAAAATTTAAGGATCAGTAAATAGCAAGTTGTTTATCTCCAACAGCCGAAGCCGTTTCAATCGCAGCGGTTCTGAAGCGAGAATGCAGGTTCATCATGATGGAAAGGAATTGAAAGAAGAAAAAATACTCTTGTACTTACAAACATAGCGACGGCACTGCACCATATGCCTCACGTGCAACTCAATTGCAGGTATAGATGCAATGCACATCCAAAGATCTGGAGTCCAGATGCTTTGCAGGATGCAAATTTGTGCCTCGTCCAGACAGTGTGGGCGATATTTATTTTCTTTTTTTTTTCTCCAGCGCCGAGCTCCCCCGTAATTGGAGACACCCCGCCAAATGCATGCCGCTCACTGGCTGAGCGCAACACCAAACCAGGCCAGGCTGAAATTTATTCCGACGCGCCATTCCTCTTGTACCTCCAACCTCCCTCGCAAGCGCGACGTTCCCACTAGACGCAACTTTGGGCCATCTCGACCAATTGGCCGTTATCACGAGCAACGCAATCATGGCCCAGCAGCCTTTGCCCACGTCGGCGCAGCCAACCGACATTTACGGCGGAGGTGCGTGTGTCACTGCCTTTGACAGGGCGAATTGGGAGAAAGTGAGCAAGACAGCTAATCATGTTGGAGTGCAGATGAGGTCTCTGCCCTCGTTCTCGACCCCGGCTACTGCAACACGCGAGCAGGCTTTGCCGGCGAAGATGTTCCCAAATCAATCCTGCCGTCCTTCTATGGCCACATCACCAGCGACCCTCCCCGAGACCTGTTTGGCGATGAATGCATCATCCCGCGCGGCGACTTCGAGGTCCGCAACTACATGAACAAGGACAGCGTCGTCGAGGATTGGGATGTCGCCGCAAAGATGTGGGAGTTTATGCTGGTCAAGCGTCTGCAGCCCGAGAGACAGACACATCCGTCCAAGAATGGATTGAACGATGATGTGAAAGATCAGGACGGCGAAGGAGATGTCGCGATGGAGGAAGTCGAGGGCCAGGAAAAGCCTCTGGAGGAATTCCCTTTGTTGATGACAGAAGCTCCCTGGAACTCACCCAAGGCGCGTGAAAAGGCGATTGAGCTTAGCATGGAGAGCTGGGGAACGCCGGCTTTCTGGTTGAGCCGGACACCTGTGCTGTCCGCCTTTGCTGCTGGCAAGGCTACTGCCCTTGTCATCGATATCGGCGGCGCAAATACCTCCGTCACAGCTATCCACGACGGCATGGTTCTCAAGAGATCTATTCAGCGATCACCCGCGGGTGGCCTTTGGCTGTCTTCTCAAATCCGCAACATGTGGGAAACTTCCGAGCCCAAGGTCGACTTGATCCCGACTTTCATGGTTGAGAACAAGACTCCCGTGGATGCCCTCGCCCCCGCCCAGGCACGACTACGCGAATTCCCGTTCAAGATCCATGACTCCTTCCGAGCGTTCGAGGAGGAGCGGCTGCTGACCGAATTCAAAGAGTCAGTCGTCGAGGTTTGGCGTGGTCCTGGACGATATGGTGCCGCTGGAAACGAGGAATACATCAAATCACAGCCTGGCCGCGTGTTTGAGATGCCCGATGGCTACAACCAGATGTGGCGTGAGCAGCGATTCAAGGTAGCTGAGGGAATGTGGGATGAGAACGCTGGATACCCCGTTCCAGAGGCAGAGCGTCTCACCAAAGCTCAGACCATTCCAGAGCTTATCCGTTCTGCTCTCAACGCCATTGATGTTGATCTTCGGGGCAATCTTCTTGCCAACGTTGTGGTCACAGGCAGCACAAGCTTGATCAACGGCTTCAACGACCGACTAAACAACGAGCTGACGGCCATGTATCCCGGACTGAAGATCAAGATCCATGCCGCCGGTTTGTCGAGCGAGCGTAGGTTCGGTGCCTGGATCGGTGGCAGCATTTTGGCCAGTCTGGGTACTTTCCATCAAATGTGGATATCCAAGAAGGAGTATGAGGAAAACGGACCGGGCATTGTTGAGAAACGATGCAAATAGAGGATATAATTCCTAATCTTGGGGGCTATGTTTCTGGTGGAGGATAATGGCGTACGGAGTTGGAAGAGAGATAATGCTATGCAACTACATGTATTCTGAGAGCAGAGGACACTGCAACTCAAACTTGATCAGACATCCGAGACATGTGTAGATCTTAAAAAGCTACTTTATGCAACATGATAAATAATGGTCTAGCTATGTAAGCCAGAGGCGTATCGCTTGATCAACCACCACTCGATAATTCTAGCCCACACAGTCTCTATCAATGTTAACCAGCGAAGCTGACCTTGACTTCGACTTCGTCCAGTAGTCCTGGCTCCAGCTTCATATCTGCCCAAGCTTTCTCGATGTCTACTTCAAGCACATGCTCATCGTTTTGCGAGACACGCACGGTCTGTACTGGAACCGCCTGATCCTGAAGAGTAACTATGAAGTCTTCTTTGAGGGCCAAATCTGGTAGTGCTGAGATATAAACACCTGAAGGAAGACCATGATTAGTAAACAAGCTGCAACTAAGATCTGTCGCTTCCACTTACCGAAGACTCCCAAAGCTTTCAACTTGACAGCAACCGATACTCTTCCGTTGTCTTTCATGACAACACTGCTGGCTGCTATGGCTACACATCCGGTCATCTTGCTAATCAGCCCAAGATTGGCCACCCACATGTCTCCATGCTTCTGCCCTGTCAGAGGCACGGCGTGGAACGCTGTAAAAATGTCGTACCCTCGCACTTCTAGAGATGTGGTAATGAGCGAGGTTGGGGCTCCAAGCTTCATCGGCGCCGACGTCTTTCCTGTAACATGAGCTCGCACGACGTAGGACAGAGATGGTACTGTGCCGGGGAAGCATGATAGAGGTATGAGTTCGGTGAGGGGACGTGCTGAGATGTTGAATATGGCCACCATTGATGTGCCCGTCTCGGATGCTCCTAAAATATCGTTAGCGAAACACATTCAGCCAGGTTGGATATATCCCACGTACCATGATAGCTGCCCACTTTGAGGAGCAAATCATCATCATAGCCAATATACGGATAGATGGCCTTTCCTAAGACGCTTGGCCGGAAGATGACAGTCTTCCCCTTGGGAGTCACGCCCGTCATTTGCTTTATCAGGTCAATATTGTGCTCCCCAGGAACGTCAGTGATATAAATCGGCCCGCCGCTAACACATCTCGCAGCAGCGTGGAAACCAGAGTAATCATGCACTGTCTGGAACATGTCCCAATCGGGAAGAACATTGAGATACTCCATAAAGATGCTGTTGTAGGCATTTGTCCACACATGCCAGGGGTGCGACGAGGGAATTTGGGGGAAGAAGTCATCCGAATTGCGGACGAGCAAAGCAGGCCGATTCGGCAGCATCTGAGAATTAAATAGCGCCTGGGGGATCTGCGACATGCATGATATCGCCTTGACGCTGAAGTAGCGAAGCGAAGTGAGGTTCCAGACGTCTAGATATGTGTTGATGAGCTCGCGCCTGACGGAAGAACTGAGCCACATGTCGACCATGAACTGCGCGTCTGTTTTGACGCCATCAACGCCAGCATCGGAGAGAAATTTGTAAAAGTCTTCATAGAATTGAGCAACATCGTCTTTGGCAATCACCATCATTTTGCCGCCGAGTGGTAGATTGCGCCGTTTAGCTTCCTCACGAACAACTTCAATCGTCTTATATTTCTTAGCAAGGTTGCCATCGGGCGAGATACCTCCCCAATATCCCAGAAGCGCATGCCAAACCGCAATATGTTGAATGTTTGGACTTCTTTGGCGGATTTTAGTAATGGCTGCCTTTAGGCCGTTTGGAAACCCGTTTGGCTCGGCCTCAAAATCGACCCATCCATATTGAAACTGGCTGGGACCTTGGTAGTCGATTGACTGCCAGTTATCGTCTATTATCAGAGAAGTGATATTTATGTTGTGCTTTTCAAGCTTGTCAATTGTGTCAAGAATCTTTTCCTCAGTAAGCCTTTGGCCTAGTGCGTTCCATGTGCCTAGAGATTCATCAGCTGCTTGCACATGAAATAGGTAGAGCGAGGTGGATGAACGAACAGAAGCCAAGCCCATCGTACCAGTTCTCAAGCCACTCTGGTCGAACTGCGTCTGAAAGAGTCTTTAATTCGGTTTCCAGGGCTTGATTTGTGCTTCGTGCTTTCATAACAAGTGTTCTTGCGTGGTACATTACAGCAGCGACGGCTCTTTCGAAATAATTTCCTTCGGACACGAGAATAACAACCTTTTCATCCGAGACTGAGTCGCTTCGCACATTTACAGAGACAGCACCACTGGAGGTGTGTTGGAAGACAGGCACTAAATCATTAATACCAGAGACAGCCAATAGAACCATGCTTCTGCCTTCTGGGCTCTGAAAAGCCAACAGGATTGCATCTTTATCCAGCGAGAAATGTGTCTTTCCATGGCGTGGTGCTAACCAAGGAGACCAGAGTCGGACAACAGCAAACCACCTAAAGACCTCATATTTAGATGCAATTCCATCATTTCCCGATTGCGAAAAGATAGATTAATAGAAGACCCGTAACTACTAACCTAAGAAAAGAGCCCCAAGGTGTTCCAAGCTGAATATCAGTGTATGAAGATAAATCGTTCTCTCCAGGAGGCACTACAGTCTCGAGAGACCATAGTTGCGTTCTTGGTGCTTGGCTCATACGGGATGTGACCTTCCATGCTGGATTAAGTCCATGAATGAGGTTGATTAAATCGTCAGACTCGGAGGGGGCGGGGAGTAGCACAATGTGGCCATCCTCCAACCCTTGCTCATCACGGATCCATCTCCAGGGTTCATCAACGCTCGGACGGAATTTGATAGTAAATCTCAAAGATTTCTTAAAAGATACCTTTGTTGCAAAGTATATCCTAGAGACGGCTTCTGATTCGGCATGGAGAGCTTGCGGTGCCGCAGCGCTCTTTATCCTAGGTATTTCACCATCGGTCCAGTCCTCGCCGTCAATTGAGTGCCATAGAGAAAGCTCCCAGCTCTCCTCAGCTCGAAACTTTGGTATCTCTAACAAAGCGGTGAATGGAACGCCGTCAGAACTTTCCACTGATGTTACCTGGCTCAATGGAGGGTAGCTTTGGATCAGGGCTTTCATATTTTCGGCCACAGGAGCGGGTTCGGGTTTTTGCTTAGGTATATAAAGGGTTTTGAAATCGTTTGCAAAGTCATATGTTTCAGGCGCCATTGAGATTGTTCTTCGTAATTGATGGATGATTAGTCGATCAGCTGGGTCGAAGGTGTAGTTGGTTCCTGTTATGAGGAGCAAGTTACAGGCGGGAACGTAGAATGCGGATAGTTGAGTGAGACGAGTAAATGACACAATGCTCTGTTGAGAACAGAAGTTTCACAAATTTGATCAAATAGTGGTTTCAATAAATATAAGTGCTGGGATCGAGAGTTGAGATGCATTCAGTGAAGTGACACTAACAGCGAAAGCTGGCTTCCCCGCAAGAAAGAGCAAGCGGTCGTTGGGGAGGGGTGAAGAGAGGAGTGAAGTGCGGAAGAAAACCCGGTGAAATTACCGAATTACACGTAAACTAGGTGATGACAGAATATATCTGGCTATTCCTCTCTATGGCTTGTGCAAGTCATACCCAGTACTTTGTCTCCATAAGGCAACTATCGTGCCATTAGGTACCAACACATCAAATGCAGCTTGAGAGGTACATGTAATCAAGAGCGGGTAACGCATTGAAGCGTGCATTCTTCAGCGGAAGAGCAGCAGTAGTGGTTTAAAAATAGTCATTGTTTTAGTCTTTATTCTTGGTGATTAGTCTGCAACTCGTGATTTAATTTTCCCAAGTCCATTCTATATCATTTGCTGGGATTCTTCACGCTGCATCTTCCAGAATATATGTGCGTCCCTCGAGGTGGAGCTGGCTCGGATGATGCTCTTAGTAAATTCGCGCTCCTGATTGGCTGGCCGCTTCGGTGTGGTCGGGCATCGGAGCTGGTCGGAATGACTAAGCTGGCCGAAACCTCGAAACTAAGGCCACAACCCGCCCAGCAAAGCTTCTTGCCGAGCAGTGGAAAGATTTCATCAAACCGCTCAATTGACCATTAATCCCCCAAACCTCCGCCATGGCGTCCCGCAGATTAGCTTTGAACTTGTCGCAAGGCCTGCGAGCCCGCTCCGGCCTGTCAGCCGCCGGATCTCTGCGACGAGGCTTTGCTACGCCCTCGACCGTGGGCAAGACCCAGACGACGACCCTCAAGAACGGCTTGACTGTGAGCGCCAACTCCGAGGGCCAATTGGCCGAGTGTCGTGGCTATAGACGCCCGTCTTGCTAACCTACGAGCACTAGGTCGCTACTGAGTACTCACCATGGGCTCAGACTTCGACCGTTGGCATGTGGATTGACGCTGGCTCCCGTGCTGAGACCAACGAGACCAACGGCACTGCCCACTTCCTCGAGCACCTGGCCTTCAAGGTGGGATGTCCCGATACGGCATCATAAGAGCCCGGAAAGGCTGACAATTGTTTCAAGGGTACCGCAAAGCGATCGCAGCATCAATTGGAGCTCGAGATTGAGAACATGGGTGGCCACCTGAACGCCTACACCTCGGTTGGTCTTTTTTTTTCCTCATTCGCAATAGGCGCATCCAGAAAAAAAAAATCGAACCACTAACACGACCCTCAGCGCGAGAACACCGTCTACTTCGCCAAGGCCTTCAACTCCGATGTCCCTCAGACCGTCGACATTCTGTCCGATATCCTGCAAAACTCCAAGCTCGAGCCTTCCGCCATCGAGCGCGAGCGCGACGTCATTCTCCGAGAGTCCGAGGAGGTTGAGAAGCAGGTCGAGGAGGTTGTCTTTGACCACCTGCACGCTACTGCTTTCCAGCACCAGCCTCTGGGCCGCACCATTCTCGGACCCCGCCAGAACATCCGTGATATTACCCGCACCGAGCTCGTCAACTACATCAAGAACAACTACACTGCCGACCGCATGGTCCTCGCTGCTGCCGGCGGCGTTCCCCACGAGCAATTGGTTGAGCTTGCCGAGAAGCACTTCTCCGGCCTTGCCAGCCAGGGACCCCAGACTGAGGCCTACGTCCTGTCCAAGCAGAAGGCTGACTTCGTTGGCTCTGATGTCCGTGTTCGTGACGACACCATGGCCACTGCCAACGTTGCTATCGCTGTCGAGGGTGTTAGCTGGAACTCTGAGGATTACTACACTGCTCTCGTCGCTCAGGCCATTGTTGGCAACTACGACAAGGCCATGGGCAATGCCCCTCACCAGGGCAGCAAGCTGAGCGGTTACGTCCACAAGCACGAGCTGGCCAACAGCTTCATGAGCTTCTCCACCAGCTACAGCGACACTGGGTATGTTTGACATGGAAGTTGAATGAGACAAGCCGATAAACTAACTGCGCCAATAGTCTGTGGGGTATCTACCTCGTCACTGACAACACCACCCGCCTGGATGATCTCGTCCACTTCTCCATCCGCGAGTGGATGCGTCTTTGCACCAACGTCAGCGAAGCCGAGGTCGAGCGCGCCAAGGCTCAGCTGAAGGCCTCTATCCTGCTGTCCCTGGATGGCACCACCGCTGTTGCCGAGGATATCGGTCGCCAGCTGATCACCACTGGCCGCCGCGCCAGCCCCGGCGAGATCGAGCGCAAGATCGATGCCATCACCGACAAGGATGTCACCGACTTTGCTAACCGATACCTGTGGGACAAGGACATTGCCATCAGCGCTGTTGGCAAGATTGAGGGTCTGTTCGATTACCAGCGACTGAGGAACACCATGAAGCCTAAGTTCTAAGGGTAGAGGACACAAAACCGAAGAGGGGGGGAGGAATTGTCTAAAAAAAAAAAGCAAAGACCCGGGTATAGAGTGTATGAGATACCGTTTTACAGGCTTAGTGTACCATAAATTTCCCACATTCTTATAACCAGGTGCCGTGAGCGCGGAGATGTATGTGACGAAGATTGTTTTCCATTTGGACAATGGTGCGATATTTCTAGGCCCCTAATTGTTAATAAGACGAAGCTATCAATAGCAACAAACAATGATGCGAAGCTCTCAATCACCCATGGCCAAAACTGAACTGCTGCTGTTACTTTTTCCTACTTTGTTTTATGGTTCATAGAATTAGGTAGGTAACCACCCGCCTATTATGAGGTAGATATAGATACTACTATGTATAGTATATATAGAGAGGGCGCCATGTAACCACTCAACACCTCTTGCGATCCTTTCTTCCAACGCCCAAAACGCCCAACATCAAAGATCCTGATAAAACATCCAAGATTCAGAGCCACTTGATGAAAATGCAGCATTAACTGGACCTGACATTGCTTAGCTCTCCTCAGCCATCTCTGCATCCACATCGTCACCAAAGACGTCATCTACTGTGCCGCCTTCAACACCATCACCGCCAATATCTTCAGGGTCCGGTCCCTCAATTCCCTCCATGGCATCGCCTTGCTGAGAAGCTGAGCTCTCGTCATCCTCATCCATATCTTCCTCGTCCCATATATCCTTGAGACCCCAGCTTGTTCCACTGAGAACAAATCTTTCGCTTGGCAGCCGAACACCCCATTCGTTGGGCACAATCTTTGGCAAAGCAATTTTGTTCCGCTCTCGTGCCAACTCCTGCATATATTCTTTGCTGATGCCGCCGCCACTGCTTCCTCCGCGGAATTGATAGCCTAGCCGGGCAGCGATGGCAACCTTGACGGCATTTGCGCTGACGCTTGCATCACCTGATGGGGCAGCAGTGGCACCTGCACCGGAAGCTGAGGGTTTAGATCCCGCCTGTGTGATGTACGGGTCGCCTGAGAGGTGCAATGCGTCGCTAAGGACGGAAGAGGTATGTCGGTAGGCAAAGTCCAGGAGCAGGAGAGGCACTCGCTGCTCATAAGATGTGACACCTTGTGAAGTGAGAAGGAGCTCAACAAGCCGTGCGTCGCGGGGCTTGGGTGCGGCGGAAGGCTGTTGGTGTGTGGAAGGCTGAGCGGGTTGAGAGGAAGCGGCCGGGGGCTGGCTTGTGGTCGTAGTTTGAGTGTTGGGAATTGTTTGAGATGTGTTGGCAGACGGAGCTGTCACGCCATTTGTCTGTGGTTGACTCGAAGACATGGTCGAAAATGAAATCGGAATAGATCGAAGCAGGAATTATGCGATCTGCCGACCAGAATGAGAGCTGAGGCTGGTCGATATAGAGAGAAGCTATGTGGTGATGTAGACCCAGTGCGAGCTTGAGCAGCTAAGGATGTTAAAGAAATTCGTACCAGAGCCCAGTTTCCTGACAATCCTCTCCTTGGGTATCAGTACGGAAGCACACGCAAGAACAACGAGGAAATCAACCTGCGACTCTGCAGCGCATCTCGCGAGGCTGTCAGTAGGAATCGCAGCCAACTAATTGGAAGGTTCGCGGTCAGTCGCGGCGTTCATTGCGTTCGCTCTCGGAGCATCATTAATCCGACAACATTTGCTGCGTCCAGCGCGCACAGACCACACCTTAAATTCAGCCCAATGGCAGCATCTCAATTCAGCGGACGTTACCGGCTGTAATCGCCGCAGCTGCAGTGGCCTTGGAGGGGCTGGAGGCTCTGGAAAAAAGAAAAAAATGGCCTGCAGCGCACGCCTGCAGCAGGGCAGCTGGTGGCGACCCCACCAAAAAATTGAACTGCCGCCGATTCAGTGCCGGTCCCGGTCATTCGAGTTGTTTTTCTGACGATGGGCTTGACTCATTGAGGGCAAAGACTCGGGATCATATTTATCTTGGTCCGTTGCTTCTGATCAGTTCTGCCAATTCACCAATTTCCTTCCCCTTCGTTGCTGTGCCTGGCCCATTGCAGTCGATATCGTCATCCCGCTTTGCCCCTCATGGAAACGGTGCTTCCCCTGCCGTTCCTTGTCAGTGTGGCCATCCCTCCGGGATTGGCCAAGCTCGACGGCCTCAACCGCGAAGAGGTTTCCATTCTCGCCAGCCCGTTCCTCGAGGCGACTCCCAAGATCCTGGACAAGCTCTCTCGATTTTTCAAGCGCCACAGCTCCGAGTTCCACGCCCACATCGACGCCACGACTCTCGATTCCACAGACGACGTGTATGCGCTGCTTGATGGCGGGGCACGCACGGCATTCGTTGCGCCAGAGTCGCTCTCGCAATATGCCGAGCTTGGAGCGAGAGTCCTGCCGGCCGTATCGAAGCTGGATTTGTCTGCTGCTTCCGAGCACGGCCTCCTGATCAAGGACTTCGACCCCACTGCTGCCAATGTCGACAAGTTTGCCGAGGAGGCCCGAGCCAAGAAGCTCAAGGTTCTCTATCTGAAGCCGGTGCTGGAAGTCGCCATCGATCAATTCATCCAGGTTGCGCAGAAATGCAACGCGATTCCGATCTTGCCTTCGACCGGACTGACGACCGATAAGTCCGACAGCAGCAAGCTTCTGCTTTCCAAGGTCATCGCCACATACTGGAAGTCGGATCGCGCTGATGGCCTCATCCCGACGGTGGTTACTGACGTGCACGGGATTGCGCTTGGATTGGCTTACACAAGTGAGGAGAGCATCTTGGAAGCTTTGAGAACTCAGACAGGCGTTTACCAGAGCCGCAAGCGAGGACTGTGGGTTAAGGGGGCGACCTCTGGTGACACTCAGGAGCTTGTCCGCATCGCATTGGACTGCGACAATGACACGCTCAAGTTCGTTGTGCAGCAAAAGGGTCGTTTCTGCCACCTCGAGCAATTCGGCTGCTTTGGCGAGTTGACGGGCATCGCAAGACTAGAGCAGACCCTTAAGTCCAGGAAAGAATCTGCTCCTGCCGGCTCATACACTGCCAGGCTATTCTCCGATGAGAAACTTTTGAGGGCAAAGATCATGGAAGAGGCCGAGGAGCTGTGCGATGCCAAGACTCCCCAAGAAATTGCATTCGAAGCCGCCGATTTGATTTATTTCGCTCTTACTAGGGCTGTCGGTGCCGGTGTGGGCGTGGCTGATATCGCCGCAAGCCTGGACGCAAAGGGCTTGAAGGTCAAGAGGAGGACGGGTGACGCCAAGGGCAAGTGGGCTGAAAAAGAAGGAATCAAGCCGTCTGCTCCCGCTGCCCCGGCCAAGCCAGTGGAAGCCGAAAAGCCAAAGAGCGATCGGATTGTTATGCAGAGAATCGACTCTGCCAACGCTACGGAGGCAGAGCTGCTTGAGACTCTAAAGCGACCTTCACAAAAGTCCCCCGATGCTATCCTAAAGATTGTTACCCCCATTATCGATGACGTCCGCAAAAACGGAGACAAGGCTGTCCTTTCTTACACTCACAAATTCGAAAAGGCCACTTCTTTAACATCTCCAGTTCTCAAAGCACCTTTCCCCAAGGAGCTGATGGAGCTCTCTCCTGAGACTATCAAGGCGATCGATGTCTCCTTTGAGAACATTCGAAAGTTCCACGCCGCCCAGAAGGACGACAAGACTCTCCAGGTTGAGACCATGCCCGGTGTTGTCTGCAGCCGCTTCTCAAGACCGATTGAGCGAGTTGGTCTGTACGTTCCCGGCGGTACTGCCGTTCTGCCCAGCACAGCTCTTATGCTCGGTGTCCCTGCTATGGTCGCCGGCTGCAAGAAGATTGTCCTGGCCTCTCCCCCTCGTGCTGACGGCAGTGTGACTCCTGAGATTGTCTATGCTGCCCACAAGGTCGGCGCCGAGAGCATCGTGCTCGCTGGTGGAGCTCAGGCCGTTGCTGCTATGGCCTACGGCACTGAGAGCGTCAGCAAGGTCGACAAGATTCTGGGTCCCGGCAACCAGTTCGTCACGGCGGCCAAGATGCACGTCAGCAACGATACCAACGCCGGAGTGAGCATCGATATGCCCGCTGGTCCCTCCGAAGTCCTTGTCATCGCCGATAAGGATGCTAATCCCGCATTCGTGGCTTCGGACCTGCTTTCTCAGGCTGAGCACGGTGTTGACAGCCAAGTCATCTTGATCGCTGTTGATCTTACAGAGGAGCAGCTCAAGGCCATTGAGGACGAAGTTCACAACCAGGCCCTAGCCCTGCCAAGAGTGGACATTGTCCGGGGCTCCATTGCCCACTCCGTCTCCGTCCTCGTCAAGACCATTGACGAAGCCATGCGCATCAGCAACGAATATGCGCCGGAGCATCTGATCCTGCAGATCAAGGATGCCCCCAAGGTTGTTGACCTTGTCATGAACGCGGGCAGTGTCTTCATTGGTGAATGGACACCCGAGAGTGTTGGAGATTACTCTGCTGGTGTAAACCACTCACTACGTAAGTCAACAAATTCTAATTCCTTCTTTCTCCGTGCTTTTGGAGCCTCATTCTTTCTCTATTGTGCCATTGTGCTAACTAGCTTCATAGCAACATACGGGTTTGCCAAGCAGTACTCTGGCGTCAACCTCGGATCTTTCCAGAAACACATTACCAGCTCCAACCTGACAGCTGAGGGTCTTCGCAACGTGGGCGGAGCAGTCATGCAGCTGGCCAAGGTCGAAGAGCTGGAAGCTCACAGGAGAGCGGTGGAGATTCGTATCAAGCACATGGATGGGCAAAAGTAAAAACTGGGGAGGATATATCCGGAAATGGGTCTCTGTGTAAAATTAGTAAGGAAAATATGAAGCAAGAAATATCACGAGAACAGAAAAAAATGCCATTGAATATTTATGTTTTGATATTTTTTTTTATATATCTATGATGATATGACGATTGCTTGATGCCGAAATTCTATAGTAACCTTAAACTCAAATGTACGAAAACTTTCCATGCAAAAAAAAAAAAAAAAGAAAGAGAAGAGAAACACATCTCGTCGCAACAAAACTCGCTTCAACCCAGCTCAGAAAAAGCTGATGCAAAAAAAATAACTTTTTTTCTGCTGGCCCTCGACTTGTTTGCACAACTACCTAGTATCCCCTTTTTGAGATGAGACTCCCCCATCAGATTCCGTGATACCGCCAAAAACGCCTCGCTGTGTAATGCCCAATTTGCAATATAATGTGAAAACCCGATCAAACCTTGTGCTCTAAATGCATCGCCATGCTGCTTCTTCCACTTCTCCTTTCGCAGGTTACCCCCAACTTGGACGGTGTGGAAATCCCTTCTGCGACGTTTGGGGAGAAACCCGACTCTTCGAAAAGATGAGATGAAAAACAAAAGTAATGAACCCAACCGCTTGAAGCATTCCGCAAGGGAAGGTATAAAGCGGGGGAAAAAAAAGAAGTGAGCCGAAACAAAGGCCCCCGTTACGACAACATCGTAGGCGGTCGAATCTCGACAGGTACCTCGAAAACTGGCAGGTCGTGTTCCTGCTCGTCGGCTCCGCGATGGTACTACAAAAACCCCTTCTTTTAGCTTTGTTTGTCCTTTATCTTTCTTCTTTAATTTCTCGCCTTCTCTTCCATGGATAGGTGACTGACCCCAGTGATTATCTCGGCTGGGACATCTTCCACCACCCGGGTTTCATCATCCGATGCCTCGGCATCTTCATCCTCGTAATTCTCCTCATCATCGGCGTCTTCATGCTCGATACTCTCGACAACGGAATTGATCATTCGGTTTTCCTCGAGCTCGTCGTCGTCAAACTCCTCGTGCGAGATGTAGCTATCTGCAAGCCCTTCGCCAACCTCGTCGTCATCTTCGTCGTCTTCTTCTTCGTCGTCTTCCTCATCCTCCTCTTCCTCGTCGGTGTAAGTGCTGCCCTGGTCATCATCGTCGCTATCGCTAGCCGAGAAGTCATCAATCCGGAGGGGGTCATCTCTCCAGTACATGAAGTCGGTGTACTCCTCCCCGCCACCCCTGACCAGGGTATCGACAGGGGGGAAATAGTGGTCCACAACCTCATTAATATTGACATAGGTCATCTTGAGTTTGTTAAGGCTCAGGAGGTCAAGTGATACTTCTGAGTTGGAGTTGATGGTGAAGATGCGGGTTCGCGGTACATCCACCGTTCGGTAGGAGATTTGGTCTGTGAGACGGTTGCCAAACCCGGCATAGAAAGGACCACCGTCCGGTCCATACAGGTTTCGGATGTCCCGCAGGGTTGCCATCTTGAACACGTGAGGCTTTCGCAGGTAGACCTCGCGGCGTAGCGCAGCCATAGTTCGGTCGGGAGACAGAATAGTTGGGCCGTGGGGCATCTTGAAGCCCTCCTGAACGATATTGTTCAAATAAGCACGAGTCGTGTCGGCCTGTCCGACGGAGCGACTTGTCAAGTACATGATGTTGTATCCGTTCAGGGCAATATCGCTGTAGAGCTTTGCGATGCCAGAGTGAGTCCAGTCTCGGCCAATCATGTTGAGCACATGGCCAAGTGCATCCGACTTGGTGATGGTGCCGTCAATGTCCGAAATGACCACAGGTGTGTCATGCTTCCAGAGATACAGGTTGGCTGAGCAGGTTGCTCGGTTGACTGTGAAGCTCATTGAGTTCTCTCCGTACTTTAGGCTCATGTCCTTCAGCTGATCGCTAGTCAATCGAAGCGTCTTGGCGTAGCTCTTGGGGGGCTGAAGTGAGCCGGTCGGGCTTCGGGGGGGCGTATGCATGCCGCCAGGACCAGCATCAGACTCTGATCGCCGGTGAGAGGGAATGTGTGGTGAGGTGGTGAGATCGCTGCCATCGCTTTGGTACCCTGGATCCGAGATGGCATCGGCGGCAACCGCATGGCGGTGTGCTTGTAATGACGACTCAATGGTCTTGTTCATAGCGGCCTGTTTCGCGTCTTCGCTGCTGTAGACCCAAAGGTTGCCCTCTTCATCAAACCCAAACAAGGCGCCGATATCATAGTTGCCGTCCATTTCCTCGGAAAGGATGTTGCGTGCAAGGACTTCGGCACGAAGCATGTCCTCCTCGCTGCTCTTGAAGCCGGTCATGTCCAGCATAAGATCTCCCGTCTCGGTGACGCGCGTTGGAATGTTGACCGCAGACAGTCCCTTGGAAAGCGCCCTAGCGCGTGCGATGGCCTCCTTGGGTCCAAGTGGCGGAGGGCTATGCGATCTTTCTGACTCAGAGGGGCTCTCGTTGTCCGAAATGGCATCGTCATGATGCCGTGCCGTTTTCCGCAAGATGTCGTCGCTGTGAGGTCGGTCAAAGGCTCGCCAGTCACCAGAGCCAGGCTGCGAGCTTGAGAGTGGAGGAGAGGATGATAAAGGCGTGATCATGCCTGTGACTATGATGAGCAATGATTCCTTACCAGTTACACGTACTAGCAGAGGAAGGCAATAGACGTACCATTCTCGTCAGGCTGGATAATGGCGGGCGACGGGCGACGGAACTTTCCTGGCTCTCCATCAAGCTCCAGAGCATCCGGCTCCTGCATGGCTGACGAGGAATCTGCCGGTCCGAACGGCGGGCTGCTTGCCGGAGAGACCAGCGGGGATGTCTGCATGGACTCCGGGATCGAATCAGAAGTCTCAAAGACGAAGAAGGCCTCGCCGCCCTCGCCCAGCTTCATGGAGTAGGGCTGCTTGGTGCCATTGATGCGGAACTCGACCTTCTTCTCGTACGGGCGCAAGAGCGAGAACTTGCCAAAGCGGACATGAAAGGGCGAGCAAGCCAAGGTGCCATCGTCGCGCTCGACGACAATAACGTCAATGGCGCCGCTGAGAGTTGCCGGGTTGATGGAATTCCAGGCCGTGGAAACCGAGTCGCTGAGGTTTCGCACGTACTGCATCGTGCCGACTGAACGGATCGATCCGCCCCAAACGCTGCCTTGGATATAATAAGCTTAACGTAGCTTAAGCGTGGCTTTTTCGATGTATTCTGTACTTTGCAGAGCGACGGCAAACACGTTCCGAGAGAGTCGACGGGACAATTGGGCGAGCTGCCTGGCCTGCAGGATCTCTTTGGGCACTCGGTAGGCTTTGTATGAATGGCAAACGGAGGGTAAACGGAGAAGAATTGGGGGACCCTGGCTTCGAGTGGATCTTTGTTGGGATGCTCCGTGGTGACGTCGGTTTCAGACGGCGCGCTTCCCTGGCATGTGAAATTATGGGACTTGGGCGAAGCGTCGGCTCTCCGTCGCCAGAAATGCACGCAATGGCCGCTGCAACATGCGCCGCAGATCGAGAGGATCGTGAGATTCGAGCCGGCAAAGGAAGCCAACCCTCGAGTCTACATATAAGATAGCAGAATCCCCCAGGAAAAGGTGGCAAAGCGGGCCGCCAATTGTTGAGAACGTGCTGCTTGTCCGTTGATCCAACAAGCTGCACTCCGGCTGCAGGCACATGATCCAAGGCTTGGGCGAAATTCGTCCGTTTGACAAGCGCTGTGGGGGGCGTGGCCGGCAAGGCACATGTACAGGGTACCTGCGCTGTACTCTTCATTCCGTTGACTTGCCCGATTGACACCTCTTCAGCGGCCCCTTCAGGAGGTTTACCGCAGTAGGCAGGCCGCTGACAGGGCCAGGGGGCCCTCGCCCAGGCGGCGGGGGAGCGAGATTTGCCAGCCCTGAGGCCCTTGGAAGGCCCTTGGAAGAGGCGGAACATCGCGCGGCGAATCCGGGGTACCCCCAAGTACTGGGGACTTGGCGCTGCCGAACCACGGGCCATCATGTGCTCAACCATTTCCATGGGACATCAGGCGAGAAAATTGCAAAAGAACAACGTAATAGCTGCGGAATAAAGCAACCCCCAACAAGCCGAGGCTCCAGGCTTCCTTTTGCCTTTTGCCTCTTTGATGACTGGCTTCACGCGGTCAGACTGAAGGATTCTAGCGGCTATTCTCGTGCAAGCATCCGTGACGGGGCCTCGAAGCGTCTCGTATTACGAGGAGGCTCACCTGACAGACCAAGCATGCCAGAGATGAGTCCTAGAGCCGGGACCTGATCCTTTGTTTGCTGTCCCCCAAGGCCGCCCTTGCTTCTATCGACTACAGGTCGAGTACGGAGTACTACAGTAGGTAATAGTGTGGCCCAGATCGTAGATGGCTGCAGTCTAGGTTTCGCGGATGACTACAGGTAGGTCTGCCAATATCATCAGCTTACAACAGCAGAGCAATGTGGTGGTGTTTATACATAAGTAGGCGCGCACTAAGGTAAGGGGCAGACAACTTGACACATGTCTGTGGAGGCCATTGTCTCTTCATGTGTGCATGTGTAAGGCAGCATTTCCCTGTCAAGAATTTTCTCTTGGTGTTTTCCTGTTTGGGGCCTATATCCCTAGACCAAATGTGTGAGGGAATTAAGAGGGGCATTGAGAGGCTATCCCCGGATGCTGATCTACCTCACATGTTGATCTCAATAGACCGTATCACACACATCATCGTGTCATAATGGGTAAGAGGGGATGCTGACGTCAATAGTAGAATTCTATTCTTTGCAAAAGGTCAGCCAGTCGGTTCTTTGTTTCCAATGTAGAAAGAAGTCGGCGTGCTCTATGCAGGGAGACGTCTCCCCTTGCAGCCAGATGCGCAAGCAACAACTGTAAGAGAAAGACTTGAGACAAGCCATTCCCACGGCACTTTGCGCAAACAAAAGCTATGACTAGACGTGGATACTTTATTAGCAACTAGTATTCCGTATATGGGTTCAATACACGTGTAAGCTGTGAGAGCTGGTTCAGTATAGATTAGACGGATAGCAACAGAGATGAAACTGACGATGCCCGCAAGATAATGTACTATTCACCGACTCTACCCCCATTAGCACACTTGCTTCCGATGGTTACACAATTCGAAATTTGGTGTAAAGCAGTGTTACTCGACGAAGCAGAGCCTACCCACTGAGGATGCGTAGCAGGTGCTGGGTAAATGACAGTGCACGCTTGACAATTGTATCCAGAAATTCTCCCCGAGGCCACAGTCTTCTACCCTGGCCTCCATTATAACTGCCTGTACTCCGTACTTCGTAGATTACATAGTCCTTACACGTGCCGCCTTGGCTAGGGCATATAGACACTCTTGATTATAACTACCATAATAAGGTACCTAGTAATAGTAGTATCTCTAGGAAACATTAACCCGCTGGCAAACATATCCATACATCCCTTCTACATATCATTGGTCTTTCTACTTCTACGGATCGGCTCCGGGTTAGCCAAACACACCATTTCCACGACAACTCGCAAACAGAATCAAGGGCTGACGCTTGTCACTGCTACAGCTCAGGCAGTGCTAGTAAGTGATGTGGTAGTACAAAATGCACCTCGGCCATCCCCTCCCGGGCCCATTGGCATCTGCATATCGCGTCCTATGAAAATCACCTTGGCTTGGTAGTCGATATGTCGGCAGCCGAAGTAGCCTAGGCAAACTCTGATGGCGTAGAGTATTTAATCTTGCATGTTCCCTCCCCGCTTGATACGGCAATGGTGATCGATATACATGTAGGTATCAATTGTTTCCCCTCCGCAACTCCTTCCGCCCTACAATATACGAGTATAGGCACTCGAGGACTTCCCAAAGAACATCTCATCGATAAGTAGCCTCCAATTGCTCTAGCAAGGATCGCCACACAAAGGTCCACTCTGTCCAGTTCCCAGTCTTGCCCAGCTGTTTTTTCCGATAAGGCTTTATGCACGTCAATTTTATTCCCTTTTTATTTTCCAAAGCCAACTACATGTACACTAATACCTTAGATCCAATTTTAGATCTCCTTTTCCCACAGCCAAAACTCGAGTGGCGCCGGCACTGCATTTTGCAACATACCCGTTCACAGTGCCTCACCAACACTGATACAGCCTGAATGCAACAAGTACACGGGTAGCGTTTTGCACCACAAATACCGAGTCCAGCGTCTGTCTTCGAGCTCAACTACTGCCCCCCAGCTTAGCACCCAGCCTACTAACGTCCTTGGCAGCGACTAACTGAAAGGATTGGCCTCATTGATTTCCAATTACTGCCAACGCTCTCCCCATTTGCAACACAGTGCGGCCTGTTGAATCCTCCTGTCGAAGCTCTCTGTACAGGAGTGGACTACAGTACGCCGTTCGATTCAATTCACTGGCCTCTTGTCCGTGCCAGCTTGTCATCTTTGCACGGCGTCCCGCATAACTGTAGCAGAAAAAAACCTAAGGAAAAAAAAGAGCCAGCCCTCTGCTAGCGGGCCAATCGGCGGCCCGGCTTTACTGGGGTCGCCTGCTGCTCTTTTCTCCCGCCTCCAAACCTCCAACTACCGACATCTTCCCGCCTGGGTCGGCATTTCTGGCTAAGTCCATCTGAGAACATGTCATGGGAGCTTCCAGCCCTGACCCTTCTCTCCCTCAGCGCTGTTGGCTTCTGGGGGCTTGGTAGTCCTCAGCCCTTCCATCGCAAGGCCCTGTATATCCTCGTCAGCGCCTCGGCCGTCCTCATCGATCCTCGCCAACTCGCCGCGCGCATGTACGCAAGCGCCCACGACGCCATTGTCGACTACCAGCTCGATGCGCTGCTAGCCCAGCACTTCAAGATGGCGCTCACTCTCGGAGCCGTGCTCTGGTTCGTTCTTCTCCCTTTCGAGCTCTGGCTGGGCCATTCCGTGTTACTGACTCAACCAGGCTGCTTCACCGAGGATGGCAGACCCTCTGGAAACCTGTTCCCGAACTCATCAACATTCTGGGCGTCGATATCCCTGAGCCTCCTGATGTCAGTCTTGCTGGAATTCGATCCGATGCGGCCACTCTCAGCTGGACGCGCCCGACGAGCAATCGACCGGTACAGAAATATTCCATCCAAGTCAACGGAGTGCATGGTACGTGTTGGCCGGCATGAGAATCCCCTCCTTTGCCTCGTATCTGTAATCTGACCTTGTCTGGACAACAGTGGGCGATTCCCCAGGCAACGAGGTGGCCATTACGGTGACTGGCCTAAAACCTAACCATTTCTACAACATTCGCGTTGTTGCCGTGGGTCCAAACAACTTCCAAGCCGGCAGTGCCCTTCTACGACTGCGTACATTTGGCAAGGATGGGAGGCCACTTTTGGGCAACTCACGACTGCCTACCAGCTTTACGGATCCGGATCAGCCTCGAATCATTCCCGGCGATGATGAAAGCGACGACTCTGACGATGCCCAATTCCCCGTCCCTTCGGTCGAAGCCGCACCAGTCCTCGACGGAAGCTCGGCGAACACACGCGATGCCAACGGTACTGTGCCGGGGCAAAGACGCAACACAATCAACCGTCGCCACTCGCCCTCGGTTGCGAGCATGGACCAGCCTCACATCAAACTTCCGATTCTCGATGGCCCCGAACTGTCACTTGACGAGTTGAATTGCAAATTTGAAGGCATCCGAAAGGAAATCGAGGATACGTTGGCCCTGTACGCAAAGGATGAGGCTGAGGCGCAGCAACAGGAGGAGGAGCTGAAAAAGGAAAAGGAGCGTAAACGGCAGATGTTGAAGGAGAAAGAGGAGCAGACGGCCCAACTTAAGGCCATGGTGAGAATTACTATGGAGCAGATGAGAAGTGCGGAAAAGGAGCGAGCGAAAAAGGAACAGCAACTGCGGGACAAGGAGGCCAAAAAGTCAAAAGTGCGAGATAATGTCTCCAAACTTGAGACTGAGATCCAGCGCATGAAGAGGGATCGTGAAGGGTTTGAGGCACAAAAGGCTGCCTTGGCAGACAAGAGAGATCAGGATGTGCGGAAACTCGACGAGATTAATGCTGAGCTTTTGGATAAGTGCGCCGAGCTCGAGGCAGAGTTGAAAGACAAAGGGAAACAGTTGCAGGATCTCAAGGCCGCCAGGGAGCAGCTCCCCGATGCGCACGATGAGCAGTGGAAGGAGGAAGATCTGAGACTGAGGAGAGAGTGGGAGGCCAGGAGAAAGGAACTGCACGCCAGGTGGGTGGCGGAAGCCAAGAGATCTTATGAACTTGATCAACAGATCAACATGGTGACGAAGCAATTGAGGATGGAGCAGGCCAATCTCGAATTCTTCAACCAGGGCATCGCTCCCAATCCCAATGCGGACTTTGACATGTCTCCGTCTGCTCGACCTAGGCGGCTAAGCCAACATGGGGTCTCAGTGCCCGATGCAAACCTTTCATCACCAAGCCCGATTATTCCCTCTGACCCTACCTTTCAACCGCCTGCTGGCTTCACCAATGCTGGATTTGGCCCAGCCCTTTTCATGGATGTGACGGCCCATGGCCAAGGCGATCCCCAGACAGAAGCCGAGCTTAGGGAGGCCAATGGGCCGTTGAGTCCATCGGCAGCTCGCTCATTTCTTCCTTCTAACATCTTTGATGAAATGGAAGAGCCCGACCTGGACCCCGAAGACAATTTCCTGCCTGAATCTATCCAGGCGGATGACGACGACATTCAATCACCGGCTTCCGCGAGTCCACCCTTTAATATATTCGCAAGCCCTCATGGTTCTTCAAGCAACCTACCATTTCCTCAGTACACAGAAAGCCGCGACAGGCGGCCATCACTGACATCACTGGGTCTAAATCACTCTGCGACTTCTCCTCCCGCCACCGGCCATAGGCTCTCTGGCCTTTTGGCGGCGCTGCGTAATAGGGGCGCAAAGCCTGCGGATGAACTGGGGCCTGCAATTGGCTCGCTCAAGCCTGGTCAAAGCCAATCTTTCCCGCGAGGAACGGATGAGCAAGAGGTGTTGGAAAATCGCCGAAAAATTAATTTTTCCTCTTGGATGAACCGCAACTCGACCGGGCCTGATAGCTTTGCCGGAATCCCCTTCCCGACATCCCGACCTTTCTCGGCGCGCCGGCTCATTCCATTTGGCAACTCAAGCGGTGGCATATTCGCCGACAGAGAAGCTGATGGGTCCAGGCCACCGTCTATAAACTCCATTGACTTACCACGGCCGTCCACAGACAGTGGTTCCATCTGGGGAAATCAAGGAGATCAAGGAGGCTTGCTCAGCACCAAAAATCGGCTGTGGTCGCCTGAAAATCGATGGCCCTCTAGGAGCGGCTCTAGGCGCCCATCAATTCATGGCTCGCCGTCCATACTGACCACCACCTTGGCCTCTGCCGAAGATGCCATTCTCGACGACGATGACCTGCTTGACCCGCAGACATCACCTAGTCAGATTGGAGTCATCGGCTCCCGTCCGCCAACGGCGCTGAAATCTATCAACCAGCGCCTGAATCCTACTGCCCCGACATTTATGGGGAATTTCTTCCGCGGTACCAAAGACAAGAGCAAAGACAAGGCCAAGGAAGACAAGGCCAAGGCCAGGGAGCCCTCGACCCCCAGCATGGAATTCCCCCACGGATTGGATGATTTTCCATCTGAAGCACCAATGTCTCGAGACACTCATTCTATTCACACTCAAGGTTCAGTCTCTGAGTCTCATGAATCGCTGATGCTTGATTCGACTTTATCCAATACGCCATCTGATCTCAATTCCAATGGTGACTCAGCCGCGAAAGATCAAGATAACGTCGTCATGAAACTGTTCCGCAAGGGCAGCTCCAGCAAGTTTGGCCTGTCGACTAGACTGGGCAAAGACTCGGGGTTGTTTAAGAAAGGGCCCGGTAGCGCAACGAATTCGGATAGAAATATGTCTGTAGATCATCGATCCAGCATCGGTGATATGGACGACCTTGGCGAGGACGCTTCTCAGCTTGGGCGGAGCTTTGACAGCCTGGCAAGCAGCCCTTCGCTAGGCCCCTCCAAATCGAGAGACTCAAGGGAAAGTAGGATGAGCGGGTGGCGCTTCTCCATGAAGAAGAAGGGCAAAGACACGGCCAAGGAAAAGGAAAGCGTCGAGTTTGACAGGTATACCGAAGAGGAATAAAAGCGTACCCCAGAGACGCCTAAGGAGGAGTTGAGGCCATACATTTCATGCCTCATAGCGAGATGGATCAAGGCAATACACGTACCAAGGCAGCCTAGTACCAGGTAGTCAATACAGCATACAGAGCAGCTGTTATATGCTCTCCCTTTATATCCTTTTTCATTGAACTTGTTTCTGCTGTAGGCTGATGGTTAAAAGCATCACCTTGACATCCCCTAGGTACTATGCTGCATCTATATTGCATTTAACAAAGGCGTGTACTTGTATGCCATCTCGAAGCTGAGAGACTAGCATACTTGTAATAAATATGCGACCCACTTTAACTTAAATAAGAGCGGGCTAATCCACTCTTGGCAGCGCCGGCTCTTACAGTATCAGGAGCTACCCGTTCCTGGTACCAAGATCAATGCTGGATAAACGAGATGCTGCCTGGCCCAGGTTAACACCGGCTTTACACAATCCATCAACCATCGTCGCGGAGCAAAACTTGCACGATCCGGGGCTGTCATCTATTATCTTGCTGTACCATTACAACCATAACTATGAATGGCTCTCTGGCAGGGTCGTCTGCCGCAAGTCTCGACGCAAGTGAGTCGCCGGCTGAATGACAAGCTGTTCGCAACTAACATCAGGATGATGGCACGCAGTCGACTACGACCCCATTGACCACCTCAACCTCCTGTTTTCGCATCCTTCTGCCGTATCATCCATAAGCCAAGTCTCTCAGGCCCTCAAGCACCGCCAAGATGAGCTTTCGTACGAAATCAACACTCTCGAATCGGCCCAGGCCTACGAACCAGACTCGAGCCTGGAGCGAATGCGGTCCGCGCAAACGGAGCTTGCGCAGCTGTTTCGCAAGATCGAGACGGTGCGGTCGCGGGCGATAGAGACGGAACAGAACATTACTTCGATGACGGCGGACATCAAGAGGCTGGACGGCACCAAGAAGAACCTGACGCTGAGCATGACGGCGCTGAAGCGGCTGCAGATGCTCACGACGGCATACGAGCAGCTGAGGGGCCTTGCGAAGACGAGACAGTATCGGGAGTGTGCGGGCCTCTTGCAGGCCGTGCTGCAGCTGATGAAACACTTCAACAGCTACAGGAGCATCGAGCAGATCGCCACCCTGAGCCGAGAGGTGTCCGAATTGCAGAGGGAGCTGCTGGAGCAGGTCTGCGAGGATTTCGAGATGGCTTTTACAAAAGGAGAGGTCAGCGCCAAGAAGGGAACCTTGGTGGAAGCCTGCCTCGTCATGGACGCTCTGGGAGACTCGGCAAAATCCAGACTTGTCGGCTGGTACATCAACACGGAGCTGCGAGAGTACCGCCAGGTATTCCGGGGCAACGACGAGGCGGGCAATCTGGACAACATCGGGCGACGATATGCGTGGTTTAAGCGCATGATGAAGACGCACGAGGACGACCATGCCGCCATTTTCCCCACGCACTGGCGCGTCAACGAGACTCTGGCCACTGCCTTTTGCGACGGCACGCGTGATGACTTTAAGGGCATCCTGGAGCGTAGCATGCGCCGCCCAGACGGCAACAAGATTGACGTCAACCTGCTTCTCGCGTGCTTGCAAGAAACACTCAACTTTGAACAGAACCTGGAGAAGCACTTTTCCAACGACCCGAGGGCCAGCATTGACACGCTAAGCTCGACAGAGGAGAAGTCGCACACGTTCAATGGGCTCATATCGGTGGCCTTTGAGCCCTACTTGAGCCTTTGGGTCGAGTCACAGGACAAGCAGCTGGCAGCCATGATACCCAAGTACCGCACGCAACCGCTCATTCCTCCAGAAGAAGAATTCACGCCACAGGCCGTCGTTGCCTCGGCTTTAGAGCTGTTCCATTTCTACAAACTAACGCTATCCCAATGCGCGAAGCTGTCCACGAGCGACCGCCTATTGGATCTCTCAAAGACGCTGGCCAAATACTTGGACGAATATGCCCAGCAGGTACTGCTACGAAAGCTACAGTCGAGCGGGCAGAAGGGCCCCTCCATGCAGGATGCCGTCTTGGTCCTGAATACGGCGGATTTCTGGCACATCAACACGAACCAATTGGAGGAGAATATCAAGAAGCGCATTGACCCAGAGCTGGTGTCCAAGGTCGACCTGTCGTCACAGTCGGATGCTTTCCTGGGTGTGGCAAGCGCTGCCGTGCTGGCTTTGGTACGCATTGTTGAGCTCGACTGCGAGGGTGTTTGGCGGGAGATGAAGAACACAAACTGGAGCACCATGGACAGCGCGGGCGACCAGAGCTCCTGGGTGGGTGAGCTGGTCAAACATGTCAACGACAAGACGGAGGAGATCTTGGCTATTGTTACCAAGCAGCAGTACGCAAGAGCATTCTGCGACAACCTGGTGGATCACCTAGTGACGGCCTTTATCAACAATATTGTCCAGTGCCGGCCGATATCCGAGGTCGGGGCACAACAGGTAAGTGACAAAGGGAGATTAGGGGCTTGCCTCGTAACCTGAGCTAACCAAGGGGCATATTAGATGCTTGTCGACAAGTATGCGCTCACAAAGTCGTTTGAAAACCTGTTGTCCTATCACAACCCATCGCCGGCGCAGCAAGCACCGTCGGCTACGTTTGTAAGGAGGGTTGAGCAAAGCATGAATCGGATGGACCCTCTGCTCAAGACGCTGCAGGTTCGGCAATCGCCTCCAGAAGGCCTTGTGCAAGCGTACCTCATCCACATTGCAGACCGCTCCGATACAAACTTCAAGAAGATACTGGATCTCAAGGGGGTGCGCAAGATAGACCAGTCCCACCTGATTGAGTTGTTTGGCATCCACCGCGATGGCAGCTCAAACGAAAAGCTCGCACAGAACTCGCCGCTCCTGACGCCGTTGATGCTGACGTCGAGTCTCAGCAGCACCGGTGCCATTGGTGCAATCAACTCTGCCTCATCCTCGTTGGGAGGCAGCTCAGCGGCAAGATTCGACGCAGGGTCGCTGGGCGAGAAGTTGCTGAGCGCAGCGAGGGACATTAGCAACACCGGGCAAAGCGGCTCTGACAAGGCCACGATCAATGAAAATCTAAGGAATTTTGGAAAATTCTTCAAGAGAGATATAAGTGGTCTTGGGCTGAAGTTTGGTATGCGCGACGGTGCCGAGGACGGGCAGCGATGAGGGGCACGCGAAGGGGGTAAATGGGGGGGAGGGGAGGTTTTGGATATCTCGCAAAAAGATGCCCGGCGCCGCGCTGGGACGTCATCCAACCGCAAGGCATGCGCAGGAACCATTTCTTCAGCCTCGACACACCAGGTGCTTGGGATTTGTCAATCAGACAAGCTGCGATTCCAAGCCCAACTTTATGCAACGGGCCGCGGCACCCATCTGCAGGGTCCTGGCCAGCGTGGCGTCCCCGAAGCCGAATATGCGGCAGCGTGATGCGCTTAGAAATCCGAAACCAGTTGAAGCACAGCCTTGTCGGTGCTAGTGATGCTACACAACTCGCTCTACTGTATTCCACACTGTGTAGACCTCGGCCAGGGACGGAGTACTGTGTACTGTGTATTACTGGGTAGCGGCTGACCGCCTGATTTGTGAGCCAGGGTTACTAAGATGCGGTCTCTGTCCAGATGGCCGATCCCCGCCATGGCGCCGAACTCGTCCGTGCCAATTTTCCATCTCCGTCCTCTGCATCTTGAATACGGAATTCACTTGTTATGCGACACGTCCATAGAATCTAAACCGCTATATATATCCGTCTTTGCCACCGCCTTGTCTCTTCTTTCTCCCTCATCTTCAGACCAAAGTCGCCAAACTGTTCGCCTCAACTTTCCGACGAACACTTCGTTCGAGTGCTGGCCTTTCGATTGCCGCTGCCGCCACCGCATTCACAAAGAACCCTTCCAAGCCTGTTGAACACGGAGCAAGAAAAATGCATAGCAAGGTTGTCGGTATGTCTGTCTGGAAGAGTGCTGCGATTGGGACGGCCATGGGAAGGGCTGTCTGTCTTTTGCGATACAGCGACTAACACTCATCGCAGTCATTGGATCTGGCCCCGCGGCCCATACTGCTGCCATCTATCTGGCCAGAGCCGAGCTCAAGCGTAAGTCTACTTCTTGTTGAGACTTGATGGGATGGAAAGGCATATGCTAACGTTTTGGATGACAACAGCTGTTCTCTATGAGGGCTTCATGGCAAACGGCACCGCTGCCGGTGGCCAATTGACGACCACGACCGAGATTGAAAACTTCCCCGGTTTCCCCAAGGGAATCATGGGCCAGGAGCTGATGGTGAGTTTTTGCGAAAGACAACCCTCCTTCTCTTGTTCTACAGATGTATACTCACACAAGTCCTTCTCCAGGACAACATGCGTGCCCAGTCCGAGCGCTTCGGCACCGAAATCGTCACCGACACCGTCACCAAGCTCGACCTCTCCCAGCGACCATTCAAGTTCTCGACCGAGTTCAACCCCGACGAGACGCACACGGCCGACTCCGTCATCATCGCTACCGGCGCTTCGGCCCGCCGCCTCAACCTCCCCGGCGAGGACAAGTACTGGCAGAACGGCATCTCGGCCTGTGCCGTCTGCGACGGCGCCTTGCCCATCTTCCGCAACAAGCCCCTCTTCGTCATTGGTGGTGGTGATTCCGCCGCTGAGGAGGCCACTTTCCTCACAAAGTACGGCTCCCACGTCACTGTCCTGGTGCGCCGCGATGTCCTGCGTGCCAGCAAGGCCATGGCCATCCGCCTGCTCAAGCACCCCAAGGTCACCGTGCGCTTCCACTCTGTCGCCACCGAGGTCAAGGGCGGCGAGGACGGCCTCATGAGCCACCTGGTCATCAAGAACGTCGTCACCGGCGAGGAGGAGACGGTCGAGGCCAACGGCCTCTTCTACGCCGTCGGCCACGACCCCGCCACCGCCCTGGTCAAGGGCCAGGTCGACACCGACTCCGAGGGCTACATCGTCACCAAGCCCGGCACCACCGAGACCAGCATCCCCGGTGTTTTCGCTGCTGGCGATGTCCAGGACAAGCGGTACCGCCAGGCCATCACTAGTGCCGGCACTGGATGCATGGCTGCCTTGGAGGCGGAGAAGTACATCACCGAGATGGAGTAGAATGTGATGGACAGATAGAATCTAGATCAACATGTATATAAGCAGTGCGAATTTGTCTTCTTGAGCGAAAGAACAAAAGCAATAGTAGAAATAGACTACAGTCGATTCATCAAATACTTTTGCAATGCTCTCAAAAAAGTGATATGAAAAAAAGTCTCAATGTATTTCAATCAGGCCGCCCGAGGGAATCATCAATATTCCTTCCAAGGGGGAACAACCAATATGCCTTCAAATTCCAAACTCTTCATCTCTTGCTTCAACTTCCTTTATCTGCAGATTGCTCGACAGAGGAGATGCGATGCTGTTCGCCACAGTAGCCTCGTAAATTCATCCAGGCCCATGCCACTAAAACATTACTCTAGTGCTAACCAACGCTGATATTAAAATAGAAATTCATTAAACAAAATAATCCGACAGCCTTTTTTTTTTGTTCTCTTCTCTTCTTAGTTCTTCTCCAACTCCAGTACGGCTGGAGCCACGATGGTCTTGCCCTTGAGATGCTCAAGTCCCTCACCACCCTGCAATTCATGTTAGCATCGAGCTGGATATGTAAAGAAGAAATAAAGTGGCAACTTACGTAGCTGATCAGGGGAGACACCTCGATGCCTCCGTCTGAAACGACAGTGGCGCCGGCGGCCTGAGCCCAGCGGAGACCCTGGCCCATGATGTCGGCCTTGCTGGTCTCGGGGTCGTCCTGTCCGGTGCCGCTGGCGTTCTTGAGGGGAGAGAACTCGTCGGCGCGGTTCACCTCCATGCAGGCAAACTTGTCGAGGGGCAGCAGAGGGAAGCAGTCAAAGACAAACTGCTCAAGCTTGATGCCATTGGGCTTGGCGGGCTTGATCAGCTCACCGGTCTCCAGGTCGGTGGCGGGAATCTTCTTGCGGGCAACGTGGTGGGGCAGCTTGTGCGCCCACTGAGGAATACTCTCCAAGAAGCTGAATGAGTAGTAGTGGTTGACAATGTTGGCGGCGCGGAACTTGAGCAGCTCGGGGTTGCTGGCGTCGCGGGCCTCGGCAGTCTCCTTGTCAATCTCGGAGTACTCGACAACGTCGGGCTTGCCGTTCTTGGAGAGGATCAGGCCAACAGACTCGGTGGCATCGCGCTTTCGCACCACCTTGGTGCCAATGTCGACCTTGAGCGAGGCTGACCAGCCAATGAAGACGGGGTCGGCAACCTTGACCAGGCAGTTGTCGACACAGTAGGCGTGAATGTGCTGGATACCGCGCTTGCGCATATCATCCAGAACGCCAGAAACGACAATGGCCTGGTAGAGTCCACCGTTGCCATCGGGGGCGACAGCCACCTTGCCCTTGTTCTCCAGGATGATCTTGCCCTCGTTGGAGATGCAAGGCAGGACACCCTGCTCAAAGATCATGATATTCTCCTTGGCAAGGCCAAAGTAGTTGTTGGAGGCGAAGAACTCCTCAGTAGGCTTGCGAGTAGGTCCGCTGGTCATGACGTACCAGGGGACAACGACCTTGTCGACGCCGGCCTTCTTGGCAGCCAGCTCCTCAACCTTGAGAATGCGCTCGGCCTGGATCTGGAAGAGGGGCTTGTGCGAAGGCAGGCCAATGTCGAAGCAGCCCTTGGGAGCAGAGCTTCCCAGTCTGGTGCCCTGGCCACCGGCCATGAGCACGACGGCAACCTGGTTGCCTCCAATGAGGTCCAAGCCAGACTCGTACCACTTGTTGATATCGTCAGAGCTCGAATCGAGGATGCTGGCCCAGGCGGATTCAGGCAGGGGCTCCAGCTTGGCAACGCTTTCCTCGACTTGCGGAGGGTGCAACGCTCGGTCGGCGATCTCGTTGATGTAGGCGGGCTTAAAGCCGGACAGCTGCTCGAAGAGGGCAGTTTGCTCATCGGTGCTCAGCGAGTCGTAGAATGTGAAGACATGCTCCTGGCCAGCCTCGGCGTACTTTGCCTTGAGCTCAGCAACAGCCTCGGAAGAAGGAGCGGGCTTGGCAACGCCATTGGTGCCCTTGTGCAGAATGTTCTTGACAGCTTCCATTGTGTAGGTGGGGATATCTATTGAATACAAGCAGAAAAAGAAACAGATATTAATATGCTGATAGATGGTAGAAGATTGTATGGAGATACAAGCGAGCGAATTGAGGGCGGAGAGAAGAAGAAAAGTGATGATGTCGAGAAGAAAAGAAGGAAGCAGGGAAGGCTGCATTCAAGTATAAAAGGAGAGTCTGGCAAGGAGGGATCAATAGGAGAGAAGCTTCTCTGTTTTGGCCCAGACGCAGGTACTTCTCGGTACTACTGCAGACGGAAGCGGACCTGCTCTCCACACTGAAAGTACCTGCACCGCTACGCCAATTTGCACTGCTATCTGGGTTGTCTTGAAGTATCGCGTCCGTACCTCCCACCGCACCGATCAGCAAAACGGGCTTTTTCTCCTGGCTGACGTCGTGCTGCCTCTAGCCGTGCATGTTGTGGCCCGCCCACCCCTCCAAACCGAAAAAAATGCCCATCAGGGGGGGAGGGGAGCGCATTAGTGGGAGGAGCTTAACAGGCCCGGACCCTGGCAGATTCCAGTGCGGTACAGGGTACGGGTGCTCCCTGTGTGAGTGTGCGTGTTGAACGAGTACTGGTACATATCTCTCTACCCATCTATACGGAGTGCTGCTAGGAGTGCTGCTGCTGCTATACTCGTACTGCCAAGTTATCGCCATCGGTGCTCGTACAAGAGGGCAGCAGACTTGCACACTTACTCGTGCTAGCACCTTGGCTCAGTCAATCAATCAGTCAGTCAATTCCATTTACTTCTGTGATTAGGGCACATACATAGTACATACGAGGAGCTGAGGCGGAAATATGGTGCTGCTATTTTCAGCTTTGGGGGGAGGCGGTGCGGCAATTGGCATCCACTGGGAGCACTGTCAGCCCTCCGCCTCGCAGGAACGCTGCAGGCCAGTCCCTCCACTAACTGGCCAGCTGGAGCCCCCTAGCGGATGCGGTGGGTTCAGCGCCTGGGAAGAATTCGGGATCCATGGATTGCATCAGGTTGATTTGCTGGTGTAAGAAAAATGATTTCAATTTTGGCTGGGCTGTACATAGTACCAGTAGGTGAGGATGTCTTAGTCAACATGACTGTACGTTGGCTAAGGATGCCTTGCCAGAAATAAACATCAATGCATCAATCTCGACATGTGATGTGTCAATATCATATCAGCATTTGTATTTGCTCTTCGCTGGGACTCGCTCAATCTCCATGCACGCGTACAGTAGCTGCAGCAGCGCATCCGCAATCCGACTGCACGTCCGGCTACCCACGCCTTGGAGCCGATCTCCCCGTATGTACCAAGGATGGATGTCAACATGGGCCGGATACGAGCCATCAGGGCAGCGGACCTCCCGATTCGAGCCGCACATGGTTTCGTGTGTGTGCTAGCAGTAGCACAGGTGAGGCGCCCCTATCTTTGGAGCCCCGTGTGGGATGGATTGCAAGCACTACAAGCAGCATGTGTGCGCATCCCTACAGATGATTGCTGGCAGCAGATGCCGTGTGACGTCCGTCTTGTTTATCAAGATTGATTTGATTCGGCATCAATTGGTGCCCTCGGACCCCGTGCTACCATCTATCGGGAATTCTTCCAGAGATGGATGGCACTGGACCGTACACCTCTGGTATCGCTGATGGCATCCCCTGCTCAATCAATATACCACCGCGGCCATGATCTCTGTTTTGGCTTTACAAGGCAAACCGGCTTGACGGTGAGAAGGCGCAGGGTTCGTGCAGGACCGGCTTCTCACATCCAAGCACGATGCACTCCGTACTCCACACATCACACGGAGTGCCGTACAGTACAGAATGACAGCGAGTAGTAATAGAATGACAACTTGTCCAGCTCTGCAGCTGCTTGGTTCAGCCGCACGGCAAACACGGGTGAGTGGTCGTTAGCAGGCCACGAAAGCAAGCAGGATTGCTGCAAGGGCTGGTTCACAAGCACCAACTTGCAGAATCAAGGGCTTGCATCTCAAGCGTGTCGACGACTGTATGGCGTCTGCTCGGCTTGGCACTGGTTCAGCGAGATGCTCCTACAAGTTTGAAATGATTGTAGAATGTACGACTTCACCGCAACTTGTCCAGCTCAATCAAGCCTGGATGTGGTGCAAGTACAAGTACAGATACTGACAGGTCGGCCGACCCCTGCTCGTCCCTGATTTCTAGATCGTCTCTGGCATCTGCTGTATGTACATGTATACTTGTAGTAGTAGATGATCGGGTGGTTGGCTCACCGACATCCTGACAGCACGAGGTTGAGACGTCTTTATCTCTACACGGCGGTCTCTGTGAGCACACGCAATTGGTAACAGAAATACACGTACTCGTACTTGGCTGCTTTGTCGACATGCCCATATCCCCAGGTACCTCACTTTGCGAGGAGAAATCACGTGACCGCACCTTCTTCTACCTGGGTTACCGTAAACTCTACTCCTTCACCATCGTTGGGATCCTCTTCTCCATACAAAGGCTACTGAATCATCCCCTCCAGGCATATTCCGTGCATACACACTTGGTACCTGGCAATTCTGACCGGCAAAGATGATGCGCGATCTCCCGTGCGCGGGCCATGGCAAACCACAACTAGGTAGGCTGTGGCTGTGCCAGCACTAATCGAGCCTCAACATCAGCCGCTCTGTCCAGGATCCAGTCCAAACTCCGCTGCTTGAATGAATCGCCAACCGAGCCTATGGACGGCTTTTTCTTTGCTTCTTGCTACAGACTTGCTTCAGCCGCACAAAATGCTAGCAGTCGCTAGTCTTTTGCTACAGCAACAAGCAGCCATCGCTTCTCAACCCTTGCTAAAGGATTAGGCATCCAGCTGCAGATTTGCGTTGCAGTGCAGCCACAAGTCGTAGCTGCTTAGTAAGTCTAGCGCAAATATAGGTGGCTTCACCTCCTTTATAAAGCGTTCAACATCTTACGACCTCTCAAGTGAGAGTGTGGAATCCGCCTGGCATTTTTTTCTTTTAATCTTGAAACTTGCTTCTAAACGTGTCATAGCGTTGCCAACGCCAAGGCAGAATAAAAAAAAACGTCTTGATAAGCGCTATCGGTGTCAAATCGAGCAGAGTGTAGAGCTCAGCTTACACGCATTCACGCATGATACACCAGCCTGTGGATTGAGTGATATCAACATGGAGCAAGGGGAGGAACTTCCAAATACGGCTGAGGGCGTAGAATCCGGAAAGTCTGCAACATTTGAGGGGCGCTTACAGTTGAAGGAGTTCATGTACACCTCGCAGCAGTCGGTTCGCAGAAGCCCTCGGTTTGCGGCCGCACCTGAATCACCCTCGTCATCTTCAGCGACCAGCGTGACAGTTCCTTCATCATCCAACAAGCGACGCCAGTCAGCAGCTCCCAGCTCATCATCTTCATCTCCGCAGAAGAAGAAGCGGACCCGTCCCAGTGCGGGATATGCACCTCCTTCTACTTATGCGCACCTCCCTGAGCTTCCTGATGCCGTTGCGCCCAATCTCTTGGTGTTTTTCATTGGGCTGAATCCCGGAGTAGAGACTGCTCGGAAGGGCCATGCCTATGCACACCCCTCCAATCTTTTCTGGAAGCTCCTCTACTCGAGCGGCGTGACGCCCCGCCCATGCCGACCCGAAGAGGACCGGCAGATGCCGCAGCTCTACAGTCTCGGCTTGACCAATATTGTTTCGCGGCCAAGCCGCAACGGTGCTGAGCTGAGCAAGCAGGAGATGGATGACGGCGTCGCCATCTTGGAAGACAAGGCTCGCAAGTGGCGGCCGGAGAGCATGTGTGTAGTAGGCAAGAGTATTTGGGAGAGCATCTGGCGTGTGCGTCACGGGTCTCCTGTTGGCAAGGCTTTCAAGTACGGATGGCAAGATGAGTCTGAGAATATGGGCGTCATCGAGGGCGAGTGGGCGGGAGCCAGAGTGTTTGTCGCAACAAGCACAAGCGGTCTTGCGGCGTCCATGTCTTTGGCTGAGAAGCAGGCCGTATGGAACCAACTGGGCTCCTGGGTCAAGACGAGGAGAGCCGAGAGGGAAGCCCAGGAAGAGAAGGAGGTCTCGCAAGAGAAGACAGTAGAAGAGACTGATTCGGCTTCATAGCGTTAGACAGTCTTTTTATTTACACGACTCGTCGAAGCTTGTCTACGTGCTTTTGCTGTATGGTTTTCGAGTGGCAAAGCGTTCCATCGAGATGAATGAAATGACATTGACTCTACGGAGTACGTCTCTCAAATTTTATTTGAAAAATCTGATTCATTTGAAAATTGAAACACGAGGCACTCGGAAAATCAAATTAAAATAATTGAAATGTCCGTATTTCAGCAATCTCTCATACCTGAAGCTTTATAGATCATTACACCTGATGCCTTCCCCAGAAAATCCACACATCCACCAGAGCCAATCACATGCACCGCGCAAATCCGTCTGCTCCACCAAAAATGACATCGTCTCTGCTTCAAGCTTCCAACTCCTTCATCTACACACCGCGTCTCCATCAAATTCCCCTCCCACAACGAATAAAATCCTTAAAGAGCAGAAAGCCCAATTGAAGCGGAGAATGTCGTCCATAGGCCCCCAGCTCCCGCCTCAGCTGAAAAGGAGCCGTGACGAGACGGACGACGAATTAACGACGGGATCAAATAAACATGCTCGTCGCGAGGGCTCTGGGCGGAATCAAGACGAGATAGAACTCAATGACTCTGGATCAGACTCAGAGGACGACTATGCACCGCCTAGGCCGGCTTCCTTGCCTGCTGGTGCTATAGCAAGAGCAGTAGGACCGTCTCTCCCACCACACCTCGCCGCAAACAACACAGACGAAATCAACCTCTCCGACTCCGATTCAGACTCAGACACCGGCCCAGCTCCTCCTCCTGGCGCCAATCCAAATCCCAACGCCAATACCAACCCAGACTCCGACTCGTCAGACGACGACGACGACTTCGGCCCGTCCCTCCCATCTGCCTCAGCCCCCCGCCGCCAGATCGGACCCTCCCTCCCCCCATCCCTCGACGACGGCGCCCCCAAGCGCGACGACTGGATGCTCGCCCCTCCTCCTTCATCATCGACCTTCTCCGAGCGCGACACCACCAAGATCCGCGCCCGCAAGTTCGCCTCCAAGCCTAAGCCAACGTCCTCTACGGCCCCCGGCGCGCCGTCCATATGGACCGAGACGCCGGAGGAAAAACTTCGTCGCTTACAGGACTCCGTGCTCGGACGCACATCGTCTGCATCTGACGGCCCGTCTAGTCTTTCAGAGGAACAGCAAAGGAAAACTCGTCGCGACGAAGCTCTCGCCGCTGAAATCCATGCTCAGCGAGGAAAGACGTTGCTTGAGGAACATCAAGGCGGCAAGAAGGCCGCAGGCGGGAAGCCTGATGAGGAGGAGGATGATCCGAGCAAGAGGGCGTTTGATAGGGAAAAGGACATGGCGGTCGGCGGCAGGATCACGTCGACACAGAGGAGGGAGCTGATTAACAAGTCTGCCAATTTCGGGGGCCGGTTTCAAAAGGGCTCCTTTTTATAGCGAGTTTTGTTTTATACTTGTATAATAGACCTGGATACAGGATGGTATCTTGGACATAGAACAAATTGCATGGTCAATAACATTGAGATCATATAGGGAACTCTCATATACAACGGTATAGAGGTTACATTTGTAAATAGTTGCTTGGATCAAGACGCTAGTTCGATGATGGCTATACCCAGCTCTTTTATCAAAGCTAGAATTTAATCCAGCGTCAAAGTCGAACCAGTAGCAACCAGCAAACTAATCTTTGGAGATTCAAGCCATACCAAGGCAGTATATACGAAATACGATAGCATACTGGTCACGATTCCAAAGCGAAACGCCAATACTTCTTCATTGATGCTTTATTGATATCATCGAGCTACCAAGAGAAGCCACTATAGCCACCCAACTCCGCCGCTCATGTCCCATTTCACCTCCGTCTTTGACACGCTGGGAGCTCCGTGGATAGAAACCGTGGATAGAAAAAAAAAACCTGTCCCAATGCAGGGCAAAAGAGCAAAAGGAGAAAAACCATTCGTACATAGGGCCCCCTCATACATAAAAACCATCGTCGCCCCCTTCCCTGCCATCCTATTTCCCATAGCTAACCATATTTTTCAAAGAGCTGCCTTACCTTGTTGCCCCTTTATGAGCGCATATATACGTTGCAGTCCACTTCGACGACGTTTGTGTACTTGCCGTAGAATGGCCAAATACACAGATAAAAAAAGGGAGAAAAAAATCAGAAATGCTATCATAATGCGAGATAAATTCCAAGTGAGGTGGATGATACGATTCGAGCTTCGTGACGGGTGTGCTCAACACATATATGTTGGAAGAGAGAGAATGCCATCGTTATGAGATAAGTAGATCATGTGGGGACGTTAAACTGAAACATAAAAAGACTGAATGCAAGGGTGCATCATGTAGTGGTGGTTGGGCGAGCACCCGCCTCTAGCTGCGACGGGGTCACCGCCTCTGTTGCGTTCATTCTTGGGTCCGGCTCGACTGTCCGTCCAAAGCGGATAGCATGTCGGACAGACGAAAGCATGGTGGCAGGAGCAGACGGCTGAGATGTCTCTGCAGTATTGTTTGCTACCTGAGTCTGTCGGGCCTGTGCTGTCGCATCAAGCGCCGCCTCCTGTGCTCGTCGCCGCCCTGGAAACCGCAGCAGAGAGGACTGAGTTCTCGAGTTGTCGTTGCTGTTGTTGTTGCGGTTGTTGCGGTTGTTGCGGCTGTTGCGGCTGTTGCGGTTGTTCGAAGACCGGAACCAGGCCGTTGATAGACCCATGGGCAGATTCATTCGAGAATTCAGACGCGGATCGAGATTGGTGGGGTTGCCAGTCGCGGCAGCATCACCCTCGGGGTTGGGTCTAGGCTTCGGGACATAGTAGTCGGCCTTGCACAGCGGGCAGCATGCGCGGCGGCTGGTCAGCCAAGGGTCGACGCACACAGCATGGAAAGTGTGGCCACATGTCAGTCCGCGAACGTCATCATCGTCTTCGAGGGTATCGATGCAAATGGCGCAGGTATCGCCAGATGTGTTGAGAAGTTCCGGCGGCAGGGCAGCGGTGATGTGCTCGTCGTCCTCCTCTTCCTCTTCATCCTCTTCCTCTTCGGTTGTCGTTCGCTTTAAGTTATGATGGGGCTTCACGGGACCATCCTCGGGCGTTTCGTCGACAACTGTGACGTCCTTCTTATCGTCATCTACCTTTGTGTCGGTAGTTTCTTTGGCGGGTTCGGGCTTGGTGGCGGTGGATGCAGGCTCCTCAGTGGCCCGAGCATCCGTCGAAGGACGTTCTTTCGCAGCAAGGTCGGGAATAGCACCCTCTGCATTATGAACGCTGTTCGGCCGACTGGGCGTTCCAACTCCTCCGGATGTGGGCAACCCTTCGCTAGCTCGCTGCGAAACCCAAGTCTTGTACTTCATCATAGGGAACTTGTCGTTGACCTCGTCCATGGTCATGAGTTTCTTTTCGCGTCTCCTTCGGTGAGGGCGGGGCATGTTTTCGAGAGTGATGGGCTCGCCATCTTCGTTGGTCATGCGTGCCCGGTTACGAGCATTGTATCTGAAGCAGTACTTGACGCCAACGATGATCCTGCAGGTGCGTTAGACGAGGATGTTGTTGGCAGGTATAATTGGAGGAGATCAATTGGGAAGTGTATAAGTCATCCATCCAGGAGTCCGTGAATACTCACCACAAGTTTGTGAAAACGACACCAAAGCCCAGCGCAACGAAGAACAGCAGCGGAGAGCTGGAGCCGCCGCCCTTGTTGTTATTATTGCTGTTATTTGTGTTGGAGGGAATAGCAGTCTGCGGGCTAGTAGTATCTGATGTTGTCGAAGAGGCAGTTTCGGTCGCAGCCCTCACGACGACGTGGGCGACGACGTTGGCGACCTGGTCGATGACAGCCATTGTTGCGGCTTTGCGGGATGGCGATGGCAGGCCGTGATTGACTCGATGCTTAGATGGCAGCCGAGACAGGCAGCATGGATCGTACGACGGCGGTTGGGTTCTCTAGTCCAGAGCGATGCAGGCTCGGAGTCGTCGGCGAGCAGAGGGGGTGCACCATGCAAGGCTGAAGTCGAGCGCAGGTCAACAGGCGCTCTATGTTGGAGTCGTTCTTTTTTTCCGGCTTCGTCCAGGCCAGGGTGTCGATTTTTTTCAGCGTCCCTGCCCGGTCATATATAAGAAAAGAAAAACCACTCAAGTCTCCCTGTGGCTCGGCAGCTCCAGACGCAGCTGTCACGAGATTGCTGCGAGCGATGGGTTGATGCGCGGCTCACGACTGGCGGCAAGCAACGCGCGTGGGAGGGAGGAAGAAGTAGAAGAAACGGCGAAGCAGAGAGCAAGAACAGACAGATCAATGGTTCAAACTGCGGAGTGCAGGGTGGAGCGCCGTCTCTTAAGAGGGAGGAGGAGACATTTAGTCGACACTCCCTCGGGCACCTGAGCCGCCGGTACAGGTAACCTGCGGGAAGCGTGGGCCTGCGCGCAAGACGAGGTATGGGGTACGCAGTACGCAGAGGGACTACTGTACTGGTCACTTTGGCACTATACGCTTTCGAAGCTGCCCCCTCTCGAACTCAATTGGTGTGTGCCGTGCTGTGACGGGACTTGCGCTAGAGCCCTTGCTGAGGCCTAGAGGGCGCCGGGTGGGGCGGCTTTAGTGGCTGCGACGCGCTGGTTTCTGGCCGTATTACTGGGCTGGGGAAGTATTACGGGGCGTGAATCGTCTGTTTGGTACTGTGCAAGCAACTATTGGGCTTCTCCAGGCCCGTCGGTCGGGGGTTGCAATTGAGCCGGGGACTTGGATGCGACGAGTCCACCAGGCACGAGATGTTTGCAGCGCGGTTGACATCAGCGTGCGTACATTTGATGCACATACAAGTACATGTACAGCACAGTAGGTACTCGTATGTTCATCCGGAGCATGCGGCCTTGATGACGGCTTTACAGTAGTAGTCCTATCTGAGTGATGATGCGTATATACGCAGCCCACAAGGAGCAGCAATACGAGTGCATGCACGTATCTGCGCGCGGCTCGGACAATTAATGGGCAAGCACGCGGCTATTCTGTCTGTGCGAATAAGCCAGCAGCGTGTTATTGCGTATTATACGAGCTGCCAGGCAGGAATCGAGATGCAGAGTCGCAGCGCTACCACCAGACTGCAGCTGTTTAATTCACTTGCACACGCTGCGTCCCTTACGAGTATGGGCGAGTCAGAACCAACACCTCGATTCCCGCAGCTGTGGCGCCACTACCGACGGCAGGGGCGAAAAAGCAAAACGAAGCTGGAGCTGAAAAAAATTGCAAGAAAAAGAAAGGAAAAAATGAATAAGGGCATGCTCGTTAGCTTGAAACCAAGGCAACTTGAGCCCAATGGATTTTATTGTCTCACAATATGCCCGCAAATAGCAACAGTAGCTGTCCCGACTGGCATGCGACACTTTGGAATACAAGTATTCACACGTGCCTGGAACTCAGTGCATCAATTGAGCCGTGGGCTGTGAATATCAGTAGCCTCGCAACCGATTGAACCGAATTCCAGCCATGTCTACAGCCAGCAGCCTCATCTGCCACCTCTATTGCCTTGCGTATGGCGTATTGCGTATAGCAATAGTCACCAAACGATGGCCGTTCAGTTGCCATATTAGCCGGGCTTGTGGATCTCCAGTACCAACCTTTCAGTAGTCTAAACGGACCTCCAAAGCCACTGATAGTCATGCCATCCCCCCTCTGGCCGACGACGGCACCGACCACCGCAACGGTTTCGGCTTCGGCCACGGCGGGTCGAAGCAGCAGAGTCCGGCCGTCCAGCGTGTTTCTTGCTTCAGATACGATACGTAATGGACATGCGCCTAAGCTACGGCTGACACGGCACCACTTGGGTCCAGTGGGCGGCCGCTGTGCTAGTGCTGCCGCTGGAATCAATCTCTGGACGTCTGGGGCTGAATGGAAGCAGAAGAATAGAAAACTGATAGGAGCAGCACGCCGTGTCAGGTGAAAAAAAGAAACGTGAGCAAATTTCCAGCCGAAATCTATTTTTGAGCACCTTCAAACATCTAGACCCGTGCCGTGCCTTGCTCTCGGCCGCATTAACCCCAAAGCTTTGAGACATGCATTGTTCGCGACTGAACCTGTCAATTTTTTCGTTTCTTTTTTTCCTTATCCCACTCGTCGCATACCTCCGCGAGTTGGCCCCAAGCCTGGTCTGGCCTGGCCTGTCTTTTCGCCCTGCTTAGTTCGAGGAAGCGGCCAGGATGCTTTCGGCTTCGTGCCATTCCCGGGTGGCGATCTTGTGGCTCTAAGCCTGCTGTGACTCCTGCGTAAGCGTCCCCAGGTAGTTCCAGATCGGTCAGCCAAAGTTTTTGGAAGGCTTCGCACAAGGCACCGGGTTCAGCGCGGGTTTTTTGTCAGAGTCCATGTGATTCTCGGTACGTGTTTCCATCTCATATTGGCCAAACGTTCACATGCGGCCTTCAAGGTTGGTGCGACAGGCGGGGACGGTGGAGGCATGGAAAATGTTAATGCGACTTGCTTCATGATCTGGAAGAAGTATCCCCCGCCCAGAGTTGACTGCTTACGGCGCGCACATCGCAGGCGCAGGGTGACATTCTTCCCGTCACTACCGAGCGTACCGTGACATCCTGAGAGTTTGGGACTGCTTCGCCTTGACTTTGCTGGCGTCTGTGTGTTGGCCGTGGGAACCGGTAATGTTTCTGGAATCACCATCAATTCATGTGAGTGCTCCGTGCTTCCAGTTTGAGCGGTTGCTCTGCATATCGACAATGTCCGCCTGTCTCACTGATATAAGCTCGAAGCCACCAAGAAAAGATCAAGATAGCCGAAATGCAAATCGTTCATCACGCCAGGTTTCGCCAGCGACACCGGCTTCTTTGTTCCCTCAGCCATGCAACAACACAGCGCCAGTGGAGTTGCCTTGAGCGGTTAGTATGACTGCGATTGAATGTATTGGGCTGGGACTTTGTTGGTGAGCTTCCAAGGGGGTGTCAACAGTGCGCTGAACACTGTCTCCTAGTGTCGATGCTGTTGTAGCGGAGTGGTATCAATCGTGCTTTCGTTCGTGCCTTGAAAAGACGGAGAGATCCATGGAGGGATTCGCTTGCATGACGACGGCACTAGGCGTTGAGGCCGTAAATCCGACGATGCTCAGCCTCACGTTTCTGCGACGCGGATTTTTGGATTTGGAATTGCATCTGTCAGCGGAGGGATGGCATGTTTGTCGGGTCAATGCCGAGTTGGTTGATCCGAAAGCAAAACATCTCTAACGCACGACTTCGTGGATCAACAGCGCACGGTCGTCTCGGCCCTCCCGTCATCCGAGCTGCCAGGTACTGATTAAAATAGCAGGCGGCCGAGGAAGAAAAAAGCACAGAGACCGAATTGGCCCAGGCGACGACCGTGCTCCTCAGCCTCATTTACGGTATCAGTACTTCGTACAGTAAATATACTCGTAAATAGAGCAAAACGAAGATGAGGCGTCAATCCTGCACCTAGTAATGCCGTATAAACTCGTATCCGCACAAACTGGCTTCTTCTAACTCTGTGCTGACATCATGATAGCCTGACTGGGAAGCGTACCTGAGAATCACCGCCTGTCTGACCTCTTGTTCCTCGTCAATCTCATCCCGCCTGCATCCACCAGAAGCCAAAACGGGCACCCTATTGCTGCTCCGCCTCATTGTGACAGAATGATGGACGAAGCTTGGCAAACGATGAAATAATGCCACACATGTGACCTTTCACTGTTTTTCTCTCCACAGATTCACCATGATGGATACTGACGCTGCCAGGAATATTATCTAATCACGCTCACACGCTCACACACTCACACGCTCACACACTCACACACGACTAGAACGTTGTGGCTCTTCGAGCGCATTCTTCACTCTCGAATCACCCCGTCCAATCCCGAACACGACTCCGGACCGGACCCCGGCGTAACTCTGCCGGTTCAACAGTAGAACATCTTCTGTCCGCAAGAGGGCTGTGCTGCTTCTACTTCCATACGAGTAACTCCAGAGACTCCAGACTCCATACTGTCCACACAACTGCTTCGCTGGCTTGCGCTATAATTGGGGCCGATGGTCCCCGCGTCCTCTTTTGTGGGCTACAGGATATGGGCTATCCAAGATGGGTCCTTTTAGCCGCCAGCGTTTTCTCACTCTGTTGTGTTTTTTTTTCGCTCTGCTTTTTTGATTTCTTGCTTGATGCAGAGATGAAACTAATGCGCAACAATGGAGCCGGTGGTATGACCGACCGATCCCACGGACAAACTCCACGCAACTTGGCAGGCACTACAGCACACAGACTCGTTGGTTTAGTCATCCAATGCCTGGAGGTAATCGCCGATGACTTGTTTTTCCCTCTTTCGCATTTGTTCTGGTCTTCTTCTCTCGAGCAATTGTGGGCCATTACGCGGCTTTGCGGCGGTGACACGGTCCTTGTTTGGCCGAGTCTTGGTTGATGCTGAAATCAATGGTTTGCTGCAGATGCAAGCCATCTTTTCCGCTTTGGCTCACCGCAGGCAAAAACGCAGCTGAACAAACCGTAATTCCTTAGCACTGAGCAGTTCTGCCACTACTCCACGAAAAGATGGATATTGCCCCGAGAAATAGGCCGCGTTAAGCTTGTGAATAACCACCATTCCTTTGCGAATCGTATAGCAAGCCACTGCGGTAGACGCTTCTTACATCATTTGTAGTTCATCTAATTCCTCATAATGCCTCCCAACAGCCAGATTAATCACCAACAAAATGCTTGTCGAAAGTCAAACCGCGCCGGATCTCTCGGGTTCTCAAACCATCACACCAACAGCCTCCATTCATGTTTACAGTGAAATGATTAAACATGAATCAATTGAATCTTGACATGTTGACATGTTGAACGTTTTATTGTGGCTCGATCGGCACACCGGTCCCCATTTCACAAACTTTCAGGTCCCATGCCAAACTGTCATTGTCAGAGCGTGCTGTGCCTGTTCCGCCGTGGCGTCTCGTCTTGGGCTTGCAAGCCACAATGGTGCGGAACATTTTTGATGCTGCAAACGGACATTCCGAAACGCCGGGGCGCTTATGGAGGCGTTGTGTGGATGAAGTCTATTGCGATGTTGGGCAGGCATTATACTGTATCCAAGCAGCATTTTCGTATTACAAGCGGCACTTGTGTCACCAATAAGGGGCATTATTATCTCATAAGTATCAATTGAAGCGTAGAGTAGAATATATTGAGAATAATAATGATTTTTGTAGAGAAAAGAAATATCCAAAAGCAAACACGAAAGCATAGTAAGTCAGTAATATCTTCCGATGGTATCATCACTCAGGTATCATCACTCGTATCCAACGCCTACAGAGCACATCCACAAGCAACACACAAATATTTCATCGCATCAAATCATGTGCAAAAAAGACACTTTAAACAGAGTCAATGAAACAAATCATAAATGTCCATTCCCAAGGCCTCATAGAGTGCCAAATGATTTTAACGAAGCGAGTAGAAAACCTAAACGACAGGAATATCAAACCTCCCATAGTTTCCATTTTGTATGCTCCCTTCCGTAAATGCCAAACCGTAAATAAAACCGCGGGATTGCTAGATGTGCTAGGCCCCTATCGAAAATGCATCAAACCAAATTGTGTATGTGAAAGAAAAAAAGTGAAAGGACAAGGAACGATTCGAAGTATGAAACAGGAGATCAAGTTGTCAAATGAAAGAAACCATTGTCCCCCAGCCACACAAGATACCATTCAAACCAAGTCCCTCAACATGCACTTAGTGCTCGCCAAAGGCCCAGTTGCGCCGGTGGATGGGCAGGAACGGCGTCACAGTCGGACGGCCGTTGTTAATCTCGGCGCTGGAGCTGGAGCTCGACAGCGTCGAGGTCGGTGCCTCAACTGCGCTGTCGCTTGGCAGAGTCGCAGAAGGGACGTGCTTCGTAATGGTCATGTAGTAGGTAGCAGTAGACTGAACGCTACTGCTGCTTGTTGAAGTTGTGGTTGTGGTTGTAGTGGTAGTGGTAGTCGATGTTGAAGGCGAAGCTGCAGCCGGGACATGCATTGTGGTGGTCGTGGTGACAGTGGGAACAAGCTGCGCCAAAGTCGGCGAGGCTGAGGTTGACGGTCCCTGGTCAGCAGTCACTGTTCTGTAGAGCGTCTTCCAGACGGTGGTCGGCTGTACAAGAGAGATGGTGGTCGGCTGTACAAGAGAGATGGTGGTCGGCTGTACAAGAGTGACAGTCTCCTTTGCGTCGCCCTCCTTGCCAGCTGGCGTGGTGGGTGCCACCTGGGAGGGTTGAGGAGCAACTGAAGTGGGAGTGACAGGAGTTGCGCTCGGGCCATCGCTGGCACCGTTGGCATCAATGTCAACCTCAAAGTTGCTGGTCATCTGGGACTTGATGGCTTTGGTGTAAATGTCCTGATCCTCGATCCAATCGTCCGCAAAGTTGGCGTTTTTGGCAGACGAGTCACCGCCCGTGATCTTGATATCGATGGTGCTAGCATAGCTCTCATTCTTGGCGATGGCGTCCATGGTGAAGCCGTGAGGATCCTTCTCTCCGCGCATAAAGGTGCCAGCCCATGGGTAGAGGCCGTTGGTGGTAGCAGCGAAGTTGATGCTGTCGGCGTTCAGATCAGGCCAGTCCCAGTACCAGTAGATGGTGTAGATGGAGCCAGGCTTGAGGTCGCTGGGCAGCTGAAGGGTCGACTGGCATCCAAGCTCTCTGTCATGGACAGCTCCCTCTGGGGCTAGCTTGGCAGCTCGCTCAGTGCTGATGGGGCCGGGGTTTGGTTGATAGCACTGGCCATCGTCGTAGTTGCGAGTAGAGAGAAGAACGCCACGACCGTCGCCGCCAGTGCCCTTCTTGTTCCAGACAAGATGGACATCAAAGAGACGCTCGTTCTCCTTGGGCTGGCTGGTGCCATAGAGGAAGACGGTGCCGCGGTTCAAGGGCTTCTTGGGCTGATTCTGGGGAAGAGTGGTGTGACCGTTCTCAAGATGGATGATGGCTATGTGGTCGCCCGGTGCGGCTTCCAACATAGGAAAACGAGGGTTCTCATCCAACTTGTACTTGTTCAGCACCTCATCACCCGAATAAGCACTTTGGCCAGAAGCTGGGAGAATCCACTGAGGGATGGAGTCCTGAAAAGCAGGGTCAGTAGAGTCGCGAGGAACCCAACCACGAGCGTATCCCTCCGCTCCAATCATGGTGCCGTTAGGGGCAACTTTGTAGGCACGCTCAATCCAAGAGTGACCGCTGGCGAGGGTGGCGAGAGTTGCAACCATCGCCGCCTTGAGGCCGACGTGGGGGTTGGAAGCCATTCTCACAGTTGCAACGCGTCTCTTGGGAGATGGTGGCTGTTTTGAACTGGCGACGAGAGAGTGGTTTGAGTTGTCGAACAGGTAAAGACTGAGTCTGAAGCCGATACTAAGGAACGGATGCTTGTTGATCTCTGTGGGAGAAAAGCTGAACCAAAATACGATCGTGACGATGCCCTCGCGGTTTGTTTTTGTTTTTGTTTTGGAAAAAAAGAAAAGAAAAGAGAGAGCGAGAAAGAGAGGAAATATTGGTTGCCAGGTGGCAGGATGTGGAAGAAGGCCGCCTGTTCACCGTACCCGACGGACCGACGAACAGCTGGTGAACAGCTGTTGGCTTTTCCAGACAGTTTTCAGTGAACGAGTTTTACCGGGCGAAATGCTGCTGGAAGAGCTGTCCCTAGTTTGCGTTTTATGTACCCCAATGTCCTTTCTAAATGAACTCGAATTCGAAGCGTAAACGCTGAGTGTCGTCGATGTGGGTTCGCAACTTGATGATATTCAGGAGGAGAGTGAATCACGTCCAGCGCTGTTCAACCCTTGTGAATTAAAGAAACAGAAAAGGAAAGCGGTTAAGATGGTTGTAATTATTTCCAAAGAGAAGAAAAGGAAATGACAAAGGAAATAGAGAAAAGAGAAAAGGAAATGGTAGTCTTCTCTTCACCTTGCCATCATCGATGCCGTCTCACCCGTGGGAACAATCAGAAGCTGTAACAATTAACCAACACTAGGCAAACCGGCACAGTTGTAAAACGGAAAACGCCCACGCAATCAAGGCACACAAGTAACTGGGACAGACAAAGAGAGAGATAGGGAGAGAGAGAAACAAGTGAGTAAGATATGACGAAAAGAAGCGCCACCACGAGGCATAATTCACCAGAGCAACGGGCCCAGAATCCATTTTTAGCTGAAGCATATCGCCGTGCCGGCGGGCTTCAACGGCAACCTATCGACAGCATGGCAGCAAGCAAAATCACGGCAACAAAGCGGTCGCTCCAAAGGTCGGCGGCCATGGGAAGCGGCCATGACATGAGACAGACGCTGGACCACTCCTTTGGGCGGCCGTTTGTATGGTAGAGGTGCGGCGGCTGGCGAAATGAGGTCACTCAACAGCCCACTACATGACACGACAAAGACCATCGGAGACGATGAAGAGGCTGCCATATCGAACAAATTTCTGTAATACCATCCAGGCCTCGTTTCATCAAGCAAGGGTCTCTGAGTCGATGATAGGCTGAGACAAAAAGAGGCGCGGCTTGCGGCAGCGGCGCCTGCATGGCCCGATCTGGCCGAGAGGGCCAAGTACCGTCCAAGTGCCTGTGCACCGAATCTATGCGCCTGGGATACAAGAGCTATACCTAGGAATCCATGGAATCCATCTCAGGTCGCAGATTCGCGCAGCTCATCCACGCATTACAGGTAATTACCTGGGTAGGGTGGTACTGACCCGGTACACGGCAGCTACAAAGCTTCTGTTTAGGCGCCGCGCAGATTAACGTGTCTGGGCTAGCGGCAAATGCGAGCCAGCAAGTACCGTGCTGTTCAGCGTCAAGCGACTGGCTGTCATTCGTTGCCTCTTCCGACAGCCAAAGTCGCCTCATTTTATCTGCTGTCCAGGTGCCGTCGCATCGTTTGATCTACTTTTGGGCTGTGTAACATTGTGGCGCGTGGGGTTCCGATTTTGTTTGAGAAGTTCTTTGTTGCTGTCCGTTCAAGTCACGAGACTCTTCATCATGGTGAACGGGTGTGGCTTCACAGCCAATAGGTTCACATAGGGAGCATGGGGTTTCTCAACCAGTGCCCAAGTGTACGGGCTGCTATCCAAGGCATCCAGCCAGCTGGTAATTTTCCTATATTCATCTATTCCCTTTACCGACAGTAGAGATACTGGAGAAAGCGTCAATAGCAGAAGAGACCTATGACACCTACCAACTAAACCCAGCGATTTCTACACTCCCAGCATGTAGAAACCGCGTTACAACGGTGTCCCACTATCTGTGAAACTATATTATGTTAACGAATCGCCGAAATTCCGATATCTGCCCACAATGGTCCTTCTTGGCCCAGTTTCATTTCCCTGTTCGTCTCACGGGCGCTTAAATCTGCGCTTCCATCCTTGCTCTCAGTGATACACGCGATGCGAATCATACCAGCGTAACATTCCGCTTAGCCGCTCCCGCGCCTTTTCGAACACGAAAGGTCCGCTATAGACGAGGTAGAAGATGGAAATAGATCCATCCATATGCCGAACAAGGGTGCTCTATACACACAGGTATAGAGGGAATTCTAAGTTGCCGCTTGTCACACTCCCAATCCAGCGGGAAATCTCATCGCCCTATGCCGCTCTGAGAGGAGCCAAATGAGAGATATAAGGCGCAAGCATCTGAGATTCTTTGTTCTGCCTCCGAAAACCACTTGTCACGCATTTGATTCAAGTATCTTTGAGCTGTGCTGTGAACCAATCGGACATAGTTGCCCTCTTCGTCGACAGTGACGAATCCACAACATGTCGAGACTATGAGGTCAATCCCCTGGATGTTTTCTTCATCCAAATCTCACAGAGTATCTTCTATGTCCAACTCACGGTCTACTGCGACAGTATGCTGGAGCTACCGCTTTGAATGGCTTATTCAATATAAAGTCCTTTTTGGCCAGTCGGCGGAAGCCTCTGATGCCTGATTATATTAAGTGTGCCAGCGGAATGTTTGGCTGAACCCAGACTATAGTCATACTCAAACTCCTCGGACGTTTATTAAAACTTCCATCTTGATCTACTTCCAGAGATTCGTGTTATTTTGAATAAAGCCTAGAAGTCGTGACATATGACCGTCTACATATTTCTATACGTTCTCTTAGCTAGCAGCAATCTCCAGAGCTTAGCGTGCATCAAATAATTGATCGATTTCTGAAATGGATTGAGATGTTGCAAAAATACTGACCTCGGCTTTGGTTTGAAGATAAAAGAGCCTGTAGAAAAAGAAAGACCGTTCCTAGGGCTAGTATTCGCCAAGTACATCGACAATAATAAAAACTATGGAATATGTTTTGGCCGAGAGTGGTTCTCTCAAAGATGGCTGGGTGTTGTTACTTTGATGCTTGTTTCATAGACTATTCATGGCGTCTGGCATGGAAGACTGATAACATGGCCATTAATCTCATGTTGCATGTATATATGCAAGGGAGATCACAGCGTCGCCACCATGATAGCATGTAAATAGCTGGAGCCTTCTTGAGATTTAAGTGTCGGGTGCTTTAAGAGAAATGTCTTGCGTGCCCTGAGTAGCAACAGGTAGGTACTAATCCATCTACCTCAAGGAGATTGATCATGAGTGTACCCTCTTCTCATGGTAGCCAGATCAGAGCACAGCGCCTAGGTAGATACCTATATAACCCCAGTTGTGGTGACTTCACTGAACCTTGGACCACACCGATCACTGCTGGTGCAGCTGCCTGCCAACAGGTTTTGCTCGGGCTGTGCCTGCATTCCGAACTTTCTGGCCGCTATAACATCTTCTTCTTCAGAGGCAGGCAGGCAGGCCTGAGCAAGTTTGGCATTGATGGCTCTTTCCCGGGCGTGATTGCCCGCTGTTGCTGCTTTGCTCCTCAGGCGCGCGCAGCCTGGGAAGAATTCTACCTCAGGCCACCATCCTCTGGGAATGCTTTTTGCCTCCATCACCATCCACAGGAGCACCAACACCAGTACCAGCAACGCCTTGCTCGACAAACAACGATGATGTCCTCCTTAACGCCTGTTTGTTTCTTTTCTTTTGTGACGAGCAACCCATTCCGCACTGCGCCCCCTTGATTTTATTTTCGAAAAAGATTGTTGTCGCCTGCGCTCTGCCGACTTTACCCAGGAACCAAGAAAACTGGTAGGTTGACATTCCTTCACCTACCTCACTCCCCACCTCTAGTACTTCTACTAGATTGTACACTCTCTGGAAGGGAGTCGATACCTCGCCCTTTCCAGAGTTGGCACGTCCATGTGACTGTTGCCTCTTTCAACAGCTCTTTAGGCCATGGCCCAAAGTAGCCCATCGACGCTGGCTTGTCGTCTTGTACGACTGCTGCCTCGTTGAAGGACACTGATGTTGGGGCGGCCTGAAAAGGCTGCTGTACTGACATCCATGAATGTCCGCGCGTCTATTGAGACTGCAGCGATATTCAATTACAAAGATGCTGGCGCGCCTGACAAGGCTGCAGCCTCATCGACCACGAATGTCTGCGCGTCTATTGAGACTGCAGCGATATTCAATTGCAAAGATGAAGTGTGCGCGCCTGACAAGGCTGCTGCCCCATCAACCACGAATATTTGCATGTCTCTTCAGACTGTAGCAATATTCGATTGCAAAGATGCCGGCACGCCTGACAAGGCCGCTACATTGGCACTCAAGTACAATGATGTTGGCGCACCTGAAAAGGTTGCTGCATTGGCATCCACGAACGTCGGCGCGGCCTGAAAAGGCTGCTGCATTGGCATTCAAGTACACTAATGTCGGCGCGGCCTTACACAAGGCTGCTGCATTGGCATCCAAAAGTACAATGATGTTGGCGCGGCTGATAAAGCTGCTGCATTGGCATCGAAGAGCGTTGGCACATCTATGCAGATAGCTGCCTCTTTCAACCCCTTGGACAATGTTCAAGAAGGGTATTGCAGTGCCGGCGCGTCTGTTATGACCACCGACAGTTTATTCAAGTGCTGACTATTGGAACAAGGCACCCATCACAGTCTTCGGCTTACGGCAATCATTTGTCGAATCAGTTTCACGAATCATGGTACGTTGACAATTCCTCAACTTCTCATAGAAGCATTTTTATCTCGTAGTAGTGCATAGTACAATAGGCTGACGTATTTGATATAGTCGGCTGGAATTGATAAATTCCTCGACGCAGCTTTGTTGTGTTTTGGGGGGCGGCGGCAGCGGCGGCGGTGATGGCCGTGATGGTATGTCGCTGCTTTGCTCATGAATGCCTTCGTACTCATGAATATAAATCGATAGATTAACATGACCATAGGGCGAGGAGGTGAATGAGATGGTGGCGGCCGTAAGTTTCTCTTCTTCACAGACTTAATATCAACTTCCGTTCTGACATGCAACAGGGCCCGTGGAACCAGAGTTTACAAGTCTCTCTCACATCGTTCGTACAAACGATCGATCGCGAAGCTGACAGTAATCAAATAGCCAAGAAGGAGAAGAAGGAGGAGAAAGAGAAGGAAAAGGAGAAAGAGAAGGAAAAGGAAAAGTCGGCCACTGGTTGCAATAAGTGATGCCTTCTGAATATATTGTCTGTCTCATGGCTAACTATATACATACGGGGAGTTGTGAAACTCCCAGGCCTCGAGGGCCGCGGCGCCGACGGGACTTTGTCCCAGAAACAGGCCCTGGGGATGGTGGCCTTGGGTCTCCTCACGGAGGCTCAGGCTTAGAAAGAGAAGAAGAAGAAGAAGAAGAAGAAGAAGAAGAAGGATGTCGTGATGGGGGTGGCGGTCTTAGGTTTCTCCTTTTCATAGACGTGATATCAGCATCGGTACTGACTACTGATGGAGTAGAAGTAGAACTCTGACGAGGAAATGAGGGAGGCGAGGGAGGAGGAGGAAGAGGGAGAGGGAGAGGTTGTGGTGGAAGCGCCACCAGAAGCGCCGGCCTCGGTGCCTGATCGCGGTGTGCCTTCCGGGGCGTCCCTTTGCCGCCATTTGACCAAGAAAAAAGGGCCCTGGGGGGTTTACTTTTCTTTTTTTTTTTTCGTTGAAAAAGGCTCTGGGGAGGTTCTTTTCGTTGAGAATGGGTCTAGGGGGCCGGGGGGTTTCTGTACAATACCTCAGCGAAGTCAAGTGTCATTACAAAACGCAAAAGAAGTTCCTTTTATTTAATGGCTCAGTTCCTTGGTATCTGCTATTATAGCTACTTTCTGCTACTATCGTTATTTTCTGCTACTATCTTTAATTTCTTCTAGTATCGCCACTTTCTTCTAGTATCTGTTACTTTTTTACTACCTAGTATTCCTCCAGCATCTGCTTTCATCACTACCCACTAGGTAGGTAGATATCTCGAAATTGGAGACACGGGATGCTGGATATTCAGTCCCACCCCTTTTCTTTTCTTTTTCTTTCTGTTGTCGCGACTGCCATGGTGAGCGTAACTAGGTACGATGGAGACTTGGGGGGGATATTGCAGGACATGACTTTTGCCTTTTACACTAGTGTTGCTGAGGTGAAGGGACAATCAGGCTTTACAAATGAGGCTTTTTATCCCCCTTTATGCTTCTGAATATATATTGCCAGTGCAGTCAGGGAAAATGCACTGCATAAATGCAAACAAAGTTCACGGCCGCATGGGTTAACGAACTATAATGTCTGCACCGCTTTACATTCAGTGTCTCCATTGTGACATTTGCGTTAAAACGGCTGGGGAAGTGGGTTTTTTCCTCCTGTTTGAGAACGGGCTTGGGATCCTCACGCTGGAGCTTGGCGTAGGTGATTGTAGTAAAACCCCATGATAGTCTACGAGGAAGTCGAAATTAGCCACTCTGAATCCGAAAGAAACATCATGGATCTAAGGCAGATAGCGATGACCTCGACTGACCGGGATGACATTGACCAAATTAACTGCCCGCGATCTATCCAGGTAGCCTCGTTTTTTCAAGGTTACTTTAATTGATTTGGCTGATCTCGAACGATGCGGAAGGCCTCGATCAAATTGGACAACCCTGATCGATGCAGAGCTATGCTTGTCCCCACAAACGCCTTGGCGGGCATCAGACTTGATATCATCAGTCTCATTCTCCCGTGAGATCGATTGTATCAATGTCCCTCCAGCCTGCTGTATACTTCATACATCTCGCTGTCGGCCCTTTGTTGTTATAGAGTGCATTAAATGCCATGTAATTGCTTGTAACTTGAGATTATCCACGTCTATTGATGTCCATACGTCGTAAGAGACACTCTTGCCGTCTTCTCGCCTCTAGAGCCACCACGATGTCAATCGTTCGATCCAACTTGCAGACTTGTATTTCCTTTTAATAAAGTGTATTTTATAATGGCCAAGTTTTGCCAGCTGGTATGAGAAGGGAATATTTGGCGGCTGATACAAAACACTACTAATTACAAGCCTCGCAGACAAATCAGAGTCCAGAGAATTCGCTACCCAAGTTTACTATGTGATGCAAAAACTGCAGTGATCTCGTAAACTGTTTCAAAATTGGAGGCACTACTTGTTTTGTGTATATACTTCCAGTGTCAAAGAAGAAATCAGGCAGAGAAACAATGCAGGTCGATCAGTATCTGTCGATAATATAAAGTAATACGAACTGAGCACTGCCGGACGAAGTTTTCCCGACTGCCAAAGTGAAGCCAAAGTGAAGCGTGCACGCAGCCCAGAAAGAATCTTTCAGGTAGCCGCCCTCTTGGAAATTCTTGCATTCAACATCAACATCAACAGCAGCAGCACCAACAGCACCAGCACCAGCACCAGCATCGTACGTGAGATGTTCGAGAGTAAATGGTTAGCTACTGACAGATGAAACATAGTTCTTCTTCTTTTTTTTTCGATTTTTTTCTCTTTCTGTTCTGGTACGTTCATCTATAATTGTTCGCCATTGGGGGGGGGGGGGGGGGGGGCGGGGGGGGCGAATCAGCTAACTTGTGTAGAAAGAACCATTCTGCCTGGGTTTTGTTGATTTTTTTTTAAAAATTTTTTTTTATTCTTCGTAAGTTTACTTACAATTGTTAGTCGAAAGAAATACCTAACCAGTCAACTTGGGCAAGAATTCTACTGCTGTTTTTTTGTTTTTTTTTTTTCACTTCAAACAAGATGGTATGTTGATGGCTGCTCAAAAATTAGATCTTCGAAAAATGCCCCTATGTCCTCATGGAAGAGTGTAGTACAACATGCTAACATATATGTGTATATATAGGCTCGAATCGACGAATTTCTCGACGGAGCCCTCCGCCTTTTTAGGGGTGGAGCAGCAGCTGCTCCTGGGGGCGGTGATGGCCCCGGACGCGGTGGTATTGCCCATCCATACTACTGTCTAGTTGGTCTATGAACTGACATGATCATAGGCCGAGGGCGTCGTGGTGGTTGTCGGGGGGGAGGGGGTGGCGGCCGTAAGTTTCTCTTCTCCATGGATGTGATATCAGTACTAACTATGGGACGTAGGACGCCGTTCTAAGCGTGACTGTAAGGCTCTCTCACACTATATACAACGATCGATCTTAAGGCTGACAGCATTGTATTAGCCAAGAAGAAGGAGGAAGAGGAGAAGGAGAAGAAGAGGGAGGGCGGCGGCCGCAGTAAGTTCTCTACGTACATCTTAGATGTATCGCATATCGTATCTATCACATGGCTAACTATATACAGCGCGTGGGGGAGTCATCAAACTCCCAAGCCTGGTGGGCCGAGGCCCCGGTGGCCGATTATCTCGAAAGCAAAGGCGAGGGGTTTTGGCGTTGGGCCTGGTGCCCGAGCAGCAGCAGCAGCAAGAGGAAGAGGAAGAAGCAGAGAAAAGAGAGGAGAGAGAGGAGGAGGAGGAAGAGCAAGAAGAAGAAGGCCAAGAAAAGGGTGGCGCAGCCCCCAAGTAATTATTTTTTTTTCCCCAATTTATATGAGACTACTTGAGAAAGAATAAAGTGCTGAGTCGATTTCTGGTGTCATTATTCGTTGCTTTTCGATGACATCTTCTATAGTCCATCTGTCTTAGGGAGTAGTAGAGCAGAGGAATTTGTCGCAGGACAGAAAAATGTGTTGTTTCGGTGTCAGTTTTGATACGACACTCAAAAACAAGGAGAGAGGAGAAAAAGAAGTGATCTTGAATCCAAAAGAACAATCGGGTATCAAGATGACATTAACTTTTTCCGACAGATATCCCTTCTCCATCTTTAGTTGCATGGAGGAATTCATCCCACAGAAAGTTGGCGAGAATGGCACCGGCATCCCCCCTCTTCATCCAGATAGGTAAGGCTTGTCACCTCTCTGTCTCTTCATTCTATAGGTAGATTGCCACTCTATAGTTTAATTTTCAGATGGGTACTTGATAATGCAATTTGAATCGATATTAGATTCCCAAGACTACCTATTAACCATCACTCATCTTGGACAATATGTACATGTAATCAGACTTATTCCTGTATCTGATCTGCCAACAGCGCCGAATAGCACATACTACTCATTTTTCCTCTTTATTTTTACACAGAAGTAGCCGACAGTGGTTTGGTCGCAAGGAGGCCAGTGACCTTGTAGAACATGTCTTCGATAGAAGCTCCGGCAAAGGCAGGGGCAGCATCGAAAATGTCTGCTAGGTATTGTTGGGGTATAATGTTGGTCTGGACATCATCGTCCTCCATCTCCACATCCTCGTCCGCGTTCTGGGCCTCCTCCATCTCATCATCGCTCTCAGCATCTGCGTTGAGGATGATTGCTAATTTGTTATGTTCAGCCTCTTGAGAAGCATTATCGAGTCGCAAATCTTGAAGGGGCTGAGCAGCCAGGATAGTTGAGGCATTGGAACCCTCGGTGATGGTCCAGATCTGGGCGACATCATCAAGCGCGACAAAGCCACTGGTGCCGGGTACTGAAATGAGGCTCACGATTCGATGGGGTGTGTTGCGAACGATGAGCGGCTCAGGTTCGCTGGGGTGGAAGACTCCGATGCTAGAAGAATTTCCGAGAGGAAGGGTGACGGCGAAATAGCCAGATACCGAGTCGACAGCAAGTTGCAGCAGCTCGTCGGCCCCGGAAACCTTAGGCACTACAATTCCGTACCGCAAATCGTCGCTCACAACATCATAGACATGCAGCTCCTCGGAAAGCACAATCAGATACTGAGACAGGACTCGCAATGAGTGCAGCTGTCCCTTCCAGAGACCCTCCAGAATCTTGACAACTTCACCAGAGGCGGCGTTGATAACGTAGACGGCTCCCACATCAACAGCACCATATGCTGCAAACAGAGTAGAACCATCTTCCGAAAATGCGATGCGGGCTTGGGACTTTGCGGGAACAGATGCATCATTGGGGATGTCTGCGATGGCATCTCGGCCAAGTCCATCACCAATGGGAATTATCCGGGAACAAACCCAGGTGAAATCCACGTTGGTGTCTGTTTTCCGTGAGCCTTCTTGCTGGCGAGCCTTTGGACGCCAAAGACGAACGATGCCGTCTCCGGCAATAGTGGCAAAGCAAGTTGAAGCATTGTTTGATGCAAGATCAAGGACTGTCTCGGGATAGCTCGATGTGTGCGGGGCATTAATTCTAGATACAAGAGCAATTGAGTTGTCCTCGCTGTTGACTTGCCAAAACTTGAGGTATGATTCGTGTCTCTCTTTGAGGAACTGGTCGCCAACGTCGCCACTAACGGTCCCGACATCTCTACTTGAAGGAATCCAGTCATCAACGCTAGCCAGCCACTTTCCATCTGCAGAAAAGGCAATGTGAGTGACGACTGGCTCCTCAATGGCGTAGCCCTTGTTGGTCAGGTTGACATCTGTAGGCTGCGTCCGAGCCAACGCCTGCTTGGAGACGCTCGTAAAGGTTTCAAGATCAAAGGACTGCAAGAGGGGCGCTGAGAAATCTCCCGTCATTGTTGCCTGGCGGCCGTTTCCGACACAGACGTGAAACTTAGAGGGCTCAGTTGCCTTGATGGCAGCAGGTATGGGGCGTCGTACTTTATCTGCCACTGACCAAACACGCTGTACTAGCAAGTCTTTGGGTGTTGAAGCTTCGACGGCGGCGGATTGAATACCAGAAACGTATGCGGTCGGTTTCAGTTCAGCAGTGGATAAGACCATCGTTGAGTTATCGTCAAGGTGCACAACATAAGATGATCCACTAGCAGAAACAACAATGTTTTCTACACTGCCTGACAAGTGTGGAAGGAACTCCTTTTTGGCCGTATCCATCTGCCACAGCACAAGGACATTCTCGGAGCCTCCTGAGATCATGTAGTTACCTAATAGAGAGAGTTAGCAAGAGGTTCAAGGGGTAGCAAAGAAAGAAGAAGATCAATAAATGAAGCCTACCGTCTCGAGACCATTTGACGGCATGGACTGCCTTTCGATGCCAGTGGAACTTCTGGGCTTGAATGCCCTCTTTAGAGGAGTTGGACTTTCCAAGTGACTGGCTTCGTGAGAGGGCATCATGGTAGAGATAGATTGCTCCTCGTGCGCCACCAACAATAACGTCAACTACGTTATCAGAGTCGCGTCGACCTTTAGACCCGCTAAGGGCAGAAGCTGGATAGACCCTGAAATCGAGAGTGGTGATAATATCGGGCACGTCGAATGAAAAGAAGTCGTATTGCAGCTGCTCAAAACCGGCAGGCTGCTTGTGTGAAGCTACACCAAGGAATAGAGAGTCATTCAGAGCACCAACCAAGACAAGACCATCTTGGCTAGACTCAATCAAGTGTAGGCCATTGCCTGGCTTCTTGATGCTCAAGATATTCTTTGACAGCGGAGATGAGAGAATATCACCGCCATATGCCGTCAACTCCATCCGATTTGACTTGGCCGATTCCGCCACCACGACAACATCGGCCTTTGCGCCCGAAACCTCGGTCGAGGTCACCGTGATTGCTTGAGCTGTACCCGTCACCGTCTGGAAGCTCTGGTGTGTCTCCGTGGTCTCCGTCCAATTCACATAGTAAATGCGGCCATCTGAGCAAGCAACCCAGAGATATTCAGGGTTCTGGATGGACAGTTTGGTCGCAACAATGTTTGCAGGAGCAGTGCCCTTTGACGAAGAGGCATCGGCGGCGCCTATCGGAATTCGTCTCAAGAGTAGAGAGTCGCTGGCTGTGTATACTTGAACGGAGGTGTTGTATGTCAAGATTAGGTATCTAAATGATATGAGAATGGTTCCTCTTCTAAGAGAAAATGAATTGGGCTCTTACTGGTCATCTTGAGTTAGGATGGGATCAATGTCGAGCATTCTGCCACCCATCGGCTTGGAGATTCTCCAACCAGTCTCCCCATCAAAAGAACGGCTGACAAGATCCTCGCCACCGTCACCTTTTGACTTCAACAACGCTCCATTTTGAATATCATCTTCAGATTCGTAGTCTCCGTCAGCTGGAGATTCTGCCTGCTCGTCCTTGTCGCCTTGCTGCGGCCTTGATCTCTTTGATCGCGTACCGGTCTCGTTCAAGTCTCTCTTTCTCTTTTTGGTTGATTCATCCTGGGGCTTAGAGAGCTTGCTACCCGCCATTTTGGCAGAGATCCCGGAGAATGGCGCCGTGATGAAATTGGGGAGGAATGGCATCGAGGCAGCAGCTCCCAGTTACTGGTATAAAGTGCTAAGATCAATGCGCCGCAGAAATTTTGGCGCCGCCATGAACTTTTTCCACTATCAGCGATAAGATATGCAAGTGGCGGCAGAACCTCGGCGGCATAATATTTTCAGCCATCCGCGTCGCTCTGCAGCTAAACTCTTTCACGCTGCCAGTTCACTGCTCAGAACGACATTCGCCATCACATCGCCAAGATGATTATTCCCATTCGCTGCTTCTCTTGTGGAAAGGTATGCGCCTTCATACTATCTCTGAGCAGTCAACAAGATGACTAACTACAATAGGTCACTGGTGACCTCTGGGAGCGCTATCTCCAGCTGATCGCCGATCCGCGCAAGACTGATGGGTATGCAGCCCTTTGACTTTTGAAGCAGAGCTTGAGACTGACTCTAGAAAAGCGATGCCATGGACGAGCTAGGTCTGAAGCGCTACTGCTGCCGACGTATGATCATGACACACGTCGACCTCATCGAGAAGCTTCTCAAGTACGAATCTCACGACATTCCAAGGCACCCCTGATTCCGATTGCTAATCATCCTCCTAGGTACACTCCCGATGGACGAAACGAGAAGAAGCAGAGATTGAACGAGTCGGCATAGTTTTGTTTTGGGCGAAGAGAAAGATGCAATGCACAGTTTGGCGTTTTTTGGATCCTGTTATTACCTATATTGTGACTTGGCGCAAGGAAGAATAAAAATCAGATCGCAACGATGACGGCAAAGCCGCAGGCAACTCCGTAATAATGGAACGAAGATTTTCCCAGCTACGCGGCTATGAAAAACAAGTGAGCGACCGCTCCTGATGAGTTCCTCTCTCTTGGATCGAGACGTGGTGAATTTGCAGCAGAATTTTGGGTTACTGTGGTGGATCTTGAAGATGTTAATGGTCGCGCTTCGATGCTGACACCCATGGAGGCTCAATCTTGGTGCCGTTTGGACGGCGTAAACTGGGTATCCAACAGAAAATATTGTCGCCTCTCTGAACAACCATGTTATCTTGTACCGCGAACAGAAATTCAGGTTTACAAAGCTATTCACCGCTTCTTACCGCCCCATTTGTCTACAGAGTAGCTTTTACTTGTTTGTTAGTTAGCTTCACGTTGCGCAGCTGGGTAGAGCAGGAAATGCGCCCAACAACCACCAACCCATGTCCATGAATAATGGGAAAATCAGGTTAGTGGTGCGATTCTAAAGATGCCCTGATATAATGTGAAGGAGCTCCATATGATTGCAAGATTGCAAACGTGGTAAAGGATCAAGCCCATCCATACATTATCACTCAGTGACTTGGTCTCTTACGGGATACAATGTGGGAGAGAGCGAAGAATGGTGGGAGAATGGAAGCATGGAACTTCATTCGTTATAGTTATTGCACAATTAGTTTCGATTAACAGTTGGTACCTCCCGATGAATATTATTATTGCGGACTAGTCACTGGTAAGCACTCTCGTGCCTTATCTGAAGTCAGATGCTCGTGGGGGATCTCAAGACTTCGACAGTAGCAGCAACATAAATCATCCAAATTTTGGCAGTCTAGTGCCTGGCTGCGCAAATCATCGTTATGTATACCCACCATTCTATTTTATAGTTAATTACTTGATGACACTCTCTGGTGATGGCCTGCCACAATTTGGTACCTATCCGACATCTATCCGTCAACTCTTGGCAACAGTCTGGTCTCCCTTATCATTGGTCTGGCACCTATTGGTACTTACCTGCTTAACAAGCTATCTCATTAGAAACCAACTTCTCATCAATTAATAGCTCGTATCCCGGAAAGAAAAAAAAAATCCCAATGGCGGCTTGTGTAGTTCTATCCATGAAATAATACTGCTGCAGAAAGAGAAAGATGCTAGCTAGTGCAAGGCGGGGCTGTGGGTGGCTCGTGGAATTGTATAAATGAAACACTTGTTTCGTCAAAGGAAAAGGTCATGCCCAGCAAGAAGTACTAGACTCAGCCTTTGACTATTATACACAAGAACGCGGCAGCATATCCTTCAGAACTCTACTTGTAGCAGTCATGACAGCGCCTAATCCACACGTTCTCATCATCCCCGGGGCATGGTACCCAACTTCAATCCTAGAGATATTCATCAAATCGTTAAAGGGAGCAGGGTTTTCTACTGAAGCAGTCTCCCTCCCCAGTTTCGGAACAGCAGGCATCTCGGTCCAAGACGATGAAGCACACGTAAAAGATCGGCTTACGTCTCTCGCCAACGAGGGAAGGGATATTATTATCTTCGCCCATTCGTACGGCGGTATGGTTACAACAGGAGTTATCGCTAACCCCAGTCTAGATAAAAGGAGCAGAGAAGGACAGGGATTAAAAGGCGGTATTGTTGGTATTGTGTACCTGGCGGCTATTGTACCTATACAAAATGAGTCGATTCTTCAACTAGTGGGTGGGAAGTGGTTAGAGTATATTAATGCAGATAGAGTAAGTGTTAGCTGTTGTTTCTCTCTCGTCATGGGTATTACTAACTATTGTTACTCTTTCTTGATTCTAGGCTGAGACAGAAGGTGTCCTCTACACGATTAATGATACAGAGACCTTTTATCACGACTGCTCAGCAGAAATAGCTAGCAGCGTTGCAGCAACTCTAAAGCCACACTCTGAGGAAGCCTTGAAAACAGCGCCTTCAGCAATAGGATGGCAAGATAAGGCATATAACGGTCGACGAGCCTATATTCGGTGTCTTCAGGACAGAGCGCTTCCTATTACTATACAAGACCACTTAATTGCTCGATCGGAAGTCGAGTGGGTGGTCAAGACTTTGGACTCCTCTCACAGTCCGTTTCTGTCTATGCCGGATGAGTTGGCGAGGGTTTTGGTGGAGATTCTAGAATGGTTTGTTAAAAATTAATCTTTCGGGCTGGATACTTCTTCAGGCTCGGCGCAAGATTTTTTGGGTCCCCATATACCACTGTTTGTAAATCTGGGCAGCTGCATAGAAGCAAAAATGCTTCGACCCAACACGCCAATAGAATCAGAGTGGGCTAGTGCAAGCGACGGACGAGTCATCGTATCAAAAGATGAAGGTTGCGACCAACAGCATGAAGGGCGTTTATGCGTTGCGCTGGATAGGCGCATACAAACATGCACGAATGCGTAGTGGCAGCCACCAACACCACCACCACCTGGGCAGCATGCAGCTTAACCGAGGTATGAATATGGGAGGCTAATTGCAAGTGATTTATGAGATCCATGTGTGTCTAATGAAGTTCGTGAGGTTCACTCGCCAGGATGGAGCTATAAGACGATATACAGTACATGTATAGATAGACTCACATAGACATCGGACTGCAAGCTCATTGCCAGCCTTCCAATTGACAAAGAAGCATCTCGCCATAACAAGCAACTGCTGGCGAAGCTGAGAGGTTTCAGATTCAGGACGACGACTGCGGCTCGGAAGTGGACCTTTGAAAGTGTATGTGCGTGTGTGTATGCAGCAAGTAGAGCTTTGTACGTACGAAGCAGTGAATGTGATCGACTAGCCACTTGGCACCACTTACTACAATAGGCTTTGTGAGAAAGAACAATCACCACGGCAAGAAACATGTCACACGAGAATGTCATAGCAAGTTCGACTAAAATCCTACGCCGGAGCCAAGCACGAGGCTCGGCGTACTGAGGCCATGACGCTTGGCGGCATCTTGCGAGAAGAGCTTCTACACGCTACATCCGGCTTATTTCCCCCCTTTCTGGTGCTCGGCCTCGCACAGACACGCACAAATGCTCCGTCTTTGCTCTGCATGCTTTGATTCATAGGTAATAGGTACGTCCCCAGCATGGAATGTGCCTCGTGCAATACCACAACATGGTCCCCCATACATACTCGTAGCACAGCGTACAACGAACACCAAAACACCAACTCCGCCCACTCCTCGGGGAGCAGAAAATCGGCGGCCCACAGACGGGTTGAGTGTAAGTGGGCCTTGTCCGAGCCTAACCGGCTTTGTCTGGGCAGTAGCGCCGGGACCAGATCGTCGGGTCAAACGCTGCCAATCAGCTCGAGTTGACAAGTGTCTTGGACGGAAGCGCAGGGGTCGAGGGGCATCGCGGACCACGAACCGAGCAGATTGGCGCTGTGACAGAGCAACTGAGGCCCTTGGTTTGGCCCTTGGTTTGGCCCGCGGAGGATGTGCTGATGTGCTGGCCGTCAGAAATGGAGCCCAGCCGGGCTGTTCGCGGCACAGCGAGGATGCATGTTGGAAGCAGTTGGGCAAATAGCTCCGTCTTGAGCGTGTTTTGCAACGACCAACAACAGTGATTTGTACACATGGGGAAAAGGCGATGAGAATTGTGACTCGGGAGGGGGACCCCAGCACGGCGCATTTAGCAGCTGGGAGAGATTGGGGTTGGCAGGACATGTAAATGCCTGCCCTAGATGGATGCATGTATACATTCATGTAAGAGGAAGACATTCCTCGTACGTCAAAGTAAGAGAAGACTCAACCTCAAGCTCTGCCTGAGTAAGTTTTTTTTTTTTCTTCTCTCTCTCTTCTCTCTCTCTTCTCTCCCTCTTTCTTTCTCTTTTCCGTCCACGCTCAGACTGGGCATTGTGGTTCGTCGACAAAATCGTGACTCGGCAGGGAAAAGCATGTCATCCACCTGAATTAAGCGCCGACGCCTGTCGACTCCATGCGGGCTCTATCCACTCCGCGACCGATCGTGTCTGTGAGTGGCCGGCCCTTTAACGAAGCTCCTCTTCAAGAACTAGGTGCAGCACAGCAGTTCCCCCGCCCCTCCAACGGCCAACGGCTGTGTCGCATTGTCCAGGCAAGGTTTTTCATAGTTGTTATTGTCGAGAGAGAGAGAGAGAGAGCGGGCATTGATCTTGTGGGTTGGCGAGAAATCTGGGCGTCGTTGGTGGGAAAGAATGGCCAAAAGGTTGAAGAATATCCATGAGCCTGGTCTAATATCAAAGTATTAAACACATGCTTCGTCAAGACTGGAAGCATTGCCGGCTCGACATGCCTCCCCCCGGTGGCGTTGCTTCGTGTTATACCGTAGCTGATCCCATCTGCACTCTTGCGCGAGACGCGGCTGTCCACGAGACAATTATTGCCGATTCATTTCTTCTTTCAGCGATGCCCACCACGCCCCGGCTTCGCAAGACGCGTTCTCCAGGGATCCGCGGGCTGATTTGGTCAATTATCAGTCGACAAGTAAGAGCACGGCAGATTAAGCGACAGACTGGCCACTGCGGCTGGCGCCTGTTTATCCACATTGAAGCCTAAAGCCGGAGGAGGCCGAGCCTCGTCGTTTTTTTAACCGCGGGCTCGAGCTGCATACATTAGCAGCTGGAAGGATCTTGAAGGTTGCCCCATTGCATGCACGTACTATTTGCTTAGTGCTCTTTTTCTGTGCTCCAGATGGGCAAAGAGTGTGTGCGGCAATACTCGTACATTGATCAATAATGTCGTGTTGATACTTGCCTAGCACCTGTAAGCTAGCAGCCATCACGGGTACTGCGCGGACAGGTAGCACCTGCGCCAGGCACAGGCTATGTGTGTTAGGTACTTGTGCCGACATCTCCAGTCTGGACTTTGCGTCTTCCTCCCACACCCAAAGCTAACCTCTTGTCATTTATTATTGATCCCTCAGAGCCTCGTGTGCGATTCGCCGGCCTCCACTCTCAGCCCGGCTAATGCTCTGCGTCTCTCGCTTTCTGTCTCTGTCTCTGCCTCTGTCTCTCTCACTCGCCGCATCTCTCCCTCCAATCGCCGACTGCTGACGAACTCCTCCTCCTCCTCCTCCGCCTTTCTCACACACAAACACCATAAACAAAACTCTTGCAACTCCGGACCAGAAACCTCGACTTGCCGGATCCAGTCCGAGCTCCTCTCCCCGCCCAGCCAACTAGCACCCGCAGCTGATTAGGCGCGAGCTCCAGTAACTGAATACCGTCCTCCACAGCTGGCGGCGCTGCATGTCCTAAGCAAGGGTGTTTCGACCCCTGGTCCATCTGCCTGGCCGCAGCGTCTCTTAAAGTGGCCAGCCCGCCATCCGTCCAGCGTGCCTGGAACTGCCTCGCCTGATCTACGACTGGGACGTTTCGAATCGCAGCTTTGCTTCTATTCTGGAAGCACGCTGACCGTCAATCGAGGCCCGCGAACTGCGACCGCCTCTGCTAGTGCTGCGAACCTCCATTCCATCCATATCGCGAGCGCTGCAACTTGCCTCGCCACGGCCGCGCTTGAGACCCTCAAGGCTTTTCGTGGGGTAATCAGAGGCATTCTGCATCGTCAGCCGTCAAGCTGGGCTTTCTGAGCCTCGTGGCTGCTGTGTAGAACCAGTCGCAAAGGAAGCAGAGCAGCGGTTCTGCATAAAGCAGCTCGACGCCGCGCCCTATTGAACGCTGTCGGCTCTTGCGCATTGCATCGCATTCATCATCTATCATGGCCCTCGAAGCGCCACTGCGATCATCCTCTGGAAGCCTGCAGTTTCAATTCAACCAAGGAGACATGTCTGCGACGTCCGAATCAGATGGATTCAGGTCTCCGTTCAGAATCATGTAGGTCCACGGCTTTTGCAGACCAAGCAAGTCTCCTATTGACCCGTCTACTTTAGGTCTTCTCCCCCACCCGCCACAGACTCCTCCTCTCTTCGGCCTGATTCTGTGCATCATCGGTTCTCATCCCACTCGATGAATTTGCTGAGTCCCAGTGATATTGTCGGGCCATCGCCTGTGACTTCCAACGGCACTGAAACCACGGAAATAGAGGACGATGTTGCCGACGATCTCGAGCTGGATCACGTAGCGGGGGGGCCACCACCCCCTCGTCACTCAGATGTAAGTAGCAAATAACCAGTAGGATATTGCATTGTCACCAGCATTAACCTCAATGTAGATGCTCATGCTCACCACCAGTCTCCCGGAAATCGTTCGTCAAGGCAACCCTGAAGAAGCCGTCTCCGTTATTCATGCTCCGGAAAGCTTTGCTAGTTGGGTGAGCATTACATGTGACAGAGTTGTTGTCGACTTGCAATGTAGCTAAACTTATGTAGGCATCCAGCGAGCCCTCTGCCAAGTCAGTCACATCAACCGAGAGATCGTCCCCCAAGGCCGATGGCGCCAGTCAACCATCTTCCACCGGGACCTTCAACAGCGTTAGTCCAATCTCTACCAGCATGGAGAGATCATTTGCAAAGATTTCAAATGCTAATAAAGGTAACTTAATAAAGCCTCCCAGCCACCCCACTCGCCCTCCCATCTCTACCGATGTCAAGCCTGTGCGATACAGCTTAGACAGTGCCACACCACGAGCACAGGACTTGCAGGACATGCTCATGGATGGAAGCCGATTGCGTTCTAGCAGCACCAGCAGTCTTGAAAGTTGGTATTTCAAAGACTCAACAAGTCGACATCGTCGCTAACCAAGTACAGAAATCGACGAGCAGACCGAGGCCGAGGGCGATGATGACGATGATGAGCCCTTCCCTCACGTGCCTCAAGTTGCTGATGAGATTGGCGATCTACGAACTCTTCTTCACGAATCCTGGACGTTGTGCAATACTTTGGCCAACTTAAGCTCAATGCATCGACCGCGAGCTTTCAGGGATTCAGGAACCCCCGATGCTGTTGAAAGAGCATGGAAAGCGTGCTGGAAGCTCTGCCACCGCCTCTACGACAACCAGGATGAAGACCCGGCATATCTGAGCGTCAAATTCAATCTGGACCTGTGCCGTGACTTTTGCCAAGCGCTGTTCGACGTCCGCGAGAAGAAAGACGAGCTAGCAGACTCTGTTCTCCGAGTTAGCTTTGAGTTGAATAACCAGTGAGTGTCTACTACAAGCGTGTCGCTTTTTTTCACGAGTCTAACCCTTCACCATAGTCTATACAGCGCACAAGACAACCGAACCCTTCCAGAACAATTCCGGGAACGAACTCTTGATTTTTACATTACGCTGTGCCATCGCTTAATGAAACAGCGTGGCGAGCTCCTTGGCAAAACGGATCAGCTTCTCGGAGCTTGCTGGGCCCTTGCCGAAGTGCTCTTCAGTCTACGTCAGAACAGACTAGATGGCAAACCTGCAGATGGCGAGCTTCTACTTTCTGCGGTTCAAGCATGTTGGGGCTTGGGCGATATATTCAAAGACAGCTGGGCAAAGGTGAACACAGATAGAAACACTCCTCGACCGTCCCAGGCGAGCTTCTTCTCTCACTCCACTGACCAGTCTGGACGTGAGAGCCGGCAGTCAAATCGCTCATCGCGGCACTCAAAGCAAGTGAGCATAAAGAGCACTCATCAAGAAGAGCGGCCACGAAAGCCTCCGCCAGTTCCCGAAACCCCAGTCACAGAATTTGAGGACACTCCTATCTCTCCAGAAAGCCGTTCTCCTCAGATGCCCAATCTCCTGGTGCTCGGCCCTTCCAGTGATGGCGGTCGAGGGGGTAGATGGTCCAGCAGTGCGTCCAACCTGTCGAGCTACTCTCACAGCAGCAATAGGACCTCTAGCACCGCGACCACTACCACGGCAACCGAAGATCCCAACGTTGCACGTGCCAAAATTCTTGTCCTTCGGGCAGCCATGACTCTTGGATTCGATCGGGATACCATCACCGACCCGAAGACAGCGCCCGCACTGCTGCAAAAGTTTGTGCAGAGCCTCCCTGCAGACGCGTTCGGTCCTCTACCGAGAGAGACTACTCTCCTTCAGCAATACAAGAACTCCGTCCTGATGGACGCCTTTATTCCCCGGAATCCTTCAATCCCCACTCGCGGCAAGCGAGTTCCAGCAGTGGATATGGCCAAGAGTATCCAAACATTAGCCAATAACTCGCCACGCTATGCCTACTTGCGCGATCTATTTGGATTCGTCTTCAAGTTCCCCATTGAGGAAGTTGAAGCTCGACGACACACAAGCATCGCCGTCTAAAGGCCCTTTATACGTTATCAGGTGCCCTTGCACCGAAAGAAGAAGAAACGAAAAAAAGACGTACAAAAAAAAGAAGAAATGAACAAATAAATAAGCGAAAGAAAGAAAAGTGAGACAACATGATCACAGATTTAGCGACCATCTTTCCTGTTTCCAAAACGCTCTAGATACCCTTTTACACTATACTTTGAGTTGATCATGGCGCGGGGAGAGAGGAGCAAAAGAAATATAGTTTTTTTGTATGCAGTGAAGAGTTCTGATTATGGAATGGGCATGAAATGAAGGGTAGAGCCGTACAATCATTCGTTTGGATAATGATGTTTGATGCCGATACGTCGCCGCAAGGCAAAGGGTTTAGAGGCTGTTTGTGTTTTTCACTTGTGGAGGCCATTGTCTATCAGTATTTCGGATTTATAATACTACCATTGTCAAGCATAGCGAGCGAATTGCAAGTCTAGTACAATTTTGATTTGGGATTCTGTTACCTTGAATCCCTGGACTTGATGCAATATTTGCTAGTAAAGGGATGCGCAGTATAGTTCTCACGTCAAATGGCTTACTGTGCTCGCTATAGGATTAAACGCAAGCAGAAATGAAGAAAAAGAAAGAAAACCTCCATTTGTCAACTGCTGCCTTCGTATAATAGAATCTCCTTCATTTGCTCTCTCCCAGGTATACCCCATTTCGCTCCGTTCCTTGCAAATATACCTCTCCATTTTAAAGTCCTCGGCTCGTGATACTCCAACAATGTGATACAGAAGTCGAACTAGAAGAAATGAACTGAAGAAGAAGAAAAAGTAGTGTGAAAAGGTCCATAGGGCAGAGATCTTCCTTGGGCCAGCACAATGTGGCTATAAGCTCGGTGGAGGTTCCATTTCATGTTTTACTATATTCAAGGATGGCGAAAGGAGATGAGTATGAGGAGATTTCGGGTGGCCAGTGTGATGGCCGATCAGGAGCCTCGGGTCGATTGTCCCTATAGGCTCTTGGTAAGGTTGTGGCGTAAAGCTGTGGTTCTGATGATTGAATAGGCTCGGATCGTGGATATCAGGATGATTGACGAGCGATTGTCGGATGGCCTGGGAAGTAGCCGCCGTGAGGCCGGTGTATTTAACCTCTTGGAAGGGAAAATCGACTAGTGGCGGTGGGACGGAGCTGAATATAGAGAAATCGTAGGGCGAAGAGGCTGTCGTCTGAGCCCAGTCCTAGTGGTGCTCGTGGACATCTCCTGTGGCCAAGGTTGGGAGTTCGGCGATGCTGTGGGAAGATGCCGGCTCGATGGGCATCTCTTGGAAGCTGGGGATTAGTGGAAATACCACGCTAGAGAGTGTGTCTAGATGAGGTTGTCCTTCCACCTCTGAGATAGCAAGATTAGGAAATGCTGGAGTCTCAGGGGCTTCGATGTGAGTGTGAGTATCCTGCTCTCTCGGTGGTAACTGAATTGTCTGTTGTTCTCGGTAATTCTGATAGGGAGACGGGGCGACGCTCCGTGCAAGGGGAGAGAACGGCGAGGCTGATAGGGCAGCCAGGCGGGTTTGAGGCAGTTGAAGATGGTACTGGGTTATGGCCGGCGTCTGGAGCAGCATGTGGTTTTGCTGGACTGGATGATGATACGGCTGCTCCATTGATGTAGGAGGATGAATCAAAGCCGAAGTATTCACGCTATTGCCGACACTCGTAGAGATAGGAGAGTTGATGGTTGCCCAAGTGTTCAGTGACGCGGATGGCGCCCAACCAACGCTAGTACTGGTGTTGTGGAATTGCGAGAGTTTCGGATGTTGAGAACCATCATGCGCCGTCACATGTAGATTACCGTGATAATTGTCTGCTAGAGATACTGTTGGTGTAGAGGCCGAATGGATATGAGATGTAGGGAGCTGAAGGTCGAGAGTGCTCCATTGCTGTGGAGGCGTCTCATACTCAACGGTCTTTGAGGATACTCGATCTCGCTGAAATTCTGGCCGCTGTGGCCCAGTGATTTTCTTGATCAACCTTGGGATTGTAGATATTACCACGTTAGAGATGGTGTTTTCAAGTTCTCAAAACTGCTAGGAGGATGGGTGAAATACCTTGAACGCCCTTCACCCGAATCACCATGACCTCTCTTGCGCTTCGCCCGTGCCATAGTCACTGCTTCATCTTTTTGCTCACTTTGCGGCTCCTCTACTTTCGTTTGTAGGCCAACTTCGGTCAGACTTCCGAAATCAATTTCATAGCGCTGTCCATCTTCGTCTTCCTGCTCACCCGAAACGGAGGGCTTTGGCGATGTGGCTATTCTGGGAGCTCGAGTATTCACCAACGGGCTACTATAAAGAACGACGAACATCATCGCATTAGCTTCTGCTGTAAAATTCTTGTCATAAATGAGAATACCACCACCTTCTTCCCCGAATGAACGGTTGAAAGAGGAGGCGTTCTGCGATATTGGAAAAGGGGGGGGGTGGGAGAGCACATACTTAAACCTCGGGTCTTTACCGTATTTGTTCTTGATGTACCGAATCTGATTATGGTTCAAGCTGCGTCCAAACTTGTCCTTGAAATGAGTCTGGATGTATGACTGTTTCTTCTTACCGACGACGGCAGAGAGAACCCAGTCAATCTCTTCGTCTAGGTACTGCGCCGCGCCGACCATGACCAATCCGTTTGTCTTGTTTGGCCTTTGCTATACGGCGACAAGAGTGATATCACACAGCGTCAAGAGGGTATCTTCCTTCCGTTGGCAGAGTTGGTGCCGTAAGAGGCAAAGTAGGGGTTGCCAGACACTCATATACTGAGTATCTCAGGAGAGCATACGCTTTTTGCTCAGCCGTCTGGTTCCTCGGCGTCTTATACGACTCTGTGTATTTCTAACCGAAAAATGGGGAAACAGAAAGCGACTTTTGCTTCTCTGTTTGGCTCTGTTCGAAATCTACTCAATTGCGGGGCACGGAAAGGGGAATATCACCAAGACCTGTAACGGTTTGTCTGTCAAACACAAAAGGTAGATGAAGAAAAGGGAGAATCACACAAACGAAATACTAGGAAAGCTCAAACGGGAGCAAAAGAGGAAGAAAGAAAAAAGAAAAACAGCTCCGTGTAGAGAGAAGCAAGAAGAGAGAAAAAAGAAAGAAAAGGAGGGCAAACTTGCGTGTCCGCAAAGAAGAAGCCCGTGTCAATGCCGGCCTTGAGGATCAGGCCGAAAACGACACGGCGAAATGCGCCGGCCTCCCGATCACGAGGGATTCCGACGTCGGCGCCTCACCTAAAGAAAAAGGGGAGAGGGTTATTCTCGCACTTGTGAAAGGGCAGATATTTTGCAACGAAAAGAATGATGAGCCGTTTGGGTGAGTAAATGCAGCCCGGGGAGGATATGTCTAGGTTGTGGCAGAGATCGCGAAAGGGGGGGGGCCAGTAAGGAGACCGACGTGAGGCAAACGCACTCTTTCTAGGCTGGATACAAAAGAGCTGGCCGCGTTTCTGATTCAGATACAGGGGTTCCTCGTGGCTGATGCAGCCTCATCTATTGTGCTAGAGAACAATAAGAGGGTCAATAGGCTTTTGCCAATGATAGGTCGGCTTGTTATATATAAGTGAGATGAAACATCTAGATGCAGTGAATCATCGTACCATATTAGCAGACAGGAGGTCAGTTGCCTATGGGAAACAACAAACCGGGTGGGTCACGGGGATATTTGGCTTTGCATCAAGTAGACTTGCGGTGACAAAGATGAGACGAAAAATCTGAGGTGCTCTACTTTCATGACTGTGGATATATATCGTGATGCTTCATATTGAGTCAACGAAAGCGCCTATATCAGCTCACCAACTAGGCTGAGAAAATCACTCAAATCTCGCCAAAGCAACTAGATCACCGGTAAATCGCAAACTTCCTGAATATGGCAGAGACCTGAGAGTTCGCTAATCAATTTTCAAGGTAGCGATTACGTGGAGTGTAGATGTTGTAACGAGATGCAGAGAAACCTACCTAATTAAAATAAATCGCCAACACTCTTTATAAGGTACTGAAATGTGAATCTATGTGTATGAATCTAGTCTCTATATCCCATCTCCAATCTCTAGTCTATCATGGTCCGATTTTTAGCTCATTTGTCCATCGTCTATCGTCTATATCTCTTCCTCATCGCCAATTATGAATCACGTCGTCAAAGGCGACCCCCCACGTGAAAAGACTCCCAGCCAGCACTTGACCTGACCCTCTTCCTCATCCTCACCCCAATCATCCTCACCAGCCAGCTCACTCTCTTCTTCGCAGAACAGCGGCGTTTCGAGATCCAGCATGGCCTGCTTGAAGGCTTCCAAAAGAGTGCGTGTTGTATTGTCTCTCATAGGCACCATGACCACCGCCCTAGATTCCGAACCAAGAGCGAGATTCTGGCAGATTGCTGAAGCGAGAAGTGCCGGGTGATCATCGTCATACAGGGGATCAGCAGCGAGAACGAGCTATTCGTGCAGCGAACAACGTTAGCAACGTGCCTTATAAATTACAAGACACACAAGTAGTGATATTAAACTTGCCTTGAACTGAAAGGGTTCGCCAAAAAGCTCCTGGTCAATCTCGTCTTCCTCTCCACCCCATGTAAGCGGCCCGACTGACATGGAACCTCCCCGGGACTCAACCAAGCTCATGTTCTTCTCCGTATTGTCCTTGAGGTTGGGAACAATGTTGGGCAAGTCGCTGAGGATGACATGCGTCTGCCACAGAGCCGCAGCTGCAACGCCTAGCAGCCCAGTTCCCGAGCCGAGTTCCAGAACCGTAGGAGGTGGCTGACCAAGAGTCTCATCAAAGAGCTTGAACAGCGAAGTCGCAGCAAGCCGAGGCAGATGGCGCGACAGCACATATGAAGAGCCCCAAGTCTTGAAGCCAAGTGAGTCACCCGTCAGAGCCGGCTCCTTGATGATCAGCTCAAAGGGCTCGCACGCAACTCCGTCTCCATCGAACGGCCACCGCCTCGTCACTTCGCCCATAGCGGTCCTGCCACATCTCTCAGACATGCGCTTGCTGGCCAGCTCCCAAAGCATCTCTTGCTTGTCGTAGTCGTCGATCCATGCGAGGGGGCTCTTGATGACAGATGAAAGGTAGCGTGTCACCTCAGCCTTGCGCTGTGTAGCGAGTGACTCTTGGTGAGCAATAATGTCCGACTGTCGCTGTCTGTGGTTCCACACAGGCGGGCTCAGCTCCAAGCTTTGAAGAATGGAAAGCAGCTCTTCATAGCTTGGCCGCTGCCACATCTGCGGGAAATCCTCCGGTGCGAGCGTCGCCATGCTTGAAAGGCGAAACCTGAAATCTCGCAACCCCTCCAAACCCAGAATCTTGAAAAGAAAAGAAAAAAAGATAAGCGGTAAAGCTGTGAAAATGCCAAAGACGCCTCTAAACTACCAAGTAGATAAGGAAAAAAGAAGAAAAAGAAAAATCGAATCCTCTCAACAGAGAGCGGAAATCTAAATGGCTATCATGATGAAAATGCGTATCGTAAAATCCGGTCCATATACAGTAATGACTTTCAAAAAGGCTATGTCGATATTGAAAATACGAGTATAAAAAGAGACACCCACATGCATGGATGTCACCGCACAAGAAAAGAAAAATCGGACCCTGACTAAGAAAATGGCGGTCCAAATGGCAGGTACTCCATGGATGTGAATGGAAGGAAAGACAAAAAGGTGGGGCCAGTTGCACCCCACGTGGGGACCCCTCCCAATTAAAAAAAAAAAAAAAAAGAAGAAAATCGAATTGCTAGAAGAGTTGCAGTAATGCGGAAGGCAAAAATAAGCGGAACTCTAAAAGCATACTAGCTTGCCGTACTCCATAGATTTATAATAATTCAGCAGGAGAGAAAATTTAATAGAGTGAAAAAAAAAGTAAATTCAGTAGGCTTGGGTAGATTTAGATAGATCTGGTAGATTTGGGCAAAGAGAGCGGATTTTCTTCTCTACCTAACAATTTGTGTTGGGGCCAATAAAGAAGCAGGAAGAAGAAAATGCAGCAACCCAGGGCAGATTGCTCACATAACCGCTAATCCCAAACCCGTTACCCCGACACCAGCCGCAGTTTATTAAAATAAAAAAAGAAAAGAAACCTAAGAAAAGGGACCTGGGCGCAATCACACGGCGCGGAATCTCCCGTAAACGTCAAATCAAACAAACCCCAGACATGAAACAAAAAAAGGCAATGGGCAGAAAAAATAGATTGCATACGGATAGGCTGTTTCAACTTCAGCTGCAAGCGTTAGTTTGCTCCGTGACATTTCTCGGCCCACGGCGGCCCCGTAGAACCGGTAACACTACAGTAGCATCTGCTAGAATCTAGCATCTGGGCAGGCGGTGATCAACAGAGATCTTCATGCTGACGCTGATCCCCTTTGCATGGCTTAGATCCCTCGCGGCGGCGGCATGACATCAACATCATCGTCACATCACAGCACAGCACAGCTAGGCAACTTCACTCAATCGACATGTTTTACTTGTTTCTTTGTTCAAAGACTTTTGTATCTTTTGTATCTACCTGTTGCTGCAAGCCTACTACCTAGTCAGCACTAATTTTCGCCCCTTGTAGCAGGGCCCTGTGTTTGAAAAAATCAACTAAGCAATTCAGACAGATGTTCCTCTGCTGGTCTCTTTGCTCGAGACTCTAAATTCGAATGGTATCAGCCATATCCTGCGCCAGAGCGTGCCTATCCTAAAGGCATTCGCTGCGAGATGCAAAATCCGTAGCCCAAATTTCCTTGGGGTAAATGCAGAAAAAGCTCATTGTTGCCGGAACGCCAAATGTAAAAACAAGGAAAAGAAGAAGAAAAAAAAAAAAGCAAAATTATCCAGTCCCTTTTTGGTCCTATTATCGAGTCGTCATATCAACTTGTAAATCGTTAACCTCCCCATTGTGCGTTGGTGTTTTGTGCTTTTGTGACCTTTTTTGGTCAGTGGTGCTTTCGTTGCCTAGTCTCGTGCAGGCGAGCACTCCCGGTAAATCTCCTTCTTCATGCTCTCAAGTCGGCCTCTCATATCCAGCAAGTCGGCCAGCTTTTCGTGAGGAGGGTTGTCCAATGCCGAGATCTCGTGATGCAATGCTTCATATTGCTGGTAGTAGGCCTTGAATTTGTTGGCCTTGCGTAGGATCTCAATCGAGACGCTCTCTGCCGCCCGTCGCTTCGCCGCCGCAGGCTTGGACTCCATTTCCGTCTTCCGCTTCAGCTTGGGCGGTGGTGGTGCGTCGTTCTCGAGGTCGGAGGCATTGGTAGGTGGTGAGGAAGCCAGAGGGGATGACTTGGTGGGCGACGTATTCTTGCTCTTGAAAGAGGATGATGCAACCGTGCCACGAGAGTTGACGCTGGCGTCGGATGGGCGGTGCTTCAGCCGGGGCGCGGGCAGGGGCTGTCGCTGCTTGATACGCTTCGACAGCGGTGTTCCAGAGCTGGAACTAGAGTCGTCGTCATCACGAGGCCTCTTGACAGGTGCAGGCCGGGTTGGGGCCTTGATGGGTGGACGGCCAGCGACAATGACAGTGTCCTTGACCTTGGGAGCAGCAGGCTTTGGCTTCGCCTTGACAACAGGGAGTGGGGCTGGGGCCTCATCGCCTGAAGTGTCGGAGTTGACAATGATTTCCTGTGACAGTATACGCTTGTCGTTGGCTTTGGAGCCAGCTTTGCTCTTGGTTGGAGATGCCTTTGGGGCGGCGGGCTTCGCCTTGGGCTTGGAAACGCCAGCAGCCTTGGAGGGCTGGAGCAGCCGTTTGACCTGTGCCTCCTGGCTGCTAGACTTCTTCGCTTTAGATGGCAAGGGGTTGGAAGATGATCGTATCATCTTCTCGCCATCCAGACCATCGCCAGACGTGAAGCCGTCGTCTGCTTTCTGGACCTTGATCTTGGGCGCAGGGGGTGGGGGGCCCTTTGCCAGATTGGCCTGCAGCCGGCTCAGGCATTTTCCCTTGCCACGCTCCTCCTTCGGAAGCAGCTTCTGCCACACAGCCTCGTAAGCCGATAGCCTCTGCTTGTCGAATTGGCGAATCGCGTTGTCAATAACAACTTGTCTCTCATCTTGAGAGGCGTAATCGTAGCTCCAAGGGTCAAGCTCCTTCCAATACGTCTTGCGCATGGTCCACGTATCTGAGTCGGCGTTGTGTTCGGCGACCTTCTCGAGGGTCAATCGGAATTCGTGCTCCTTGCCCTCCCACTTCTTCTTCAGGTATTCCGTCGACCGGTCCTTAACGGCCAACTCATGAACCAGAGTAACTCTCTGCTCCTTAGCACGTTCCATAGCCTGCTGGGATGCAGTGAGTGTCGGGTTCAACGAGGGCGAGGTGATGCCATTGAGGCTGGGCGAGGTTGGCAAAGAGCCGGTTTTTGAGCCATAGTTGGAGATGGGCTTGGCCCTGGACTTTGCCGACGCCTTGGCCTCTGGCAAGTTTCCTACGACGCGAGCCCTGATAAAAGGTGTTAATACACAACACCACAGCGACATGCAAGTAGCACAAACCTCTCTCGCGCTGCGTCATGTGCCGCCAAGCCATTTTGCAGAGCCTCAATGTCCGAGTCCAGCCCGGGGGTGGACGACTTTCGGCGGTATGGCCTGGCAGGCTTCGCAAAGACGTTGGTTGTGTTGGGTATTCTCTCCGCCCGGCGTGTAGACTCGAATGGGCGGGTAAGGTAGAGGTCGTAGTCGGCGGAATCGTTGGGAGCGGCGATGCGGTGCGACTTGGAGCCGTATTGAATGGTCTGGAGGAGAGGCCCAGAGCAGTCAGCACATGAGGTTCCCCATGCCCCTTGTGGGTACACTTCAAGGAGGAGCGAGAAGACCGCAGACTTACGGGAGTTTGACCCAGCGAGAGGCGCAGATCCTCGCCATTGCGTGAAGATTGGATTATTGATTCGATCGTCGACTTGTCGAGCTGAATGTGGAAAGCCTGGGGCGGTAGGCTCGAGTCGGAGCCAGAACCCGCTAGGAGCAGGCCGCTATCCGGGACTTTGAGAGAGTTCATGCTGGCGACTGAGGATGCGTGTGCGAGGATGGTGTAATGCAGCTTCCCAGAGGCAAACTAGCCAGAGGATTCCGAGAATTCGCAGGCAAGAGCCGGAAACGAGAGGGGGGCTTTTGGTGTTGTCAACACAGAGGAAGAAGGCGGTGCTGAGGGTATAAAGATTCCGAAGTTGAGCTTGAAACGGGAGGAACAAAAGACGCTTGTTTACTCAGACTCAACTGAAGAAAACAAACTCTATAAATGGCAGGGAGGACGCCACATGATCGATTGAGACTTCGGCGGCGGCCAGAAAGTGAAGACGACTCGTGGAGCAAGTGAAGTCAAAGTGAGAAGGTTGAGGACAAAGGGCGAGTCACATCCAGGCAGCGCGGTGGGCCTGCAATACGGGAAATGGGTAGATCCGGAACTGCGTGCAGAGTTCAAAAGGCCGGCCTGAACACCGCAGCAGGAGGCTTTGGCGGCACGCAATCGCAGCAGAGGCACAGGCCGAGGAGCAGCGAGGGATGAGGTTGCGTGGGAGAGGGAAAAGAGTGCAATGATGCAGCTCCCGCGGTGGAGAGGCGTAATAGTATGTAGAATGGATAGCAGAGGTCTACGGCAGGAGAAGAGGCAGAGGCAAGTTCCAGTTCCAGTTGGGGGAGCGGAGACAATGGCGGCGAGCGGGAGGGTGGGAACAGGACGAGGGCGTGTCCATTGCAGGCTGGGCTGCTCAGAGCAGCACATGCAGAGGGGTGGTTGCATCAGCGAGTACCCAGCCCGTACTGGCGGACCTGCGAGTACTGTACATGTACGAGTACAGTACCTAGACCTGTACGAGTACTGCACAGCAGCGCGGTGCAGCGCAGTACTTGCGTACTTGCGTACATGCGTACATGCGCGCTACTGCCTGTCCCTCGACGCTACAGACTCACGGCGGCGCACGCCTGGGCAGGGCATCGACAGGGCATCGACAGGGCCCCAGACGGGTGGAGGCCAGCACGAGGAGGTACCCGGAGCTAGAGAGGGCTCAGGTTAGGTAGCGAGGTACAGTACGAGCAGCGCAGTACTTTGGGCAATGGGTCCAGTCAGCAAAAGCCTGGGCAGTACCTTATCATATACAGGCAGTGATGCACGATACAGCAAGTAGCACCAACAGTACAGTAGACGTCCATTCAACCTCTGCCGTGCGTCTTTCTCCTGGTGCGCTGTTGGCGCTGACCGATGACTGCCAGCGTCCACTTCTGGCCGTGCTGGGTTGACTGATTTCAACGTCCACTTCTGGACATTACGGGACCTCATCCGGTACCTAGGACGACAAAAAGGCGGGCCAGGGCACCGCTGGACTCCGCCAGGCCAAGGAGCTCCCAGCCTAACGCCACCGGGCTTAGCCTCGTGGTACAAGGGCCAAGCAACCAAGTACCTGTGAGGTCGGGTAACCTTCATTCCAACTCGGCTCGGAGCCTTCTCCTGCTGGGCCAAAATAAGGCGCTGAGCGCAGTTCTGTTGTGACACACGCCGGATCAGCAAGTTGCTCGCACATACCGGTGCTGCAGTGTGCTGTACTCGTACGTGAGTGTACACGTAGCCGAGGCGGGCAAGGCATCGAAAGTTGATTGATCGGTGCAATTGGTGATTCGGTTCAGGTTGAGTTTGGCTGAGTTTGATTTCAGTCCAGTTCAGGTTGACCTCGGGTTGTCTTGAGTCCAGTTCGGCCCAGTTCAGTCCAGTTCAGTTCAGTTCAGCACAGCGCAGAGCAGCCCCAAGGCTCGACATGACATGCCTCTGCATTGATCTTTCTTACCCCCCTGCGTCTGGCCTCTCTATGTTTCCCTAGTGCCCAAGGCATTGACCCATCTCATCTACGGAGCAGATGCAGTTGCCCCATATCAGATTTTTGTCTGGTCTTTTTTTTTTCTGGTCTTTTTCCTTCACCTCCTTTGTCAAAGGTCCCCCCTTTTTCCAACCCATCAACCAAGAGCCCACCAACAACGAAGCTCTGGACGCAGTCGAGATGCGTGCTTATACTCGTAGTCCGTCCATGTGTGCGGGACTGTTGTTCCTTCATCAGGCACAGCGACGCACAGGCCCTAAGCTCTAGAATGTGCCGTGGCTGCTCTTGTGCCCCTCGAGGGGGAATCTCTCTGACAGAACGGATATGGAACCCGAACGTGGCCCTGCCCATCTGGATTCCGGTGCGTGCTACGACTACTTGGACCAGCAGCTGCCAGCAAAGGGCCAATTCTGGCCACGCCCCCTCCCATTTTGCCTGGCAGCGGCGGTCATGGCTAAGGTCAAGCGAGTGTTGTCGATATGTATACGTGCATGCAGCCACAGTAGTACAACACTAGCGAGCTCCTGATCCCAGCAAGTTGAGCAGAGTTGGCGAAGCAAGAGAGAAGGAAAAAAAGAGCCAGACATGCAGCAGTGCAGGTACCTCCAGAGTACATGTGCCCTACTAAGCTCTGCGTGCCATCGTCAGACACACTCTGCACATGAAGCAGGTTGCCATCCGCATGATGAGGGAGCGGTATGTACCTCCCCAGTACTGCTGGTCTAAGCTGTATGGGGATCACCGGAGCAGGGAGCTAACCCAGCAAGACGGTAAAAGGTTCAACGACAACCATAATATGAAGCTAGAGTATCTGTACTCGTACACGCACAACAGACACTGCTTCACCTGGCAGGTATAAAATGGTCGGCTCTTGGTTGATCCCGTGCTGGCTGCATCTTCTTAGTCCTCTCCTTTGTTCCCATTGGGATCCTTTGTAACGCATCAAATAGCGCCACCGGTGCTCTCAACGGGCTGTAAAGTGTCATGTGGAACCGAGTGGCCGCCATGCCGCCTCATTCGCCTGTGAGCGTCGCTTGGGATTTCCCTGACAGCTGCGTCTCCGTATTGGACAATCTGTGTAGCAGGCGAATGTCCAATCAGCATCAGACAGACGCCTTTTGGGCGAGCAGAGGGTGTGAGGTTGCGCTCTGCTGACAGCAGCCCTACGGCCGACAATTGTTTCAGCAGCATCCAAAATACTGGGCAATTCCTTCGAGAAGAGGCTGGGGGCTGCGCGAAATACGACTGCATGCACTTGGAGCGGTAGATCCTCAACACGCGGGATAATATCAACAACGTAATCAATTTCACTTGTCAGACGGCTCAGCAAGAGGTCGGCGATGCAATGCACTACGAGGTACTTGTAAACCGGAGGATGATCGTCAATGCACGTGTTTGCAGGGTAGGTAAGTGCTCCGGCATGTAACTGGAAATGAGGCTATTACAAGCCGCATTTGACGTGTGTCGAAAGTACGGTACCCAGGTACGTACCTTTTTCGACCCCCAAACTGAGGCTTGCACTGAGAGGGAGCTCCTCTCGCTGCCCATTGCCATCTTGTGCCCGTTTCTATCCTAGGGCATCAATCTGTTGTTTTCTCTCTCATGCATGCGAATGCCTGCAGACCAATGGCAGCAGCGCTTTCTGGCTCGGTGAGTCGAGATGCGCTTCTCATCTCACGGCGCCGGCGAGAAACTTGGTGGCACACGACACGAGCGCTGACATCACGCACTGCACTGCGCTTGCGGGCACTCGATGTATGTACAGTACGAGTACACGTACATGTACATGTACATGAGCATTAGTAAGGTGCCTCCATGCACGGCGCGTCACAGCCCTCCGCCTTTCGCCTTGCCCGACAGGACAGGCGGCGTCGACGTCTGTGAGCTGGCCTTGCAAGGCAAAATGCCCGCTGACGTCGCCAACGGCATGGCATGTCTTGTATCGCCGTTGCATGTACATGGCCGTTGCACCAGCATGCGAACGTGAGCGTCGAGCCGTCTTGGGGATCCGGCCATCGCTCGGTCATCGGCCGGCGCAGGGAGGTGACTTTTGCGAGAGGCATCAGCCCACCAAGGCGCGAACTGGTTCCGGGCTTGGAGCTGCCTCTTCCTGTCGCTCTTTTGCCTTAGTAACGTCGATTTTGTGAAGCCATGCATGTACTGCGCACCTCGGTGCTGTGCCAATGTTACATCAAAGGGCCAGCAGAAGAAGAAAACCTGGGCGTCGATATTAGTGGAGGGGGTGTGTGCGACATTCCCGCGATAGACTTGCATGGCCACCAGTCAGCTGTCGTTAGTAACGGCCTATTCCCACGTTCATCACTCGTACCCCATGTCAAAGTCGCAGGTCGTCACGGCTTCGGTGCCCGCGCCGGAAAGGAATCTGGCCGTCAGCTGGGGAGAATGCATTCCACTGCCCGAGCTAGCAGAAGCAGCAGAAGCAGCGGCAGCCAGAAGCAGCCAGAAGCAGCATCAACGTTGCTCGACTTGCTGTTGCTGGTTGGCTCCTGAATCCTTCGGAGCGCTGCTGACGGGTTCCTAGCGACCGTGCTGGAGGCCCATCTTCAATCTTAGGTTAGCCTCTGAAACATTCCGTGCTCAAGTCAGCGGTGCCTGGCCCTGCTCTCTCCAGAGCAGTGTATTGCAGATAGGCGGAGGGCAGCCACTCCACTCTCGTTCCCTTGTGTCCCTAGCTGGCAGCAATCTGCGAGGGTAGGCGAGGCCTGGAGCTTGGTGCTGTACATACTAACTATGTAGTACGCCAGTGCCAGTAGTCTGCTCCACCGGGCTATTTATTTCAATATTGACATTTGATCACCGCAAGCCACCCGCCGACGACCAGACAGCCGGTTGTTGGGCGAGGCCAAAGGAGATTTGGCTATTTTGAGGCCGACGAGAGCTCATTTGTTAGCATCGTGCTACCACACACCTGCATGCGTATAATACGAGTACACTGTAGGTGCGCAATGACGGGCCTGTACAAGCACTCGTGCCCTCTGCTCAAACAAGCGAGAAACAGACGCCTCTTGTCGTCTCACTGCACCAAACGTCTTGGCCTGGGTAAAGCGGCTGGGTTGCAATCCGGCGCAACGGCTTTGCCATGTCTGGAACGCAATGCTACACAAGTAGCAGCAATGCCTGTGTTTGGTGCAGTCGTCGCTCGCCACCGCTGGCTGGCTGACGGCCGGCAGTGCCGCAGACACGTATAATGATCCCACTCCAACACGTACTCGTACTGGCACCCCCCTCCAGGCCTGGACGAGACTTGGATCTGGGAGCTCGCAAACTCATGTACTGTGCTCCTCGTTACCACGTCGATACGCCTCGCCTTGCACGAACCATCTCGTCGCAGGTCTGATCCGCCGTGGTGCTAACCTACCATAGCAACCAAGGCCTTACAGCTAAGGTACTCGCACATTAGGCCTGTGACGATGCAAGGGAGATGCCTCTACCATGGTTGGCCATGTACCAACGTTAGCACGTTTCTGCGAGTGACGAGCATCTCCCTTGCCCGAGACACCTGGTTCGACACTGCCGTGAGGTACGCAGCTGTTCCAGATTGATCTCCCGCGGCTACATAATCCCTAGCGAAGCCCCCCACCACTTGGCGTCTTGCTCACGGCCAATCCAATAAGGCAGCTCTTGCGTTGAGCATCTTGCAGGCAAAAAGAGATGAATCATCTGACCAGAGCCACCGGAGATGCACAGTCGTGCGGCCAAAGAATAAAGCCCCCAAAGCAGGCTCTTTGTATTTTTTTTGGGAGGCTGGCCTGGGTAGGCGATCTGGGACCAACGACCAGGCAAGGCTTGCCGGCGGTTAGACCCCAGTGATGAGATTCGCAAACAGACGCGCGCCCGCTGGGAGACGACCCCAGCCAAGACATGGGATTGAAGTTGAGGTACAGTATGGACTAGGTGCACATGTACCGTAGGCCTGTAAGACGGCTCTCGAGGGAATACGAGCTTGCCAAACATTAAAAGCAAGGCTCAGGGCGGGCTGTAAGCCGCAGCGCACTGGCCCTTTTTAAGTTATCGGGGAGTTGGATGGCCACAGCCGTTCTGGAACCACGACAGCAGAAGGATACAAAAAAGGTCATAAAGTTCTCTTCTGCCAAGCACAGTCGACGCCGTCGGCCCCCCCCCAAAAAAGCGGCTGCTGCAGCGGAATCCAAGGCTGAAGTTCGCCAATCATTCGGGGGTTTCCATGTACGTGCGAGAATAGCAGGCCGCATGAGCGATGAATTGCTGGCACGTTGCCGCTGTTTGTCCCGTCGCGGGGCCCAATCGCCAGCTTCCACATTTGGCGTTGCTTGCCGCTGACAGCGCCTTTGGAGGCCCTGCGGTTTGCCCGCTTGGGGGGGCGTGTTTGCGCGTGTGTGTGTGCGTGTACGAGTAAGTAAGTGTAAAGGCGATTTGACAGTTACGGATTCCGAAGTGTGTGACTGTGGTAAGGCTGTAGAATCCCCCTCCCCGCCTTTTTGGCTGTGAAGCAAAGTAATATCTAAGATGGCCCGGACTAAGAGAAGGATCAAACACCAGGTCTTCCAAGAATTGAGCACAGCACCCAGGTACATAAGGTAGTAGGTACCGTACTCGTATATACTTCCAGCCTGATGGGCATGGCGGACAGGCCCGCTGCAAGTCATGCAAATCGGGCATGGCGTGGTGCGCCACACTCGCAAGCGTGCAGCAGCAAGGCAGGTACGACGACCCGGTACCTTCTGGACGACTGGGTGCGTTGCGCCCGATGGCCGGACTTGCTTCGTTCCTCGAGGTACAGAGAAAAAGTCAGATTTGGCCGGATACGAGACGCTTCACCCGCAAAGGCTGGATGTATCTTTTTTTATCTCGTCTCGGTTGGTGTATGCACCTGGGTAGTACTACCTGTTTACCTTGAACTGCATGTATGTGTGGTGCTTGTACCTTTTTTCTTGGATTGCCTGAGCAAATCCACACGCCCAGCCAGCTTGTGCTCTCGTCTGGGGTGTCGCAGACAAACCGCTGTAGATTCTCCCACCGATCCATGGCTTCTCGCGGACGCCTTGCTCAGGTCCCGGTGCAGCATCTCTGGTGGTCGGTGCATGGCGCGATGTTACTCTTGTCCGTCTAGATGGTCGTGATGCCTGTAATACGGCACGAGCACACGCATCTCTCTCTGCCCCCCGTGATGATCCATCGAGGGTAGATGAGGAAGGGACCGGTGACTTGCGTCTGCAAATCGCCAGAACCAAGGCTCCCAGGTTTTTTCCTGTTTCCGATTTGAGACACCCGGATGTCGCACAAGTCAAGAGGGGAATTTTTCCCTGGTCCTTTATTTGCCTTGCTTTTTTTTTTCACGCAGTGACGACATTGGCTGTGACGGGCTTCCTTTTTCAAATGGACGGCCCTCCCTTGTTCTTCTGCTGCTTTCAATTTCTGGCCTCTCTCGTTTTTTTTTTTTTTTGCTTTCTCTTTGGTACACGCAGACAAGCACACACACTTCGGGCTCCCTCGCTCCACGTATTTATACCGATTCCACTTCCTAATGCATGCTTAGTGCGGAAATGTATTGGAAATTTCTCTGCCAGGCGGCCATGACGCTGTCGCCTGCAGCTACCCTCACCTCTGAATATGCAGTCTAAGATATGTAGGTCGTATGTACTCGTACGGTCAACCGCAGGGCCCGGTCGTTTATCAGTTTTGCCGGAGTCTAGATGCATGGATTTACCCGTCTATACGTGTACAAAAATTTTTAAATGGCTCTTTATTTTCATCACTTTTTTTTTCATCTCTTCTCTCTTCTCTTGTCCATTCTCTTTCAGTCTCTTCTCGCGCTATAATATACCAAGTTGCCGATTATGACATCTACTACCCAACAGCATGGTAAAGCTAGGAAACTAAAAAGCGTAGCGTAAGAACAAAAACCATCACAACCAACAGACATGTGCGCATACCCGACCCGGCAGTACTTGGTCATCTGGCCGTCGGGCATTCTATTGGTTCCCCATGGTGATGGGTGATCAAGCGATCTCGGCATTATCCGCCAGGTGTTTCTGTCGCTCCCCACGCGTATTTCGCTCACGACACCGTCACGATGCGGTACCAAGGTAGTACCAGCTACTCCGTGACTACCTTGCTCCGTGACTACTCCGCGACTCGCTCCGTGGTCCCGTCCATCAGATGATCTGTAATCAGGGCTAGCTCGCCTTACCCATCCTCTTCCAACGGTTTCTTTTCTCCCGCCGGGGTAGCTCTTGTTTGGCTTGGGGTTCATTTTTGGGGAGGGTCCGGCGGCATTTTGTGGACCTGATTGTGTCATTTGGCAACTGATGAGAAACCAAAGGAGCCGGCAGAGAAGAAAAAAACAAGCACAACACGCACGCAAACTGGCTCTGCTGCCTGTTTCGTAGCGGGAGCCACGCAAGCCCGACATTTCCGCCGTTTGGAAGATACAGAAACTATGATGGACCGTTGGTTGAACAAGGGTCCTGCTGGTGCTGTTCGGTGAGTGAGTCGAACGCTGGCTGTCATGGCAATGGAGCCATTTTTGGCCTCTGGTTGGGTGAGGGCCCCGCAATGGGGGACCTGTATGAGCTGCATTCTTGTCTTGTCTCGTCTTTGCCCGAGTTGCGACGCCCACAAGTACAAGTACTCCGTGTGAATCTCGTCAAGTGCATCCTGCTTGACAGGACAGGCACTCCCGAGACGCTTGCTATGTAGATTGAACCGATTGAAGCCTCCTGTGTGTCTCTTGCTTCCTCGGGCCTTTCCACCCCTCCCTTTTCTTTCCGAAGAAGCATCTCAATGGCCCGGCACAGTTGATCCAGCCATGCCACCGTTTCCCTCTGCGTGCGACCAATATACAAGCAGCTAGAGCGAAGCCACATGGATGTGCCTTTCTGCTCTCTGAGGGGTCCAAGGCTGATTGCATGACCCGGGGTCAGATCATCCAGAACAGAGGGGGGGGGTGTGTAGAACGATCCACGGCTAGCCTAGGTCTTTAATCACCGTTTCTGCCGCCACATAGTACAAGTAAGTCTACATGCCAAGGTACGAGCGAGCGGTCGTCACAGCAGAGGACATGGCAGGCCAGGAAGATTCGGCCGAGGGAGGAGATGAAAAGCTTCCGAGCATTGCATGTCCCAGTTGCGCCTGAGTGGGATCGGGGCTCCGTCCTCGCACATATATCGGTGTGCCGTTTTGCTGCTTTCGACTCTGCACCGCGACATCTAACCGGGCTGACTCGACCCATTGATAAATGACGACGCCCCCATGCTCCCGGCCACGACCCTTGGACACACGGAGAATAGCCCAGCGGCCAAGGAACAAGACAAGAGAGCAAAAACGCCGTTGTTGGCAGCTTACTGTGCATATGGCCCGACTGAGCTCTGCATTCGTTTTGCCCCGGTTCCGATCCCGCAATGCCCCCGATATGGTTCTGAGCAGTTTTTGGGTTGTCCCTCGCAACTTACAGCCACCATCTTTTCCTGTTCCCTTGGCTACGCAAGCCACAGACTCTCGCGATAGGCAGCTAAGCCAAATAGTTTGAGGACTAACGTGGCGGAAAAAAATGCGGGGTGGGCGACAAGGCAAAAAAGCAAAAAAGAAGCACAAAGACATGAACAAGGCCGTCGTTTAACGGACCAATCGCGGCTCGGCTGGTCTCTTTGGATGTCAAACGGGAATTGGCCTGCCGGAAATCTTTGTCTCGCCATGGCTAAAACACTTGATCATTGGGCTAAAGGGGCCAAAGGGGGTAAATGATGGGTTTGCTCTTCTCTTGCGATGAGCGCGCGTGATAGGCCGCAAGCTTTCTGTCGGCTGGTTGGCGCTGAATACTGGCCATGCCACGAACGAGAAAAAAATGGAAGCTTGGGGGCTAGCTGCATCTAGCTTTGGCCGCTCGGTGCGCGTTGCGGTGGAAATTGGGCTGGCTGGGCGAGCTTTGCTTTTTCCCGTTAATTGCCAGTTTGCCAGTGACATTTCGGCGGGCAGGGAACTAACAGAGCGGTTCTGGCTGCAAAATAGCGTCCCCTTCCGCTGCTCTAGGCGAGCTACTTGTGCTAAGAAGCGAACCGACTACTATCAAGGGCCCGGGGATGTTCGGAGAGATTTCAACAAGTTGCGCCTTTTTGCTCGGGTTTTCTGGATTTGTTTGTATTCCATCTGCTTTGGGGTTTCTGGCGGTACTACTGACATGTACCTACCGTATGCGGAAACCAATCCAGCTGCAATCCTGATATGCGTGCTGCACCATTCAGGTAGCACAGCATGCACTGCAAAAATCTGCAACGAAACACGATTCGTCAATCCTTTCGGGCTGCATGAAGAAAAAAGTAAAGAAAAAGAAAACCAACGGCAACGGAAAAAATGAATTCCTTCCAATGCAGCAACGATGAGGGGCAGAGTGAGGGGGCCTCTGACACATCCAAGTACTACTGTAGATTCTACCTCCAGGGTACGGGAGGGTTTTTTGTATGTACCACGGCACAGGAAAAGGAGGCTTGCAAGTGGCTGTCTGAGATGAAGATGCGAGTTTCATGCAAGTGCTTTTTGAGACATGCATTTGGAGGGGGGCCTTGCTAAAGAATGTTTCGTCGGGTGGCCGCCGAATAAGCTTGGGTCATTTTTTTCTTGCCCCCTCTTTTCTTCCCTTGTGCCGTCTGTATGAAATGATAGATGACTATGTCCATTTATGCAGATCCTTGAGATGCTACAAAGTTAATGATGGTGGAGGAACAAAAGAAGATTTGAAATCACATGACAAAAGGGGCACAGCCAGAAGCCACTTGTCGACGAGAACAAAACTTCATCTCTATTTTTGATAATACACACAATAAGAATTCAAATTCTGAAGAAGAAGCTGCAAAAAGTGAAACACTCCCCCATGTTGATGACGCCTCCCCTCAAATAAGAATAGCCATGGTTCGCAACTCTCGCAAGTGTCATACATACTCTATCCCGTGAATTCCTCGCCCCAGGATTTACTGCGTCTTGAAGAGCAGGATGGCGCAGTGGCCGAGATAAAAGTATATGAAGTGCTTAGTCTCTGTAGACACCCAAGCATGTTAGCCTGCTGCTGGACCTTGAAACAGGGGGTATCAAAGCACGCACCATGAGTTACGAAGCTGCCAAAGTTGCGGCCAACAATGCAGTGCCAGGTTGGGCCCTTTCGCTCGTCAAACTGTATTGTCGTATGTGGTTAGTAGCGTTCTCGTTTCGCATAGGGGCAGGTTTGGCTGACTGTTCGCTTGATGTGCTGTGCAATGTCCTGTCATGTCTTGTCAGCACTTGTTCTCGACAGCAACTCAGCGTCTGGCAAAATACCTTTTCAATGGTGAACTTGGCCATGGCCTCCTGAGCTAGAGTCTCATTATTAGCCTCCCCCTTCTCACTTGTCGGCTCTTTCCCCGCCAATGGCAGCGGTTGTCGAATCCAACGTACCAACTTCTATGCACTCCTGCTGCATATCATCCGTCTTTTCGTATTCGTTAGCTGGGTCGTTGTACAGGCCTCTTTGTTAAGTGAGCCTCACCATGTCTGCGGATTTGATCTGCGCTGCGATGCTAACCGTTAGCCAAGCTTCTCCTTGTACTGGGCGATGTGGAATCGCGACTTACCCTCAAGCTTCTCCCTCGCCGCTGCGATCTCTGCCGGCTTGTCCGCCATGTTTTCTGATTGATGGGTGGGTGTTTGGTTGTCTGATGGTAGAGTCGACGCGATTCCGCTGCGCATGGCGAGAAGAAAAAGGCATTAGCAACAATGTTCCAGTTCCATGGCAGCTGCAGACTGTCTCTCTGCTCTCTGCCCTTCCCCCTTCCTCCTGTCATCGCCACTCGCACACAGACGGACACTGCGGATGTGATAGCACCTACCTCGAGGACTGTCGTTGTGTGAAGCTCGGTTCGAAGATGATCGTCGCGCCTGGAGAATTGCGTGCCGGATCGAAGATGGTCGTGTGCGCAAAGTTGCTGCGGTTTCGCGTCTCCTTAAAGTCGAGCTTTGGAGTTGACAAGGACCGGAATCAATCCCAGGCTAAGCACCGGGACGCACGAGCCATGCATGCCGCGTCTGCCAAGGTGCTGTTAATTAGTAGGGAGGTACCGCCTCTAGTATGGGCCTTTTTTTCTGTGGCGGGGCTGAATGACAGCGCTTGCAGGCTGCTAAATCCACGAGCTTGCAGGGCTGAATCGTAAGATGTAGAACACGAGATATTGCCCGATCACAGAGGCATATTGGTTAGTGGGCAGATGGCAGCTATTGTCTCTATTTTCTAGAGCCGAGTATTGCCGGAACTAGCAACTTGGACTCATTGATTTCTGGGTTGTTGGGAATCTGCAATTCACTGGTGCGTTGGACAAGACAACTTGGAAGCCTCTACTATGCACTTGAGAATGTTCTAGAGACGTAAAGCATCAATTGGCAGGTATTTGTAGACATCAGATGGTAAATTTGGTAGATTTAGCTAGGTACAGTGCCTACAAGCTGATAATTCTAGAAGTGGTAGGTAGATTTAGCAGGGGCAGGTATCTCTTATAGATGTTGGTAGATCTACTCTGTAGTAGGAGGAGATTTATAGTACGAAAAGAGATGCAATTCCTTCATACGCTACTACCATCCTTGCAGTTCAGCCTGGTTTCCTTCATAAACTGTCGCCAGATTTATGCATATAATATTTCCAATTATAGCACCTGACAATCAATGTTGATCGTCTCATTGAGTGCAGCCCCGCATTTGGACAAGGCTGTACGCAGCATCTTTTACTCTCCAGGCAGCAGAGCAGGCGCATGGAGTACATCTTTATGAATTGACTTCAACGATTTCATTATTACTATTGAAAGATTGAGCTTGGAATCCTTTTTATGTGTAACATGAGCGGGCCTCTTCATATCTCAACGAGTGTCGTAGCTGTGCTGCAGCTCGCAGCCACGGCAACGCAGTATCTCAAAGACGTCAAACATGGGTCAGCCGATCGATCTCGGCTCCGGGACGAGCTTAGGAGCACAACTTGTTTGCTTGAAATGCTGCAGGATCGTCTGGAGGACTTGGATGACATGCCTGATAGTGAAAATTTGCTGATGCCTCAGTCCATTAGTTTGCTCGGCGGCGCAGACGGGCCGTTACACCTCTTCAGAAAAGTTTTAGAAGAAATTGTTGCCGAGCTGGCGCCTCAGGATAAACTCAGACGACTGATGAAGCCTTTTACCTGGCCATTTGATAAGAAGAAAGTCGCAGAGTTGCTTACATGTTTGGAAAGATCGAAAAGTCATTTCAGTCTTGTTTTGCAGAACAACATTGTGTAAGGGCGTCACATCTATTGGATTGGCATCACCTGTTCTAATTCAGTATCAGAGACTTGGCGAGGCTAGCAAATCTCAAGCTTGATAAAATCGGCGACAAGGTGGAAAGCTCAGAAGCAAAATCTCGAAATGCCGACACACAGAAGATCATTCAATGGATCAGTCCGCTATCATTTCGCTCCCGACACGTGAGTGTTCTGGAGAGTGTCCAGCCTGGGACCGGCATCTGGCTATTGGAGCATGCCACCTTTCGTGATTGGTTGAAAAGAAAGACTGGAATTCTCTGGTGCCCCGGAATACGTCAGTTCCATGAGTTATTGGGAACCTTGTATGCGATACTAACTCTGTGCTTTAGCGGGAGCTGGAAAGACAAGTCTCGTGTATGTGGATTCATATATTCTCCCGAAAATTTGCATCAGCTTACGTTTCCTCAAGATCCCTCGCTATCAATCATCTCGAAGAAGAATCACCCCAGGCAAACACTTTTTGTTCATATATCTACTGCGATTATAATCAGCGCAGTATCCAAACACATGTTTCCCTCCTATCTAGCATACTTCAGCAGGTTCTTCAGAATTCTTCAAGTGATGTCCTGCCGTCAGAAGTAGCAACATTGTACAGTCAACATCAGAAATACAACACTCGTCCGACATTGGCACAAATTACCGAAATACTGGAGAAATTGGTTTCAACATTTGAAACATTTCATGTCATTGTCGACGCCTTGGACGAATGCTCTGAATCGGAAGAAGACGCTCTTCAATTCATCTCAGCAGTCTCTTCTCTGGGTTCAGCAGTCAAGATCCTATGTACATCGAGATCTTCGAGCGTATTTAACGTCTATTTCAGCACAGCATCTAGAATAGAGATATCTGCCCAGCAAACAGACATTACGACTTTTCTGACCGCTTGCCTACAAGACCAGCCCAGACTCTCAAAACATGTGGCGAAAGACCCGAGTTTAAAAGACGACATTATCGGGGCAATTATCCAGGAATCACAGGGAATGTAAGTTATACATAATAAATAACAGATAATGGGGTGGATATGTGTGTTAATTACGGAATATTTGGATAGGTTCTTATTGGCAAAACTACATGTTGAGTCCTTGTCTCGAAAATTTAGCCGCAAAGAGGTCCGGGTTGCGCTGAAAACTCTGCCCAGCACCCTGGATGCCACATATTCAGAAGCACTTGAGAGGATCTACAGCCAGGATTCAGACTCTGCTGAATTGGCCGAGTTGATCCTGTACTGGGTCGTTTGCGCTAAAAGAAGTCTTACAGTCCAAGACTTACAACATCTGTATGCTACGCGAGAGTTGTCAGATGGAGAGTTCCTTGACGAAGATGACCTCCCAGATGGAGACATTTTGTCGAGCGTTTGCAGTGGTCTCATTATTGTGGATAGTGAATCGCAAAGGGTTCGTCTAGTCCATCATACCGCCCAACAATACTTTGAGAGCTGCCACCACACGCGGCTCTTGGAGGCAAAACTGAGCCTCACAAACATCAGCCTGACGTACCTGACGTTGTCAAACTTTTCCAGTGGTTACTGTATAACGGATGAGACCATGTCTATTCGCCTGAAACAATATCCATTCCTCGATTATGCCGCCAAGTATTGGGGCTCAGATCTTGCCCAGCTGGACTGTGCAGACATTGGGCCCAGGATTGAGAAATTTGCCTCTGAAGCTATTGCAGTAGAGGCCATCAATCAAGCATGGTGTCTGAAGACTAGCAAGCACCAATACACAAATTGGAGCCAAGAGTTTCCCAAACACGTACCAGCGCTTGTGCTGATCTCTGCCTTTAGTCTCCCAGAGGTTCTGCAATACCTGGTATCAAGAGGCCATAAAATCAATGCCAGAGGGAGCGATGGCGAGACTGCTCTCATTCGCTCAGTGGGTTTCGGTCATGTACAAAATGTACAAATGCTCCTCGAACTAGGTGCGGAGGTAGACGCTCAGGACCACATGGATGAGACCGCATTACAGAGAGCTGCCAGAGTCGGAAACGAAACTCTTGCGAAAATTCTGATTGACAAAGGCGCAGACGTTAATTCGAAGGCGGCAAGCGACTGGACTGCCCTCATGTCGGCGGTTTCCAGCGGCAATCTCGAGGTTGTCAAGATCTTGGTCGAGGCGGGCGCTGACTTTAGAACTGAAACGGTTTGGGGAGACTCAGCCTTGAGCATTGCAACTCGGAGTGGCCAAGAAGCAATTGCTAATTTCCTCTCCGATCAAGGAGCAATTCTACCCAAGGGACCTGCTGGGCGCCGCGCTTCCATCATAGCCTCTCGCAAGGGCCTCCACCAACTCGTCAGGAAGCTCACGGCCAACTACGACGCCGTTGCCGATAAGCCGCTGGAGAGACAAAGTTCGAGGCTCATGGATGGCCTCTCTGACATCCAGGAGGCAGAAAACGCTGCTGCTGCTGCTGCTGATACAAAAGCAGAAGGGGCTGTGCCTCAGCAGGCGAGAGCCGACTCGAGTGCAGATTTCCTGGATGGCATGGAAGAAGTCGGTTATAACATCGGATTTCACAAGCGCTATGACTTACTCGAAAAGCTCGGCAAAGGCCATTTCGCTGAAGTGTACCTATGCTCAAACAGAGTAACAGGCGTGAGATACGCAGTCAAGGTTCATGTATTCACACCCCAGGTAAACGAAAAGTCGAAGTCAGACGGGCTATACCGAGAGGCGAAGTTGATGAAATCGTTTCACAAAGAGCCGCACCCAAATATCTTGCGGTTTGTCGATCTTTTTACGGAGCATTCCTTCGAGAAAACCTACTTGGTCATGGAACTTGCGCCTCATGGGGAGCTTTTCAACTACATCGTTACAAATACGCGCTTGTCAGAAGACGATGCTCGAAAGGTATTCTTGCAGCTGTTTTCAGGACTGGACTTTTTGGTAAGTTTTCTTCAAAAGCAGCTATCCAACACCCCAGAGTCTTCAATCCAGTATCGTAGCGAGATACAGAGGAAACTCTAGTGCCTTTCATCCATCTTGTTCTTCTAGCATCTGTTATTACCGCTACTTCCACTGGTTTCGGTTAAATTTGGGATACAGAGGCAAAACCAAGTTGGAATACGGGATGACAAATCACCCTTTTCACGACTACCTAGCGAATGAAAGGGTTACTGCTTTTGGAGATTTTCTAATAATGTCTACAGCATAGCCAAGGATGGATACACCGCGATATCAAGCCCGAGAATATTCTATTAGCAGATGAAGAAAATCTCGTCATCAAGATCTCAGACTTTGGACTAGCTAAAAAGATTAGCCCTAGTACCGAGAAATGGGAGTGGGTAACGACTCTTTGCGGAACACCAAGCTGTAAGACTCTCTTCGTCTCCTGCCTCCCACTTCTTCCTCAATCAGCCAACGAATACTGGTGGCTAATTTCTCTAGATGTGGCCCCTGAAATATTGACGAGCAATGAAGAGCGAAAATACGGATTCCCGGTGGACATTTGGTCCTGCGGAGTCGTCTTGTACATCTGTCTGTGCGGCTTCCCGCCGTTTTCGGATGATCTGTACAGTAAAGAATTCCCGTATACACTCACTCAACAGATTAGGCAGGGCAGGTTTGACTACCCGTCACCGTATTGGGATTCAATTGGAGACCCGGCGCTGGATCTAATTGATGACATGCTGGTTGTGGATATGGAGAGGCGGTTTACTGTGAAGGAATGCCTTGAGCATCCTTGGATGCGCGAAGTAAGCCCCCAGATCCTGGCGGAGCCCATCAGGTCAGCAAGCCCGGAACCTATGGAAGAAATGGAAGAAAGACGAACTGGATCGTTGAAAAAGAGGTGGTTGATTTCAGAAATCAATTAATGGGTAGATCCACGCAAGAGACAGGAGCTAAGGCTGATATCTATTTTGTACAATGTCGAATCGACTCCGAATATTTGGGATTATTTGACTCTTCGTACCTAGATCCATCTGCTTAGTTACTAGAAAGAACCAAATTTCTGATAGAATCATCTTCATCTAGTGCCAAGTGCAATACTCAGCGCATCAAACGCAAGCCAAACCATTCAAATTCCCTTCAGCAATAGCTTCACTCTTCAATCCAATACCGCAGCCAATAATACCTCCCCTTCCTCCTCATTCCACATCGTCCTCTCAAAGGGAGCAGAAGGGCGGACATTCGATATCCTTTATATGTCCAAGGCGAACCCGCAAATCGCGTTCGCAAACCACTTTACGCGGTTCCCTGAAATCAATATACGCGTCCACTCCCTTGGAATATTGGTAAATGGGGTGCACTGTTCCTGAGACCCCAACCCACGGAAAGAAGAAGAGACTGTAGACTCATCCTCCCTTGGGACTCCTCCGCCCGTTCTCTGGGATTAGGCTTTTTGGATCCGTCTACGTGGTCCAAGCGCCTGGGCCGTGAGACCGTTTCTTTTTTTCTCTTCTCTTCTCACGCCTTCTTTCGCTCCGGAACAAATCCAGCTTAGAGTGAGACATGTTACGTACGTCTTCCGCAAACGGCCATGTGCTTCAACCAAAGTTCCACCTTGGCCATCCACCACTTTCGTCGGTGATAAAGAGACAAAAAAGTTCAGCCACAGATGCAAGTCGTTTGTCATGTAACAAAGGTGCTTCTCACGGCCCAATCACTGGTTTGAAACTGCGATGCATGTTTGCAACAAGGTGTTGATTATTACTCGTGCTTGTTTCTAAATTTGCCCAACCAAGACCCAACGCCCATCCAAGTCTCACAAAGCCCACACGGGCAGTATAAACGCCGTATTCTCCAGCATCCTTCAGCCGTTAATCATCCAATCACCCCATTCCGATCCCGTCCCTCCTGGTATTTTGTAGTGAATTTTTTTCCTTTTCCTGTTTCCCGGCCGTGTATCCTTTCCCAAGTGTAAAATAGTTCCAATCCATGACTCAAAGTGCCATCCAGATCTAAAACATGTCCTTTTTTAGCCCTGTAGCCTGATTTTCACAAGCCAGCTACCAGTCATTAGGAATAGGTACATGTGTGCTCATTGTAGGCTCTGTCCGCCGCCTCTTCATCGACCTAGGGCTGTCGTCGTGCTCAGCCCCAACCGCGGATGCTGGTGTGGTTGCGACACCTGCCATATGCCATTGGCTTGGATTCCACAGCCCAGCATGGTCACTGGGATCCGCTCTTGGCTGCGTCGAGGGCGCAGCCACCCATTCGTTGCCTGTGGGAGTCGATGTGGCAGGGACGGGCCAGGTATCCAAAGTCGGTATGTCCCAAGCTGTGATGCCGGCCGTCTCGTCGTACGCCAGTTGAGTGGACAGGTCCAATGAGGCTGCTGTAGTTGCAACAAGATACTGGTTAACGCCGGCCGTAGTCATGGGCTTCATGTCGGCGAAGCCAGCCTGTCCCTCAAAGTAAGAAGCGTTGTGAGCCAACGACAGTGAGTGCGAGCGCTCATTCGCCGCCCCGCCCGCTGTCGTGCTCACTGTTGGCAGGTAGCTGTTCACATCCGGCATCGAGGCCATGCTGGGATCAAAGCTCCCACCCGCATAAGGGCCATGGATAGTCGCCGTTGGTGGTGGTGTGGCCAGTCCTGTCGGAAAGTCAAACACGTTCATGTTTGTTTGTACTGGTGGTACTTGCGCAACTTGCGCAACGGCGGTACCGCTGTTCCACGCCGAGCTCAGATTTTCGTTCATGATGCCTGCGAGCTGCTGGCTCACACTGGGTGTCGGTGACATGACGGCGTCTCTTGACACGCTGGCCGAGGGATAGACTAGAGCCTTTTGTTGGTGATATCGCGACATGGGGTCGTTGATGGTGAGCCATCTCCAAGAAGTCCCCGAGGGCTTGAAGACTGGGTTGTACTTGTACCATTGATTCGTGGTGTTGAAGCGCCAGAAGATGATGGCTTGCCTCTTCCACTGCGAAGAGTCGGGAGCGCGGGACCATAGCTCTTGGTACATGGCAACTTTGCAGATCAGGTCGCTGCCCGTTGGCTCGCGGCGGCTCCACGAGGCCGCATCGCCCTCGTCCTCAGATCTCTTGCGCTTACTGCCGGCCCTCCCTAGCTCGTGCTGCTTCTTCGATTCGTGGCGCTTCTCCTTCTTGCGTTGGTGCTCGATGTCAGGATATTGCACGGCTGTGCTCAAGATGCTGGCCCACTCCACTGCAGGGAAGGGCACGTGGATGTCCTGTCGGGGCCGCATGTGGCAGTTGCAGTCGTTCATTTTGGAGTCGCTGCATCCCCGATGGTGGATGCCGCTCTCATTGGTGTAAACGCCGCGCTTGGAGTCGTCGCTGTACAGCTCATCTGGTCGAGTCAATCGGGTGACGCACTTCCAGTGATGCTGCTGCAGCTCCGGCTGCGTGATTGCCACCTCAACAAAACCGGTGAGCTCTGATCCTGAGGGGAACTTGGCGTGTTCGTGCAGCTCCAGCGTCGAGCAAATTTCTAGCAGGAGGCAGTCTTGGTCCCGAGTTGGCAGATCGAGCGTCTCGTACATGGCCGGCGCATCCTTTTGCCATCGCCGAACTACCGTCTTCAAACATGCTGAAGTCGCCCGATCCAGGGCTCGAGTGTATTCGTGCAGCAAGACGTCCTTGCCTAGGGCATCGGGGAAGTCATCGCAGTTGGTGTACTTGTTCAAGTGAGGAAACGACGCTTGGTCCAGGGGGGTGTTGTTTGCGTCGTAGGCAACGTCGTCCCGGATTTTGATTTCCGCCGAAGACACATAGATCTCGCACGTTTTGGGCCGCACTGAAATGGATCCCTGCAGCGATAGCAACTGCGTAAAGTAGTCGTAGTTGGGTCTCACTTCGGGCACTCGGCCCTCAGCCAACGCCGTCAAAATGGGGTTGGACTTGAACGACTCTTGCTCTTCTTCATCGTAATAATCGTCAGAGTTGGTTGATCCGGGCTCCTTCTTCTCTTCGGAAGGAAAAAGAAAGTGAACTAGAAGATGAGATAAAAACCCAACAAGTTAATGACCCATCGACTACAAGCAGCAAGGGGGTGGAGGAGAGTGTCCACTAACAGCACCGTAGATCTTCAAAAAATTTCTTGACCACTTGCATGTGGCTGGACACTTGTTTGCGTCCCATTTGCTCAATGCTGTCATTGCTGTTGTCAATGCGGAAGATTTCTTTGCTACCAAGGAGCGCTACGCAGATAACAAAGATGTACTCGCTGATGAGCATGTTTCGGCCGTGCAGCTTTCCCCCCATGGAAAACTTCCGCCGGCCCATGTGAGGCATGAGAAGCACGGCTAAGCAGCATTTTCTTATCAGCTTCCTGGTACAAAAAAAAAAAAAGTAGAACAGTGGAATTGAAAGCAAAGTAAAATGCAACTCACAGTCGACAAAGGCATCTTCGAGCTCAGGTCGGCGCCAGACGCCGCCTTTATCCTTCTGAGTGTCCTTGTGAGCCTGTCGATTGCGGTAGTGTTTAAAGGCTGGCCAGTAGTAGAGCGGGTTGATATCCTGTCGGCTCTTGCGAACTTGCCGGGGCTGATGACGAGGTGTCTGGAGTCTGGAATAAAAAGCCTCGATAGACTGTGACGGTACTATATGTGGAGGAATGGTTGGTGGCAGCGAAGACGTCGGCGCCTGGTAACACGGGATGTTGCTGTTGAAGCTATGTGCTTGGGCATTGCCAGCAGCCTCACGAAGAGGCTGTCTGCCGCCATGAACGGTCCGTCTTGCGTCGACGTACTCTGGTGCATGTGAAATTCCCTGTGAGGGGAGGACCGGCCTTGGCTGGTAGATGGAAGCCATGATAGATAGAAAAGAGGCCTGAATGGGAGGAAAGGAATGCCCGACAAGAGATGTTCAAAAACCCAGCTCCAAGCCCAAAAAGAAGAGCTTCTGCCACAGCCCACGTTGGTGAAGAAAGAGCAGAGCCTGATGGGCAAGAAATGTGGAAAGGAATTCGGGGCGTGGAATGGTGGGATAATGTACGCTTTGTACGAGGTAAAGAACTGCCATTGGAACGGACATGTCTTCCTAAGGAGAGCCCGATAACATATAAACTCGAGACTCGGGAGGATCTGGGCAGGGCCAACGGATTGTATTGACAAAGGGGAGGACGGGGGTGGTTAGCAACTTGTCTTTGGCCCCTCCAACCCAAGATACATGCTCTAAGCTATCAAGATTTCGTCCATCTGCAAAGCATCTAAGATGGACAGGGAAGCTGGCGCAGCGGGGGTGGAACTCGACCAGGCGGCAACTCTACGTTCAGAAGACTATTTCCAGCAGCCAATGGAGCACAACTAGGTCACCCACCAGCACATGGCAGCGTGAGGTCTGTTACGAGGGGCGTTGGGCATGCAAGGGAGTCTGAAGGCGGGGCCAGGACGCCATGGTCTCACCCACCCTCTCCCCAGACACATGCGCACCAGGTCATCTCGGGCGCGCTTCTCCAGGCATGTAGGACGAGATTAACATCAGACACGGCGCCGCGGCAGCCCTTGGGCATCGCGAAACAAGAATTCTTCGCTGAAGATCCAGGCCAGCTGATGGGACCCCACGCCGTGTCCATGGGGGAGGGCCGTTGTAGAAGTTCGACATTGGACACCCCTCCCCTTGCCAAGGGATCATTAGATGTTCCTATGTATGTTCAATAGAGCGCGGGCTAGGGGGCACAGCTCAGCCTTGTCAGTGCAACACAGCCCGTGGATATAGTTTTGCTCTGCCTTTTTACCTTAAGCCTCAAGCTCATCCTCGTCATTGCCAATAGTAACCTTTTTCCTCCCTCCTCCAGTAAGCTGCTGAAGGGCCATTTTATTGGCCTGGCCCCCTACCTTTCGCTGCATCTTCTCGATCTCTTCCTCAGCATCGACAGCCTCGGCGGCAGCAAAGTCTAATACCAGTCGCCGGCCGAGCAGGTGGGTATCTTTCAATGCGTTTAGTGCATTCTCTGCCTCCCGAGGGGTCACAAAGTCAGCAAATGCAAAACCTCTTGCGGTATAGTCTGCCTTCTTTGGAACGCGGACTGATCTAAGCTGCCCATAGGTCCCAAACAGAGTGCGAATGTCTTTCTTGGTGGCTTGGAACGGCAAGTTCTTGATGACGATCTTGGTTCTTTGGGCTGCAGCCTTCTTAGCCGCATCCTCGCGCCGTCTCTCTTCGGCAGCGTCGTGGCCCCTGTGCGAGGCTTTGACACCCAGCGCATGGCCATCCAAGACGTAGCCATCCATGGTCTTGAGCGCCGCCTGGGCTTGGCTTTTAGACCGGAACTCTACGAAGCCAAAGCCCATACTGAGTGTCTGCCCTGGCTTTTTGGGGTCTATTTTTGTTTTGACACGAGCCGAAACGAAACCGTCAAGAGGCTCAAAGGCCTCAGCCAACTTGCCGGTCGTTGTGGCAAAGTTTAAATTGCGGACAAAGAGTGATGCGGTTTCCGCTGGCTCCTCTACCTTATCGCCGCTTGACAGCAATTCGTCGACACTTAATTTTTGGACCCCAGTGCGCTGATCCCCAACCGGGCTAGCCTGATCCTGCACCGCGTCCTTTTTAAAGAGATCGACTGGAGCCTTTTCCAAGAAAAGGACGCTGTCTTTGACTCGACGGTACGCCATCTTTCCAAATGCGGCCTTTGCGTGATTCAGCTGGGCGAATTGGATGATGGCAATGGTGCCGGTGGGTGGCATCAGAACTCTGAGAACTGGGCCACACTCCTCAAACATTTTCCGGAGTTCTTCCATTGAAGTGCCGTAGGGAAAGTTCTTCACAAGAATAGATGTGCCACCTCGTTTGTGTGATTTGAAGGCATCCAAATCTACGCCATTGGAAGCAAAAAAAGCCTTGGTTTCTTGAATGACGGTTGTTTCTGCAATGGCTTGCTTGACACCCGCATCGGCAGATGTGGGATCGAGAACTTCTGATTTTGCGACGCCTAGGCGTGCAGCAACGGAAGCGTTAACGGCGTCCTGGCTCATGTACATTGAATTCCAGTTGAAAACGCTCGTTGCCGCCTCAGCTTTTTTTCGTATCATGTTTTGTTTCTTCAGGGGTAACTTTGACATTCCAAACTCGTCCACACTCTTCTTGGCTTCGGCAGGAATGATGTGCAGAATGCGCCCCTGGAAAGTTACCCCATCAAGAGCTTGGAATGCACTCACGGCATTAGATGAATCTTCAAACAACACCATCGCAAATCCCTTGCGAACTCCTGAAGCATTGGTCGGTAGATGTACCTGACTAAGTTAGCCACCGGATCAACGAAACATAGATCGCAAAGATGTGTTTTGAATATGAACAGGATATCAGAAGGTCGAAGCATCTACTAAAATAATCGCCCAGGTTCACATCACATGCCGTAGCATAAGATGTCCCTATCTTGGGGTTCATCATGTTGCCTGTGTTTTTTTTTTCTCATAGAAACAAAAAGAAATCAAATCATCGTCAACTTACCTCCTGTAGAGTGCCAAATTTTCCAAACTCATGGTGGAGATCCTCTTCTGTGGTGGTATAAGGGAGATTTCGAACAAAAAGCCGAGACGTCCGTGTGATGGTGGCAACCGCATCATCTGCACCAGTGTTCTCTGCTCCCTTGTCATCTGCTTCTTCCGGGGTATCTTCATCGACAACATCACGAGGAGAAGGCGGGGTATCATCGTTATCCCCGCCATCTTGCACGACAGTTTCAGCCTCAACTGCTGTTTCTGTGGGCCGCGGAAGGTCGTCAGGATCAACAAGATCCAGCAATCTACTTGTGCGTGATCTTAGCCAGTCGTCATCCGTCGCCCCAGCTTCCTCTTGAGGAAGCTTCTCGGCCTCTTGAGGTTTCACATCGTCGGCGACAACCTCTTCCGCCGCAGGCTGAGCGCCCTGATCCGGCGTCTCCCTTGGTAATTTCTGGTTTATCACCAGACTTCGACTCGCCTCAGATGACTCTGTCTTGCGCAACTTCTCTTTTCTCTTCGGGATTTGTTCATATTCATCATCACTCTCGCCCTCCACAACAAGGGGCTCTCCACTGGTGGCAAGTCCTGTCATGTCGGCGTCAGGGTTTGTTTCATCAGCAATGACACCCTCCTTGCCCGTCTTCATCACGCGGAGAAACTCTCGCAGCTTTGGGTCAGACTCGTCCAGGTCCTCTCGCTTGCGCTTCTTAGAGCCACCCTCCTCATCCTGCTTGAGGGGTTGGTGGCTTGCCACCTGTTGATCGGAATGGACTAATCGCTGGTTCTTGTTCAGGGCTGGGTCTGAGATCTATCATTCCATCAGAACAAACTCCATGTTGTGCATAGGCCACAGGCGGGATCATGGGTTGTACCTACAGGCTTGGCTGGCTCGACCGATATCTTAGACATGCGAATGTATGACTTGTTAAAGTACTTGACGGCCCCTGAGGCATCCTCGGGTGTTTTGTAGCCGACATAGCCAATGCGCCGCTGAGGGATGAGCTTGAGATCGGTGATCTCGCGGTTCTTGGCCGAAAAGTGCTTCCGAAATTCCGCCTCTGTAATAGTAGGCGGAAGGCCCTTTACAAAAATTCTGGTCGTCTCCATGTTTGAAATATGGCCAGTTAATATGAGAGCAATTGCCGGCCCGTCAGCCTGCAGGCATTCTTGGTAACAAGTTTCTGACTTTGTGAAGTTTGAGCTTGGGAAGAGCCAGGAAAAAAAATTCCACGAAAAAAGTTGGACGTTGATATTTGCAAGGTTGGATAGTGGGGCGCGCAAGAAATTTATGCGGCCCGTGCGTTTCACCGAACGCCGTGCCAAGCTCCAGCTACAAAGAGCTCAAAAATAGATAAGATGCCTACCCTGTAGATATGTAGCCAGATGCCACAAACTGAATCGACATAAATCAAGGCCGATAGTTCAGGACTGGAAATAAATTATGCTCATGATATAATAGCTACCTATTAAATTTGTATTTCACAGGAAGCGTAATAAATCACCGGGCAGTACACGAGTTGGGTACCTGGCGTTTCGGTGATTGCTTTCAAAGTGCCTGGTTCTTTGAGTGTCTGCCATGATCGCTTTCACGTACTCTTGTTGACCATCTCGATATACTGACGTTGATCCGTCGAACTCATGTTTGTGGCTTGTCGCCAGTAGGCTCTCACCACGTCTTGTCCGAAATGGTAATGCTCATGGGTACTGGCGAGCGGGATATCCCCAAACTCCAACTTCAACGGTGGAAGTCCAGGATTGGGGCACGGGTTGCGTACCGGCATCGTTGTTGTTGGTCGAGTTGTGAACGATGTTGAAGGGTGGCGATGCTGAGGGAGAGGATGAAAAGGAAAGAAACTTAACAACAACAATTGAAGAAGAAAATAATTAAATATAGCAGGCGTAAAAATTTTGTTCACCACAGCAACTAGGGTTTGCCTTCATCAGCTAGTTAGGTACTTTCTGCTACATTCTGCTACTCTCGCTACTTCTTTCTACCATCACTACCCTTTTCAGATTGTTTGTATACTAAATTTATATTACGGTTTGCTGTATAAAGTCGTTTCTGGTTAAACTTGACATTTCACCAAGACTGGAAATCAACGACGAGAAAAAATAAAAATAAAAATAAAAAGACTATCGACAATTTCTGGACGAAATCATCGAACCAATAAAGACGTTTACGATGAGAAAGGAAGGCGAAAAGAAACCTCTATAGAGTTCTATTTCTTCGTCTTATTCTTTCACTTTTCCTTCTTTCATTTCCCCTTCTTCCTCACAATTGGCGTGCCTGATTAAGTCGAGAAAACTGGCGATGCTGAGAGGTAAACTTTCTGTTGTTTGTGAAGCTATGAAGAAGGGTAAAGATAGTTGTAAATAAGAGCAAACAGAGAAGAGGGTTTGACCAATGAGTGGTGTCACGGATCCACGTAGCAACCCAACATAAGCAATATGTGAAAGGCGCAAAGTGGATAAGCATAGCTTTAGCTAGGTAGGTCTGATCAATCTAGCTGATCTTGATCGAACTGGGTCACCTTGGTCATCAATACACTGAACCGTTCGTAGTGATTTCTCTGTAGTCGTATATTGTCAAATTTCCATCAACTACGCGTTCCTTCGGCTGGGGCTCCGGCCCAGAAGGAGAAGAAGGAGGAGGAAAAGGAGGAGGAGGAAAAGGAGGAGGAGGAAAAGGAGGAGGAGGAAAAGGAGGAGGAGGAAAAGGAGGAGGAGAAGGTCGAGGAGAAGGAGGACTCCGACGAGGAGATGGGTAAGGCCGGGGAGGAGGAGGACGAAGAGGAAGAGGAAGAGGAAGAGGAAGAGGGAGAGGTGGTGGTGGTGGCGCCACCAGAGGCGCCGGCCCCCGTGCCTGCTCGTGGTGTATCCTCGGGGGCGTCTATTCGCCAGGCGGCCGAAAAAAAAAAGGGCTTGGGGTTTTTTTTTTTTTTTTTTTTTTGTCGAAAATGGCCCTGGGGGGCCGGTTTTTTTCTTTTTCTTTTTTCGGCCTCCGTGGGAAGCGCAACTAGATGGAGACTTGGGGAGGATTTTACAGGATATAACTTTTGCTTTTACTATAAGTGTTTCTGAGGTTAAGGAAAAATCAGGCGTTATAAATAAGAGGTTTTATCCCATTTTATAGTTTAGAATGTATATTACCAGTGTAGTTAGGGAAAATATATAGCATAAATGTAAACGAGGTTCATGGCTTCATGGTTAACGAACTATAACATTTACACTGCTTTACATTATGTGTCTATTGTGATCCTTGTGTTAGATTGGTTGGAGATGTTGTTTTTCCATGTTGAGAATGGGTGCATCTTGGACTTTGCCTTCTTCTTCAGTATCATCTTGGTCTTCGTCTTCTTCCTCTCTTTCCTTTCCTTGTTCCCCTCCCTCTTTATTTTCTTCAGGTTCGAGACCTAGGGCCAACAGCCCCCTCATCTGCTTCTGAGATAATGTCCCACCCACGCCTCGTCCTCGAAGGCCGGGGATTTTCAAAACTCCCCCACGAACTATGCATGGTTAGCCGTGAGATAGCTACTAGAGTCGAAATGTAACTTACTGAGGCCACCACCTGCCTCCCTCTCCTTCTCCCTCTCCTTCTTCTCCTCTTCCCTCTTCTTCTTCTTCGCTATTCCATCACCGTCAGTTTCGCGGTCGATAATTTGTATGGAATATGTGAGATAGCCTTACAGCCTCGCTTGCCGCGGGGCCCTATCCTAATAGTTAGTACTGACAGATTGACGCCGAAACAAAGGGAGAAGAGAGACTTACTGCCGCCTCTCCGATGTCCACCACGACTGTCTCGGCCTACGATCGTGTCAGTTCACAGATCAACTACACGAGGAGAGGGGAGCAGACCGCCGCGTCCAGGGCCGCGGCTCCCATCACCACCGCCAACGCCACCAGTTGACACCGCCTCGCCCTTTCCCAGGAAACTGGCTGGCTCCAACGGCTTGTCTATAGCAGTACCCTATAAAATACTTATTAGTGAGGAAAGGGGTGGTAAAGAGGTGGTTGAGGGTTAATAGGCATACCATTTGTCAGGAGGACGACGGTATTTTATCTCTCAGCAGCTACTGATATCCGCTTTCGAGGAGCTCACGGATGGCGTTGTTGTTGATGCTGTTCCTGTTGAGGGTTTGATGGAGGAAAAAGAAATTCCAAGCGGACGGCTGCCTGAAGAATTTGTTTGGGCTGCGTGCACGCTTCACTTTGGCCTCACTTTGGTAGCCGGTCACGGGTAGACCTTTTGAGCAGTGAATCAGCGTAGGCAGCCTTTTATTATTACTGACCACATCAAATGCTACCTACATGTATGTAATTGCTTGTAGCTTGCGAGTATCTCCGTTTCTTGATTGCAATTGTATATTCATATTATTAGCAGATAATCATCTACTCACGGCGTAGTTAAACGTACATATGTACAGAGTGCATTAATAAGGCAAAGCAGGGGGGAAAAGAAGCTGCAATGGATATAATTTGACATCAGATGTTTTATTTTGTATTATATACAAGCTACCCTCGATGAACCCACGGTGTAGACTCAAGAAGTCGTGCTCCATCAATGTAAATGGTCATGATATATACATGTGTGGTATGAACCTATTTACGTGGTATAACGGCCGACATCACCGCCTCCTGGTGACCAACTGCCAGTATATCCATTCTGGGTATTAATAAATGTTCCATCACCGAGACGCAGTGTGTTGACGGAATCCTTGGAGCATATTCCATATGCCTGAAGGTTGCTTGGGGTCTTAGCAATCCAATGCATGGTTTCTATAATTCATTGTTAATCACGTGCCAGATATATATTAGAGTTTAATTGTGTTTGTGACTTACGTTGACAGTTGAATTGAGAACAGCCCTGGTAGCCAGGGCCACTGAAGAAAGCCCATGAAGCAGAGGCATAGGTGTAGATGTTGGAACCTCCGTTGATGTAGTTTCCGAAACCCATGCGACAAATTTTATCGCCACCGTTGCACCAAGAGAAGTTAGGGTCTCCCCAGGTGTCAACATTTGCAACCCAAGGAGCAGGGGGAATCTGCTGAGTGTTGGAGCCCTGTTCATAGTTGGTCTCGGACTGAAGCAGAGACACAACCACGTTGTTGGCATTGTGCAAATTGAGTTGATACAACCACCAATGCTCACTTCCAAGGGCATATAACCAGGTTCCTTTATTTCCATTAGATTCAACGAGCACACCACCTTTTCCGGCGATCGAAGAGCCTCCACTGAAGCTCTCGGCGATGTGATCTGCAACCCAGTTCCAAACATTCTGAATATAGGCAGATGATCCTTTAGCAAGGTGAATACCGATGAAAGCACCCTTACATTCGTTTCCGGGGTTGCCACAGGCGTTGGTCAGGGCCGAAGCACCTCGGGTGCCACCAACGGTCACCAACGAGTTCCAAAGAGCAACATCGCCAGGGTTGTTGCCAGCCATGTTGAACTGCACGATTATGGCTCCGGCGAGGGCATCAGACACTGTAAAACGCATATCTTGGATCTGAGCAACTCCCACATCACCTGGACGACCAACTGAGACAACGGGTTGTGGGCTATTTTCGTTTTTGAAGAAGTTGCCATTACCGGTGATTGTGGCCCAAGCCTCACCGACGATACGTGATCCTTTAGGAATAAAAAGCGTAGAATCCACACGGTACTTGCCAAAGGGGAAATAGGCAACCTTGTTCTGGCTGGCAGCAAGTTCCAGAATGGCATTCAGGGTCCCAGATTCATCCAACGTATTATCGCCTTTGACGGTCCTCCCGCCGTTCTGCGCAGGGTCCTTCACGTTGAGGAAGCTCGAGATGGGCAGATCTCCATAGGTGGGGGGAGCAACATAGGGGTAGCGACCACCGGGAGCTAGACCACTAGGCCTCGTGTTACTGGACGTAACATCGCCGTAAGTAGGGTTTCTACCGACAGTATTTCCGTAAGAGTAAGTGTTAACATGGCTGGAAGCACCAACCAGGGTAGAGCCTCGGGCGACAACAACAGGGGTGCCATTGTCCTTGGTCAAGTTCTCAATCATGAACGAGGGCCATCCGGTGGTGGTAAAAGTAACACCAGAGTTAATTGACTTGGCATCAATCAGGGCAATCCATGGAGCACCGCCCGTGTTGGAAATTCCGGTGCCGCAGGTGTCGAATGTGGATGAAAAGATGCTGAAGGTGTTGCCGCCGCTGATGAGCATACCAACGGTGTTTTGATAGAAATAAATATTGTGGAAAGCAGCCTGCTGATGGCCGTCAATCCAAATACCGTTCTGACCACGTTCAATGCGAACATCAGCGAGACCGAGGGTGGAACCGCGGCCCATTCGGATACCAGTGTGGCCGTTGCCGTTCTGGGACGAAGCCATTGTGATCTTGACATTCTGCAGCTGAGCAGCTTGAGCAACACCCCACCACAGGGCAGTGAACTGGTTACCACCGGGAATGGCAGTAGTATCAAGAATAACGTTCTTGAGAGCAACGGCGAAAGAAAGCTCTCCCTTCTCGTTGGTGGTGGGATCTTGACCGCTGACAAGAGTCTGGTCACCAGAGAAGCCGGCAGCGGCCTTGATGATGGGAGGGTTTGTGGGGTCACCCATCAACACGGTATCGGTGTTGAATCTCAGAGTCTGAGAAATGGTATATGTTCCCGGAGGGATATAAACAACCTGGGCATCAAAGTTAGGCAACCACTCGTACTCGTATTTTCATCTGGGAAACATACACGTGGCTGTGATGCAAACCACTGTGGGTGACGAGAGCCACTTCCATCACTGGTAATAGCTCGCTGGAGAGCACCTCCATCTCCTGGGTTGACTGTCTGATAGACTTGGTAGTTGAAGTTGCCATCAAGGTCAGGAGCGTAACCCCGAGGAGCATTGACATGGTCCATGTTAGGGTAGTAGAAACTAGTCGCACGCTTCGTAATGCCCTCATCACTGGCAGGAGGACTAGGTGTTGGCGAAGCAGACGCCGCGCCCAGCAGGAGCGCAACAACCGCCGTGAGCTTCAACATGTTGCCGGTCGATAATCAACAGTTGCGGGATGAAGAAGGACGATCGTCAAGATAGCACCCAAAGTGGCGGGACAACTGCCTCTTTATATTGCAATCAATGCCTACAAATATATAACCCCTGCCAAATTCAAGTTCCTTTCGTCTTCACCCCTCATCGATTGTTTATGCAACCATCGTGGTCTCGTTGGAGTCTGCCGGTCAGCCCACAACTCCGCATCAGACTCGACCACCATTCGGCCCGGATCTAGCCCAAATGTCGGCGTCATTGTCCAAAGAGGCAGTACTTGATGTGGCGTGAATTACTCCGGAGGGCATGGTGGAATCTTGGAAGTATCAAGGGTCAAGGAAGCATTGATGTCTAATGTGACTGGGCGGCTGCGGGGTGGATTGCATTCACCCCACCAAAATACTGTTGAACATAGACGAGTGAACAATAAAAGGCAAGTCTAAAGCTGAGATTCTAGGCCATGTGGAGGAGCCCTGCGAAAGTCATGTTGTGATTGCCTACGAAACACCTTGGCAAGGGTCCAAGACTAGCAGCTGCTAAACTCCCCTCGTCGCCAAATATACTCATACGTTTCAAGGTCAAAATTCGCCCTGGAGAGATTAATAATCCCTGTAAAAGAGCAATCCCCTTGCATACTCTGAGCCGTATCAATCGATGCAACGATCCATTGAGGTAGGTAGATAACTAGTGAGTACTAGGACTCCCAATATAACGCGGTTGAATTGGTCGCCTACCTCACCTACTTATTTAGTTGCCTAATCATCTAACCTTATTGGCAAGCTTCTACACGAATTAGGTGACGGCACATGCACCTCGCCCCAGCAGACAGACCGCATGTCGTATTGCCGGAACACGAGTGATGATGACGAGCTGTGCTATAGCCATCAGCTGCTTCGCGAGCCATGGGCGGGGGAGTCCATACACCACAAATTCGAAAAGCCAAGAAGCAAACGCGGGCGATGTCTTCATTAATAAATGAGCATTGAGTGGCTTACACCATTCATTGGTGGGAAAAGGGCACGAAACCTGCCGCGTCGACACCTCGGTAAGTAAGAATAAGAATAAAGTTACCCATCCTTATGAAGTTGCACTCGATTCGGCCAGGATATTTAGCTAAGGTACATGGCCAGTCACTAATGCACCCCCGTGCCTTAGCACGGGCGCCTTTTGAGCCATCATGAGATCGTTTAGAACATAAACCTCAGAGGCCGGAGCTCTGCCAAGCAACGCCGACTCTCTAGCTGCGGTGGTGCCGGCCCTTTCCAGCGCAACTGCCTATCCGAGCTTGGCTGCGAATGGCGAGAGATGACATGGGTTGCAGTCAGAGACAAGTAACACTCTAAGCTTATTTCTGCCGGTTTTGGGTAGCGAATGTGTCTGGGGTTGGTTGCCGTCAGCGATCCTACGCAGCACTTAAGCTTGTTGCGACAAGTTTGAAGGTTAACAGGGAACTTTAAAATAAATCCAGCTACTTGTCTCCCACCATCGGTACTTGGTGTGCTCCATCAGCTCTTTATAATACAACGGAATGCTCCATAATCTTATACCGTAAGTTCAGTCACCCATATCCTGGTCGTATATACGCCACATCCACTCGGGAGCTGGTCAATTAACTCCGTCTGCTTAATTGGGTAGGTGTTTAACTCTTGGCTGTTCCTCACCAGACCGAATGGAATCATAAAAGTCGAGGGAAAGGTGCGTCCATTCCATTGTCTGTGTAGTGAGATTTCCTAGAGCGAGGAAGAAATCAATGCAGGTTACATGCAACAAACCAGTGCAGCTCTTTTCAAGTTCTGCTCGTATAAGCCATCAATGCCGGCTGTAAGCAAAGTCGGGAGAGTGGCGCAGCTCCCTCGTGTGGCGCTCTCCCCTATTGGCTGCCATCGATGAATTCACAGCAGCCGCCGGCCACTACGCATGGACCGGATAAGCCACTAAAAGTTGCTCAGCACATCACTTCCCCCAATGCCGCCCGTTCAGTGGATGCCCGCCCTGGATTCCGCACAGCCGGACTGCCGTCGGCTCACCTGACCACCCCATTGGTGCAGCAAATTTTCCAGGCTTATCGCATCGCCTTATCGGCTTCTTGGCTCCAAATATCGACTCAACTTTGAGACACCGCATCCGACGATATTTTGCTTCTCAAGTACACCAAGGCAAACAGTTTCGCCCAACCCAGGCTTCACTAATAACACTCAATCATCCCTGTCTGACTAATAGCCTCGGCTTCCTTCCCCGCTCTCCAACAATTTCATCCCACATCCATCACAATGGGCAACGTAAGGCATTTCCCGCTCTTCCACGGGCCCCTTCCGTTGCGTCATTCCGGCGGCTTCTGACTTGCATGATGAATGTTTAGGGCGCCAAAGCACAGCAGAAGCGTGAGCGCAACAATGAGAAGGGCGGAAAGGCTGCCAAGTCTCAGCTCAAAGTGGTGCGTTCTATACCTTGATGGCCACCTAACCTCGACTACGGCTGACCACCTGCATAGAACGCCCAGGCCATGGACATCCAGTGCCAGATCTGCAAGTCGACATTCCTAAAAACCACAAAGGCTCCTGCGTACGACATTCCTTCCTCACATAATATCTCCAGATTGGGCCATGGCTAACGAATCACGACCCGATCTAGACTTCTGGAACACGCCCAGAACAAGCACAGCAAGGGCATGCCCGAGTGTTTCCCGACTTTCGCCACCTCATAATCAAGAATGATTCATTCTGGCCGTATAGAAAAAAATGGGTGTTTGCTAGGCTGCTAGCAAGGCGAAGGGAGTTTGGTCTGGAAGCGGAGCATCATAGCGCGGGTATTGGTTCACACAAGCACAATAAGACATAGCATAGCACCGGCCAGTTCCGTGGCGTGGCGTTTCTTGTCATGATGGCTATTTTCCCCTTTATTTCTGTGTGTTTATTGGTCTGCGTATTCCTACATTGGTCGTTCCCTTTCCCACGCCCTACCATCAGGAGTCAAGAGACACATCGCATGAAAGAGGATTCAAGCCCACGGATCTTTAGTGCGCCTCCACGGCTGTGGGAGCCACTTCTGCGACTGATTTTGGCACATTACGGGCCTGCTGCCTCTGCGCAGTCTGTGCCTGCTCCTCGAGGATTGACTTTAGGATATCCGGATACCAGCGCTCTCCCACATCTTGATGGCTCTTGACCCTATTACGCAGAGTTGCCTCTCCCATTGTGGTAGCCACCGAGCCTTTGCGGAACGTAAACTCAACGTCATCGATGCGACCGCCGTTTCTCTCTACAATCTTTTGACGCTGCTCCTGAACATCCTCGGGGACTTTGCCGATTCCAACCGTCTCCAGCTCTTCGAATGTCGCATTCAACTTGACACCTTGGAAGAAAGGGATGCTAAACCGCGCACCTGTCCCTGCGGCGGGGGACAGGACACGATGTGTTGTTGAGACGCAGACGCCTTGGGTCAGCGCTTCCATACCCTGTCCAATGGCGACGACAAGTGTTCTGTCAATGGGAGGACAGTCGATCCATTTACCTTGGACATTCTGGACCTGCAAGCCTCGGTGGTTCGTAGCTTGAAGCAAGTAGCTGGTCAGCATGCTGTCCTTGTGCGGTCCTACGCCTTGTCCTTGCGTGCCCTCTGGAAGTCCCAGCTCAGCCAAATCCGGGTACTTGACAATCTTGAGCTTGTGTTGCGGATCCGCCTCAAAGTACTTTTCAAAGGCGTCCTTTGGTAGTTTAATCGCCTCGGCAATCAACGAGGTAAAGTAGATTGTGATTTCTCCCATTTGGCGCATGTACTCGGTATAAGTACTACGGAATCCTGGTGCGCTTTCTTCTGAGGGCCACTGATTGGGACCGAGCAAGTTGTAATACCGTGGCGCATCGGGACCGGGGAGTGCATGTTCGGTTGAGAGATCAATCTGTTCCCTGTGATCTATAGCTCCAGCTGTGATTTCCGCAGAGAGCTGAGAGTAGCCCAGAAATGAAGGCGCATTCTTCATTTCAATCTTTAGTCTATGTGATTTAGGTTGAGCTTTAGTAAGTCAACTGGACTAATTGATTGCCACGTGAGGATGAAACCTACTTTTCTTCTTGGGGAATGTCGAAGAAGCCTTTGCCCTGCTTGATGACTTCGTCCCATAAGTCTTGTGAAATGCCTACATTCTTTAGATACAAGAAGCCAACTTCCATCAGGGCATGGCGGAGCTGGTTGAGAAACTCGGGCTTGGTAGCCGGGTCTCTGGATAGATCCAGGTCAAGGATGGGGATGGAGGTGAATGACATGGTGAAATGAGGCCGAGTCCGTGCAAGAACCTGGTTGCCTATTACACAATCAGATATACTCGATATGAATTTGCTTCCAGAAGAAGAAGAGACAAACACTTATTTTTTGTCAGAGTACATATGAAGATACGGAGGTTCAAACGGAGGTTGATGTATCATTTGAGCCGAGTAAGCGCAAGCGCAAATGACGCCATAGGCCCTTTGTGCCAAATATCTGCCCATCACTCCACATCCCCGCACTCACAACCTGCTCAGGCAAATCGGATTGATAAATCGGCATACACGGAGTATTGAGGGTCTCTGTACTCCGATAGTAGTGTACTTTGACTACACAGATAAAATGAATGTGTTTGCATGTAGCTTTGGTTGATCTGTCCTTCTCCGTTACCGGTAGTAGAGATATGATGCCATATAAACTTCCCTTGTACTACCTATTACTAACCTTTTCTAGCGGTACTCCTACTAGAGAATATGCATAAATTAGTAGAGTAGCTACTAGAGTGTGTTCAATATCCTTGAGTGCGGATAGTTGATCTAAGATGCCATCTAGATGTCGGTAGATAGATCACTCTTGGCTTGGCTGCATGCATAGGTAAGGTTTATCTACATGCAGCTACCTCGAATAAAAGGGATGAAATTGGTAGTTGTTTTCTCTCTCAGACAATATGGGCAGTCTGTCCGAGTCGGGGCATAGTTCCAGAAAGCGACAGCAGTTGGTACAGGACAACGACAACGCAGACTCAGACGGAGGAGAGTCAGACAAAACATGGAATGAGTCGGAGAAATAAGAGAAACAAGGACACTAGCAAGCAGAATGGTCGTTTGTAAAATCGTAAAGACGTCAAGTCCGTTGGTTAGAAACGGTGAAGACTTTCCACTCCACCGCGATATACCGGTCCAACGGCTTTACGAGAACATAGACAGCTTGGCAAACATGCAACAGCTGAGGAAGTCGGAAGGCTTGTAAGTGTACTTTGGTGTGGCCACATTCTTGAGAAAGTTCATCTTCAGATCCCAGAAGAAAAGAGCCTCTCGAGAGAAAAGAAAGACTTGACTGCCGGCGCAGATGCGTTAGGAGGGAAAGTAGATGTTGAAAATAAACAAGAAAGCCTGTCAGTCCAAGTTGGATAAATGGCTGTTATATGCTCCGACAGAAACTGATATCAGAAGTGCATTTGAACACCCGCGGCCTGACGAGGACGTTTTTCAAGCTGGACGTAACTGGACGATGAATGGGTCTGTTATATTTCACCTTAAATGGGATACTTGATGCGTATTCTCCTACTTACAAGTATGTATGATGTCCATGCTGTGTGTCTTTTCGAGAAAAGGCATCAAGGAACATCGATCTCTGCAGACAGCAGCCAATTAAATACAAATTTAGTAGATGCGTACCAGAATTAAAAGATTTACGACGACAATTTACTGATGCTCAAAAAGGGCTTACCCGTGACTGGCTACCAGTCAATTGTGAAGCCAAAGTGAAGCCAAAGTGAAGCGTACATGCAACCCAAAAAGAATTCCTCAGGCACCCATCCTCTTGGAAACTCTTTGCCTCCATCAACATCACCAACAGCATCAACATCAACAACAGCAACAACAACGCCGTAAGTGAGCGCCTCGAGAGTATACGATTAGGAGATTGACAGATGAAATATAGATCTTCTGCGATTTTTTTATTTCATTTTCGAAATAAATCTTGTTGTGGTTCTTTTTTTTTTTTTTTTAATCGAAGAACATTCTGTTGTGTTTTTTTTTTTTTTAAACAAAATGGTATGTTCATAATCGTCTGTCCCTCTTTGCTCCATGCATACAAGCATTCTAACGTGTATTCCATAGAGTACCACCCTGGACAAGCTCCTGGAGGTGGTGTCCCTTCTGAAAGAGGAGAAGGAGAAGGCGGCGGCCGGTGGTGGTGTTGGCGGTGGTGGAGATGGGGGCGGCGGCCCAGGACGCGGTGGTATGTTCTCCTTTACTTACCAACACTCCCATATAGTTGATAACTAACATGATCATAGGCCACGGAGGTGGTGGTGGCTGTCGAGGAGGTGGGAACGGCGGCAGTAAGTTTCTCTTCTCCCATTACCCAAGCATCAATCTCTCAGTACCTAGGTACTAACTATTAAACAGGACGCCGCGGCAAGCGTGGTTGTAAGACTCTCACATACTCCATACGAACGATCGATCTCGAAGCTGACAGGGATGGGTAGCCAAGAAGAAGAAGAAGGAAGAAGAAAAGAAGAAGAGAGAAGAAGAGAAGAAGAGAGAAGGGGGAGAGGGCGGCGGCCGCAGTAGGTTCTGCACTCCTGACGTCTGATATATCACATGACTAATCGTACAATGTAGGCGTTGTTCGGGGGGGAGTAGTCAAACTCCCCGGCGTCCGAGGAGGACGAGGAGTGGGTGGGACTTTGTCCCAAAACCAGTTGAGGGGGCTGCTGGCCCTGGGCCTTGAGCCCGAAGAAGAAGGAGAAGAAGAAGAGGAAGAAGAAGGAGAAGAAGAAGAGGAAGAAGAAGAAGGAGAAGTAAAAGAAGAAGAAGAAGAAGAAGAAGAAGAAGAAGAAGACGACGACGACGAGGAAACGGGCCTCCCATGAAGTTTTTTTTTTTTCTATTTATATTAATTGAGAATTAAAGTGCTGCTCAGTTCTCCGTGTTCTCTCTCTGCGTCAAACACTTCGTTCCAAATTTACACCCAATATTGCTGCTCCAGCTCCCCAAACTTGTTCATTTCATGCCAACATAGACTCTGCTACCAAAGTGCTTCTTTGGAATTTTGAGATCATTCATGGTATGAGGGTGGGCAAGCGCCGTCAAAGACCCAATCACCTTCGAACTGAAGCGTAGGAAGTAGTTGCCCCGTTCCGGGCTGCTACGGATATGCGGACACTCACTGATCATGAGTTGGATAAGATTCCTATCGGAATACTTGAGAGAATTTAGAGTGTCCAATATTTTGCCATCCTCCCACCTTCCTTTCTCCTCGTAGACGTTATTTCGTTAGTTTCGGTGATTTCTTCCAGAAATTGTTGGCAACTTGTTTCTAGATAGGGTCGATAGAGTAGATAGAGTAGATAGAGTAGATAGAGTAGATAGAGTAGATAGAGTAGATAGAGTAGATAGAGTAGATAGAGTAGATAGAGTAGATAGAGTAGATAGAGTAGATAGAGTAGATAGAGTAGATAGAGTAACTTGCAAAGTTACCTATGAAAACACCACAACACTCTACGTAACTCGCTCAAGTAGTGGCAATATTACCTGGCAAGTTTCAGTCAGTAGTATTCTATGTACTTATAATCCCACTTGCAATAAAGGCTACTTGAAAGATGTAAATCTGTACAGAGGTCAAGACCAGTTTTGCGAAAGGTGGCAGATATTCTTTTCAGACTCGATCCTTTTTATTCTTGCTTGTTCACGGCATTTGTATTGCTTTGACTATACGTGAGTTGTCATACGAACAACACAGCTATCTCTTGCTATCCTCACCTTCAGAAAATTACATCTCGCCACACTGGGCGATGGTGACATCCATATTGGGCACATCCTTTCCTCGGTAGCCAGTTTTTGTAGCCTCCATTTTTTTCACCACTTCCATGCCGTCAACAACCTTCCCGAATACCACATGTTTGCCGTCTAAGAAAGGGGTGGGGACTGTGGTGATGAAGAACTGAGAACCGTTGGTGTTGGGCCCGGCATTCTATAAACATCATGCAGGTTTAGCCATCGATAGATCACAAGAAGAGGTGGTAATGTAGGATTCTTGGACATACCGCCATTGACAGCAGACCAGGCTGGTCGTGCTTCAGGTTGAAGTTCTCGTCATCAAATGCCTTGTAGCCCCAAATGCAGGTAGACCCTGTTCCATCGCCCTTTAAGAAATCTCCACCCTGGCACATGAAGTTGGGAATCTAAAGACACTGTTAAGCTTTGAGTCACCAAGCTTGGCTTGCAGAGAGAAAGACTTACAATTCTGTGGAATTTTGACCCCTTGTATCCTTGCGGACGGCCTCCAGCGTCCTTGGATTCCCCGGTGCAAAACTGCCGAAAGTTTTCTGCAGTTTTTGGAACTACATCCTTGAAAAGCTCAAATGTGATGCGGCCAAGAGGTTCGCCTGGGTGAAGCATAGTGTCAGCAGCGAGATCTATGTAATATGATGATATATGAGATTGACGCTTCTTGAGGTAGTTGCGATGCGATATGCGAGATTGTGGTATGTGAGGAATGAAACGTTGAGCCCTTTCGTTTGATGTAGCAAACAGCAGTGCTTGACGCTTAAACGGACACTATCGCCAGCATCTTCCCCGACAGCATTTCAACTAACCTCCCAGCGTTATGTCAAAGAAGACCCTGATCAAATCTCAGTTAGTATTATGTATTACAACGCGATAATTGACTAATGCACAGGCATCATTTGGGCAATAGGTGCAGAGAAATGAGACGTTGAAAGAACGTACAGCGGATTGCCCGACTCTGGCAGCTGAGTGGGCGGCATGATGAACAAGGCGCTGAAATGAGAGTTGACTTAGTATTGAGTTTATTAGAGTTCAATGGCGACAACGATTCTTCGATCTGGATGTTTTCTTCTTGTTGTGAAGATGTGATTGAGCTTCGCGTTCCGTGATTGATTTGAGTGAAAGAAGGAATCTCATATCTGACGTGGCGCACTGTGACGAAAGCGGTGACTAAGCCACTTCTACCAGAGTAGAACACGGGCAAACTGTGATGTATGGAATATGATCTACACATCTAGATCATCAAAGTTGCTGCGCAACATAAAATAAATGTAACCTGAGAGAAAGAGGTTGAAATTATCTCAATGATATCTTAATTTACATTTTTTCTATCTGTCGATAGCGGGATGTCCGTACCAAATCGACTCAAATACCCGCACTGTACGGGGTACATATGTCTGTGATGTCTTCTTCGCTACCTAGGTATGAAACTCCTCTAAATTTCAGGAATAACAGCCTCCTCTGCGGAAACTCCCGCCTTCCATCTAAACGTTGATGCAACGTGCTCATCCAATGGCCCAGTCTGGCCACCCTTGCGATAAAAGTTCTCGCGGTAAGTGCCTTCTGGGACGGCGTAATCATCCCAGAAGAGACCGCGCTTCTTGAGCTCTGGGAGTAGAAGCTCGATGATGTCCTTGAATGATTGAGGGAAGAGGGCATAGGCCTGCGAAACACGAGTTAGTAAGCTGTATCCCCACCGAATATATATAAACGATGAATGAATATGATAAAGGATGTACTGACAAAGTTGAAGCCATCAATGTCGGCCTCTTGAACCCAAGTCTCAAGACCATCGGCGACCTGCTCAGGTGTTCCTACTAATACGGGACCGTTGCCGCCTATGCTGACATGCTCGGCAATGGTGTGCTTGGTCCATTTGGCAGTGCCTGGAGAAAACCTGGCGTAGCCTTGAACGGTAGACCTGTTTTGGAATCTTAGCATCATGGCCGGTCACTGCAGAAGAGGAGCACTCACTTCACGGCGTTGCTCTCAACCTCTCGCAACTCTTCCTCGTCACCATATTGGCTGAGGTCAATACCAGTCCAGCCACCGAAGAGAGCAAGAGCTCCTTCGAGTGAGGCGTATTGCTTATAATCTGCCAACTTAGCCTGAGCTTCCTCCTCGGTCCTGCCAAGGACAGGACAAACAAGAGCAAGGACCTTGATGTTGCTGGGGTCACGGCCGAACTGTGTCTTAGCGAGTTCTCTAATCTCCGCGATACTTTTGGCGCACACTTGCGGGGCGTGTGCAGAGACGAAAATGGCTTCGGCGTGCTGCGCAGCAAATATCTTACCAGCCTTGGATGTACCGGCCTGTAGGAGCAGGGGGGTTCTCTGGGGGCTGGGCGAGCAGATATGAGGGCCAGGGACCGTGAAGAACTTGCCATTGTGGTTGATCTTACGGACGCGGTCGGGATGAGTGTAAATACCCGATGAACGATCGAGTTGAACAGCATCATCTCGCCACGAAGATTCAAAAAGCTTATACATCACCTTGATGTATTCCTCAGCTTGAGCATATCGATCGTCATGCTACGAATGAGTCAGCACATCGCGAAATTGCAGCCCTGCATTAGCTATTGCAATATTACTGACCTGGGGCTGTTGAGCTAGGCCCATGTTCTTGGCTGCAGAGTCCAGGTAGCTGGTGACGATCTACATCTACCGTCAGCATACGCTCGGTCCTTGTTGGCTGCATTGCATAAGTAGATCTCCCCGACTTACGTTCCATCCGATCCTATCAAGGCTGTCAGCTATACATCCAACATCATAAGGTCACAAGCTAGTCTCACCGTCCCTTGCTAAGATGATCGAGAGTGGAAAGTCTCCGAGCCAGATGGTAGGGCTGTTCATACGTCGTAGAGACGGTGACTCCGAAACCGATACTCTTGGTCACTGCAGCCATAGCAGAGATGACAGCCAGGGGCTCATGTACAGGCCATTGTGCACCGGAGACGACGGCCGGATCCAATGAGCCGGAATAGACATCATAGCCACCTGCATACCAATATCAGGTTAGAATGTGTCTGGATGATCCCAGTCTCATGCCTGAGATTGGAAATCGTCTATAGCCGGGTTACCTTACCCAGAACATCGGCAATGAAGATGCCATGGAACTTGGCCTCTTCGAGAAGCTTAGCCAACTCAGTCCAGTGCTCTATCTCATTGAAGCGCGAAGACTGGTCATCGGGATGGCGCCAGAGTCCAGGAGACTGGTGGCCACTGCCTGCAGCCCACCAATTTCGGCAGTCAGTACCATTTCTTTTTCCTCTCCAAAGTTAGCAAGGGTATTATTGGACGCACACATCTCTACAAAGGCATTGAGCACTAAGCTCTTTTTCCCGGTTTGCGAACCCATGGCTGCCCAAATGATGTATGTCCTCAAGACGATGATGTGCTTGTTTGCTATTCGAGAGGAGACACTTCCTGAAGCAGCTCGCACGTATGTAATCTCATACTGCTTTGCTGATACAGCCGATACGGCACATATATTCTACATAGCTGTCCGGAGCACATGTCCGATTTTCGGTGCTTTCCGTGCCGCCGTCATGGTTGTACAAGACTCAACAGCTTTGCTACGATGATGCAATTCAAGTGATGCAATCACGCAAGACAGCACCTCCACATCAGACGGTAGTCTCAAATCACTGCCATTCTGGGTAAAAACGGCAGATTCAGTCGGATGCGTCATATCAGACCTGAGGTCCTGAAATAGCTTCCCCCAGATTACCCTTTCTGGCGATGCGAGAGACAAGCTCCGTGTTGCTGAAATCACGTCAGCGCGGGTGGGGATACCGCCATAGACAATCAATCTTCAAAACAGCCACGATTCTGAGAGATGCACGCTAAAGTTACCCACTGGCCTGCAGATATAAAAATTATTTAAGTTTGATTAGACGATATCCGACATGGCGGAGTGCGTATATTTTGCTGGAACGGGATATGGTACGGATACGGAGGTCATATTAGCGGCGGCCGAGACAGCTTTCACATGCGGCCTTTGATAGTTCATGTAGCCTTGACCAATCCCGAAGCATTCAACCCGCCGGTATTTCCATGAGCTAGAGAAATTTCTGTTATTTCCAGATTAAAGTTGGGCGGTCTAATTCTCTCCTCAGCGTGCTGGGAATGGGACGATCCAGTTGGCTGGGGGCGCGGTTGCTCATGCAGATGAGGTTGTAAGACGTAACGGACATCTACAGCTACTCTATCCATATGAAGAGACTTCCTAATATGGCAAGATTTTTAGAAAGACAATTTGTCAATATGGCATCATAACTCCTCTGTTCTTCCTACATCGGCGCTTGGCTTTATCACGTCTTTGCGTATGACAGAGATTAACATACACTTGATCTAATAGACAGACTTGATCTCCATAGAGAAATTTGATCTACTTAGAGAAACTCGGTCTACCTAGAGAAACTTGAGTTGCTCAGAAAAATTGTTTATTATTTGCTTTCCCCCATCGCGGCTCTATATGGATGTAGCCTTCTTTTCTCAAACTTTTTTTGCATATTTCATCTAAGGTGCTTTTGTCGAAGCAAAAGTCTCCTCAGCCAAGGCCGCAGGAGATTCATTTGATCCGCCTGACTCTTGATCCCACTGCCCATCATCGTTGCCAAAGCGTCTTATCACTAACCAAGCAGGGACGATGGCAATGGCCCAAAGAGCAAAATTCATGTAGATTCCACCAACTTGGGCAAAAACCGTCAGAGAAGTCAATCCATAGCTGACTGCTTGCCAAGCGGATTCCGTGCCACGTAGCAGAGCAGCATATCGAATAACGTCGCCTTGGTTCTTGGCTATTTGGGCTACGACAAAGTAGCTAAAAAGATGTCAGTCATGTGTTGACGAAGAGTTGATCAAGGGCTCTAAACTCACAGGAAGAGGTAGTTGATCTGAAACCCAAAAGTGAGGAAGATGTAGACTCCGAAACCAGATCCAAATTCAACATCTGTCCAGTCATATGTGGGAAGAGTTTTTCGATATCTTGTTGCAAGGACTGTGGCCCAAAGCCACCATGCGCCTTGAGTTACGACGATGAACCAGAACGTATATCTTGCGCGCACCTTCAATGATGCCTTGTTATAGTCGAGCCACCACTGCGGTGAAACATGTCAGTCGGGGTTTAACACAATTTTAGTTTCACTTATTTGACGTACGCCAGTGAGATTGCCAATAATGATTGCAACGATACCACCCAAAAATGAACCGAGAGCTCGGGCGCGCACGGAAAACCACACTAAAATAATGCGGTCAGTCAGAGCATAAGCGAGATACGAAATCGATGGATGTCCTTACAGGCGAGGTAAGTGAAGTAAACGGCCTCCGAAAACACTGCCTGTCCAATCCAAAGGACGATCAAGAGAAACTGTGGGTTCACAAAGGCCTTTGCAGTTGCCTTGATCTCATACCAGGGGCTTTCCACGATGGACAGCTGGACTTTCTTGCCATCCTGACGCTGTACGTACTCAGGCTTACTTAACAACAGAGCAACTAGAGCACCAGCTGCCTGGATTGCGATAAAGACGAGGTAGACGGCGTAAGACACCTTTCCAGCTTCGTTTCTGTCACTGTTCAAGCCTAGATTGACGGCACCACCGATGATCTGGCCCATAACACGGAAGGTCAACCAAAAGCCTAGAGCCTTTCCGCGGTTCCATGGTTCTGGATAAGCAATGGCAATAGCTGCTTCCACTGCCCAAAATACTCCAGCTGATATTCCACAGAGCGCTGCGCCCAGGATTACCAGCCAAGTGATGCCAAATCTGTTGTTGGTGTACAGGCCAGCTGCATAGGGAGCATATCCCATTCTGGCAAATATTTAGCTTAGTTTACAAGCAACAAGCTCAAATTAGAGCCACAGGTACCTAGATACATGTTAAGACATTAAAACTTACGTTCCAAACACCAAGGCCCCCTTGACTCCAATATAGCGAACCAAGACACTCGAGAAGTAGCATGAAACAACCATTAAGCAAAACGTGAGGGCATTAGCTGCATTGATAGTCTGCGGTGACTGGCTTCCACCTGCTCCAAGTGAATTCATGGCTCCCCATATCCCCGGAGCCGCGAGGTTACAACAACCAAGCAATAATATGGCGAACATCGAACTTCGATACCATTTCACTGGATGCCGTTGCTCCTTAGGCAACGGCGTTGTATCAGAGGTAAAGACATCTTCTTCTTTAGTCGACATAATTGCTGACTTTAAAAGAAACAAGAAGAGAAATTGGGGTATCAAGACAGAGTAAAAAAACGTAGCACAAGCCGGTGAGAAGAGACACTTCAACCCTAGGCTTCCATCTTAATATCAATCATTCCTTCACCTACAAATCTTTTCATTTTATCAGTATTACTTGATTTCCAAATCTCTTCGTCCCATCTGCTGACTGGTTGCGACATCGGTTCTGCTACTACCAACGGACTGGACCCTTAGTCGCGGCTTGCGAAACGTATGCTTGCCAGCACGTCATCGCGGAGGGGCATCAGATAACAACTACATTGCTATCCAGCCAAGATCTACGACAAACGATGGCGCACATAGATGGATTCAGCCTGTAAAGCATTACGCTATTGCTAATCTGAGAAGGGGATCTATCATTGATCTAAGCATCTCGATGGGTCATTCCCGAGATAGGCGCTGAGAGCCACCCCAAAGTAAGCGTCGGCTAAAAGCTACAAAGAATCTAGACTTTGAATTTTTTTATAGAATTTTATTAAAAACTTTGAAATGACTCTAATATCCCAATTTGAGGTCCATAGGCTACGGTATAACCCACCAATTCTCGTGAACACTTCGCAAATCAGGCTCTCCGGCAGTCAGGTACGGCGTGATATCCGACTTTGGATCGGCCTCGACCCGAGTACTTCCATTTCCGAAATACCAAGCAAACCGGTTGCCTGTGTCGGAGAGATACTCGTACTCCCAGTCCTCCCACCGCGGATCTTTTTGGACTACGGTCAAGTGCGTTGCGCTACCGGGCCACAGACCGTGGATTCGGCCTCCTGGGATGCCGCCATTGTACCACGAGCTGCAGTTCTCAGATAGTACGGTGGTCTCGAAGAAGGCGTCATTGTACGCTACAAAGTCATCGGTGGCCTTTCTGGACGGGGTGATGGTCTTGATGCCCTCGCGACTGACCTTGCGCAGGATCTTTGCAAAAAAGGTAATTTGATTCTCCACGTTGTGAGGCACTGTGCCTGATCTCCCTGTAGCGCTGGGCCCGTGAATGAAGAGGAGGTTCGGGAAGCCTGGCGAAGCGACTCCCATGTAAGCGTATGGGAAACCGTATGTGCCTGAATGGCTCCAGTCGTAGCTCAAATCAGACCCTCCTGAGCGGATGGGGAATGGAGGCGCCATGTCAGAGTTGGCTCCTGTAGCACAGAAGATGGCATCAACATCTCGAGTCTGTCCGTCTACAGTCTCAATGCCCGTCTCGGTGAATCTCTTAATATGTGTCTGGATGTACTCGACGTTGGGTTGTGAGAGAGCCTCAAAGTACCCCGGTCCCGGTGTAAGTCGACGGCAATAAGGAGAGAAGTCGGGAATGATCCTTTCAAACAACTCTGGCTTGTCCGCCAGCCGCATCTGGGCAAGGTATGTAAAAGCCTCCCTTGCTTGATCATTGATCTCAGAGCCCTTAAACCAGCCCTGGAAACCTCTAAAGTAGGTCTTCTCCATCTCTTTACGGTACTTGAGGTACGTCTCCGGATCCTTAAACGACTCACGGAGCTCCTTGGGGATGACTTTGGGCTCAATGGACGTCTCATGTCCAGCAAAAGAGGCTGTCACCCATGTGTTGTTCCTGGCGTAGTGATCCAGCTGCTTGACTCGCTTCTGAATATTGGCAACGAGCTGGAGGCCGCTGGCTCCATTGCCGATGACGGCGACTTTCTTGCCCGTGAGATCGAACGTCGGATCCCAATTGGAAGTGTGTCTCAAGAGACCTTTGAAGTCGTTGATTCCAGGATAATCAGGAAGTTTCCAAGCATTGAATCTTCCAATAGCCGTGAGGACAAAGTCCGCCTTATCGACTCGTGACGTCTCTGACTTCAGATCGTGGACTTTGATGAGCCACTGAGATGTGGCCGGGTCCCAGTCCAGCGCGTCAACCCTCTGAGAGAGCTTCAAGAATTTGTACAAGTCATACTTGCGCGACAATCCTTTCCAGTACTCGAGAATCTCAGGGCCTTGTGCGAGCTCTTCAGTCCACTGTGTGTTTGGCTCAAATGTCGATTGGTAGACATGAGCAGGCACATCACAGCGGACTCCCGGATAAATATTCTCAAACCAGGTTCCTCCCTTTGCAAGAAGTCATTAGCTTTTTTGCTGACTCAAAAAATCGGCGTTGATTACTTACAACATCTGCATTCTTCTCGTATATGGTGAGTTTAATCCCCGGGACTTTTCGGGGTAGCAATATGCCGGCCAGAACCCCGGCCAACCCAGCTCCGATGACTGCTACATTCAACTCCCTGGGCTCATCAATGAAGCGATTGAGAATTTGAATTTTAGGCACTTCATACGGCTTGGGAATAGCAGCTGAGATCGGGAATGTCCAGCTAGCACCTGCGCCAGGCTTTGGGGAACCCCGCGCAGTGGCTGGGGGAGTTGGCAGATCAACAGTAGCCATACCGAACCAAGCTTCCTGTCTTCTTCTTTCTGCTTTTTCTTTATAATGCCTTCTTGTAAACTTTGAAATTAGGCGTTTAAGAAGATAATAATCCGATCGAGGCGAAGGGGTGGTTCAGCTGAAAGTTGGACGCGGGCGCTGACTGCTGGTGCTATCTCCTAGCTTGCGTGTAAGTCAAGCATCAAGGGACGAAAGCAAGAGATCTAGCAGCTAATTAACTATGCATGGCGCTCGCTCCATCATCGCAAACGCCCCCATTTACACCCATTTTCCCATCCATTTTGTGCGTTGGCAATCCCAATAGCCGACGTTGTAACCTGCAGTCATGTGGACTCCCAAACGCCGCCAGGCCATGAGCAAGGTTGGCGAGCAATCACGCAATCCTCGCGAAACAGGCCCCTCGCCCAAGTGTCACCTGCAGCTTGGTAACCGCCTGTGCTCCGAAAGCGGCTTTATCGGGACTGCCATCGTCACTCGTAGTACTAATCCCAATTACTTATGCATCTTGTTAACCAAATCTGGAGCGACTGGGTTAGAAGAGATGCAGCCGCGGAGGCGCGGAGGCGTGGTGGATGCATGAAATCGCCGCCGATTCTACAGTACATGACCGGTTTGATAAGCAACATTTTTCCTTTTTCTCCTCTTTCTTCTTTCTTTATTAATCATCTTTGGTGTTGCATCGTGTTATTTGCATCTCCAAACTCATCATGGCGGGAGACTTGGTAAAAGCACAGACTGTCTTGCTTCTTCACGGACCACGACAAGCTTATCAGATAGCCAACGACTATGAGATTCCTCGGTTGATTGAGGATGACGAAACATTAATCAGGACACACACGATAGGGTTGAACCCGATAGACTGGAAATCGCCGTATGAAATATCCACTTGATTTACTTGCGCAGGTAGCGCAAGGTGGAAGGGGGTTATCACTAACAGATGTGATGGTATTATAGAGACTTTAACTTTGGCATCGCAACACTGCCTTATATCGCTGGTCGGGAGCTCGCTGGACGAATCACAACTACTCCTCGTAGGAACTCTCGTCTAAAAGAAGGCGACCGAGTATGATATCCCCAAGCCAAAAGTAAAGACTAGCAAGTCGAAAGAAGCGCACTCTAACAGACCATCTGCACAGGTATTAGCCATCTCAACCGACTACCGCGACCTCCGGAAAGCTGCTTACCAAGAATACGTCGTCTCATCAGATTTCAATGTTGCAAGGATACCTCCGTCCATCTCGTTTCAGCAGGCTGCTGGTTTGGGTGTCGCCTTTTCCGCTGCTGCGATTACACTAGGAATATGCATGGGAGTTGACTTTTCCTCTATACTCGACGGCCCAGACCTGATTCAGCTCATGCGCTCTGTTCCCCCAGAGAGCATACCAGAGGATGTAAGAGCGGAGTGCCTACATGGCATCCCTGATGATGAGAGGGCGGTTCCAGGAGACTGGGTGACTATCTGGGGAGGTATGTGACGACAGCAGCCGCTTCAGCTCCTTCTAGTTGACTCTTTTTTCAGGATCATCCACATCAGCCAACATTACCGTCCAGCTCGCACGCCTAGCTGGCATCAAAGTCATCACCATCGTCGACACCGCCAAACACGGCCTCCGCATCTCCGGGTGCTCTGCACAGAGACCCGACCTCCTCATCGACAGCCACGACACCAACCGGGCCGTCGACATTATCAACTCAAGCGTCGGCAGCCAGCTTCGCTTTGCGCTCGACACGCGCGGACGAGAATCAGCCACAATCCTGCTCGACGCTCTCACCCGCCAGAAGAAGCTCGCCGATGCGCCGCCGTCGCCTCCGGACACGCCTCGAGAGTCCAAGCGGCAGACGTCGCATCTCGTGGGGCTGACAGGGCTGCCGAAAGAGGCTGCTCCGGAGGGAATTGCCTATCACACCGTCCCGATCAAGATCTTTCATTCACTTCCTTCAGTTGGTGAAGCGCTCGTTCTGTGGCTGGAACGGTTGTTAGAGCAGGGCCTGATCCAGCCGCCTCCCATAATAGGCATAGAGAGTGGCTTCGATGGCGTCAACAAAGGTCTAGATAGGATGAGGGCGGGTGAAATCAGCGGAGGAAGATTAGTCGTTGATTTATTACCTTAGTTGAAAATACAATCGAATTAAAATAGAGGTTATGGTTAATATACATAAAATGGAGAGGCTACATATAGCAGCCTTTTTGGTATAGAATAAAAAGATTTGATCATTGTCCCTGCCTTCACTTTCTCAGTCTCTTTGATCGTCTTAAAGATGCGTTATCCTCCGCTGTATCCTTCTTCACAGTTTTCTCCTCCGCCTTCTTCTCCTTCTCCTCACTGACTTCACTGGAAGTCGCCTTTCTCTTTTTCGCCGATGACGAGTTGGCCTTGGCTGGCGCTTTCGTCTTTGCCGAAGTATCTGCTTTTGAATCCTTGGCCGTCTCGGGTTGCTTCATCAAAACATACGCCACCTTTTCAATCTCCATCGCCGACACGCCGAGTCTCTTCATCAAAGTATCCGCTTCAGTGCGCAATGCCAAGTACTCTTTGGGGTTATACTTGATAGGGGCCTTCTTTCCCTCGCAGCATAGCCAGTAAAAGGCCTCGTCGGAGAAGAAGATGACGTTCTCGGGATCGTGGACTGAGAGGAGGAGCGACGCTGTGGCGGGGCCGATGCCCTTGAGCTCGGAGAGGATTCTGAGAGCGCTGCCGGCGTCTTTTGAAGACTTGTAGAATTTGATGGCGAACTGGATTGTTTCAGAGGCTGAAGAGGGGTTGGATGAGACGAGAGACATGAGCGTTGGGCGAAATTTGCCGTGCCGTCTATGACAAGGGGTTGTGTATTTTAGTTTTTGTACACATATATGGTAATTGGTGAGGTGGGATATAAAGTGAGAAGCGTATCATCTCATGTGAGTGAAGATGCACGTGTGTACGAGTCTCCCACCGAGCGTGAATACACATCGTGGTTGAGGACAGATGATACCATAAGGCAACTTACAACTTCCATTCTACCAGCATCTTGACATCATCAAGGTTCATCTCGCGTGTAGGCTTCTTCAGATTGAACAGCTCCACAGCTTCTACGTAGCGGTATTGGTCCAGCTCAGTGAGAGTCTTTTGTCCATTTTTGGCTGTTGTGCACGTATGTGATTATTGCTCCGATTAGCTCAACGAAACACTTCCATTCAACACCAAACGAGTACATAGAACGCGTCTATGTGCTTGATCAAACAGGACTAATGTCTCAAGAAATGATTTCCACATACCGCCTTTTGTCTGGGATATTGTTTGCACAACGGTTGGATATTGACTTAGATAAGACGCGAACTGCTCCTCTGTGATTTCGTTGTGGGGTGGTACGTTTGAAGAAGTCATTTTTGTGTCAGTGATACCTCCGAGCGCGTTGAAAATGGATTTCTGGAGAGTATGTATTAGGTAATATCTTGAAGATGGAGAGCGAGGCTTGTGTTTCGGTGTGCGAGAATCTAGGCGAGACGCGAGGTTGAAGCATTTCGAGCTTTGGTCGTGCTTCTGTGTTAGAAAAGGGATTAAACTAGGTGCTTTTAGCATCCGCTACAGATCGGCAATCACCCTAATAGGAAAATAGCGGGGAAAATTCTGAAGAGTTGACAAAATTAAACAGTGATCACAACTAACTTCTAACACGGATGCTCATGAGAGGTAAATGAATAGAACACTCCAACGAAAGAAAAAGCAATGATTATACTATACAAGAGCAACCCTCCTTTTTACGTATGAATATGATTCTCTCCGTCTAAAATTAGCATCACTCCACGTATGATACTCACTCAGCCCATCGCCATCCTGTCACCTTATTTTTGTCAACTCCCAAGCAAACGATTGGATCTTAAATCGACACATGCTAAGTACCCACGTACATCCTGAGGTGTTTTGTCCTTCAACGGTAAAGCTACAAAGTACATTCATAGATTCTCTCCGGAGACTTATTAGTAAACAACGACAACGCTCGGCTCGCGAGTAGCTTAAGCACGAAAAGGGACATACGGGCTCTATATCCGATGAGCCTTGGCGCAGAAGCTTCGCTGCCTCATGCTGCGATACTGGAATTTGCAGCCTCGTGCATTCTTAACTCCGGAGGCCGAACCCTTCGCTATGGAGGAAAGGGTTCAACAATGACGATGCAGGATATGGCAATTGTGTATATATAAAGGATAAGAGAAAGACTTTGGATGAAATAGATAGATCCAAAATCAGAATAAGCAATCTTCCACTCTAAACACAATCGAACAAACATGTCCGCAAGCGTTGTCCTAGTCACTGGTGCGTCAGCACTCTACTTAGCCCATCTCCATCCAACAAACTAACTGATAATCTAAAAGGCGCCAATCGTGGCATCGGCTACGAAATCGTCAAAGCCCTCGTCGAATCCCCCCTCCCGTACCACGTCTTCCTCGGCTCCCGCGATGTCAACAAAGGCAAAACTGCCGCGGCCTCGCTGCACCCGCGCAGCGGCAGCTCCATCTCCGTCGTCCAATTAGATGTCTCTTCATCCGAGTCCATCGCCAATGCCGCCGCCACAGTAAAGGCAGAGGCCGGTCGCTTGGATGTCCTCGTCAACAACGCCGGCATCGTCGACGATAGCCCCGATTCGCTCACCCGGCTTCGGAATACCCTCGAGATCAACACCATTGCACCCTTTGCCGTCACCACAGCCTTCAAGCCCCTTTTGACAGTCCAACCAGAAGACGGAGTCAAGGGGAAACGCCTTATCTATGTATCAAGTGGCTTGGGCTCCATTGGCCAAAGAGTGGATTCAAAAAGCCGTTATTACTCCGTTCCTGCTGTCGAGTACCGCATGAGCAAGACTGCTCTCAACATGCTGGCCGCTTGTGACGCTTTCGACTTGAAGGATCACGGCGTCAAAGTTTTTGCCTTTGACCCGGAATTTGTGGCTACGGAGCTGACGCACTCGCCCGAGGAACGTCGCAAACTAGGGGCTCTTGAGCCGAGTGTAAGTGGCGAGAGTTGTCGAGATATCATCGAGGGGAAGCGAGATGCCGATACTAGCAAGTTTGTTAGCATCAACGGCACAGATTTGCTATGGTAAGGTAGAAGCAAGTAGAACCATGCATTTCGTTAGCAGCAAATAAAAAGACACCACTCAGCACCATCTTGTACACCAAATGTAAAAAGCAGTCCGAAATAAAAGCTGTAAATTTGGATCGAGTAATATACAGAGTTAGTCATGAGACCCAAAACCAGATAACCACACACATCCTAAGCCATACCAAGTCCTCCTATGCCCTTCAGCCGAATCAGCTTGCATCTTCCTTGGTTTTCAGCTGCAACGTAATAAATAACGTCCCATAAATGTAAGATCTGTTGCATTGGCTGGAATGATGCCATCTCACGCACTCCTTTGTAGTCTTGACCCCCTTCTTCATCATAGGAATGTTTAATCCCGGACCACAAAACACCAAGCTTTTGCAAAGCGCATGATGACATGGCTTATCTGCTCTTTCGGCTTTCGCCATCAACCTGGGTGGCAGCGTACTTGTCGCTGAGCTCATTGTAGGCCTTGTTGAGCTGCTCGGCTTGCTTCTTGAGGTTCTGGAGATCTTGGTCCTTCTTCTCGAGCTTCTCCTTGAGAGCAGCAATCTCGCCAGGCTTGCCAGCGACAGCCAACTTCTCGCTCTCCTTGGTGTTCTTGCTGGTGCCCTCGTAGGCCTTGAGCTTGTCTTCCAGGCGCATGACTTCAAGGATCATGACGTAGGTGCGGTTGAGGATCAAGGATAGGAACAGGGTGAAGCCGCAGAGGTACATGTTGCGCTGAGAGTAAAACTTGCGGGCCTGGACTTCGAGACGCTCGGATCCCATGACAGCGGCGGCGCTATTGACGTAGCGGTTAGAAATTGTCGAAGCCAATGAGTATTATTTCCCAGTTGCCAAAGAACACTTACTTTCCCTTAAGGCCCTGCTCGTGCGCAGCCATAACCTCGAGCTGCACTCTGTAGACTCGGTTGAGGCTGTCGACGAAGAGGATAAGAATGAAGACAAAGGTGATTTTCATCCAGTACTGGAGTTTGGCGATCAATGGGCTTTCGGAAATAAAGCTATCATAGATCTTGTCAGCGCACAGCCCAAATCACATCGGGTTCTATTGGGTAGCGTACGTAAAGATCCTTCGCTTGATGTTGAATGGGAGCGGCACGAGCAACAGCATAAACATGCCCATCTCGGCCATTAGAAGACCAAACACCTTGTAGCCCGTTAGCCCAGTCAAAGCGCATTTGTCTCCTCATCTAGCTTTGCAAACGTACAAGAGTGTAGTAGAGCGTCATCGTGGTGTCGGGGCAATGGCCTCCAGCTGCGAGCTCTGTTTTTTCGTCGGCGGGGGTAGCGGAAGCTCAGGAGCGATAATAGAGCTTCGGTAGACGAGAGTAGAAGACAAACCAATGTTTGGCTCAGAGAAATCCGTCGCGTCTGTGGAATCAAGCAACCGCTTTTGTAGGTGGGAGGAAGGAAGAGGAAGATGGAAGAAAAAAATCGAATTCCAGGTGAAGTGTCAGTTTGTCCTGTGGGTTCAGGTATCCAGGTACCTCCAGCTGTGCAGCTCCGTTGCGTCGAATCACCCACGTCATCGTGTTCCATTTGTGGCTGGGAACCGCCCCGCCCCCGCTACAGAGATGTGGCTTGATAAACAGCAGCCCAAATACCTGCCTCTGCCCCTACGGAGTACTAACAGCGAGCTATCTTGAACGGTTTTCAGCATGGTCATCTAATTGGCCAAATATGTCTGCTTAATCTTCAATACATCTCCCCAGACTTTGTGCGTGAAAAATAGGCAAGACAGAGAGCAATATTCGGCATACGTAGGCGCCTGCAGTTGCCCAGAATCAAGCTGTACGCTCCCTGACACGCTGAAACAGGGCTTTGGCCAAGGCAGACAGCTCTGCGCCACATTCTACAACCCAGTACACGTAAAAAGTACGGAGTACCCGACATCGTCATGTTGAGCACATGTTTTCACATGCTCATCATCTACCAGGTTCCTTGTTTACTGTTTGAGGCCACGGTATGCTCGTTTGATCTTCTCTTCCTTCCAAAGTATAGACATTATCTAATAATTCATACAAAGCAATGCTCTAGGCAATTCCGTTCGCCATCTGGTTCAACACCCGACCCTGCACATTGGTCTATAAGTAGTATTCCTTTCTTTTTTACAACTCCTAACCCCATGAACCTTTACCCCGTTACGCCTATGCCTCCTCCCTAAACTTCGCCGGTAGCCGTCTATTCCTAGACGTTCTGTTCCTGGTGCCTAAATCCTGGTCATCCTGGTCATCCTGATCATCCTCGTCTTCGCTGTCCTCAATCTCAATGGCATCCTCAGGTTCGTGCCCGCGGTTTGGTCTGTTCTGCTTCGGCGTTGACGGTGCAGATGACGGAGGCTGTACGGGGGCTGGCACGTTGGCATCTGCGTCAAGCTGGGATTCTTGAGTAGACTGTTCAACAGGTTGAGTAGGCTGAACCACCTGAACAGGCTGGGAAGGTTCTTTTGGCCTTTGGATGATTCGAGGATGCTTTCTAGGTCGCCCACTGCCAGGTCGGGCTCCTCCTCGTTTGCCCCGCGGTTTTGGCTCTTCTCCTTTCGCAGCCTGGGTTGGTGTATCGGGTTCCTTGACTCTCTGTGATCTCGTTGTTTTCCGAAGCCGCTTTGAACCAAGAAGTTCCCCCCCTTCGGAGTCGATGCCCGATTCAGCTGCAAACGGCACTGCGTCCGTGCCGGGAGGGTGGTATTCCTCCTCCTCTGAGTCAATCAGCGTGTGGCGCTTTCGCTTGCGAGCATGAGCCTCTTCCATCATTTGCTGGACAGCCGCAGAATCTTCATCCGAGACTGTCGTTGCTTCCGTCATCGTTGTCGTTGTCGTTGTAGTCGTCGTCGTAGTTGTTGTCCTTGCCGTCGTGGTTGTTGTCCTCGCTGTCGTTTCCTTCTTCTTTTTCGATTTTGGCCTTCCCACCTTTTTGTGCTCTATCTTGGGCACTTTGCGTGCCACTCGATCACCAGTTTCGGCGCGCTTTGGTCGGCCAGCCTTTCTAGACCCGTCTGACTTCCCCCCAGACTTAGTATCGAGCAGTTTCTTAGTAAGATTGGGAAAGTTTTCTCCGTAATTGAAGAAGAGCTCTTCTCCGGCTTTGATATCCCTGAGAGCGGTAAACTCGATTCGGAATTCACCGTTTACATAGAGAATGCGCGGGGTGATGTTGCACCCTCTGGTGTCATGTTCCGAAGCGTGATTGATATATCGACTCAGATTGCCGTAGATGGCGGCGTCAACCCAGATGCCTTCGTTTTCGAGCAGAGTAAATACGTATGATATATTGGATTCTTCGTCAAACACGTCGCCACGCCTGGCTTCCCGACGGACGCCCTCGTCGTGGGTGATCAGCTCTCCCACATATTCGACAATGAATTCATCCTGAGCAATGTCCTCGGCAGTGAAGAGCCCATAACCAACCCCTTCAAGTTGGCTTTGCCCGAGGAGGAGGGTCTTGTGTCGTCCACGCTGTAAATCACAATTTTGGCATCCTGTAGAGTGCAGCCAGTCGTCCTCAGCGTTGGCCGGATCTGCACGTTCAAAAGCGCCACATGAACCGCACAGTTGCGGATCACACTCGCGGTTGAGTTGCACGCATATACATGGCTTTTCCTTTTGCTTGGAGAAACACGTCTTGCCCTGAGAATGACAAGCACAGCCTGTGAATTTGTAGTGGCAGTTTTTGTCTGTGCAGCCACAGAATCTCTCGCACAAAACGTTAGCATCGACACAGGGGCATATTTTGGGAGCGCATGGGCCATCGTGAGAGCATGGTTCGAGCAATTCTCGTCGCTGATGTTCGTGAGTAATGGTATGATCTTGCCAGTCCCCGAGGAGCATCTTCCGCTTCCGATCATACCATATGTTTTTCGGTCGAGGGGGTTCCGTGGGTTCCATGGGTTCCGTGGGTTCCGGTTCAGACACGTTAATGTTTAGGGACTGAAATTCCGCGTGCACCTCATCGCAGTTACGATTCAGGAACTCAGTCGCAAGACAAATGGGGTCCAAGGTAGTTTTGCTGAAATCAGTCGTAATATATAGAGACCGCAGGAGAGTGCGCTCATCTTCAGTCCACGGTTTCAGCACCTCACTTGGGTCGGGGGGGATTTTAAGACGATAACACCTTCGCCGACAAGGCACGTCAGAAATCATACTAGCCCCTGCTGCCGCTGTTCGTTTCCTCTTCAAGATATCCGACAATGGCGCGCAGGACGACAAGGAAAAGGTGCGTTTATAATTTTGGTGGTCGTACTCGCCGTGATCACAAGAATGACTGAAACAAATGAGACACCCCAAAATGCAATATGTGGCCAGATTGGACTCGACAACCTCATCCTCGCTGTCTTGCTGGACGATGGAGACGTCCTTGGCTGCCGGCTTATTGTCCATGACACTATCGACAGACTCGTCGAGAAGCAGCACCTTGCGCAACTCAACCTGCTTCAGCTGCGGTTGATTTTCCTTAAATGCCAGCTGAAATGCAGCAGTAAACATCTCTGCCGCCCTGCGTACCTCTGGCGTCATGGTCTTCCCATCGCCTTGAGATCTGATAATATCCGTCTTTTGTTGGGGGGTAATGGCGTCATCCGATGCCTGGCTTGCCATGTAGCTGATCAGGGTAGATTTGTTGCAGAATGGTATATTGAGCTTCTCGAGCCACATATCCAGGTACAGCGAAAGAGTCGCGGCGCGCTCGGCCTGGATGATGGCAACAAACTTTTCGTCGCGGTTCATAGGTTTGAAACCCGACTTGAGATCAATGTCCTCCAATTCTTTGAGCCAGAGATTGTACTTGGCCTCTTCAGAGCCCTCAAGATCGCGCAGATGGGGAACAAATGTTAGCATGGTGTTGGGCATCAAGACGTTCTTCTTGATTTCCACATGGTGGAACCTGTAAGATGGAACAGCGTCCTTGTTGGTTTTGATGCAAATCACGTTGTAGCGAACGTCCTTGTGATCCTTCTTATTCTTGTTGTGGTGCTAAGCGGGGAGTTAATTCTCAATGCTCAAATGTCCAGTCTCAGCTTTCAAATTTCAATAGATTCTGACCTTGAATTTGATTTTAATTTGCTTGCCCTTGATCTCCGGATTGGGATGCGTCTCCAGCTCGCGAAAGAGATCCAGGCCATGATGCGTGCGCCACTCTCTGCACTTTGCAGACTCAATGGCATGGGCGACGAGCTGCGCGTGGTCCCTCCGAACTTCCAGGTTGAAGGTTGTGAGCTGATTAGCAAGTGTCTGAACGGTCCATTCCGTCACAGGGACCGTCTGAGCCTTGGGCGTCTGCACTGCTTCTGGCTGGCGATGGCCATCTCGCGACGGCGTTGCTGTCGATGGGAGCGGCATGTTGCGAACCGGACTGGCGCTGGATGCGACACCAGGTTTCTCTGGCATCTCGGGCGCATGTTCAGCGACGCGGTCTGCCAAGGGCAAGGACGCGCGATCAGGGAGAGCGGGAGGCGTCCAGTCGTTGGTGTTGATGTCACCGATGCAGGGAGCTGGAGCAGGAGCAGGAGGAGCAGACGAGCAATTTCTCGTCAACGGAGGAGGGCTAATGGGACCTCTGGTTGAAACCGCGACGCCAGATCCGCTAGTCAAGTCTAGACGGGCCAGGTGGCTTGGTTCGCCATCTTCCGATGTTGCGAATACTGGTAGTCCGTGGGGCATCATCCTTGCCTGTTCGAAAATTAAATCTTCTGCTTTCTGTTGCACGCAAACTCTTGGGACGCCCCGTTTGTGTCACAGCAGTCTTGTCAGCCAGACAGGCGAGGGATGCCGCAGACCCGACTCTAAATACACGGCCGAAGCGCGCAAAGGGGTCTGCATGAGAGGCCCTGGGCAAGTGTGTGAAGATGAAATAAAGTCAAGCAATATCAAGTCTTAGCACGCCGTTGACAATGAGAACCTCCTGCAGCCAGACAGCAATGCGAGTGAGCGATGGGCGGCACTCATGTGAGGCTGAGGGAGGGCTGAAGACTTGGGTGAAATTGGACTGATGAGATTTGACGGTGCTCCAAATGCAAGGCGCCGCCTCTGTATTCCTGAGCCCAAGCCACAAAACACAACACAAGCCCGATCCACAGCGACCGCTACACCGAAGAGAGGCCAGCGGACTAGCAATGCATTTCCACGCAGTGCACCGCTGTTGATCAACAAAGAGCACCCAGCTCCGGTGCTTGAGATTATAGGAATCGCGAAGTTCGAGAGGCTTCCAGATCGCGTCCTGAATTGAGAGCAGAGCCTGGAGCACGCGAGCCCTGGTTGGCTGGGCCGCCGCATTGGTGATTGGCCAGAGTTTCCGGCCCAAGTCCACAAAGAAAACCGGTCGGCTAGGCTAGATTCGGGGACGCGTTTACTTGGGGCACGGCATACGTAAGAACCCGTCTCATTATCACTATTTGCAAAGAATAACGTGGGTGTGTACTTGTGCAGGTTTTGTGCTTGTCGAATTTATCTTCTTTGTCTTTTTTTCAATCTTGTTCTTTGTATTTTCTCAGCCATGGTCCACGAGGCGGACGCTTGTAGAGCCGAACCTTGCTGGCCTTGTACTCCTCAGGTGGCAGGCTAGCTCAGGTATGTACTACATTTCCCCCCGCTCTTCTCGTAAAGCACTATTACGATTCAAGAGGCAGATCAGCCATTGAGAAGAAAGAAACACAGACAGAGAATTGTTCCTCGTAGATGCAGTATCAATCCATAGACACTACTTTTCTGGCTACCAAATGCTCCTGACTCGACTCCAAGTGCCGGGCATGTGGAGCTGTGTATGTACCTGCATAAGATTCCAAGGTTCTCCTGGGCCCCGTCCAGATATGGATGGACTCGCCAGGTTGTAGAGTTGCCTCGTGGGAGCAAAAGGGCTAAGCGAGCCTCCCAGCATCAGGGATTAATTCTCCTCGTTTGCAGATTCGGCGTCTGATGTGCGTCCAACAGCAGATGTCAAAAAGCAAGGTTATCTACCGAGTACATACTTGTACAGCTGCACATGCATCTCCATTTAGACAGCTGAATATTAACACACCCCACTGCGGGAGTCATGGCTGCAGGACCCCTACTTTGTCTACCAACCTTACAGCGAGCCAATTGATTCAAGAGCAGAGATGCTACCAGTACTCGTATGTCTCTCTCTGCATATGGCCGTCTGCCAATTCAAGCAGTGAGGATGGGGAACAGCGTTTCCGTGACAGCTGAGCCGGATCAAGCCTCTGTGCTCACAATAGGTGAACGCTGTCAACTGACTGACCTGGCATCATCGTGCCTTGATGGCAATGCCATGACGCATCGTGTCTCACTCTGTCAGATGCTTCCCCCTCGACAACAAAAAACAAGAAAGCAGAAATGAGTTTTGTGCTTGTCATTCACTTTTCCCTAGCTCGACACACTAGCATCTCCAGCATCGTCCTTAGGCCGAATGAGGCATGGCCATGACCGCCAACACCACCGCCCAAGAATCTTCCAATCGAGTCCAACGGCTGAGACATGCATTTTGGACGGCTGCTAGGTAGAGGTACCCACGATCGCCCGCCTTGACAGTCTGGTCCGCTGGTCCCGGACCCTGATCTGACGTCGTCGCCGTAGCACCAGAAGCATTGCATTGAGCCTAGCGCTGCCTTGGTGAGGACTCCTCCTCGTTAAGGCTCAAACAGGCTCCCGAGCTGCGGGGATGACGTAGCGAAGGCGCAACAGCTGTCCAGCCGATGACGATCCGCCAGCTCCGCCAAGAACGCAGCCAACCGTGACATTCTTATAATCATCTCCCCATCCGTCCCCTCCTGCGTCAGCTTTGGTTTTCTCCCGTATTGATACTCCCTACAAACACCATTTGCTGATCGTTTTCTGTGCGCCCAATCCCTATCGCGGCGCCGTCGTCTATCTTCTCCATCTTCACGCATTATCCATTGTCAATCGTATCAATTAGCGCCCAGCCACACCGCCAAAATGCACCGAACATATTCTATGCGCCAGTCCCGCGCGCCCACGGCGTCGCAGCTCCAGGTATGGATCAGCCGGCATCGACCATCTTGAGACCTCCTGTTGTTGGAGCTTAGGAACTGACGAATCTGATGGATAGAGTCCGCCCCCTCCGCCGTCGTCCACCAAGTCTGGCCGCTTCTTCGGAAAGGGAAGCTTGGGTGAGTGCCGCCATAGCTCTTCTAACATTGCACTACCCCGCTAGCATCGATCGACATGGCTTCAATTCGATTGTTGTCCCTATTTCCACGCCTGCCTTGATCGCGAGACTCGTGTTTACGCCGACTAATTGATGGTGCAGGCCACGCTCTTCGTCGCAATGCCGGTGGCGCCTTCGGGCCAGATCTAGCCAAGAAATTGTCCCAGCTTGTCAAGATGGAGAAGAACGTTATGCGAAGTATGGAGCTTGTCGCCAAGGAGCGCATGGAAGTGGCCGTATGTTGTTACCTGATTGTTCATCGTCGTGCTTAATCTTGACACATGTATAGCAACAATTGTCCCTTTGGGGCGAAGCCACCGACGAAGATGTCTCTGACGTCACCGACAAGATTGGCGTTTTGCTCTACGAAATCGGCGAGCTCGAAGACCAGTACGTTGACCGATACGATCAATACCGCATTACCATGAAGAGCATCCGCAACATTGAGGCATCAGTCCAGCCTAGCCGAGACCGTAAGACGACGCATTATCGAGTAGATGATTGATAACACAAAGCTAACCTCAACAGGCAAGCAAAAAATTACTGATCAAATCGCCCAATTAAAGTACAAAGAACCAAACTCCCCAAAGATTGTAGTGCTGGAGCAGGAGTTGGTTCGCGCCGAGGCTGAATCGCTCGTGGCAGAGGCTCAACTCTCCAATATCACTCGCGAGAAGGTCAAGGCTGCTTATGTCTACCAGTTCGACGCCCTGCGGGAGCATTGCGAGAAAGTTGCCATTATTGCTGGCTACGGAAAACATCTACTCGACCTCATCGACGACGCTCCCGTGACTCCCGGCGAGACCCGAGCTGCGTATGATGGCTATGAGGCTAGCAAGGCCATCATCCAGGATTGTGAAGATGCTCTCACTAACTGGGTCACTTCCAATGCTGCCGTGAGCTCCAAGCTTTCTACTCGATCTCGGAACCTTTCTCAGCGACGGCGCAACACCATCCGAGCTAGGGAAGAGGGCCATGACTTGTCCCATCAAGACGTGCCGTTGAACGATAACGGCTCTTGGGTTCAACAACAAGAGACCAGACTGGACAGCGACGCAGAAGAGGAAGAAGAGGAAGAGGATCATCCTCACTCTGTCTTGGGTAGCGACGGAGGGATGAACGGCGAGGCACGAGGTCGAACTCAAGAAATTCTCGCGGCTTAAAAGGTCACCTTATCGTCCATGTGAACACAAAGAAAAAGAAAATGGGGAAATGAAAAGGGATTCCAGTCTTGGAAAGCAAAGGCTAATTGCCGATGGTGTCGATTTGAATGCCGCCGACCTGGCGGGGGAGTTTTGGACAAGGCTGGAACAATCACTGGTTGGGTCAATCTGCTTAATTCGCTTTCGAATAGTCTTTCGGCGCGTGACTATTCATTAATACCTTGTATGAGTTACATAGTTTTTATATCAAATAAAATAACTCCAATACCATCTCTGGATAGCCATATCCTCATACCCTTGGACAGGGTAGATGCTCGATGCCCAATCCTCAAACGCCGCCCTGCTTCTAAAATGAAACGAACCCATCTTTCAGACCTATAAATATGCATGTTGATACCCTTTCCACCTTTACCTCATGCAGGCTAAGTTTTCATTTGGCTCAAGAACTGTTCAGCCTCCATCTTCACAATGTGGTGCCCCGGAACGACGATTAAGCCTAGATATCGAGACGTCATGTCTAGAGTGGTTGAGCTACCAGAGGCATTTGCTGCAGCGGCACTACGTTCCTCCTCCGAAGGCTGCCGGTATTCATGTGAGTTTCCCAGCACAATATTCCTATCCTGTGCCGCGAGGACCATATTTAGCATCACGGGAGACGGTGAATTGCAAAGTTTGTCCATCCTTTTGCTCGGGGGAGACGAACCGGATCTGTGCATTTGAAAGTGCCCCGAAACATGCGGCCATCTGTGGTGTAGATGCGCAAAATCTGGTTCAAAAGAGACGAAAGATATTCGTGAGCCTCATCTTTATCCATCGTGAGGACTAGCCTTGGCCTGGAGGAGCGCAAGGATGGAGATGCAAGAGTCAGAGCGTGGGGGAAAAGCTGCATCTGATCTTACTGTCAAGGGACGGTGCGATAAGCTGGGCTGGCCAATAGATAGAGCTGAATCCGAGCTTAACGGCCCCACCGCCTCTGCTACAATAGCGTCACTGCAAGAGTCGAGCGAGCATCGTGAATCTTGAACTCTTCTTCATCACACCTCATTGCATAGAGTACTTGCATTTCCGCCTCTACGACTGCAGTGGGAGCGAGTCGACCTCGCAAGAGCCTCATCGCAATGCTATCACCGCCTCGCTAGCCAACATAACCAGTCGCGGGCTATCAGTAGGCCGGCACTCTCACAATGGGTGTTAACGGGCTTTGGACGGTGATCCAGCCGTGTGCACGGCCTACCAACCTGGCAACGCTCAATCGAAAGCGTTTGGCTGTGGATGCGTCGATATGGATCTATCAGTTTCTCAAGGCTGTTCGTGATAAAGAAGGCAATGCGCTTCGCAACTCTCATATTGTGGGATTCTTTCGGCGCATCTGCAAGCTTCTCTGGTTCGGCATCCAGCCCGTCTTTGTGTTTGATGGCGGCGCTCCAGCGTTGAAGCGAGCGACAATTCAGAAGCGCAAACAGAGGCGGGAAGGGAGACGAGAAGATGCCGTCAGGACTGCTGGAAAGCTTCTGGCTATTCAGATGCAGCGACTCGCAGAGGAGGAGGAGGAAAAACGCAAAAGGGAACAAGAGAGACCGCGCCCGGTGGAAGAAGAAGAAGAAGAAGAAATACCCGATGCCAGCAACTTGGTCTACGTTGAGGAGATTGGCATGTCTCAGCAGGAGAGGATGCGAAATCGCAAGTTTTATAAGCAGGATGCCTATCACCTGCCGGAACTCGAGGGTGGAATAGCATCAATGGGGAAGCCGGATGATCCTCGAATCATGAGCGTAGAGGAGCTAGAAGAATACGCGCGCCAGTTCAATAACGGAGAAGATATCAACTTGTACGACTTTAGCAAGATTGATTTTGACGGCGACTTCTTCAAGAGTCTTCCGCCGCCAGATAGGTACAACATTCTCAACGCAGCGAGATTGAGAAGTCGACTCAGAATGGGTCTGAGCAAGGAACAGCTTGATGATATGTTTCCTGATCGCATGGCTTTCTCAAGATTTCAGATTGAGAGAGTCAAGGAGAGAAATCACCTGACACAGCGACTCATGTATGAAATCGGAATGTCAGGTACGGACCTGACCCTTGGTGTTAATGCCCGTATTGCGGGAGAAAGAGATCGAGAATACATCTTGGTCAAGAACGAGGGTGTAGAAGGAGGCTGGGCTCTTGGAGTGGTCAGCAAAGACAAGGATGTCGGGGAAGCCCACAAGCCAATTGATGTGGATGCCCTTCAATTCCACTACCAGACAAAGGAAGAGGAAAGTGAAGAAGAAGAGGATTTTGAAGATGTGCCAATCGTGGGGGTTAATCGACTACCCAAGCTGTCCCAGTCAGGTGCTGCGAGCTTTCAAGCTGCTCAAGATATGAGTGGCATACGACAACAATTCTATGCAAGCCACAGACATGACGCTGTCAGCGACGAAGGTACCAACGAAGACTCCTTGTTCGTTGGAGGAAGATTGGATCCGACAGAGAATGCTTTCGAGGAACAGCCTGCGGAGCATATGCATCCAGAAGAAGAGCATGATCTCAATCTTGCAATTGCTTTGTCATTGCAGAATCAGCATGGCATTGGCCGACAGTCAGAAGACAACATTGGTACGGATGATGATGTCCGCGACAAGCCAGAGTGGACTCAAGTAGCCGTGGAAGCACCAAAGCCAATCGGCCGTAGCAGTGGTTCAATGATTGCGCACATTGTAAACAACCGAGCCAATGCTGCTGTTCCAAAACGACAAGAAGCCCCAATTACAGAGGAGAAAGCAAAAGAGAGCGACAGCGATGACGATATGCAGGCAATCCTAGCAAGGTCACGGAAGATGAAAAAATCTCAGCCAAAGCCAGTCTTTGAGAATAAAAAGAATCCTTTTGATGGACCCCTTCCATTCCCGAAGCTGGATTGGGGATCATCTCTTTTTGCAAAGAAAAAGACGCAGCAAGAGAAGCCAATTGTGGTTACAGCAGGAGGGGATGACGGGCAACCGGATAAGGAGGGAGAACAAGAAGATGGCTTAGGCGGCGGCTTCGAGGTTGAACCTCAACAAGAAGATGGCCCCAAGCCGTTACCTCCGTGGCTAGTGGATGATGATACAGATATCCGAGAAGCAATCAAGAAACAGCAAGACGTCGACAGGGAAATCAATGCTCAGGATAGAGCCGAAGCGGAGGAGGAAGAAAACCTTCGGAGACGAGAGTTACGGGATCAGTTGATCGAAATCCAGTCCTCTGATGATGATGGTGGTGGCAGCGATGATGTGAAAATCATCGAGATACCACCCTCACCAGAGGTGGTGCCAGTTTCTAGCCCTTCAAAGGTCGACAACGTTCTAGAAGATGGTTTAAGCGGCGGCTTCGAGATTGATCCTCAGCAAGAAGATGGCCCCAAGCCGCCTACCACCGAGACTACTCACAAGGAGAAGAGTAGGGCTGAGAGTGAATCTCCAGAGCCTGAATTTGAAGAAATTCCTATACTCGAGGTCCCCACTGCTCCGATTCCGCCTGTTGTAGAAGCTCAGGACAACCATGACTCACCTGAACCCGAATTTGAAGACGTTCAACCAGCAAACGACACAACAGCTCAAGGAGATCCACAGGCTGACTCTTTCTTAATTGAGAGCATTCCTTTGGGCCAACCTCCAGCCGAGGGGATTGCGGATGACGATGACCTCTTTGCCGACGTAGAGTACGATGAGTTTAGTGATCCTGAGGACGAGGAACTCCTAGCACAGATGGCCGAAGAAGCAGAGGAACATGCTCGCTTCGCTAGTGAACTGAACAACAAGTCTACTCAGCAAAACAGGGAAGACTATGAGAGGGAACTAAGAGCCCTTCGAAATCAGCAGAAGAAGGACCGCCGTGACGCAGATGAAGTGACTCAGACAATGATTACAGAGTGTCAAGCCTTGCTTCGCCTCTTTGGTATCCCTTACATCACCGCGCCGATGGAAGCAGAAGCGCAGTGTGCAGAGCTGGTCCGGCTTGGCATGGTCGACGGCATCGTCACAGATGACTCCGATACATTCCTCTTTGGGGGGACACGAGTTTACAAAAACATGTTCAACAGCAACAAGTTCGTCGAGTGCTACGTTGGTGCAGATCTCGATAAAGAAATGTCTCTTTCTCGAGAACAGCTCATCTCCCTCGCTCAGCTTCTGGGGTCAGATTACACAGAAGGACTACCTGGCGTTGGTCCAGTCACAGCTGTCGAAATCCTTTCCGAGTTCCCTGGCAAAGACGGCCTCGAAAAATTCCGCGAATGGTGGAAAGAGGTACAATCCCAAACACGGCCCAAGGAAGCAGATGCATCCTCTTCTTTCAGGCGCAAATTCCGCAAGGCTCAAGCCACCAAGCTCTTCTTGCCCCTCGGTTTCCCCAGTCCAGCCGTTTTCGAGGCCTACCTCCACCCAATGGTCGATAGCAGCACAGAGCAATTTCAATGGGGTGTGCCTGATGTGGCGGGGCTGCGAGAATATCTCATGGCTACAATTGGATGGAGCAAGGAGCGTACAGATGAGGTACTCGTGCCAGTGATTCGTGACATGAACAAGCGCGAGATTGAAGGTACACAGAGCAACATTACGAGGTTCTTTGGCGGAAGTGTTGGTGCCGGCGCAAGGGAGACATTTGCTCCCAGGCAGAGGGTTCAAGGAAGCAAGCGGATGGCAGCTGCGGTGGATAGACTGAGGGCGAATATAGCTGGCGAAGAGGAGGCTCCGGAAGCTGGGGATGCTTCGGGGGGTAATAAACGAAGGAAAACGGACAGGCAGAGGCGTTCTTGAGAGGATGTATACAGCTTATCTTTGTGGATAAATTCATCAGAAATTTGCTAGCCAGCACCCCAAGTTGGCTATACAGCATCCAGCGTCATAAACTTCGTGGATACAGTCTCAACTGAAAAGAGTACTAAGCCATAGTAGCAGAAAGTACGATAGTAGCATATACGAGAAAGGGGACCACCACATACGGTACAGTATAGATCAAAAGATTAATGCACAAATCTTTATGAACAGTCATTGAAAGTTAGCTTTTCACCATCATTAAGGGCAGCCAACAAAGAGCAAGGAATATTCATAACATGAATACATTTACTTGAATGATGGAAGCCGAATTTGTAGGTATACACCCTTGACACCCCAGAGAATGAGCACGTGCCCGCTTCAGGTGCAACGAGAGCATTCAAAGCGCAGTTTAAAATCTGTGGATTCAACTTTCATCCAAATGAATGCTCTTGCTTTACCTACAAAAAAGGGACATACCAACCCCTTCATAAAGCACAAGACTGTATCATTTACAGAGCATTTTCCGTAGTGCCTAATATCAAGCCATCATTGAGAGCCAACCTCGGAAGCTTCCCACGTGACCCTCGTCAAGCGGCTCCCGCAAAGTTGGACGGCTAAATCCCGGAATCTCGTCCCGCCCACAACCCATCCATGCCAACTCCGTATGCGACGATTGATTCGCCGCGCGCCGCGTGGGCAAAGACAAGAACTTAGATCCCGACTCTACCTTTTTTTTCCCTTCCTCCGTTGCTTTTGCTTGCTTAATTCCGAAGGCCTGTCTGCTTCTTTTCTTCACCCCCGCCATCGTCCGTGCTCGTCGGCTTTAGAAACGTTCGCCCGCAAAATCTTCAGCAATGCCGGGCATGGATCAGCGTGAGCTCGAGTCGCGCGTGAAGGCGCTGACCAAGGTCGTGGCGGCCAACGAGCCGCCCGAAAATGCGCTGAAGCTGCTGGAGTCGCTCAAGAAGGATGCGTCGCCGACAGAAGAGATGCTACGGGTACGTTGATTTTGTCGCCTCTTTTGGAGCGGTCCCGCAAAAGCGGCGCTTGGCAATGGCAGAGATGAGGCTGCGAATGTGTGCGCCTCTTACACCGGCTGTGAATGCATGTTCTGGCGGGTTCCATTCGATGATTATCTGTCACTTTTGGACGGCCCCCCGTCACTGCCCGCCGATCTGCTCCCTCCCATCGTCTACAGCCGTAGTTTCTCGTCGCCATTATCTCAGCTCGCCTTTTTCTTATATTTATTGCTGGTTGTTCATTTCTCTGACATTAGTTGTCGCAAACTGCAGGCCACGCGCGCAGGTGTCTTTGTAGGCAAACTGCGGTCAAATCCCAACAAGGAAATTGCTCGAGCCGCCTCGGAACTCGTCATCAAATGGAAGAAGCTCGTTGAGCAGGAGAAGAACTCCAAGCTGCAAAAGGCAAAGACGGGTTCTCCGTCAGCACCCGCGGCTGCGTCTCTGCCCAACCCGTCCTCCAGCACTCCGTCCGGCGGCGCCAAGAAGGCCTTCAAGGGCGACCCCGAGAAGCGCAAGTTCGATACCGACGGCGTCAGCATCAAGCGTACCGAGTCCAACGTCCGCAACCAGTGCATAGGCCTCATCTACAATGGCCTTGCCTACCGATCCACCGAGTCCGAGACCGATGTCATCGCAAAGGCCGTTGCCGTTGAGAATGCCGCGTTTACACTCTTCAACGGCGAGGGCGCCGAGTACAAGAAGAAGATCCGATCGCTCTTCTCAAATCTCAAGAGCAAGACCAATCGGGATCTGGGCAAACGGGTCATGTCAGGGGACATTACGCCCAGTCGATTTGTCACCATGACGGACGAGGATCTCAAGAGCGAGGACCAGAAGAAGATGGAGAAGGAGCTGGAGAAGGAGAACATGAAGAAGGCACAGGTGCCGATGGCGGAGAAGAGTATCAGCGACAGTCTGGAGTGCGGCAAGTGCAAGAAGAAGAAGGTCAGCTATACTCAGGCACAGACACGAAGTGCTGATGAACCGATGACGACGTTTTGCGAGTGTATGAATTGCGGCAACCGGTGGAAGGTATGTCTCTTTTTTTTCCCCTGATATTACAATAATGGTGTACTAACGAGAGGGAATCTTGCAGTTCTCATAAGGAGACAGCGAGAAGGAGAAAAATACAAGAAAGGCGCCACGTCTGCCTCGAGGACTATGAGGACGTTGTTTCGATTTGCTTTTTGTTTCCTACGGAGCGAATGGGGTGGAACTTTTTTCGGGATGGGAGTTATGGAAAATTGATTACGTTTTTCGGGTATGATATGAAGAACTCAAGACCTTCTGGCGCCGTATCGTGTTTTTCCCCTTGCTCATATTTTACCTTCTTCAGCATGCCTTGCGTCGGCGTGCACATCATGAACTTGGTGTTGCCGTGAGGCTATGCAGTTTGTTTTATCTAGATCACCTAATAGATCTCTGCTGCCGGTTTTCTATCAATCATTCCTTCTCAGGCTATATGTGATGCTGTGGAGCTGTGTTATGTACAAGATAGAGGTCGAGTTCTGGTCCAGTCTTTTTCATCATGGCTTCGATATCCCCAATTCAGCAAATAAATCTGTGGGCTCCCCTTCCTCCAGGCCCATTTCTTTAATGTTCTTCCAGAACTTGCTCAAATGCCGGGTGCCGGAATCACACAACAAGGTAACGACTCGGCTGCCAGGGGGCAATTTCATTGCCGTCATCACAGCAGCGACGCAGTTAACGGAGCTGCTGCTCCCTACAAAAATGCCATCATTCTCCACGAGCCATCTGGCCATGCGGCATGCCTGCTCATCGGTCACCTTGACCGCATCGTCGAGCAAATCTCTGCCGACTTCGAAGTTGTTGGTTATTCGGTTGATGCCAATTCCTTCCACCATTGAGTCGACCTGCTGTCTGCGCCGGGTGCCCTCCTTCTCGGTAGACGAGTACATGACGCCGTGCTTAATCTTGTTGTACAGCCCGCTGCCCTGAGGGTCTGCCAGGACGACCTTGAGATTCTTCATCTTGGCATCTAGTTTCAGGTACCTCGCCACTCCTGATATTGTTCCGCCAGTTCCTGCGCCAGCTACGAATGCGTCAAGGTCGCCGTCTGTCTGCTGGTAGATTTCCGGGCCTGTGCTGACGACATGGGCCTGCCAGTTAGATTCCGTCTCAAACTGATTCGCAAAGAAGCCCTTGCTGCCATCCTTGGATGATCGAGTATGTTCAATGGCGCGCCTTCGAGCCAAATTGACAAAATGATCAGGACTAGTAATTGGAGCTACGGGGACTCTCTCAACAGTTGCGCCTAGATGAATCAAAAGATCCGATTTCTCGAATGCCTGGTCGTCAGGCATGCAAATGTGAGCCTTGTATCCCTTTGCGCGGGCCAGAGTAGCAAGCGAGATGCCCGTGCTGCCCACGGTTCCTTCATAGATGGTGTCGCCCTGATGCGGCGTGAGGAGGCCCTGCTTCTCGGCTTCCAGGATCATGTTGAGAGCCACTCGATCCTTGGGGCTGTTTCCAGCGCCGTTGAGGAACTCGGCTTTAGCCAGGATAATACGGCCGGTGGCTTTGGAGAGAGACTGGATCTCAATGAGAGGCGTGTTGCCGATGCAGCCCTCGATGCCATTGGATGCTATTCCGTTTGACCGAGACACTGAAGATTTCGTATCATGATCTTCGAGCTTGACCGGCGCTCCCCAAAAAAAACTCGATCTCCTGGTATTATTCAAGCGGCCGGTGCTCTTGTGCTGGTATCGGGATTCGAGCTCGGGATACAGCTCTTTGAATCCCAGGGTAGCAACAATGCCTGCTGTAAAGGCAATGGCAATGGCTGCCGTGCCATATGCCTTGGGATGATCGCTCAGTGACATGGTACTAGCCGTGACCGGATATGCCTCATCTTAATTGTCAATCACAATGCCCTCATTTTTCCTCGGGCTATTGGGGATAGCAACAGAAGATAAGTGATGGAGTATGCAGGATAGACTAAACTTTGGATTTTCTGAGGTCATTGCTAATCCCTGCTTCAGAGCAAAAAAAAAAAATAAAAGGTACGTACCGGGAACTCGCGGGGCAGCCCTACCCGGAACAAACCACTTTCCGGGAATAGCTGCGGGATCTGCCAACCTAAAGCTTCGAATCAGAAGAAGAACATTCCACCTTGTTGATGGCATCGTGACTTTGGCCATCATGGACTCTCCCATTGTGGCGCATCTCTTTCGCCAGCTGTTTCGGCACCGTCCTCGCGGATGCCAGGGCCTGCGCAATGGCCTCGCCAGCAGACAGAGGCAGCCCAGTCGCGGCCTCGGGACAAGACCGTCGATAGATCGCGGCATGAAGACCAACGAGAGTCGCTGGCAGCAACGGACGCACATTCTACCCGAGGACAGGAGAGAAGAGTTTGCACAGTATCCGTACATTTCGCTGCAGGAGCTGAAGAAGAGGACCGAGCGGCCGCGGAAAGTAAAGATGCTGCTTCGGGACTTTATAGACGGTATGTGTTCTCATGGGCGCTCTCACATGCGCAGATTTGGCGGCTGACAATGGGAATCAATCTACAGACAGTCTCTACAATCCGTCATATGGCTACTTCTCCAAAGAAGCCGTCATCTTCAGCCCGGGCGAGCCCTTCGACTTCAATTCCATGCGCGACGAGCTAGAATTCCAGGCCGAGCTGGGTAGGCGATACACCGACTTCGAAGACCTGCTCGACGAGAAGGAGGGCGAGAGCCCGACGAGACAGCTGTGGCACACGCCCACAGAGCTCTTCAGGCCGTACTATGGCGAGGCCATTGCCCGGTATCTGGTCTCCAACTACCGCCTCACGACGTATCCTTACGACGACCTGCTCATCTTCGAAATGGGCGCCGGACGAGGAACTCTCATGCTCAACATCCTCGACTACATCCGCGCCGCCGACCCCCAAGTCTACGCCCGCACAAAATTCAACATTATCGAAATCTCCTCCTCTCTCGCCGCCATGCAAAACCGCCACCTCCTCTCCACCGCCGAATCCCGCGGCCACGCAGACAAGGTCGAGATCATCAACAAGTCGATCTTCGAATGGGACCGCTACGTGCCCTCGCCGTGCTTCTTCCTCGCCATGGAGGTCTTTGACAACTTCTCCCACGACGGCATCCGGTACGATGTCACCACCGAGGAGCCGCTGCAGGGCCACGTGCTCATCGACGGAGACGGCGACTTTTACGAGTTCTACGTTCACGAGCTGGATCCTCTGGCCGCCAGATTCTTCCGCGTCCGCCACGCCGCCACCGGGGGGAACTATCCCAAACCGTATCCTTCCAACCCCCTTCTCCGCTATATGTCTACCAAGATGCCCTTTGCCGCCAACCTCTCCCACGCCGAGTTCATCCCCACCAGGCTCATGCAGTTCTTCGATGTCCTGGAGAAGTTCTTCCCCGCGCACCGTCTCCTCACGTCCGATTTCGACGCTCTCCCCCAGGCCATCAAGGGACTCAACGCTCCCGTCGTGCAGACGCGCTTCCAGCGAAGAATGGTCCCCGTCACAACCCCCCTTGTAAGTTCCGAAACAAATGAAATAAACATGTTATGAGCACGAAATTAACCCGTTTGGTACAATATAGGTTCACCAAGGCTACTTTGACATCCTCTTCCCCACAGACTTCAACATCACCGAGGCTATTTACCGGGCCATCACCGGCAAGCTGACCCGCGTCATGTCCCACGGAGATTTCATGCGTCGGTGGGCCTACGTCGAGGACACGGAGACGCGGAGCGGAGAGAATCCTCTCCTGTCGCATTATAGAAATGCCAGTGTCATGGTTACTGTATAAGTAGTGTATATAGACATCTCAAACCAACTTTGATGACTTTGTATCAATACAAATTACGAGCATTCATCTTTTCTGAATCTAGAAAACCAATGAACATCAATGACGCAGGCTGTCTATTAAACTCGCTTTCCAGATGAATATGTGTCTTTGTCTTCCTACCTCATCTGCGCTACCTATTTACTCTAGCCCATCGCCCAGTAGAACCAGTCTCCCATTTCACATGTACCTATTTCTTTTCTCAATTTGGCAACAAACAAACAAAAGCTCCTATATATAATAATACACAAAACTTTTTACAGTTTCAGTTTCTCGCTCAGCCATTTCCGCGCAGTCTCGACCGCGTCGTCAATCTTCTCCGGCTGAGTACCTTGGCCCTGGCGAGATGGCTCCTTGCCACCTGAGCGGCCGCCAATGACTTCGGACACGGAGGCAGCCCAGTGCTCGGCAGTAACACCTTGTGAGGCCAGATGCTAAAGAAAAGAATCGATATTAGTGATACGTTCATATTATATTGCCTTTCATGAAACATGAAGGCGGGGGTAATGGCAATTAACTCACTGTTCCGACGTAAACTCCGTGGGCGACGGCGCCCTCCTCATGGCTACCGACAAACAAGTAAACAGACTTTGCCTTGTCCTTGGACTGGTAGTGCTTGATGACCTCGCCCACAGCCTTGGCATTCGCGCTGATGGGTAGTCGGCCGACGAACCATTGGCTGTCCTTGTTAGTCTCAAAATGCTTGGCAACAGTGTCGACAGCAGTCTTGGACTCCGCCTTTTGCTTCTTCTTCTGCTCAGCAACAACGGCGTTGGCAATCTTCTGGAAACGCTGGTTGAACTCGTCCTTGGTGAGCGTTGAGATGACTAGCTGGCTAAGGTCCTGTGAGACAGCCTTGACCTGAGCCTCCTTCTCGGGGCCAAAGGGAAGGTTTTCAAGATCCACCAGCTTCTGCTCAAACAGCTGGGCCTCGCGCTGGACCTGGTGAGCCGCCTCACCAGTGTATGCGATGATACGACGGATGCCCTTTGCGATACCGCTTTCCTCGACGATGATAAGATCCTTGATCAAACCGGTTTGGTCGACGTGGGTACCACCGCAGAACTCGACACTGTATTTTCTCCACTCAGCATTCGTGGGGTCTGCAACCATGGTATCCACGTCCATGCCGATGGAAACTACTCGAACAGGGTTGGGATAAGTCTCGCCAAAGACGGCACGAAGGCCTTCAATCTTGATAGCAAGGTCGAGCTCCACCTCCTTGGAGTAGATCTTGGAGTTGGCGCGGATATACTTGTTTGAAAGCTCCTCAATCTTCTTCAGCTCGTCGAGCTTGACCTGAGTCTTGTGTGAAAAGTCAAAACGCAGCTTGTCGTTGTCAACCAGAGAACCCTTTTGGTTGACATCATCACCAAGCACCTCTCTCAGGGAGTGGTTGAGAATATGTGTGCCGGTGTGGTTGTTGCGGATAGGTGAACGGCGAAGCTCTTCGTACTCGCAAATGACTTCATCGTCGGTGGAGAGCACTCCGTACTCAATGTAGCCGCTGTGGAGGACATATCCACCAAAGTCTTGGACATCCATGACCTTGAACTCGACGACATCGTCAATGACGATGCGACCAGTGTCAGCGATCTGACCACCAGACTCTGCGTAGAAGTTAGTCTTGTCCAGCAAGACGCCAATGGCAGTGTTTGCGGGGATATCCTTGGTCGACTTGATGAAGGCCTTGCCGTCGAAGATGTACTGGACCTTGCCCTTGCTGTCGCCCCTGAGATATTTGGCGTCGTCGTTCGTTCTCGGTACCTTGAGCTCTGAGTCGAGCTCAGCAATCTTGTGAACATCAAGCTTGGCAAATGTCTGCACTGAATCCTTGACTGCCTTGCTAGCCTCTCTGGCCTTTTCACGGGCGACGGCAACTTCATCCTCATCAATATCCAGACCTCGCTCCTCAGCCATCAACTTGGTCAAGTCGACAGGGAAACCAAAGGTGTCGTAGAGTCTCCACACAACATCTCCTTCCAGCTTCTTGACGTTGTCCTTGGCGGCCTTGGCAGCATATCTCTCAAACTGGGCCTCACCGCGGTCCAGAGTTCGGGAGAAGGCCTCTTCTTCCTCATCAAGGATCTCCTTGATGTCTCCCTGCTTCTTGGCAAGGTCAGGGAACTGCTCGCCCATCTGCTCAACCAAGGCAGGCAGAATCTTGGAGAAAAAGGAGCCAATCTCGGCATTGAGGTACTTGCGGGCATATCGGACACCACGTCGGAGGATTCGTCGAATGACATAGCCGCGGCCGTCATTGTTAGGCACGGCACCGTCTGTGATGGCGAACGACATGGTTCGGATGTGGTCTGCGACAACTCGGTAGGCGGTATCAATACCGTCAACATCGTCTTGGCCGTACTTGTCGGTGTAAGGTCTCGCGCCAGTGACTTCCTCAATCTTCTTGAACAGAGGGGTGAAGACATCGGTGGCGTAGTTGGAAGCGGTGTTCTGGAGGGCAGAGACCAAACGCTCGAAACCCATACCGGTGTCGATGTGCTTGGCAGGAAGGGGCTTGAGGCTTCCATCCTTTTGTCGATCGAATTGCATGAAAACGAGGTTCCAGATCTCGACAACCATGGGGTCGTCCATGTTGACGAGGCTGGCGGCGTTGCGTCCTCCAATCTTGTCGTAGTGGACTTCGCTGCAAGGACCGCAAGGACCTTGGTCACCCATCTCCCAGAAGTTGTCCTTCATGTTTCCGGGAATGATGTGATCCTCAGGCACACCAGTCTTGAGCCAAAAGTTCTTGGCTTCCAGATCGGGCTCGAGGTTGAGAGCTGGGTTGCCCTCGAAATATGTGACGTAGAGGCGGGTAGGATCAAGGCCGTACACCTTGGTCAGGAGCTCCCACGCCATCTCGATGGCCTCCTTCTTGAAGTAGTCGCCAAAGGACCAGTTGCCCAACATCTCGAAAAAGGTGTGGTGGTAGCTGTCCTTGCCGACATCGTCGAGATCGTTGTGTTTGCCACCGGCGCGGATGACCTTTTGGGTGTCGACGGCGCGCTTCAGGTTGCTCATGGGGTCGGACTTGTTGACGGTGCCCAGGAAGATGGGCTTGAACTGGTTCATGCCCGCATTGGTGAAGAGCAGAGTCGGGTCATTGTGAGGGACGACGGAGCCGGAGGGCACTGGATGGAAAAAATCAGCATTTGTCGGGCAGAAGAATTTGGTAATTGGTGATGATGGACGGCTCGCCACCACGGGATGAATGATGTTATGCAAGCAATGCAATCAATGAAAAAAAGACGCGAAAATTGACGTCGAGCATCGCAGACATGAAAACATCATCTCGTTTCTGCCGCCGCGGCCCTCGACGAGCTGGCGATTCCCCCAAGTCCATGCAGTCAACCCCGCCACTTGCTTGGAGGGGTGATGGCGATGCGGCTTCAACATTTTTTCACCACTTACCCAGCGTGTGATCCCTCTGCTCGAAAAAGTCGAAAAAGGTCTTGCGCACCTGCGCCTCGGGCCAGTTGCCCGTCATGCTTGCAAAAGTCTTGGTCTGAAGTCTGGGCTGGAGAACTCGGCGCGTCGATGCAAAGGAAGTGCAGAGGCGAAGGCGAAGGCGAGGGTGCAGATGCGATGCTTCGGAGAGCAATCGGCGGGGTTGTGGCGGGTGGGTTTTGTAGAAACTTCTACAAGAGTGACTCAAGCCTACAAAGGACGTCTGTCGCCCGCTTCTGGCCGAGCTGCACTGTGGCCGCGACCTTGCCAGCGTCCGCATCAGCACAGACGGAGTCACACGGGCTCAATGTTCAATGCAATCGGCGAGTTGACGGCATAACTTGACTGTTGACTCTTTCGTTTTTCTTCTTTTCGGCTAAGCTGGGGCGAGTCATAGACGCGGAACAGAGACATGCTGGGGACCTCGCCCGCGCCAGGCATCCTTATGGAGAGGCAGCGGCGCAAGAGGAAGGCCGAGACGCTCGACAACGATCGCGAGCGCCTGTCGAAGCGCCTCAGCCGGCTGAATATAGGTGAGATCTGCAGTTGATCTGTCAATTTTTCTTTTTTCTCTTTACTCCTTCTCTTTTTCTTCGATTTTATCTCGTGGTGTATTTGCGTTCAAGCGATCCAATGCAATCCCTCAATGCACCTCCGGAGCGGTCAATTCGCTAACGCTTCAGGCAGAGCCAAAGTCAAAGCTCCACGCCCCTGTCGAGACACCGACCATTGCCACCACATCGTCAACATGCCCCAAGCCGACGTCGGACGAGACCATGCAGCTGGACGATTCCAAGCACAAAGTGTACATTTACGACCTGGATGCCGAGCTCTCCTCCGACAGCGAAAACGACGACGGCAAGCTGGTCTTCCTGCCAGACATCGAGAAGCATCTGCGCCAGAACCGCATTCCCCGCCACATCCTGGCCAACGACGAGGGCGAGCTGGCTGGTATGCAGCTGGTCCTCTATAGCGATCCCAAGTCCCTGTCCGTGCCCGAGGAGAAGGACGGCGTGCGCAGAGCCATCATCGAAGCCCGCCAGCGAGCAAGAGAGGGGCAGACGAAGCTGGACAAGCCCGGCGAGATAAGCAGCAGTGCCACGCCGCCGCAGATGCCGTCTCAGACACACTTCCAAACGGCCGCCGGAGCGATACCGCACGGTGACTCAGCGCCAGCTCCTTTCGTCCACGTGGATGATGCGTGCGATGCCATGGAGGTTGATTAATGAGTGCAAGATCTAAGATGACTGATTCGCAGCGAGTGACGATAAACGTGCATTATACCCAAGGGTTCAATATTCTGGGAGTTTGCTTCATGGGACTTGATTGTTTTTTGTTTGTTTCTTTTTTCTTTTTTATTCGGCGGCGTTTAGCATGTTGGCTTCCATTCCATTACTTCCTTTTCTCAATCTGCTCAAGCGTCAAAACCTGTACATTGACCATTATCTCTTAGGATACTATGTTATCCGTAGTAAATACACATTATTTCCTACCACAAGGTTCTCAATTCCCCCAATAACACTCCCTGAGACTCCTACCTCCCCCGGCCCATTGGCATCTTGGAACTCAGTGCTACAGCCTTTTGTGCTAATGCTTCGTCACCGCGGGAGGTGGAGGTCCCAAAGGAGGCTCATACACCGGCAAAACACTCTCCTCGCCCACCCGCTTGGTGGGCTCCTGCACGGTGTGTAGCTTATCGCCTCCATCTGCATGGTCCGGGTATGCAGCATACCTAACAGAGTCGTTCGCTGGCCCGGGAGCCACGTCTCCCATATTATATGAGCCTGGTTGACCGTCTTGCGGTGCTAAGCCTGCTCTTCGTTGATGGCTCCGTATCACCCAGCCAAAGAGGAACTGTTCAAGATTTATTAGCACCTTTACCATATGACAATGTCTTAGGAAAGCAACCCTTACTCTCTGGATTGCTAGTGGGGGCGCGCCACGGTTGAGCCTCGACTGGAGTTCGATGCGGAGCAACAAAAATAAGATGGAGATGAACACGACGACAGACAAGATGATGTAATATTTTACATGAGAGTTCTGTCGTATTTGTTAATGCCATGGCTCACTCGTTCGATTCTAGGGAGTCTTACTCCTTCCCCCACGTAAAGAATCACATCATTGTGAATCAATGAGCCGAAATTCACAGGCTCATCTCGAGTCTTGAACGCCACGAGTCCCATCCTCGGCATCGTGGCCACTGGTTTGTCTCTGGGTTTAAACTGGGAGAAAGAGGAAATCTGGTAAATATCGAGTAGTTTACATCTGTGCTGTCAGAAAGAGGGCGAATATATACCAAGTGCAAGTTTGCTGGGTTACATCTCGCAATGGCCGGAACCGATTGGTGGCCCTTGCTTCCCCCTAGGGAAAAACATACAGATAAGAGTCATACTGGAAACATGTGTAACCCCGGGGCGAAGCATATGCGTCTGTGCTTTTGAATGCTGCAGAGTCCCGTCTTGCAAAGTTTGCTGAAGGCGTCTATTCAAGCAAATACAAGCCCCTTAATCTCTTATTAGAACTTGACCAATTCAAATGCTTTCTCACATAGTTTTTTCTCGGTGATTATGACTTACATAAAGTTATTCGAATAAAAATATATTAGAATTATCGCCTTTTATCCTACCCTACTGCTCGACCATCACGAATATAGAGTGTCACAGAAGAACACTCAAGTGGGGAGGTGATCCGAGCCCTGGTCTAGAACTTCACTTGCCATCTGCAACCAACAGGAAATTGTTTAATCTAGAGAATCCTAGTTATTCCGAGGGGTTTGTCTTTGGTGTATTACCCTTAGAACGAATCCAATCATAGACTGGGTACGCTATTGAATTGACCATGAGTAAATGTGCAGAGCCTCGACACTTGTACTGTTGAAAGCGAAATGCATCCCTCTTTTGTTAAATAAAGATAAGAGCGGGTAGCCAATTTTAGGGCGTTGGTTGTAATGTATTCAATTATTGATTTGTACAAAGGTTTGGTAACGTCAGACCTTGAGTTAGCTAAATTATTTTCGAAAAGGCCTTCTTCAAACGTTGTTAACCTCTGTTTCAGTGGAAGATTTCTTCTGCTCCTGGGTGTTACCCGCTGATCCCCCTTCACCACTCTCTGGACCTCTCCATTTTCTCATCAGCTCAGAATTTCTCAGCTTCTGTATTTCATCTCCAACAATATCAACGAACTCAAAGGGACGTTTCCCTAAGCAGTACATGCCGGTTGCCACTACACCTGACGCCAGGACTATAACGCATATAGCCGTAAGTATCCAGGACATAAGAGTGCTGAAAAGCCCTGCGAGGGATCCGAAGACAACGTTGATCAAAATCGAGAGCGGTGCAAGTGCCTGGATGACCACGGCGCGGATAGGATACGTGTAGGATGGCGATGAAGAATGCGGCCGTAATGGGACGCTGGCTCTGATGGTCGAGGTGTCGTTCCCCCACATCTTCAGAGACAAAAGTACATCGTCTCCGTGTCCTTGCTTATTAAACAATATATCGAACTTTTGCACATCTCCTGCTTCCTCTGCAGACCGTTGGATTGTGAGCGGAACACTCGCATACTCTCGGTGAATCTGCCAGAAGAGCAAAATTGCATCTGCCTGTGGGAACCATGGCAAGTTCGCGCCATCCGTATCACCCGCTCGCGCAATCACTTCTACGTCCTCCGTGCGTCCGTTGTCCTCAGCCAGTGTATGGCGGAATACGTGTAGAGGCTGTTCCAGTCCCGAGATTGCAAGGGTGAGGTTGGAGATATCGAGCTCATAGTCAAGCGCAAAACCTATTCGGGAACCATCGGTTACCTTTACGGAAGTCCTATAGAGATGATAAAGTTAGCTTTTTGGTTTTTATTCATTTAGCTTTTTGGCTTTTATTCATTTTGTTCGCATACCCTTGCCTGTATACTCGACACAGTGTCTTGCCGCTGAGGAGGACCTTGGTTGCATAATCGGCGCCATTATCATTGTCTCGTTCACCGGAAGGGAAGGGAAGAAGCGCCCACAGCAGGGCGAGAAGCAGCCAAGCCCCGAAGATCGCCAAGAACAGGCGCCAGATACTACGGGCCAATTTCCACGGGCCTATCATCATGTATGAAAGGGGTATGCCGTCCGCTTGGCGGTGACTTCAATGGGGATTTGTTGCAGATACGAGGCCTTGAGACACGTGCTAGGAGGCTTAGTAACCTGTGTAATCTGATAGGTAAAATGTACTAATAAGCCGCGATGCTGAGATGTAGTAGCTGCGGTGCTGTCATGGGTATTTATAATAGAGTACAAGACGCTCCCTTTGTACTGAAAAAGAAAGAAGAGGAAAATTTTAGAGAGTCGTATGATCATTCAATGGCCCTCTTGAAATCCCTAGATACAGATGCTATTAAAAAAAGAGGGCACCGCCGCTATAATATTTTTGCATCCTGTAACGCCGCCCATAATTTATATGTACGCAAATATCTGCCTATAAACCCATTCCTCCTCCAGCCCAGGCGGGAAACGCATCCTCGGGGTTGACGGCATTGCCTTGTGCTTGCCTCTGGTCTTGACGCTCCCCTTCAACGTTCTGCGCATGCTGCTGTTGCATCCTTTGCCTCCACCACAAGAGCAAAACAAGCGCCGCTGTGATGCCTATGATGAGAGCGCTCTCAATAACCCCATCAAGAGGGTCTTCGCCATCATCTCCGATAGTACCATCGTATATGTCGTCATCATAGTAATCGTCTTCATACAAGAGTTCATCGTCCTCCAAGAAGTTGGCTATCCACTCTGACAGCGACCAGTCCTTCTGTTTCTCTGTACAAGTTGTCAGCAAACATGTTCAATTTTCTCTCCTCAGTCCTGGTTCTAAACTTACTCGGCTCATCTTGGATGGAGTGGATTGACCCATTGATCAATTTGTTCCAAGCACTTCGTACCCGAAGCTTTAGCAATCCAAGGGTAACGGGGAGATACGCTTCGTCATTAACCGCCAACGCATGGTCGTAGAATCTCTTGGCAAGATGGAAATCCTGTGTCAACCCGATGCCGTTTTCATGCATCCAACCCAAGTTGAAAAGCGCCTGAGCGCTTTGCGAATAGTCAGAAGCGCCCGTATAGCACTGAACTGCTTTGCCGATATCCCGCTCCGCACCGATGCCATAGAAGTAGTAGTCACCCATCTTTACAAGGGCGTCGACGTTTGATTGCCTAGATGCTCGCGTCCAGTAAATCAAGGCTAGTGCAGGATTATCGAGCAGCCCGGACCTGTCCTTTCGTTTGCGCAGCAGTTCAGATAGTGGGAGTTTGGATCGAATCGTGTCGAGGACATAGGCAACATTGGTTTGCGCCTTCTCGTATCCTTGCTCAGCCGCCAGGAGATATTGAAGAAACGCCAAGTCGTAGTCTCCAGCCTCATACGCATCGTTTGCATCCGCCCAAGATGAGACAAGAGGCTCTGCCTTTTCGGCCACGCTCTTGTAGTAGCTCAGCGCCATGCTACAAAGCTTTTCGCGACCAAGACCGTGGAAAACCAATTCTGCGAGATAATAGTTGGCCTCGATGTTGCCATAACGAGCGGCCAGCTCAAAGTAGTTGTTGGCGATGCGAACATCCTCAGTGCCGCCTTGGTCGAGGTATAACTGTCCCATTTGAACCTGCGCTGGGGCATAGTCGTGATCAGCGGATACTCTGAACAGCTCCACGGCTTTGACAACATTCTCCTTGACACCGTAGCCGTGCAGATACATGAGCCCCAGGCCATATCGAGACAGGGCATCAGCCTGTGAGTCGCCGCGATCAAACCACTGCTTTGCTCTATCAAAATTCTGAGTTACTCCATCTCCTCTCAGATACATCCGGCCGAGGTAGCCGGCGGCCTTACCGGCCAGTTTCTCGATGCCAGACTTGGCATTGTCTACAATGCGTCCATTCTTCCAGTACCTTGACGCAACCAATAAGAAATACTTTCTGGCCAACTCGTAGTCGTGGTCCAGCCCTCGCTGCCCCTCGTAATAGATGCGTCCCAGGTTGAATGAAGCCTTTGAATCACCCTTTTGAGACATGAGATCCAGATATTCAATAACATCGCCAATGGCAGCGTTGGCATCAGAGTTGGGACTAGGTTTAAAGGCATTCATGCCGGCGCTTGAAGCACTTGCGCCTTCTCCATACAACCCGCCATCGTCGTCCGCAATGCGCCATGACTGAGATACCCATGACATGCCACCGGGAGGACCAGAACGATACCACTCGATGGCCTTGTCCGCCACGCGCTTGTAGTATTTGACGGCAGTCTCGCAACTCTTTGTTGCTCCAATACCCGCTAGATGGCGAAAGCCAGTAGCCATCTCAGCTCTGGTGTCTCCTCGAACAGCGGCGAAGGTGTAGTAGAGGAGCGCTTTGCCTTGGTCTCGAGGGACAACATCGCCAATGCCTGTTGAGTAGTACAACCCCAGCATGTACTGCGCCGTAGTATTTCCATGGCTCGATGCCAGCTGTCGATAGTACTTGAAGGCAGCTCCAAGATCTCTGGGGTGGCTAAAGTTGCCGAAAAAGTTGAACTCGGCAAGGATATACAACGCATCGGAGTTGTTCTGGTTGGCAGCCTGCTCAAGGAATTCCACCGCATTCAACAGGGGACCGCTGAGTGGCGTCGACTTCGAATGCGATGGCGCAGTGACAGGTCCGGTTGGGATGGTCCTGAGAAGCAGGCGCAGGGCTGAGCTGAATATTCCGGATGACTGTCGACCTCGCCGGGGTGGTCGTGGGATCTTTCGGAGCTCGGCAAGCGCTGCGTCGACAAAATCGTGTCCTTTGGCTATGTCAGCGTCTTCCATAGCAGCTCTTGCACCGACAAGTGGCGGCGTACCAGGTTGCGAAAAAGCAGCACTTTCATGCCCTCCTGCAACGTCTACAAAGGATTCAACCGCATGTTTATCACCACCGGTGTGCGCCGTGGAGTCGCTGTGGCTGCCGAGAGGTTGCTGATCGGGGGAGCTGATGACGGCTGAGGCCTGCGCAAGCACTGAGACACCCGCGTGAGCTCTAATCCAAGCAATGCACAATCTGGCGGAGCGACTTACGGAGTAGCCAGGCTATCCAGCCTCTCATTCTGGGCAATTGCTATGTGCCTATGTTCGGAATAGAAGCCCGCGGCATGGCTATCGTGTAGAGAAGAGTAAGCAGTGCTTGTGAGTCGCAAGATGTTGCATCAGATCCAATTCGGTATCGTACAAGCTGTCCACTACTCGGGCAGTGATAGGTAAGCTTCCGCTCCCCATTCCGCGCCATGGTGTGCGATGACTAAGCACCCCTGCTTGTCAGGAACTGACTGGCGTCATCGCAGCTACCGGCACGTGTAGCAACGGCGAGAAAAAGGCAAACAGGACACGTTGAAGACCTTGTAAAAAGTTACCTCCTGCATGGATGCTGGATATGGTCGCATTATGCACGACCTGCTGTCCAAGAAAAATACAATCTTTCTACACTACGCTTCGCCACGGCCTTGCATGATTGACCAAGAAACAGCTGCACAATTGAAAGTCAATGGGGAGCTGCGGGACGGAACAAGATGCCCGGCGTGGGGCCGATTCGGCAAGGGTCTCCCCCAACACCCCAAGCGCTGGCTGAGATCCAGTGGCGGTGCCAGGCGTCTTGTCCGCTGAAGACACACGACAGCACACTGTACAGCACGGCACGGCACTGCTAGCGAGTCTCCCTGCCTGAAGCTTACAGCGCTAACGCCGCCACTTTTCAGCCGTCACGCGTGAAAAGTCAGGGCTGCAGCGCGTTAATGGCTGCCCTAGCCCGCGTCGGAAGACGCGCTTCCTGGCAGCTTTTATCAGCCCAGCCATCCAGCAATTCCTGTCTGGTCAAACATCTTGCACGGGTCAGCTCGGTTGAGTCTCCTGGATTTCATCTCCTTCCCTCCGCCGCTCCCAGAATATCTGCTCTTGTGCAACTTTCTTTAGCAATTGGATATTAACCACCAATTCATTTATCGTGGCTAGACTTGTCAGTTCACAGGCTGTTACTGCATATTCCCTCTTTCGACGACTCAGCCGCCCATCTCCACTTCTCCACAGCCATCAATTCCGCACAATGTCGAATCTCAAGAGAAAAGCGGCCTCGACAGGCAATGAGAACGAGGCGAAGAAAACAAGGGCCAATGGTAGCATTGCTTCCTTCTTCGGGGCTGTCCCAAAGCTTGCCGGTGCCGCTGCTGCTTCTTCCTCTCCAGCCGCCAAGTTTGACAAGGCAAAATGGGTTGAAGGCTTGACTGCCGAACAGAAGGAGCTGCTCAAGCTCGAGATTGAAACTCTCCACGACAGCTGGCTTGCATTACTCAAGGATGATGTGACCACCAAGGAATTCCTTGAATTGAAGAAGTTCCTAAACCGCGAGACAGCCGCTGGCAAGAAATGGTTCCCGCCAAAGGAGGACGTGTACTCTTGGTAGGTCCCCCAAAACCCTCTTCACATGTCTGTCATGTAGCCTAACAAGCTCAGGTCTCGTCACACACCATTCAACGAGGTCAAGGTCGTCATCGTTGGCCAAGATCCTTACCATAACGTGAACCAGGCCCACGGCATGGCCTTTTCCGTCCGACCGCCCACGCCGGCGCCGCCGTCACTCAGAAATATGTATATTGCTTTGAAGAAGGATTACCCCAGCTTCGTTGAGCCAGCGAATAGGGGTGGCTTGCTGATACCATGGGCCGATCGAGGCGTGCTGATGCTCAATACATGTCTTACTGTTCGTGCGCACGAGGCCAATTCACATGCCAATCGTGGCTGGGAGCGTTTCACACAAAAAGTTATCGATCTCATTGCTCAGAAGCGGACACGAGGTGTCGTATTTATGGCATGGGGAACACCAGCTAGCAAGCGTGTACAGAAGGTGGACAAACAACGCCATCTTGTGCTCCTCAGCGTCCATCCTAGCCCGCTCAGCGCGTCCAGGGGATTCTTCGATTGCGGTCACTTCAAGTCGGCAAACGCATGGCTCATTACTCGATACGGCGACGACGGTGAGATCGACTGGGCTTTGAGGCCTGATAATACGACCAAGAAAACCATCAAAGAGGCACCAAAGAAAGATACCAAAGAGGATAACGAGGAAAAGAAGACGAAAGACTCAGAAGAGGAGGAAGAACCAAAGGTAGATTCGTCAGAGAAGCAAAAGGGTAATGCAAAGACCAATGGCGATTCCAAGGCCAAGAAGCCAGAATTCGACGATGACGAGGAGGATGTTGATTCCGATGAGGAAGCTGCATTGGAAGAGGCCCTTAAACTTGCAGAAGAGAAGACCAAGAACTAAACAGCTTACCAGCTTTACTAGAGCTATTGGGTGGGAATTCTACGAATCGGGGGAGAGCGATACGTTCATGACAATGTCTGTGTATTTACGAACTATAATGGCAACTCGGGTGGCACTACAACAGGTAGCGTCGGTGGCGCGGGCTTTGGGACTTCAGATTGAATTACTTGTATAGGAAACGAATATGATTTGAGACAGAAACATTACGAGGCTATCAAGCGGATTTATTGAATCGAAATTTTGTCTCAGGTGCTATTCTTGACGATCTTGTGGCACTTGAGACCTAGGACGTCAGCTAGGATCGCAGACATTCATCTGAAATCCATGCCTCAGCCTTTCTACTTATTAGGCACTATATTCTGCTCTACCGATAAATACCGTTGCACACATTGCCATACAGGCAAGGATTGAGCTGCCGAGTACTTTGTAGTCATCTACGATTTGATTTCGCCTGCGGGACGCGGATTACTCCGTACACCATGCAGACCGCAGCTCTATACGTCGTGTCGGTATGAAGCTAGACTATAGTACTCGGTAAGTAGATTTGAGATAACCTACCTAGAGATGTCAGGCACGGCAGAAGGTTTATCTGATGTCAATTTCGTATTTGGATTATGAAGGACGCGGTTAGCCATCGCTCCAAATTGGCCACAGCATCTACCACCTATTCAGCACTCAAGGTATCTTTCAATAGCTTCCCGTAAACCCGAGAGAATGGATAGCCACTCCCGTTATTAATTCCCTTCTGGGCCTTGGCTACCAGGTACCCAGGAGGCAATAAAGCAGGGGGCTGAAGTAGCGTGAGGTAACCAGCTGAACATTTATCACGCTCCGTACCTGAACAAGAGGTTTGACATGTAATAGCTGTGCGTGTCACAGAGCTAAGCTTCTCGGTAACAACCGCCTTGCCCAAGTGCTAATTACCTTACTCTTGCTTTGTAATAATAGCCGTCGAATTATAGGGGCTCCCTTCTTTTGGGGGCATCATTGTCTTGTCAACACTGGTGTTGCTATCATCTACCGTGCTCAATCTCCAACGTTGGGATACTACATAACACTTGTACGCGTATGGCTATACTAACCAAAATCGTACACAACCGACGAAGTTGCACGTTAATAAACATCAAACGGCGTTTCTTGATAGGACGGGTAACTCACAGCTTTGCACCAAGTAAGAAGCTGGATGCTGACAGCCCTAATGGTAGGCTGAGGATTTGTTTCAAAAGATGTTAGCGCAAGCAATCAAACAATATCGCCAATGGCCCAAGCTTGCCCAATCCCTGCCTCGTATGATTTCATGTTGACGGAGCCAGTCGCCCGCGTACTTACATGTACTCCGCATGGAGAAAGCTGCTCGTACCTTATGTACCTAGTATCGTAATAAGATCAGATACCCGACTCAGGCGACGTAATATTGGGGCGAAAGCGCACAGGTCTGAGACAAGACAAGATAAGCCGCCGTTGGACAAAGTTGGTGTGCATGTGGCGCTGGCATTGCATCCCAGCAGCAGTAGTACTTGCATCTGCATGTGCCCAATCCAGCCTCACGAGGATAGTAGACTACCTAGTAGTACTGTACTTGCAACTACCTACCTAAACACCCATGTACGCACACAAGTGATGAATGTGATGGGCTCTTGGACGGAGCTCCAGCTGTGACGCCCAATGGTTTGGCTTAATTTAAATTTCAGGGTTAGCCCGTCTGCTGGCTCCCGGGGCAGCCATGTCTGGCGCCGAAAAGGTATTGGTACTCGACGTTTTTGACAGTGGTGGCCCTCCGCTGCCAAGGTACAAGCACCGTCTCTGTTCGCTACCGCGCGAAGGCCATTGAGCGGCCAAGGCAACCCCCACCATTGTCTCGGCGAAGGCTGTAGCCACTGCCGCCTCCAGGCACAAGTACCAGTACTTTTGCGATGCAGCTCCACCAAGCGTTCATCTACGTATCGGACCTTGAAGCAACAGGCTGGAGCATCGCTGTCATGGAATCAATACGTGTCAATACTTTGTATACAGATGGTGTCGACAAAATGGAACCTTGTACCATCCTATACGATACAACGCACCACATCCAATCGCCCAAGCCTTGGCCCCCGGCGCCGAACATGCCAGCAAGACAGAAACAGAGCCCAATTGGGCCCTGACATCAAGGTACATGCATGGAGGGAGGGAGCACCAACAGCGATGCAAAATCACCCAAATCAACCACTATCACTGCAATTGGCCTGCGGGCAGTACTGCTACCTTAGTAGCCTCGATGCCGCCGTGCCCAAGCAAAGTACCGCTCCGCGCTGTTTCCGCCGGGCGAGTACCTGCCCCCCAGCTGGTTGGCGCACTCGCGCGCTCCCACAATTTAGCATCTAATCTTAGTCGCATAAAGACCCGTAGACTGGCCCCTGGCCCGGTCTTGTCGCGCCCCTGAAGGCAGACGAGCAAAAAGATTCCCACCACCTTCGTCGCCATCTCCAGCAAGCGAAATCATCCTCTTCCTCTGCGTGCGGGACGGCGTCCCTTCTTGAGGATCGTGAGCCTGTGTGAGCGCGCTGGCTGCTTCCCCTCGTTGAGCTTCATCAACAAGTGCCCCTCCTTTTTCGTTTCGTTTCGTTCACCTGTGCTGTATCGCCTCTATTTCTTATTCAACCCACCCCGTGCCGTGGCCGCCAGCTGCGCACTTATACGAAATTCGCAGCGCGAATTGATTGCCTTCTTCTTCTCTGCATTGTCGAGCCTGGTGGTGTGATTGGCATCTCGGCACGTTCAGTCGCTACGGCTGGGTCCCTCGCCCAAGTCTCGGCATTGCCTTTTTTTACTTCTTTGTCTGCAAGCTATAATCCACCGCTTCTTGACAGGCTGGAACCTAGCAGCAGCAACTTCCTACCCGCATATTTCTTTCTTTGAATGATTTATGCCAATCGTTGCATCGACAGTCCCTTCTCCGGTCGTTGATACAATTGCTCAAAATGCCTGGCATCTTCTCCCGTCGCAAGAAGGACGCCAAGTCCAAGAAGAACGGACTTGACGACGCAGATTTGCTTCCGCTGAAGAAGAAATGGGACGATGCTTGGACCCGCAAGACGGTTGAGCCTGAGGAGGTTCGAGAGCTTCTGCACGGCTGCTGTGAAGAGCTCAAGTCTCGGGGTATGACATCCCTCAATGATAGCCATGAGGCAGCTTGCTGCGACTCTGGAGATTCATCGCACAATTGCCTTTGACTAACAATTGCGTTCCAGGACTCGACCATCCCTTCTTCCTGCTTCCTTTCCGACCGACATCGAATCCCAGTGCCGTCCGCACGTTCATCCGAAACTTTTTCAGCCAAGACCCTCCGATTAGCGGGGAGATGCTGCTCCAGGAGCTGCGCATGACAGAGCCCATGGTACGTGCCTCTGTATACATGGTAAAGTGGAATGCTCACACAAAAATGTAGGTCATCTCGGGCGTGGTAAAATGGTGCTGGAGTCGTCTTCACGGAGGCCTCATTGGCTGGGATGCGTATGAATTGTTCAAGGTTGGAGAACGAGGTATGTGATGGGGACTTATAATAAGCGTTTTACGGTTATATTCGGGCGCTGACTTTTTGGTGCTACCCAAGACTCCAACATGGCCCGCGATTCGTTCAAGACGTTCATCCCTCTCAGCGTGGAAAATGCTGCGCGCCAACAGATAATCTTCGATTTCTTTAGCCTGATAGCGGCAGTGGCTGCCCATGGCAAGAACAACGGCTTTGGTGGGCGCAAGCTGTCTCGTATGGCCTCGTGGTGGGCCTTTGATCACAACGACACTGGCAACGGTTTCGACGGCAGTTATGGGGCGTGGCTCAGGTACGACGACGAGTTGCCAACTCTGAATACAGAATCTCGATGGAACTTTATGCTAATTTTTCTGCGCCTGCAGTGCTGCCGATGCCACCAGTCATCTCTTTTTCGCTTATCTGAGGTCGCTTTCCCCTGAGCAAAACCCCACAGGAATCACCATGCTGCCCAGGTCCCTTCAGAAGCTGCTTCAGGAAACCGAGTATCCACCACAGAGGCCGGAATTGCTTCTGGTCAAGACCAAAAAAGTGGTCATGATTGTTGACACAGTTTCCCCAACCCCGTTTGCCTTGTTGCGCAGAGCGAACCACTTTCAATATCGTGACTCTGATAGCGAGCTCCAGGAATTTTCCAGCTACGAAGACCCAGTGCAGGCACTAACAGACGAATGCCAGCGAGTTCTCAAGGCAATTTCATCAGCTAATCAGTCGCAAGCGTCGAGCGCAAAGGTTTCTACGAGCTTACGAGATGCCTCTTGGTCTCGTTTCGAAGATATTGGATTCGCCAGCTCCCTGGAGGAGGAAGACGACGATGAAGGAAGCGTTGTGCCAAAGAGAACGCAACAGCTCAAACAGTTCCAGGGGCTCCGCAACAGCCCGCTATCTGGCGGTAACGGGCTGGCACGCCCAACTACGCCTTCGTGGGCGGACTTCTTGTCAGCCGGTTTTGTCGACGACAACCAGTCAAGGCCCAACTACCTTTTGCCTCCCGATAAAATTCTCCCGCCACTGTCGCCGGATGGCCGTCAACTTAGTTCGCAATCTCATCAACCAAGGCTCGAGAGCGAAAGGGACGTTGAGCCGGGAGAGCTCGCCAGCATTAGGGTTATCGACCTGGATGACGCTTTCTGGTGGGTGTGGATGACCAGTCTTGCGCCAGAAGAGACCCCTGAACGCAAGTCTGCTTTTGGCAGATGCGCTGTTGTTGAGACTTCGATCCGTGGTTGCCGCTGGCTTGTTGTGGAGGAGATGATTGCGGGGGCGGCCCCGGATGCTCAAGAAGGGGCCTACATTGCCGAAAAGAAGGGATTGTTCTCGTGGACGAAACGGTCCAAAACCGTCTCTCGACGCAAGAAGTCTCTCGACAAGAATGACAAGACTGCAACGGCCAACGCCAACGACAGCAAGGCCAGCATTGGCCCAGATGCTCATGCCAGAGTCCAGGCAAAGGCTGCCCAACTGAGGGCTCAGCAGGACCGAGAGGAGAACCGCCCACCGCCCGTTGTTCGCCGGGGCCGTACTGACGCCGAGTTGCTCGCTGAAAAGACTAATAGTGTTATGACCCTTCAGCCCAATATTCTGGGTGAGGCCTCCTCCGCTATGAAGTGGGTTAAGAAGTACGACAAGGGCACCATTAAGGATATGTACATGGCCAACGAGAGCGCTGGTCGAGGAACAACTGTTTCCGAACCCATCGAAAACCATGAAACCTCCGGTGACAGCCTTCCCTCGCCTGCAGTGCCTCCAAAGGACAGTCTTTTGACACCGGCCGCTTCGCCCTTACCCCATGGACACTCTGCTTTGTCATTGGTCCCTGAGAATGTCTTGGAAGAGGCGCGCTCTCGCTCTCCTCTTCCAGAAAAGGCTGAAACTCCTGTGCCTGCTGCTCCTGAGCAAGCAAAGGCGGAGCCCAGCCTGCCAACACCGCCCAAAGAAGAGCCCGCTGTTCGGGTTACGTCGCCTACCTTTAATGGCAAACCCACATCTTTCGAAGCCCCACGGAGCCCCGAGCCCACAAAACAACAAAAGGGTGGCTTCCTGAAGCTGTTTGGCCGCAAGAAGCGCACCTCCAAGAACCTGGAAGCTGTTACGACTGATCTGAACAAGATGCTCGAGCAGAATGCTAAGAAGTCTATCGAGAAGCCGATGGCTAGTCCTGCTGTTGTCTCCCCGATTGAGCAAGAGCCAGACACGCCAGTGGATGGAGAGCCGATTTACGAGCCGATTTACGACCAGCCGGCCGACGATGACGCCGAACACGCTGATGCCCCTCATGAACCAGAACCTGATCACGATTTCTCGAGATTTGATCAAGGCCCCCTGGATGACGTACCAGCGTTTGTCCCTGAAGATGATGAGGATGAATTCGAAGATGCAGTGCCAGCACCGATTCCTCGTCCTGGCCGCCAGGAACCCCCCAAGTTCCCTTCAAAGCTGCCTGTGAAAGAAGGAATCGCTCCTACTCCTGTGAACGAAGGACTCGCTCCTGGCATCAGCCCCGGCATTCAGGACCGCTTCGCCCAGCTCCGCAAGAATGCGGCTGAGCGAACCGCAAACCGCCCGGATGACTTCCCCAAGCCCACCAAGACAACTGAGGGTGAAGATGGAGAGGAGAGTACGTGCTATTAACCACCCCCTCCCACTTATACAAATGCGCATACAGTTTACTGACTTTTCTGCAGCAATCGAGTCTCGCGTCGCACGCATCAAGGCCCGAGTCGCCGAGCTCACAGGCAACATGGAGGGCACATCGGTGCCTCTCCGTAATAACTGAGCGAACAAGCCAAAACTAACTCACTTTGCCCGATTTCTTGTTATCAATACTTCTCTTTACTATTTCTGCCGCAATTTGATACCACTCGTCGTCATTTTCCCTTGAACGCAATCAGAGATACGATGCAATGTGCAGCGTTTCATTTTTAATACTAGTCCATTCTCTCTCTTTTTGTCTCTCTTCCTCTCTCTATCACATCTCTTTTTTTTCTTTCAGACTTACGTATGATACCACCTAAAAAATGGGAAATGAAGGCGGGGAACCTCAAAACAAGTAGACATGGGATTTCAGCCATTTTCATTACCACGCACGATTCAGTTATCTTCAAATACGAGAAAAGATTATGCTGAGAAGGTTAAATGCATTTGGAATTTGGAATCTCTCTTTGTCTTTCCCCTCCCCTTCTTCTTCTATCTACCACCGTTTTGATCCGGGCTAAAACTGTCTGTCATATTTCCCTATTTCTTTTCTCAATTCCTTTTCACCGAGTTTTCTTGATTCTGTCCTGTCCCAAATGAAAGAGCGTTGGAGGGTTCCATATGAAGATGGAAGATGATGAATATCGTTGATACATACTCCCTCGGGGTTTTGAAGCCTGATATATAGAACCTGAGAATGCAAGAAATATTACTCGTGCTTTTTTTATACTTTTGACTGAGTAGCGTGATTGGATTTTGAGTGTCGTTGCGATGTATATATATTAAGATGAGACCGCTGCCTTCCAGGTGCCATCAAGCTGACCATTTCGCCCTCATAATGCCTCAAAAGTTCTCCTTAGCCCTCAAGAACAATTCCCTCATCGTCAAGAACAATCCCATCGTCGTCAAGAACAATCCCATCATCGTCAAGAACATTCCCATCATCATCAAGAACATTCCCATCACCGTCAAAAAAATTTCCATCATCCTCAAAAATTCCCTTTCTGAGCTCAAAAAACGTCGATAGGTCGGTCTCCTGTCTCCTCAGCCTGTGCTCCAGACTGCTGTTATGGAGTTCGACTCTCTCAAGGGATGTCTTGTTGACATCGATTGCTACTTTATTGAGATCAACATCTTCCTTGATGACCTCGATGTCTTCCTCAACAGCTTCGAAGTTGTCCTTTAGTTCGTTGATCGCTGCATTGTTGAGCTCAATTGATCTCATGACTTCTTTCTTGTCGTTGACACGCTCAATGGCGAGTCGACGAACTTCTTTTTGGAGTCCCTCGACGATGACCAGTAGGTCCAACCTTCCTTTCTTTTCGGCGTAGAGCTCGGTTTGTAACTGGGCGATTTTTTCTCTCAGTGACCTGATTTGGATAGATTCAAGCCTTGCGCGGTTGGAATCATGAGTGCAAGTTTGTCGACTACACAGCGGTCGATTATCACTGCGCTGGGCCCGATGCTCCGTGTCACTACTGTCTTCTTCATACTCAAACTCGTCTTCGTCGTCGTCATCGTCGTCATCGTCGCCGTTGTCATCGTCTTCATTCTCATCGTGAACTTCAGGGGCGGCGGCGACAGGGGCGGCGCAAGACGTCTTCAGCTTCTTTTCTTGTACAGCCATGGACGTGGTAGCCTTTCGTTTTGTTCCCATATACGGGAATGGGATAAAATGATCCATCTTAGGCTTCTTTGATGTCTTTTTGGAGTCGAGATGTTCTGGGACTTGTTGTTGTGTTGAAGTATTGAAGTGTCTTTGTATTCGACAGACAGAAGCCGTCCTTGAAGTATGATTGCTTGAAGCCTGGCTTGAAGCTTCGAGAGAAGTTAAGGAAGAAGAAGAGAGGTGCATCACTATTTAAATGAAGAGTTAGAGAGCCAGTAGCACGTGATGAATTGGACTGCTGGCAGTGCTAGGCAATGGTAATTACTGGTTGGAGTTCATATCAAAGCGTAGGTGGTAGGTAGTATACCAGTGCCTTTGTTCGCACAGGTAAAGTTGAACTCAGGTTCCTACTTGGTCTGTATTCACCAAACAACAGGAGCTTCAAAGCTGAACTTCTCGGTTTAGTGATCAAAGCAGGTATCCGCATTCACAGCTACCTTATTATCAAAACGATACATTCACAGAAGCAATCACGGGAGGGTGAATGATCCAGTTATGTGAGAGATGCTTCAAGTTATAGTCTACTTGTGTCCACCGTGTGCTGCAGGCTTCCGCCTCAGCAGCTGCGCACGAGTATAAAAGCCTGCCTCTGTTTGAAAGTTCATTTTCTCTATTCCTTTATTCTCTCATCCTCCAATTTTATATTACTGGGAGGTGCTTCACCCATCAAGACTCATCATGGATACTCACCCTTAGTACTTATTGCGTGTGAGTGGCACAAAGCATCACTCATAGACGCAAGTCTCTTAAATGAAAATGAACCTGTTTGGACAAGATACGCCCTTGGATAAATATAGCCTGAGTTCAACATACAATCAACAAATTTTTACCCGCTGAATGCAAACCTCATGCCTTTATTCCGTCATCCAAACTATTTGCTACTCTCCCCCGACCTACGCGGCCAGCGGGATAGATGAAACCATTTCTCGGTGGGCTTCCCTTCTCTTCCTCAATTATCGTCGCAAGCTACATACTAAATGGAACTTCTAGGGAAAATAAGTCATCAAGAATTTCCCTACTTCGCTCAGGAACGGAATGCGTCAGTCAATTCTGCGCCTCGTCAAGCAGCATATGCAGTTGCTGAAGAAAGGCACGATGACCAATGACTTGGCTGCCTCCTGAATCTACTGAATCACTTGCTTTTGACCGACTAAACGAAGAGCCTATTGTTAGCAATATCGCCACATGAGAGCTTCAATGTCGGATTTTCAACACGATATACTTCATTGAGATTCAATACGGCTACCGTTAGCATAGGAAGAATGCTTTATTTGGCTATCTCATTATACGCTATTCACCACGGACAGACGGGTGCCAACACTTGCTATTTCTCTTTCGGACAAATAAGTTTGGTGGTACACATTATAACACATTTTCCAACCCCCAACCATCTATCTACTTCACAGATACTCAACAGTATCTCACAGTCAGTGAGAAACCGCCGCGGATATGATGTGTTCATCATTACCGCCTATTAGTGACAGGTGACGAATATGAATGAAGATGACCAGAAAGAATACTGGAGCTTAATCAAACCATCATCTTTCAATATGAGCGATGATACCATAGATGATCATTTGAGGCATCCCCTTTATGCAAAAAATAAGAATTGAGCCTACATTATTCGACTTCAATCGCAGATATACAGAACAGTCATCATCACAACGTCAACCAGAAGCATCGAAGTGGTGCTAAAGCAACAATACCCACATGCCACGATGAAGTGTGGAGGCGGCCGATTGCTCTATATGCGAAGGTTTGGCCGCTTGCACAATCTGTGTCGTCGTGGCACATTGAAGCCAGGGGACGGGCGGCAAACAACAGGAGTACAAAGAATTGATGGACGAGGCATTCTTGGGGAGCCAGGTAACCATCGACTGTACAAAGCGTGCCATGCCGCTTAGGGCAGGCGAGACGAAACTGGGACAACAGCAAGTCGATAGACGCGAGAAACCGGCGTCTTCGATGTATTCAATGGACAGCTCAATTGAGCTTCCTCCGAGACCGCCCATGGACCAAACTGCTCCGCAAAACGATTTCATACCCAGGCCATGGATATTAATAAACTCCAATGGGTTCACTACATCATGTTGAAAGCGATATATGATAAGCAAAGTCTTCCGCTTGCGTATATTGCTTTGGTCCAGGAAAAGTTCAACACTACGTGTGTGAGCGACATGTCAGCTGGGTATTACAAGATTTACCCGGATATTGTTGAAGAAAAGAAAAAATGGGATGCTTGGGCAGTGAGCGATGCTCAGACAAGTGAAGAAGGAGTTGAAACGACAAGTGAAGAAGGGGTTGAAACGACAAGTGAAGAAGGGGTTGAAACGACAACTGATAAGCCACGATCCACGACTCAAACACCAAAAAAGCGAAAGCAAGATGATCAGCGGAAATCAACAGCTGAGGAGCAGCGTCAGGAGTTCATTGGTAAACATCCAGTTGCAATAGCACGATGTTGGCTTGACGTTATGGGTGCAGGGTAAAATATTCTCTGGCACTCAGCATGGCCGGCGTAGAGTGCGTTTTCTAAGCTTTAGTCTGGATTTTGGTCTGTCCTACGTAATGCTAGATAAAAATGATTATGGTAAGAAAATTATTTGCAGAATGTGCATGGACGCTCTAGTTAAAAATGCATATATGGCTGACATGGATTTTACGGTAATGATTTTTGGATGTATGGACAGTATGAGACAGTTGCTGTAATTCTTATAGTAGAGATAAAATTAATACGGCTGGGCAAAATCCTTACGATTTAAAATCCTTTATAGAGAGAATAGTATTCTCCTCCGATTCTTCTCCCTCTGATTCTGTGATAGGAGGGCTCAGCTGTATGATCTGGGCATCAAGATCCGGAGTGTTGGGTAGAGTTTGGACTACAGCTGGGCGTATAAAGGTACGCCAGATCGGCGACGTGGTATATGTAGCATTATCGCCTGCCATACCAATAGGTTAAAACTTGGTAGATATTCACGAATGGATTCACAAGACATACCTGGTCCAGCATAAAATGCATCCTCAATCTCAAATCTGCGGGCAATGATCCCAATTGCTTCTTCTTATTCAGCCTCAGAAAATGCGCATCGATGAACATATGGTATGCGCTGGAAGAAAATCTCAGCCTTGATCCGACATCACTTCATCCACTATATCGTTGCACCTCATTGTGACGTGTGTAGAGACCGCAGGAGACGGGATATGGTAAAGTACTCTATCTACTCCATCTACTCTATCTATTCTATCTACTCTATCTACTCTATCTACTCTATCTACTCTATCTACTCTATCTACTCTATCTACTCCATCTACTTAAATAACTCTAAGAGCTGAAGGCAGTCCCATAATCAGTGTCCATATATGGATGATATAATTCAGCCTTGCTACAGCGCACTCTAGCTATTTCTTCCCGATTGTAAACATCTTGGGTATTGGTGCTTGATAGTAGTAGTATGGGATTGTACTTGGTACTAGTGTGAAGTCGTAGAGGTAACAGATGAGTCTTTGAAACAAAAGATTAATCTAGGTGAAAGTGATAGTTTTATAAAATTAAGACAAAAGTAAAAGAAAAATGAATCATACTGAAAACTTTTAGTCGCACCTGTCGACACCTTGGAGGAATACCCTGAAACCTTGAACATGAGGTTTCCACGGTCGGCTACTGGTAGAACTCTTTAACTTACAAGCTCGTCGAACGTAAGCAATGTAGGGAACGCATTTCTACCGGATGATTCCTTTAAATACATTCTCCAAGCAGGGTAGCTATCACCATACCTCATAGTACACTTCTCTCTTCTCCAGACTATTTACCTGTACTCTATATCGCTCCATTTGCTCCATTTTATATCCTTCTCTTATCCCATTCCATATCTTATCCCGCTAATAATGTACATGTATATACGTATCCGCATGCTATGAATATTCCCTAGCGTTTGTTTTATTTGTCGCCAGTTCTTTAAGATACGCTTGCCAGCCCTATCGACGCTATACATGCATTCACGCATATCTAGTAGATCATGTGATTTTACTTGATTAGATGAGATTGTGTGTATAATTTTTCACTATCTACAAGACTGTTGGTCGAGTAGAATGATTATTGTGCGCGAAAGGAGGGGGGAAAAGACATTCCCAATGGTCCGCGCCATCCAGAATGACAAACACCACGGCCCAGCGAGACCTCATCCTCGATTCTGCTTGAACAATATTCAATCACATCTATTTTCCCCCTTTCAACGCTACACAATGCATCTATCCTCTCAACAATGAGCGCACCGTCGTTATCCACGCCCAACCACATCCTGTCTGTACCAGCAAAGAACCTTGACGCAAACAAAATGCAAAATCTCTCCCCCATTCCCTTGCACAAAAATCCTTTTCCTTTCCCTTTCTCCCTTTTTTACAAACAAGTCTCCCTTTCATCCCGGCTCGTATCCCGCCGCATTTGGTCCGTGCTTCAATCAGCTATTTCCCCCCCGGCAGCTAGCCGGCCGTGTCTATGCAACGTCTCGCCCGCTCTTCCGCTCTGACCCGCCACGTTTAAGCTTGAATTGCCGCGAAAAACGGGCGGGAGATGTCCATGCTATTTCGTATCGGTGCCGAACCGGATCCTGGTGAACCGGCGTAAAGGGCCGTGCTGCCAAGCTTCTCATGGTTCGCGCGATGGAGGATGAATCCTTCCGATTGTATGCCAGCACGGTCGCTTTGGCTTGCTGAAGGCTTTGCAGAATTTAGAAAGTATTGTGCTTTTCAATCGTGTCATCGGCTTTATAGTAGTGTAGAAATAATCCTACAATCTCTCGGAAAAATAAAACATATGACGTCCTACGCATCATCACCACCTCCTACCTCAATTGAGTTACAAATTCGTATTATCGGGACAACTCTCCCTCCCAAAAAATATTGCGTCACCAAACAAGGAGACACAAAAACAACATCAAGGTGAATGAATATCCGGCGCTCAAACACTACCCTAGCAACGCTTAGAAGCAAAAGCAGCCTTGGCTCATCTAGACATAGAGGACAGCCACATGATGACTTGTCTCACGGCTAGCCAACACGGCCTGCTGCTGACATTGCGTAACCTCACTTTTGGCCATCGTACCGCCGGCAGCTGGGGAGGCGGCTCTGTGGGGAAGAGGCCGTATTCTGTGATACTCTTATTACGAACGCGCAGCCGCAGCCCCTGTGACAGCCCGAATGGCCCTAACAAGCTACGGCGACCAGATTGTGAGACCCCACGACAGATGTATCAAAATGACGAGCATAGGGCAAAATAAGCTAATTATATGGATTTCCTGTTCGTCAATTGGTGGCTGTGGACAATTAGCTCCGAAGGGGGGCTGCGGCCGCATATGCGGCCAGGCTGTGTTGGCCGACCAATGGCATTCAAATTTTGACCACTTGGCTCACGAGGCAGACAACTTCTCGACGGTAAATCATAAGAAACAAGCAGTTAGGTGAGAACGAGATAAAACAAAGGTAAAATAAGACACCGCTGTTAGATTTGGTATGATGCTCTAGCTGTGTGGCCTAGGTATAGGCAGAAAGGCTGTGGCCATAGGAAAAAGAACAGCCTCCCCGCAAAATCCGCTATACCCAATCATTGCCTCATAACCATGGACTATGTACATGCGCTATCATTCATCCTGCATACAAGTGAATTGCATCCTCCTCATAGCTCGGACAAGATGGAAAAGTAGAAAAAGAAAAAGTAGATTGGAAATAGAAAAAGAAGAATAAAGAAAAGACGAAACCAGGTCGTCAATGGAAGGTAAACAGATGGATTGAAGAAAGAAAACAAAAGAAGAAAAGAAGAAGAAGAAAAATGTAAAATCAAGAGAAAAAAGCGTGGATACTCCTCTTGCGAAAGATGAATCCAGCATCAGGAGGTCGAAGGAGCCTAGGCCTATTGCTAGGGCCTCCAACTTTTGTCTATAATTGAGTGCATCGTAAAGAAAGATATGAAGAGAAGAAGAAGGTAAACGAAGAAGAGAGAAAGATGGAAATAAAGAGGGAAAGAAGATAGAAAGAAGAGGATGAGATGGGTGAGAGATAAAAAAGAAAAGAAAAGAAACAAGAAAGGAAAAGAAGAAAAAGATGAGGTGAGATGGGATGAGATCAACCCGTGTCGAATTGTGTAGAACCAGGAGGGAGGGCACCAGTCCATTGATGATTATTCAACGGCCTGGGTTAGGACACTCAGAGCGCCTGCAGTATCCTTCCCATGTCTGAGTGCCTTGGTCTTCGATTTTAGAGCAGCCACAGCTGGGCTTGCGCGCGGACTCGGTGACGGTGCAGCCACAGTGGGTGTAGTGCTGTCGAATGATCCAGACACACATGTTGATTGCTTCGGTGGGAAAGTGGCGTAGAATGGAGTTTAAAGAGAGGGGAGCTGAAGAAGAGAGAGTATTCCGGATTGGAATTGGCTCACTAAAAGGAAGGCGTCTTGTCAGTGAGTCTTCGCGCAGAGAGTGGTCTGCATAGAGATGGTTTTGCATACAACTTTCTACCGTTTGATCCTCTTAGCGTTGGAAGGATTGAGGTGTTGCGTTTGGATGAACGGCTCAAGGAGTGAAGATTGTAGAGATAGGAGTGTTCAAGATGATTGAAAGAAGTTGTCTGCTGGTGAATATCAAGTGATGCTCTTGATTTAGAGTGCTGGATGAAGCTTGGGAGGAGATATCGAGAAACACAGCAGGTGTGTTTGTCGTTTATATATCTTGTGGAACGAAAGCCTCGGGACTGGGTAGAGGCTGTGAATATACATTGTTTGCTCAGAACGGTGTTCATTCTTACCCAGGAACAAAGCCCCTTCAGGCAGAGTACAAGACCAGACGTCAACTGATGTATGGCTGTTGGCTGTTTGCTTCTTCTTCTTCGGGACTTCCCAGACGCATGCACACGGCTGTTAGATGCACATTTGCAGGGCCCCAGAGACATAACAAGAAGACGAGAAGCCGACATGTACGTTAGTCGCCACCAATATATGCTCGTATGCGCGGCCGTTGTTATGTGTGGTGCCGCGGGATGGTGTTAGTTGTCGTCGTGTCTACTCGGCGGTAGGTGCGAGGTTCTGTCTGCCTTCTGGCCCGTTCTCTCGCCAGGGGGCATTTTGTTGTCTGGGAGAAGGGGGAGGCAGTGAGGCGACATCAAGTAGCCCTGATCGGACCACGAGGCATCGCAGTATCGGCAGTTTGCACAAGGCCATGTCAAGCACCGCGCGGGCCCAGCTGTGGGTGTACCCGGTCGGCAAGGCCTAGATGATGCTCAGAACCAACAACACTTGGGGCGCCTGGCCCCCCCTGCCCATGTAGGTGGACGTGGACGTGGACGTGTGCGTGTGCTTGCACCTGTATGATGCGAGCTTGTCTGTCCGTATGCAGCAGCGTGTGTCTGGATGCATGTATGCGCATGTGGCCGAAGAATCTTTTGCATCTTTTGGGTGTGGGGGGTTGGGAGATGGATGGGCAGACAGAGATTGGCTGTGGGTGAACTCAGTCTTGAGGAAGAAAGCGAAAGTGGAGGCGATTTGCATCTAAGATTCTCAAGGCCTAGCCCCCACTGGGCCTGCAATTCGACGACACCAATGCGAGGCGTAAGGAGCTACGATGCAGGAGCCGCAATTGGTGCCGCGATGCGATATGGCTAGGCATTCCCTAGGGTTCTAGCCCGTATGGCAATGTCGTCTGTGGTGAGTGAGAGAGGCATTGGCAGCTTCTTGGACATGGTTGCAGCTGGAGATGAGAGTCTGAGTCTACGGTACAGGCCTTGGGCCGTGGTGTTGATGTTGATGTCGACGTTGATGTCATCCCAGTCATCGCAAGAGTCATTAAAGCTGGATAAAAAAATTTCGCTTAATTTCGCCTTCTCCTTCCGGGTTTCTCCTTCCGTCATTGACCAAGGACAAGACCAAGACCACACACCCATACCCCCCTTTGCTCGACTTGAGGCTGTTGGTTGCGTCTGGTTGAAGATTCAGAGGGCGGAAGAGCCATTTTGACTTACATGCCCGCACGCTAGAAGGCCCTTGCAAGATCTTGACTACACAGACATGGATATGGACATACGGTGGAGTCACAAACACTGACGAGTGGGCATCCATCCTTTGTGTGCCGGAGAGAGACGGGAAAACATGCCTTGGGTGCATGTAGCCGGATCGTCATACCAGCTGCCCATGCACGAACACAAGTCGTAAATTGTATCTATGGGGAGCGGCCAGGACAAGGGCCGCGGAGACGACAAGCGGGACATGCCCATTCCTTCAGCTAGGAGAGATGACAACATGCATTGGGTAGCATTCTGCAGTGGCCATTGAGGGGAGACAACAAGCCTACGGGGGAGTGGAGAGGATCGTAGGTACATGACGGCTTCGACTAGTGAGCAGATCAGGGATCTGAGGGGGGAGGTGCGGATAGGGGAGCTGCAGAGTGTGTAGAATCATCACATCGTGTGCGTGATATTGCAGCAGAGAAGGACAGACGCCAACGCAACGAGAAAAACGGGACGCGCGGGTCACACACAAGAGTCCATCATCAACAGCCACTTTTTTCTCGTCGTGACTTGGCGCCTTCACCGAGAAGCCAGTGTCACCGGAGATATCGGCTGAGCTTCACAGAACGGGCAGACAACGTACTATGTAGTCGTAGTCTACCATGGCAGTATCGCAACTTGACTCAGCTCTGCGGCACTAGATGAGAATCAGGAATCAGGAATCAGGATCATGCTAGCTTCACACATCCCTCGTCGGAGAGCAATCCGGTGCACAAGAGCCGGCTCCTGATGCGTTTCCCGTATCCAAAATGTGCTTGTTGGCCCTGCCAGTTACCAAGCCAGGCAAGGCGTAGATGTGTTGCGCCTCTAAAAAATCGACGGGGGTATCACAAGCGTTAGACGCCCTGTGGATCCAATGGATGTCGCACATGATCCGCAGCGAACAACGTCTTATTCTTCTTGGGGCATAGCCGTTGAAGCCATCAACAAGACTCCAGCCCTGGTGCCTTCGAGAGGCCGTGTACTGTACCAGATATGCGTCGATGCCTGTATGTGGTGGACGGCAAGATTGCAGTTCCTGGATCAAACGGAGATCAACTGCTCTGCTCCAGTCTCGGTCAGACCAAAAAGTTTTCGCTCTGCCAAAACAGTCTTCGCTCTGCCCAAACGTCTTCGCTCTGTCCAAAAAAGTCTTCGTTCTGCTCAAGAGTCTTCGTTCTGCCCGAAAAGTCTTCGCTTTGCCCAACAGCAAATGAATGCTGGCTTAATTGCATGTATTTGGACCGGGGGTGAGACGACGCTACTTGCATGTACTTCGTGGCAGCTTAGTAGTAGCGGTTGGGGCCACATGAAGCCACAGCATTGATCAGTGCATGAACATATTGGAGAGAGAAAAAATCTCAAGAAGGCGCGATTTACTCCTCGAACGGCCAATTATTCCACATTCTCCAACGCTTAAACCACTGGTGCCAAGCCTAAACCCATCGCCATGCAGCCGGAATGCTTGCAGGCCGTGATCCTATTCCTTCAGCTGTTCGTCTCTAGTCACCACTAGTAGGCAAGTACGGAATAATGCCCGCAGATATCGATTTTGGTGGCCTGGATACATGTACCCCCCCGGACTGGGTATTGATTAGCGACATCCGGATGGGACGTGGTGACTTTCTTGTACGGAGCAGACGTGAAGACGACCAATGCGGAAGACCAGCGTTGCATCATCTGCTGAAACAGGCGTGCCAAATCGCATATCGGCGCCTTTGTTCCATTGCAGCGCGGCTCTCACAGCAATCCACGCTCAGCGACGCCAGGACTCGGTCAAGAACGCCTAGAAAGTCAATGAATGAAACAAAGGCATTGTGGCGGTGGAAACGCGGCCGCTTAGTTGGTGGACAAAAGCTGCTGCGCCAGAAGCCCTCTTTTTGTCCTGAGCAAATGGCGCCTGGGTATCACGGCTCAGCTGCAGCTATCAAGAATCTCCGCGTTCTGGATTGGACCAACGCAGCCAACACGGCTGATACTTGTGGGCTGTGGCGTTGACGTCGCCTCCCGCATGGAGAGTCGAACCAAGGGACCCTGGTCAAGCAAACGGCGAGCGGGGGGTTCGGCAGCCTTTTCAATAGAATGCGTTTTGGCGGAAGAATTGAAAGACTTTCCAAGGGTTCGCACTTGAGACTTGACATCTCCACCTTTCTGATATAAGTGATGGGCTGAGGTGAGGTCGCAGTTGTGTCACTCCACAGCAGCAATTTGCAACGAGATGACAAACCAACTTGTGCGTTTTATTCTTCAGTCTTACCACGCCAGAAAAGGCGAGATTGCACATATTTTTTTTTGGGTCACTTCATGGTGATTTCATGTTGTATGAGGGGAAGGGACAAAGAGATCAATACAGATTACCTCAGCAGTCAACTCACCGACTGCCGGCTCTGGACGATCAGGATCTACAAGTGGCAAGTGGTGGTACTTCGTACCTCTTCCCCAACCATGATGACTTGATATGCATCGTCATCATCCGCAGCAGGTGCCATGCCCTCAAGGATCTTTTGCTGGTTCATATTTCATATTCTTTGCCGTGGCGTATTACAAACACGGCGTTCTGTGCCTTGGTCCAGGATGGTAACGCCGAAGAAGTCCGACAGACCTTGGAAGCACGCTGCAATCTGGATCCGATCTGCATCTACCGCTTTGCACGGCTGCGTCCACTCACATGACATCTGCTCGCAGTAAAGTATAGGTAGCCTCGGCATTCAAAACAAGAAGAAGAAAAGTATCGAAATCACGACGCCTACTTTACCTAGTAAGTACCGTGGTTCTCTCAGCGAGCGTGCCGGAGGGAGGCTTGGGCAATTGATCCTCCAGTTGGGACGATAGTTTGGCAGATGACTTGTTCTAGCCTCCAGCTTGGGAAATCGAAATACTGAATGCTACCTCATCTTACTAATCTCAGATGCCTTAGGTGCTAACCTCAGGTGCTAAAAAGGGCCAGAAGCAGGCTGAAATGTGGCTTTGCACTGCTGGAAGCTCCATGTAGCTTTCATCATACAATCTCCAGCCGTGCACTTCCACCTCCAATCAATGGCCGCAAATGCAAACTTCAGATACTGGTTCCTGAGCTGAGCCTCACTGCTTGCCAACGAACGCTCTGGCGATGACCCATTGGGCCGCCTATATGGCTGTTGCTCTCCGCCAATCTCTCCATCACCACGGTCTGCGCCGCGCTGCTCGATGCAAATATAGAAAAACTGAAGAAGCACAGCCGCCGAACAGGTCATGCAGGTACCGAGACGACGAGATACCTGCGCAGCAGCTCCAGGCACAAGGCGGTTCTTTGGCGGGGTTGGGTGGCGCTCTGTGCTGTGATTGGCCCGCTAGCCACTTGTCAGCCTGGCTGGTACAGGAGCCTCCGCGCGGCGGCTGCAAAGGGCGGTTCTGGCTTTTCCTCCATTCACACTTCGACACAAGCGACTTCCAGGGGTGTCGAGGCGCCGGCCGCCAACGAGCCGCCCTGGAGGACGGGATAAGCGCATCGCACCTGTTTGCTCTCCTGATTTCGACCGCATGTCGTCATTCGTCGACGACTTCGTCCAGTCTAGATTGGCAGAGACCGTCGTGGCTGAAGCTTCCCTTGGCACCAACGCCCGCGACGACACCGTGTTAGACGCCTGATAGGAACTACTCTTCCAATGGCAGAACCACATTTCATGACCACTTTCGCTTATAGTTACCCGCGTTGCATCGCTTTGGAGCGACTGGGCTTGTTCTTTCTGCTTATTCCAATATCAGAGTCGACTCGCCCCTCCCATCGCCGTCGTCTTCCTCGTGTTGGCCGTGTCCCTTGCCTTCTGGGTTCGTGTAGTCAACGATCCCGTGCGGGCGGTGCCGTTGAGGCTGGAACAACACCATAGAAACACCCCTCTACCTTGCTTGACTTGGTCAGGGGTGATCAATTGTTCAACTGCGCCGAGTCTTCCCCCGCTCCGGCCCGTTGTGTGTTGGCTTCCTCGTGCCGTGCAGTGGACATGGATTGGGATGGTGGACATGGTGTTGCTACGGGATAACCCGCTGTCTTGGGTTATACCGTTGGTGGTAGCTGCAGACTGGAGCATTTGAGGAACCAACCACGGGCTAGTCTCCCGCATGATATTGCAGGTAATCTCTTGTTCAATGGTGTTGCTTGTTTGGTTGACACATGCCGCGGCTGCGTTTACGGACTACCACACTTGCTGTCTGCCTTTGGTCTTCGCCTCCCCTAGGTCGGTGATTGTCCACATGAAGAGACCAAGGATGCGGCCGACGATGCGGCCGACATCCTTTGCACGGCTCTCGCGATCTTCCCGTTCAAAGCTCAATGCGGCCTTCCATGCGGCCCTGGTAATTGCCGCACCCGGCAATGCTAGACTGATGGCCATATTGATGACCGTATCTGAACAAGATGTCGTTTCCATCTACCAGATCAGCCGACGCATCTCCTGGACACCGCAAGAGATGCTAGTGATACATGGCGCAGCATCTCTCGGGGCTTTCCCAGTGTGGCTGGCAAGGCAGGCTTCAATGGCCTCATACTCGGTGCCAATGTTACTCCGGGCTAGCATGTAGCTCCTGTGATGATGTCGAGCATGCATTGCATCATGATACTTGCTTCCGTTTGTGATTCAATGACCCAAGATCCACACGCAACCACACCTTTGAGAGCTGAGCCAACAGCTTGACCCCGGCACATTTCACATCAGTCAAGTGATTCTGCTCCTAGTTGCATTCTGCCGATATTACTCTATTCAGTATGAATAAAAACATGGTAGCATGGGTTAATGGCAACACAGAACCAACAAGTTGCGCATCGGTATCCTGAAGTGGCAGCGTCATCGGTTCTTCATTCGGGATTTCCCCCCTTGTTCCTCTGATCGAGGCGTAAACGCTATGCCCAACTGCAACTTTTGAATTCATCATTAGGTACATACCAAATGAGCCTGGCACTGCCGCTACTTGGCTGATTGACTGATTGCTGTAGTTGCAGCTGACGGACAAGTCTAAAACTTGACAAAGGTGTATGAACAGTTTGTACGAGTTGCCTTTCTCGATAATTGCTTGTTTCTGTTAGCTTGGCACCAGTACATCGTCTCCAGCGTTCTAGTCACGTCGGACCTTTACGTTGATCGCCAGATACCAACCCTTTCATCATGATCCAACGGGGGGAACAACATGTCCGGCCGTGGAACTTCTGCAAGGGAATCAGCCATTGGGGGCCAGATGGTCTTGGCCGCAGGACAAAATGTCATCAGTGCATGTTTAGATCGACTCAATATCCGTCCTAATCTACAACATACTCGAGCAAGAACTGATTCCAACGTCGGGAGCGGACCCAGTTCCGCATTTGCCGAAGCAGCTGTGAGCCTGGACGGGAGACACTTCTCCACCGGCGTCTGACGAACAAGAAATTTTATTTCTTGGCTTAACGCGCGTATTGACGATTCGAGAGACGCGGGTGGTCGTTTAGATGATAAACCAACGGAGAATCAATGGCTCTTTTCCCATTCATGAGCGTTGCACTCATGGCGGCTACAATGAGGTTGCCACCCATGCCGAGCATCTCGATGTGACGCTGTTAGGGCGCCGACTGACGGAACCAATCAGAGCCCATTTTAAGCGCTTGCGATTACCACTCGCGGTAACTCGACCCACTGAGGCTCGAAGAGTTTAGACCCGAAATGGGGCTGAAGCTCAGTGTGGATGGTTTGAGAGTCAACCTCACTGGCGAGAATGCCGTGCGTAAACGCCTGCTAACTGATAGACTGATACGCCAAACTAATTGACATGATGGGAGCAACATTTCAACTCCTAGCGGGTTCAGTACAACAAACCAATATCCTTTTACGTTATTAGCCCCAATACTCGGCCTCCGGGGGACTCCGTGGGAAGAGAGACAAACCACTAGCAGGGCCGGCCCGATGTGAAGGACAGCAGGCGGGCTTTATTCTGCAGCAGCAATGTGGATGGCTCTTCCTGCATCTTGACCGAGTCAATCACCAACAGTTTTATCCTTCTGGTTAGATGGAAACAGAAGTTCGGCCGCTGAAGTTACGGATGGATATGCTATACTCACCCCTCCTCGGGCCGTAGTGCCTGCATGTACTCTTCCGAAGCCCATGATTTTTCTGACCTAGAGCTGTCATCACTAGCCATGCAGGCAGAATTTTCCCTCTATCATGTTCGTATTTCGGACACACGGACTGAATCCTCCACCTCCTTACATGACGGTCGGGCGAATCTGCACGACGGTGAGCCGATGGCTTGTTCGTGTTGCTTCAACCCAACATGCCGTCGTCGTCCGGCTCCAAGCCCACACGACTAGCTCGTCTGGGTCTTGTGAATCTGCAAAGATGGTAAATGGCTCAAGAGTATCTCTTACTATCACTATTTTCTGCTACTCTCTGCTGGTATCGCTAGTAACGCTACCATTGCCACTTCCTGCCACTATCGCTACTATCGCTATTCTTTCTGGCTTTGGTAAATTGAGACATGCGATGCTGGCTCTTGTAATCCATGAAAGCAAAACTACATAGTAGACGTTAGCAAGATTGTCACTGCTAACGACTCATAGCTCGTCCCTACACAAACATCTCTGCTTGCTTCTGTGCACCTTCTTACAATGGAGACGGTAATTTTCATACGAAATCAATGCGCTCAGCCAAGAGATGGATTGTTTCTAGTTCTCTAGTTGGTCTTCTTTGTCTAACCTCTGTATGAGGACCTGCCCTGGCCACCCGTTGATCTCAAAAGTCTCCATCCTTTCGAATCCTTGGGACTCATAGTACCGAACTAGCCCCCCACTACCACCGGCATAACAATCGACTCGAAGTAGGGAAACGCCAGCCTTACGAGCCAGTGTGCGTGCTTGCTCCAGCAGAAGAGTGCCGATTCCTTTGCCGCTAGAGGCCCGATCCGTTGCGAGAAACTGAACATATAGCTCTGGTTCGGTCGCTGGCTGAACGTATGAATGCGCTTCACCAACTGATATAGCGCCTACAACGCCATTGATGATAGAAAGCGGCTCATTTTCTCCTCCAGACTTGGATGTGGACTGGTGTGAGCTTTCCACCCCGCCGCCAGACGAACCATCTTCTGTCCTCGAGGACAATGAGTTGGTGTCCACCGCAATCCATGTGCCGCCTGATTCCGTGAACTCTGTTGCCTGCTTGATCCTTCGGGGGTTTTCTGAATGTCTTTCGGCACCCGTACCCCATTGTTGAGTCTGCCCTCTCTTCACAAGCCAATCCGTCGCGATGTCCATGAGCCTCAACATGGCAGGGACATCATCAACAGTTCCCGGACGCAATATCACGCCGTCTACAGCAGTCTTTTGGAGAGCACTTCTAAAAAAAAGTTAGTTCTTGTCACTTGTGTTCGAAAGGCATTCTAGTTGGCTGGCATACCCCGAGGACATGATGTGTATGTCAGTAATCGCACGATGACTTGAGTCTTGAAAGAACTTGAGATTTAGCACACGCCTGTCTACTTGCTCTGGTTTGCAACGATAGAGTCTGAACAGGACGTTAAATATCTTTGTTCTATCGCTAAAAGAACCAAGTAATGCCAAATAACCGAGGCAGGAATGTGTACGTGTATCCTCAACCTTGGCAGTGTCTCCTCACGCTTGTAGCGTTATTCGGCCAATCATCGGGAGTTCTAGTGCATCCGTGGGACCTAACGAGGTAACCAGGCATGCGTAAGTGACTGCTCAGCGGTTACGTGGCAAAGACTGCTACTGTTGTTGAGTCAAAGGACAAGCAAGTCTCGATGCTTCCACCAATTACTATTCAACCCAGGCATGGCAGCGTCAATGGTATTGGTAACGGTTCCAAAGAGTGGCGCGGAACTCCGAACCCTGTCAACAATGCGAGAAATTTCCATGTGATCAAGTAGAGGCAAACATTGCCAAAGATGCCCTCGGCAGCACCGTGACAAGTAGATCCTAACAAATACTAACTGTTGAACTGTCTGATTGATGAATTTAGCACCCTGGCGTACAGCGTCTTTGTTCGTTGTGTTGTAAAAGATCTCTTGATGTTTCTACCCGCACAACATGTGCCACAGTTCGAAATGCTGTTTTTCCAAGGGTGCGAAACCCCGAGTTGTAACAGCCGTGATAAATGCATTTGTTGAGACACATGCTCTACCAGTGTTGAGAGTGCCCGTATAGTACGAAACTCCTTCCTGAGACACACACACACACACACACACACACACACACACACACACACACACACACACACACACACAAATGCTGCACACCGGTAATATCCAACAGATTGGTGGGAGCTGTACCCATAGCATACGTCTCTTGTAGTAGTTTCCACCGAAACGGTGTGCCAGGAGGGACTGCCGAATCGGAATATGTCAGCAGATCATTATTGTGAAGAATATGCAAATGGCTCAAGAGTACCTGCTACTGTCGCTACTCTCTGTTACTGCCGCTACTCTCTCATACTCGCTTCCTCTTTTATATACTATCATCACTACCGATTAGGAGGTAGCTGGATGTTCGGTAGACACGAAACGGGCTAGTTGTGCCGTGGCAGTGAAGAGCGCTGGCGTCGGTGTCTGCTCCATGTGCCTCCAATGTGTATCTGGAAGATCTGGTCTGGTTGAGTTGTTGTCTGGTCGCGTCGTGGACGCGCAATTGCTACTAATTGTAGCATGTGTGTGATAGGAAGAGCTTGTATTCCTCCATCTAAGTGCCTGTCTGGCTACGTAATGTGTACCGTGCTACCTATGCTATGCTGTCACTTAAATTTTAGATGGGATATTAGATAGACACTCTCTTTTTATCGATGCAACTTTGTCAGAATGAGACCATGTATAGATTGTAGTAAATTTATGACTATTATCTAGAGTGGTCACGGTCAACTACAGCGATAGAGCATCTCGAGTGCGGTTAAGGAAAAGTTTGGAAGAGTGCTGATCGACAATGGCTCGGAGGTGTACTATAAAGATTGAGAGAAAATGGCAGGATTAGGTGAATTTTGAAAGCGAACCCGGAAGACCCAGGGAAGGCGACGGTGTCAACGACGATGAGAGTGACGACATAAAACGGCGATGGAGATTCAAGAAGAGGCACACCAACCCTACTACCTCAGGCACAAAACGCAGTATAAGAAGGACAAAAACAAAGACGAAAAAGGGCGTCAGAATGATGTAGGATATATAAATTTCCTGCCGGCCTTAGAATACAGTTACGATTGTATGTTCAGTAGGTGGTGGTGATATCTCTACTCGCCCGTGACGATTACACAAAAGATAGTTCAAAGTCTTAGGTAAATATGTAAATAATTGGTAGTTATATCCTCAAATCGTAATTACATCTTCATTTCCAGTTCATACAACACTGCCAATAGGTTATTTCCTGGGCGATATGCATACTGCGTCGACGCATTCAATTTTGTTCAAAGGTGTAAGCGCATACAACAAATTATTCTTCATTCGTTTTAATAAATCCAAATTTGAGCCCTTAATCTTTTGTATAAGCCATTATGAATAGCTCGAACAGCATGCATTTTGCATTCATGGATCTATTTTTGGCCAATCACTTCAGCATCACGGTCGGCGCTTAAACTCGGATAAACCCCAGCATTTCACATGCACGTACACGCAGTCACTCACCCTCTCCATCTTCAGTGTACTATTGACTCACCATTGACTCACGATCTATTAATCATCTTGGGCTTACAAAGTTACACTTTTCATTCATACAGCACAAGCGGAAGCCTTTTCTAACAGCCCAGGGCATCTCTTAGAGCGCTGCCGATCCTCAGTTAGGCTGATACACTGCTCAGCCAATTGCCCTCGTGCCTCATTCGACTACCTAGACACCAACCATATCCAAACACGATCTCCTGGTGTGCTCTCTCATTTGGAATCAAGCCACGATGCCTGAGCCTCTTCACTTGTTCGATCTTCCAGTCGACATCCTGTCGCTGATCCTACAGCAACTGCTCACAGCCCCAGATGGCGGCACCATCCCTCTCTGTCCCTACAGAGCCCTCTCCCTCGGTATCAACCCCGTACCTATCTTCCTCATCCACCCGTCCATATACGTAATCGCCCATCCAATCTTCTACGGGCCGGGAAACACATTCCTGCTGGACCTGACGGGCACTCACGCCTCCCATGTGCGGCACTTCATTGATGACGCGGCCGAGGATCTGCCGGATGATGTGGACAGGAGCGGCAGGCAACAGGCACAGAGACAGCTTCTGCTGCGACAAACGGGAGGCCGGTTCCTCCTCCTGTCACAAGAGGCGAGGCGCAGGGTGCGAAAGTTGGAGATCAGGATTGATAGGCTGAGGGGCTGGCTTTGGGAGTACTTGGGGCCCTTCCTGCAGGACATGGCAGTGAGTGGCGAGTTGGGGGATTTAACACTGGTTGTAGATGATGGCACTGGAAGCAAGGAGAGGCCCCAGTCGACCTCGAGGGCCTTTTTGCGGCAGAGGAAGAGAGTGTTTGATAAGCCACCGCTGGAAGGGCTGGTGAGGCTGTTGGCGGACCCGGGGATAAGAGAGGCGAGGCTGAGGGTCAAGGGGAGGCATGATCGGGCGTGGTGCGAGTTTCACCAGGGGAATGAGTGCAACCCTTTGTCATTCCTGAGGCCAGGGAATGACGGAAATGGCGATGATGCGGCGAAGAAGGAGGCTGAAAAGGTGATTGATATTAACTGGAGGGCAATCTTGAATGCAGTTGACCCCGAGGGGAGGGGGAGAGCGGTGGCCTGGCAAGTGTAGCGGGATCTTTTTGGGCATATACATGATTTATCTCTCGGTGGTTTCTCTCCTTTTCTTCCTTTTTTCCCTCTCCTTTGCCTTGCTCGAAAATTGTCAAGTTGGTATACCGTTTGTGGGGAATGGCGTACGAGTTGTTGGAGGCGTTTGTTGAGCAATTATACATAAACGTTGCTCGAGGGAAATCCAATCTAGTATATGGCAGTGCCATACCGTCCACAACCGAATGTTGTATACTCACAGAGGTGAGATATAATGAAACGCAGAGCAAACGTCAGGAATGATAGTAGTAGAGATCTTTGACCAAATCATTTCTGGGTATATGCGAGTATCACCTAGAGGTTATAGTTATAAGCAATATATCTGATTCAATACGCTGCAACAGTATGAGCGGTATATATTGCTATTTTGCGTGAAATGAAGGTAATGGTATTGACTGAACAAGGCGTTATCCGGGCTGGTGTAGGTTAGCTGGTAAGGATGTCGCACATATTTTATATACACAACCACAACACCTCGGTAGGCTGTATCGCCAACTCCTATAACCTACTCATTCACAACTCTACCATCATTATTAGATAAGCTCCTTGTAAGTGAAATATTCACCTATGCAGCTCATTTACTCGCACGTCATGTGTGAGTCAATGCTCCGCCAACTCACTACAGGAACGACTCACAGCCGCCAAAAGCATCTTTGTCTTAAACAATCCTCCAACATGTAAATTTGGTTGTTTAATTTCTTTCTTCTCGAGTTCTTGCTATTAATCTTGGCTGTATTGTAAGATGTCAGCGTACAATGAGAGCCATTCAAAAGCCGATCCCAAGTGTCACGGTACACAACAGTTGCAGCAAATAACGACAATCCTCACAGCCCGGCTACGAAGATGTGCAAAATATCATCAATAAACTGCATTTTGCAACGTATTCAACTCCCACGTGCATTGCTATAAGTATCGTCAGTATCCTGGGCTGTTGCTTGAGTGTAAATCAACTCGACAGCAAGCCTCTACTTCCCCGATAACCAGATCTAAACCTCAAGTCAGGCAGTTCTTGATTGCAAATTTCGAGAATCTCAGGTTGCCACACTAATAGCTCTTGCAAACAGACAATCCGTATCTAAAGCCACTCTGAGCTAGTCGTTGCCATTCATAATGCCCCGGTCAAGCAGAAGCAGCTCGATCCGAAGCGGGTCGTCTATAGATTCTGACCGCTCTCGCCAACGGAAACCAAATCCAACTTGTGAAGAATGCCACGGTACCGGTTGGTTTAGGTTGGCAAGAGAGGAGACGTCCCAAGTGTCGTGCAACGTTTGCCGGGGAAGGTGTTGGGTGTACTGCTGTCAAGGCCCCTCAATTTTCTGCATGCATTGCCGCAATGGACTACCTCGCCGGATAGATTGTTCACGCTGCACCGGTGAAGGCTTTATAACCGTTGTCAAGGTTAGATGGGTGGATGAACGATGCCATTGTGCATACTGATAGGGATGCCGCATGGGGCTGATGCTCGGTACAAGCCACTTCTCCTGAAACTCTTTCATGGAAGCCCACTGTATCATTGCGTCTTTGCATAGCTACGGATTGACCCACTAGATTTCACTCTTTGAAATCGTTGGTACAAGCAAATGCAGCAAAGGGGTTAGGAAAAGGAGACCGGATCTGGAGGCGAATATGCCGTCGGGCATTACACGGAGTTGAAACCATGATAGATGCTATTTTTAGGCGTCCGTAGATCATGATAAATGACTGAAAACGATGTGCCAAATCTGAAGACGCCCTGTGCAAATGTTTGATAAGGTTTAGTATAACATGGCCGTAATGAATAAACTTTGTGTGGCTGGTGACAGCTCTGATTCTTACTCAGCTGATTAACGATTAAACTGACCTCACCGAGGGAATAATGAAGCTTGCTGCTAAAATCCAACAAAGTTGATAACTCCTTAAAATCTTATTAATCAACTGCTATCCCCAACAAGCTTGTACAAGGAGAGTTTGAGACGTGTAGGAGTGCTGCTTCGGGTGTCTGCAGAGCCAAGCAGAGTCAGTCAGCATGTGAGGTTGCGCTTGCATAATACTGTACAGTACTCAGTGCTGCGTGTGCATAATAGGTCAAAGATCGAGATGGTGGATGCCGTCATCAAATCCTACCGCGAATCCACCTCAAAGTGCTGGCTGTCTGTATACTGTACCACTTCACAGCAGGGCTCTGACATGCACCTGCAGCAACAAACACTCGCCATGGATAGTAATCCTGTAGGCATTCAGCAGCAAGATACAAACACCTTGGCCACGATCACGGAGATGGTCGAGGCGACATTGTGCAACATTATCGCGCGTGACAGGGACAAGGGCCCGAGCTTGGTCCTTGCGCCGCTGCTCTAGCAGTTTTAGCAGAGGCAGGGCCCTTTTGCTCCTCAGATCTCATGTGGGGTTCTGGCCTCTGATCAGATCAGGGTCCCTGTCGCCCCGAGGCATCCATGGAAGTGCGACGCAATCAATGCAGCAAAGACAGCTGGATGACGGAGTTTTCGGGGCATTTCTGTTGCTTGACAAGTGTATACCTATACAAATAGATATACAGGTAGGCAATTGCGTCGATACCACAGCTGCAAGTCACTCTGGACACTTACACGTAGCAAACAATAAAAGGTCATGAGTTGCGGCGCTCGTATAACTTGCACAAATCAAAAGTGTTCAGGTAGGATGAGTGAGAAAAAAAAAGAAGAAGAAAAAATCCGGCTGCCTACCTCAAGAGCTTGTGCTTGGCCCCCAATCCGCTCCTGCCAATGCCTGCACAACGTGCCTGCCCCGTCGCACATCCGACGCTCCGTCACTCCTTCCTCCTTGACTTCCTCGGTTAGAGCCACAGCTACTCGTAAAGCTACAGCTACAGCTGCAGCACAGCTAGAGCCTTTTTGCCTGTACGAGTGTGTACAGTAGGTACGTACCTACTTTAGGTACTGGCCACTTTAACCCGTAGGATTGCATTTCCAATCTGTCTTTATTTTTTTTCTGGGAATGGCCATGCAGCATCTCAAATTACGTATGAGGAGCCATAAAATTCTCTGAGATAGGTACAGCTTCCTACAATCTTAGTAGTGATAGCAGCAGCAGATATACTGGTGGTACCTGGTAAAAGAACCACTGCAGCTAGTACCTGATGTGCTTCTTTTTTTTTTCCTTCAGCCGCTCGCTAGTACTCGGCGTCTACTTGCCCTCCCCTCTCATTCACCGCAAGTTTGCCATGTAACCACCGCGTACTTTGTAACTGTGTATCCTCTTCTCTCTCCTGTGTGCGACGGCTGTTTCGGATTTACCAGGGAGCGATACCCGAAGGCAGGGAGGCGCTGCCAAGCAACAATGCGAAATGAAGAAGAGACAGGACCAGAGCCAGAACGTGGGGGTTTGTGCCAGTGCCAGTGCCAGCTACGTATTTCGCCTCCCCGCACTTGGCGAAATAAAAACACTACCTACCAGATTTCGTGTCCATCCAGGTGTATCTGCAGTGTGGCATCCGTTGTATGGCCAGCATGACCATTGGTTACAATAAGAAAAGCAGTGAATAAACACGGCAAAGAGAAGAAGGGGGAAAAAATAAGAAACCCCGCTCATCTCGTCACTCTTCACTCATCACTCACACTTTCTCTTCCCCTCGCCCGCATTCACTCCCCCCTCAAACCCCCTGCAGCACACAGACGTGCTCTGGCACACACAGTACAACAACATGCAACATACAGCAGATCCAGACTCCCAGCTTCCAATGCACGGGGTTCCAGATCCGCCATCCCTCGCAGCTCTCCATGCTTGCCATCTCCCATTGCCTCGGAATCCCGGGCTCGGGGTAACCAAATCCGGCCATGGCGTCCCATCCATCTCGCTCACATCATGCTATGCTTGCATAAAAAGCAAACCATTTTTTTCTCACGGTAGGACCTGGTTCGTTCGCTACAGATTACACAGCCGAGAAAAGATTTTTTCTTTCGTAGTGACACGAGACAAGAAAAAAAAGGATGGAAAATATTTTCTTTGCCATCCTTCCCCGGCTATCACCGGGCGGTCAAGTGGAAGAGCCGGATACCCTCGCAACGGAGTAGTCCGTGGAGTTTCTGGCATAATCTTTTCTTGGTGTGCTGTATTAGTGAGCGCGTAGCTCTCCCTCTTTGGACCCCTGAATCGCCAAGGTTCTCTCTATCTCTTTTTTTGGTACACCATACGGAGGCTACGGAGGTACCTGGATGTAGATGCTTGGTAAACAAGACCGAGGGATGCAAGTACTACTATCAGCACTCGTATTAACAATCATTTGCTCCTACTACTCCGAACTCCGTAAATCCCCCAGCTGTCTATGTCTCAGTATTCGCTGGATGACTGCCATGCCAAGCAGCCTCGCCACAATGTCTCACTCTCAAAGTGTCACAGAAATCTCAAGCAGAGACACCGGCGTTCCCTCACATTAGTACCAGAGACACGGCATTTCAAGCTTAATCTGACATTCGCTCGCATTTGCACCAACAGCATCGTTCCAACTGAGACATAGTCCCACGCCAAGAGCGGGAGGCGTCGTCACCACCATCAAAAAGGATCAAAGGCAATAGGAGTAGCAAATGGTGTTGGGACGTGTTCGTTAGGTCAAGACCTCTTGTGTATTGATTCCATACTGCATATCTTGCTAAACCAATCTGTCCCAAGAAGTGTTCCCGTAGCACAATGTTGCAAACTAGGTGGTACCTAAAATAGCCTTCACTAAATCCGTCAAACTGTTCCATTCTTTCCATAGTTGGAAGATCCTCGTCATTCGCCAGTGAAAAAAAGAAACCCAATTCGCTCAAATCATTCATCCATCCATTCCAGTAACATATGCCAAGCCGAGTGATCAGGCGCTAGCATGGCGCCAATGCCGGCGTAGAGGGTAGAATCTGTCCCTCGAGTCATTTCCGCTATTTTGATAGCGGCTCGCACTTTTGTGTGTATTGCCCAAAACTTTTTTTAGTGTGTTGATAATAAACAGTAGCTTCGCTCGCTTCATCCCTCATGGGTGCTGAAAGAAAAAAAAGAATAGGAAAGAAAATCACGTCGCTAATTCCCAGTGTTGTTTTTGAGTCGACTCCATTTCCCGTTCTCTAAGGAGAGGAGGGAACGTCGTGGAAGTCGTCCTTGTGATCCTCGGCGTGCTGTCCCCAGTAAACAGGGCCCAGCTTCAACACCCTGAAGCCAGTGGTGGAGCTGGAAGAGGATCGTCGCCTCTCAGGAAGGGCAACAGAGTTGCTAGCAGGCATCTGAGGGTAGGAGGACGAAGTGGCCGGTGCCAGTGAAAGGAAAGAAGAGGGAGCAACAGCGGCGAGAGGAGGAGAGGCCGGGACATCGTAGAAGTCATCCTTGTTCTGGCCAATGTGTTCACCGTAGTAGACAGGGCCGAGCTTCAGGACCCGGAGACCAGTTGGGGAGCTGATGGAGGCTCGTCGGGGCCTGACCGAACCCTCGGAAACAGAAGATCGTCTCTCAGGTTGAGGGTATGAAGAAGAAGTAGCAGGCGCCAATGAAAGGAAGAAGGAAGGGCGGCGCTCAGCGAGAGCGGCACGGGCAAAGTCGAGAGACATCTTGAAGGTTGTGGATTTTTGGAGTATTGGTCTTGGGAATGATGGTAGGCCGAGGAAGTAAGGACGTGTTATAGAGATTGTTCACGAAAGGAATTGTGTGAGAGAGAGGAAAGGTAGGGAAGCTTGGGAATATATATGTGGAGGATGGATGATTAGAGAGCAGGAAGGAAATCAATGGAAGAGCGGATTGCGTGCTCTTTATGCTCACCAACTCCGGCACTCGTGTTACAGCAGCTTGTGTACATCCTACATCCCAAGGAGGTACGTATGTAGAGTAGCTCCTCCAGACCAGCGCTGCCACAAGACGCTAACCCGGCCGTCCCAACAACATGGGGGACCCGCGCAAGATCGGGAGCACGGATGCTGAGAGATTGTCATGGATATGGCATGCCGCAAAGGGGTGCGTCATGGGAGACAGGAGGTGGGCTGAGACGTGTCTGTGGATCTGACGACAGACGGGCAGCTATTCGCCTCCCGCCAGCCTCCTCAGACTCCTCAGACTTCTTAGACTGCAATAACACACATCGTCATCATGTGAACAGCAGTGCTGCCCCTCTGGTTTTCGAAAGCGGTGGCCCTGGCCAGTCCGTCATTGGGTCAGGACGCTCTGCATCGCGTCGCCCGCAGCGCATTTGTGAACAACGACAGGGGGTAATTCGTCCATTCAGACTGGTTGGCATCGCCGTCATGCAGCACTGGTATGGCCCCCCTTCCTTCGGTGGCGCCAATGATAGAGATCTTTCCCCCCACGCCTGGCTGCTCTTTTTTTTTCTTTCTTCCCAAGCTTGCTCTGCTCCTGTCCGGTTCTTTCGGCCTGGCGGTCTTCGCGGCAAAGGAGATAAGAGCCCACGTGCGAATTTACGACAGCCCTAGCGCTGATCGGGTTTAAAGCAAGTGACGTGATGAATCAAGTCGAGTCTGCATAAAAAACATAAAAAAAAAAAAAAGAGCCAGAGATTTGCCGACGGGCAACCATCTCATCGTCGAGAAACGGCCTTGTAAGCCACCGGAGCAGCAGGCGGTGCCACGGCGAAGATTCAGATGCCAAAGATGGAGATGCAATGTCACGGAAGCCGAGCTCCACTTGATGCTCGGGCGGCAGTATTACACAATGGCAGAGATCCGGGGTAAAGACCGCAGTCCCGGCCGATCCTCGAGGCCTATTGGAGGAGCGTTCCGGCAGCCAAAGGGATTTTTCGGAACCGATGGTCGGGAATGCCACCAGCGCTCCCATGTGCTTGTGGGCCAGAGCAGAATGCGGGGAGTAGATCTAGAAGTGCTGGAGATCTCCTGACATATGAAGGATGGAATTTTCTTTAGCCTTTCTAGCCGGAACATGCCACTTTTCGATCCCGAGATATTCCCTCGCAGATTTTGCACCCTTGCGAGCCGAGTGATGCCTGCATCCCGAAGCTGGCCGATAGCTGCATCCTCGCTATTCCTAGCCGACATGTGGCCTGTAAGGGCAATCCGAGAATGAACAATCTAGCAGAGCAAACCGCGGGTAGAAACGGCAGAGGTAAATCTTTAGTCTTTGTTAGGCAGAACGCCTGTGCTGTCACTGTATGTTTCTGCACGAGCTTTTGGTTGTATGTGTCGTGAACCTTGTCACCATCCAAGTTGAATCCAGGCCACTGTGGCGAATGCTTGGAAGAATCTTGCTGATGGTGCCAATGGCTGTGATTTGGAGAATTTGTGTGCAGAGATTGGTAACAGAAGAAAAATTGAGAAAGATGGTCGCAAGGGATGGGAACACACATGGTTGAGTAGCACTGAGCCGTAAGCAGTGACTATCTTGTTAGCAGCTATTCTGTGATATTCTCTTTCTCTTGCGGATTTGCCAGGGGATACTCCAATTTGGTTATCCAGCATCCCGTCTTACAAATAGTGATAATAGCAGATACTAGGGGAGCATATCGATGATAGGGGAAAGTAGTGAGAGTAGCGGCAGTAGCGATGGCAGTAGAAGCTTTCTAGGAGGTGTCTGAAGGAACTAGGTGCTTAAATCGGCAACTAACAGAAAATTAAAAGATCTTTTTGTGTGCGTCTTATTACGAGGCTTGGATTCTACGTAGTCGCTGGGATTCTGGAGAGGCAACTTGATGGATATTATGAGAGGAGACTTCAATTGACGCTATAAAAGCTCAAACTAGAGTGATAAGGTGTCGACGAATATGTCAACGATGAACACAACGTCATTCCCAGCCGGCAAGAAAATACTAAATCCCCGTGTCTCATATTGAGAAATATAGCCGTCGACGCCTGACTGGAAAGGCAACATCATTCGTCGTTGAGGTACTTTTCAAATCACCAAATACTCCTTTAACAGAGCCAGATCATTGATAGCCTCAGTGAATTGACGCTTAACTTCGACCATCGCCGCATTGAGCTCCATCATGAGCTCCTTTAAGCCTGGGTTTTGGGTTATTCTGCTGTCCCCGTAAGCAGCGTTATTGAGGCCAAGGGTAAGTTGACGCTTTTTTTGGCGAAAGCCCCATTGAGCCTAACCATTTTCTTCTGCAGGCTGTTTAATATGGTAATGATTTCGGAAATTCGCTGCTTGTGGATATCATCAATCGACGAGTTGATCACCATCTGGTCGAGCTCCATAATCCATCCCATCTGAGAATCTATCATCGACTGGAATTCCTCAGAACGCTGGGTAAACCGGTTGAGTTCCAAAATCACTACGAATGCTTTCTCCTAGTTGACATTCTGATCGACTTTGACATCGGCGTCATGCTTTTGCACCGACTCAGAAGAATCGCGGGCAGGAGGCATTATCGCGTTGTGGTTGTGATCGTCGGCGTGCTCGGGTTCAATGTAATCTTCTTCGTCAGGATCTTATGGCTTGCTTGTCATCAGGGAGTGTTGCTATGCTTGTGGTTAGGACGAGTATTAGAAAGGTGTAGTAACACATGAAAATACCTTGGCAGAGGACGAGAGGAGTTGAGGAGAAAGGGGAGAGAAAGAAAGAGGTGAAAAAAAAAAAAAAGGAAAAGAAAAAGAAAAAAGTGGTGGATAGGTAGGCCAGCTGGCCAGGCAGGTAGACCACCTGGAGGAACCTTCGTCACGTGCCAACAATTCTGCGTGCACTGCAAACGCTGTGTTCTTTCTTCTTTTCTCTTTCTTTCTTCTTTTTGCTCATTCAATCCAAATTTTTCTCAAGTTGCCGAACCTGCAGTATGGCTTGTCGAGCCAAACGGCACCAAGATCAAGCGTTGGGCTCCGCGAATGCACTCATTCCAGTTGACGATATCCCGAAGGAGCTTCTTCGCATATACCCACAGCCACACAATGATGACAACGTTGTCAACAAAGCAATCTATGATCAACTGATAAAACGGTACATTGCCGAAAATAACGATTGGCCCTCTGAGCTACAGGATGAATTCAAGTCAGAAGACAAACTGCTTGAGTACAGAATCTCAAAAAGCACAGGCTTTTGCTGTCTTCACAAAATCAGCAGGTGGATGGTTCGAGAGACAACGTGGGCACGCTTTTGGACTCTACGAGTGATGTTTGGTCCAATAGCTTGCGCAAATCAAGGCTGGTTTGACGAGTTCTCAAGAGAATATCCGATGGCGTTAGACGACGCTCCAGCAGGGATAGTTCCAGCAAACTTCGCAGAGCTATTTGCTTTGAGGGAGTGGACGCCAGAGGAGAGTCAAATGGAGCGATGGATATTTCACTCGACCAATACAACCAGGTATGGGAAACGAAAAGCAGTCAAGGTCATGACCGTGGACAGAAAGAAGCCAAAGCTTAGAGCCTCCTCTTCCATGGCCGCTTCCAACACCGACACTCGCACCAACATCCCCACCGCGACAGCCATTGCAGTTGATCTTACGATTCCCGTCAGAGATAAGAGAGCAAATGCATCCTCGCAGGGCTCCGTTGTCCATGGCAGGGTGCCTCAGACGGTCCATCAACAGTGCAACCAGGAATTCAGCGGCAGTATCAAAATCATGGAAGAAGCTATAGAGCGTTGCAGTGCGCTTCACCAAGCGCAGGCTGAAGCGCTGGAACTCCTTCGCAATCAGCTGCAGCTTGTGAAAACCCAGTACAACGCCAAGGAAAAGCAGTTAGAGGAGCATTTAGATGAGGAGCAAGGGAATAGAGATGCTTTGGAAGACAGTGCTTCGAGAATTGAGCGAGCCATCAAGAGGGAAGACCGCTGAAACGGTAGTAAAGCAACGCAACATATCTTAAAATTCTTTGTCAAGCTCATTTGGTAGAGGGAGGGGGGATATCAACCGTGATAATGGTCCAGCATATGGAGAGCTCAAGTGTCATTGAGTTATTGTAGTGCATTGATCGTTGTTAATAAGCTTTGATAAACAATATGTATGCAAGATGCGGTAATATATTGAGCAGAGTATTGATACCTAAGAACAATTGTGACCTGTACAGAGTTGTGATAGAGTCACTTGCATTAGTCTTTCCCCTTGCAACATGACAGCATTTAATGGAATGTGTGGGATTGTCAGCAAGGGAAGCAAAACGCAGACACGTAGTATCTTGGTGATTAAAAGCGAGAGATGGCAATGACAGGTAGGAGTCGCTGATGTTTGCAACAAAACGACGATATTTACAGCGACAAACAAGCAGCATCTGATAGTGACATTCAAGTCACACTTATATCAGCCAGAAGTAGTAACACTTGTTTTCTTTATGCCTGGAAAATACCGTTAAGGGGAGAGAATCGCAAATTGTCTCCTCTCATATTACTACCTAGTAGATAGACGTGGTCTGTTTCGACGGCTCCTCATAGACTTAGGAGGCTGAACAGCCGCTCGTTGTCTTTAGTTCAAAGAACCTATCCCATTACATGGCAGGAATTTACTTCAACTGGTTCTTCGGTCTTGGGATTTCTCTCAGTGAAAAAGCAAAGGGAGAAGCGCATTTCACTCAACTACCACTTTTGAGTAACAGTTAGAGCGTCGCAGCATTACTTGAAGAGGGGTTGGACAGTTACTTCGGGGCATGATTACACAGAGATGAAAAATATTTCACATAATGCCGAATCGCATTTCTTTATTCTCCTCCTCCTATCTTTGTAATAGCCATCGATGACATATAATTCCGGCATCCCAATGGCCTAGTTTGAGCTATTACTGATGGAATTTGGTACATTATCAGTAGTTCTCGTATCACCAAGAATCAGCATCGTGATTTCACATTGGGCTTTAAGCCCACAAAAGCTTCAGTCGCCTATTCCCACCTCTAGTGTAAGTACATCGAGCCAAAACATGCAGAGTTATAAATACATATAGGTAGTTAGCATGAAAACCTCACGTGAAAGTTCTTTGGTGTTTGTAATTTAGCTCCATAAAGAAGAAGAGCAGGGAGCTATACTCTACCCAACTGTTAGCACAGTACGCTACGCAAACGACGAGCAAATCACAAGATCACACTCTAAGAAATCAACTACGCCGAAGCCGGCTATGACGGGCGCATAAAGCTATGGGTGGGTGAATTAGGGTTATAAGGTCATAGAAGAGATTTCATCATAGTTTGCACTGCAGATAATGAAAGATATTAACCACGCTTGCATATTTAACAGCATTGATGTATTTGCCTATCTTCAGTAGTCTCTGGAGTCTTTGTCGGAGTGCTCTTTGCTAGCTTACATGGCGTCTGAGAGTAGAAGAAGTAGCGATAGCAGAAAGTAGCGATAGTAGCGATAGTAGCAGAAAGTAGCGATAGTAGATAGGTATTTACTAGCCGCTTCTTATTACGAATCTTAAACTCCACATAGCCATTGGAGGCTTGGGTGGTTAATGTCGTGAAGGTATTCTCCATGTTCCTTGAGAGCAGCAATATTGTTGACAAGAGTAGCCAGGAGGCGGTTGTTTCTGCGACGGCTTCTTGAAGATCCGTCATACGCTTCTCCAGGCCTGCAATTTGGGACGTCATCTGTGTAAAACCTTCGGCGATGCCATCGATGACACTGTCGGTAGTCGAGTTGACCCTTTGCTGGATGACATATCTAACGGACGCCTCCATCTCGGAACTGATCGTCTGCGGAATTATTCGCAGATTGTGCTCAGAGTTCTCAGCAACACGCTCGATATAGGTCAAAATTGCACCGAGTACCTCACTCTAGTAGGCACTTTGAGCAAGGTTGACTCTTGTTTGGGCGTAGATCGTGTGGATGAAAACGAACTTGCCCAGCTTGACTGGGCATGACAAGTCTTATATAATCGATGGTTGCTTGGCGTACAAACCATACCTTCAACAATGTAGAACCTCTTAGCGAGAAGGCCCTTATACTCACGCTAATCAGCGACGGTCATGTTTGTCGTCTGGCGCCAATATGCCTCGACAGCAGCCTTAACCCTTGTGTACTGCTTGCCTAATGTTAGAATCTCAATATCGGAAAGCTCCATGATGGGGAAATGAACTCGCGATATCGCCTCTAGCACTGACCTCTTGCCCAAGCACTGATCGCCCACCACGACGATCTGGGGCAGGTCGACGATGTCGCCAATTCTCAGGTCTCGAAGGCTGTCGATGGTGTCTAGAAGTCGCTTTGTTTCTGCGCTGTTGGCTATTTGCGGGACCTTGGATTTGGGCAAGGATTAATGTGCCAGGTCGGCACCATTTCAGTACAGTTGATATTGTGTCGCATAGTTGAGTTGATGATGAAGAGCTACAAGACATGGAAGAGCTGAAGTGAATCTTCATTATTATAAGGCGTTTGAAGAGCTTTTGCAGAACTTGACGAGAACTTGACAAGAACTTAATGACGTTAGAAGACCTTGACAACCTTGAAGAGATTTTGAAGAGATTGGTTACTTACCCAACAGAGCTTGACAACGTGTGAAACACTTCACGATCTTGAATGGGATACTAGGTACCTACATTCGCATACCAAGTCCGTAGTATTAATAGTGAAGAAGTTCTCGTGCATATATCGTCATACTCCGTATACAAAAATACCTAAGTGAAAGGTAGGTATGTAAATAAAGTTAAGGAGAGAGGAAAGGGGAGGGGAAAGAAAGAAGAGAGCGAGTTTTATAGAAGAAAGCAAGTTGGTACCCCATCATGTGATACATTTTCGGCCCGTGAATTGTGGTCAATCTATGGTCTTACTCTTCATCAAGCAAAGCTGTAAAGTTCCGGCAGCCACCAACTGAATTGAGCCACCAAGTGAATTGAGCCACCAAGTGAATTGAGTCACCAAGTGAATTGTGCCCCCCTCTTCCATTAGCCAGAAGAAGAAGTAAACTCCAAGTAAAAGACGCTCATACTAATAATTAATAATGCCATTAATACACATTGGCTTAAAGCACGTCTAGAACAGGCGCCTTGAAGGTAAATGAGCAAGTATACAAAAGGAACTTCATTCAATTACACACCTATCTGCGCGTTCTCTTTCCATCTGCAAGGCCCATGTGCTCTTTTGCCTTGCTGATGGTGGCAGGTAGTTCCGATTTGCGGAAGCCTCTTTCGTGAAATGGCGTGTGCGCAGGTGGTGAATCTTGGCCATCCACCAAGGCATCGCTGGCAAATCTGATCCTCAAGTCGGCGCTCTCAGGAAAAGGCGAAGCTAGAATGGAACTCCCAATAGAATCGCATTGAGATTCCAGTTGTGCCAGCGTAATGGCGGATGAAGGTGTCGTCTATTATATGGGCTACTGAAAATGCTCCATTAATTCATCTTGGCAGCTGAATGGATTCAGTTTCCGCTATTAGATCCATGTTATGGATTTTATAATAGGACTATGGATAGCTACAGTTCTATGTCTAGTATACCGTTTTTGAAAATGTACATTGTAATTGTGCTTAAAACCTGGTGTCCAATATGTAACGGCTTTGACGTCCATAGCAGCGAGAAACCCAACCAAGCACTATATGTAACAACCAGTATGTCTAAGTTGGTATGGAGAAGCTTAGATTCTCTAACTAGAAAGTCTCATTGGGGAGGTATACATATAGGCAGCTTATCTCCTGTTACCTTGTGGTGTCACCAAGCCGATATCTTCGCCTTAATCATATGAATAGAAAACGTTTCTACGAAACGATACCCAGCCTTTGACTTGAAAACTGTCCATGAAGTATAAAAATTGAAAAAAAATTTCCCCAGCAAAGTATAGCTCACCCGTCGCCAAAGTTTTCTTCCCGTCCCGCCATTGTCCCACCCGTTATCATACCTCCAAGCAAAATCATCCCTGGTTCTGGCGTTCCAACTGCGACCGAATCCAAACGAATTCTTCAGAAGCTGCCCTCATCCACGCTGTCGTCGCCTCCCACCTTGCATCCATCACATTATGCAACGATATTTCTGCAGTTCTGTCCAACAATGGCATAGGCTGGAGTTCAGCCTGTTGTTGCTCAGACGTCGGTGCGACTAAGCTGAGAAGCGGATGATTACGCATCAATCGACTAAGTTGCGACTCAATAAGTGGCCTTGTCGGTTCCGATCTCACACGCTGTTCAGCCTGTTGTTGCCCCGAGGGTAGCATCGACTTCTGTTGTCCTAGTGTCGTCTCTCCTGCGCTAAGCCGCATGACTGGCTGTACCGAAGCCGTCGCGGCTACTTGTGCTACTGTGGAAGAAACAGTAACATCGTCGGCCATGTTGATGGCTGGAATCGGTGTCATTTCCCGCGTTGCTGACCACGCAACCGTAGCATTGCTTCCAGCCACATTGCAAACCACATCCCCAATCTGCCTCCGATTTGCCTCCTCTCCGGGTTGTAGCTCTCGCAATATTATCCTTCGAACAGGGTTTCGCGGTCTCTGATGGATCGTTGTAGATAGCGTGACGGTTGGAGTAGGTAGGCGATATCGCGGTACCCGCTGAGCCGGCGTTGCTTGTGCGATGGTTTGAGCAGCTTGGCTGACCAGTGTTGCCTGAGGTGCTTGCTGCACCGGTTTTTGACGGTAGATACTTGGTGTCACTTTGAGGGAAGGCCATTGTGCTGCGTAATTTCTTGCTTCTGGTGTCTCGAAATCGAATACAGGCGCGGGCGTCGTGTCAGGGAACAGTTCCAAGTATTCTTTTGTGCGGTCTTGGTCTGGGATAACATGACCCCGTTCTCTGATGCGGTTCTTGAATTCCTCCGGTACCTTTTTATAAAGCGCCCTTATGACAAGGAATCCTGGAATCGTTTTGCCGACTGAGCTTTTGTAGAGACGGTGTTGGGAAGGTTGCTTTCGGGAGGATACGGTATGCGTCCACTTTTTGTTTCTGAGCAACCCAAGGTATTTGTCTCGAGTCTCTGGCGTCATGTCCAACGCGTACGCCCAGTACGCCTCAATGCAGGCGACGCCGTCTGAATAGTCTTCGTCGTCTGGTCCCAACCCCAGGTTCGAGATATCATAGCGGGTTATGGCACTCATCGTCGTCGATTTCTGAACGGTTCCGTCGTGTGCGAGTCGGACTTGAAGAATCTGAGGAAGACGTTTAGTAAGGAGAATCCCATAAAGAGCGTTCAACACGATAACCTACTGCAAGAACAAAAGAATTACAGTAAAAATAACTGATGAAAAGAAAGGAAAGGAAAGGGGAAGAGAAGAGAGGGAAGAAGAAAATAAATAGTTGCGAGGCAGCTATCGAACCAGCTGGCAATTCTCTTCAGGAGTGCCAGCCAGCTGCCAGGTATTTCCTGCCATCGCACCTCAAATTATTCATTCTCGTCATTAGTTTCGTCCATAATGTACCGATAATCGCCATCCTCCGCCAAGAGTCCTAGGGGGTCCTCCTGTCATATACTCGTGGACATAGTTCGAGGTATTTCACACTAGACTCTGAGCGTTATATGGTGACGCACCTTATCGAAGGTTGGAAGGAGTGATTTGAAGATCTGCTTCAAAATCTGTGTGCGTTCCTCTTGTAAGTGATATCTCTAGGTAAAGAGCTGATAAAAACACAAGTCTCGCCCATGTAGGCTCTCTCCACAGTTTTGCATACAAAGGATGCTTCAAATGATCAACTTTCGTATCATCACTCATATTGAAAGATGATGGTTTGATCGAGTTCCAGTATTCATTCTGGCCGTTTTGAGTCATATTCGTCGCTTGTTTCTATTAGGCAAAAAGGACTTTGAGCCCTTATTTCCGCTGGTCCTAGGCTGACTGTGGGAGATTGTGCATTTCAATTTGCAAAAGAGGTAGTTAGGGATTGGTGTATAAGTTGTCATGTGGTAAAAGGCAGACGGGAGGCGTAATCGCATCCTCGTCGGCGTGCTTGTCTTCCCCGTACTCGTCTCCAGTGTGGTACATGTCTTCAGTTTGTTCGTCTTCAATGCGATCTTTGTGGTTTTCGTTAGTGTGCTCTTTGCTAGCTTGCTTGTCGCCGGCGTGGTGCTTTTTTATGGGTTTGTGACTATCGAAAGTATTAGAATGAATAACGCAATAACAGATGAAGATGTTCCAACGGCAGGAGAATATCGACATACCTAGATGGAACGAGAAAGGGATTGAGGAGGGAAGAAAAGAGAGAGGACGGAGAGGGGGAGAGGAAGCTTTATAGAAGAAAGAAATGCGGTATAACATCATTCGAAACACTTTCAGTCTGTGAATTCAGAACAGTCAAATGCTTAACTCTTCGTCAGGCAACATTTGAAACTATACCTGGTGACAGCTAAGTGAAGTGTTAAGTGAATTGCGCTCCTTCCTTTACTTCTGTATTGGGGTAGAATACCAACGCCAAAGAGCTTAACATAAATCCCTTCTGCTAACTAGCCTTTTGTGCTAGCTTTAACATACCCCATATCTTCTAATTTCGTGTTTTTGGTATTTGGTATAAATATCGTAAAGTTACTTTTATTACATTGGGGGCGCTATATAAAAGACATAGTTAAAATGATGGTAGATATCAGAGGAATATATTGATAGTAGCAGAGAGTAGCTATAGTAGCAGAGAGTAGCTATAGTAGCAGAGAGTAGCCATAGTAGCAGAGAGTAGCCATAGTAGCAGAGAGTAGCCATAGTAGCAGAGAGTAGCCATAGTAGCAGAGAGTAGCCATAGTAGCAGAGAGTAGGGATGAGTAATTAAGTTACTTGAATTTGCAGACTGAGGCTAGACTCCCTTTCTTTCTTTAACCCTTCTCGCTCGCTCGGTATCCAGGTATATTAAAATACAGAGGCGCGTAAAGCAAGAAAAAGGAAACCACTTATAATCCCCGCCCCCAGCCTCTGACGGCAGAGGTCTACTACTATTACTATTCTCATCTACTATTACTACTGTTATCTACTATCGCTACTCTCATCTACCGTCGCTACTCTCATCTACCGTCGCTACTTCTTCTACTATCGCTACCCTTTGAGTAAACCCAAAGTTTCCGTTTCCGTAAGCTTCTTAAATTGCCAATTATATATTTCAGTCATTACATTATGTTTACCTCTCTATAGCAAGGTAGACAGATATCATTCTATAAGCTCGATTCCCTCCTTACCAACAAATCCGAATGTAGATCCCAGGAGCAAGATGACAAGCCAAGGTTGGACACACGTATACAAAATACGGCAAGTAGACATCAACGAGCATTCACGATGGAACAAGGGCACTTGGGGGGATTTCAGGATCGCAGTATTGTTTTCAACTAAGCAAATCCATTCTCAAGCTCAAGTTCCAGTGACAGGTTTGCTCTCCTCCGCTAAGCCCATTATCTTTTTTGCAATCTGATTCCAATCTGGGTCGTCAATCCCCTAGATAAAAACTTTTCATTCTCGCGTCTAGTATACATGTCAGCTGCAAACCTGTCGTCAACCCTTTCTAATCTCTCTGGTAAGACCGCGAATCGACAAAACTATGAGTATTTTTTGTATAGGTGTTTCTTTTTTTTTATCCACTTTCGGCTTTTGCTACCGGCTGCATAAACATCTATCATGCTAAGGTTCTCACAATCCTTCCACCGGGAGAACTATAGGAAAAAAACACAACGTAAAGAAAAAAGAATAAATTGATGGTCGATGGCAAAACATGCCTCGTATGCATTATGAGATAAAATCAATCGTTAGCGGGGGAATTAGGTGAGCTGTAGAAGAAGTTGGTCAGTCATATTCGTAGTAATTATTGCAGTCTCAAGACTCCAAAGCGGGACTTACTATTGGTTTCCAGAAGCTCCTCCCGGGCCAGGTGTCCGAGGAGAGAATGACGGAGAAGTGGGCGAGTAGCTGGGGCTAGTCGGAGACTGCTGCGACCCGGGGCTCTTTGAGAAGCTTGGACTCGTGGGCGAGTAGGCCTCTGGGGATGTCGGAGACCATGAGGGTGAAGCAGGCGAATAGGATGGAGAAGTTGCGCCAGCTCCATGCAGATTAGGAGAAGCAGGACTGTAGTTGGGACTAGCAGGAGAGTAGCTAGGCGATGTAGGAGAATTGAATTGGGCCGGCGAGGTTGGCGAGTAATGTCTCGGCGATGACGGGGATGCAGGCGAATAGCTCGGCGATGTGGGACTGTAATTGGGGCTCGCAGGGCTTGTTGGTCGCAGCATTGGTGACGTAGGCGAGAACGACGGCGAAGAAGGACTGAATGAAGGCGATGTCGCATATCGGCCGATACCGCCGTCGATCATAGGAGACGTAGGAGAGTATCCAGTGTTGGGCGACGATGGAGAGTAGCCACCCATACCGGAGCTGAATGGCGATGTTGGAGAAGTGCTGAAGGGGCTGGTTGCTCCGCGCATGGAGTACGGGCTCATAGACCCGATACCACCAAAGCCGCCACCGCCATACTCGGTTCCAAATCCAGCTGGTGTTTCCGAACCCGCGCCCTGGATGGGCGAGAAGTTTCCGGCAGCAGGGGAGTTGAGGCTGAGGTAGCCAGAGTCGGCCATGGGAGATCCAGTATCGTACGGTGTAGCCGCACCCTCAACTTCTCCTTCCTTGACAGGCATGCCCGGCATGAGACCCATGCGAGAGTTGTCCGAAATAACTGTTTCCAGCATCTTCGGGTCCAGGAAGACGTCAAAGTGGCCAGTTCCCATAGGAGCCATCTGGCCGAGCATGACGTTTTCAGAAATGCCACGGCAATCATCAAGCTCTCCTGTAGCAGCAGCCTCGAGAAGAATTTCAACCGTCTCCTCGAATGAACATCGCATGAGTGCACCAGTATCTGCACGGTTAATACCGTGTCGTGTTACAGCAGAAATACTTCCACGGTATGTCATGACATCGCAGAGCAGAGCAATGTGTCGATGGTTGACGTAGGAACCGTCAAAGGCCAACACAGCCGTCAACTCCTTTACAAGGGCAGCTCGAGTACCCTCAATACCAAACACCTCAATAACCTGCCACAGGTCGTTGGTGTAGGTTCGTGTAGGATCAACTCCGGGAACAGCCAAGACCTCGCGGAGGGCCGAACCGCTAGTGTCCAAATACCATTGAGTGCAGCGGATATCATCTTTGAGCGCGAGTTCAGATCCATCAACAGATTCGACAAGGCGAGTGCCCTTGGTCAAGAAAGCTCTCTCAACACCAGGCACACCGCGCAACGTCAGAGTGTCCAGCAGATGGGCTTCAAGGCGCTTCAGCATCACATCATCTTCAATCTTCTTCTCGCCATCTTCATCCTTCTCGTCGTTTTGTCGAATAGTACGGATTCGAATGACTTGCTCATCGGCATTGTTGTCGCTGAAAATGACGGCCAAGTCGTTGGGATACTCCTCCTTGATACGCTGAGCAACGTCATCAATCTTGATTTCCTTGTCAAGCAACTTCTGCCTGTCAAGTGTGATACGCAAGAGCCACCTCGACTGTTGATCGATAGTGTCTTGGCTGTCATCGGGAATCAAGAAGTAGGACTCGACCATATCGACATCCTCTGCAATGGTTGTAGATTGGACATCCGGATCATAGTAGATTTCAGTGACGGAAGTAATCGATCGGAGGTTAGTGTACTCAACCAAACTTCGCAGCTTCTTCGCTTGCTCCTGTTTAGCCAGCGGAGTATCCAGGTACACGGCCATACTGGGGGTCTTGATGTTCTTCGCCAGATTGAGAATTTCCTTGAGTCGAGGCACACCGAGCGTGACGTTCTTGGAAGACACACCAGCAAAGTGGAAGGTGTTCAGTGTCATCTGGGTGGCGGGCTCACCAATAGACTGAGCAGCAAGGACGCCAACCATTTCACCAGGGTTAACAAACGACCGGTCCCATCGGTTTTGAAGTTCGCCGAGGACGTGATCAAAGGCGAGCTTGTTCAAGCGATGCTCCTTGACCACCTCTTTGAAGGCTAACCGAGAACGAAGAAGAGCCTTAAAGAGGATGGTAGCACTAGCATCTGCCTCCTTAGAGATCGGATCGTCACCTCGAACAATCTTGAGCTTGCTGATGACGTTCCTCACAACAGGAATGACATCAGAAGGTCTCAAGTTGCTTCGATCGTTTGCCTTAACGTTGAACACGCGCTTCGCCGTCTCAATCATGCGACCAATATTGAGAGGAAGTTGCATCGACTCCTCACCCATCTTCGAGCGATTGATATCTCGGACCTCACGACGATCCGCAAGAAGTGCATCCCACTCCTCATCAAGAAGAGCCATGGAAGCCTTGTCACCAGTCAATTCATTACCATACTCGTAATCCTTTCTGAACCATTCAGGGGGGTTGGCCAGATCAAGTCGATACTTCTTCTCGAAAGCCTCATCAGACATCTTCAAAGTACCAAGCTTCTGTTTCTCAATGCACATGGCATCAAGACCGTCTTCACCGTAGAGGAACTGAATAATATCACCCAGAGAGTTGCGGACAGTTCCATCGTATTGAGCATTGAGATCTTCCAGAGCCTTGACGAGACGTCTCTGAATATAACCTGTTTCAGCAGTCTTGACGGCAGTATCAATGAGACCTTCACGACCAGCCATGGCGTGGAAGAAGAATTCAGAAGGCGTAAGACCACGGAGGTAAGAGTTCTCGACGAAGCCACGGGCCTCAGGTGAGTAATCGTCTTTGGTGAAATGGGGCAGAGTTCGGTATTTGAAGCCAAATGGAATACGCTTTCCTTCGACAATCTGCTGTCCTACAAGCGCCGTCATCTGAGAAATGTTGATAGATGATCCCTTCGAACCGGACTCAGCCATGGTGACGGCGTTGTTTGAATCCTTCAAACTCTTTTGGGTCGTAGTACCAGCCTGGTCACGAGCCATGTTCAAAGCCATGGAGACCTTGTTCTCGAAAGTCGCTCGGACATTCATACCGGGCAGGGCCTCCAACTCGTTGGCAGTAGCCATTGCCGTTAGCCTGGCGACCTCGGCTTTTTGGGTGTCAATATGCACCTGGACCTTCTCGATTGTCTGCTTGTCTGGAATGGTATCACCAATACCAATGCTATGGCCATTTTGCAGGAGCCAGTAGGAAACCACTTGCTGAACGCCGTTAAGGAACGCCATGGCACCTTCTGGTCCCAACTCATTGTAACAAAGATGGATGACACCACCGGAGGCGGAACCAATGTTCTTCTTCTTCATGAGACCGTACATAAGCTCACCAGCCTGAATGAGCAGTCCAGTATCCCGGAGGGGAGATTCGGACTTGTCTTCGGGGGCGTGCAAGCTGATTTCCTTGGGAATGACCATGCTAATGATCTGCTTACCAGTCCAACGGGGTCTCGGCTTCAGAATAGCGGGCTGCGGAATAATGCCATCCCAGTTAGGAACCCACAGCATGAGGTTCATGACTTGATTCTTGTCAAGGAAGGTGTCACGTCGGCAGATCTTGTAAGCACCAGCAAGGGAATCCTGGACAATACCCATCAAAGGACCGTTCTTCTGAGGCGAGACGATGTTGTTCGGAACCAAACACAGCTCTTTGACCTCGGCACGAGTCTCCTCACTCTGAGGAACGTGGAGATTCATCTCGTCACCGTCGAAATCGGCGTTGTATGGAGAAGTAACCGAAAGATTGAGTCGGAAGGTAGAATAAGGCATAACTCGGACACGATGACCCATCATGGACTCCTTGTGAAGCGAAGGCTGTCGGTTGAAGATGATGTAGTCACCATCCATCAGATGACGCTCAACTTTCCAGCCATACTCCAGGGAGATTTGAGCGGCACGTCTATGGTGCCGCAGGTCGATGCGGGTTCCGTCGGATCTGATAACGTACTTGGCTCCAGGATGCTCGTTGGGACCGTTTTCGACCAATTGATGTAGCTTTCCAATGTTGTAAGGTGTGACTGTCTCAGGATAAGTCAGAGTCCTAGCAATACTGCGAGGAACGCCGACTTCGTGAAGGGACAGGTTGGCATCTCCCGTGATAACGGTACGTGCAGAAAAGTCAACACGCTTTCCCATCAAGTTGCCTCGCAGACGACCCTCTTTACCCTTGAGGCGGGCACGAATCGCCTTGACAGGACGCCCACTCTTTTGCAAAGCGCGAGGCTGGCCAGCAATGTCGTTGTCCATGTAGGTTGCAACGTGATATTGAAGCAGCTCTTCAAAGTCTCTCGCAATATGCTGCGGTGAGCCCTCGCGAATAGCCTGCTTGACATTACCGTTGGCACGAATGATATCACCAAGCTTGTATGTCAAGTCGTCTTCGTTCCGCATGCCAGTACCGGTGCCATCCATGGAAATACTAGGACGGACTGGGGGCGGGGGAACGGGAAGAACAGTGATGATCATCCATTCCGGACGAGCATAATCCGAATTGAGACCCATGTTACGCAGGTCACTTTCAGAAATGCGACGGAGGATGCTATGAGCCATCTCCGGGGTGATGGGGGCCGTCTCTTTCCGCTTAGGGCCATCTTCTTGGGCCACTTCAAAGGCAGCCTTCAGCTGAAGGGCAACCTGTCGTACTTGAGGCTGCACATTGCCACAGCCGCCATGGCTTTCCACGAGGGTAGGCTTCATGCCAGGCGCAAATTCTTCGTCCTTGTTCTTGTCTGTCCGATCCTCATTCTCGCATCTCCGCTTCTTCTTGCAGACGGCCCAAACTCGCTTGAAGCGGAGTTTTGCATCTCGAGTATTGATTGCTGCGACAAACTCAGGATCGCTCTGGGAAAGTTCAGGTTAGCATCCAGTGAGGCAAAGGCTTCATGGAAAAGAGAAGACCAACTTCATCAGCCAGCACTTTACTACAGTTGTGGCAGACAATTTCCAGGATCTTCTTGACTTTCTTGATGAAGCCAGGGTGGTACACAGGCTTTGCCAGTTCAATGTGTCCAAAATGACCAGGACACTCGCCCATAGCCTGTGTGCAGGTCTTGCACTTGAACTGTCGATCGATCGAGCCGAGAAGAGGGTCGTTGAGGCCACCGTCGCGCGGCTTTGTGCCGCCTTCCTCCATCGTTTCGGGATACAGAATGTGCGCCACACTCATGCTTTTAATCTCCTCGGGAGACATAAGTCCAAATTGGATCTCCTGCACCGTCTTGAGCGGAGCGCTCGAGTGGGTGAAGTAAAGGTTCGCCATTTTCGAGGTCGTTGCGAGATTTCAATCGAACAAAATCACGGAAGCTGAAAAGGATCGGTGAGGGCGGCAGATGCAGCACGCGCCTCGCAGTCGCGGTACTGGTGCAAAGCGCGAAGAAAAACACTGGAAATTCCAAGAGACGACAATTTCTTATCGCGGGAAGTCGAAGAATCGATGGCAGAAGCGGTTGTGAGTTGTTGAGAGATGGCGCTCTCTCGATCGCCAGTCCTGGCCACCAGGCCCAGGAGAACCTCACGGCAGGTCTCCCCCGTCGCCACCAGCTCTGGGGCCGTATCAACACGTAAATCGCAGGTCGGCGGCTTGTATCGTCGTTTTCGGGGTGCTTCCAGGTGCCAGAGTCGATGCCCGACACGCTTGGTGATGACTTTGAACCGTGGGCAGAGTTTTGTCGTGGTTGAGGCGAGACGATCAGAAGAAGCCTGAAAGTTCTGGACGTGAGGCGCTTGGTGCCTTCGATGCCGCTAAGCCGTGTCGGGACCAACCACCTCCTTGCGCCCGCAGAAGTTGGTGCCTCAGGCCACACTGATTCACGTTCATGCTGCGCCGCACTGTGGAAATGGTGAAAGAAGAGCGCAAGGACAATAGAATCCACGCTACTTGCTTGGGTTTCACAAAGAAAAATTCTCACTGTTTTTGTCAGCATGGCAGCTTAATCACACTCCTCCCCTCCCTGAAGCAAGGCGCGCCTCAGAGCTTCTTTTGGAATTGATGTCACCGGTGTGACTCAGCTCCCCGAATCTTGGGTTTCACTTCAGCCTCATGCTATTGTGCTGCTTCATGCCACGTTAAGGGAGTAGTTATTATCCAGCACCCCAGTGATTTGAATTCAAGTGTCGTAGCTACCCACATACAGAGGGAATACTTAGTACCTTTTATCTACCTGATTCTTTAAGTCAATGCCACTATCGCTACTATCACTACTCTCTGCTAGTATCTATAACTATCGCTACTCTTTCTACTCCCTGCTACTATCGCTACATGTCCCTTTTTTTCTACTGCTGCGATTGCTGAGTGTTATCACATTTGAGACACGGATGTTGAATAGCCAATTAGGGTGCTGGTTAGCAATTCCCCTAGTTAATTCATGCTCTATATCCCATCAATGCCATGATGGCCGCTGCCCAGCATTATGACTTGTCTATTCCTCCCGCCTTTGCTAGTACCAGCGAGATACCAAGAAAAATTGAAAACAAAAACGCCATGCAATCATAACCCCCAATCACTTCTTCTTACTTCGTCCTCCCCTCGCGCCAGCGCCTCCCTTCTTGCGCACAGGGGCAGCAGATTCAGCCCCAGCGCTCAAATCAGCCTGGCTCTCCCCAGGACTCCTTCGCCGCATGGTTCCGGTCGAAACCGCAACGAATTCGTCTTCACTATCACTCTCGCCCAGGTTGAATAGGATGGGCATGCGAAAATTCTCCAGGTCATCCCCCTCTTTTGTATGATCGGCCGTCAGCACATCCACGTCCTCGTCCTCAGCATCAAGCCGCCTCCTGTGGATTTCTTCTTGCGCATATATGTCGAACTCATCCTCTCGCTCCATGTACTCTACATTTTCCTCAACCTCGGCAAAGTCCGGCGCCAGCGCTGACCACTTTTGAGGGCTGATGACGGACCATATGTATATGCGGCCAGTCTCCAGCCCACATGCTGCCAGGAGCGGGCGAGAAGGATGCCACTCGATGACGCCTTGCTCTTCCTTGGGGTCCTTCAGCATGCAGACTAAACTGCCGTGATTCCTCTCCCAAACGTAGAGTTCGTGATTATTATATGTAGACGCGGCGACGTATTCGCCCGTTGCGCTAAACGTAACATGGTTCCAAGACAGTTTGTTAACAACATCTTGGAATTTATGTTCGAGTGGCAACTGTATTGTATCCGGGTCGAGATCGTCCACCGAGAGGTTTGGTATTCGAAACGTCCGGATGATTCGATCTTGTGAGTTTACCAGTAGGTCTCGGCCAGAGCCTGTTATTCTCATGGTGGTGATGACCCCTGTGCATATTTTTTCGGAGTATATTATCTCGAGAGTTTTGGCATCAATGATATTCAATTTGCCTTTGCTCGTTCCTGCGATTATGTGGTCACCGCTCACGGTCCATATTGCAGATGTCGTCATCTGCTTCGCGTCCTCTTTTGCCTGCTTCTCTTTGAGGGCAAGATCGCTGTCGGCATTCGATCGCTTCGGTGCTGACGGAAGAACGCGTTTGACGTCTACCGGTTCAGAGACATCGACCAGTAGCGGTTGCTCTTCGAATAGAGACGCGACAAAAAGATTACTAGGTGAGCATGTTAGTCAATAGGTCAATGGCGACGATTGGAATGCAAAATGTAAAATGCACATACTGGTTCCAAGGATGAAGTTCAGCCATGTAAGCAGGAGCCCGAAAGCGCACCTCACGATGTCGCTGCCCAGTCTCCAGATCCCAGAGTATGGCCTTCCAACCTTGGCATGTCGATAGCAGATACCGCCCGCATCTCGACCAGCTTAGGAATGTGATGCTCTTGTTGTGCCCCCTCATCTTCAAAGCAACCCCCATCGTCTCTAGATCCCAAACAACGACGGTTCCATCCACCCGGCCGGACGCAAGGTAGTCGCCCTTGCGGTTAAATCTCAGCATCGTCGCATGGCCGGATCGGATCGTGCTCGTCATGCTCTCAGGATAGTCCTGGAGGAGATAGTCGTCTGAAAGGAGGAGATTCATCGTGGCGGTGACAGGGCTGGGGCTTTTCGAGAGAAGCAGAGCAACATGGTAGAGGAGACGCGAGAAGGCTGCGAGCTCCAAGCAGAATGCGAAGCAGAGCCTCTACTGCAAGGCTGATGAAAAGAAAGCGCCACGCGAGGGGTGCATCTAATATTTCACGACAAGGCGTGAGCCTAACGCGGAATTGCGGGACCTGAAAATGCTCCACCGCGGGGATGTGCGCTAGCATGACGCACAAGTACTCAGTATCTGTGTTTACGCTCAAATGAGTACAAACCTTTTCTTTTACAAAAGCTCAGGCAGCGTTCGCCGGGTTTCGGAATGGCGAACTCCAAGTACGATGATCTAATTCCGGGTTACGTTGATGCATGCTAAATGACGTTCTAGATTTGAATATGTTCGAAATTTCGAGCAGCCAGACCCCCTCCTGCCCAACACATGGATCGTAGTTCGCATAGATGGCAGAGGATTCACCAAGTAAAGGCACATATGAAAAGGAACCATTGTTATCATTTCTAACATTTTTACTCAAGGATGTGTGCCAAATATGAATTCGAAAAGCCAAATGACCGGAGAGCACTCGATCTTATGAATGCGGCGGCCAAGGCGGTGGTGACTGACATACCTGAGATCACTATTGCATACGGAGTCAGCGACGAATACAGGTAGTTTTCCTGTGAACCGAAGATCTCGCCCATATTCTACAGTCTAACATTCTTAGTTTTGTTTTTCACAAGTCCTGCAACCTCTTCGAGAGGAGAGCGAGGTGAGAGGCCAGAACCCTGGCTTACCCTACATGGACCACTGACTGACAAAACTTCAGCAAACTCGTCACCACAATTGTCTCTACATTCACAGCAAACTATGTTTATTTATGGCCGACATACTTTCCAGATACCCCTCTCTCATTTCCTCTCCCGACCTTTGACGGCCGAGCTGTCTGCTACCCGACGGTACAGAATCTCCGTGATTACATGAGTTGGAGGCAAGCCGATTGTAAGGTGACTCTAATCACATGGGTAGATTTTTTATACTAACAAACAAGGCCATATAAACAATTTGTATAACACGGCCTTCTGGAAATTGATACAGCTTGGAGGCCTTGACAACAAAGAGGCAGAGAAAACGCTTGCAGTTCGTACTCTCTTTCGGCGTCGTGGTTTTCTACTAACTGGGTTTCCAGGGAACGCTGGCGGCTGATAAAAATGAAATCCTGTTTTCTCGATTTCAAATTAATTATAACAACGAACCAGAAATCTTCAAAAAAGGAAGCATCGTGTTCAGAGATGTAAGAACCCATGCCGACAGTAATTGGCGTATCGTGAGCTAACATTTCATGCAGTATGAGCTGGCCGAACCGAGCAGTCACAATGCGGCCGCAGCAGCAGACGCCCTTGCGGAGCCGGTAGTGCAATCAAAATCACAAGCCGAAAAGGATAAGAAGCGCCGAGCCAAGGCAAAAGTGGTGGTGGAACACTTAGACATCATCAAGGATGAATTTTGGGATAGACGGCCCTGGATCTTGTCCGGCAAGCCGGGTCAGCCTGGCAAGGCGTCCAAAGAAATACAAACTTGAAACGCTGTCTATTGGGTATCCCTTGTGTTTGAAAACATGAGCCAAACTCCCTGCTAAATGCGCCATATATGATTTCGTCCTTCTAGTTTTCCCATTAGCCGCCCGAGGCCTTCATCTTCTTCAATTCTTTTCGCCTGCGCTTTTCCTCCTTTTGAGCACGCCTAAGCGCCTTGTCCTCTGCCACACTACTGCTAGAGTCAGACGTATCCTTCTTCGCCTCGGCTCTTTTCAACCTCCTTTCGAGTTTTGCTGCTCTTCGTAGAGCTCGTGCCTCTTTTCGTTTCCTCTTCTCCTCTTTCCGAGCCCTTTTCTCCTCCTTGGTTTCTTTTTTAGGTATTGTAGGCTTTGCCCCAGCGGACTTGGTATTCTTCTCGTCGTTCTTATCGGACTCCGAGCTAGTCGAGTCGTCCGTTGTTTCTGTACCAATAGTTCCCTGAAGAAACCCTCCTCGAACGAACGAGGCGTAGATGGAGTATTTTGATACGCGTCCTGGGTCGAGCGCATTGAGTTTCCCTGTTTTTACTGTCTGCTCGACTTTGCCTTCTTTGGACGTGTCGAGGCCTTTGAGCTGCTCGTCAAAGGCGTCCATCCACCATAGATCGCTCGTAAAGTGTTTTGTATTTCCAAGGCCCTTGGTATTGGTCTTGCGATTCAGAAGCAGAGGCTTTGCAAGGCCAATTGAGTCGTCTGTCTTGTGTAGAGAATGGCCTGTTCCACGCCAGCCTTGGGCGGAAAGAAGCGCATGTGCGTTCATTGTGTCGAAGGAATTGGTGGCACGGCTGCCGCACCAGGAAATTAGGGAATGGCAGTTCTATCGATGGCGAGGATTCGACATGAGGCTTGAGAATTAAAAACTGAACAGCTGCCTTTGAACAGCACCGTGGCTGGCGGCTTTGGTAGGAGAAATGGGAATTTTTCTAGCGGGGCCCGGGCTTATCGAGCGCTTATCAGACAGGTCACTAATACAGCACTAGCATTTACCACTCAGCTCCAAACTATGGCCTTTTAGTTAGAATTAGTTCGCTCCATGTCAACTCTTCTACATCCTCTGGGTGGTCTAGTTGGTTCATGGCGTTCGACTGTAATGGGTAACATCTCATCGAAAAGTCGGCGGTTCGATTCCGTCCCCGGAGAACAATTCTCCCCGGAGAAGAGTTACATTTTTTTGGCCTTTGTTTTGGCTTCTGTCTCTTTTTTGTTCTCGTCTCTTCTTTTTCTTTCTGTAATTTGTTCTTTTGAAACTGAGAAAAGATAATTTGCCGTTGTGATTTTGCTCTTCTTCCCCCTCTTGCTCAACGATAGTTATCTGAGATCAAAACACTTGTGCACTAAATTACTGATTGGTCCAGTGCTGGAACAGAGGAATGTGCTCACTAAAAATAGAGCCTGGGTGATTAAATGAGACTTTGGGTGATGCGGTCAGCATTGATTCACGGCTGGCTCTTCCATACACACTGCTCACAAAGATATCCATGGCTTTCCACCATTTCCCCGCACTCCCACTGATGTTTTGAAATCAATTGTTTTTGGCCGTGTTTTGCTTCCCTCACAGGATTTAGACCGCCTTGGCCGAAGGATTCGATGGCCCGACAGCAGCCAATTAATCCCTGTGACGTGTGATGTGCCGCCAGTTAGCCGGCGTCAATGCCTAATGTCACGTCCGATCAATCGTCTTCCTACATCAACAAATTCTTTTGAGCTTTAGAGTGTCCATTTGAAGATTCTCGACCATAGAAACGACGGCCTAAGCGACAGTGGGCATCAATATGGCGCCACTATGCGCGGATCCGCGACAGGTCATTATCGCCCTGAATCCGGCTAGGCGAAAGGCATTGCTGGCTCTTGTCCAGAAGATCGTCTCTTACATGATCTCCGAGTTGGAGACTCGCCCCGATGAACTGGGATCAATTGCTCCAGATGATGAGGGCAATGCATATGATGAATCGCCGCCATCAGACTCGCCGGAGAAGGCGGGTAACTCTATATCCCAAGGCGACAAGTCTCAGGGCTTGCTGCAGCCGAAAATCAAGACGACCAGGCAAGCAGAGAAATCCTTAAGGGCGGCATTGACTTATTCTCTGGAATGGAGGGATGAAGTTGTATCCAAGCTTGAGGAGATTGTGAACGTGGAAGATACGCAAAAGATTGTGGCCGAGAGGAAAACCCGGCGCGAGATGCTGGACAAGAAGAAATTGGAGATGCCCAATAGTGATCGCCAGCTCCTTGATATAGACGGCGTACCGGTAGATGAGACGGAGGACGTCTCCATGCTGCAATCCGCGTATACGCCGATACCCACCAGGCTGACAACTATCCCAATCGAGGACCGAGAAGAGGCACTCACTTGTGTGTTACTATTGCTTCTATCTACTGGGAAATACTCTGCCCATTCTCGCGCTCTGGTACTTTATCTGACCTCATCGTTGGAGTTGTCTCAGACGTTCCTTAACAAGACAGAGGCGGAGATCGCCATGTCTCTCATGGAATCTTCTACGGCCAACAATGACCAGAAAGAAGCAATGTCTGCAGATGCTGAGGCTGCTAAACGCCGGCAGCAGAACAAGGTCAGCCGCTTTTGGAAAGTTGGGCTGGCATCTGTAGCTGGTGCTGCAGTTATCGGAGTCACAGGAGGCTTGGCTGCTCCTCTGGTTGCGGGGGCCATTGGAAGTGTTCTTGGAGGTGTTGGCTTGGGAGGTGTTGCAAGCTTTCTCGGCATTTTCTGGATGAACGGAGCTTTAGTCGGGACCCTATTTGGAGCTTATGGTGCTAAGATGACTGTAAGTTGAGATACTTTTCTTTGACCGAAGGACATATATGTATGTGCTAACATGTTATTTCAGGGAGAAATGATGGATAACTACGCAAAAGAAGTGGAAGATTTTCGCTTTCTCCCTCTCAAAGAGGAGGTTACAACAGATGTCCCAGAGAACCTAACCAAAGAGCAAAAGGAACAACGCCGCCTCCGCGTCACCATCGGAATCAATGGCTGGCTGAACTCGGAAGATGATATCAAGAAGCCTTGGCGCATTCTAAGTACTGATACCGAAGTCTTTGCTCTGCGCTATGAGATGAGCGTTCTTCTTAGTTTGGGGACCGCCTTGAATGACCTTGTTCGTTCCTTTGCCTGGACGGCGTTCAAGGCTGAAGTCATCAAGCGAACGGTCCTGGCGACTCTCTGGGCTGCTCTCTGGCCCATACAAGTTTTGGCTGTTGCTTCCAATGTGGACAATCCGTTCAATCGCGCAAATAACCGATCAAGAAAGGCTGGGCAGCTTCTTGCTGATGCACTCATCAATAAGGTCCAAGGCGAAAGACCCGTCACACTTATGGGCTATTCTCTTGGTGCCACAACAATCCACGCCTGTTTGCAGTCCCTTGCTGAGCGCCACGCTTTTGGTCTGGTTGATACAGTCGTCATAATCGGCACCCCAGCTCCGTCTGATCCGGCTCACTGGCGGGCTATCCGACCTGTCGTGTCTGGGAAGATCTTTAATGTCTATTCTGAGAACGATATGGTCCTCGGTTTTGTATACCGGATGCACAGTCTCGCACTCGGTGTCGCTGGTTTGCAGCCCATCAAAGGTGTGAATGGCATCGTGAACGTGGACTTGAGTGAGAGCGTTAGCGGCCATCTTCGATATCCGTCCCTTACCGGTGAAATTTTACGCAAGTGTGGCTTCGTAAATGTCAAGGCCGGAAAGGATATCGAGAGAGACGATGTCATACAGATGAAAGACAAAGAGGAAGATCTCATTGACTTCGGAGATGGCGCTAGTAACAAGCTCAATGACGAAGTTAAGACTGCTGAATCTCTTCAAGGCATGACAATCACACCTCCAGCTCTTATACCGCGCAAGGAGCTCGCCAATCCACCTCTTCCAAAGCGGCCGACTGACGAACTCGAACTCGAAAACCCGCAACTTCCTCCGCGAACAACCGAGTCTGCACCTCCAGTTGTACAAGATGCAGAGGATGTAGCCCCTCCTTTGCCTAGACGCCAGACAGCTCCATTGCAACAATTAACAATCCCCCGACGTCCGGTCCCAAGTACTTTCATAGAGGAACCGGCCAGCCCAGAAACGCCGCTCACTCCACAGTACGATTCTGATGACGAACACCACATGTCAATTACGATGGTTAATAGGGATGAGGATGACGACTAAGGTTAACGATGGCGAAAGGAGACCCCGGTGAGTCAGATATTACTTTAGAGATACTAGGCTGGTTACAGGAAAATAAACAAAACTCAGATTCCCAGAAGAGCAGGCTTCTATTACAATACATATAAGGTGTTCCTTACTTATCTCGATATACTTAGGTATCCAGATATCCACAGAAAGTAGTAATAGTAGTAGAATAAATATATAGTTCCTAAAGTATCTGCCTTTCTTATTACTTTCTGCTACTATTACTACTTTCTGCTACTATTACTACTTTCTGCTACTATTACTACTTTCTGCTACTATTACTACTTTCTGCTACTATTACTACTTTCTGCTACTATTACTACTTTCTGCTACTACCTATTACTACTCTCTGCTACTCTCTGCTACTATCGCTACTATCTGCTACTATCCGCTACTATCTGCTACTATCCGCTACTATCGCTACTTTCTGCTATTAATGATTAATATATTTATTTCGTCGTCTTATCTGGCGATCGTTCGCGAGGCGGCGTTGACGACTGCCGACGTCTTACTCGACGGCAACCAAGCACTTGTCGTCGTCAACAACTCGACTAATAGCAAGTAATCACTGCCCTATTGATACCGAGAACAGCAACGGTGGTTTCTTCTATGGTGAAGAGAATTGACACCGTAATTAGTGACTAGGTAGGTATTGACAACGGATAAAGAAAGGCGTTGGTTGAACTACGATTGCACATATTCAGTAGTGATGATGGGTTTGCTAACTCATGTCGATTACTCAAAAGACAACGTCACGTAAAGCATGATTGTACACTTGATTAAGTTTAACGGTTTTAATCCGTAATTTCCATTCTACCGAGTCTATGCGTAGTCCACATATCGTTCCTGCCTCACACGAATGGGTTCCTCCCAATGTGTAGCAGCATCGTCGTCATTCTTTTCATGAATCCCCAGCTATTTGGCATGTCATTATTGCACCCATGCAAGAAGTCGAGGAGAGTGAAAATGCAAAAAAAAACTCTTCAGATGCCTCGGTATCTTCTCAATTGAATGGACACAGATTTGGAGAAAAATATGAAACAAGGAAATAGGAGGTTTGTCTTCCTCCCATGATAGCGCTCTTCCCAAGGCGCTAAGGACCAGTGAGCGATTCTTATGCTACCAGTCGCCCAAATTTTTTGTTTTCCACACCCAACTCCCGGAATCCCACCACGTCCCTCTGTTTTATCCCATCATCACTCCCCGATTAATACATTTATCGGGAGGACATGGCCTTGGTGACAAGGCGCTTAAGAGCGAGCTCCTGCTTCTTCAGGTCCTCAGCGGTGCTGTCACCAAGCTCGAGAGCGGCCATGGCGTCGCTGATGGTGGACTCAATCTTCTCCTTCTGGCCACGCTTGAGCTTGAGAGACAGGGTAGGGTCAGAGACAATCTCCTCAACACGGCCAATGTAGGACTCGAGCTGCTGCTTGGCCTCGAATCGCTTGCTGAAGGCCTCGTCGTTGGACTTGAAAGCCTCAGCATCGCTGATCATCTTCTCAATCTCACCGGTAGACAGCTTGCCGACAGAGTTGGAGATGGTAATGTTGGCACTGCGGCCAGAGGACTTCTCAGTGGCGGTAACCTTGAGAATACCGTTGGCATCGACCTCGAAGACGACCTCAAGGACGGCCTCACCAGCCCTCATGGGAGGGATGGGGGCAAGAGTGAACTCGCCCAGAGAGGTGTTGTCCTCACAGTTAACACGCTCACCCTGGTAGACGGGGAACTGAACGGTCTGCTGGTTGTCGGCAACGGTAGTGAAGGTGCGCTTCTTCAGGGTTGGCACGGTCTGTCCACGAGGAACGACGGGAGCGAAGATGTTACCCTCCATGGCGACACCAAGGGACAGGGGAACAACGTCGAGCAGCAGGAGGTCGGCGGTCTCGGCGGAGGTGGCCTTTCCGGAGAGGATACCGGCCTGGACGGCAGCACCGTAGGCGACGGCCTCATCGGGGTTGATGCTCTTCTCGAGCTTCTTGCCGTCGAAGAACTCGGACAGAAGCTTCTGGATCTTGGGGATACGGGTAGAACCACCGACCAGGACAATCTCCTCGACGGCGCTCTTCTCGATGGCAGCATCCTTGAGGACCTGGGCAACAGGCTCAAGAGTACCGGCAAAGGCCTTGGCGTTGAGCTCCTCGAAACGAGCACGGGTGATGGTCATGGTGAAGTCCTCACCCTCGAAGAGAGAGTCAATCTCAATGGTGGCCTGGGCACCGCTGGAGAGGGTACGCTTGGCACGCTCGCAAGCAGTGCGGAGTCTTCGGAGAGCACGGGGGTCGTTGCTGGGGTCCTTCTTGCTCTTGCGAGTGAACTCCTTCTTGCAGTGATCCAACAGGTTGGTATCAAAGTCCTGGCCACCCAAGTGGGTGTCACCAGCGGTAGCCTTGACGGTGAAGACACCACCCTGGATGTTGAGCAGGGAGACATCGAAAGTACCACCACCAAGATCGTAGATCAGGACGTTGCGCTCCTTGTCAGTCTTGCCAGCACCCAGACCGTAGGCGATAGCAGCAGCGGTGGGCTCGTTGATGATACGGAGGACGTTGAGGCCAGCAATGGCACCAGCATCCTTGGTAGCCTGACGCTGGTTGTCGTTGAAGTAGGCAGGGACAGTGATGACAGCCTTCTCAACCTTCTTGCCGAGCTTGGTCTCAGCAATCTCCTTCATCTGTAGTTTTATATACGTTAGAATTGGTTCCACAGCAAAATTTTTCTTGCCTCAGTGATGTCACTAGGCGAATGTAGAGAAGCGTACCTTGAGGAGGACCATGGAGGAGATCTCCTGGGCGGAGAAGGACTTCTTCTCGCCGAGGTACTCAACCTCGATCTTGGGGTTGCCAGCATCGTCAATGACGGTGAAGGGCCAAGACTCGATATCCTTCTTGACGGTGGGGTCATCGAAGCGACGGCCGATCAGACGCCTGAGGTGAAAATTTTGTCAGCCACCAAATTCTCGTAGAGCAGCTAGAAAAGAGGTGCAGATGGCGAGAAATATACTCACTTGGCATCGAAGACGGTGTTTCTGGGGTTCATGGCAGCATTGTTCTTGGCGGCCTCACCAATGAGACGCTCCTTGTCCGTGAAGGAAACGAAGGAGGGGGTGGTGAAGGAACCCTGCTCGTTGGCAATGATTTCGACATTGTTACCCTCGTAGGTAGCAACGCAAGAGTAGGTGGTACCTATCGGAGGAGATCATGTTAGTTTTGAAGCTTGGAAGGTTTGAATTGATGATTGATGATTGCAATGAAGAGAGAAGAGGGGATGATTTCCCTCTGCTGCTCTCGCAATTCGCTCGCTGTTTGTCGTCGAGAGTGGTGAGGGGCATATCGACGGCGAGAAAAGAATTTTGTGTGCAACTCACCCAGATCGATGCCGACGGCACCGTCATAAACTTCGTCCGCCATTTTTTTTTAGGGATATGAAGGATAAAGAAGAAGAAAAAAGTCCTTCAAACTGATGTGAAGGATGATATGAAGGAGGAGATGGATATGGTGGAAGGGAAAAAAAAGAGAGCAAACGTGGGGTTGGTTTGCAAGAAATACTTCCCACCAAATTTTCTGAGCCAGGCCGCCAAAGAATTTCTGCCGCTCTACTTTTTGCTGCGAACTTTTTTTTTTTTTTTTTCCAGTCGGCAAGCAAATGTGCATGCAAGGTGGGGCAAGCGATAAGTTTTACCGTATGGTCCCTTAGCGCGCTAGGCCTGTCTGGGAAAGGCTCTCGTTGAAATTTTCTTTCGCGCTTGAGAGGCTGAGCCACCAATGATCTGGTGCTTGATGAGGGTACAGGTAAGCAGCCAATCAATTGGCCATGCACAAGGAAATTTTTCACGGGGCGGTGGTTTTTCGCCATTGACGGCGTTGCTGGGGCGAGACGTTGATGTGAATCCCGTATATTAGGTTACGGAGTTATTACGAGTTCGGAGTATATGGTATAGATATGTACTCCGTACTACGGAGTAGATGCTACTAAGATACTACCTTAAGTACCTCTCCTTATTTCCCTTTACAGCCAATGTTCCTCTTTTGAATATCCCAAACATCACCCTTCCCTTATAGTCCCAATCGCTTCGCCCGCTGGCTCACAACCTCGGCAACATCATCTTCCACACTAATGGGTTGCTTGGGTGCCCAGCCAAGATACTTGGAAGCTCTCTCGGCCACTCCCTTGGAGTTGTGGCCAAGGGTTTCCGCTACTGGGTGATAGCCCTTGAGCTTGGTCTGCTCAGCAAAAGACACATGCTTGATGGGGACGTCCGCCAGGTAGCCCTGCTTCTTGATTTCTTCCGCAACCCGCTCAGCAATCTTTTCGAAGTTGAGCGTGCCGTAGGGGCTGTAGAAGTAGCCGTTGGGGCCAAAGATCTCGGGGTTGGTGTTCTTTGAGGGATCCTGAGTGGCGTCGAAGAGCTTGACAAACAGGTCGCCCAGGTCGTCAATGTGGACGTAGTCCCACTCATTCTTGCCATCTCCAACGACGGGTGCGAATCCCTCTCTCAAAGTCATGTCCACCAGAGTGGGAATCTGAATTGTCTCGGTGTTACCGGGGCCAGAACCCTTGCCATAGATGAGAGGTGGGCAGAGGATGGCAATCTTGACAGCATCAGAATTAGCAGCGATGACAATCTTGTCAACGTCCCTGTGGGGAGCCCGATCATCCAGGTTCTGAATGCGCTCAATGTCGTTGATGTCGTGGTATTTCTGCTCGGGGAGAGGGGCCTGTCCTTCTCTGCCGTTGACGAGATCGTACCAGGTCAGGATGCCTGTGCCAGAAAGGTGCAGCCAGTATCCAGGCTTTTCGGCTGTGTGTCCCTTCTGCAAGCCCTTGATAATTGCAGTAGCACTGGGAACGTGATCTGATGAGTCTGCGGTGTCTAGATTGCATTGTAAGCTGAAAATCCATAGCTACTTCCGTTGCCTTGATTTCATAACGTACGGACAACAACATCCGCTTCTGAAGCGGCTTGCTCAATGATATCAACATCATCAAGACCACCATAGACAAACTTGACGGTTGGGTATTTTTCCTTTACGACTTGGGCGCGAGCCTCGTTTCGAACAAGGAGAGTGTACTCGTTGTCCTTGTGAGCGTTGTAGATGTAGGCAAAGGCCGTGCCTCCAACGTATCCTGGCTAACATTAGTTCTTGGATCCATGGTTGTCAAGATATTGTTTGGGCATTACCAGTAGCACCGGTTCTAGAAATCCATTGGAGTTAGCGCTAGATACAACAGGAGTTGATGAGTGCGGGGAAATGCGTACACAAAGACTTTAAGAGCCATGGTATAGGTAGGTATGTTTGTATGTCTGTATGAGATTGAATGCAGGGTGTTAAATGGGATATTGAATAGAGTGGCAATGCTTTTGTTCTGTTATTTTGGGACTGAACAAGTCTGAATTGAAACTGTTTGAATTCTTCCTATTTAATTATTTAGACAGACAGCAAACAGCAAGTTTATATACTTTGTATCCTTCGCATCGATCTATGCATCGAATCTTTTCCCCTGAAGCAAAACCAACAACTCTCGATTTGTAACCATCGCGCCCAAAGTTTCCCTCTGTTCAAGCAATTATGGGGCATGGAGGGGCCAATTGCGGCAGACAGGCTTGTGGCGTGACATCATGGCCTTAGCCCCTCCAAATCTAGACAGAACCCGACACTACCCCGATCTTACAGGGCAGCTAGAAGGATGAGCTTGAAATCTCGGCTTTGGTTTGAGGCAACTTTGTCCGTTGATTTTCTTGCTTGTGATACACTTCATATAACAGCAGTCCTTGCGGATCCGTTTTGCTTGAAATTAATCAGCAGCCTGCTTGACTAATAGATTGCACGCTGATAAATCCCAAGCCTCTCCTCCTTGGCCGCTCCATGGCCATTCCTCTGTAGTCATTCAAGCGCTGCAGAAGGACTTCACAGGTTCGATAGCGAATGCCGAAGTCGTGGGAAACTACCTAAGGTAAGCCCAAAAGCCTGGCTGTCATACCAAATGGAATTACCTAGTAGCTTTCACAGGCACAAAGCCAGTGTTCAGTCTTTTTAGTTGTAAAGAATTGATCTCCCTCTACTGTACATGTACTCTGTATAACATCACGCAAGCGCTGTCGACCCCGCTCTCCTCGACAAAGGCGCAAGGCTTGGTATTATGCAGAGTAACCAACCCTTCTTCTACCAGTGCAACTGCCATGGCTTGAAGCTGACTGATTGACTGAGTGATTTTGCCAGAGTTATTGACCGCCCCTTTAGCGCGTGGTCGTGGCTGCGCAACTTCTTTCTCTTTTCTTCCTCGTCTCTCCTCTATCGCTCTCCATAACCCCATCTACCTAGACTTGATCTGTCTGCAATCGCTCAACATGCCCGAATACACTTACAAGAGCTCCGGCACTAATAGCCAGGTACCTAATAGCAGATGCTCCAGTTTTTTTTTATTTCGAAATATTATTCTCTGACCAGCTTCTCCCAGGGTAACCACTACTGCGCTCGTGACTACGGCAGCAGCGCTTCAAACTCCAACTCCTACCACTACTCCAACCAGTAAGATGCCACCAGCCCCAGATCGTCGCCGATGCGCGTCTAACATGGAGATTAGGAACGGCTCTTACTATTACTCCAACCCCAGTGGTAGCACTTACTACAACAATGGCGCTGGAAGCTCCACATACACTCCGCCCAGTGGGAACTCCTCGCAGTCCGGAAGCGGCAGCAAGAAATAGTGAGCGAGTCACCTTAGCACGTTGTAAGAGCCGTTGAGATGGGAAATACTGGGCTTGATGCTCGTGTCGAAAAGGAGTAAGGAAGTATTGGCTCGGGCGTGAATTAAGAAAGTTCCAATCCCAGTCTAGGTTCTAGCCCAATAAATTGTAGCATCCTAGACTCCCACATCTTTCTATGATGCTAGTGCTGTATGCTTCACATCTGTCGCAATCAAAAACATGCCTACATGCACGGACAATCACCATTTTTTCAATGCAAATGTGATCAATTTGATTTCCCTACATGACAACAATGACTAAACGTTTGGTTCCTAGAGATTTCCTCGTATCTCGTCAAGTATGACCTGAATCCTGAGCAGAACTGTTCATCCTCCAACCCAGCACTGGTATATAAAAAGCAAAAATCCTCTTTAGCCTAGAAAAGGAAGCAAGAAAATGACGATTTCCCTGAAAAAATAAAACCGAACAACCATCATTCGATCATCAGGTCTGCCGTGAGATGCAGATTGAAATAAAACAAGCAGGATATGTTCGCCATGTTTGTTGTGAGATGCGGCTTGAAAGAACAAGCTCAAAGATGATGGTCTGGTCTGCTGTAGGACGTGGCTCGAATAATGAACAAGCACAAGATGGATACCTTGTCCGATGCGAGATGCGGCCTGGAAAAAAGAAAAAGCACGACATTGCCATGTTGTCTGCTGTGAGATGAGGCCCGTAAAACCGAAAAGCGCGACATTGTCTTCATGTCTGCTGCAAAATATGGCCTGAGAATAAAACAAGTCCGAAATTGTCATGATGTTTGCTCTGAGATGAGGCCCGGGAAAAAAAAAGAGGGAGGCCCGCGAAACTGTCATCTTGTCCGCCGCACTTAGAGTTTGCCCGAAAAATGAAGAGCCATGAAGACGATGACAATCGTATACACAAATATCTCGACGAGGAGCTGCTGTAGGAGCATGCCACGCTGCTCTTTAGTGAAGCCTTGCGTCTCTCCAAGGGCATACCAACAAACGGTTGAGTCGAATCTGCCAATCAAAGCCAGCAGCCCAATCAGTGGGAAAACGATTGAAGAAGCCATGATGCAAATGCACAAGATTCTGCGCTTGCGCTCCGTTTCCTCAGGAAATCGGCGACGTTCCATGATTTCTCCTCGAGCGGATTCAATCAAGTCAGCCTCAGAGGGAGTAAGCACGCCTCCCGTTTCATTTCGGGCAGCCCATTGTTGGCCATTGTCGGTTTCGGGAGGAGGAGCCTTGATTCGGAGGCATTTAGCTCCCAAGGCCGCTGCGGCTCGGAAATGTCCAAATCGGCTTTCTTGGGCTGGCTCTCGTTGCGGATTCAGCATCGATCGGAGAGAGCCTAGGATAGCAGACGACGGGGTTGGAGTATTATCGATGAAGTCAAACTCAGCTGGAGCCACGGTGTTAGCAAGACTTTTATCTATTTTTCTCTCCTCAGGCGGCCAACTTACCAGTGGGACGGCTATGAGCCACTTGGTCACGAAATACTGCAGTAGAGGGACGCTCTACGGGAGGATTGCCAGAGCCACCGAGGCGGTAGGCACTAGAAGAGGATGGGCCGGCCTCGGCAGAGCTTCCTGACCAGAGAGGTCCAAGTCTCGCTCTCTCAGCCAAGGAGTTGGTTTCATCCGCGCTGCGATATCGCTGAGAGCCATAGCATTTGGCAGCCTCTTCCAAATCGATTAAACCGAACGGGAGGCGGGAGAACACGTTGGCAGAATCATCGCTTGGCAGAGTTGAATCACCGACTTGAGTTTCGCAGAAAACCTGGTCGAACTCGTTCACCGTTTCCTTACGACGAGGTACTGCCGGCCAGACAGTCTCGGTAGAATCATTGCGCGTCAGGGGAGGAGCAATTGCCTGCTTTTGAACGGTCTTCTTCAAGTCTTTATCCTGATTCTCCTCAGGGCTGTCATCCAACTCTATAACTCGGCCTGAATTTTTCCAGTCTGGAGGGGTCCGAAAAGGATTTGATAGTCGCCGGCCAGAGGGCCCAGCAAGCTCTGGAAAGACTCTTTGGCGACGACGGCCAGCGTTTGAAACTCCTCCACGAGCATTTCTGATACGAGGAGTGGTCCACGCAGCATCTTCGACGAAGAATGCCTCACGACGGTGGATGGATCGATTACGTTGGTGCGAAATAGTACCAGGAGCTCTGCGGTGCTCAACCGGGTTGGGTTGTTCCTCCACAATGTCGGAGACATCTGCAAGGCTGCTGCCAGTGCCCTTGATGAGATCGAAGTCGGATTGATTTTGCATCTTGCAGACTGGTCCGGTAGTGACGGTTTGCCAATCAGCGTCTGTGCCAGCATCATTGCAAACTCGCGGCCAGCACTCATAATCGTCTTCTTCGACGGCAGGCTCAGAGCCATTCTGGGCGCTGGGTTGGTAGCGGGTCTTCTGACCCCTATCAACGGGAATTCGTACCTCGTCATTGACCTTCTAGGTCGACTGGACGGCGGTCGGATTGTAGAAAGTAGTGTCATCTCCTCCTTGCTCTACGTTGGTTCGTGTGATAAAGCCTTCATCTTCGAACACAGCCGCGGGTCGACGCTTCGAGGTTTTAGTTTCCCTTGTGCTCGAGGGCTGCAAAAAGGTCGAGTAAGCTTCTCCATCGTATTTGAAACGATCTGTGCTCTCGTCGCTCGAAGTCTTGGAGTTGATGGGGAAGGCACCAAGTCCACCCCTTGCCCGAGATGGACCTGCACTTTGGCTAGGACCTCCATAGACAGGCTGTCTCACAAATCCAGTATGTCCACAGTAAACGACAGATGGATGGGTGCTCGCCTCCATGTCCATTCTGAGAGAGCGTGGCTCAGGCATTTCATGGCTCTTGGAGAAGCCGAATGCATTAAATGGAGTGCCAGGTCTCGAGAAGCATGGCTTCTTTCCTTTGCCCTTGACATCACGGGCATCGCTGTCATTGGCATCGTAATTATCTTCGCCATCATCAGTCTCAGGCACGAGTCCCAAGCTCTTCAGTGTCGCCTTGGCTGTCGATGCATTGGCCATTTGGCCATCATCTTCATCGCCAACGACAGTCTCCCATTCAGAGCGCGCTTCATCGCGATCCGCCTTGGCAGATGGCTTAGGATGAGTAAGATTGCGTCCCATACTCCATTTGGAGCGGGTTGGATGTTCTAAAACATAAGGTCGACCATCCTGGCCATCATAAGGAGAGCCATCAGGAGGCGGAAGTTCATTCCTAGCACAAGCAACGAATGGATCCTCTTGGGATTGGTTCCTCGCAACGTATTGCTGATAAGCAGTAGGGATTTGGATGATCGTTGGCTTGCTCCATCCATATTTTGGGATGGATGTCTTTGGAAGTTAGTATTGTGGCGATGGAGAGGAGTGATCAAGGAGGGAGCGTACCTCGCCAAAGTTAGGCATGTTGAAATATTTTATGATCCGCGCACTCCTAGAGTACTTTCCAAATGCCTTTGACCTTTCTTCACGATAAAAACCTCTGTGAAGTTGATGGTTGAGATGTTTTCTGTCTCCAAAGGAGGAGAGGGTTGGCGGCAAACAACTCGCAACTGGGAAACAACTCCAGAGATGGAGGAAATACAAGAGCTTGAGGAGTCGCCGATGGCTTTGATAGAAGTCCTCTGTTGATCTTTGGAGTGCAAGATGCTGGATGATGCCTGATGAGATCACCAGTCTGTGTCGAGTTGTGATGATGATGGGAAAGGATGGATTGAAAAAGAATCAGAGTCCAAGCTCAATATTAGGAAAAGAAGGATGTGCGATAATCACGTGCACGCGTTTTCCATGAGAAATATTAGCACGAGGCAGAGTGACTTGGGTGCAGAGATAGATGAATTGGTCAAGTTGTTTTGGAGGTGGAGGAGAAAGCAGGAGTTCCTGATGGTGGGTGTCGAGGGGGGGAGAAATCAGTACGAGCCCGCCAGCTGGCAGAGGGGGGAGAATGTTGTGGGCAGGCAGAAATTCAGGCGAAAGCCCTAATTGGTCTGCTTCCTCCTATGCTGTTCAATGTTTGTTTACAGCAGACACGTCTAATGTTACTGATCCTTTGCATTGGATCATCTGAATTTCCAACACGCCTCGCGTCTTCTTTGTTGTCTGCATCTGTATCTGCCCAATGGGCCAAACATCTACACTATGGAGCAAGACTTTTGTTGCTGAATTACATTGAGACAGAACTATGTCGACCGTTCCTATTATATCGTAGTCAAAATCTCTGTGACACTCGCCTCCATCTTGGGATTGATAATGCTTATATTAAAAAGAAGCATCTGGCCCCATTGAGGCGTTCGTGAACCTGATGCTACTGCTATTTTTCGTGTGGAGTAAAGGCGTGGTTGCTGGTACCATGCGTTGCTACAATTGGCTCAGCCTCGCAAAGGATCCAGCAGCCTATGCCGACACACAGACCAGACATCAATGCTATCTATATCATAGAGGCAGCTTTAGCACACAAAGAGAATTGACTGGTGAACACAATCGCTGCATTGGGGCATGTTTGGCAGGATGAGGCATCATATTTTATCAAAGGAGGTACAAAGATGGCCAGGACTGAAGTCTTTGCAACAGGCCCTGTTCTTCCTATATGGAACAAAGCATCATCGTGAACAATTGGCATTCTCATTCGCATCTTCCATGCTCTGTTGGCAATGCCTAGAACTGCCGGAGCGTAGTTGATCGATGTGCTACCATTGGGCCGATGGAATTGAGATGGCTTGAACTGGGATCGGATGCTAGTGCTAGTAGCACGGCTTCTGCTTGAGCTAAAACATGGAGCCCAGCCCCTTTTACCTTATCCGTCGCGCGAGCCAATCAATTCCCCAGCCGCTCTTTGACCAACAAGGCATTCCCCAGCGAAGCTCTTAACGTTCCCCCAATCAAGCCCGCAGCTAACTCGGCACCCGAGGTATGGAACCGAACCCTTGCTATTGGTCTTACGCGACATTACGGAGCAGAGTGCCAGGAGTTTGTCACTCTCTTACACACTAGCGAGGCCGGCACGGGCAGGTCCCTGTTAAATCACGCTTGAGAGATCTTCGAGCCCGACCTCTTGCCATCCAGTCCAACCTCCGGCTCTTCTGTTCCATCTCGGGCCCCATCAGCGAGGTCAAAAAGCTCATCTCGGCCAGCCTGGCTTTTTGCTCCTCCCCCTTGCCAACGGTAGGCAACATTGAGGCTGGCCTCGGAGGCATTTGCCATGGCTTCGTCCGGTCGGTCGTCGCGTTGGGACGAGCTTCCAGATGAGATCGTGCTCCAGATTCTTAGCTGTAAGAGATCCACTCGCCCCTCCACTATCTTGTCGTCTCCGTAGACTGGGAAAAAAATAACGAGGCCTGTGCTCAACTGACTCGATCTTTGTTGCCATCAGATCTGGATCCCTTGCACATCACCAGATTGCAGCTTGTATCGCGGAAGCTGCAGAAGCTCTGCCTCGACGATGAGCTGTGGAAGCGTCGCTGTTTCGAAGAATCGCCGTGGTACCAATACCTAAAAAACCGTCGTCGACTCTTCTCTTCCAGCGAATCCGAAGGCGAAACCCGGGATGGGGCGGCATTGGGGAATCCAGAAGCCGCCGGCAACACCAACGCTGATGACCAAAAGACTACCACAGATGGAGAGAAGAGCAGCGTTGAACCGGGAAAGCCGCAGCGGAGGAGTCAGCGATGGCAAGAACTCCAGGACATGGCCAACTGGGATCCGACGTTCCCCAACGAGCGTGTCTCCTGGTACAGCGAGTATATACAAAGGAATGGGCCGACCTGCGTTAACTGGCTGGAAACCCCTCGGATCCGCGATCGAGGGTACGAGGCTATGATGGAGGCTCGTGGATTGGAGCTCTATTATCCATACGACGGAAATGATGGCGTAGGCGCGATGCTTGCCGTATCGCCGCTCGACGATGGCTCCATCTGCTTGTGGGACGTCAAGGGAACCAGGGGCAAGGCCGGCTCTATCCTTGCAACCAGCAAGTCTGACATTCTTTTCATCGATGGTCCTGGGAGCATAAACACTCGACGATCCAAGAGAGTTGATACAGGGGTTACGGAATGCGTCAGCGTAGACAACCATAGACATCGTGCATATTTTGCTGTACAAAGCCGTGAGTAAAACAAAACACCCCCCCGACCGGCAGGCAATCTTTTCGGGATGCTGACGGCCAGCTGCAGATTTAATCGAAATCGATCTCGAACGACTAGAAGTCGTCAGCCGCGAATCGTTCGAATGGTCCATTACGGCTCTTTCAAAAATCCAAAATGACGTTCCTTTGACGGTGGGAACGTCTCTTGGAATCCATCTACACGATTTCCGTGCAAGAGCACGTGTAACACAGACGGCCGTGGAGCAGGTAGACCAAAACGACATTTTTAAATCAATCTTTGATCCAACACCGCTGCTTCCATACGCGTCTCTTTCTCAACCCACGCCCGTCAGCATCATACACTTGCCCATACGCGGATCGCCAGATCTAGTATCAAATGATATTTACGTTGGTGGCAGATTTTCAAACATCCTGCACTATGATCGACGCAAGTTCCCCGTAATTATGGATTCAATCTACTCAGGGGCTACGATCAACAGCATGGCAGCAATGCCTCACCCGTTCTCGTCGCTGGATAGCGAAGTACGACGGCACGGCGAGCTCAGCACGGAGCAGGTCACAAAGTCCAAAGAAAACGGCGAGGGCTGGACACTGATTGCAGGGGGAACTTACAAGTCTAAGGGTTCCCTCGAGATCTTTGGCCTCACCCAAGCCATTGCAGACCCAGTTGGTCGCGAGATGATGCAGAATTCCACCATGAAGAACAGGCAAACCGCCGCGTCTGCCTCCATCCTGTCAGTAGCCAACCACGGCACTAAGATTGTCTTTTCAGATGGAGCTGGCTCCATCAAATGGTTTGAGAGAGATGGCCTGACAGAGTGCCGTCGACTGAGGATTGGCCACTGCGAGGGCGACGACGCTCCATCGCTATTCGCCTCGATGAGTGCAGCTGGCGAGCTGGCGCGGAAAATCGTGTCCACAAAGTCGAGAGAGGGTCCTGATCGGCCCAATGACGATAACGTCTTGTTCTGGACAGGCGAGAGGCTGGGGCTCATTAGCTTCACGCCGACGCCACTCTATCAATCAAAGGATTTTGACGAGGAGCCGGACATCGACGCAGCGGCCGAGGAAGAGGAGAGGCGGCGCTATGCAGAGCAATTGCGCGAGGCCCTGGATTGGCATGCAGACGAAGTTAGATTCATGAATACATTTGGACACGGAGGGCTAGGCGAATAAGGGGGATTGCCACTGGCCAAGGCATTACCTACAGAGTGGCTATAGCAGGATTACTGTACTCTTACATTGCATGTACTTTGGAAGGGAAATTGCTGGACGGGGGGACCATCACGACACTTGGCCGCCCGTCTACGGAAGGGAAGAGATTGACTACCTACTTAGTAGCTTTACATAATTTCATGACGGCCGACCAATATGTATTAATCAAAAAGGCGGCGATCAAATGACCCATGATGGCCATGGCCAAGTCTTGAACTAATAGCAATCCAGACCCCTTTGGAAGCATGAATCTGCTGCGACGCTACCTCGTACATACATATGCCTCTTGTCAACTATCCATGCTGTGATTCGTTCTAGATTGGATAAAATGATAGTTGATAGGACAGCGAATCTGCGCCTCGCGCGCAGACTACCAATAAGTTCCCAGGTGGCGGCAGCAGAAAGAGGCGAGTGAGCCAATAAGGCGAAAGACGCGGCAACTCATCACCAACAAGCGAAGGATTGGCGATGAGCCAGGATTGGAGGTTCTTTGCATCCGGCCTCTCGCCCCTTGTGCGTGTATCACTCTCAACAAGATTTTTTTTTCTTCCTCCCTCTCCCGCTTCACCGCAAGCATGCATCGGGACTGGCTCGACGCCTGCATAACTAGGTTACCTTGCCTTGCCCGTTTCCCATGTGTGCTACTCACCACGGCGTGATGCCACCATTTTTACAAGGTTAATGGCCGAATTCCCTCAAGGGCCGGCAGCAGTGGGCGAGGAGACAACAAGGCAGCCAATGATGGGGGTGCTAGAGGTGCATTCATGTCCAATGACGACGTGGCCGGCGCTGGACTTGTCTGTCGACAAATCGGTCTGGAGAGGCGACGGCACGAGAGCAAATCGCCGTGCCTGTGTGGCTGGACGAACCATGTGCTTGCGTGGAAGTAGCACCAGTCTGTAACTGTAGCACCGTGGTGAAGAGCAGCAGAACAGAGCAGCTAAAAACTACGGTAACGGCAACCGGGACGCCCGCCCTTTGGACCAGCTGGAGTCCTAGGATGATGTTGGATTTTGGCGTCCAGAGTCAGTCATCTGACACGAGACCCAAGACCTCTTGCATCGGTAGCCTGGTGTCGACTGCCGGCAATCTCTGAGACACAGGCAGACGAGGAGCTTGCAGAGCGGCCAGAGTCTATCCATGCGCAGGACATGGGAATAGCACGAGCAAGGATCTCTGTGCCAGCGCGGTGCTGCAGCCGCCACCTCCACCATTGTGCAGAACGAAGAGGCGCTAGCAGGACCAGCGGCTGGTAGTGGCAGTTGTGGTTGTGGGAGGCGCATTATGTGCTTTTGTATGTGCGTCGTTCTGCTCGTCAGTGCTCGTGCAGAAGAGGAACCTTGGTGTTGCGGCAGTGGTCTTAGGTAGGGAGGCGGCTCACTGCCTGCTTGTGCCTCACCACCATCTCCAGACCTACTTGTCTTCACCAGGGTGCAATCACGGGCGTTTGGATGGCTTCATGTAGTCAACCCACCTAAACAGATGTAAACAGAGCGCAAACACTAGCACCAGCAGATGACCGAAGCGCCTCGTATCCCACAAATCTCTAGAGATCTACTCGGTCTGGCAAAGCAAAGATGGCCCGGCTTATTATTAGCTGGCTCCTACTAGCCACTGCTAGCAACCGCCAAGCATCCGGATTCCGGATTCCAGAGACCCCATGGCATGGCAGCGCCCTCCCAGAGCTCCGTCGGTCCAGAAATGAAGCGATAAAAGGGTACGCTGTGCTGTTCTCAGAATCGCCGCACAGAGGCCTGGAACTCACTAAGCGGCCCTGGACGCATGTCTGGTGCATGCTGCATGCTGCATACACCGCTGAATGGCCCAATGGCGTCTGCCCACAGGGCGTGGATTGTGCCAGCAGCGGGCCCATGGACGGGGATATTTTTTCTCGAGAGCTGCAAGGATCAGAGCAGATGAGGGGAGGAAGAGGGGCAAAGAGCCATCCGGTGAGTCTCGGCGAGGACAGCGGGAGAGTGCCAGCGAGTAGGGGGGAATTAAGGGAGACGGAGGCGAGAAAAGAGTGAAGGAAGGGGGGGGAGAGAGGATGATAGGATAATAGGATGATAGGATAAGGCAATGAGGGGAGAGGAAGAGAGAGAGCGCGGCGGAGAGTCAACCGGAGAGTTATCGTGCCAGCCAGTCAATGTCCGATCTAGAGCAAGCATGAGAGCTCCATGAAGCATCCAATGGCATGGGGAGTGGCCGTCTGAATCTGCGGCCTTGCTCGAGGACAAGCATCGCGAGCTAAGCCGGACAGCCCTGGATCGGATGATTTGGCCATGCCTCACTGATCGTCCCAGTGTGGGGGGCGCAGAGGGAACAAGCATTCTATTAGTAGGTGTAGGCAGACAGAGGAGGTGTGTGGTAAACGATGGTAAACGATTGAGTGAGTGAGCAGCGTCAAAGCAGGAATTAATTCTTCAGGTCTTCAGGATATAGTACTCCAGGCCAGGCGGTAGTTGGTTATTGGCAGAAACCCCCGAGTCCCACGAGCTGATGCGAAGACATCGTACATGAACATGAGGTGAGCTTCTGTCCTCTCCTCTCCTCTCCCTCTTTTCTCCCTCTCCATTCCTCTCTCCATCCCCCACCCCCGGCAATCAATCAGATCACATGAATCAATCAAAATCAATCAAAATCAATCAAAATCAATCAATCCGGTCTGCAAAAGAGGCAGCGATTGCATCATCCGCCTTCAGGCAATTAATATCCATTAAGATTACACCCTCGACAGACACACGCACGCCACGCCACACACTCATGCGCACATAGCTATTACCACATGCACACGCACAAACCCGCATATCACGCCTGTCCACGCTGGCTGGCATAAAAGAGCCAGCGAGGCGATGATCAAGTCGTGTCCGTCTACGGCTGGCTTTGGCATGCAGCCTTCTGCAGCTGCCTCGACAGAGACCCAGGACCCTTTCGCTGCATGACTGACTGAGGCGGTTCCCTGTCACACATTTTTTTTTTCGCTCCCCCCCCTGCGCCCTCGCTTTCTCAGCATTGCAGAGCATTTCTGGTTAAACAATTTTTTCCTTCTCTCCTTTCCTCCTCTTCTTTTCTGTTTTTTCCTTTGGTGGTTTCTGCCTTCTTTTCCTCGGCCGTTCTTGATGGCAGTCGGGAGGTGATTCCAGGTTGTATACTTGAGGTATCTACCCCCAGTCCCTCCCTTGTCGTTGCGTCCACACCGACGGCGGTTTGTCTGGTCTCCCCGGGTCCGGTGCCAACTCAGACTTGCCAACTCACAAACTTGTCCCATCCACCTCCAATTCCCACCAGAGCCCACTCAGCTCCCATCCAGCACAGGAGAGAACGAGAGAAGTCCAGGAGACAAGAGACGAGAAGCGAAACAAGAAGAGGGTTGACACGACGAAGCAGCATCTTGCATCGCGCCAGCTGTCCAGCGGAGCAGTCGCCTCATCACCACAACTTCGACCACATCAGCCAATACTGCACTCCATTGCTGAACTGGTCCTCTGGTGGGTGGACTGGAGCTTATGCTGTCCGATGGCCTTCTGGGTGGTAGGCGGGGGAAATCCGCTTGGTGACGCTGCCGCTTCGTCCACTGCTGGCCAGGTGGCTGCTTACATCAAGCGCGGCAGCTATGCCAACGGCTCTGAGGCTCTCGGTCCCAATGGCAAGCGAAGGGGCTACGAGTATGCAGATGGAACCGCGTCTGCCTGCAGCAATGCGGGTTGTTACGGCTTCACCAAGAGGCCGCGGCTGGACGACTGGGGCCAAGTCATCGGCTACCATGGCAAGGGCTATCATGTTGCCGGCTGCGAGCACGAGCATTCCGGCGATGCTGCCATGCCCGATGCCTCCTCGATACACGTCAAGAACCTCGCCTTCCTCGTCATCCGGGAACATGAGCCGTCTCCGCCTCCGACACCGCCCCCACAGTCGGACCACCGAACCGGATTCCCTCCGCCGCCTCATCTCGGCCCGTCCTTTATGTCTGCTCCCATGGAACGCACCCAGTCTGGTCTGTCTATCTCGTCGGACACGTCTGCCGTCGAACCTCCCTGTGACCAAGAAGGTGACTGTGACCTTCACGACCACCCGCCGCTGCTGAGCGATCTCGCTGCTGCCCGGCTGGTGCGGCGCCATGTTGCCAACATTCGCAGGTGGAGGCATCGCGATTCACAACACGGGCGTATTCTCAAGGCCCTTATCAACCCCAAGTCCAGAGAGGCTGACTTCCCACTCGACAACGATGCTCTCCGGAGCATTTTCTCTGCCGCTAACGAGCTCTTCTTCGCCAACAAGTTGACGCAGAGGGTCACCTGGGACTGGAGCCACCCTGCCAGTGCACAATACGAGAGCCACATCGTCGGCACCACGGCTCTACGCCGCAGTGTACGCCTGGGTGGCTATGAAACCCTCATCGTGCTGTCATCGCCAATTCTCAAAGACACAAAGTACAACCGCCGGCTCCTCATCTCCACCTTCTTACACGAAATGATTCACAGCTTTTTATTCATCGTGTGTGGCATCACGGCCCGGCACCAAGGCGGCCATACAGAAGGCTTCCGCCAGATTGCCGAGATCATCGATGACTGGGTTGGGAAAGAACACCTTCGGCTGCGTGACATGGAGGCCGACCTTGAGCGCTTCATTCATGAAGACCAGCCTCCCGCCATAGCTGGGTATGCCTCTGCGGGCGGCGGCTCAACCCACTTGAACAATTATCATTATTATGACAACAGTAACAATAACAACAACTCTACCCCGATATGGCCCGTCTCCGAGTGGCACCACGCTGAAACTCGAGACTACCGAACCATCGAAGCGCCTCAGCCCTATACACGATATCCCTCCAACCAGGACGAGTGGGAATGGCACGACAGAGAGGGGTTCCCGGCCCATGTACTCCCTTCTTATCATTACTAATGACTTCACGATAACAGCTTATATGTTTTGACTTTGTTTTTTTTTTGTATTTGTTTAACGATATACATATTATTTGATATCCACCCTGGCGTGTGCTCACGCGTACAGATGACACATTATACTATTTTCTTTGTCACGGCGGAATGAAAAGACGAGAAAAGAAAAACATGACATGATAGTAGATCCTGGGAGAAAAGATTATGGAGTTTTTGCGTTTTTGTTTATTTGTTTATTTGTTTGTTGTATAAAAAATGGTGTGAACGACTGAAATCTTTGTTTGTTTTTCTTGTTTAAAGGATATGTATAGATCTTTGTTTGCTTTGTTTGTTTGCTTTTTTCATATATATCTTATAACCTGTTGTAGCATCCAAGCATTGAACAGTACTGGATACTGTCTTGATTTACACGTTGGACGGTGTTTTAGGAATAAATGTATAAATATAATTCTCGAAACTTTGTGTCCTTTGTGTGTCTTGTGTGTGTGACCTTCGGTTGAAGCTTAACGAGAGGCTCGGTTAAGTCGGTGAGATGCCGCTGAGGCCAGGCTAAGACCAAGTGCTAGGCTATCCCGGGCATCTAGTTCTCAAGCATGCAGCTCCTAGGCCTGGGATTCCTGCATGAGGGGGATCCATGGTGGCCGACAGGTCATTTACGGCTTCTACTAGTACGTCATATGTAGTCAAGGGAGTCAGCTGGCGAGAGCCGGGAGACAGCGACAAGAGAGAGAGGCAAGACAGGACCCCTATTTCCATCTTTGCAGATCGTTCTGCAGTCATCTTTCATGAGCAAATAATCATTTTTACTACAGGAGTATCATTTACCAAACGCCAGTTCCGATGCAAAATCCCAGCGCAACACGTGTGTATATCCAGCGTCCAACGAAATCATCCAAGGGCCATGTATGGTGTGGCCATGGCATCACGGGCCCCCAGAAACTGATTGCCACGTTGATGCCTCCTCCTTTTAATATCTCTTCATCGTACGTCTTTCTCGACTGCGCGCGTACAAATTTATGCATGCAAGAATATATCTCCGATATTCAATAATTTTTTTTCTTTTTAATTATTTGCAGTGCTTGTGGTTTTGTAGGAACTGCCTCTGTTTCTGCCCAGGAGAGGAGACGCTGCAGTAGCCTCGTCATCTGTGGCATCATCGTAGTCTTCTATAGGGCTCTCATCTTCGAGCAAGACTCCATTCTCCTCATTGTCTTCATTGTCGCTGTTGTCTGCGGATGCTGTGGGTCCTTGTCCCTCCACGATCATGAAGACGGGGATGGCACCAATAGCAGAGATGATAGCTAGGAAGAAGTACGCTGAAACGATGTAACCATGCTCAACACCCCAGGAGAATGCCCAGCCAGTAGAAGCGGGCCCGACAGCTCGCCCCAGGCCACTAAACATGGTGGCAAACCCGTTGAGGGTGCCAAGAATGCGAAGGGAGGTGGCAGAGTTGGTGAGTAGGATCGTCGTCGAGGGAAATGCAATGATGATGGCAAAAGCCTTGATCATCATGACTGTGAGGATGGCGGCGAACCGCGTTGCAGGTGTGGGGAGCAGAGAAGTGTACGGGGTAATGAAGTAGACGAATGGTGTCATGACAGCTACCAATCTAGTTAGCACTTGGTGCAGAGAGGGGAAGTGGTTGCTTGCGGTAGAGACTTACAAACAACTTTGAAGCAGTTTAGAACACCATAGCGGTTAACCATTGGCGGATAAATAAGGAATTGGATTAATCCGCAAGTAATACCGTAGATGGTGAAGAGTGTTCCAATAGTACCTGAGCTAAGTCCAAAACCACCAGTGAAGTAAAAAGGGAACTTTGTGTTCTCAGGAGTTCGAGGAATGACGGGGTAATCCAGGAAGACGGTAATGTTCTGGTCATACGCAACCGAATGGAAAGCTAAAAAGGTGTATGAGATGAGATTGACCGTGGTCTGGTAAGAAAACACTTCCTTCATTCCAGTAGGGGCCTTTGGCGCGGTGGCTTTTTTGGGTGTCACTCTGCTCGGGACAAGCGGTGCAGTAGCCTCTCCATCGACAAAGGACCTGCGGCGCTGAGAAATGAGCTGCGGCTTCCGGCGAATAAGCCTTGTGAGGCGCTCCCCAACTAACAATCCCCAGTCCTTGTGCTCCTTCTTGTCAGCCAAGGTTTCTTTCAGGAAAAAGGTCGCGCTGGCAGCAGAGATGAGGAAGAAAACGGTAGCCAAGAGGTTTGGCAGAAGATAGGGGAATGTCTTGAAGAGCTCAATGTTTCCAAAGAGGCCGGGAAACTGCTTGGCTGGCTGGGCAAAGAATCCTCCAAACGCGGGTCCGACGACTGATCCAAGTGACCAGACCAAAGGCATGATGGAGAAGGCTCTTGGCTGCAGCTCCTTTTCAGTGACCATCTCAGCCACCATGGTTCTAATAATGCCAACTGTATGTAGGAGAAACATCACACGTCAGCTCTTTTGCTTGAGAATCAAGGATCGACATTATCTGAGAAAGAGAAAACTAACCGTTGCCGTTACCACCGCCCATGATGGCTCTAACAGTAATAGCCATGGTGAGACTTGTTGACATGCCCCATATTATAAAGCAAATCATGGTACTGATAAGTCCGTAAATGAGCACTGGCTTTCTGCCAAACTTGTCTGACGCCTTGCCCCATGGGACGGCTGTGATGCTTTGACAGATAGAGAAGACGGAAGATGTGACGCCAGCCCATTTTGCCACTTCATCACGCTTGACGCCAAACCCCCGAATCATCTCAGGGAGGTAGGGCCAGACAGAGGTGTAGGCCAAGGGCTCTGCAAATCTGGCGACGGCTGGATTTCAAGTTAGCATAATGCTCTTCATTTATTCATTATCCATAGACTTGCAGCCACGGTGGGCAAGACAGCGAATGCGTTTTGTACGTCTCACTGAAACAGCCGCAGACAGAGCCTTGACCATACTGACGCCACCCAGAAAGGCTTACCTAGAATTGCCAGCTGCTGCACAGGCAGCTTCGGTTTGGATTTGGAGTCTTTCGTCATTTTCACGATCTTGCTGCGTTATCGTACGGATTGCGCTGAAAATGAGCAAGCAACTGAGAAATGGCACGGATAACGAGCGATCAGAGTCTGTCCGTGTAACCAAGGTGAGACGGATACAGATGAGTGGTGAAGGAGAGTGCCACAAAGCTAGAAGAGCATGGCTCTGACACCAGACGAAGAGCTCTCAGTCAAACTGTGATGACAAACTGAAAAGAATGCTCACGGCCCAGAAACAGCGCCGAGCGAATGTTTAAAGCGAGGCAGAGAACGTGAAAAGTTGAAGTCATGAAAACGAAGAAAGCCATTGGTGAGAAAGTTTGTCGACCAGACACACCCCCGGAAGAGTGAATCCCCACCCAGACTAGTCATCTGCACAGGCGGTAGATGCGCTAAAGAAACAGGAACCTGTGTTGAATACGGGCCAAGCAAGGGCCAGCTTCGGCTTCGGAGTCCACTAGGCAGGCTCCTCGGAAACGAGCCGATGCTATGAAATGTTTGGATTTCCTCTCCGTTCTCTGTGATGGAAACAGGAATCACTTGTTTCTTTGTCACATGGTATGCTTAGTGTTTACTTGTAAGAGAGACTCCATCATCTGTCTGCTTATGACTTATAATTATGCACCCTACGGCGGATGATGGACAAAGTATGCAAAACTCCGTGACTTACATGGACCTTCTTTTTTGCTCGGCTCCGGTGCCGTGCTGCAGGTGAGCCGAGATGCATTCATCCGTCTGCAACAGATGGCCGCGGTGTGATTGGACTGGGGAACCAGCGCCGGCCGACCTACGGGGCGATTGCAGACACCGTTCCCTACACGAACTTCACGGCTTCACAAAGCTGACATTTGGATACTGTCACTTTGTGATGAATAAAGAGTCTCATGACACTGGATTGCGTCCGACAGCGGAGACGATCCCCGTAGCCGCGGCGGTTGGTGTGGACGCCATGTCTCAAAGGCTGACCCTGGAGGACTCGAGATGGATGGGCCAAGCTCAGACCGACACTTTGCAGCTGAGGCACGATGCTCCCTGGGCGTCTTTGCGGGCTGCCCCGCGTGTGCTCCCCGAGAGTGAATTAATGGCCGATTCGCTGCTCTGTTAAGCGCGCCCTGGAGGTGGAGAAGGCCGGATTTGTGATGCTCGCCATCGAATTTGATGCAGCTAACAAGGCCTGCTAGGCCCGCCAAGCCCACGAGAGCGGAACAGGGGGGGCCTCCGTTGAAGGTGAGGAAATAATAAAGAGAGAGAGAAAAGAGGATATGGCAATTTGTCTTGGCTGCTGTGGGAAAACGGCTGAATGTGATTCCTTGTTGCAACATGTGTGTGTGTGTGTGTGTGTGAAGACGGGCACTAGTTGATAATCCCAGTATGCCCGTGCCATTTCCATGATTCAGACACGGCGTACAAAGTAGTATTAGCACGTAACATCACTCACATATTGCTTTCTCGTACCTCGTGGTAAGAATCCAAAATATCCCATCAATACTCCGTGCTGGTAGGCACTTGCATACTAATCCTTCGGTGTTGATACAGGCAGATATTGCGGCCTCCATAACGCCCTGTGGCGGTTGAATCGAATCCAAATCACGTCTTACCTAAAGAAAAAGAACAGCTCCCCACATCTCTCCGGCAAAATCAGGCAGGAGCTCGTAGCGCCTCGTAATAGCGTGACGTCGTTGCGTGCTCTCAGGAACCTTTGCGTCAACTTGGAGATAAGATAGGCAAAATGATCCAGATCCATCGTCCCAGTACTGCGATAGGCCTACGGGAGCTCTTGTGCTCCAGACGGAGGCAGCTTTGTAATGTAATTCAAAGACGGCACAGCGATCGTCCTTCTTCTCCCCCTTGCGTCTCTCGTTTCTCCCTTCTTTCTCCTCTCCTCATCGTGCAGATGCTCTATGAGCTGAGCTGAGCTGAGCCTCGAACTGTAGATTGAAATCGAGTCATGGGCAAGGTGTAAGTGTCATGTCCTGCTTGCTACCTCTTCTCCCTCCATCAATCATCTGCCTCGCCACTTGGTCACACCCCCGGGTCATTTAACCTCAAGTGGCGTAGCGAATTATGGCGAGCCTTACGCAACAGCCCCCCCCGCGTCTCATCCAGACGTCGTAGCACAATCAAACATTCCGCAAATGCCTTCATATTCAGTTATTCGTTACTTCAACTTGAAATCTCAAGGATATTAAAACATCACTAACTCTGCGGGCTCCCAAGGTCGTCGACCGCGCCTGAAAAAATGGCCAACGAGTCGACCCCGTTGATCCAGACAGTGCGAGTAGGGCCTCCACGCCGGAGATACCATCACCACACTTGTCGCCGCTTCTGCACGATTGCCTGCGTCAGCCTGCTGCTCTGCGGCTTTGCATCCTTTATTCTTCACGCTCTGTACATCTGGCCCTCTGGACTGGAGCATCGCCACCGCCATCCGCATCACGGCCATAAGCATAAGCACCTTACGCACGAGGATCTGCAAGCCATCCTGCTCGGCACACCATCTGGGGAAAAGGCTGAGGAATGGAGCCGCTATTACACGTCGGGAGCACACCTTGCTGGTAAGAACTATTCACAGGTAAGACAAGGGCACCCAAAGCTTCTTACACCTCATGTGTATGCATGAGATTAGAGTATAGCATTTGATATGTGTATTGCAAGCATACTAAACATGTAACCATAGGCCGAATGGACCAAGGATAGGTGGGAGGAATGGGGTGTCAGCTCCAGTATTGTCGCCTATGACGTCTATATCAACTACCCCGTCGACCACAGCGTCTCCTTGCTGCAAAAGTCAAGCGACGCCAAGTCCTGGAATGTTGCATTCAAGGCATCTCTGACCGAAGACGTTCTTGAAGATGACCCGACTACCTCTTCCAAGGACAAGATCCCGACTTTTCACGGTTACTCTGCCAGCGGAAATGTCACTGGATCTTTTGTCTATGTCAACTATGGAACCTACCAAGACTACGCGGATCTAGTTGAGGCCGGCATCGATCTCGAGGGAAAGATTGCCATCGCCAAGTATGGAGGCATCTTCAGAGGCCTCAAGGTCAAGCGTGCCCAGGAACTCGGCATGATTGGTGTCCTGATCTACAGTGACCCTGGCGATGATGGTGAGATTACCGAAGAGAACGGCTATGCTGCCTATCCTGAAGGCCCTGCTCGTAATCCCAGCAGTGTGCAGCGTGGAAGTGTCCAATTCTTGAGCTCGCGCCCTGGTGACCCGTGAGAAACCCCAATTCTCTCTTAACCTCCGTCGTGGCTAACTCGTACTGCAGAACAACCCCTGGTTACCCTTCCAAACCCGGTGTTCCTCGTGCCCCAGCTGATGAGACGACTCCATCAATCCCCTCCATCCCCATCTCATATGCCGATGCCGTACCGCTCCTCAAGGCTCTCAACGGCCACGGTCCTCGAGCTAGCGATTTGAACAAGTGGTGGAACAGGAACCTCGGCTTGGGCCACAAGGGCGTCAAATACAACATCGGTCCCTCGCCCAAGGATGTTGTCATTAACCTTAACAACGAGCAAGACTATGTAACCACCCCTCAGTGGGACGTCATTGGCATCATCAACGGCACTATTCCCAACGAAGTCATCATTGTCGGCAACCACAGAGACGCTTGGATCGTCGGCGGTGCCTCTGATCCCAACAGCGGTTCAGCCGTCCTGAATGAAGCTGTTCGAAGCATTGGAAAGGCTTTGGAAGCTGGCTGGAAGCCTCTTCGAACCATCGTCTTCGCCAGCTGGGATGGAGAGGAATATGGCCTAATTGGAAGCACGGAGTGGGTTGAAGAGTACCTTCCCTGGATTTCTGACGCCAACGTAGCATATGTTAACGTTGACGGCGGCGCCTCTGGACCACGATTCTCTGCTTCAGCAGCGCCCCTTCTAAACCAAGTTCTTCGAGATGCAACCCATTTAGTTCCGTCCCCCAACCAGACTGTTCCCGGCCAGAGTGTTGGAGACGTCTGGGATGGAAAAATCAGCACAATGGGCTCTGGAAGTGATTTTACTGCCTTCCAGGACTACGCCGGCATCCCTAGTGTCGACATGGGCTTCGGCGGAAATGGCAGTGGCCCTGTGTATCATTACCACAGCAATTACGATAGCTTCCACTGGATGAGCGAGTTTGCCGACCCGGGTTTCGTCTACCACAGGACTATGGCCCAGGTTCTAGGCATACTAATTGGCGAGCTTTCCGATAGAGTTGTCATTCCATTTGGTGCGACCGAGTACGCCGACGCTCTGGATGGCTATCTCGACAAAGTCGAAGCCAAGATCCAGTCCGCTGGTATCGAATCGGCCGCCACCGATGATGAAGTCTTTGCGATTAGAGGCAGTGTTACATCCGAGGAGGTGATTGGAAGCCAAGACGCCTTTGAAGAAAGCCTGAAGAAGGTCCGACGCTCAATTTCCGAATTCAGAAAAAAGGCAGTGAGCCTGGATGAACGCGCTGCCTGGGCGAAGAAACGCCTTGAAAAGGGCCTTCCATGGTGGAACGTTATTGGCAAGGCCAGACTTGCGTTGACGATTATCAAGGTCAACCGTCAATACAAGTACATTGAGCGACAGTTTTTGTTCGAGGGAGGTCTCGACAACCGCAGTTGGTTCAAGCATGTTGTATTTGCTCCGGGCCTGTGGACAGGCTATGCTGGTGGTGCGTATTTGAATGATTCCCTATTCACTACTAGTTCTCTTGACGAAAGTACTGACAATCTCTCTGCAGCTGTGTATCCAGGCCTCGTGGAAAGCATTGACGCCAAAAATTACAGCAACGGGCTCAAGTGGGCCAACATCATCAAGCACTCTGTTGACAAGGCCACAAAGAGCATCCAATAAGGATTTCCCATTTCGAAAAGATTAGACAAGAAATCTGTCGTCATAATATGTGTGGAATGGATATCGTGTGGTGTGAATATTGTCCATGTCCTGTATAATATTACCATTGTTGTAGCGAGAAGCAGTGCTAGTTTACGATTACATATTTCTTTCATCCCCCTTATCTTGGAGCATTAAAAACCCTGTTGACCAATCCTTTGCTTGTTCAATGCCATGAACGGGCAGTGTGTCCTACCAGCAACGAGAATCAGTCACCGCCGTCACACCCTCCATCTCCACCATCACATCCTCCCCCACCTCCTCCGCCACCGCCGTTTGATACGAAGCCGAATATTTTCGTACGTGGCTTCTTGGCTCGAGGCTTCGTGGGAGGGGAGACCTGCATCGATCTGGCTTGGCGCTCGCGCTCGTCGGCAAACGAAGCCCTCTTTTTGAGCGGCTTGCAAGGGAAGCCTGCTTCGCGGTGGCGGTTGATGACGATGGAATCGACGACCCAGGATAAAAAGAAGAGGGCACTGATTTTATTTTGACACGTAAATCAGCATCAGACGTCCATACACAAAAATCGTCGGACGCATCAAGCGTAGCAAGAAAACTTACATTTCTAGACATCCCATAGCGGCGATAGCGTAGAGGGTATCGACATGGTTCGTTGGGATGGGATGCGAGCCACCATGTTGGTGCTCCAATTCATGACTGCCACCCCCAGGGACGGTGCCTCGCTTGGCCACGATATCCGAGGTCTGTTCAACCAAGAGCGGAGCAGAGACGGCCCAGGCTACAAAGACCGAAACGTCGAATAAGAGAGGCGCCCAGTATCTGAAAATTCTGGGAGAAGCAAATTGGGCGATGATGAGTAGGATGGAGACACCGACGGTGGAAGCGGCCTATGAGGAGTAATTGTTAGCGTTTGCAGAGATCGGGCGACGAAGGATGCAGAGGTTTTACTATGACGATCATGACGACCTGAATACCGGTCGGGACGTGGAACTCTTCCAAGGCGTGGATGGAGAGGAAGAGAACGACGAGGCCGATGACGATTTGCAGCACACGCATCCATATCCAGGCCTTTGGGTAGTCCGGGATATGTTCCTGGCCACGAGGGCGCTCGGAGGCCGTCATGATGAAATGCAAATAATCTCTCTCTTTTCTTTGCTTTGCGCAGAGAATATCCGGCAGCTGAGTTTTGACGATGGGAAAAAAACGCGGCCACAAAGGGGATGTCTGGGAGATTTTTAAACAAGGGCAAGGCAGGAGGAGAGTCGTGATTGCATGTCTCGCTCACCCTGAGTCACACAGGGCCACCCAACCCAATAAAGGCTCGGGTCAGACATTTTCTCGTCACCCAGCACAGAAACAACCGCATATCGGCAGCCGACAGAGACACAGACACGTAACCATTCATCTTGTATCCCGCAGAGGCAAACAACCGTCTTGTGGTCCGTACCGTTGGGTTTCCCTCCAGCACTCCCTTGTCTCAGTGTTGGCCGATTAGCAAAAGGCGGCTTCACACCCTGTAGCTGCCCGTTCATGGGGGTCGGAGTATCTTGATCAGACAAATTCATGCCTTGAAGGAGTAAAGTTATTTTTTCATGGAATTTCTAGGAGTATATTCTGGTAGCTCATATTTATTTCTTAGCCGCCTAGACTCTATTCTCTACCAGTGGCAAATTGGTCTATGTCTTTAGTTTTATCGATCAAATCATGCCTGTGTGTCTCTCCTTCTAGGCTCTATTTCTATCACATCAACATGCCGTCTAGAACTTGTACACCTGCTCAGCGGTGTAACCAAGCTCCTTCAGAGATCCGGTAAGCTCGCCCTGGTCCTTGGGGCTAACCTTGGGACCGGAGATGGCCTTCATCAGTCCAGGGGGGCCGCAAACAAAGAGCTTGATGTTTTCGCTCTTGGGCTCGGGGAGAACCTGCTTCAGCAGATCCTTGGAGATGAAGCCGCTGCCGCCGACCCACTCCTTGGGAGCCTTGTCCAGGGTGTAGAATGCGCGGAAGCGCTGGGGGTAAGTGTTCTCGAGCTCGTCAAACTTGCTCTTCAGCAGAATATCCTCCTTGGTGACGTTTCCGAAGATGAGGGTAACCTTGGTCTTGTCGTTGGGGTTCTTGAAAATGGCTCGCACCAGCTGGTACATGGGGGTGATACCAGTACCACCAGCGATGAGGGCAATGTGGTCGTGCTTGTTCTCAGACCACGAGTACTTGGGGAGAGGGCCCTTGATGGCAAGCTCCTCGCCAACCTTGAGGTCGTGGATGTGGGTGCTCATGGGTCCATTGGGGTACTTCTTGACCAAGAGGTCGAGGAAGCCCTTGTCGTCTTAGAATTGGCATTGAACGTCAGCACCTCTATCAAAAAGAGTGATAAATGCCTTGCTTACCTTCATCACTGACGGGAGTATAAGGACGGAGAGTTGCCTTCTCAGCATTGGGGGCCTTGAACTTGGTCAGGACGGCACTGGCAATGTGCAGGCCAGAAACTTGGTCCTTCTCCGGCAGCTCAAATCGAACTCTCTTGGTGTTGTGGTTGACATCCTCCACCTCTGAGACCTTCAGGGAGAGCCAGCCCTGATCGCCGCCAGTAAACGCCGCCTTGGGAGCAGCGCCAACGACCTCCTTGACCTTGCTCTCAGTCTTGGAGCCGCTGAGGAAGTAATAGCCCGCACCAGCGACGGCGACAGCGCCAGCGCCGTAGAGGAGGGTGTTAGAGCTGCCCTTGGCACCAGACTCAGTAGCATAGCGGCGCGCATGCTGGAGATGAGAGTACAATCAGCCCGTCTGCAGCGGCAATTTGGGTTTACTCGTCCGGAGCATATCGGATTGTCGGCGCTTCAACTTACCATCTTCAGCGGCTGGGCCGCACGGAAAGCAGATCTGGCAAACATTTTGAATTCTAGGAAGTCTCTAACCTGCGATTGAGGCTTGTAGAGAGGAATTGGTCCCAGAAAACGACGAGTAGAGGCTTGGATGGATAATCAAGGGCCTTGCAAGCTGCCAAAAACTCCGACAGCCAACTAGATCGGTGCTTAATGATTTCCGAGCGATAGGCGATGAATGACGGCATCTGACACGTGATTGGCCCATCGCCGCTGTCCACTTTAAATGTCCAAGTCGCCTATTATTTCCGAGGCATTAGGCATTATGATGACGAATTGTAGAGCCAAATCGCAGTGCTGGATTGGTAATCCTCCCAATGGTACCATTTTCAGCACTTGGTAAGGCGAGTGGGCGCTATTAATACTGTTCAATTCTCTAGTGTTGGTCAACTGCCAAATACGGGTTCTCTCTGCCCTCCATTCACTAGCAGCTGTCAAAAGTCAAAAGTCAAAAGTCTTGTGGCGTCGATGCGCCCAGGCACCAGGAACCAGGAACCACATCATGGAATAGGCGCCTTGCAGTTAAATGAGCAAGTGTACAAAGGGAATCCAACTCAATTGTAAAGCTATCTGCGGGTTTCTCGGGGAAGTGTAGAACTAGAATGGAGCATGCTTTACGTGACGTTTTCTTTTGGGTAATGAACATGAGCGAGTACCAAATCTGTCATGACTACTGGATATGTGCAATTACCTCCATAAAAAAAAAGAACCTATTATTAAGACCACTGAATACATCGACGATCACTCAATACCAGACAGGCTGTCCACAGGGGCCATGCCATCTCTGTCCATCATTAGAGCCAGAAGGTTGACAACGTTGTTCAACGGGACCGCAACTTTAGTGTCAATATCATTGGCGCATTGGTCGACTTTCTCATCACTATTGTCCAGCCTTGTCTCCAAATTATCTAACCTTCCATTAAGGCGCCTCTCAACGCCCGCAATGATAGCACGCAGCTGAAGAATAGTCATATCTTGAGCAGCTGCTGGCAACGACGAAGCGGAAGAGACGGTTGACGGTGACGCAACTGGTGCTGGGAGAAAAAAAGCAGCTGGGGAGATCGTCGCTGGGATGACTGCGGTTGTGGTAGATGCTGCTATCAACGACGATACGACGAGCGGGTGATGGTCGCGGTAGGCCTCCTGAAAATCGCATATCTCAAGGGACCCAAATAAAGGCAACATATCGTTGTCGAGTAAGGTTCTTTGGGGGTAGATCGCGTGGAAGAAGACGAACTTTGCCCAGGTTGGTCGGGCACGACAAGCTCTGTACAGCCGATGATTGCTTGGTTTACGAAGCGTAGAATTTTGGACTATGTAAAATTTCTTGTAGAACAAAGTCCTATACTCTTGTTGATCTGCGGTCGTCATGTTTGTCGCTTGGCTCCAGTAAGCCTCGACGACAGCTCTAGCCCGCATATAGTGTTCATCCGTGGTTGGAATACGGATGTCTGATAGCTCGATCGCCATCGGTGGGACCCTAGGATTGGGGCATGGATTCGCATGCCATGTTTGCGCGATTTGAGAGTAGTCGATTCGATTTCTGTACCGCGGCATAGTTGACGACGATGAGGGGTTTGACAACGTAGAGCTTGACGTAGAGCTTGACGTAGAGCTTGACGTAGAGCTTGACGCAGAACTTGACGCAGAACTTGACGAAAAACTTGGCGAGAAACTTGACGAGAAACTTGACGTAGAGCTTGACGTAGAGCTTAACGTAGAGCTTGACGAGAAACTTGACGAGAAACTTGACGAGAACTTGACGAGAAACTTGACGAGAACTTGACGAGAACTTGACGACGTTAGAAGAGTTTGACGACGTTGAAGAGACTGCTAACCTTGAAGAGCTTGACAGGAGCTTGACGACGTTGAAGAACCTCACGAGCTTGAAGAGCTTGCCGGTTTTGAACGAGAGAGAAGCTTGGAGAAGAAGAAAAAAGAAAACAAGAAGACTTGAATATTGAAACAAATAAATCGATAACGCGTTCACGCGTCAGGTGCCTGGCCAGCTGTCGAGAGTGCATGGGTAACCTTTCGCCAGATGCCACCGAACCCATGGCAGCTGGCCATGGCTAGGTACATGAATATTCACACCATCCATCATCATACCCCGTATACAGAGATTCATGGTATACCTTGGTAAAGAGAGAATGGGTTGAAGGAAAGAAGAAGAGGGGAGAGAGAGAGAGAGAGAAGAAAGGGAGCTTTATAGAAGAAAGAAAGGCTGCATAGCATCATGTGATACATTTCAGCCTGTGAATTCAGGCCAGTCAGTTGAACTGTTCAAGAAGTAAAATAAAGCTCCAGCTGCCACTGAATGGACCAGGCTCTCTCCTTTCTTCTATTACTTAGTAGGAAGAAAGAAGTAATTTTAAAGTTGCCTGGGCAGTAATGATAGCACATATGAGAGGAATATATAGATAGGAGCAGAAAATAACCACAGTAGCAGGAAGTAACGAGAAGTGCACAAAGTAGTGATACTAGCAGAAAGCAGTAGTCTAGAGAGTGGACAAAGTAGTAAAAAGTAGCAGAAAGTATGTAAGACAGTAAGCTCTGAGGAGAAGCAGTTGAAGTCTTCTCACAACTGTCTTGTCTTAACGTACTAAGTAACGGCTAACAAGATGGATTTTCCACAACCCCATCACCTTGAGCCATATCTCGCAGATCAGAAATCCGAAACAGCGTGAGCTCGTCCAATCCCTCAGACGTCAGTGTAGAATGAACAACACACAAACATGGGGGCCGCGGCCCATCACGAAATATCAACTTGGCTCTGAACTTGGGAAAGAAGCCATCAGCTAGATAGACGTTTCTAATTTTGTTGCGACAGTTTGGCACCAGCGTGTCCAGATATGTTTCCAGTGCCCCCGCGTCGTCATTTCGACGAGCATCCTGCATCTTTTGGGCGTCGAAATTCGGATGTGCGAATACATCGGAGTAGAAGTTCAAGAGCCGCCAGCGCTCCCAGGGATTTACGCCATGGAACCCATAGTCGCCTTCTGATTCTTTACTTAAATGAGTTTCGTGCTTTGAGTGGTGTTGGCATGCTCGTATAAAGCAGCGGCAGTAATGGCCGGAGAGCGCATGCTTTACCTCGGCCATGAGACGATAGATGCCAAATTCGTCCAACGAGGGTTTTTTGAGGCTGGCCAAAAATGGTGTGATATCAATCCCTTTGCTCTGCATCAGAGGCCCTAGAGATGATTCCATCCACGCATGGGCGATTTGTTCCAGTGGAATTCCAATCTTTGCAAGTTTAATATACGCCGCTGCGAGGGCCTCTCTCTGAGAATCGGTCGCACAGCGGACGAAGCCGAATTCGAGCTCCTCAGCCGACAGGGAATCAGGTCTATTATTAAAGCCTCGGAGGAGCTTGCCATATAGATTCAGCATCCTCTTCTCCCCATAAGACAAGTTGCGCCACGTCTCGTCTTCACGTTGAAGCGGAAAAACCTGCTCGACGTAGTTCCACGCTTTATTTTGATATAGGAAAGACCCTTCGACATTCGGTATCTCAAAGCCCTCTAGACGTCTGCTTTGGAACCAATGGAAGCAAGAATTATTTCCCCAACTGCCAGAATGTTTTATATCGCCATTTATGATTGAGTTGTGAATGAAATCGCCGAGCAGTTGTCTGTCTACCATGTGTTGGAGCTCAGACGATTTGAAACTCCGCAACAGGTTCCTATATAGGCACAATAGCTCAGCCACGTCAGAATCATCAACACAGTTGTTAAATCCAAAAATTTTGCATAGATCATCGTCAGAATAAATATACTTGAACAGGTTCTTCCGCGAAAGCTTGTCATGTGATGCGATGGTCCATTGCCTACATATAGGCTTGAGGCGATCAATATTGTTCGGGCGGCCTTTAAGACAGCAGGAGAAGACGTGTCTTTTCCAGTCCCTCGTTTGGCATCTCTTGGAACAATAGCTTGTTCTACACGCAGAACAGCGGAGAGAGGACGGCTGCCTACAGACCTGAAGTCGGCATTTTCGAGGGTGGGGGGTACCTATCGGAGGCATTTCATTTTGTTTTTCGAACCCAAGCTTCGAGCGGATGTAATCATCTTTCAATAGTTCAGCTTCAGATAATAACATTTCTTTCCCGCTATGTTCTCCGCCTCCAAGAATGAATGCGTACTCCGGCTTGTCGGGCATTCTTAAGACCATAATTCCGTCGTCGACGACCCCAGGCATCATCATCATGTTCCTTGAGAAAGTCAGCGAGTTCATACTACTGAATCACATTTTTGAAGATCATCACTCACTCTCTCTCTCGAATTGGGTGCTCTAGTGTCTCAACCTCCTTTTCCACCATAACCTGTGCCGAAGACAGTGCACATGAAGATTGAGCCAACAGCTGCTGCCTACTTGCAGGATGTGGCATTGTGATCAAGTCACGGATGATGTGTTTCAGAAAATCCACAGTGCGTATTTTCGCGAGTCGATAATCCGTCGCAAAGTCTTCCTGAATTGAGGCGCTTAGCGGTATTTCCCATCTGTGCATGACTGTTTCGTGCGTGCCTCTCATTTTGAACCCCCCATAGAACCGAAGAAAAGCGTAGCAAAGCATACAGCAACGCCTACTGCATCCAATATAGGGATGTGTTTGCTTCCTTTCGTCGCAAGATAGTAGGGCATCGCGACTACAGAGCATCTGGATCTCTGCATGAAAGTGGTGTTTGTTGCGCCTTTCCTTGACCATAACGCCAAATTTCTTCGACAGCTGACTCAGGTAATCGATCCCATTGACGTTATTGACGCTGATTCCCAAGCGTTTGCATGCTTCCAAGGCTGTCGACGGCCTGGTAGTTGCATTCTTCGGGGCAGATTGGCGAGGAGAAACTTCGACCAACTCGATGGACTTGAACATTGGTAGCCTCTCCGCAGCTTCGATAAAGGTTCGGACGATTTGGTAAATTTTGGCCGTGAAACAAAGGATCTTCTCCGCCTCTTTCTGTCGTGTTGGGTCTTCGCCACAGTAGCGACGCAGATGAGACTTCACAGCTGCCCGAGTTCTTGCACCCTTCCAAAGTTCCAGAGTCATACGCATCAGGTTTTTGAGCAGACAGTCCTGAGCCTCTGGTATTTCTTCTACACAGAGCTTCTCGATTGTTTGAAAGTATTCGAAAATGCCAACATCAACGTCCTTGAAACTTTGACCAGTCAATACCGCTTCCGAAATCTCTTCGCCTTCACAAGCTGGGTGCTGCTCTGATGGAATTTCGTATTCGAAACCTTTGTCGTCAATCCACACCTTCGTATTCAACCACGGCAGCTTTTTGACCAGTGACTCAGTAAGAGCCCGCTGGGGTTGATTTGTTTGGCGGTTTGCTAATCGTGGGCACTGAAATGTACGCCTCAGCTTCTCCAGATAAGTCGAAATGCGGGGTCGCTGGTGGTTGAATACCAGATCAAACATTGAATCCTTGAGATGTTGCGAGGCAGTTCCTGCTTGATTCAGTGAACGATTCCGAACTGATACTGCCGGTATACTCAACCTGTGTTTGCCACAGCCTCCATATAGATCTTCCAATTACCCAGGAACGTGCGATCCTCCTCGTCAAGCCCTTCATTTTTGGAACACATGATTTTTACCCGCTGCTGATGTTTGTATACGACCATCAAAGTACTAGAGACGTGCTTTGCATCGGGAGATGACCGGTTCTTGGGATTCGTCTTGAATCTAGCAAGAGCCTCTGCAAGGCGATCCAGGAACTTGTTCTGTAATTCAGTGAGAGATTGCGCCTCATCCTTTTCTGCATCGAGAATTGACAGGTCATCTACTTCCTCGATTCCGTCATGAGAGTCTTGAGTCTTTTCGACATCATGGTCAAGTTCCAAGTCCAGAGCTAGACCTAGATCTGGCTGTCTGTCTATAATCGAGGCCAGGAGGCAGATTGCATCCTCAAGATCTCGGTATATGGCAAACTCATTGGAGCTGGATAAATCGCGTGCTTTCCGTCTTGGGGTCATGGTGATCATAGATCATAAAGAAATTGGAATGCACCTAATATTCTGAAGCAATTTTGATGGATATGTACATGTACTGATGTTGGGCAGCAGATGGAGATAATTGGCCGCAAAATACAGTACATTTGCATGTACTTCAACACATGATGCAGCCGCATCTCTCCTCGGCCTCTCTAGGGTAGGCTGCCCAAGTTCAGGGGCATGAACAATGCCATCACGACTTCGAAAGGAAATGCAAGGCCATCTTGAAAGATCACTTGCTTGGGTCAAATAGTTTTCGTTTTATTACATCTAACAACTCAACCCAGTCCCTTGTAATTCACTCGCGGTGTTATAAAACAGCCATCCATCATGGAAGCAGAGCCAAGCCAGGCCCAGCCAAAATACAAAACGATGCCCTGCCCCCTTAGAGTCGTAGGAATTATCATCCAAATCATCGCGTTGCTCCAAATCGCTCTCTCTTTTCCCGCTTCGATTTAACCTTACCTATAATAGCTAGAGACTAGCAAGTCTCTCCCAACCTGCAAAAGAGTAAGGAAACCCATCCTCTGTTGTCCTCTTTACTTTTCTTCTTCTTTTGGCCATCCAAGATACACCAGATCTCCCCCTGTAAATCCATTACGGCAGCCATTGTAAGCGAGACTTAGATTGGCGGCTTCTCTGCCAATGCTGTGCCGCCTTCCAGTTGGGTGTATGTCCGATTTTATGCGTGGGTTTCTCTAACACGTCCCATGTCCTTTATGTCTCTTTCACGATCAAAACACATCGAAAAACAAGAGAATAAACGTAGTAAATCCGGCCTGAGGGTTAAATTCCGCCCTCGCCCTCGCCCTCGCCCTCGCCTCCTTTGGTAAGTTATACGATAGATGTTTCATCACCGCCCCGCATCTGTTATCTCACTCGACGCCTGCGTATCTGTAGATTTCGCGTTGGATTCTTCTTGAGCTGTTGCCGAAGGAGAATCTGATTTGTTTCCTGCGTCTTGGCTTGCTCTCCGTTGAGCTTCAGACTCCTGAAGTTGAGCTAACGTTGGTGTGCTCATCTGGCTTCCTCCTCTCTGCCCATGATAGTGAACAACTTGAGGTGGGGCTTGACCAGCTTGAATGCCTAGCTGTTCCGTGGGGTAGGGGTTGAGGTCTTTGCTCGAGGTTGAAAACATGGACACAACTGGCTGGTGATACCCGTTGGTTGAATTGCTGTGAGTGGGAGTGTGGCCGTACTGGCTGCCATGCTCTGTCTGGGTAGGAGTGACGGCATCATTAGGGGATCCAGATGGGTCCACGAGGGCCCCAGTCAGGCTATTCATGCCCCCTTCAATGTCCCGGAGCAGTCGAACGTATTCTTCGGGAACCAAGCCGCTTTCTTGCGTCTTTGGATCCTCTGCAACCAACCAGCCCTGGCCGTGACGATATGACACCCAAATGATTTGGCCTTCCACCAATGGTAGCTCGTTCTCGTTCTCTCGCTCAAAATCGAACAGAGCCACGGCCTTACCGTGGAACTCTTCGTCGGGAGATGTGATTGTAAACTGATAATCTCGCGAATAGCGCGACTGATCTCCTTCAAGCCCCCCTGGCGAGGATGAGCTGCTCGAGTGATCCGAATCGTAGCCTTCTACATCATGTTCATGTTGCTGCGGATACTGATACGCATGGTTGTGATGCGCTTGGTCGGGCGGATAGGTAACGAGTTCACCGCCGGGCCCATTCGCCTCGCCCCCGTGGCTCACGTAGTACCGTTCACTTCCATCTCCGCCAATTCCCAAGTAGTAGCTCTGGCTATCATCATAGCTAGAGCTAATGATGGCAGATTGGCCTCTGTCAGGATCGCGACCAGTGCGCCCCCTGCCAGTATGGAGAGCCGCTGAAGTTGACTTGTGCTTTCGGTGCCTCGTGGAAACCACTGGGCTCTGTAAATCTTCATCTTCGCTGTATGGAGGGCCGTCGCCAAATTGGATCGGCGGTAGATCGTGGGCCCGGTTGAAGGGGTCCGGAGTCCAGGAATCCCACGGCATCTTCTGGTCCCACGAGACCGACGGCTCGGAAAGCCTCCTGCTCTCGCTCATTGGCGTCGTCAGGCCAGACGGCGGGCCAGAAGGCTCAGGTGGCGGGCCGTAGTGCATCGGGTGCATGACGGGATATGCGAAGTCGCGCACCAGCGTGTACGCCAGGCTCGAGGGGAACATGGGGAACACGTGCGACTGAGGCCGCGATCGGGTGGGGAGCGATCCGGCAATCGAGTATTGCGACAGTCTGTTCTTGGACGCATACGAGAGCGGGCGGGATAATGTGCTGTGGCGATTCGAGGTCGAGGTCAGAGGTGCCGGGCCAGAGTCGATTGAGTCCGACATGTCCACCGGGGACGCTGTTGCTGGGGGCGAGTTCATCGACATTGTTGTGGTCGCGGTCATCCCTCCCAGATCGGTTGTAACTTGGGTGAGATGCTGCCAGATTGGAAGAATTCAGCGCAGGTTGACGGCGCTCGCCAGCTCCACGCCTCGGCTTGTGAATAAGCCAACTGCAGCCGCCGGCAGGCTAGCACGCCTCTATCCAGATTGTTCCAGCGCACGTCGGACAAGGTTGGCGATGTCTGGAGGAGCGTCGGTTTGCTTTGCTATGCAGCGCAGCAGTGTGAGTTTCGGTCAGAGCGATCGGCTTGCGGAGGTGGGAGGCTCAGAAAACCCTAATCTGAGACACGCGGTCGCCAGTGTGTCAGGACAGGGTTGTTGCAGAAGAGGCTCGAGGGAGGCTAGCGGTGATTCTGAAGGGATGCTGGCTCTGAGTAACAGCGAACCCCTGCGCTGCGGGTTTGGACGCTGGAGGTTCTTGATCGAGATTCAAAATGCAAGAGATGGCGGGAGTGCGGGAGATGGCAAGGCTGCCCCCAAGATGCACTTGAAGTTTAGTTGAGTTGTCCAGTGGCAGAATCAGCTTCAATGTACTGCCCAGGTACTTGTACGGGCGTCTGTTAGTGGCGAACCGCTGTCAACGGCCGGCCTGTTGGGTTGATGCAATTCGACGGAGGGCCTGGAGCCAGCGCGTCACGCCCTAATTCTACTGGCCGAGCTGCAAATAGCCAGCGAGTCAGCGCCTGGAGGCCGATCCAATGGCTTCAACGGATCTTGCCTACAAGGACCTATATATCTCTGTATGAGCGGCTGACGGCGCTGAAATAGATGGATCCGGTAGCGCCAGATTGAATGAGCGGCAAGGCAAGTTGAATATGGCTTGTTGCGCCGTATTATGGCGTACTGGCATGCATGTATGTAATACCCGTCTCAGGTCTAAGTCGACGGCTGTGCGAGGCGGGGTGTTTGAGGACGAGGACGAAGGACGCAAAACACGCTCAAGGGAGTGTTATCTCTGTTCGGGGTTCAATGACGGCAAGAGTCATTACGAATAATCGTGTACACGGATATTCATACTGTATGCCTCGGAGCAACTGCTCGGCGTGCGTCGCGGTTGAACTTGCGTGGTTGGTTCTGTTATACGTTGTGTCTTGTGCTCAAACGGGGGCTGCAGCTCTCGCATATATTTCCCTCTACTCTGCCGAGGAAAGGCAATGGTATTTGGATGAGATATTTCCGTTAGATTAAGCCACCATATGGAAGAGAAATGCGAAATCAGTTCATCATTATGCAGGACCAACTACTTTGTAACTCATACTACCCCATCTAACCGCGAGCACTACCTGGTGAACCAAGTAATATTGAGGTACCTGTACCTATGCCTCCACGGATGAGCGCTACCAGAATAAGCATCTGCCTACTCTCTCCACTAGGACAGATCACCATGCTGGCGTTGAATCAATACCTACTTTATCCTCGAGCATAACGGACGATTACAGCAAAGGCCGTGCGAACCGCGGGCCTGGGTTTGCTACGATGACCCCACATGGGGGCTCTGAACCCCAACATGTCCCAGGTTCATACGAGCAGAGTTGGGATCAGAGGCAATTTCGTTTCCGTCAGAGTGTTAGCTCGGTCGGATTGCCCGTCTCAGTGCTGCAATGCTCGCTGGCCGAGGAAAAGCCCGCATGGGTTGCTTGTACAGTCCGTTGTCATGAGCTTGCTGAAACACGGCAGTCCAGGATGAGCAGATCTACTTGAAGCCGTACCAGAAACTCTCCTTTAGAAGGAGGTTACGAGAGAGAGAGAGACAATACAGCGTTAGAACATACAAGTACGAGCGTACTGTACTTGAACAAGCATAGAAGCCATCCCGCACCATCTCCGCATATGGGCATACAAGTACAAAGAGCTGCACGTTAGCAGTATTGCTTCACCAGGAGGATCCACGATGCCATCACATGCATGCGGCTAGCGCGTACGCAGAACAGCTGCATGATGCGTGATCTCTTGCCAAGACCGGACAAAAGAATAAATTAAAATAAAATGAACAAGACGGAATGTAATAGTAATCCCAGGCGCTCGAGACTCGAGACACAGAGACGCAAGACATCATAACACACCGAGTCTCATTTCCCATCGAGTCCATGGACCGAATGCTGCCTTTTAATAGCAACATGAGGACATGAGAGACGCTTCTATTTTTGGACACTGGCGAGAGACAGGGCTTGTCTAAACCAGCCGCTGATTGGAAGACATCCAAGCGTCGTTTGTTTCAGGTTATGCGCGTGCCTGCAGACCAATCATGGGACTGAAAAGGCTGCCGTGGGGCGTCTCTCCAGCGAACCAAATTTCGAGAGCATGCCATTGAGACCAAGATTTCGTGCATGTACTTCAGGTTACATGTACTCGTACTTGGAAAAGGCGCGAGTTTTGTGCTCCGACGATGTATTCGGCGCCGACATGCTTGTTCTTCCAAGCTCCGTGGAGGCTGCTGAGAGTCTTATCGCGGACTTTGCTAATGTACTGTATATCTGAAACTGGGTCGCAGTCCTTAAATGGTACAAGCATGGCAAGCATGGGCACTAAAATCTTGAGGCTTGAGATTCGGAGCAGCACATGGCCGCATTACCTAATAGTACTGAACTATTTAGCCCGCTTTTGATTTTACCCGATGTTTATCCCTCGTCGCGTATAGCTCCACCCTCGAGCTTTTCCTTTCACCTCCACGCTTTGGCGAGAGCCTCAATATTACTTCAGCTTGAGCGAAATTGACGAGCCCCCGCGCCGCACACAGCTTGAATTGGTCAATGGCTACTACTTGATGCATGCATCCAGGTACCTGTGACAATTTGTCCAAAGGTAGGAAACTGAACGCATTCCCCTCCCCCTCTCTCTTCCATGATGAACCTTTTATTGGAGCTGTCTGAGCTACGTGCTCTGATGAAAAATTTTAATTTACTTAATATACGATTCTAGCTGATGAAGAGTCTTATCCCTTCTACTCTGATGCCTGTTGAGATTGTGATCGATTGCTGACGCCGTTTGATCAGGTACAGGTTCACTCACCGCCTGGAGCTTGAATAATGCTACATCTCTCGTCCTGGAGCACTCGCGTTACCTCCTCTCCTGGATAATTGCCCAACATGGAGACCGCGAACGGTACAACAGCGGCCCAGAATGGGTCACCAAATGAAAATGGGGACTACAAGCTCAAATTCTGCACTGTCTGTGCCAGCAATCAGAACAGGTCCGTCCTACTGTGAGGGTCTCGTAATACCCTCTTGCTAATTTGAATCCAGATCCATGGAAGCTCATCTCCGACTCTCCCAAGCCAACTATCCTGTGATATCCTTTGGCACAGGCTCTCTCGTGCGGCTACCGGGCCCTACCATCACCCAGCCGAACGTGTATCAGTTCAACAAGACATCTTATGATAGCATGTACAAAGAGCTGGAGGCTAAAGATCCTAGGCTCTACCGTAACAATGGCATATTGAACATGCTAGGAAGAAATAGAGGTGTGAAATGGGGCCCCGAGCGTTGGCAAGACTGGCCCGTTGGAGTGCCCAGATTGCAGCATACCAGTGATAGAGGCAGCGAGGGTACTGAGGGTGGAGTTGTCGACGTAGTTTTCACTTGTGAGGAGCGATGTTGGGATGCCGTTATTGACGATCTCCTCAATCGCGGCTCACCGTTGAACCGGCCGGTACACGTGATTAACGTTGATATCAAGGATAACCACGAGGAAGCCCACATTGGCGGGCAGGGCATCCTTGATCTCGCCAACTCTCTCAATGCCGCCGCCGCAGAAGAGCGAGGCGCTATAGGGCCAGCTGCCTTTGACAGTGGGAGTGCCGCTGCTCGCGCCAGCTTTGACGAGCGAGTGCCGGAGATTATTGCTGCCTGGCAGGAACGCTGGCCCAATCTTCCCTCGACTTGGACTCTGGCGTGGTTTTAAAGTGAAGATGGGATATTTATCGTTGCATGTCTTTTGTCATCTATGTTACTGATGACGGCTGAGGTTGTCTTGGATTTGGCGTGGCGTTCTGGCGATTGGCAGAAAGTGATTGCCTCGTTATTGTTTGTTCCATACGAGAACTGCCTAAGGATAACAAGCCGGGAAGATGCCGGCTGGGCAGAATGTTAATCTTGCAAATCATCCATGGCTACTTGGATCTAAATGACCTCTCATGAACATTGGCCAATGCTACATATTGGCACCTCCAAGCTTGATTCTGCTGGCTACGATTACAATGGACCTGGACTTACCACTCATACTATCGACCAAGGCTCCGTCGTACTACACAATAGCGAGTACAAGATTGTCTCCTCATCTACTCAGCTAAACAAATAAATGACCTCCAATCGAACACATGAGGTGAAAACAAGGTAACGCTAAGCATTTTTGTTTTGTTTTGCGAATATGCCCGACGGCGGGAAATGTGGCGTTGATCCTCGTATATGCACCAACCCGCGTCTAGCCCGAGTGGCTTGCAGTCTTGTTGGGTGGCCGGCACCAGATCTGCCAATCGACTTGTCCAATGCAAGATCTCGAGTGGCATGTTCTAGATTGGCTCTTGACGAGACGGGGTAAGCTAACGATTGGGAGGGCGAGAGTTGCCTTCGGGAGGCACCCGAGAGGTGGACAAAGAACGCAATTTTGCCGGTCAAGTCGGTCAAGTCTTTCAAGAGCTACAGAGAACACCAGGCTTTGCTGTATCGTTGTTTTATACAGGACTATAATCAATGGAATATTAATCTCGGACAGCTGTTTGCCTGTTTGCCTCTTCTTCTCCTTCTTTTCTTTTCCTGTTCAATTCATACTCCCTGACAGTGGGAGTGCTGCCACCACGGAGTAGTGTACGGCCTTATCTCCCACCCATCTTAAGTGTTCAAACCCTCAATGTGTGGAAAGATGCGCGTTGTATCTAAGACAGCGGCCTCCAGGCGAATAATTTCTGTCGGTGTCCGTCCACGTACGCTCTCACTTGGACGGAGTTCTCGTGGCCCCGACAATAGAACGGGGAGCATCGTGCAGTACGCAGATGCCTGTTGTGCGGGGAGAGTAAGATTTGGGCATTCATTACAGAGTCGCAGTAGAGGGAGCGCTAGCACAGTTATTAGGCCAAAGCCATGGTTGTGAGCAAGGGTGCCTTAATCTACGGACTTCAAGTTGCCTCGATGTGAGATTAGATGCGGGTTCTGTGGAATTGGGTTGCGTACTACGTAGCACGAACTTATATTACTCCGAGAATCTCATGACACACTGACCCAATGTCGAAGCTCGTTTTATAACACTCCCCGAGCATCTGAATTCCGATATCTAGGGAGTACATGGAGAGTACTTATAGGTATATGCAAAATACGGAGTAGCTGCACGTACCAGTCAAGACTGCGGCACGGATCCTCCATGAGCACCGTGCTTATACAGGGCACGGCTGATAATCACCGGAATCTGGCTGTGCTGTATCGGATTCTGGTGAACACAGGACCCCTGGTTGGAGGATCCCGGGCCATGAAGCAGGATCCAAGGTGAGAAATAGAGCGGTTTTCGTGCATGTACTCGTCATCCGTGAGAAGGCTCAAGCGCTGTTCAATTCCAGAGGTCGGTGGAAATGGTCCGAGAGTCCGCGTTGGGGCTGTTGTTGTTGTTGTTGTCGTTATTATCAGTCCAACGAATTGATGACGGCACTCCCTTGGCTTAGTACCTGTTTGATTAACATCAATATGTACTACGGACTAGTATAAACCTTGTGTGCCTATACTTGCAATTGTCTCTTAAATGCAGGCATTATCTTGATGGAGGCCTCGTTCCTGGATCATAGAGCGAAAATCAATCAAGCCCCCCGATCCAGCCGTAGCGCGCGATTGCAGAGCAAATCAGGGCCCGGAGACACCGCAATTCAGGGGAACAAGTCCACTCCCCCAGCTCTAGCCGAACGCTACGCAAATGGCGTTGGCGCCATGAGGCGAGAGGCGAGGCAAGGCGAAAGACTCGCGTCTGGGCAATGCTGGCAGGGTACTGCTGCTAATAATTCAAGGTGTGTAAAAGTATGTTTTAATAAAGATTGGTGGTCAGTAGATCCTATGAATACATGTATGGACTGCAATATGGACTATGCAAGGTTACATCTATGCACTCCTCCCAAGGTAGGATTGAAGTCGTGATAATGCCGCGTCTCTCCCACTAGACGTCTCCACCTCTGCACAAGTGCTACTTGTTAATCATGGTCTGCACACCGACGGTTGGGGTCGGTGGAGAGAGGCTATTCTCATGGCCCAGCAGACAGCCAGTCATGATCGCAGCATCAGCCGAAGCAGCCAGAAAGTCGTCAGCTCTTGGGCCAACGGCCACTGAAGACGGGACATCAAATGAATCAACCTATAGGTACATACTAGTACTATGCCAACCCATACCAGTGCCTGGCTGTAGCGAGATGCGCCACAGAGGGCTATCCCCTGACCCTGTCCAGCGCATATACATCCAGTGCTGTACTTTTACTGCAGGCACGCACAACATTGACAGCACTGGACGGGATATTGATACCTGTACCTTAGTATTAGCAGTGCAAGGACCTCTAATACTGGCTGGCCCGTTTATTACTGCCCGCCGATCGATCTCTGCAGTCGCGTCAGCTCCTCCAAGGCCCTGATTTCCCATCAGCTTTTCTCTCTTCACCTTCTGTCCGCTTCTCTTCCTCTTCCACCCCTGGTCGCCTCAACTCGACTCTTACTGTACGAGGATTCACTTTGTTGTCTCTCTCTTTCTCTTCTCATCCTTCTCCTCTCTATTATAGTCTGCCGAGTGAAAACTTTGGCTTCCCCCGTGCCAAGCTTCTGTGCTTTGTTCCCTTCCCAACTCGTACGGGGCTGTCTGGGAGAAATTGCACTCGACTCTTATTTGCCAACAAGGGCATAGCAGCTCATTTCCGACTGCGCCAGATCTCTCCAGCAAACCTCCAAAGCCCCCCCCTTTTGAGACACCCCCGGACGTGTGGACAATCAGCCCTTTCGATTCGAGCTGGTGCATCCCTGCCTGTGCTCGCATTGCCGTTTCAAGCGCCGTCGCCAATTTTGCCTTCCTTCTGCGGCCTCACGCCACGCCTCGTCTCCTTGACCCAGCCAGCGCCTTGATACAAGCAGCTGCCAGGTATAGACTCGGGAGTGTTTCGATACTACCTACGGAGTATTGCAGCATTGCTACACAGGCTCTCGTACCATACTACCTGGGTTCGTCCGTATACTTGCAAGTCTATCGGGACTCCTCTAGAGGCCTGCGGCTCTCATAACCTATCGGTGCACCAGTTGGCCCAAACGCCCTTCTAGCGACCTCGTGGCAGCTTTACGGTTCACAACTCACATTGAGCACCATCACCAACTCACGGCTGGTCCAGTTTCGAGCCTCCCAGCGCCAACAACGAGTCAACAACGTGCCAACCTGCTACCGGATAGCAGCGAACATCATCTTGTAGGGGTGCCACACTGTGGGGAACGGCGTTTTAGCACAACGACAGGCGCTTTTGGACTGGTTCCGAGTGGCGTCTCTTTACACACGCACTGTCAGGCACGGGCGCAAACCACCAAAGCCTCTCCATCTCGTGGCGTCTGAGCTAGCCGCTTTCCTTTCCCTCCTCCTGCTTCCCTCCCACCATGAGCACCATCAGCGATCGCAATGCGCCGCTGTCTCCAGTTTCTGTAGGCGGCAGCGAGTGGTCCTTCTCACGGTACCAGGCCAACGAAGACGGATCCTATCCCAACCGCGGAAACCTCGTCTCTCCTCCCAACTCTGGAGGCTCCTCAGGGACCATGAGCATGAATGGCTTTCCTCCGGGGCCTACAAACACGGGGGGCCCGTCACCGCCGCCGTCTGTTGGCCGATCCAGCAATGGCATGAACATGTACGCCCGAAGCGAGGCCGGAGGCGAGTCGCCAACCGCAGCCAATATCGATGAGGGCATCCTCTCTGAGCATTACGTTGCCCTGAGGGTTTTCCTCACTTCACGCGACCCGAACGCCAAGCAGCAGCCCAACAAGGCCCGCGACAAGTTGCTACGACTCTCCCCCGTCCAATTCTTCGAATTGAGTACCGATGTTTACGACGAGTTGGTGCGCCGCCAGGCCGCAGCTCGAACTCCTCCCAATGCGCCCAACATGCCGCCAGCCTTCCTGTTACCAGAGAAGACGTTCCATCCTAAGCGAAACCAGGCTCGCCAAAGACTCTCATCTCTGGGACCTCCCCGATTTCGAGATCTCGCTGCCGATGTGTTCCACGAACTGGAGCGCAGGTTTCCACACTTTGTGGGCAACGACATCCCACGAGGTGGAAGCTCCATGTCCAATAGAGGCGGACCAATGAATCGCACAGGAACTCCAGTCAACGGCGAATACCCGCCCAGATCACAGAGTCGCATGCGAAGGCCATCCAATGCCAGCTCGATTAGAGGGCCACCACCCATTGACTCGTACGGTGTGCCTCCATCGCCCAGCATTCCCAATGGCAACTACGCTCGGCCAATGCCACGACTCCCTACACAGAACAATACTATTGTTCCCAATAAGAGTACAATGATAGAAGAAGACGACGATGGTGCTGACGCATACGGATCCGCGGATGGACCCGATAATGGAGAAGTGAGTTTCTTTTTCATTCTTCAACTTGTGATGTTGTGGTCCATGGTCCAAGTTCTAACTCATGATAGGCGGAAAAGAAGATTATCGAAGAGTACGAGGCACAAGTCAAAGATTTGAATTCCAAGATCTCAACCATGGAAGAAGAGATGAAGAAAAAGGAAGAAGAAATGCAGAAGAAAGAAGAGGAAATGAATAGTTTGCGCGATAACCACCAGTCACAGGCCGCAGCTAAAGATGAAGAGAAACAGGAGTGGGCGGAAGCCCGCTCAGACCTCGAGGGAAAGCTGACAGAGGCAGAAAAGCTCAGCAATTCGCTGAAAGAAGAGATGGAGCGCATGCGCGAAGAACACGAACAAGAAACCAAGCAGCTTCGGGAACAAGTTCGACAGAGCGTTAGCATGATGTCTTCTACAAGTGTAAATGAGGATCTGCAACGAGAAAATGATGAATTGCGACACTCGCTCCAGCAACAACAACAAGTAACGGAAGAAGCGCGAGCCGAAGCTCAAGAGTTTCTACGCGAGATGCGGCAGCTTTCTCAACAAAGCGGTTCCAAATACGAGAAGCAGGTTGCGCTTGAAAAGACAATTGAGCAGCTCGAGAACGAGGTTCGGGAGTGGAGAGAGCGCTACGCAAAAACCAAGACTCAGATCAGGAGCCTGCGAGGTTCTTCCGCCGGATTCAGCGTGGATGGAGATGCCACCAAGCTACCGAGCGACAATACCCTGCTGGATGAGAATGGGCGAGTCAAGGATGTCCACGTCACCAAATATCAAATGGCCATCGACGAACTCTTGCAAAAGGTCCGCGATGATCATCCAGAAAACGTCATAGATGCCATGAAAGCAGTCGTGGTCAGCGTCCGTCGAATTACGAGAGACTTGGACGAGTCCGCACCGCGTGGAAGTGAGGCAGCTCAGCAGCAGCAGGGAAAGCTCCGGGCCAGGATTTCCGCCACCGCAAACCACTTAATTACCGTCTCCAAGAGCTTCGCTGCTAGCTCCGGCATTACACCAATCTCTCTTGTTGACGCTGCGGCGTCACATCTCACTGTCGCCATTGTTGAGATACTTCGAGCTGCCAAGATCCGACCAACCCCTGCCGAAGAGCTGGAGGATGAGGAAGATGGAGACGCAACCCCCATCGACTCTAGCGGCTTCTTCTCGCCTCGCAGCGTCGCTCGAGGATCAACAACCCACGAGGGTCTGCCTCCGGCTCCTGCTTTCAAGAACCTCGCCAATATCAGGGCAAGCATTGAGTCTTCAGCTTATAGCCCCGTCAACTCTCCCCGGACATCCATGGATGCATATGCACACGCAACTCCCAACGGACACGGTGAAGAACACCACGACGGCCAAATCGAGGGTCTGAAGGTACGGGCTTAGGGCGACGCCTAGTTTTACAAAAACAAAAACAAAAATACGACCCACAGCATGACTGACGATGGCCCAGACGTACCTTGAAGATCAAAACGCCCTGTTAATACCCGAGATCCATAATCTTGTCAATTGTGCTCGCGCGGATGATGATATTCGCCAAATTTCTACGCACGTCGGCTCTATCAATGGCATCGTGAGTAGCATTGTCTCGGAAACCCAGAAGAACGGTCGTGGCAACATGGTAGTTCGCCTAGGCGACTGCCGAGACCGCCTTGTCGAAGCCAACCGTCGAGGCCAAGAGATGGCGGATTTGGAAGTCGATGAAAAGGAATGGAAATCTTGGACCCTGACATTGCCACCGATTGCTTTTGAGATTGCCCGGGAAGCCATGGAGCTTGTTGAGACTATGGAGGAGCTGGTAGCGTCGTCACAAGATGCAGATGATTTTTCATGAGGTTGACGAGCTGTCATTAATCATTAATTCAGCATAGATGGCTTTTTTTTTTATTGGAGGAGAGGCAGGAAGGGGTTCATTGAAATCTCAAGGGCCATAGGCGAGTCCCCCCAATGGTGTTATACTAGATGCTTCTATTTTCGATCCTGGCGTCACTCCTCCCTTTGTTCTTTTTCTTCCTTTTGGGGATGGGAGGAGTCTCAATACCCCTTGTGTATATGTTTCTTGACAGCAAAGCTTTGTTTGTTGTTTGCTTTTATTCCACATAATATGGAATGGCTTGTTGCCAGGTTTACCGGGGCTGCGGGAAAGAAATGCCCTGACGAAGTTATGCAGTCAGGAGAAATGTGCTGGTTGGTTTTTGCGGTATAAGATGAAGGCATCGCCGCGCAGGTGGGGAGTGGACAGAGCATTGTTTTGTGCGATGGAGGGATTAGGTTTCTAGCCTGTATACAGAGAGAAAGAGTAAATACCACGGCGAATTGAAAGCTGATTTTCTTGATCTTTTTTTTGTATCCCTTGGCAATTGAAGCCAGAGTCTTTGTAGACAAGTATGAATAATCAGGCGCTACTGCTCTTTGTACTGTATGTAGTAAAGGACCATCTAATTGAACTGCCCGAAATTCAATCGGCTCCTCTGCATCTGTACATCTGTACACTCCATCAATTGACGTCACACAGTTCCGAGGGCCTAGGAAAACAAAATAACATCCAATCCCATTGCTGAGGGGACAGTGTGCCAGATCATGTAGTACAGATTCACGTCCAATGTCTTTCCGCCGTGCTACTCGCCAGACCCCTGGACGGATCCCCCGCGTCACGAGAACGGGATCTCATCCAAGATTGGCAACTAATCCCTGTTCCCGCTCTGGTGGGATGTGGACGGGACGCAACCAGCATTGGCTCGATGTGATGGCGCGTCCACTAAACAAGCAAAACATCAAAGGCGACAGAGTGAGCAGCACAAAGCATCTGGCTGCTTACAAGCATCAATAGCTAGGCCCCTTTTGGGCGTGCTGGCGAATGGATTGGCAGAGGCGAGTTTCCGCATTCGGCTCTGCTGATGCGCAACATGCGCGCTACGCCTTACAAAGCGTTCTTTGTGTGACGATGAAATCGTCTCGTCAAGGCGGTGGTGTTGGTCCAGCGATGATTACCTTGGACAGGCTCATTTCCACCTCGAGGCTTCCCCAAGCAGTCCTAGCACACCGACGCAGGTACATGGAGAAGAGCCATCTTGGGCAGGTGAAAGCAGGTACCCTTTAGCACCGCCGGGAAAAATGAAAACGCCCCCCAAAGAGCTATTGCCACCACCCTTTTTTTTTTTCCTGCTTCTTTTTTCCCCCGGCGTCTCTGCTCAAACTCTCTTTCCTCCGTCTCTCGTTGTACCGATACACTCTGCTTGCCGCGATTCCCGCCTGCTTCTCGACGTCAGCTTGGTAGCTGGTACCCGGCTCGTCCGTTGCGACGTCGAAAATTTTGCGATTTGATTCCAGCTGGGGGAGTTTGGTCTCCACTGGCTCGACTTGCCTTCTACAAAGCACTACCTACCGAAGTAACATCTTTATTCCATCGCTCTTCAGAGAGACATCACGCCCTTCGGCTTATTTCCCCCATCTCTCTCCCCTTTTTTGGATTTTTCTCTCCCTCAAAACGACGAGGCAGACTTTGGAGCGACATTCATCTCCTGTACCTTCGATTTGATTCTTTGCGCCGTGTTTGTTAGGTGCGACTAGCCGGATCTCGTGGGGCGGAAACCTCCTCTGAGGCCGGCCTGTTTCAGCCTCACTCGAAGGACAGCGTCTTTTCCCCTTCGTTTCTGCGGTTTATTTTTGGTTCACTTGGCGAGCAGTACAACCAACAACACAGCGGATCAGTCCACGTTTCAGCCTTTGCGCTCGAGGCCGTTGAATACCGTCTTTTGCGCCTGTGGCCGTTTGGCATCGGAGTGCCCGAGAAACCCTGCCGCCCGCCTTATATCCCGGCCACACACACATCCAGTCGTTGCAGGGTACGCTGTGGGTACTCTGGACCGCTCGATGGAGGCAGAGCCTCGCTGCGAGACCATTTATACGACCAACAAGGTGTATGTAGGCGCGAAAGACCGCCTAGAGGAGAGCCCTGCACAAATGGATGCCCCTCAGCACTTTCCTGCGTCGTCGTCATGTGCGCCTCCTGAGAGGGGCTCCGAGTGCGCATCTCAAGAAGTGGCAGAAGAGCCTCAGCCGCGAGACGACAATTCAAATACCGAGCCTGTCGCTCAATCAACGGGGAATTTCCAAGAGCGGCTTACTGCGCCAACCGACAGCCTCACATCGACATACCCTGAATCTGAAGCACCAATAGCTGCAACCCTAACCCCGGCGGAAATGTCTGCTCCAGCGCCAGATGTTGCAGAGGAGTCAGCCCAGGCTGCGACTTCGCAATTGCGAGATGAGAACCCAAAACCCATTGGCAGCCCTTCTCCAGTGCTGGAGCTAGAGGCTTTGCCCGATGACGAAGTCGATCTGGTCAGGTTTTGCAGCTCATCAGAGAACTGCAGCTCTCCAGTTACAAGAAGTAGTCGGGCCAGTTCGCCTCTGAGCGAGCCAGACACGCATGGAATCGCACACTCATATGATGGCCCCGCTGGCCATCGAGTGCTGCATCTCCGACCAACGCCCGAGCAGTGGGCTGATTTCCCTGCTCTTCTGTCTTTCGCGCGAAGCCTTCATGCAGAGCTTGATGGATGCTTCAAGATCGTGCTCCCGGACGAGCTTCAGGAACCCCTTCCGGAGAAACAATCCCAACATGCTCCTGCTAATGCCTACCGAATAAGGCAGATTAATCACAGGACGTTTTGGCAAGTCAGCACAGTACCGAGTGATGGTTCCTTTTCGTCTTCAGAGCCGGATGGCGAGCTATCAGGCAGTGTGGAGGACAAGTTCAAAAAGCTCAAGACGCTCTTCAACAAGAGCAAGGATAGGCAGATGCGAAATGTGCGGTATCGAGTCGATGTCCCCGCGTGGACTGCCAGGCAGAGGCGTGAAGCTGGCGTACCAGAGCGAAGTCCCATCCATCCTTTGGCCGGCGATAAATTAGACAAAACAAAGGCCATTATTCCGGGAATACACACGCCATATGTGTACGAATCCGCTCAGCACTTTGGCGCAACGTTCCAGCTCCACGCAGAGGACTTCCGCCTGTCATCTCTGAACCATCTATACAAGGGTCGCAAAATCTGGATTGTGGTCCCTGCAACAGCTGTAGATATTGCTGAGGAGGCGTTGAATCGAAAGGGCAAATGCTCGCAGTTCATGCGTCACAGAGCCGAGTTCTTCTTCCCTGAGAAGCTGCAAAAAATGGGCATACCGTATCGGATCGTGGATCAACGACCGGGAGAAACGATTGTCATTCTGCCAGATGCCTATCACGAGGGATTTAGCACTGGATACACCTTGGCCGAGGCCAAGAACTATGCAGATCCAGACTGGACAACGGACACCTACCAACCATGCGAGTTGAGTTGCCAGCTTGCAACGGCAATACCAGCCGAGTATATGCGGCCTCTGCGAGAGGGAGAAGAGAGACTGGATCTGTGTGCTGGCTATAACGAAGTCAGTACCGGTGAAAAGCAACTACCCCAGCAGCATGTGGTAGATTCGCAGAACATTGAAGCAGTGTCTGTGGATCTGCAATCAATTCACACGCTCAAGCGACCAATGGAGGATGCCATTTCAGAAGAGATGACTGTCAAATATCCCAGACTCGACTAACAGTCCGGTTTCTATTTAACGGCGCAGACAATTTACGGGCTTTAACAATAGCAGCCTTCCTCTGAAGAGAAGCTGGATCTTAATTTTCTTTCCCTATTTGAGCATTTTGAGGTTTGTTCACTGACATGACATGGTAATGAAAAGGCAAAGGGACATTTTTTGGTGGAAGGGGAAATTCAAAGCGAGGCGGTGGATTGATTAAGGGAGTAATTCAGGGCATTGCATTGGGAAATAAAACCGTTGGGTTGATGGTGGAGTTTTTCTGAATGGACATAGACGTCGAGAGTCGGAGTTGGCGTTGAATTTAGTGGGAGAATCATGGTTCTTTCCTTTCCCCTTTTTCATTACGATTTTTGAGCAGCATATTTTGAACTATCTTACCTAGGTTGATATACTAGGACAGGACACATAGGAGATGGAGATGAGCACGGCAAAAGTGCTTAATTCAAAATGATCTATTCATGGTTTTCTTCTACTTTTTCTTTTCGTCTTCTCTCCTCTCCTCTCCTATTTCTATCTCTCTACTCCTCTTTCTTCGTTTATGCATTAGTTTCGTAACGAAATCCATCCACGTAGAATAATTATATAAGGCATGCAATCCAAACGTTATGCTTCATAGATTCATGTATTAGTCACGTCCTCATGACCGCCAGGATCACGATTCATCACACTTCATCACGTTCCGTATCATATCCTTTGTTTTTTTTTTTCTTTCTTTCTTAGTATCCTCCGCGCCTCTCCTGGTTCTGTCGAGCCATCTCATCCCGGAACGCATTCCTGGAGCCAGTGGTGCCCTGCCGCTCAAAGTTCTCGTGGATGGGGGTGCCAGCCAGGCTGCCCAGAGCTTCGCTGTCACGGCGATTAGGAATGGGCGCATCGTGATACTCGCCGTCGTTGAGGTGGTCGTCGGCGTTGTGCAGCTGGATGCTACCGGCGTCCTTGTTGGAGCGGAAGATGTTGTTGCGGCGGGTCTTGCGGCCGCTGTAGCCGTGGCGGGAGCGGCTCATGATGTTGCCGAGTTCGATGCGGCGGGTCTTGCGGTTCCACAAGAAGAGGCCGATGACGATGAAGATGATGCAGCCAAAGGCGACGGGCAGGGCGATGGACAGGGTGTGGCCCTTGGGGACCTGGGGCTCGGGGTTCTCGGGCAGGCCGGGGGGTGCAAAGGCCACGGGCAGGGCGATGGAGCTGTTCTTGTCGTTGGAGCCGCGGGGGGCGACGAGCAGGGTGATGGAGATGTTGTTGAGCTTTTCGCCCTGGAGCATGTCGCTCTTGACCTGGAGGGGCCAGAAGCCCCAGGAAGCGGGCACGCGCTGGTCGTCGAACGTCTTCAGCTTGACCCACTCGTTGCTGGTCCTGTTGAGATAGTCCAGACGGACGGTGATTTCGTAGGTGGAGTTTGACTTGGGGACGGAAGTCTTGTTGTAGTAGTCAGGATCCCAGGTAACTAGCAAATAGTAATAAAGCAGTTAGTCCCTCTGTTCTTTGTCTCTTTTCCCAACATTCAATGCCACTATTCAAACTCACTGTAGTAGGTGTTTCCCGTCGTCAGCGTGCTGTTCTTGTAGGGCGTGCAGAACGGAGCATCCTCGCCGTCCTTGTTGTAGCAGCGCGAAAAGACGCCGTCATTGTTGCTGGACGTGGCGGTGGGATTGGGAGGCCGGCCGGTGCTGGTGAAGATCTCACCCCAGCTGGTCCAGGTATAGGCCGAGGCGGTGATGTCGTGCGGTGCGACGTCGACCAGCGTGGGGGTGCCGCTGATGGTGGTCATCTTGGGCGTGACGGTCTTGACGGGCGTGCCCTCGTCGCCAACGGTGACCCAGGGAGCGGTTGGGTCTGCTCGAGGCCGGAGGTTTGCGCGACGGTGCATCTCCAATTGAGGCTCGGGAGTGGCCTTGGGCATAGCGGTGGCAGAGCCGCAGAGCGCGGCGGCGGCGCCAAGGATCGCGATGGCATGCATTGTGGTGTTGATGCTCTTGTTTCTTCTCTTTTCCAGGTTTGAAATTCCAAACTTCAACTCGCAGACGCGTCGAGAGATGGGTGTGGGCCGAGACAAGGAGAGATTAGTCTCGCGTCCAGCTAACGAATGTGATACAATTCAATTGCTGCAAAAACGAAAAAAGAGAGGGGAGGAAGAGGACAAGACAGGGAGGAAGAGAGGGAGAGAAGGAAGAAGAGAAGAGGGAGAGGGAGAGAAAAAAAAGTTACTCGAGGCAACGCAAAGTTTCACGACGGCAAAGGCCAAGACCAGCTTAGTACGGAGTTTCCCGGTCTCTCTCCTTGTTGCATTGCAGCTCAATTGATCTTGCTCACCACAACTAGCACGGCGACTAACCCGCCAAGCTCACAAGGTTAATTCAAAGCCAATTGCCCAAACGGGAACAGCGAGGCTTTTTCTCGACGCTCTAATTTGATAGTGAGCGAGCAAGAAGAACAAAATGCCGCTGCATCTTAAGCTTAGCGTTTGACTTGTCAGTTGGGGTGGAGCAGGAGGAAGAGAAGAGCACCAAGGGAAAAGGGGGGGAGGGGGAAGCTTTGTGGAATTTTCTTCGTATTTTTTCTTCGAATCTTTGTTCTTTTCTTCTAGCCTTTCTCTGCTACTATACTTGCTTGACAAGATGCGGTGTACGATGCATTGGTTCCCCCTCTTGTAGCAGGTTTAGCTTGGTAGCATCGTAGACTTTGCGAGACGGGAGTCGCAGCAAAGACAAAAGTTCGGCTTTTACCGTACTTGGCGCACGAGCACCTGCATTAGCAAGGGGTTTTAGCGAAGCCGTGCTTTCGTAGCGACGAAACCTGGAAGCCATTCAGTCACTCGTGTTTGCTGCAAATCATTGATGCCCATCATGCGGTTCGCCAAGCTTTGGGTGAGACATTATGATGCGCATCAACAGGCGTTTATTGATAACGTAGTACTCGCAACTATTTCAACATATTCACTCCATTTCATCAGTCACAAACAATTGTAGCGTGATAAGAAGCAGAGCTGGTGTGGATGACCATGTCCGTGTTGGCTGATTTATGCGTTGGGCATCTTGCGAGGTCCGCAAAGGGCCCATAAAAGGAATCCTGGTACTTGATAACAAGCACCTATTGTCTCTGGTTTTTTGCAGTGTTCGCTAAAGGTTGAAATCTCCAGGAATATCATCTACGTACGAGTCATGTTTTTCAAGTTCTACCGAGCCGATCATGGGGGGAACGCCTATCATAGGTGCATAAGATATGCCTATCCAACAACCTGGGGGATGCCTTCATCCTGAACATTCGCATCGTTATTCATTAGTAGTAGCTAGCAATATATCGGGCTTCAAACTATTCGCATGCATCTCTCAGTTTAAGGCGTTATAGTGTAAGAATCATCCTTCATAATTCCCTTTCTCGACATGTCCGGCTTGCTAAATTGCCCTTCGGCCTCGTCGGCCTTTGAATAGAATGAAGCTCATGTAGATAGTCGTTATTGAGACCTTGGCGCGTGCGCTACCAAAAAAAAAAATCGTTTCAACATCGAGCTGACTGTCCCGGAGGCGATTGACGTCTCTCTGGTATTGATTGGACAATAGAAGCAAGTCGATCATGCCAAATCATCACCCTATGAAAGCTGTTAGACCATATCGTAAAACATTTTCGGCGGAAAGATGGGCGACTCACCGTTATCATGATCTTTTGTGCTTTGCAGACAAGTCACCAACTGATGCTGTTGAATATAGCCCGACCCATGGCCACTGGCTATCTGATTCTGTCAAAAGCCCCGAAACGTTGAATCCTAGTCTAGTCTCACACCCTGGTAAGATGCCCGATATCTAGGGCGTCACCGTACGGATAGGCATTCCGTCATCGCAAAACTCAATGGCCCTTCCCCTGCATTTGCCTGCGCCGCTGCCCTTGATATCAATTGCCCCGATATGCTTGGAAAGGGCGGTCATTTCCACCTCGTCTATCTCCATCTCGTCCGATGCAGACGAGAAGATATCGTCGTCGCTGTCTTCGAATACTTGGCTGTGCATGGATGTTGCAATCTCCTTGCCTTTTCCCATCAGGTTCGTAAGCGTCCGAGCTTGCTCATCTTGCCATTGATAGGGCTCGCCACTTGACGATCCAGCAATCTTTTGTACGGTTCTGCGTTAGACTCGACCTCACAAAATCCCCGGCCGCAAAAGCCATGCGAAACTTACTGGGAGCTGCATGGCTTGCGACGAAGAAGAAACGGCAGATGCTGCGGACGCATCCAAGAACGACTCGCGCCTCTCGCTGAACCTCACCACGGGCAGCTTCTTGAAATACTTTGCCGCAAACTCAGCCTTTCTTGCCTTGTCCTTTGCTTCCCACTCTGCACGAGCCTTGGCCCAAGCAGCTGCTCGGGCGGCTTCAACTTTGGCGCGCTCTTCGAAAAGCTTGGCCGCAATCTCGGTGCTTTTGCACTCCTGAACAGGGCATTCGTAGGGGGTCATTTGGCGCTTGATTCGCTGGCGGTTGTCTTCTGGAAACATTTCGCATTCCGAAGGATGCTGGGATGGTAGGCCAAGAGCGCAGCCCTTCTTGAGGAGCAGTCTATTCTCGCCGCAGCGATCCCAGCTGTAGTGCTTCCAGTAGCCGCAGTATCTACATTTGACAATGTACTCTGCACACATCTTTGTCTCGGTTGATAGTGTGGATGGTGGGGATTGTTGAGTTGTGATGGCTTCGTGTTGCTCTTTTCCTAGTATGTGATGCCTCTTTAGCATAGGAAGTGATGTTGGCAGCTGAGGATGGGGGGAGCAGAAGGAGTAGGAGGAAATTCTTAGAGGTGCACTCCTGGGGGGAACTTCATATTCACCTCTAGGAACCATACACCAAGCTTTGCGGCAAGACCAAGTGCTGAACAGCCTGCAGTTGTCAGCCTACTGCGTACGATAGCTGCTTCACAACTGCTAGAAGTTATCGGCCAAGGGGCAGCCATGTGCTGGAGTGAGTCCCCCTAAAGATGCCTGGCAGCAGACACATCAGTGTTAAACTACCTAGGTAGGTAGAGAACACCCAGTAAATAGAATCCTGCTCACTTCATCTTCACTTTCGACGTTTGTCGTCAGAAAAGGTCACCAGAGGCAGGTAGTCGTGTAGTAAGCAGCTGCAGATGGGACGAATCTGAGCGTTTGCTTGTATTCCACACGGCGGCTACCTTGTTTATATCCCCGGTCTGATGGCAATACTCATTGGTCACAATGCACCAACATGTGTTCTATAAACCTCATCATCCTTGTTCAAATCATGTTGTTCATTTGTAACTATGAAAATGACAAGCACGCGAGTTCGATATTGCCACGCGTGTCTAGAAGCAATGTCTGTCAAATGTTCAAGAGTTTTATTTATATTTCCATGAAAGAATAACGATTCCACAAAGAACATGAACTTTTCTTTGGCAGCGTGACACTCTTCAGCCAAGCTAGTGCTTTGTTTGGCTCGTTACCAATTCGGATATGTAAATATCTAAGAGGATATTACGTTGTTCTTACGGGTTTGTGCCGTCGCTTTGCCATTGCTTTCAATAGTCTTAGGCTCTAATTGTATTTCGAATTCTTCCGTCGACGACGCTGTGGGTAGAATGGCTTTCCTGCTTTTTGTATAACAGGATGCAGAATACGCTCTCCTCTAAGCATCCGAGGTTTGAAGAAAGCTGATTCAATCTACGAGGCACGTTCAAAGGCAAAAAAGGCTCGCTCGCACACACTCTTTCTATCAATTGTGGCAATTTGAGGATTATGACTGTGTCCAATAATACAGATTATCTCAAACTGGTGTCTCATCAGTAGGCGTGCGAAATATCTAGTAGAATAATTTCCTCACTATCCTACAGAAAGAAAGAAAGGCGTTCTATTTCCAACGAGCCAAGAAATAAAAGAGAAATCGTCGCATCGCCTCGAGCTTCTCTCGCGTCCATCAATCTCAAGCCTGAAAAGAGAAGCAGAGAAACCGTCAAGTAGGGCAAATTCTTGTACTATCATGCCCAGCAAATTCATTTTGTCAGAAGGAATCCGTTGGTCGTTACCATTCTGACTGATGCCAGAGGCTGCCCTTCGGATATTTTGTTCCTCGTTAATTGATGACGACGGCACAGTCAGACTCCGGCGATAAGAAATTTGCGGGCGTTGAATCCTTTCGATTATGATTGTGTGCCGAAAACGATGTGTTTACCCTAGTTATCCATGCAAGGTGCTGGCCACAGCCTCATATCTGCTTGGCTATTAACTTCCGCATAGGTACTTCAAATCCCATATCTGCTGATACAAGGACCAGGTATACGGAGCAGGACTGACGTGTGGAGCATGGCAATCCTACGTCGGTTCTGGCCGAGAGCATCACGCCAAAGCCTACTGGTATACCCGCAAGCCGTGCGGAACGGGCATATCGAGTCTGGTAATGCCGACTGAAGCCTCGTCCCCGCATTGTCCATGCAGCGGCATCCTCTGCTAAGTCTCGGGTGTATTCCGTAGCTGGCTGATCGTCCGTTGATCCCTGCAAATCACACAGGCAAGGGCCTTGGTGTCTGGTCGTGCGGTCGCTCAGCGTCAGCCAGCTCCCCGTAAATCTGACAGAGATAGCTGATGTCCAAACTTGATTAGATGCATCTGCATCTAGTCCTTTCAGCCAGCTCCTTGCCCAGGCAATTTCAAGCAGCGGAACGAGGCCAAATGACGGTTGTAGCAGGTAGATTGCCTTCAAGCTGTGGCTCGCATGGTAGGGCCAGCAATGCCTACATTAGTATGCGTGTGTGTGTGGTTGGGCTGATCACAAGATATCCAAAAAGGAAAACATACATGAACATACATGTAGGGCGCCACTACCACAACGATACCCCGGCAGATGGAGGATTGAGGGAAACCGGGAGGTTTTGACATGTAACCAGGGCCTGCAGCCGCACTTTGACGCTGTAAATCGAGGCTGGAGCTCTCCCTGGTACTTCTTCTTTCTTCCCAATTTTCTTCTTCTCTTCCTCTCTTTTCCTTTTCTTCTCTTTTCCAGCCATCCTACCGCAAAAAAAGGCACATATACTTATTTATTGATTTCGTTTCCCTCCCTTCCTCTTCTTGTGGCAAATCTGAGGGCGCAGGACAGGCAAATGCTTTGTTATACGTGTATCCAGACCGAAACCCTGGCAACCAAGCAGGCTACCGCGAGGCACGCACCTGCTATCAACCATCAGAAAAGTCCATCCTCTCCTCTGTTTCTCTTTTCTTCTCCTCTTCACCACTCTTGACCCCATTTCATGCTATGCTTCCCCTCTCCAAATCCCTCCCCATGCAGCAGCCCATTGAGCCAATACGCAGCATGAATGTGTCGTGCTAACAAGGGCGTTCCGTGGCTGCATAATATTGAGCCAACCGGTGGCTGAGCTTCAAAGAGGGGACATGGACGAGGCGAACAACGCATCGAGGCTCTCCCCCCTCATCAGGCTGGTGATTCTATCGTTCGTCGTTCATTCATTACCATATATGGATATATACCTATGCTTGTACCATCCCTATGCCCATCCCTATCCCTATACAATGCCAACTGGAAGCTGATGTTGGCCGACATGGTCCATTATTAGGCGAGGATTACCATTACCATTCCCTCATTATCCACCGTCCGACCTTCTCAGCTTTGAACTCCCATCTTCTCTCTCCAATCCCTTGCCGCTTGGGCAATCTGCAAAGCCGCAGCTTCGATCCGCCGTGCCCGTTCCAAAAGACTATGGTCCCTACGCGTCCCAGATGGCCGCTTGAGCTGTGCAATCATCTCGAGTACAGCCATGTGGTCCACGACCTTGTCCGGGTCTCTCATGCTCTCTCCTCCTCGATCCCGACTCCCTGACACAGGAGTCCTCCTCCCAGATGCATTACAAGCGTGCTCGACTCCATCATAAAGACAGTTGCTACAGGGCCCCGTCACCCCCGGCGCCTGGCCCATTCCTTCTGGAGATACAACACACTGGGGGGAGATGCCTTGCCCGGCACGGCAGCGGCTGCAGCGTCGGTCGCTGGTGTTTTGCTCTATGCCCCTCTCGTACATCATGATTGCTTCTGCCACTCGAACTTCAGCGAATGCAGGCTCCTCCCGCCACCGCCATCTCCCCCATCTGCGCACGGTAGGAACTGCGCTCAACGCTTCGATGAGATACGACCACGGCCGCGCAGAGGGCGGCACGGACACGTCGTCAAAGACGCACAAGGCGTGCATTTCTCTCATGGCTAGGTCGTCTGGGTCGTCTGGGTGGTCGCTTACGTGCCGCTCCAGTCCTCCAGGCCAGCCTTGTATTGAGGGACCATGATCAGCATCATTGTCGCTCTCTTCCGCGTCGTACTCCATCTCTAGTTGGATCTGATGCATTGAGCGGCCAGCAATGACGGCTGAAGGATTGGGCATTGAGTGGTCGAGGACAAGCGGAGGGAGCTTCAACCCAGGGTCAAGAGCCGGGACACCAGGAGCCGCCATTGCCATTGTTGTTGGCACCGCATCACTTGTAGATGGATCGTTGATGCTCATTTTCAGCACGGCTCGGTAGAGTGACAAGCGAGAAACGACGGCTCAGCAGGGCTCACGGCGCATGTTGCTCCGTCACACATGTGGCAGGACGACAGCCCCAGACCCGAGAGACGACTGAATACCACAAGATGCTGACGCAAAAAGGGAACAGAAGTGGTGACCTCGGGGACTGGGGCATGGTCGTGTTTTTAACCTATTCAAGAAAAAGAGTACGGAGCACGGCAGCGAGGTATATGTACCATTTTGCCGCTCTATTGGCCTTGGTACACGTTGGCTAGCTGTGGCCCTGCACTCCCGCAGCTGCTGGATGCGCGTGGGGGAGGGGGTATGATATTAAGCTGGATCCAACTTGACTTTTGGGCCCGGGAGACCAACAAGCTCTGAGCAGACTCCGACAGCTCGGCGATGCGCCCCCCTTGCTGGGACGACTACCGCTGGCCTGGGCAGAGATTAGGTAAGTCTAGAGTAACGAAAACAGCTCCGAAGCACGGCTCCATCCGAGCAAGGACCTGGTCCCGCCGATTTCTCGCAGATATCTCGCGAGAATGGGAGCCGGCAGCCTGTTTTGGGGGCCGGGCTTGGGCGTCTCTGCCAGCCCTTTGGGGACATGGAGGGCGGGAGGGGCAGCAGAGGTAAGGCCAGCGACTACAGTATGAAGAGGGAGAGGGAAAAGACGCAACGCAACGCTCCATTACCCCGTACTTTGCTGCCGTCTCCGGGTTTTCGAGCTGTGGAGCCTCCCCTCGACCTCGAAGGAGCAGCGCGAGCATTTAACGGGCGCCCTTGTGCATATGTATGCTGCCCTTGGCGCAATGTCACATCCGCCGCTTCTTGGAATCGGTCTGCTTGCTGGAGGTACTATGTACAGCCAGGCAAAGCTCAGCAATGCAGTGTACATGTACTGTACAGGTGCAGTAATGGCATCCAACCTGACCTAGGCCGACTCGAGGAGCTTATTAGCAGGCTAGTAGCACAGCAGACGCACGCCCAAATACGAAGTGCTGCCGATTCGGATACAGCTCAGGCTGCCTCTCCCCCGCATTCGGTCCTCCTCTTCATCTATTTCTCCTTGGGCGATCACCCTCCCAGCTCAGCCCACCTCCCCCAAGCTTCCGTCCCCTCCCGTACCCCCGGTCTAATGTCTTAGGGGATCCGACCGATCGCATGGGATCCACGCCTACTAGCTACAGGAAAGCTCCGTGGAGCAACACACCTGCTGGACTGCGTTAACTGGCACACAGAATGGCTGACGGTGTGGTCCCGTGGGACGAGTTGGCTGTGTGGGGTAGGAAGCGAAGCTTTTTTTTTTCTCTCTCTCTTTTTTTTCTTCTTCATCTCGGCTGCCCATATCTACGGAGAGGAGGGAGTACAGGTACGTACCTGTATGGAGTCAGAGCCAGAGACGCCGTTTTATGCCGGTTTTTATGCACGCTGCTTGCCGAGCCAGTCTCTCCTCCGTGGGGGGAAGCGGATCATGCTTCGCTCATCTCATCTCCAGGGTCTGCCGTGGGGGGACGAATCCAAGCAAAAGGGCAGCCACCCTCTTTACGCCTGTGTTACTGGCGCTCCGGTATCTGGGGATGCCGGCCATTGGTGTAGTGGTGTTGATCCGCGTCGGATCGGTGCTCACGGTGTGGTAGTATATATCAGGCACTGCCCCCGTTGCGTGCGGCTATGTTAACGATGAAGCCCCCCCATGTAACGTTTTGAATTTTGTTGATATAAACGCCCTGCTGTTCAGACGTTCTCTAGTTCCTCTTATCTTATACCAGTAGCGCTCCAGGGCAAACCACTCTTCTTGTTCACTAATATCCATCTGGCTTACCCATCTCACCTTTTTATTTTACATCTATAGCGCAGTTCATATTCTACTTTTTGCCGCAATGACAGCTTCTACGGAAGCTAACGGCTTCTCCAACCACAATGGTTCAAGCCATAACTCTACCTCTACCCTACCGCTGGCTTCAGGGTTATACGTGCCTACCGTGGCATTCTTCACTCCTCAAGATACTATCGACGAAGAGACGACAGCAGCACATGCCAAGCGCCTGGTTGAAGCCGGCGTCACGGGCATCGTGACGCACGGTTCCAACGGCGAGGCTGTTCATCTTGATCACGCTGAACGACAGCTTATCAATCGCATTACTCGTTCAACAATCGATGCTGCTGGCCGGAGTGATATGCCCCTTATTGTTGGATGCGGCAGCCAATCTACGCGAGAGACAATACAGCTGTGCCGTGAGGCTGCCGAGTCTGGAGGAACACACGCCCTCGTCCTGCCCCCAGCGTACTACGGCAGCTTGTTGTCAACAGACCTCATAATGGTTCACTTCAAAGAAGTGGCTGATGCTAGCCCAATCCCATTGCTCATATACAACTTTCCCGGGGCGTGCAGTGGGCTGGATCTCAGCTCGGATACCATCTTAGAATTGGCTGAGCATCCCAATATTGTCGGCGTTAAGCTGACCTGCGGCAACACGGGCAAGCTTGCCCGTGTTGTTGCTGGCACACGTGGGACGACTTTCAGGACCTTTGGCGGTAGCGCCGACTTTGCCATTCAGACCCTGGCTGTGGGCGGGCACGGTGTGATCGCGGGATTAGCCAATGTGGCGCCAAAGGCCTGTGCTGAAGTGATGCGACTGTGGACAGAAGGCAAGACAGAGGAGGCGACGCTGCTGCAAGGGATTGTCGCTCGCGGCGACTGGACCGCCATCAAGGGCGGCTTTGTCTCTGTCAAGGCCGCGCTGATGAGATACTACAGCTACGGCGGCCAGCCACGAAAGCCTTGTGCCTTCCTGGAAGGCAAGGCCTTGGAAGCGCAAATGTTGGGCTTTTCTGAGCTGGTAGAGTCGGAGAAGAAGCTGGAGGCACTAACTTAGTCTCCACCACAGACCACGAGCAGGCAGACGGATATAATAATAAAGAATGGAGAACGCTATGGACGACGATGTTGACCGGCCTGTGGGGCGTGGGGGGAATCTCGAGTCTGACAAGGACAAGAGGCCAAACGAGCGAGGCGAGCGTGGTTGTGGAGGCTCTTTAGCGGGGACGGAATCCAGATCCATGTTGCCGTTGTGCGCTTTCTTTTTGACTATTGCATGCACTTTTGCTCACTAGCACGAAGAAAGGGCGAGAGGTCTTGGCCTGATGAGTTTCGCCGTCTGGGCTAGGGGAACTGAGCAGCATACGAAGCTCAACTGTGCTGGCTGCGAGACGCGGAGAAATAACCGGCATAACAGATATGGGTTTTTGCATGGTGGTTGGTTTGAATCTAGAGCTGCGCACTTTTTGTGCTTGATGGAGTGAGGTGGATGTGAGATACCTTTGGCAGAGCAGATGGCATTCCTAGATTGACTACTCGGGACTAGTTTTGGATACTGTGTAGAGAAGAACATAGTAATAATACGGAATTCAAGGAAATATTGCACAACAATGCTTTGTCTAGGAAGTTACTGATTCGATGAGAGAGAATGGAGAGAAAGGGGTTCAAGATAATCGTGTGTACAGCAACGGAATTGACGAATACGTATTCCATTTCCAATCATTCGGGTGCTCGTTTCTTGTTTTGAAGCGCTCTAGGCAACGAATATTCAATTCTTTTCTCTATATACATGTCAGGCAGCGGCGAGAAGCATTCTCTATCTAGCAACTCTCCCACATAGTCTATCAACTAAATCAACGTTACACTGATCTAAACCACACTTAGACCAGGAAGCCCTCCAGCAGCTTGACCAGGCCATACGCGCCAGGATCAGGACATTCATTCCATCCCTCGGCATTGACGTAGACTGATCGCCCCAGGCTGGCCTCCATGCCCTTTGTTGAATCTGAACCTTTCGTCGCGGCCTCGACGGCCTTCTGAACGTCGAGCGTCTCCGCCAGCGTGTTGACGAACGGTACAAGCGCATCAACCACGGTGCGGTCACCCGGCTGAGCAGGAGTATACTTGGCCAAGCTCTTGAGGGCCGCCTGGAGAGCAGTCGCCCAAATCTGAGGAGTGACGGTGGTCTTTTGGCTGCTGGCCTGGCCTTGGAGGCCAGAAGCCAGGGCGTTGATAAAGATGGCGTAAAGCGCGCCCGAAGTGCCGTCCATACTTGACTCAATGACTTGGGCAATGTTTCGGACAAAGTGCACGGTGTCAAGCTGCCCTGATGAAGAGACGCTTTCGAGATGCTTCAGCACGGCCTCGGCACCCGTCTTGAGGCAGAGACCGCAGTCTCCATCGCCCACAATGGTATCAAATTTGGTGACTTGCGGCTCTGCAGCAATGAGGCTCTTGAGAGCTGATTGCAGCTTGGAAGTAGTAAATCCAGCATCCACTATTCAGGTCAGTTACACGCCTTGTTTTGTTTTCGCGAAGGGGCAATGAAATTTGGAAAAGCCTTACAGTCAAGATTGCTGGGGGCTGAATCATCTTGGGAGGGGGTTTCCTCCTTGATCTCCGACTTGGTGGTGTCAATGCCATTAGCCCAGTTTTCGGGGCGGACGGCCGGTGACCAACCAGCAGCATCGGCGGGAGCATCAATCAAAGGCAAAATGGCCTCATTAGCCACTTTAAGAATCGTAATGCTGAATCCCAAGCCGTTCAAGCTGGTCATGTATGTGCCGCTAAGCAGCCTTGATGGCGTGATTTTATAAGAGGCATCGAGCTGGTCAATGACCTCCGTTGTGATTGCGCCGAGCTCAAGGGGGCTGATACCACCGAGATTGTTTACCATGACAACAACCTCTTCCCCAGACTTTACGTTGATGTAGGCGCGATCGCTGTCGGATTGGTCAAGGAGTTGCTTGAGCATGGTCTCGACGAGGCCCTTCAAGGTCGTCTTAACACGGCCGAAGCCTTCTTCGTTGTGAATGCCCATGCCGATTTCAATTTCATCGCCAAGCTCGTCGGGGGTGATTTCACGACCAGGAACATGGACATGAGCTAGAGAAGCGCCAACGGTGGCAAGATTCTCAGAAGCAAGGGTAGCGATTTGGGAGACCTGCTCCAGAGATTGTCTATTCGCAAGGAAGCCGGGAGGTCAGAAACAAGTTTCCAAACGAGAAATGCTGCTCTGTGTGAAATGGGACTTGAAACTTACCCCTGAGCAGCAGCAGCGGCCGCAATCTTCTGTACGAGGACTGTTCCAGCCAGACCTCTCCTGCCAATTCGTCCTCCACGTTTCCTGCCAACGCCAACGTCGTCTCCCACAACCAAAAGCTCAGTCTTGATGCCCTCAGCGCGAGCCTTCTCTACTGCCATGCCAAAGTGCAGCATGTCTCCTGTGTAATTCATAATTAAGACCAGCACGCCACGCTGTGGCTGCTCTGCACCCACGCGGCGAATTGCGCGAAAGACCTGCTCAGCAGAAGGAGAGGCGAAGACAGAGCCCGCAACAGCAGCGGTTAGAAAGCCCTTGCCGACGAAGCCCGCAAATGAGGGCTCGTGGCCGGAACCACCGCCCGAGATCAGGGCAATGGTAGGCTGAGAAGCAGCATCGCGAAGGAAGACGGTCTTTTGCGCGGCATCAAAGCCAATGGAGGGGTTGGTGTATGTGGCCGAGCGGAGGGCGGCATTGACGAGAGCAAGAGGCTCGTTGGCGAAATGCTTGGCTGAGACGAATGTTAGCCGGAACTTGGGAGTTTTAGTTTATGAAGACTGCGTACATGACATGGTGAGCCAGAGCAAGTTGTTGGTCCCTGTTTGCTACCTTTCTTTGTACTATGATACTCCAAGACAAATCGTATGGCGGGGTCGAGGTTGAGGAGAAGAGAAAACCAGAGGGGATTCGCAACATTCTCTCAGCTTCTTCCCCGCGCTGCGGTCGTGTTATATTTATCCAAAAGCTCGAGAGTTACCCCATTCTCGCAAGCGTCGGCCAACGGCTTGTTCCTTGCGCCTCGACGAGATCCATCGTGAATGGGGGCGACACGCTCCCACGCAGGGCTGTGGCATCGTGGGCTCGTGGCATGTTGCTTACCCTATAAATTGGCTGGTCGGATGGCGAGTTTGGTGGTGGTGACCCCCGTGTAGATGGAGAAGAAGAGGAGGGCGGAGGAGGAGGAGGAGGAGGAGAAGGAGAAGAAGAAGATGGAAGAGTATATCCCACGCCTACCTACTAGGTAGTTATTATTACGGCGTCGCAATCGGAGAGTACATAGCGACTAGAGGTAAGCCGCGGTTACAATCATCTATAATGCCCTGAATCGTCCCCAACGTGACCCCCAACGTGACCCCCAACATCTTCAACGCGAACCTCTTCCTTCAAGGCTTCACATCGTCAACACGGAGTGAGGGGAAGGTGGCGTGCAAAAATAATGAATGCCTGTCCGGCTTTATGCACGTTATGCTTAAGCAGCCACAATGTACGAGTACCTGTACGAGCATCTGTAATGTATTCCTTCGCATCTACAAGTACTCCACGAGGCCAGCCATCATGTGCTAAGCAGCCAATCCTACGGCAAACCCCCTCACCAGTGCGGCTCAATTGCAGTTTACGGCGCTGACTTGGCCATATTGAATCGCTATCATACGGAGTACTAGCAGGCTGATATTATATTATATTATATTAAAACACAGCACGGGCATGCGGGATTCCACAAAAAGACGCGGGGAGCCGAGGAATCGGATGCCATCTCCTGGGCCTGCCCTGCGGAGGGGAGTGTCCATTTCCCCAACTCTTTCCATGTGCTTCGCACGCCTGCTGTTGGGCCAACGCGACGCCCTAGCATTAATTTGATCACATCCACTGCCGAAAACGACGAGATATTGCCATCCTTGCATCCAGACGTGGCTGCTTCCAAGGGCCCCCTTTGCCTAAACGAGAGCCGGGGTGAGACGCTAGGGTCGTGAAGCCACAAGTCTGGTCATGCTGAGATGAAAGTGCCCTTGTTGCATGCAGTGGTTTTGGCCACAAGATCAAAAAAAAAAGGTTTGGTTCTTTTGGGCTGCTCGACTCTTTCGGATGTATGTCAGACAACGGTCGACGTGTCAAGACCCCCTACAGGTGGCTGCATGCATTCAGGTCAACGGTCTTAGTCTTACAAGAGAGAAGGCAAAAGAGAAACATGGTTTTCATATACGAGTACTAGTACCTGGACCCAGGGGGGTTGATTTACAAAACATCTGGCGCCAATAGGTGTCGTGGATGTACAAGTACGGTGAAGAAATGCAGTCTTACAGTCACCAGGCCTCCCCCACACTCTTGGAAGCCGGGGTGCCGTTTTGCCATTTTCACATTTTGCACACCAAACAACAGGGGGCTGCTTACCCTGGTATCTTGGATTGCATTGCTCCGTGTTGGGTAGAATATTCTGATTCAAGGCTCTGTTGTGCTGCCTTTGTGTCTATCATGCGGATTGGGTGTTCGACTGCATCGAGCTGTGACAGGATGTGGATAGTTGTACAAAGCTGCTTACGGAGGAGTGACAGATACGATAGACAAACAAGACAATTGTTGACAAATTTATATTTCAATCGCAATTCAGTTCATACTATCCTATAACCCTGTCCAAAAACACGCTGGCCATGCTATTTTATACATTAGACCATGTACAAGAGATAGACCTGGCCTAGCATTATCAAAGATGAAACCCAAATACACTGAAAGAGACAAATCCAACCAAAAGTAATCATGATGGCGAGACCACATGACGCCAGTGTTCCCTGTAACCTTCCCCGGAACGCCATATCCCAAAGCACCTTGTCACGGGCCCTACGGGTCGCCCTCGACTAGTCTGGAGGTTCTCGGAAGTTCCTCTTCTGGGATGACTCTGGGATTCTCATAGGTCCAGGCCATGTCATCCTGTCGGCCATTTGGAAACCAGCTTTGCTGGCTCAAATGCCAGGAGAGACATTCCTCGTACCTCGGGCATTCCCCGAGACGGAAGCAGTAGATGGCATTGGCTCGCGTGGGGCAGGCCTCCCTTATCTCCTTCTCCGTGGCCGTGGACACACCGATTAAGACCTTGGACCACTCGGTCCGGTACCAGCGGCAGTCAGTCATCTGGTAGACTGTGTGGCGGCAGTACTTGCAATGGGCATACTCGTGGAAACACATTGCGACTGGTCTTGTCAGGTTTGTGTCGTGATGGTATGGTTTTCAAGGGGCACGGTTGATCTGGTTATCCAGGGATGGCTTGTGGTGATTGGTAGGTGATCTTGAGAGACGATGTGTGATAGATGTTGTTTGAATTCTTTGGGCATATAAATGCAGTTGTGCTGAGAATCTGGACTTGGAAGACGTGATGTGGTGTGTAAAGAGTAGAGAAGATCGCTCAAGCTGGGGGGAAGCAGTAGGTTTATATGGAAAGGGCAATGGGCCATAACAAATGGAAAAAAGCCATCAAAGTATAAACATCCAGGTTCGTATGCATCTCCACGCAAATCAGTCGGACTCATCGAGAAGATTCTGTGCGCAAAAAGGTTGTTTGTTGCAAAGCATTTGCGCCCCAAAATGCAAAATTGACCTTCACCGACTATCTGGATGAAAAGTTACTACGCCACCTGTGAAGATTCGTACCTACCAGTCGGAAGATTGAATTTAAAAACTACAAGTGGAATGATCCGTAGTAGACCTCGTCAGGGTGTGGTTTCTTGACTAGATGGGATTATATGTGCTCCAATAGCGTAGTTGGGAGTTTTATAGCTTCGATACCTATCTTCAGAACCATGTTCGTTTTTGTGTTATTAGACTTGAGATAGTGCAAGACAACATTCCATACTGGAGGGTTTCCACTACGCATTACACCCATCAACATGAACAAGATGTTTATATATTGCAAGTGATATTAGTCTAGCCCAAAAAACGCCGCGCCCAATACCTTAACCTTGGTTTTCAGCTATTTGCTTACATGATGTATCTATTTACCCTTCTTCCCCTTCTTGGACTTCTTCCGAGAGTTGTCGCCGAACTCTTGGTCGTAGATTTCCGTTGCAGTCTGGCCTGCCTTTCTCTTCTGCTTGGCCGACTTGACGCTGACTACGACATTGGACTTTCCGTCTTTCGCGGCGCTGCTCACTTGTTTCTCAGCTTCTTCCCAGGCAGGTGCGTCGCCATCGATTTCATATCTAAAGAGTTACATGGTTAGCATTAAATGGCAAATAGGGTTTGTTTCGAAACTAAGATAGGGGATCGCTTACTGATCCAGAGGCAGAGAGTCAATCATTTCCCTCTGCTTCTGTCTTAGGGCCATGAGGGCTTCATCGCCGCCCTCCTCGAGTTCATCTTCGAGAGAAGTTTCAAGAGGAACAAACCGATCATCCACAATCTCGTCATCGTGGGCGCCACTGGCGTTCTCTCGGCTGACACCAATGTTCTCGGCCCTTGGAAGTTCGGCATCGGCCGCGGCTGTGACCAGAGAGTTGAAGTGCGCGGTAAACTTGCGGAGAATCTTGATGAACATGGCAAGAAGTTGCGAGCTTGGCATGGGCAGCTCTTGAGCAATCTCATCCACGCTCTTGCGTTGCAATCCAATGGCAAGGAGAATGGCCTGCTGGATGCCCGACATCGAGACATCGGATTTTAGTTTGCCAGTAAAGTAAAGGTTCGCAATAATAGGCATAAGATCCAAGATGACGTGGTAATCAAGCATGCTGTTCGCGTAGGATGTCAATCGCTTCAGATCAAAGGGTGACATGAGCGCATCCAGCTCGGTCTTGGTCAGGGAAGACAGAGGAGTGGCATCAAGCTGTGCACCGGTATTTGCTGACTGGTCAATGCTTAACGCAACAGAAGCGGGAAAGGTCCTAAACTCGTAGGATAGCAGAGAGAGAAATCTTTTCTGGAAATCCCTGGAGAATGCACCGAGCCATGTCTTATCGCCGCTGCCATCAAGTGGCCTAAGCATGACGCAGGTATGCTCGCCAGTTAGGTCGTTGGCAGTCTGTCGTAGGTACACGGGTGAAAATGAAGAGTATTTCCAGAACTTGTGTAGCTCCTTGGTCAAGCCATAGCTGACACCGATGTAGTCGAGTCGCTCTGGCCTCTTCTCCCACAGCTTGGAAAAGAGAGGGGCCATGTGCTTATCATCTCTGACAGTGATTTTTTCTTTCAACAGAGATTCCTTGGCCAGCTCGGCATCCGTCGCCCGAACAGCCCCATTCTCCATGGTCTGGTCGTCGTCCTCAGACAGATTGGCAAATCGGCCTTCATAGTAATCGACGAGAAGCTGCATAGCTCGCTTTCCGTATCCCATGCCCATGTGGTTAGGGTTGGTTGCGATACGAACAACGCGGGCGCCGGAGAGCGAAGCAAACTCTTCATCCTGGAATTGCTGACTAACAAGCCAGGGAATCAAATCACCATGAGGCCTCTCTCCTCGGCTCAAGCTGTTTAACACACTCTGTCGGCTAATCTTTCCTTCCAGGGCCACTTGGATAACGCAGAGAGGCTCAGGAAGTCTACCACTATTCTCTGAGGTAGGAGCAGTAAGGACAAACAGTTGATGTGCGGGAGCATCGCTCATCAGCTGTAGGTCATCGGGAGAGTTCTTATAGTGGCTGGCAACGTAAAGCGCTACCATCTGTTGGAGGAATGCCTCGGGGATGGGATGGAATGAGAAGAGGGTGTCACGGTTTACCATGAGGAGCTCACATAGAGACGGATCTGGTGAACCACTGGATCCTGCTTTGGGCAATGTTGCGTCCAGGCATAGAAGCTTGTTTAGCCACTTTTCGACCGAGTCACCTTGAGCATATCGAATCGGCTCTGCAAGGGTGATCTCGCGTAGTTTTCGGCTGGCTTGGAATTCCTCCGACTTAGAAGCCCTTCCAGTGGATCGATCGGCAACTTCGGTGTCATTGTCCGTTGCGGTCCGTCGAGATTGTTCTCGCAGCTGTTTGATAAGCTTCAGCGATAGCGATCGACCAGTACCCTCGTATCCGTTGATCGTGGAGGCCATGAAGACCAAATAAGGTCCCATCAGCTTTCGGACAAGAGGCAAGGGGATAGCAGCCGCTTCATCAATGACAACCAATTCGGCCTGGCCAAGTACATGGGCATCCTGGGGGCGAATATACTGGATTGTCTGTCTGTGCTGCCGGTGGATGTTTACACGAACGATGGCTTTGTTGAAGTCGGGATTCGTGCTCTGGATGATGGAGTAATCCGCATGATCGGCATAGCCAAGAGCATCAAAGCCCTTGAAGACAAACTCGAAAAGTGTTTTCAAGTTTTCAGGAGATGGCGATGTAATGAAGATGTTGCTGTATCCGTATGCCACAGCAGCAGCCACAGCAACTCCCATAGCGGCCGACTTTCCTCGTCCTCTGGCAGCTGTCAACGCAACGGTGCTTCGCAGAGTCTTCTCAGCAATGGCGTCGGTGAAAGTCAGCAGGGCCTTTGCCTGATCAACGGTTCTTGCGAGATTGATCAATGATCCAACAGGCTGGCGTTCCTGGTTATCGTCTTTGATGGATTCCAGCTCCAACATCTGAGGAGTCTTGGGCTGATCGGCATCCGGAGGTGGCAAAGCCCTGACATTCTTGCCGCCCGAAATGGGAAGCACATTCAGCTCGTCGTCAATAACCAAGCAAGAATCACAGCCTCCCAAAGACAGAAGGAAACGCTCATTGAATCTCGCTACGACATCATCGTGGGCCTCCGTTCGGTATTTTGAGTGGGCATCCATGGACAAGTTATAAAGCTGCCGCAAACTGTTCATTCCCTTGAGCAGCATAATGACTAAACCGCCACCCTCAACAGTTTCGATCGTTCGAGCCAAAATGTTGGGCGTAACGGCTTCGAAATCTTGCAGAATGCACATGCCATATGTGTTACCCAAGATCTTGTCGGTCTCCTTGTAGTAGGTATAGCGGATGTTGTGCAGAGAGACAAAGAGTTCGAATGGGTCCTCAGAGTTTGCTTCTCGGATTCCGCGTCTGATTTCCTTTTTGATTTTGTCTTCTCGCTTCTTCCGGTGGCTGCATGCAAACCATAGTCAGATACTAGGCTCTGCCAAAAGGCAAAGAAAAAATTGGAAAGGCATGATTTCAGGCTTACCTTGTGAATCCCAGCAGCTTCTTCTTGTATGCCCACAAGACAGACTTGTTCTGCTTAATGTCTACCATGGACATGATATAATGGAGTCGGACAATCACATCCTTGGCCTGGTCTCCGACCACGACGAAAAAGCTTCTCTTCTTCTCCTGTAGGCCATTTCGAATCAGCGCGCCGATGCGCTCGTCACTGTAGGCAGGTCAGCTATGTTGCGACAGTATAATATGAGCACTTTTGCTGATCAATAACTTACACTTGCTTGCGCTGCATCTTGCGAACACTTTGTCACAGCCAATGGTCTGTGGTAAAGAATTGCGCAAGAATTGCTGTCTCCAGACAGTTTATTGCGGGACCTCTTGCATACAAAACACCGTCTCAGCCAAAAAATCCAAAAATTTGGCGGTGGAGCTGAATTCTGCCGGGCGGTGAAAACTATTAGCTGCTCTAGTGCAAAATCCGACCGAACTCCTCACCGAAACGTTGACCGAGAAGGTTTAGTACTTAATAGCTGGGATTGCTATTTTATATGGAATGGACAGCTGAAGAGCAAGGAAATACATCATTTTGGGCTGTTACGAAGTAAATTTGAGCAAATTGGGTTATTCCAAGCCTCTAATGTATCCAAGTAATTTAGATTTTACGGAGATTTATCTACTTGTCTGAGGAGAGGTGTGATTAGGCCGTAACATATTCGGTTCAAATCCTAAAAGATATACGAAGAGAGAGCAGTGCAAGATATTCATCAAATGTGTTGATACATGTTCATCTTATTCATACTAATTTTACAAATTCGATCTAACGGGAAATGGCCGTGTCCCCGGTCATGCACCACAGCACATGACAACTGTTATCTTCGCCAGTCTATGGAAGAGAAAGAGTCTCAGGAGCGCGTTGCGTAACTCATGGCTGACAAAAAGCCGTCAACCCCAGACAGACACCAACCCAAGAACCAGTCAAATCCCAACGCAATATAGGAAAACAATAAATGTGAATGTCTACACGGCCCAAGCACAGCTCCTTAGGTTCGATCCAGCTTGCGGCGCAGGTTTCTTGTTCGCTTCATCAACTTCTTGTACTTCTTCTTCTTCATCTTGAGTTTTCGTTGTCGCTTAACGCTGATGGCGTAGAGGTCGCGCTGACCGCGAGTTTGGTCAAAACGCAGTTGGCGGACAGCCAGACGCTCCAAGAAGCTCCGGGGCTGCTCGTCCTGGATAATTCGAGGGCTGTGGGCGATGATCCTGATCTGGCCATCTGGCTCTGTGGACTCCTCAATGGTGAACATGGCCTTGTAAACTCGGTGGTGAGCTGCCTCTTCCAAAGCCTCAGTCTCAGCCGCAGCTGCATCAGCCTCAACGCCTTGCTGCGCCTCAGGCAACGGAGGAGGGCGGAATGGCAGGAATTCTCCAGACATGGTATCGACCTGGAGGTAGATGCTCGACTCGGTTCCGTCGGGATTCTTGACATCAACTCTGTGCATACCATCGCCAGCCCCTTGATCCTGAGATCCTATTGTGACCTGCGCCATGGGGCCTTCCAGCTGGTCGATGGTGTCAGAGAGCGTTGAAACAGTGTCCCGTATCCTGCTCGACTTTGATCGAGGCGCAAATATGGATGCAAAGTGCTCGTCTGTAACAGTCCTGGGCATGGTCTGTGTGATGGAAATAGGACGGTGGAGTGAGAAGAAGCTCGATAAGCTCAGGGCTATCACTCAAGTTAGCTACGATGAGGATCACTTCGGATATGGCGTCTGCGGCACACACCTTCCTGGGACATGTGGTGAGTGCTGGGGACACTGGGTAGCTTCTTGAAAGCCGCATTTCGGTCGGATGATTCCTTGGTCTTTCGTTTTCTGCTGCCTTTGCTCTCTCCGCGAGAGGTAGATGCCGGTACCGATTGGCCGGCAGAGATATCGTTGGGCTCATCGGATCTTGAGGGCTTCGACGAGGAATAGCGCCGCTGAGGGCGATTCAGAATGAAGCTGGAGGCTGCGACCTTTGGGGCCGACGCGGCGAGAGAAGTCAGCCCACTTGCCCCCTGAGGAGCAGCGGCCACCGCGCGCCGCACCGATAGAGGCAACATTGCGTCGCCGGACTCGGTCTGCCGGGCAGATGGAAAATAGAGAGGAGCGAGACGAAAGAGGTCGATTCGAGCGCTGAGGCTGAACCTGGTGATGTCGATTGTGTTTCGTCAAAGCCCGGACTTGGCCGCTCGTTCGGCAAAACGATTTGCAAGGCGGCAAAAAAGAGGGATGAGTCAGCCGACACTAAGCCCTCTGTGGTCTCGGACGAGGACTGAGTAAGCCCTGCGCTTATCGTGGATTCCGATGCTTTCAATGTTCTTATCAGATATCAGATCTGGATGGGAAAAGCCGGGGGATGACGAGAGTTAAAATGGATCTCTCAAAGGACGAGGCATTGATAACTAATTCGCGGATTGCGCCCCTACAAATATCGCCCGCTCCTGTTGTTTTAGTCCGGGTTTCGTCATATTCCCCCTGAACAAGGCTTATCTAAACCCCCATCATCGGACCCGATCACAAGACCGCATCAACGTCAGCAAGGCTCAGGGGGGCATTGACATGCTACATTCGGAGTACATTTGCATCTATGTCAATGCACTGGTGCAGCTGAGTTGAAGCGATACGGGGAGCATTATTATATTAATAAAGAAATAACAAAGCATCAGACATAAGTGATGATGTGAGGTGAAAATGCACTGTGTCGTCATGCATGATGATTATCGTGAGGTACATCGAAGTTACCGCATTGAGGAATCATCTCTAGCCCTCTATCTTGTCTTCTTTTCCCTCTAACGCAGATAAAAGCAAAGCCACATCAAAACAGTCCCATACCTGGGAGAAACAAAGAGAAATTTAGGTGGCTGGGGCAGCGACCAATTCGTGGTCCTTGCTCTTGTTGCCGCCCTTGCTGTTGACCCAGCTCAGGTAACTGTTCCAGCCAATTGATATGACGTTGGCAAACAGCAGACGGTACTGCAGAGGCAAAAAGGTGAAGTTGACGAATTGCACAGCCGGCCAGAGCACCCAGTTGGCCTTGAGAGCCGACCACCAGGTAGTTTCCAGGCGCTTCTGGGGGCTTTTACCCTCCATGGTGGCCATGCTGCCGAGGAAGACTCCAATCATGACGGGAGCAAACAGCAGCTGGTCAGCCGCCACACGCGCCGCCGTCTCAACCCGAGCATTCCTGAAGGTGACGCGACGAGCTAGGAAGCCCAGCCAGGTAGTCGCAACGGGCCCAAAGACACCTGCAATCCGTTGGGTTAGAAAAAATTTTTCAATGGATCTGTGGTGGTGCTGGCTGGAGAGAGAGGAGAGAGGTGGGTTTAGGCAGCCAAATAAAACCTACATCCACCGTAGAGCGCCATGCGACCAGTTCGGGAGACATCATGGCCCTTGGCGCCCCTTTTCTCGACCAGCTGCTGGGCGGTGATATCGCCAGTAGCAAACAGGACTGCAGTCGTCACGCCCTGGGTGAGATACGGACGGGCTGCGAGCCTTCCATTGTACCTGCGCTCATGGTCAGAAGCCAGATCCTCAAAGTGAAAAGATCGTCTAGCGGTGGCAAACTTACCAACGAAAAAAAGAAGCCATGACGAAGGAGAAAAAAACACAATCTATGCCTCTAGGAGAAACGCCAGCACCAATTTGCAAGGAAAATTGAAGAAAGAATTGAGTAGTCTTGGCTTAGGAGTCGATGAAGGACAGCGGCCAGTCTTTATAAAATGATGCCCGAATTCGCAGTAGTTTGCCAATTTGGGTAACTCCTCTCACTAGCAAGGCTGGGGGGACCGATGTGCGGAGCTGAACGAGATGGAAATCAACAACCCCAGAGACGAGATCAAAGAAATCTGCGGAGTGGACAAAATGGAGGATTGAAACGTTCCAAGCCTAGGGATGTGAGAAGAAGGAAGACAAAAACGAAAAGGTGGGAGAGAAATTAGAGAGTAAAAAAGAGACCTGGTGGTCGATCATTGGAGTTGGGTGTACAAACGGCCTGCGTAGGGGGTAAATCTCGCTAAAACTTGGTGTTAGTTAAGCTCGTCCAAGACACGGCTATCGCGAGATTCTCCATGGGGCACTCCAATTACTGCTAGTAGAAGAGCACCTTGCCCAAATAGTAACCTCCGTCCTCTCCATTGTTCATCTCTGCGGAGTTTGAAGTGTGGCATATCAACGGATGTGTCAAGTAATCAATTCTTAAAGAGCTCCAGCATGATGATCAAACATCATGTCTACCTAATTTCCATGATAACGCTACTAGTAACAGAGCATCAGCTCAAGGTATCTTTGTGTCCAACAACGCCTATTCAAGCCAACCAGCCAGCCATATATTTCCAATTCATCATGAGTCGTTACAGCGTCAACCTGACAGTTATTGCTTCTTCCCCCGAGCAATGAGCTTCTCATATAGTTCAGTCACTACGTTGCTCCACTGCTCGCCCTCAGCTCCCACACTCTTCCCAATCCTAGTACTCAAGAAATCCCCAACCTTGCCAACATTGAATTGCTCCCCATACACCACCTTGGCCTCCGTTGAAACATCCACATTCACTCCCTCCGGCCCGCTAGACCCTTTGAGGTTGAAAGCCACCTCGACTCGCGTTTCCAAAGGTGCTAACAAGAGAGAACTAGTAACGGCGATGCTGGAGTCGGATGTTTTGGTAACCTTTGTTGGGAACGTTACATTGATGCGTCTGATCTCACGGGAGATCCATTTGGATTTGTCCCATGCAGCCCCTATTACGCTGAGGAGATGAGACAGCTTTGTGCGGCTCTGTGACATTGCGCGGATGTGTTCGCGTACACACTGCAGGAGGAATTCATTCTCCACAGTCTTGGGCAGAGGATTGACTGCACGGCTATCAGCGATATACCACAAGTCTATGGGCGAGTTTGGCTGTCGAGGCTGGAAGGACGTAATATCGAGGACAAGTTCAATCTCTCGTTTGTATGTCATCGAGAGCGTGGACCCCGCGATGCCCGTTACGGCCCATCCATGTTGCTTTTCGATGGCCTCCACTCGCGCTATAATTGAGTGTTAGCTTGCTCTGCTTTTATCACAATGCTTACGGATATATGTATACACCCATACCTTTGAGATTGTTAACCTCGGTGCTGGTCCAACCACGGCATTCCTCTCTGATTCGTTCAGAATCTTGTATTTCTGCAAGGCACTGCGTTTTTCGTGCCGTCAATTCCCCTACATCGGCTTCTGACGCCTCAAACTCTTGTCGAAGCTGGGCAATAAGCTTCTTCTTCTGAGCAATGTCATCGTCCAGACTGGTCAATTCTTCTCGGGCGGCTTGAAGCTCGGCAGGGTCGCAGTCTGCTAGTTCCCTTGCAGCTTCTTCGAGGTTGTTGCTTTCTTCCAAGAGCGATTCGTATCGGCTCACGAGATTGGGCATGACAGTTTTCAAAAGGTTCTCCTGCTCTTCAACAACTTTGAGATCGCTATTCATACCGTCAGAAATACTGATAAGGCCTTCGTTTAGTCCGTCTTGTAGCTTCATCCGCCACTCGTACCACATCGCCTTGCTAAGGTGACGGGCATGAGTCCTGACGTTCTTAAACTGATTGTCCATCAATGCCTTGACGTCGGGAGTAGCAGATATGTACTCTCGGAACAGTGGAGGATTATCTTCAAATGTCTCTGTCTCAATCTCCTTCACTATTCTCCGTCCTTCGGATATGTACTTCTTCAGCTCTCGGCAGGAATGCTGATATAGTTCCAACATGGGCACGGTACAGGCGCCAGCCATGACACGCCGCTCTAATGACCGATCTTCCTCCCCATCTGGCAGAAGGCCGCTCTGAGATGTCCTCGGTGCAATTGTGTGGCGTCTCTTCGTCGTATTAAGCTCCATGAAACGGATTGAGGTCAAGTTCAAAAAGTCCTGAAGGTGCATCTGGTTTTCTTCAACTGTCTCCAAAACCTGAAGGTCGTTGCTCGCCACAGGTTGGTGAAATTGGATATCATGAACCGTCTGGTTATCTTTTGTAGCCCTGGGGTACTTCTGGCTCAATAGAGTGCTGCTATCACCGCCCTTTAAAGGAGATGACATGGCTGCTTGAGGCATCTTTCCAGCAAAGTCAAAGCTTAGTCGGGTTGACCTTCGGAGCCTGCCAGTTGTCTCTTCCTTTGAAGGAGGCTGCTGAAGTCTTACATTTTTGACAGGGCTGCCCTGGCGACCCTTCAACCTCTTGACGCCATCATTCTCCTCCGCTTCGTCTTCCTCGTCCGATTCAGCAGGCCGCTTGCCCAAAAGGCCTCTGGCACTGCCAATGTGGAGGCTCTTTCGACCTCTCAGCGGATTTCGTTTGGGACTCATGCTATCAATCATCTCCCTAAGGTTGAGTGTAGCATCTCGACCATCCGATTTCGACCGACCTCCTTCATCACTTTCATCAACCTCTGCCGCCAAGTCCTTGGGGTCGCTGAAAGCAACAGCGCGTTTTCCAGGAACAAATATGCTCGCTGAATCGCTCAAAGACTCTCGCCGGTCAAAAATGGCTGCAACCTGGGGTGATCCTAGGCCAACTCTGTCTGCACCAACTCCAGAAGGTTGCCGAGGAGTAGAGTCCTTCTGCGGTGTTGCTTTTGTGGCATTCTTTCGCGCTGATTTCGCAGGTGAGGGTGTTCGGCTTGCGCTCTGAGATAGCGAAGTTCTAGACGCGGATCGAAGAACCCGGCTCTGTGATGTGGGCGTTTGTGTCTTTGTCGACGATAAAGTTTGTCGAGGAGTGGTTGAAGCTTTAGGGGTTGTTGAAGCTTTAGGGGTTGAAGTTTTGGGGGTTGCTGAAGCTTTAGGAGTTGTTGAAGCTTTAGGGGTTGAGGCTTTAGGGATTTTTGAAGCTTTAGGTGTTGTTAAAGCTTTGGGTGTAGTTGATTTGGATGTTGCAGATGGCTTTGGTGTAGTCGAAAAATTCGGCCTCAGCGGAGTTGTTGAAAAATCAAACAGAGGCTCCTTCGGTGCTTGAGGAGTGGCAGATTGAGCTGGATCTTCTCGCACAGGCTGAGACTCCAACGCTGTGGATGCTGTCTTTTGGAGAGGAGTACGTTCCTCGGTAGATAATTGCGATGCGGTTTCTTGCTGAGGGCTCTCTGGTTTATCTGTTTGGGATCCGAAAAGGCTCTTTCTTAGGACTCGGGAGGTATTTTTTATAATCCCGCCAATAGCAGTGGTTAAATCCATGCCGGTTGTGGCATCCTCATCGCCATCTTCATCTTCATTATTGGCCACATTCTGGTTAGCACCAGAAAGAATGTTTCCAAGGCCAATAGTCATGTCCATTGTTGCATCGTCATCCAAATTCGAAGTCTTGTTCAATGTTTGGCGCCTCGTTGCCCCGTTCTGCTCTCTCTGTTGACGTGCTAACAGCCCCCCCATGATACTGGTGAGCTCCATTGACATTTCTTCGTTTTGGTCAATCTCGGAATCAATATCTGGTAGGTCAGGATATTGAATACCCCCTATCGCAGTCGTGAATTCCATCGTAGCATCTTCCATAGCGCCATCGTCCAACTCACCCGATTGTGAAGGTGCAGCATTGGTTCTATCATTCGAGAGAATGCCACCAAATGCACGAGTTACGTCCATGGAAACCTCTGGTTCTTGCTCCCCATCGATGCCTCCAGCCCCAGACGGCTTTATAATTTTCCCCATAGCAACGGTTATATCCATGTCCATATCCATATCCATCTCTGTGCCATCCTCGTTGTGTTGATCTACCGGTGACTTTGTAGATTCCTTGTTCCCACTAGCCGGGGGCTGCTGGTTTGCTTTTCTCACCCAACCAAGGGAGGGGATGATCTCTTCACCATCGTCAGAATCACCGTCTCCTAGTTGCTGGGTTGCTGCCTGTCGGGCAGCCATGCGAAGAGCCTCATCAAGCGTAGATGATTCTTCTAGGTCGTCCAAAGTTCTTTCAGATGCCACGGTTGTACCAGTAACCTCTTCCGTCTCGACGCTCATCATTGTTCCGTCATCAGAATCGCTGTTGGAGTTCTCTTCTTCTTCCACCTCTTCCTCATCTGTGGCAATCTCTTCCACTGCATCTGCAGGTTCAGAATCAGAGCTATATATAATCGAGGTGGTGTTATCATCTCGGCTTTGGATATCATTCTGCGCGGCGAGCGAACTCCGCTTCCCTTTCGTGTTCTGGTCGTCGGCAGGGAATTGAGGGTCCGTGTTTCGGGCATTCGATCCCGAGTTTGATTTTCTTCTAGACTCAGCCGAATTTTTCTGCATGTACTCTACTTCGTGAAACGTGTGCAGCGTTGCTTCTGCGGCGAATGAGACTCTGCGATTGGCCAACGACTTGCGGCGAGCATCTCGCCTGTCCCGCTCTTCTCTCTCTCTGGCGGCGGCTTGTTGTTCCTCCTCTGTCCTTATGGCAATTTTCGATCCGCTTAATTCATCCTCCGGCGGGCTAGGTGCTGGCACGCCTACTGACTTTCTGGGTAATTGCGATCGTAATGGTGGAATTTCAGGTAGCGGAGAAATACTGGGCTTGAGAATCGAGCGAGGCAGCTTGGGTGGCACAGCAAGCGACTATATTGAAGGTCAGAAACACTATGGGAGTTTGCACAAGGTAAAACAATTCATACTGCACGTCTGTTCCCATTCCCTTGCCTGAGCGCATCCAGTCCGCCTGGGCCCATGCTCTTGCTCCGTGATTTGCGACTGGCAGCCATTGACTCGCCAACATCAATCGTGGCATTTTCCTTGTGCGAACGATTTGAAAGCTCTGTGTGTATGCCGATTGACTTTCTAGTACGGCGCGTCGCCGGCATAGTGGACTCGCCAGGCGCAGACATTTTGCTGATTGTCGTGATCCTGTCACGATTGCCCGAAGCAGGAGTTCCAGCTTGAATCACAAAAAAGGACCCGATGACCGCGTTTGTTTACTTCCCTGGGGGGGTAACGGTACGTACTCCATTGAGTTCAGCCACACTTGGCCCAGCCACTGGGAGTGGGCACTTGAAGTCAAGTTATTCCCCACCATTGAATTGGCAGTGGCGCTGAAAAGTCGCATCACGTGCCGATAAAGAGAGCCCCATTATTTGACTCGCCTAATCAGCCAATCTAAATTTTGCAAGCCCTAAGGTGGGAAAGTGGCCCGAAAAAAGTGCGCCGTTGCCCTACTCCTCCATTCTGTGCAAAACCATCGACATTGTCTTCCCACCCTCTACGACACGCCCTCTAGTTACGGTACCTCTCCGGAGAAGGATAATTCAAGATGTCAGTTTTGCCCGACAGCGCTGCGACAGCTCCCGACGAATATTGCCCGTTACTAACATTCATGCCAGGGCGACCGAGTTGACCGTCCAGTCGGAGCGTGCTTTCCAGAAGCAGCCTCACATCTTCTTGAACTCCAAGACCAAGACCAAGAGCGTCCGACCGGGCAAGGGTGGACGACGATGGTACAAGGATGTTGGTCTGGGTTTCCGTACCCCCAAGACTGCCATTGAGGGCAGCTACATCGGTACGTGCGAACAAATGGTTGAAATTGGACGGATTCGAAATTCGGCGAAATGGAAAAGATTCGAGCACACGAATGCAGGAGATGGGCGCAAATCAGGGCAACGCGACGACAACGAAATGGACACGCACTGAACATGATCAATGGAGCTGGAGTTGCTGACTTTGGGATGATATAGACAAGAAGTGCCCCTTCACCGGCCTCGTCTCTATCCGTGGCCGTATCCTGACCGGCACCGTCGTTTCCACCAAGATGCACCGAACCGTCATTATCCGAAGAGAGTACCTTCACTACATCCCCAAGTACTCTCGTTACGAGAAGCGACACAAGAACCTTGCCGCCCACGTCTCTCCTGCTTTCCGTGTTGAGGAGGGTGACCAGGTTACCGTTGGCCAGTGCAGGCCTCTCAGCAAGACTGTACGTTTTACTCCTCTTGTCCGATGACACATTTTGATGCTGATGCGCTCTCCCCTTAGGTCCGCTTCAACGTCCTCCGCGTTCTGCCCCGAACTGGCAAGGCGGTCAAGTCGTTCACCAAGTTCTAAATTGGGTTTCTCTACTGGCATTTTTGGCGTGATAAACATCAGGGGGGAATAAGTCATCCCCGCTGGAGGGTCGGCATGGGAAGTTGCTTTACAAAATGAGTTGTAGACGCAATCGTGAATAAAAAGGATTCATGACCACGATCTCGACGTCTCAGGATTGTTTACGACGCTTAATTCGATTCCCAATCATGGAGCGCGATGCAAAAGAAATCTTGATGATGAGGCCCTCAGGTGATGAATGAATAAAAACCCAATGTTTAAATATCAACAAAAGGTTTCTCGTTACAGTGGAAGCAGTGATTGCACAACAGGGAAAATATCGCGTGATACCCACGCGCAGGGCTTACTTGGCTACATTTCTTGACGCCTGTATATAATGTGCCTATAGTAGCCTGCGTAGATGGCTTCACGAGGGGTGTGAACATGTCCATCTCTTTTCATGTTTTCCTCCCTAAGATTTCGATTGACTGCTTGTCTTGTAATGAAAAGCCCCTTGCACACAATCATGGATATACAGTAATAATGCACGTTGACATATGCGCCAGGCTCCATAAAATTGCACAGTGCACTTCTGTCACATTATGTAATATTCACACCCTTGTCAAAAGCATCTCCCGAACCTATTCTGTTGGGGGACGTCAGAGCCACCTACTCCGTATAAGCCAAATAAAGATCGGATACCCCTGGGTCGCTTCCTGCGGCTTCAACTCACTCTTCATCATGGGCTGGCTACCTTCTATCTTTGGCGGCGACGCTTCGAACCCCCTCGGAAAACTCGACCCCAAGCTTCGCGAGTTTCTGGAAAAAGAATCGCCGGTCAGATACATCCCCAACCAGCGGGCAGCATCAACACAGCGGCAAGATGCAGGCGCCGCGGCGGAAACAAAGCCAGAGCCGGCCGCGGTCCCAGCCGCAAGTCTCTACCAAGACGGACGATATGCGCATCTGTGGAAGAACTACAGACCACTAGCAGAGGTCGAGGAAGAGACATCGACCGATCACGATAAGCTCATGTCAGTCCTGGAGGGGTACAAGGAGCGCAAGGCGGCAATCGCCAAGGCTGGGCTCGAGAACTGTGCGCCGCAGCAGGAGGAATGGATCAACTGCATGAAGAGCGGCAGCTGGGAGGATCAGCTGCAAATGTGCCGACATCAAGTACGGCGGTTTGAGAGATGCTACACCATGCAATCTGTATGACAACCTCACCACGATGTATCATACGAGGACGATACTGACGGTGAATTCCACAGAGATTTCTAAGAGCACTAGGATATGGATCCGTGGCCGGGCGACCAAGCGAAGTCGATGAGGATATCCAACTCCACGCGGATGCGCTGTTCCAAAGAATGCTCCAACACGAGGCCGAGGTCGAAAAGGCCAAAGAAAACGGCACGCTTATCCCGACTTTCGACCCTTCACTCCCGAAGACGAATGCCGCCAACACAACCAACATAAAGCCATCCGAAGAACTTCAGAAGCAGTGGAAAGAGAAGTTGGACCAGCTGCCAGAAGACGAGAGACCTGCTGAAGAGGCTGCTCTAAGAGCTGACTTGCAAGCCAAGGCAGACGTTGCGCGAAACGTGAAGAAGATTTGGGACGCCAAGAGGGAAGAGAGAGAGGTGCGGCGCGCAGAAGGCCAGGCGACATTCTCAGACACAATTGCTGCTTTGTTCAGCAGAGGGAAATGATATTGCGGATAACGGTTGTTCATGAAGGGTTTCCTTGTTGGGTTCATTTTTTTTACATATATTTGCTTTTGGTGTGTATGGACTTGTATAAGCCATCGCTCAGTTCTTTTTTTTTTTTTTTTTTTTTTTTTTTTCTTCATGGGGTGAATGTAAACTACGGCATCTGAGCGTGGGTGGGATCTCATGTATCAAATCATTATAGACTATAAGGATTTCAAGGCGTGACAAATGGCATACTGTATCATTGAATACTAATAACTATTTCTCTTGAGAGCATACAATGCTCCCTACAAATTGATTTGAAGTTGCCTTTTGTTTCAAATACGCAACTAGACAGACCTCCATTAGCACTTGGATGGAATCTCTGCCCTTCTTTAGTATTCTCTTCGTTGGTCAGTATTCAATCTCCTTGAGCTTCTTCTGACAGTTTCCGTCTTTCTTGAGGGCATACCAATTGAAACTCCATGAGAGGGAACGTTGCTCTATACCCACCCCGTAGCCTAGTAACAATTTTTCCATATCCTTACTATCTATCAAAAAGACGATATTCAATCACAGCTCAAACTTTGACCAAGACAGGACCAGATTCTTCCGTAGGAACATCTTGATAATGCTCTGAGTGACCAAATCCTTCAACAAGAAGCATACGGTTCCGTGGTCTAGTTGGTTATGACATTTCGTTAACAGTTAGTTGACACCACCGAAAAGGTCCCCGGTTCGAGCCCGGGCGGAATCACTTCTTTTTTGCTTTTTGGCCCAATTATCACGATAGTTCGTTTTCCTTTGTCTACTTTTCCATTTTAGTCAGCGACGTTGAAGATAATACTGACGTCAATCTTCCAGTGAGGCGAGTTGGTTGCAAATAGAGAAAGAAGGTTGGTGATGGACTAAATACCGTGAGTCGAAGGAACGGAATAGGAGGAGTTTATTAGAAACAGGATTCTCTTGTCATTCTACAATACTCCTTCAATGGCCAATGTATAGAGCCTAACGAGCCACCAGAACTATAGAGACGACCAAGTCGAGTAACGGTGTCAGAGAACCCTACTATGAAATTATTCTCGGATCGAATCGGAATGGAAAGCAGATTGACAGCTGCAACCCACTGATAATTTAGTAAGAGCATTCAGATCCATGTATTTCAAGGATGATATGAATTGATTTACAGGACTAGGTTAGCAAACACTGGGTATTCTTCAAGACAATCTTCTCAAATGTCACGTTTCGTAGCACGATGGATTACTCAATAATATGGTGAGATTTATCGATTATATATCGACTATCCTCTCCATACTACTGGCGCGAGAGCCGCGCAGCTTTGAATCGGCTAATGGGTTCCTGATCTTCCTCGTCGTGTATGGGTTGGATAGGAGATTCATCCGGTTTGAGGAACCCACCTTCTCGCTGGATGAATTTTCTGCGCATCCGTTGATACTCATCAGCGACCTCTTGGTGGCTCATCATATCGTTGACTTCGTCAGGAGCAACGGCAGCAGCCGTCGAGTCCCGTTCGACCAGTTTATCGGCAATTGTAGCGCCTTCTGGGCCAGTTGGCACTGGCAGTCGATCCTCGTCGACAAATTTCGGCCGGATATCCAAGGGTCCTTTAGGAACAGCACTTGCTGAGTCGGTATTATCCCTGGTCTTCTTGAACCGTGACGCTCTTTTTGCTGGTTGGGCTTCAGGTTTGATCGGCTTTGAAGAGCTGCTCCGTTCCACAATAGTATCGCTTAACGGGTCGACAACGTCCTTCTTCTTCGTCTCGCTGACCACAGGAGCAGAAGGTTCGTTCTCAGGAGCGATATCAAGGCTAGCCGCAAAACGCACGCCTTTCTTTGCTTCAGAATCGCCAATTTGTTTCTCTTTAAGATTCGACTTGAGAGGAGAGGCTTTTGGAGCTTTGGATGATGATGGCGCTGCAGTTTCTCGATTGACGACGATACGGCCAACTCCTTCATCATTATCATCATCGCTTGGCTCATCTTCGTCAACTTTGGGCTGAGATTTCGAGGAATGTGACTTTATGCCAAGCTTCTTCTCCAGTTGAAGCATTCGCTGACGATATTGGTCCGTGACAACACTGCCTTTATAGCGTCCATACTGATCTTCATCGTCATCTTCATCATACTCGTCATATTCATCGTCAAAATCCTCGTCGGCCTCGGAACCTTCCTCCGAATCGCCTTCCTCGAGCTCAAGTTCGGCAACAACGGCACCAACTTCACTCATGCCATACCTCAGCATCTGCTGCCGTAAAGCTGCATCTTCTGGTGACTCGTCCTTGGGTATAACAGCAGCTTGCATGCTAATGTCCTCTTGGTCTTTGGCGGCGCCCATGATTTCCTTGACGCGCTTCGCTCTCCATGATATCTCAGGCTCAGGCTCCTCGGCAGACTTTGTATCTTCTGAGAATGAGACGGTTTTCTTCACTTCAGGCTTCGGTGAAGGCGGTTTAGGTGGGGCCACGGCTTCAAGGTCTCGTTCCTTTCCTTTGAGAGATTTCCCCTTGTCCATGGTTTTACTTGAATCTAGATCCTTCTTCTCAGGCCCAGGCTCCGTATCGTCTGTAACCCCAGCCTTTTCCAGAAGTGCTTCAACACTTCCTAGAGACTCGCCGGGCCTATTCAGCCGAAATGAGACGACATTGTCATCATCGTCCAGTTCTTCGACAATGTCCAGGATAGGTTGCCCATCTTCGTCAGTGGCATCAGGTTGGCTGATGACAGTCGCAGCAGCATACTTATTCTCGGCTGTTTCGATTTGCTTCTGCAGCGTCTCAATGTTCTTAGACACATAATCAATGCGGCGTTCCAGGACATTGACGATTTGTTCCTGGGTCTTGAGGCTTGGCCGGCCGAAGATGTCGTCTATTTCCTTCCCGTTCAGCAGCTCGCCATCAAACTCGGCATGTATGCGATGCAGCTCTTCGGCTTGATCTGCTGCGGTCACGGCCTCGACCTCTTCCTTGAGAGCCTCATATTCGGCATCCCAAGTTTGCCAGTGCTGCAGAGCTTTCCGCAGTTTGCTGACATTATCTTCAAGCCGTAGACGGTGCTTCTCAAGGTCAAGAAAACTATCTCTAGCATCCGACATGTCGTGCAAAATGTGGCCAAGGGCACCAGCAAGCTATAGACAGTGAGTAGAAAATTTGATAGAGAGGTCGAGTCAAGCATAGGAAGTTTGGCGCAGCCGGAATAATATCGGCTAATATCCGCCTCCACCCATATAATTCGTAGATCCGCGTAATGTTCATCTTTTCTCCCTTTTGCCCTTCCAGCTTTTTTGGGTGATGCGTAATCAAGTCCAACTTGCTTAATCAGCCTGTAGGAAAGAATCTCATCTCACAGGTTATGATGTCTCCGCCGGAAGGAAGAAAAATACGAATAGTGACAATAACTGACATCTCCTGGGAGATGGTCGGGAGTGGCTGATTTCGAGTCAGCAGGGAACCGGGACATTTGGCTAAATACGGAAAGTCATTCCTCTACCAAAGCCCGAATAAGTTTGAGTCATTCGGAGCAACTATTCAAACGGGCTTATCTTGATCGCCCAGAGTTTCACTCAACTCGCGCTGATCCGCTAGAGGAGCAACTAAGAAAAGCTTAACGCAGGAAACCTGGAACACTATGAGAATATGGATATGGCAGCGTGAAGAATTGTGAACGTAGCTCAAACCCCCACCTAAGCAAGCCCGTCGGCCTTTACATCTTGTACTTAAAGCGTGAAGCATGACCACTAAGTCAAGACAGATGCTAATAATCAAGCGACTTGTTTCATAACTCTTTGTACAATGGCAGACTCCAAAACTGAGACCAAAACTCTTGAGGCCAAGTGCCACTGTGGCTCTGTTCACTTTACCGTCGATATTCCCAAGGCCTCTCTTCCTCTTTCTCTCTACCTCTGCCATTGCAGCATCTGCCGCTTCACTACTGGGGCGCCATGCATCTTTCACACGTCTTTGGGAGAGGGGATCAAGCCCAACTTCATAGCGCCATCGAGTGAGAAGAGCTTGACCACTTACTCCATCAAGGGAGCCGATTGCACCTACGACTTCTGCTCAACTTGCGGATGTCACATTGCGGGTGTTGCACTTGATAGACAGGAGTGGACGGTCTCCACATCCATCTTTACAGACCATGGCCCTGATAACTTCAAGATCACGACGCATACCTTTAGTGATTCAGCCAAGGATAAGGGCTTTGCTCAGATCTTGACGCACATAGATGGCGTCAAGCTGCCAGAGTGGAATCCTCCAAAAGACGATCCTCGAGCCAAGATTGTCGAAGCAGAGCCAGAAGTCGGCGAGGACGGAGAAGAACGCCTGCGAGCCGAGTGTCACTGTGGAGGCGTCTCCTTCACAATCAGGCGTCCTACACAAGAAATTCGCGATCATGAGCTAATGCACGAAATCGTTTCTCCAACGGATCCGACAAAATGGCTGGCCTCGTACGACACGTGCAGCGACTGCCGCCGCATACACGGAACGCACCTCGTTGGCTGGACGTTTCTGCCTCTCTCGTTCTGCGAGCCAGAGATCAAGAGCGATCTCAAGATTGGCACCTCAAAAGTGTATGCCTCGTCGCCAGATGTCCAGCGATGCTTCTGTGGCACTTGCGGCGCAACCATCTTCTACGCAAACGACCCTCGGAAACTGAAAGGTCCAGGAAACTGGCAAGTCGTTGACATTGCGACGGGTATTCTTCGAGCGCCGGAGGGATCCATGGCTGAGAACTGGCTAACCTGGAGATCGCGCCTGGCTTGGGACGAGGATTGCAAAGAGTTTGATCCAGCATTTTTTCACGGGCTGGAAGAAGGCATGAAGAAGTATGTCATTGGGAAGAGTGGGAGAGAATTGACGAACACGATTAATTTCTAAGTCTGTTGGGGCTGGTGTGGTATTATGATATTGATGATTGAAGTATTCAACCTCTGGATGCACTGATTAGAGCTAGCATTGACGAATTCAACATTAGCATTAAAACATGACTTGCATCGCTGTGATTATTTCGAAATTGAATGTAATTTACAACAAGGTAAATTTCCAGGATATAGACATCACTTCTAGCACAATGCAACCTGCCATTGTGCACCTGCCATTGTGCACCTGACCTCAGATGTCAGATCGACACTCATATTTGGCGATGCCGATAGTATCCGGATAAAAAGACGCTATGATAAGAATCAATGGCACCGTCTTTTTCTCAGAATCATTGATTTTACGAATCATTCTACCATTCAAAACAGAAACAAAAAGAGACCTTAAGAGTAACAAGCCAATCATCAAATTCAGCCCAAGTTAATCGCCGAACGAAAACAAGAAAACCATCCGACACCTCGCAGCTCACCTAAAGCCGACTAATCAATCACCTCTCATTTTTTTTTCTTTCCTCCGTCCAACTAGAGCCGATTCCGGCGATTTTTCTCACTCTGCAGTGGGGGAGGGGCCTGGTTTCCCTATATGAGGTCAATCTTGCGCGCAGTCAACCCTTCAGTAATAGGAACCCTGGACTCAGACCGATGCGTTATGCATCAACGCGGCCAACGACTCTCCTGTGCAAATTCATAGCAATACGCCTCCAGGCGCGAAGCATGGCGTCTACAAGCAGGACTTACAATGTATGCGCGCGCTTCGCTTCATGCTCCAACTCCAACTCCCAACTGTAGCGTCACTGGGTGAAATTCTAAGCGATTGTGATGATAGGATGCGATTGACAAGCTCAACGAGCTTCAGACGCCGTTTGCGGTGATTGAAGCCCGTCGCAAGGCCGGGATTCTCCCTGATTCTGTCCTCGGCATCGCAAAGATGAGGGCGTATCTCACAAGGATCGGATACACAGTCTGTAACCTCCCTCAATGTCACATGTCATTTCATGCAAAACATCACCAACTAACTCTCCCTTGGGCAGCCTGCGGATCTTGATCGCCTCAACATTGTTCACGTCGCAGGCACAAAAGGAAAAGGAAGCACTTGCGCCTTTGTTGATTCAATCTTTTCGCAGTATCAACAGCGCCATGGTGGCCCTCGTAAGACTGGCCTGTTCACATCACCTCATCTCATGGCCGTCCGCGAGCGCATCCGCATAGACTCCAAGCCCATATCCGAGGAGCTGTTCGCAAAGTACTTTTTCGAGGTATGGGACCGGCTCGAGGAATCAAGAGAGGCTCCCGAAGAGGACACGCCTTTCGGATCGAAGCCGGTATATGCTCGCTATCTCACACTTGTGAGCTGGCATGCGTTCTTGCAGGAGGGCGTCGAGGTGGCCGTCTACGAAACCGGAATAGGGGGCGAGTACGACTCAACGAATCTGGTGTCAAGTCCAGTAGCATCAGGCATCAGCACGCTTGGAATCGACCATGTCGCTATCCTGGGAGACACGGTTGAGAAGATTGCCTGGCACAAGGCCGGCATTATGAAGATGGGTAGCCCGGCATTCACGATTGAGCAGCTCCCGGGTGCAGCAGAAGTCTTGATGAACCGAGCAAAAGAGAAGGAGGTCAACCTGCGGGCGTTGAAGATCGATCCTCGCCTGGAGGGCGTCAAAATCAGGCCAAACGCAGTGTTTCAAAAGAAGAATGCGACGTTGGCAATCGCGCTGGCGGAGACGGTCCTGACGAAGCTTGGGCTCTTGAAAGAAGTCTCAGAGTCAAAGCTCCCCCAAGAATTCATCGACGGTCTGGAGAAGTGCGTCTTCCGAGGCCGGTGCGAAGTCAAAGAGGAGAAGAATGTGACTTGGCACCTCGACGGCGCCCACACCGCGGACAGCCTGAAGATGTCATCCAAGTGGTTTGCCAGCGAAATCACTGGCCGGTAAGAAATACCTCTCCAAGGCAGTTTCTAATGGAAAAAAAACAAACACTCACACTTCTAGTAGAACCGGCCCTAGAGTCATGATCTTCAACCAACAAGGCCGCATCGAAGCAATCGACTTCCTGCAGCCCATCAGCACCACCCTGCAGAGCATCAACGAGGACCACGACCGCCCGGCCTTTGACCACGTCGTCTTCTGCACAAACGTCACGTACTCCCAGACGGGCTACAAGCGCGACTTTGTCAACAACACCATCGACCCCTCGGAAATCGACAAGCTCACCGTCCAGCACGCCTTTGCCGAGAAGTGGGCCGCCATCGACCCCAAGGCAAAGGTCGTTGTCTTGCCGACTATTGAGGATGCCTTGAATTATGCTCGGGGCGTCGCCGGGGCGTCGCCGGAGGGAGAGGTGGTCCAGGCATATGTTACGGGAAGTTTGCATCTGGTGGGCGGTGCGTTGGGGATTCTTGAGGAGACGGATGCTTTGTGAGAGAGACATAGATGCATGGAATGAAAAAAGAAAAGCGGTAATAATAATCGAATCAAAACCTGGGTATAGACAAATACACTTAGACTTGCGGACATCAAAAACATGCATTGGAGTGATTTTCTATCCTGCTACGGCTCCAAAACCTGCAATATGCTTCCCACAAGATGCAAACTGCCCGTCACCAAGATCTTCTTCCTCGACCCGTCCTGTCCCTGTGCAAGCTTTCTAGCTTCTGCCACTGCGTCTGGGGTGTTATCAAAGACCTTGATATCACAACCAGGAATCAAAGCGCGCATCTTCTCCGCCGCCTGCTCCTGTACAATCATATCCCTCGCCTCTCCATCAGCCGGTTTCGCAATCTCGTTCCGTGTAAATAACGCATATCGAAACACATTTTCTCTGCCCGCCTCTCTCCTGGCCGCTTCCACAAAATCCTCCAGGAGCTGGGTGATGTTTCTCTCCTGCTGGTTGAATATCAGTATCAAGGACTCGTCAGAACCCAAATGACTCTGAACAGACCACTTGGCCACCTCTTCCAAGCTATCCTTCGTATGCGCCCCATCCAAGAGCCACTCCACTGCCCCATCGTTGACAACCTCGCATCTCCCCCTGAGTGTCGCCTCCTGCAGGCCCTCAATCATCTTCTGCGGAATGTCTTCTAGCTTCACTTGTTCCATGCCGAGATGCTCTCGCACCGCCATGACAGCAAGCGCCTGGTTTCTCTTCTGGAAATCCCCCTTCAGTATCCCACTCACGCCACCCCATCGCTCAACAACGTCGTCTTCAACCTCTACCAGCTCTGCATTCTTCTCAGCCGCTCTTTTGCGCAGCACCTCCATCACGCCCGGCTGATCTCGCAGCTTCATCGTAAACCCCTTGACCCCAGACTTCAATATCCCAGCCTTGTGCCATGTAATCTTCTCCACCGTGTCTCCCAGCATGGCCACATGATCAATCCCCAGCTGCGTCACAACCGCAGCCGAAACAGCCTCCGCAGGCAGCACGTTTGTGGAATCATACTCGCCCCCAATGCCGCATTCAATAACCACATCCTCGATGCCGTGCTTCAAGAAGATATGCCACGCAACAATCGTCAAAAACCGAAAGTAAAACGGCTTCGACGCTGCCCCCTCCGCCTCAACAGCAGACATGCCATCTTTCACAGCAGCCTCCGTAAGCCGGTCCCAGATCTCGAAGAAGGCCGCAGTAAACACATCTCGAGAGACGGGGACGCCGTTAATCGCAATGCGCTCCCGGACATTGACGAGGTGTGGACTCGTGTACGTGCCCACGGCCCGATACTTTGCCAACATAGCCGTCGCATATGCACAGACAGAGCCCTTCCCCTTGGTCCCGGCAATATGGATGTGTCTCATGCGAGCGAGATCTTGAGGCGTGTAGCCAGCGCGGCGGAGCCATGCCAGCATCTCCGGGATGGCCGCTGCATTGAGATCCTGCGGCGTCTTTTTCTCCGGCGCCTCAAAGAGGCTTGTGATGATGCGGTTCGACTGCAGCAAGGCGAGCTTCTCGAGGGCTTCCTTGTAGTCTCGAGCCATTGTGCTGAAGGGCTGGGTTGGTGCTCTGAAGGGGCGATTTACAGGTGATCGGATTAGTGAAGCCACTGGGAAGCGTGCTTTGAGAGCAACCCTGGTGGTCATATTCCAGGTGCGCAAAGATAGATCAAGAGAAGGCGGAGGAAGCGTTACATCATCTCATGTACTCCGCATTGAGGCTCTCCTCTCAATACTGGTAGAGGGTTGAAAGCTGATGCAGTAATCAAGGTATGCGGTATTGATGTCAGTTGGCTGATAAGAGGTAGCCACATGGTGGGGCATAATCATGCTGTCAAAAATCGCATGGAAGGGAATTTTGTTTGCTTGAGGGCTATATCATACTAGGTACTACCTGAATATGTACACATATCAAAACAAAAAATCACACAGTGAGCCTCTTTAATATAGTTACAATGAAATCAAATTTTAAAACTTATACTTGCAAGTATCTATTGATAAACTATACACGGGCCGGAGGCCCTCTACTTTTCTCTTCCCTCTCTGATCAATATACAGAACCAAGAATTCCTCAATAATTTTTTTTAGTCCACCCTCAAGCTCTGTAGTCGAGCCTCTGCAGCAATGACCTATTTCGATGTTATTAGTAAAATATTCTTTCACTTATTTCCCATTAGAAAAAAGGGGGGGCGTCGTAAAAACTTACATCAAGTGCCTGCTGAACCTCAAGAACCTTTCGGGCCTCAGCCAGCCAATCCTTGCTCAACGTCTTTGCCCAACCCTGCAGACCAGTCATCTCTCTGGTCGCAGCATCCAGGTCACCCTCCTCTAGATATGTCTGTGTACGGGTCAAGATGCTCTCGACATCGTCTCCCTCGGCGAGACCCTGCTTCTTGAACATGACGTGGCTGAGAACCCAGCTGGAAGCGTGGCTAGCAACACCTGCATCATCAGGAAGCAGAGAGGCTTTCCGGACTTCGCTGGCGACACGACGGAATCGATCAATCAGCTGAGATGAGGTAGAGATGCCGCGCTGGTACGCCGAAGGGGTGATTGAAGCAATGGCGGCGTCAACGACGGCGTCATCGGTGGCAATCTCCTTGAGCGCAACGAGCTCGCGGATGAATGGTCGCGGGTGCTGGCCATCCTCGAGGCTGGCGCGGACAGCCTCAACAGCGACGTGAAGCTGCTGCGTCTTTAGGTTGGAGTCAACAACCTCATTCCAGCCAAGAGTGAGCTTCTCCAACTCTGATACAGCTGTCGTAAGGTCGTTGAGCTTGCCAATCCGGCTCTCACGCTCCTGCTCGACGCGGGCCTCAACTTCCTTGAGGAAATCCTTCTTCAGGGCGATGGCCTGTTCCAGGAGCTTGTTGTGGAGCTTGTCCTCGTTGAGCTTCTGCTCGCGCTCCAGCAAAAGCTTGACCCTCTCGTCGTAGCTCTCGCGAACAGTCTTCATCTGCTCCTCGAACTCTTGACGCCAGGCAATCTCTTGCTGAGCCATGGTGCCCTCAACTCGTCGGATGAGATCGGAAGCAGCGGTATCGAATTCAGCAACGGTAGATCGGACATCTTCAGCGGCCTTCTTCTCGGCGTCGTCCTTGAGATCCCTCAAGCGGCCACCAATTCTCAGGACCTCATTCTTGGCCTTGTCGATTGTCGAAGAGTACTTGCCATGCGCACCGTCGGCATTGATAACCAAGATGAGATCATTCAGCATGTGGACAAGGTCTCGAACAATGGGCTCCTTGGCATCAGGCAGGGTCATCAGGTCAATGGACCTCAAGGGCTTAGCAGCAGGCTTATCGTTGGCTTCGGTCGCCTTGGCCTTGGAAGTGAAAGTCTTTGGCTGTTCCTCAGGAGTGACCTTCTCGACAGGCTTGGCAGCAACGACAGGCTTGGGCTCAGATGCAGCGGGTTTGGCCGCCTCTTCAGGCTTGCTCTCAGCCGGCTTCGCAGCGGCCTTCTTAGCAACAGGAGAGGCGCTTGTGCGGCGCTCCGAAGGCTCTGTCTTGTCTGCCACCCTCCAGGAAGCTCCGCTCTGGGCGGGAATCCTGACCTTCTCGCTAACATCGGCGTGTCTTGAGCCACCAAGGCTAGCATTGGGGAACCGCTTCTTGAACTCCAGCTCCTCCAGGTAGAGAACAGCCTGCTCGCCAAAGGGGATGTACTCGGTGAAAAAGTCGTGGAAGTTGTCATTGATGCGCGAATACCAAACTCCTCCACCAAAGCCGGCAGCACCAAGCACCATCAAGGTGAAGATGAAGTTCCTCAGCCTCCTGAAAAAGCCCTTCTTCTTCGGCGGCGGGCTGGACTTGGGCTTTGCGCTCTGGCTCGTGACAGGTGGAGGGGGAGGCGGCGTGGGAGGGATCTCAGCCGAAGTCACCGTCGTGTCGACAACCGGCTGGGCGGGAGGCGGAGGAGTGCGCTCAGAGCTCTGGGTCTCGGATGTGGGCAGAACCGGCGTCGTCTTCTGGTCGGCGTAGAATCTCTAGATTGCAGCAGCTCGTCAGTCGCAAAATTTCCCCTCGGGCCCACGATTTTGCACGCCACCTACCTTGGCCAGAGGCGCCTGTCGCGACGCGGCAACAGACCATTGGCGCCCGGCGGCTGCCGCGATGGGCTTGCCGCCTAGCAATCTCGCTGTCCGAAGCGATGATCGCAACATTTGGAAATGCAATCGCGTGGTTGGAGGTTGGATCGGAGTGCCCAGCCCAAAAGTTGGCCCATGGACAATAAACGCTCAGGGCAAAAGTTCGGCTAATGCAAGCTCCAGACTGCCGGCAGGAACCGGATCCGTGACGCAACGCCAAGGTCATGCCAGTAACCGGTTTTGTTACGTCGGATTCAGCAATGGAAAAATCATGCCATGCTTTAATATGGCGACTTCTTTGTTATTTGCGACTTGTTTTTTTATTTCTTAATTTTTTTTTTTTAATTTTGCTTGTTTGAATTGAATAAAGTCATTTAGGCCATGCACACGTATTACTAGACTCGATACAGCCACCCACTCGCTCATGCAAGTTCCCCGGCTCATGCGGAGGGCCTTATCTCACAAGATGCATGTAAGAAAATCACAGCACAGGCCATAGTCTAATCAAAGCAGCAATCTATTAGACGCTCAGTCAGATTCACCGAAGGACAGAATACACATCGTTCCCGTATCTCATAATCCTCCACTAGGCATCCCGTAGCTCAGAATAAGCCCATCTGCGAGAGAATCTACCTTTGAAGTCCCTATGCACATCCCAGTGCATCAAGACGAGCACAAAAATATCAAAGGTGCATATTAAAAAAGAAAAAAAAAAAGAGGAAAATAAAAAAGAGACCAAAAACAATAAATCGTCGGCCAATAACCCTCCAAACCCAAGACTCCGAGAAATATACGACGCACCTGGACTTGCTTGATGCAAGCCAAGGCTTTGAATCACTGCTGTCAGTCTATCCCGGCCTGAACCTGAATGATCCACCCCCATGGATGCATTGCAGGACGTAGGTACATAGGCATCATTAGACGTCCCGCCGCAACCTCTTATCATGTGTTGTCTAGCAGCTGCATGGTCCGTTGACATTAGTGTTGGAATTCTCTGGTGCAAGGCTGACGCCGGGACGCTGCCCGGGTCGAGCATGTCTGGGTCCGACTTGGTCCAAGGGTAGCTTCTTCGCAATGGCGGTGAAGAGTTCTCGCACGTTCTCAGCCGTCTTGGCAGACGTCTCGAAGAAGAGGAGGCCGGCCTCGCGGGCATAGGCCTCGGCATCTGCAGTTGGGATGGCTCGCTTATCGGGCTGCTCAGTGACCAAATCAAGCTTGTTGCCAGCAAGGGCAATGATGATGTTCTCGTTTGCCTGGCGTTGGAGTTCCTTTACCCACGCCTTGGCCTTGTCTAGTGATGCCTACATCTCTTTATTAATACCATATTCATTGTGCAACCCCAAATTTTCAACGTACGGATTGCGTGATATCATATACAACGACGGCACAGTTGGCATTTCGGTAGTACATGGGAGCAAGGGATTTGTATCGCTCCTGACCAGCGGTATCCCAGATCTCGAACTTGACCGTCGTGTTCTCATCGAGAGAGATAGTCTGGGTGAGGAAAGCTGCTCCAATGGTGGATTCTCGGAAGGAGTCGAATTGGTCCTGATGGCTTCATTAGCAGGGTGGTTCAGAGGCCTCCCAGACATTGCGTGCAATCTACCTTGACAAAACGCAGGACTATTGAACTCTGTAACAGGATGTTAGCCTTTTTCTTCCTCTTCTTCCTTCGTTTCTCTCAGCACTGCGGGACAAGAGGTTGCAAGTTCACCTTTCCAACAGCAGATTCGCCTGTCGCAAAAACAACCAAGTCAGCAAATACATCAACACATGTCGATCATCCGACTATCAAAAACGCACCCAAAAGAACTAGTTTAAACTGCGCGAAGCGAGTGTTCAGGCCTGGTCGACCAGCGGGAGGTGCGCGAGCGGCCATTTTGAAGGTTTGTTGATTTGCTGCGCTCTGCCGAGAGTGTTGAGTGGCGGAAGCCGGGCGGGAGAAGGTCCGATGGTGTCGGGATCTGTGGAATTCAGTCGAGCGTCGTAAAGAAACAGCCGAGATATCGCAGAGCGGCAACAGGCGGCGGAGATGGACAGCGCACTGGATAGTATCAAACACCGGACAAAGAGTTGGATTGCCTGGAAATGGAGGTTGAATGCGGCGAATACCAGAGACGGGCGGTACACGTCAGGCTAGAGGGCGGGTCAGATGGCACACTGCCTTAGGTAAGCCAAGGCTGCCGTGGTAAAACTTGGCTTTTCAAGGATGCCTTGAGTGGAACAATCCGGTGTCGACGTTGGCCCACGTTATGATTTAGCCTGATGCTTGCGACCCTGCAAATTTGCGTGGTGTTTGTTTCCACGGCTCAGGTTTTCTATAGAAAAAAAGAATTGATTACATGCATTTGGAGAAAAAATTAAACAATTGAACAAAAATATATACGAGTACATCATTCAAATGGGTCCAGCAAAAGCAAGGTGCTGATCTCATACTCTAAAGTAACAGCGACAAATCACTTGACTCAGCCAATGCACCAACCAAATGACGTACAGGAATACGCAGCCTCCAAACTACTATCTACTACAAAGATACACCGCGTAAAAGCAACATGTTCCAATCTGAATTCATTACATCAACACATCTATATGGATATTGATATTTCCACCCATTTACTTATATATATATACTCCCCCAGTCCTGCATCGCCGCAATATGCTAACAACCCGCCCGTTCTGTCTTTTTATCACTCAGTGTAAAGCATCGTCAAAAACTCCGTGCCCAGGGAATAGTGCCAGCGCCATATCATGAACCCATAAACCCATTATAACCCAACGTCTAAGTCGGCGCAACCAGCTCAGAAAGATTGCAATCGAGACAAGAAATATGCAAAATAAATCATCATCCATGGGGAGCACTAGGGGAGAGCAGCCAAAGCCTGTTGCTGCCGCTCTCGTTCCGCTCGCGCATCCTCTATGTCTTGGACAATCTTCTTCTGCTCATTCTCAGAATATTTATCCCAGTTGCCGGTATCTTCGTCCCATTTCCGGACACACTCGGGCACCCAGTTGCAGTCTTCGACCTGGCCATAGGCAGGGTGTTTGTATCGAGGATGGCGGCTAGGCCAGTTGGACGCGTGGAAGTGATGCTTGACGAGGGCGTTTCGAGCGTTGTGGTTGCCGGAATCCGAATGTCCTTGTCCGGCGCAAAAAGCCTCGACGGTGAGGACAAGGACGCCGCCCACGAGTTTGGACTCGTCCATGTTGTGGAACTTGTCCCAAGTGACCTTGGGCCCCTTGGACTTGCGGTTCATCTCCTCGAGAATGGCTTTGGTAAAAGCAGAAGGGCCCGTGCCGCTGATGACTTGATCAAAGTCAAGCTGCACTTCGCTCAGCGGCACGCCTTGGTCTCTGGCGACACCCTTGAACCACTTCATGATGTTTTCAATCAGACGCATCATGACGGGCTGTTCGGGGCGCGCCGCAAATGTCCACTGGCAAAAGGACATGGACTTTTTCCCCAAGATGGGGTGATCTTTGAAATCGGGCTGGTCAATCTCAACACCGACAATCAAGTCAATGTCCTTTTCGTTGTAGCGCTCTGGTATAAACCGATGAAAAGGCTTCATGGTTTCGACATCAATGTCTGCGTAAATGCCGCCCTCGGCGTACATGATCATATACCGCAAAAGGTCGGCTTTGATGATGGGTAATTTGATCATTTGATAGAACTCGACAATATCCGGGCGGTCGTAACCATTTGGACCATACCGGTCCTCGATATATGCCATCTCGTTGGCATCGGTAACGACTTCGTAGCGCATGCCCGGGTTTTTCTCAGTCCACGTCCGCGCCGTCAACAGATCACGCTCTTCGAAGTTGAGAGGATCGACTTTCCATGTTTGCCAAATCTTTTGCGGAAATGTGCTGCCTGGCACAGGAGGCGGCTTTGGTTGTCGGCGGAGGACTGAAGCGGGATTAGGTATCGCCAGGACCCAGTCAAAATTGAGAATGACAAGAAAGACGAAGACGATGGCGAGGTAGAGAGGGAGGCACCGTCTCATCTGTGTAGGCACCTTGTTGCGGAAAGGGCTGGCAGAGGACATGAGCCTCGGTGATCCAAGAGGGGAGTTCATCGTGATGTGCTCTCTTCTTCCCTTCTTGCGATACAGAGAAAATATTGAAGATCGGCAGAGTTGAGACAATGACAAGCACCACTTAAAGGGTGGGTATCATGCTGTGTACGGCAGCCGCCGCAAGGGAAAAACAAGAATTGAAGAATAGATAGAGAGGTGGCTAAGGTTTAATCATTCGAATCAAACCTCTGCCTTGGACAAAAAGCAGCCGAAGCTTGAAAGTATCCAGGGAGTGCCTTATCGGTACGTCCACTGAATAAGTGCAAAGCCACAAGATCTTGAGAATGCTTGAGATCTCAGGCTCGTATAGGATCTCCCTGTATACAGACACCTTGGTAGCAAGGTTATCAAGATACACTTTGTTGAGGGGGCTGCTTATAGTTTGTCCTGACAAGTGCTGCGAGTATCGATGGAAGAATACTCAGTGTGAGCAAACCCGGGGGAAAGAAGAGACTGAAAAAGAGTCATCTCGCCCGGCCTATGCGCATATTATACTCTGGGCGTATCAAAAGGGCTGTCCGGGCCGTCCATGGGCGCAATTACAACAGCTCGCCGCTGTGCCTTTCCGAATACTCTCCTACCTGCCTTGCATGGATTGAGCCACAAACATCGGAGCATGTACATGTACCTGTACCCAACTCGCAAAGATGAGCTAGTTGGTTAGTTGGATGGCGTGAAGACACCAGGATCCATAACTTGAGTCTGTCGAACCCACACAGCGGTGGATCCCTGCAAATCTGCCAGGGACCTCTTGATTACGTTTAGGGCCACAGGAAGAGGAAACGACGTTACTAGAGCCGGACACAGCTTCCAAAAACGTCCTAAAGCAACGGCACAGAGGTGAGGCCAGTTTGGGGAACATGGGGAAACATGGACAAGGCCTGACAAAGACGGAGGTGGAGGGAATCGGCGAGACGTACCTGCAATGTCCGCAGGACGGCCATACTGTACTCATCGGCATAATAAAGACGCCTTCTTTTTTATTTTCTCTTTGGTGTATCGTACTACATGTGGCTAACAAGATTGAGCACTCAGCTCAGTGCTACCCCTTCGAAACCTTGGTTCGGCAAAGTATAAGCCAGGAGAAGAAAGCCATGGCTGAGTCTTCCGCAATGGCTTGTGATATTAGCCCGCGGACTCGTTCCGTTAATTATGTACAGGTACTCGTATAGTAAGAACATTCGATGCAGCTTACACTTTAGTCGTATATTTTGGAACCAGGCACCTGGATGAAGCCGAAAGGATTTCTGTCTCCAATTTAAGACGGCGCACGGGACTGGACCGACACCGGCAGCGTGTACTTGCACTTTTGTACAAGTACTTTTCAAAAGCCTCAAGATCCACAGCTTTATACGCTGCTATGACAGAGGATATGCAGGATTTTCATTCGTATTTTGAGCATCAATTGCGCCCGAATCTCCGTCTGGGTACCTCTACTGCCTGTGGCATTGCGCCGGCTCGCCATTGCTGCTTCTCGACCTCTAACTCTTGTCGATTGGCTGGCGCAAGAAACGCCTCCCAAGGTCGGAGCTTACGGGCAAATACAAGGTAGCATGTACATACTTGTGCATGTACCTATCTGCTGGTGACATAAGACGTCGTATCGAAAGGGGGGAGAAAATTTGAAATCTACACATAAGCCAGCTGAGTATGCATATTGGTTGCCCGAGCCGCCGATCAGCCACGCACACGATGTAGCTCCCGGCTTGTCAGGTCCCCCGAATGCTTGTCTGCAAATATTCCCTGTCCATGCGTTTGGTGTGAGGGGCAATTCCTGTAGCAACTCCCATGCAAGCCACAGTGCAGGGGTACGCCGTCCAATCCCCAGTTGAGCGCCTTCTTGCCCAGCCCCTTGTCTCTTCGAGATGCGGAATAGTGCACTTGCCAGTGCCTTGAAATCGTTCCTTGGAGGCGTTTTGGAGGCGTTTTGATGGCGTTGTGCGGAGAAGGATGGTGTGGCTATGTACTTGTACTCTCGGCTTTTCCCACTTACACCGGGGGCCGTGGCCAAAATAACGTTTCATGTGATAATTGGCAAACAGGAATACAGGTTCTTGTACGGCACTGGCACATCATGTCCCGGAACAGAGCTGATGGGGCTTCAATTGCCTCCGGCCCATGCGTCATTGCGTGTCTAACTTTGTCCTGTTTTGGTAGTCTTCGCACCACCACCACCCTGGCACACTGGGTCCTCCTCGGCATCAGAAGAGCTGGTCCTTGATATCTCGACAACTTTCTCTCGGGTGATACCGTCAGCCGCAACTGCATCTCTCATCTAGTCAACCTATAGCTCCGGAACCCCGCGTCCATCCTTCGCCTCCGCATGCTTCTGACCTCGGGACGACCTTTATCATCTGCCTCGTGCTTCTGATTTTCGGCTTGTGAAAGCTGGGGAAGCATCTTGCCGGTGGGACTCCCCCGTGTTATCATTCTGATTCCAGATTAACGAGTACGACGTTTGTCCGTGACGCTCGAGATCGGATCGATCCTGGGGTTTGCCGTCTGGGGAAGCGTGGTGTCCTTGTCGAGCAATTACGAGTACACGTACGGCTCGGCCGGCCTTGTCCAGCACTTGCTCCGAGCTTAGGCTTGTGAGATTGAAGCTGGGGCTCTTCTGGCATCCTCTCTCCCTGCGTTCGTTCCTCTTCCTACTGGATAAACGCTATTAATCTCACCACTATCAACGCCAACATGGCCCAAGAAAGCATCCTCAATACCAGCAAAGACTGGGAAGAAATCACCTCTGAATCCGATTACGACCCAGAGCTTGCCAAGGAAGCAAACGGATATACGATGTGGAGGCCATCCAGCTATATCCCCAAGCACAAGCGGGCTCTCGGCTGCATTGTGAATACTCTCTACAAGCTGCCCACTATCTTCTCAGTGGCTGAGAAACTGCGCCCGACCTCATATCTAGATGGCCTTCGAGGCTTCGCGGCCTTTCTGGTGTATTGGCACCACCACGAACTTTGGGCTCACGGCTGGGAAAAGCAAAATTCCATTTTTGAAAATGGCTTCGGCTACGACGGAAAATACTACATGGTCGCGTTCCCCTTCATACGCAACTTTTTCACAGGCGGACACTTTGCCGTCTCAACTTTCTTCGTCATATCCGGCTATGTCCTCTCCCTAAAGCCACTGACCCTGTTGCAAGCTGGCGAGTTCACAAAGCTAGGAGACAATCTTTCATCGGCCTTTTTCAGGCGATGGCCACGACTCTATCTTCCCCTCATTGCGGTTCTCCTTGTATTCATCACGCAGTGGCACATGCTTGGGATCTGGGTCAACGGACAAAAAATGGCGGGAAGCTGGACAGATGACCTTTGGTCCCTGTATATCCAATTCAAGAACTTCAGCTTCGTCTTCAAGGAGGGAGGTGATCCCTGGATCAGCTTCAACGTCCACTTGTGGTCTATCCCAGTCGAGTTCAAGGGATCCATGGTTATCTACGCCTCAATTTTGGCCTTTTCGAGATGCTCCAAGGCTGCACGACTCCGCTGCGAGGCCTTTTTGATCTTTTACTTCATGTTCATATGCGACGGCTGGTACTGCGCCTTGTTTTGCACGGGCATGCTACTCTGCGACTTGGACTTGCTGGCCAAAAAGGGCGAGCTCCCACTCTTCTTGGCCCGCCTCGAGCCGATCAAAGACTTCATCTACTACCATCTGCTCGTTGTCAGCTTATTCTTGGGCGGAATCCCCAGCGAAACCACAGACGTTCAGAACTTGCAAAAGAGCCGCGGCTGGTACTACCTATCCTTGCTCAAGCCTCAAGCAGTTTTCGACTACAAGTGGTTCTACCTCTGGCTGGCGTCAGGCTTCTTGATCGCGTGTATTCCGCGCATTTTCTGGCTAAAGAGGTTCTTTGAGACCAGGCTTTGCCAATACCTGGGGCGTGTTTCCTTTGCGCTCTACATTGTTCACGGCCCCGTGCTGTGCACACTTGGCGATCGGCTTTACATGGCCGTGGGCTGGAAGGGAGACGACCACATACAACACATCCCGCACTGGATGAACAGAATTCCCCTGCCAAAGTCTGGACCCCTTGGGCTGGAAGTTGCTTTCCTCGTCCCCCAGTTGATCTTGCTACCCCTGACTCTAGTGCTCGCCGAAGCCGTGACGAGATGGGTGGACGCGCCGAGTGTCAAGTTTGCCGCTTGGCTGCACCGCAAGACATTGGGCGGTGCCTCTACGGAGCCGGTGCTTGGGAAGCAGGCCAGGGCATGATTCAGATTACACTTACTGTTATTGGGTGGCCATGAGAAGGCGGTAATATGGGTTCGGGATATTTCATTGTACATAGACGGATACGTGATTTGGCGCAAACGGGGACATCGAACGGAGCACTACTCAGTACAGGTGCTGGACATGGAGATGCCGGCGCCTGCACATACATAGTACTGTACTTACTCGTACAAGTGCTTGCAAGGGGCAGTCCCAACATGGAATTGAGCATGGGTTAATGTCATCAACAGTTTTCACTTTAATTAAGTGTCAGTCTTTTTTTTTTCCGGTCTCCCACTCCCATATCCCCCACGTAAAAGTTTTCTTCTCTTGCTCCCTCTACGCGACTTCTACGCCGTTGCTGCTCTTGGATTAGCATTTCCCTGGTCGTGGATCCATCCAATCTCCTGATTTATTGTGAGAGTCGGTTTCATGGTGTTGGTGTTGATTGTAGCGTGGGAAGTTGGTAGGTACAGATACATGCTGACTCGTCGCGCGGATGTGGCTGCACCTAAAAAATTGCCTTCCTGGGTGCTGCCAACCAAGCGATCTCGTCAATCTGGTTGCCCAGCATTGGCGCTGAGCTTGTGCCTGGAGAGGTTCTGTACAGGTACAGGCACGCACAGGCACGCACGCGCCACAGCGTCAGCCACAAAGGCACAAGTTGAAGTGCTTTTCAACAGAGAAGGAGCAATGGAACATAAAACAAGAATCTTCTGCAAACCACCCTCGTCATCATGGTGTCACTTCTTTTTTTCCCCTTTCACCCTCTGCCTTACTCTATCTAGGACTCCCTAATTTCTTCCCTCTTCTTCTCCTTTCTTCCAAAACACAAGGCACGGCGAAATATGCCGTTGAGACCACCACCTGCCAACGGCCGTTTGTCCCAAAGCAGCACAAGCGCGTCGCCAGCGCTTTGCTGGATTCCGGCATTGTGCTCTGCCGATCGCTCTGATCTGCGCAGTTAGTTCGATGCCTGTACCCTGTCAAGCTGTTCGCCGCTAATGTGCGGAGGTGCAGGCCACTAAGACGGCCCCTGTTCAAGTTCGTTGCTGTTCACTCGTGTATGCGTGCTGCCTTTTGGGGGCGGGAAGAGCGAAATTGCGTTTTCCCTCGGCTTCTGCTTTGGCATATGACAATTTTCTGCTTCTCTGCCTATTCCAGCCTCTTGCCAAGTCTGCTGTTGCGGGGTAGCCCGGTTTTCGTTTTCGTTGCTGATTCTGTGTTTTTGTGCTAACGGATAGTCTGTTTCCTTTCCCCCGTCTCGTCTGACCAAACGTCTCAAAGTTTGTAGGCTCTTATCTTCGTATATTAGCGGCCACACTCTGGGGTTACATTCACAATCAAGGCATCCGCCTGCCGGGCTACCTGGCAAGTCCATGGCAAGGCCCGATAGAGGCCACTCTGCTCCATCGAGGGCCATGGGTTGTGTCCACTGCGAATGCAAGGCTGTCCATCTTCATCAAAGCCAGCTCGCTTAGGGATACTTGCCCTCCTACGGAGTAGTCTCAGCAACATTAATGAATGATATCTGTACTTGTATACGGCACTTGTTTGTACTCGTACTAGCAAAAACGAGTACTGTGCCCGTACAAGTTAGTGGTAAGTAACATAAGAAATGGAGGTATCCGGTAATGCTATTTGCCGCCGGCAGCGTGTGTTAGCCCTGGCTCTTACATCATTGTCCTTGAAGTTTGCGACTCAAGACTCGATACATGTCCTAGTCATAAAACTGTGCCATTAATGGAGCCACACGGCTGCAAATGGTGACTATCAGTGTGTCATTGCCCTACACTAGGTTCTTGTTCGCCTCTCGCCTTCTCACCGCCGCATCTCGGACCATAGCTTGGGACAATTTAGCCCTGTAGCTGACTCTTTTCCATCGCCGTTCAACTGGGTCCGGCTTGCATACAAACTCCATCTACGAAGTACCTACTAAGGTAGTGCTATTACATCGTCATTTCTACCATCTACGTATAGCGTCACATCGCCGTGTCCGGCCCGCTGCAGGATCTCAAGCATCTTCTGTAGAGCGTGGCGTAACTAGTCTTTGGCTTGTATCTTTGGTACTTTTAGGTATGGTATCACATTTGGGATTCACGGTGAGATGGCATCACCTTGCGTCTCCAGCCTCACATCAGGCGTCTGTCTAATGGCATATCTCGCATAGCATTACACTCTTTAAACACTACCCATTACTGCACCGCCCGTGGTACTTGCCTGGGTACTAGTACCTAGTATCGTGCCAAAGTACCTAGTAGTGATAGGCATTACTATCAAAAGCCCTGCTTGCTTATTGGGCTTCGAGTTGGCATCGGCGTCGTCATTGAGTGGTGACCTCAAAGTATCATCAGCTTATATCCTGAGGGCTTGCTATAGTTCCCCCACGCACAAGCCACAGGCTCTGGCCAGATTTCGAGTTTACCCTTCTCACTATCATTAAACTTCCATGGCCTAATAGCCTTTCTGCCGTGTTCTGCTCAGATATTCATGCAAATAGAATCTGCATAATATTGCTCAGACGAGTCGAGTGAGGAACCTAACCCTTGTCGCTCAAGACTCTGTCACATCCTAAAACAAGCAACTCACGTCATACCATCCACATTTATATAGGCCAGCAGCTGGCTACAAGGGCTTCACAATGTTCTTCAGAGATATTAAGCGCTTGCTGCTCCTGACAGTACCTATTATCATTATTCTCTACACAATCATCAGTTTTTATACGCACTCCAAAGGAATCGAACGGATCCCGCCTATCATCGACAAATTTGATTCAGGCCAAAGGGGGGAGAATACCGACTTAAGTCATGAACAAGAGGCTCAAGCACCAATAGGTCTCGGAAAGTCGGAAACCTTTGATGAGACTCCGAAAGATGGAAACATTCCGGCAGCAAATGCTCCGCCGTCACATCTGCCCTTGAGCAATGGCTCTGCACCTCCCAATATTCAGGTTTCTCATCAGGAAATCTTCTCAATCTCGACCATGGACAAAAAATACTTTTCCATTGACTTTGGCGAGGGTCACAGGGGAATGAACCCCAACATCATTCCTCACCCTACGCTGGCAGATACGTGGATCGTGGTGGCACAGCTGGCGCGGGGAGCAGACGAACAAACCGTCTACTTTACAGAACTCATGTGTAATGCCGCTTTCCAGGATCAAGTCTTGCGGTGTCTTGAGCCTCCGACAGCACTTCCTGTTGCTCCAACAGAAGGTGGCAAATGTGAAGGCGATCTAGCCTTCTTCACCTTCAACGTCGGCCCTCACGATGCCCGCGTTCTTTACGGACCGGAGTCCCCGTACATTGTGTACGGGTCGAATTCCCAGTTCACTTGCTTTGGCCAGTTTATCCAAGACTTTCGCGAACTTGTTGACTGGACAGGCCAATGGGGTGGCTCAAAGCATTTCCTCAGGGGCACAGAGTTACAGCGACCTCTGCCATGGTATGCCGTTGAGAAAAACTGGTTCCCTTTCTGGGATCCTGCGGGTCAGATGTATATTCACTACGACGTCGCGCCAAAACGAGTCTTTGCTCAAGTCGCACCAGATGGCTCAGCCAGCGTCAACCTAGCAGTGCTCACCGAAGAAGAGGATAACAAGTGTCTGGCGAAATATTTGCCCAAAACAATCTCCGACAACGAATCAGTCCACCAAGCAAGCAACTCGCTCAAGGTTACCATGTGCAAGCGGACAGACGCAATTTGCATTGCCGACAAAAGCAACACCTTTATTTTCACCATCTGGCAGCACAAGTCGTTTTACAACTGGCACGCAGTTTACGAGCCGTACGTTATGCTCTTCCAACAGCAGGCGCCTTTTACCATGCACGCCATGTCGAAGCGGCCAATCTGGATCCACGGCCGCCAGCAGTACCCAGATCGCCTTACTTCAGAGATGATTTACGTTACGTCGATTGCTTGGAAGAGCCCCTTTGTCAAGTATCACGGATACCTAGACGACGAGCTCTTCATTGGATTTGGCATTGAGGATAAGGCGTCTGGAGCTATTGACATTACGGCGGAGGAGCTGTTGTCGGGACTTGGGCTTTGCACTGAGGCATAAGACAAAGAAAAATGGACACAGTATACCCATCAAGGTGCCCTTTTTCGATGCTTATTTCCTCTTTGTATTCTAATTTTATGTCTTAGTAGATGCTTTATTCGTTGTTCTTACATTAAGTGTGATAGAATCTCAGCTGCCCAGAAAGGTAGAGAGTTTACGATGAGACGACTACGCTATAACGCTAATCAAAGTCAATTCAAAATTCCAATAAACACTAATACGAGAATGTATCAAAGATTCGGGCATCCCAGCCTTGCAGTCGCCTCATGGTGCTCCTTATTCAATTTGCATTATACGAAAGGGGGAAGCAATCTGCCTTTTATTTCCAGTTAATACGTGCTCTCTCACTCAGGTACGTACCCGGATGGTTCCTGATTGCCCCTCGCCTCTAAAAGGAGTTGCATATGTAAGCTGCGCCACAGGAATTTCCCCCTTTTGCCTAGCTCCTCCTGTGGCTTTGCAGTGACGTTTGCCCACCAGCGCTGAGGCTGTGCAGCTCCAATATCCTTACGAGGCCTTGCTGGCATTACAACATCTCCCATTCCACATGTGATTGATCACAGGCTGAGACGAAGACAGCTAAGTCGTTTATCACGCAGCAGACGGAAGTACCCGGCTTTGCAAGCTCGAGATTGCGGAGAGCTGTGCCGACAGATCCAGTGACGTTGCGCCTGTAACCGATAGCTATTTGCAGCCATGGCGCACCTAGCAGCAGCCAAGCTGCCCTATCGCGACATCAACCTCAAGATCACCAGCGATGCTTATACCTTTACGTCTCCCTCGTCTCCCGATGCGCCGTCCTTGGTCATTGATCGTCCCATGGGAGACGTCCGGCTGGTCCAGGGCGGCTCCAATTCATCCAAGCGCCCGACGCGTATATCCAGCATCTCCGGCATCCTTGGCATCATTCAGCTCCCTCTAGGTCAGTAGCTGCTCCATGCCCCCAGGCTGTGGTCGTTTATTCTGTTCTGTACGAGCTCTAACCATGGATCAGACAAGTATGTCATCATCATCAACAAGGCCAAGCCCATGGGCAGGCTCAAGGGACAGATGGTCTACAAGGTCATTTCGACCGAGATTCTCCCTATGCGCGAGCGACAGATCCACGACCCCGACGAAGACACCTTCATCAACCTCCTCAAGACCTTCCTTGCTCAGGGACCCATGTACTTTTCCTACTCAATCGACCTCACCAACTCGATCCAGCGTCAATCCCATGCCGATACCTCTCGACCCCTGTGGCTGAGGACCGATGATCGCTTCTTTTTCAACAAGCATCTGCAGTCCGAGCTGATCAAGTTTCGCACTACGGGCTCCCGTAGCCAGCCCGGCCCGCAGCCTGCTATCGATCCCTACATTCTGCCTTGCATGTTTGGCATGTTTGAGATTAAGCAGACCAAGTTCAAGAGCACACCACTGACCATCGTATTGATTTCCCGACGCTCACGGTACCGTGGTGGAACTCGATTCTTTACTCGAGGTGTTGACGAAGACGGCCATGTGGCAAACTACAACGAGACGGAGCAGATCGTCATCCTCAATGATAGCAGTACCGGCCTGGGAGGATTTGCTGGCAGCAGTGATATGCAGAGTGGCAAGTTTGGCGCGTCGGCAGGCCAGGAGATGCAGATTCTATCATACGTCCAAACTCGAGGCAGCGTGCCAACATTCTGGTCCGAGGTCAATGACCTAAAATACACGCCGAAAATCCATGTGCGTGGTACCGACGCCGCCCTTGCCGCCTCAGCCAAGCACTTTGAGGAGCAGATCCGCATCTACGGAGACAACTACCTCATCAACCTGGTCAACCACAAAGGACGAGAGTCCAAGGTCAAGGAGTCTTACGAGAAGATGGCCAAGGCTCTCGTCTCAATGCCCAAGGAGCGGCGAGAGGCCGATCGTCTTACCGACGAGAAGTTCACGACGATCCAGCCGGGCTCGAGCCGCCAGCAGTTTGACCGCCTTCACTATGTCTACTTTGATTATCACAGCGAGACAAAGGGCATGCAGATGCACAAAGCCTACGCCATCGTGGACAGACTCCGGGAAGCTGTTGATGCGCAGGGCTACTTCCGTGGCGTCGACATGCCCGCAAACAACGATGGAAGGGTTGAAGCCCGCAGTCTTCAGACCAGCGTGATGCGCACAAACTGTATGGACTGCCTTGACCGTACCAACGTCGTCCAGAGCATCTTCGCTCGTCACATGCTCGACCGCATGCTGCAAGATGTCGGCCTGCTCGCAAAGGGCTCGTCATTTAAGAACGAAGACCCCGAGTTCGAGGTGCTTTTCCGCAACATCTGGGCCGACAATGCCGATGTTGTGTCCACGGCCTACTCTGGAACTGGTGCCATGAAGACCGACGTCACCAGGACTGGCAAGCGTACGCCGATGGGAGCCCTGCAAGACGGTCGTATTGGTATCACACGATACTGCCTCAACAACTTCCTTGACGGCCCTCGTCAGGACGCCTACGACTTGTTCTTGGGCGTCTATCAGCCTGGTGAGGCCAACGTTGGCACCAACCTCATCTTCGGCGACAGGCGGCCGGTTCTCATCCAGGCTATTCCTTATATCCTAGCCTTTAGCGTCTTCATCGTCCTCGTGGGCATCTTCACCAGGCGGCCTCCCGGTTCGAGCGTCATTCCCATGCGCCTCTTCATTCTCTTCTGGTCCAGTGTGGCAGCCTGGTGCTTCCACTTTGTCTGGACTCACGGCATGCTCTATGTAAGCAATCAACCCATCCTTGTGTCTTTTGCTTCACAAGTAGAAACTAACATACTTTTGCAGGTAAACTGGCCACGTCTGAACCCACTCTCGTACGCTATCGATGGCTACACCGAGAACTTCACCAAGGCCAGAAAGGACGCCGTTATCGGGTCCCTCGTAGCCAGACATGAGCGCGGACTCAGCACCGCTCGCTTCATCAACGCCGAGGAGGGTAAGAAGAGGATTGAGTAGATGTACGCTGCACGAGCTCGGGAGATGTATGATCTACGGCCTCCATTCTACCCTTTTGGCCCCCTGGCCCCCCTTTTTCTTCTGTTCTCTTCGTCGCTGTTAGACTTTGCTTGCAGATGCAGCGTTATTCATATAATCACCCTTTAGCTCCTACTGGGACAATTTACCGTCAGCAGACGAAAAAAACACTTTCCTTGCCTTTCTTCACCTTCTTCATTTGTTGTTACTATTGGTTCTGATTTTTTCTCGACGTGGCCAGCGTCGTGGCCCCCTTTCTACGCGCTACATTTTAATTGAAAAAAAAGAAGAAGAAGAAAAGAGTCTATACAAGTCTTTTTTTAGACAAAGACCATTTTTTTCTCTCAGACAAAAGATGGGAAGAGGATGCAAAAGATTAGAAGATATATAGTCAATATTATTTGCCTAATTTTCTTTAAAATTAAAATAAAAAAGTTTCTCGTTTTGGATAGGATTAAGTAAAAAAGCCTAGGTAGTTGAAAATAAACATACAGTTGAAAAATAAGAGAAGAAGAAAAAAAGGCAAGAAAAAAGGTTTTCTTTTACACACGAGAAATAATGAAAGATGTGCGTATTTTGCTACCTCACTCCATGGCTATGCATCGGGTCCCTTAGTTGCCAACGGCAACACCGAGACAAAATTTGAGACTGTAGAATAATATGGGGTATCAGACAGGAAATAGAAGAGGGAAAAATGCAATAGGAGCGTATAGAAGAAGAGGGCGATTGTGGGATACAGCTACAGTGCTGAAATCCTATGATGATGGTAATGTCATGGATATGGGGATACTGATGCACGAGGTCTTCATCCAACATAGAAAAGAGGTGGAAGGGGCGGTATTTAGAGAGAATAAAGGGGCAGAGTGGGAAAAGTGCGCGGGAATTTACAGCCAGAGAAGCCATTTGACGCCCTTCAAGACCCCCTTGCCTAGACCCAGGAAGATGCGCAGTATCATCACCATGAACCAGACGTACCACATGAAGCCCACGAGAAGCCACTCCACGGTAAGCCAGAGCCCGCGCCTCAACCAGCGGAATCTCCTGCGGCGCGTACGCAGCATCTTGTCCATGGTGTCAATGACATGCTTGATCTTGAGGGGCTGCCCAAGCATCAGATCACGGCTCGTCTCGTCGGCCTCGTCAGCGGCCTTGCGAGCCAAGTCGGACAAGTCATCCGCGATATGCGTGCGAACCTCCCAGACGCGCGTGCGAAGATCGCGCGTCGTCTTGTCCCGGAAGTAGTCTGCCGACGACTGCCACCGCTGGCCCCACGACTGGATGGCGACGCCCAGAGTGCGGGCGGCGAGGGGATACACCTCGCAGAAGGACACCTGCTGGTCATGGAGCTGGAGGCTGAGCTGCGCTTGTTTGGGGGTAAGCCTGGCAATGTCCGCCCAGGGGACGCCGCCGGGTTCGTTGGAGGAGGTGGCCTCGCTCAGGGCGAGATTCTCCCTGCTGAACGGCTGGTGCTGCTCGTTGGCGCGGCGGCGCAGTTCCATCGCCTTGACACCGGAGCTGAGTATCAGAGCCCGCATCCTGGCGACTTCGCGCTTCGAGAGCCTCATCTGGCCAGGCAAACCACGGTCCGCAATCGACCAATGCTGGCCCGGGAGTCGCCCATGTTGGTTGTCCTTGTCGCTGAGCGAAAGGGCCGAATTCACACGCTTGTCTGCAGCATCAGGGGTAGTGCTGTTATTGTTCATCAAGGATTCGGATTCAGAGACGTCCGAGTCTCCTAAAGGTTTCTGTAAAGGAGAAGACCCAGAAGATGATGCGCTCCGGATTTTAATCAGCGGAGGTCGAAGAAGATCAAGTTCAGCGGCATGGCGCCCAGGGGTTTCTGCGCCATCAGCCGCGGCAGCAAGCTTGTCACCACCATTGGCGCCCTGGCGATAGCTAGGCATACGAGTAAACTGAGGCATCGTATCGAGAAAGTTCTTGGGCTGGTGATGTAGTTCTTGTGCCCTGTTAGAGGGTTTCCGTGTCAGAGAAAACGGTGTGGACTTTCGCCCTCTGATTCTATCACTGTCGGATTCATCTGTCGTGTCGAGGTCTGGTGCTTCACCAGATCCCTCCTTCTTACGTATGATATCTCCCAGCTTCGAAACACCACCTCGGAGCACGTTATCAATACGAGGCGGCTTGAACATGCTTCTTAAGCCAACGTTTTCGTCGGATCTAAGCCGCGTGCTGCGGGTGCTTTTACCGCCATCTGTCCCTGACAGCACCTTTTCAGCAGGGCTGGATTGACGCCTGCCTAGAGTAGACGTTGAGCCCGAACGCGCCAGAAACTTATCGCGTTTCGACGATCGCCCTTCTCCATCATCCTCAGCATCGTCGAGCATAGTTGCGTCGTCGTTCTTCTCTCGCATGATTTGCTTAATTTTGCTAAAGGGGTTCCTCGTGGGAGATGTTGATCGGCTCCAAGGTGGCGAAGGATCAACGCTGGCAACCGACTCAGATTTGCCATTGCGAACCGGCAGGACTTCCGGTGAGTTGGGAAACGAAGCTCGTTTGCTTGGAGAATAATTGGCATCAAGACTCTGGCGCGAAGGAGAGCCTTGCTTGAGCATCTCAAAGGCCCCAGGCTTGCGCTCCGAGTCGCTTGTTTCCGCCAGAGAACCTCTCCTGCCAGTGAATCGGGACGGCGATTGTGATGTTCGCCTCATATCTTGTGCCTCAACACTCCGGTCATCAGCGCTCTCGTTCGCCAAAGCCATATCTTCGAGTTCTCTTTCGCGGGCCTCCTTGGCCACCATTTCCATCATTTGCTTCTGCAGCAAGTCGTTTGAGTTGCTAGAGATTGTTCCCTTGCGAACAGGTCGCGCCCTCTTCTTCGGCTCGCTGTCATTGTCGCTGTCTGAATATTCAGACCCAGAATCTTTCTTGTGCCGAAGTATATCGTGGCCATGACTGCCGCTTCCATGCCGATGGTGAAACCCTTTGATGTTCTGTAGCTTCTGCTTGGCACGCTCCTTTGCACTGCTATGAGACAATTCTGAGCGAACCTTGGAGAGCCCAAATTCTTTTCCTTCAGTAATAGTTTCAAATATTTCGTTGTCTCTCGTTGTGAACGGTGAAATTTTGCTGCTGGAATCATCTATCTCTCGAGATAAAGGCCTGCTCAAGTCTGAGGCCGCAGGCGGGAAAATCTTTCGCCAATGGCGGTCTTCAATGAGATGCTTGTGCCCGTTCTGTTCCAACCAGTATGCGTCGGCAATCACATCGCAAGGTTCTAGGATCCAGTCCACTCTGGGCCGTCGGGGCCTCGCCGCGGTCTCCGAGGGCGAGTTCTGCATGTCCACATCTTCGGCGCATTGATAAGGGGGGAGTGAAGGTCTGTCATCGACAAGCGACGTCCCAGCCAGCGACATTTGTCGATACACCGTATCAACCCACATCCTAACCCCATCTACATCGCTAAATCCCTGACGCTTTCCATCAATGACCTTCCTCTCACGTGCCCGCACTTTGCGGTTCCGAATGTACTGCAACGGATTGTACTGCCGCCCTAGTGTTATAGCAAGCGCTTGGGTACCTGGTGCCAGCACGGGAGAGTCTGGCGAGCTACCCGACGATGGCCTTTCGAGGCCCGGCTTCAGGGGCGGCAGCACATCAAGCAGTCGCCTGTACTGCGCCCACAGCTCGAGATGTACTTTGGCCTTGTGGGCTCTGGCTAGAGTCGATGCAGAAAACTGCCAGCGGTATTGCGCATCGTGGGAGGACTCAAACGAGGATTGAAAGGTGCCACTGGTTCGTGATGCGGGGACCAGGGGTCCGGTAGATGGCTCTTGCAGCAGACTGGGAGAATCTGTGCGTGAAAACTTGCGTTGTTGCTGGAGATGCTGCCTGATATTGCTTGAGGAGGACGCGTCCGGTAGAGGTGTAAGTCGTGGGGGCACAGCTGCCCGAGAGACATTTCGTCGAGAGGCAAGGCGGCGCGATTCGCTGAGGCTGAGTGCCATGTTCACAATTTGGGTGGAATCCAGGTCCCCAGCACCGTGCGATTCCAGGTGGTGCGAGTCCGAGTATAACCTGCCATCGGCGGAGTGTCCAGTATTCGGAGGTGAGTTTGCAGGCTCTTCGCCAGATCGCCGAATGGGCGCAGACGTCTTTCGCATGCCCATATCAGGACCGGCAACAGGAGGAGCTTGGAAGGCAGCATCACGACCGCCGCCGAGCTGTAGCTGAGGAGCTGGAGCTGGGATGTGGGCCGCCCGCTGCCGACGAGATCGTCCGCCCCCAAAGGCATCGTGTAGCAAGAAGCCTCCACCAAAGCGACCCTTATGCTTCTTTGGCGTCCGCTCTTCTCGGTGGCCATGCCCGTCGTCGGCATATGGGGAGCCCTCACGGCCAGGACTCACGCCGTCGTCGTCATGGAACTGGTCGTCGTCATTGGGGAAAAAGACATCGTCTCGCTGAGTGGGCGCATTGCCGGGCTTGCCCATCTCATGGCTGCTATTCCGCCGGCGCTCTGGCGTCGCTGTGCCATCTCGTCGTCCGTCTCGGCTCGCTGAGTAGTATCCTGCAGACCGAGGCGCAGGCATGTGGTGATCGGCCATTGCTTGGCCGCCGGTTCATAGTCGCCAGCGCCACCCGTTCTAGTGCCGTTGCGAGTCGTCCTACTGAAGGCTCGAGGAAGGACGCATGGCTAAGAATAAAGAATCAAGGTGTGAAAAGAAGAACAAGGCACAAAGGAGCTGGAGAGCCAAAAGGGGCCGGTTAATGAGGGGTGCAAGTTCCACTAGGGATGAGAAACAGGCGAGAAAGCGGCCGTCTGGCGATGCGCCAGCAGAAACAGGGTCACAGAGTAGCAACCAAGCTTAGCAGAGGAGCTAGCGGCAAGATGCGTGATCGACTATCTGGATTAGCAGCACCACTACGATCCAGTAGCAGCAGAACCTGCATTTGTCGAATGTGCAAATGCAAACTCGGCCAGCGAGGCGCAGCGCAAGCCAACTTTTTGTTGGACGCGCAACTCGGCTCGATCTGCAGCGGTACCCGGCTGAAACTCGGACATTGCAAACAAATTGCTTGAAATGTCAGGTACCTGTCCCTTGCTTCAAGCCCGGTTTTTCTTATGCCGGCATGTCACTGGTACATCGGATCGTGCATGCGAACCACTCATGAGATGCACGGTGATGTTATGCCGCCTTCAGTCGGAAGCCTATTTGCGCCAAATCCGTCAATTCCATGCTATGAACGTGCAGTGATCTGCGTCGCTCACAAACACCGTCAGCTCGTATAATATAAAAATCAAACGCCACCAATTTATTCTCTAGATTTTCTTCTCAGTTCTGTATCAATCGCATCTATCGTACATAGGTATACCTTATATAACCATCAATCGAGGGGAGTACGCTCGTACATTTATTTATATACACACACATACCGGTTTATGCAGCCATCACCAACGATTTATGAAGCCGTCGCTGCTGTAACGTCTTCGCATCGCCCACACAGTCCGTCCTCTTCCTCGGCAACATATCGCCAGCACCGGGAGCATTTGCTTTGCTTCGGCGGTAGGACATGCACGACGCCCTGCATGCCATCCACTGTAAACTCCTTGGAATAGCACCAGTCATGATTGTCGGGCGAAAGGGGGCTGTTGAGCTCCACAGAAGATACCACAAACATGGCATCAAGCTCGTCTAGGTACTCCTTCAAAACGGCCGCCAAACGGTCATCCGTGACAGATATGTTCAAGGAGCACTGAAGAGAGCTGCCGAGCGCTTTCGATTCTCGGCCCTGCTCCAACCCCGCCTTGACTGCGTCGTGCACGGCGGACAAGATGGGCAAGTGTAGTCGTAGCTGTGCTTGATCCAGCGTCAAGCGCGCGGGATCAATCACATGTGAGTTGTAAAGCTGCCGTGCCGGGTGTTCGAATGACCTGTGTGAAACTTTGTTAGACATACCTAGTAGGCAGACACTAGCGACAACGAATCATATGCACGCAGGACTTACGCATCTTCTACCATCCATGATGGCCTGTGAGACCAGGCCTCCTCAACCAGCATCGGCGTGATTGGAGCCAGCATTCGCAAGAATCCAACCAAGATGGGCACCAAGACATCGCCTCCATCACCGCAGTACAGGCGGTCTTTAAGCCCTTCCAGGTAAAACGCCGAGAGATCAGTCGCAATCCATCGGTTAATCAATCCGGCAGCCTTGTGGAATTCGTAGTTGCTATATGCCTCCCAGACCTGAGCCATGACGTCCTGAAGCTGCAAGATGGCGATTTGGTCAAGCTTCGTCAACGGTGCCTCGAGCGCAGATTGGTGCAGTGACCCGAGCAGCATCTTCAACGTCGTGCGGTACTTGATCAGTGCACTGTGTATCGGCTGCAAGATAGACGCTCCCACAAGAATGTCGGATGTAAAGTCGCTGCTTGCCGCCCAGAGTCGCAAGGCATCAGTACCGAGAGCATCGAATCGTGTAGCAGCATCGTTTCCTTTGCTCTTCAGAGGAGGCAGCAGTTTGCCTTCCATGATTTCACTGGGAACAATCGTGTTACCTAGAGACTTGGACATTTTCTTGCCTTGCGCGTCAAGTGTGAAACCATGGGTGATGAGTGTCCCGAAAGGAGGAGCAATGTCAGCTCCAGCTTTGCCGTCTGCTTTTTGAGCTGCCACAAATGTTAAGAGACTGGACTGGAACCATCCTCGGTGCTGGTCAGAGCCTTCAAGATAGACATCCACAGGACGCCCAATCTCTGTCCAGCTACTACCGCTATCAAACCAAACATCCATCGTATCAGTTCCACGCCGATATGTTCCTTTGAGAGATGGCGCAATCCACGCTGCATCATCTGGGGCGTCGGAAAACCATGCGTCTGATGTCTTTTGCTCCATAACAGATATGATGTGCTCAATAGATTCATCCGTCATAACAGCGTTTCCACTTTCATCATAGAGAGCAGGGATGGGCACACCCCAGGATCGCTGTCTGGAAATGCACCACTCACTCCTACCTTTGACGAAGCTTTCCAGACGAACTCTACCAGATTCCGGGACAAAGCGCACCTGACCCAATGCCTGCAGAGCATCTTCCTTAATGCTTCCGACATCTGCGAACCATTGCGCCGTAGCCCGAATAACCACAGGTTTCTTCGTGCGCCAGTCATAGGGGTACTTGTGTTGAAGTTTATGAGTCCAGAGCACATCTTGTCCAACCAGTTCCAGCACGGCCTGACTTCCACCGTCAAGAATAGAAGGCCCCGAGGTCAGTTTTTCAGGGTCATCAGGATAGGCTTCGGGTGTAAAATGGCCTTCATCCGTGATGGGGGCGAATGCTTCGATGCCCAACGCCGAGCAAGCCTGGTAGTCTTCCTGTCCGTGTCCAGGTGCCATATGAACGAGACCAGTTCCAGAATCAGCAGATACAAATTCGGCATGAACAATGGGTTGCAAAGAAGAGGCGCTCCCCCTCAGCTTGTTCCGGTACAAGAGACCGGTTAGCTGAGAACCAGGAATCGACTTTGCAATGACCGCCGCAGAAGGAATGTTCTTTTGAATTTCCTCAACACGGCTCTCTGCGACCAAAATCCCATCGTTGCCGACCTGCAGTAACACGTAATCGAGCTCGTTATGCACAGCAATTGCTTTGTTGGCGGGAAGCGTCCAGGGGGTGGTTGTCCATATAGCAGCGTACAGTTGACCTTTGAACTCGCTCAGACCGGGAATCGAGCTCCAATCAGACATAATGGGGAATCTAACGTAGGCAGCAGTCGACACATGATCGTCGCGGTATTCCAACTCGGCCTCAGCCAAGGCTGTGCGAGACGACGTCGACCAGTAAACGGGCTTGTGCTTGCGATATATAAGGCCGCTGCGAACCATCTTCTGGAACACACGAAGTTGCCTAATCTCGAAGGCCCGATCCATGGTTGTCCATTTATTATCCCATTCGGACATGACGGCAAACGACTGGAACCCTTTCATCTGATCCAGAATCGTCTTGCTCGCCAATCGCCTAGCAGACTCTCGAATCTTGGGTGGGCTTAATCCCTTTGTGCCACTCTCCCCAAGAGCCTTCATCTCAATGGGAAGGCCGTGGCAGTCCCAACTCGGTCTATACATGACTCTTCTACCACCTTGCACTTGTATCCTGTTGATCATGTCCTTGAGAGTCTTGTTGATCGCATGGCCGGCATGAAGCGGCCCGTTGGCGTACGGCGGGCCATCGTGGAGCACGAACGGGTTCTCTTTTGGTCTATTATTCGTCTGCCACTGGTAGAAGCTATCGGTACAGTCGCGCAGGAGCTGCTGCTGCAGCTTTGGATTCGGCCGAGCTCTAATTGCAAGTCAGCAAGTCCATCTCGAAATGCCGTTTCTCTCCTCCGCATGGCCAGCTTACGGGAAGCTTGAGCGGGGCAGCCTCAGCGTCGATTTCCATGACTTTGACATGATCGTACCATAACCATGCCGGACGGCTGGTACGCGCTGGGCTTGAGCCTCAGTGGGCAAGATGCGACGGAATTGACGCTTTCGCAACGGCGACTCCAACAGAATGAAGTTTTTTTTTTTTTTAGAGAGATCTCGCGACCACATCACCTCCCCGCGCCAATTGCGATCAATGCTTCCAGGTCCTCCAATTGGGTCTTGCGGCGGGAGCTTACAGCGGCCTTGGACCCTATTTTTAGTGGATGGCGCGGGGCATCTGGCGCAGTGCTCGATTACATCACCAAAGCTCAAGGCTCCCTTTTTCAATATTCACGCTCCCACGATACAGCACGTAGTAAAATTGGAACAAAGATGGCACCCATACGCCGGTACCTAAGGATTACAAAGTATTCCGTTCTTGAATGCAGGATATACTTGGACAACCCGGCTCTGGCACAGTCATGGCTTTTAAATCCTCGAAATCCCATTCTTCCACAGGTCATGGAAGCCATCCGACCACTCGTGATACCCAAGCTCCGTGAAGAAAAGGAGAGAAGTAAAAAGAAGAGCACAAAGAAGAAGGCAATCAAGGACGTCGTCGTAAAGGGTAAATGATTATCCTTCTCTTTTTTAATGTCTCCGCAGATGTGACTTGATCCCGAGGCAAAGACGGATTCTAACCTGCCAGCAGATGACTTTGAGGTTTCCGTCTTCTTAACAGAAACCAGCACGCGACACTCTCTGCTCACGAAGCAAAAATTCTTCCATGAAAAAGGCCCATCTGCACTGCAGTCCAATGCGTCAAAGCTCATAGCAGAGACGAATGCGAATCCCATCGACGTGGATGCCAGTGACTTTGCCCCAATCCGTATCGAGGAGGACAGTGACAACGAGGGCGTGGCACTCAGCGATATTCCCTCCGCCAACACTCGCCGGCGGGCAAAGCGCCAAAGGAGCAATACCCTCGAAATTGACGATTCGGACGAATTCGAAGACGCCGGGGACGATGATTCTGCCTCGGTTGTCGACGTGGATTCCGATGGTCGTCAGCCTCCGCCAAAACGCTCCAGGGGGCCTATGAAACCACCAGCAGAGCCAGAGGGGCAGTTTCACGATGACTACAAGAAAAAGCTCGCAATGGACGTGTCATATGAGGGTTTCGCCAT